ATTTAGAATAGACTAGAGCTTCTTATCTTATAGATAAGCTCTATCAAATAATAGTTATAGTATTAATAGCAGGGAGATTAATTTATTAGTAGTAGATTATTTAGTAAAGTATACTTAGTATTAGCTATTAGTATTTAGTCTTAGATTAGTAGTAGTCTTAAGTAGTAGGTTTTTAGATTTTAGGATAGTCTAGCTCTAATAAAAAAATTATTTATTCCCCTTCTTAGGCAGGTCCTTTAATTTCCTAGTTAATATATTAGGCTTAGTACCTAACTTCCTGGAGTAGTAATATATTTGGAAGTTAAATCTTAATAGAAATTTAGACTAGCAGGCTTATTAATAATTTAGTAGCTTAATTAATATAAAATACTTTAAATTCTAGTAGTCTATAATAACCTTTATAAGTAATAAAATCCCTTCTAATTTAAGGTACTATTCTTTAAAGTAATAAATAATAGCTAATAATTCTTTATTATAAATCTTATAATTATATTCTATTATAGAATATTTCTTAGAGAAAAATATAATAAGATATAATATATCTTTATTATTATATTATAATAGTACTCTAGTAGATATATAATTAAAGGTATTAGTTTCTAGAATTATATCTTTTAACTAGTTAAAAGATTTTAGTATTAGAGTATTTATAAAAGCAGCTTTTAGTTATTTAAATACTTCTTAGTAAGTAGATATCTAGTTAAAGTTAATATCCTTCTTAATTAGGTTAACTAATAGTCTAATAATTTTTAAAAAATTATAAATAAATTAGTAGTAAAAGTTCCTAAAGCTAATAAAGGCTTGAATATTAGTTAGATAGGTTAGTATTTCTTATTTAGTAATTATTTTTACTTTATCAGGGTCTATTTAGAAGCTATCTTTACCTATAATTAGTCCTAGGAACTTTATCTTACACATAAAGAATTTATATTTACTAAATTTAGTATAAAGTTCTACTACTTATAAGTATTTTAATACTTATTAGATATAACAGGTATATTTAATACAAGTTTAGCTATAAATTAGAATATTATCTAGATATATAGTATAAAAAATATCTAGATAATTATACAGGGCTTTATTAATAAATCTCTAAAATAATACTAGGGCTTTAGTAAGCCTGAATAGTATTATTAAGGATTTAAATAGGCCTAACTAAGTTTAGAAGGTAATAAGGTATTCTTGTCCTTTCTTAATCTATAGATTATTAAAAGTAGAGATAATATTAATTTTTAAGAAATATCTTATCCCTTTTAGGTTATTTAGTATCTCTTTTATTAATAATAGCAGGTAATAATCTTTTATAATAATTATATTTAGGGCTTGGTAGTCCACATAAAATTATAGGCCTTCTTTAGGTTTCTTTATAAATAGGATAGGGGATATAATAGGGAAGAAACTAGGGTAAATAAAACCTTTTCTTAGGTTCTCTTTAATCTATTCCTTTAGAACTTTTAGTTTATCTCAGGACATGCTATACAGGTTCTTAAAAGGTAGGATTTTTCTAGGTAGTAGTTTAATCTTATGATTATTAGGTTAGTAGGGTGGCAGGTGCTTGGCCTCCTTTAGTAAGAATATATTATAGAATTTAGTAAACTCAGGGGGTAGTTACTCTTATAGCTTAGATTTAGTAATAGTAATAGGGTTTAGAGTAGCTTTAATATTAGTAATAGTAGTAGCAAATATCTAGTATTTATAATAGGCATATATGGTATAGGTAGTAATTAAGACTCTAGTAATATCTTAGTTCTTTAGAGGTTTAGGGTAGGAGTTAAGGTATTAGGGAGAAGCTTTTAGTAGTATATTATATAATACTAAAATCTTTATAGGCTTTAGAGGTATATTATAATACTTCCTATAATAGGGGCTTTTAAATAGAATAGTATAATTAGTAAATTTAATCTAGGGGTTATAGGTCTTTAATTAAGGTAAGCTAAGGATAATAGGAAAGTATATAAGTTAAGTTATAAGAAAAGTAGTATCCTTTTTAATATAATTATAAATTCTTTAGATTAAATAAATAAAATAAATAATATTACTAGACTTTACTAGAGTACTATTAAATCCCCTTAGTAGGATAGGGTTCCTTAATAGTAGTATTTCTAGTTAGTTATCCATAGCCTAATTATAATCTATAAAATATTTATTCTTAGCTCTAGAGTTAATTATAGTAAAGGTTAGTAAAATCTTATTAAGGGTTTCTAGGTTAATAGGTAGGATTATTAGTTTAGATTAGTAACTTTCCTCCTCTACTATTATTCTAGCTATCGCAGCCTTTAATAGGTAGAGGGAGTGCTAGGGGTATTCCTAATCATAGCTTAGGTTAGGGACACTCTATTTTCTAATTTAGGGGATATAGGGTGTTTGGCAGGCAGGGTTCTGGTTAATAGGGGGTACAGGTCTAGTTTGGTAGTAGATATAGAGGTATGGCTAGTTAGTCTTTGGTCAGGGTACAGGCAGCTGCCTACTAGGTAGTTAATGCTGCCGCAGCGGTAATACAGGTGTTGGGTTTGATAATTAAGGTGATGGGTGACAGACAGGTCTATTAGGTCTTTAGTAGGAGTAGCAGCAATAATAGGATTAATAGGAATTATAGGAATTTAGGTAGCAGGAGTTAGCTTTAAGATAGGTTAGGAAGGCTAGGAATTTTTTATAGATAAGGGTAGGACAGTACTTATATAATAGTAGTAGTAATTTTCTAGATTTTACAGGTAATTAGCAAAGTTATAGTATTATAATAGGGCCTTAGAGTATATTAATATCTCTTAAAGTTCTTAGCTAATAGCCTATTTTAAAATTATAAGCAAGATATCTTTATTTATATTCCTTTCTAATGCAAGGTATTAGAATTTAGTAAAAAAGATACTAAACTTATAATAGATTTATTAGAGATAGAATAGGTTAGTATAAGTATTAGCTTCTAAATTTAGATCTTTAAAAGCTTTCTCCAGGATTTCTAAAATCTTAGTATAATTACTTAATTTATAGATTCTATCTTAGATATATAGCAAGATTTAAGTATATAAGGTTCCTTTAAGGTGACTAGTTATATAAGCTATTCTACTATTTAGGGTTAGGAAATAGTTAAGATTTATAATTATTTTCTAGTAAATTTAAGAAGTAAAGTGTCTTAAGTTACTTTATTAGCTATTAAACTTATTAAGGTTAGGAAGTTATTTAGAAGTTTGAGTAGTAGGAATAGATATAGTAAGAGTAATAGTAGTAGTAAGGGGGGCAGTAATATTAGTATCTCTTTTAGAAGGAGATAGTAATTAAGAAGGCATGCTATTCTAAGTAAGTACTTTAAATAGCTTCTATTAGGTTTCTTTAGCTTGTATCTTCTAGTACTTAATTATATTATCTTTCTATTAAATATGGTCAAGAAGGTTAGTAATAGTAGAGTATAGAGTAGATAATTTATAGAGTTTTTCTATAATAATAGTAGAGAACTAGTATATCTTAGTAATATACTATCTTAATTTATTAGGAGCATTATATAGGAGGGTTTCCATGCCTTCAGGCAGTATAAGTAGTAAGGCAGGCATGATAGCAGTAATTAACTTCTAGTAGAGAGGAGCTATATAATGTCAGGGGGTAGAGTTAGATTTAGATATTTATTAACTAGGAGCTAACTAGATAGAACAGCAGAATAATAGGTATCAGGTAATAGACAGGACGTAGCTTAAAGAGCTATAACAGGATCAAGGACAATATGGCTTAAATACAGGAATAAGGGTGGACAGTCAAGGCAGAATCTAACTAGATAGGTACTATGGCTTCGCACCGTGACAGTAGGTTTAGTTACTATTTTAGTTAAATTATAGAAATTTTCCATATACTATTACCTAGGTGGTGTAACATAATAATAGTAGGTAATATTTCTACCAGGATCTCTATCTAATTAGGGAGCAGATCTCTAGTACAGGGATATAATAAGAGTTTTGGAGGTCTATAAAGCATAAAATAGAACCTCAAGGAGGGCTTATAACCTGATGAGAGGTCATTAAACTATGATGGTAGAAAGTTAACCAAAATAGATTTAATTAATCTAACTAGGAAATAGAGAGATGCTTGGAAGAAATATGGAGATCTAGAAGAAAATAGTAACCTTAAATATATAGAGTAGTCACGTGTCGCTATCTTCTTCTTTATGGTAATGCTGCTTTATGGTGGTGCTGGTTGCATTCACTGAGTGCAGCACTCCAACATACAATATTGTATACTCTGTAGACTTTGGAGTAGTTGTTGGTTGCCTGGTTGCCATTGTATATTTCTGTCAATGCAACGGATGGTTGATTGGCTGCCTGGGATGTGCCTTAAAGCATTCGGTTTGGCGTCAAGAGACGAAACAAGTCGTAATTCCTTGTCACCCAGCAACACACCATGGAGAAAACGCGACTATTCAACATCCTAAAGAAAACCCCATTATCCCGTACCTCATGATTCTCGTTTAATCAGAACGCAGTCTCCAGTTTTTCATCTCCACGATTCAGCAAGCGTGTCTTCCCTACTTCCGGGTGGGATAATGTCGACCCTTCCTTACCTATCGAAGAAGAGTCAATTCCAACCTACAGACCTGAAAAATTCTATCCAGTCCGTATTGGTGAGATCTTCAACCACCGATATCAAGTAGTCGGCAAGTTGGGATATGGATCTAGCGCGACTGTGTGGTTATGCCCCCCTGATTTTGCGTACTCAACCTAACAGGCCAGATAGCTTTAAAGGTTTACACAGCGTCAACAATAGCAACCCGAGAGATCGAAATCTACAACCATTTAAGAACTATCCAGTCCAACCACGCGGGCCAGGCATGCCTGCGACCGTTGATTGAAATCTTTCAGGCCCGGAGCCCAAATACAGAGAGGGTGCATACTTGTCTGGTGCATTCACCCGGCTGCTGCCAGATAGGGTCATGAGCAGCGCCATGGTGAGAACTACCATCCGGAATATTCTTGCTGCTCTAGATTTCCTCCATACGGACACCTGAGGTCATCTTAGACATGAGTTGGGATGGTGGTAAGACAGCCCATGCAATCGTATTGGCGCTCAGACCCATTGTGAAGCTGATAATGGTGGAGATTTGGAATCTGTTTGAGCCTCGACACCTTTTTAGAGCCCGGGATCCCGAAGGTAACTTGAACGATGGATGCCATCTTGCTGAGATGCAAGCAGTCTTAGGAGGTGCTCCTCCTGAATTGCTCGCTCGGAGCGAACGGAGTCTCCAGTTTTGGGATGAAAACGGTTTGTTCAGCCCTTGCCTGTGAATAATTCTATAGGCGTTGATATACCTTGGTACTAACGGTTTTTGGATTCCTATTGCAGGTAAATGGAAAGGCGCAGCGCCCGTTCCAGATTGTAATCTCGACTACCTTGGTCGGAGTACTTACTGCGCTCCATTGGTCCGAATCTTAATCGTTAGTTAGCCTGATGATATGAAATTGTTATCAATAAGAATTAGCCAGCTTTTTGTGTGACTACAGTACAGTAGCAAAAAAGAAGCCGGTGGACTGGGAATTCCGGCATCCAGGCTCCCCGCCGACACGGTGGCGCTGTGGCTGCTGATTGGTGCAAAACGCCGACCGAAGAAAGCTGATCTCGAGCTCCAACAGTTCGTCCTCCATATATAAGATAACATTCCCTTCCTCGGTTTGAGTTGGTTCAATTGTATTCATACTCTCTAATCTCCTCTCTCCTTGACGTCTGTGCAATTAGCTCTTCCTAGCTTCTCTTATCCGGAATCTCCGCTGCCACCTTATCTCTCTGGGGAACCCCCCCCACCCGTCTTCTCTCACACTCGTCTCGAATTTCATCGTCACGATGGCTGCTGTCTTCCGTTCTAGCTTCAAGCTCCGGGCTTCTGCTCGTCTTCCTGCTGTCCGTACTCTCACCACCACCTCCCAGCTTCGTGCGGCAGAGAAACCTTTTTTCCCCAATGAGCCTTCCGCTCCCCAGCTGTCGACCGCCATCCCTGGCCCCAAGAACCAGGCTGCTACCGCTGAGCTCAAGGAGGCCTTTGATGTCCGCAACTTGAACATGCTCTGCGACTACTCCAACTCCATTGGAAACTAGTAAGTTCTCTCCGTGCGTGTTTCCCGCACTGGTGTCTCAATGCGACTAACGACGACTAGCATCGCCGATCTTGACGGAAACAAGCTCCTTGATGTGTAAGTAGTGACTGACTCTTCCCATATCCCCAACCACTTGACAACGTACTCACACATACGACCCCGAACACAGCTATGCTCAAATTGCCTCCATTCCCGTTGGTTACAACAACGCCCACCTTCAAAAGGTGGCCGCCTCCCCTGAGATGGTCGCTGCCTTGATCAACAGACCTGCCCTTGGCAACTTCCCCTCCGCCGACTGGGCTCGTATCCTGAAGACCGGTATCCTGAAGGTCGCTCCTAAGGGTATGAACCAGGTCTTCACTGCGATGGCCGGTTCCGATGCCAACGAGATCGCCTACAAGGCCGCTTTCATGTACTACCGCCAGCAGCAGCGTGGTGGTCCCGAGAAGGAATTCTCCGAGGAGGAGCTCCAGTCCACCATGGTGAACAAGGCTCCTGGCTCCCCCGATCTGTCCATCATGTCCTTCAAGGGTGGCTTCCACGGCCGTCTCTTCGGTAGCTTGTCCACCACTCGCAGCAAGCCCATCCACAAGCTCGATATTCCCGCCTTCGACTGGCCTCAGGCCCCCTTCCCCTCCCTGAAGTATCCTCTTGAGGAGCACGTTCAGGAAAACGCCCTGGAGGAGCAGCGCTGCCTCCAGGAGGCCGAGCGCCTCATCAAGGAGTGGCACAACCCCGTCGCTGCGGTGATCGTGGAGCCCATCCAGTCCGAGGGTGGTGACAACCACGCTTCCCCTGCCTTCTTCCAGGGCCTCCGTGAGATCACCAAGCGCAACAACGTCCTCTTCATCGTCGATGAGGTGCAGACTGGTGTTGGTGCTACCGGTAAGTTCTGGGCCCACGACCACTGGAACCTCGAGACTCCTCCCGACATGGTCACCTTCTCCAAGAAGGCCCAGACCGCCGGCTACTACTTCGGTAACCCCGCTCTGCTCCCCAACAAGCCCTACCGCCAGTTCAACACCTGGATGGGTGACCCAGCTCGCGCTCTCATCTTCCGCGGCATCATCGAAGAGATTGAGCGTCTGTCCCTGGTCGAGAACACGGCCGCTACCGGTGACTACCTCTACGCTGGCCTTGAGCGCCTGGCTCAGCAGTACCCTGAGCACGTGCAGAACCTCCGTGGTAAGAACCAGGGTACCTTCATTGCCTGGGATACTCCCAAGCGCGATGAGATGCTGGCGAAGGCCAAGTCCGTTGGTATCAACATTGGTGGCAGCGGTGCGAGCGCGATTCGCCTCAGGCCCATGCTGATCTTCCAGAAGCACCACGGTATGTTATTCTCGTTCACCATGTTGATCTGGAGGTTCCCTGACTAACTTGTTCCAGCCGATCTTCTCCTGGAGAGAGTTGAGAAGCTCATCAAGGACCTGTAAGGCGCGGCGAGCGGTTGCATCCCGTGCTATTTATACATTAACCTTTTTTTTTTTTTTTTTGTTTTCAACTTTTGTGGCGTTATGATCGGTAATTTGGGCGATGGGTTGTTATGATTCCTTTGCATGTCTGAAATGACATAGATGTCTTTACGTTCGAGATTTGATAGTTCTAACGTGGCCAGACCACGCTATGAAAAAGCAAATGATTATATATTTATACATTCGCAATTGGCCGTATTTTGTAGAGAAGTGTATGGAGAAATCATTAAGAGTTGATGAAAAAAAGCTGTACTCCGTAGAGACGAGAAAGAAAAAAAAAAAAAAAAAGTCCGATGGCAACCCTACATGTATTCAACCCGATAACTGAACAAACCAATAAAACCATAACTCCCAGTTTTGTGCAAACAGCAGAGATAGAGAGGGATATCCCTTGTACTATCCTCGGGGAAAGAGAGAAAGAAAAAGAAAAAAAAACTCTAAAAGAGAACAACGGACGCTGGTTTCGAAAGACACGATGAAATAGTAGTAGTAGTAGTAGCCTCGTCACTCAACCCTCCTCTTCAACCGTACTGCCATCTCTCCTGTATATCATCGTCGAAGTTAGCATGCGGAAGTATCGAGAGTACGGACAGACAAGCACAGGCGACATACGGGATGTATTTGATCCCAGCATCTTCTAGGTTTGAGATCACTTCGTCGGGCAGCTGCATGTGAAAACAACATTCAATTCAATTAGCCTAGTGTGTCTGGTAGAGTTGAATCGAAGATTCTTTTTCCCAGGTCAACTCACCGATCCTGTCACCTTCACAGCATATGTCCCCGCCACATAGCTGTCTAATCGCTGCCAGCGAGCCACCCAGCTTGTGACGGGATCCCGGATGGTAATCAGACCCTCAAACACCTGGGATGTGCACTCTTGGATGTTGTCGTTGTTCCCGCGCAGTCCGAGCACGTTGTCGCAGTTCGGGCAGCCTTCGCGCATGAATTTCTGGAGTGGAAAAAAAGAGATGGGAAGCGGGTTAGGAGATAGATCTTGCTAACTCAGATACCAGTCCAGTGGGTTTCCAGAGGAATCCAACTCACGTTGTGCAGCTGAACCAGGGAGCAGACCATGCAGGCGCGCAGGGTGCGCTGCTGGCTGGGGGCGACGTAAAAGGACATGGATGGAGGCGCGTAGAGGACAATTGTGAATCCGCGTAAACTGAAAAGCAAGTAGCAAGTGGAGGTTGCAGAAAACAATCGTTCGCTGAGAGATGCGGGAGTGGTGAGGTTCTGCTTCTTTCGATGCTTTTCTCGAACCCCCCGTTGGCGGCAAAATGCCAAGACTGGAGGAATTGTCCAGAGAAACCAAGAATTAATTTAATATCTTGACTTGAAGAACCAACTACTGCTTAACACCCGAACAACTACTCTTTTTATACATCTCTTTCTCCCGGTCTTTCATTCTGATTCTAGCTGCTTCTCTCGAGTCGTCCTCCCCTCTTCGCTCTCGTGCCCTCCTACCCAAAGCCCCTCCACCATGGCATCCCCGGATCTCGAGGCAGCCAACGCGCTGAAGGTGCAGGGGAATAAAGCATTCGCCCAGCATGAATGGCCCACGGCTATTGATTTCTACACAAAGGCAATTGAGAAATACGACCAGGAGCCTTCTTTCTTCAGCAACCGCGCTCAGGTACGTCGACCTGCATTGGAGGAGTCGGGGAGGAGCCCAATGAGCTAATAATACCTTGGTAAATACAGGCACACATCAAACTCGAGGCATATGGCTTTGCGATCGCGGATGCTACGAAAGCGCTAGAACTTGATCCGGGCTACATCAAGGTTTGTCGGCTTCACTGGAGGGGTGGCAGCAGGAGCAGCGTGTGCAATCTAACGCCGATCTAGGCATACTGGAGGCGAGCCCTCGCAAACTCCGCGATCCTCCACTACCGCGAAGCCGTTAAGGATTTCAAGGCCGTCGTGAAGCGCGAACCCGCCAACCGTGATGCGAAGCTCAAGTTGGCCGAATGCGAAAAGCTAGTAAGACGGCTGGAGTTTGAGAAGGCCATTGAGGTTTCGGAACCCCCATCTGCGTTCGAAAGTTTGGATATCGATGCGATTCCCGTCGATGCCGCTTACGATGGCGTGCGACTGGAGAATGAGATGACCCAGGAGTTTATCGACGATATGATTGAACGATTCAAGAACGGCAAGAAGATTCACCGGAAATACGCCTTCCAGATTGTCAAGGCCGTCAAGGATCTGGTCTATGCAGAGCCAACGATGGTGGAGATTGGAGTGGATCAGGGTACTCGGTTGACTGTTTGTGGTGATACTCATGGTAGGCGTTTCCCCTGTCTTCACATTTACCCGACCCGGGCCTGAGCTAATGGCACGACAAGGACAATTCTTCGATCTGCTGGAAATCTTCCGACTGAACGGCTTCCCGACGGAGAAACACGCTTACCTCTTTAACGGTGACTTTGTGGATCGTGGCTCGTGGTCTACTGAAATCGCGCTGCTTCTCTACGCGTACAAGTGGCTGCGGCCGAACGGCCTCTTCCTGAACCGGGGAAATCACGAAACGGATGACATGAACAAGGTTTACGGATTCGAGGGGGAGTGCAAGGCCAAGTACAACGAAACAATGTTCAAGGTCTTCTCCGAGTCGTTCTCCGCCTTACCACTGGCTACCTTGATTGGCAGCAAGTATCTTGTTCTGCATGGTGGTCTGTTCTCTGACGACAAGACGTCGCTGGATGATATTCGAAAGTTGAACCGCCACAACCAGCGACAACCCGGGCAGGCAGGATTGATGATGGAGATGCTCTGGACGGATCCTCAGACGCAACCCGGTCGTGGACCTAGCAAGCGGGGCGTGGGTATTCAATTCGGTCCAGATGTCACCAAACGCTTCTGCGAGAATAACGGATTGGAGGCAATTATCCGCTCGCACGAGGTGCGCATGGGGGGCTATGAGGTCGAGCATGATGGACGGTGCATTACCGTGTTCTCGGCTCCCAGGTACTGCGATGCAACGGAGAACAAGGGTGCTTTCATCAACATTGGACCCGAGCTCAAGCTGCAATACCAGGTCTTTGAGGCAGTGCCTCATCCCGACATTAAACCAATGGTAAGAATCCCAATGAACCTGGCGGGTTTGCAATCGATTGCTAAATTCTTTCCCAGGCTTATGCCCAGAATTCCCTCATGTCTATGATGTGAAATCCTTCCGTCTGCTTTTGCGCGATGGGTATGGATGGCATGGCGTTCGTGGATGACAGTTGAGACGATCAGGATTTCGCAACCACAGTTTTATCAGTCCCTTTGTTGGGCGGATCTTTTGGGATACGAATGTACTGTATCTATTACTTATGATTTCACATTTCTTTTTCTTTTTTTTTTTTTTTTTTTTTTTTTTTTTTTGGCATAGCGAAACAATCTACCTGGGTCTCGAGCCCAGCTTTCCCCATATTTTGGGGTCTATTGTGTTTTGAAGCTGATGCGCAAGACTTTTCGCATGCTTGAACTTGGAAAAGAAGTTTCTCTGTTGTTAATTTTAAATCTGGATATCACGAGCCTAGTATTCGAAATCGGATTTGCTGCGAGCAACATGTAGTACTGTAGTTAGTTACCCGCTGAGTTGTTTTTTCCCCGCCAACTTTCGCAACCCCGCGATACTTCTTGACTTCCCCTCTCTCTCTCTCTTACTATCTTCTTCTTCCCTTTTACTTCCTCACCATCCTCTATCCTATCAAGATGGAATTCGATCCGAAAACTCGTAGGTGTCGTCCTTTTGCTACTGATTTTTTTCTTTTCTTTTTTTTGGTTTCTGTTTTTAATTCAAGCCTCGGACTAACCGCCCCGCCTTTCTCCCCCAGCGCAATACCTGACCTCCGATAAGTCGAGCTTTGCCTACAAATCGGTGAACGACCGTTGGCCCGTCATTGTCGTGCGTATGCCTTGCTTGGACCTAATTAAAAGCACTAATTCGGCTTACGAGCTAGACTGGCGCCATTGATGACCTGCACCGCACTGTTGCCGATGTCACCGACGAGGAGAAGCGCAAGGAAGGAAAGTCAATCATCGAGAAACTAGCCGCGCTGAAATACGAGATTCAGCATGATAGGCAATTGACGTCAGTCATTGTTCTTTGTTGGCCTATTGGGCTCGTTTTGGATCTGGAACCCGACTGATTGGTTGTCTTTTAGTCCCCTTGTCGATGACGGGGAGCCTGGAATCGCCGAATACAATCAGGAATTAGAGCAGCGAGGGAACCCCAAGTGGCACCATGTCCCCTGGCTTTTCTCAGAGTGTTATCTATGTGCGTCGAGCCGTGTTTCAGATGGGAATGGGTGCGAATCCTGGTGCTGACATGTCCGGGAATAGACAGACGTATAAGCACCTTGTTTGCCATGTCGAAGTACTGGAAGGGCTACGATGTGTTTTCCCGCCAGAAGATGTCTACCTTTAAATCGTCTCGTCCGGCTGTGCTGGAATTGGCCGCAAGGTACAAGGAGTTGGCTCTGGAGGCGGAGAAGGGGGAGTTGAACGAGGATGCGGAGCGGCTTCTCTTCGCGGAGATGTGTGAGATTTGTCTGTGGGGAAATGCTACGGACTTGTCTCTGTTGACTTCTATTACCTACGAGGATATCCAGAAGCTTCAGGGGTCCCAGGCTCGCAAGGCAGCGGAGAAGAACATCCTCGTCAACGATATGGACGCGGCCTTTGACGTTCTCCGCAAGGCACAAAAGGAAAAGAAGGCCGAGCGCCGAGTAGACATCGTGCTTGACAACGCCGGATTTGAGCTATTTGTGGATCTCATTCTCGCAGGATACCTTTTGTCCGCGGGTATCGCCACCACAGTGGTTCTTCGCCCCAAGCTCATTCCCTGGTTCGTCTCGGATGTCATTCCTCGTGATTTCGTAGACCTCATCCAAGCTCTTGCCGACCCGCAGTCCTTCTACACCGCCGCTGATGAGTCTGGAAGGGAATACACTCCTCTTTTGGACCAGGAAGTCTCCGAGGTGAAGTTCCTTTTCGAGCAATGGAGCCGATTCCACGCGGAGGGCAAGCTGGTTATCCGGCCCCATCCCTTCTGGACCGCCGGTGGCTCATACTGGCGCATGCCTCACGTTGCCCCTGATCTATTTGAAGATCTTAAGGATGCAGAGCTCGTTCTATTCAAGGGTGACCTCAACTACCGAAAGCTGGTTAGCGACGTGAGTCTCTCTCTCTCTCTCTCTCTCTCTCTTGATCCTGCGAAGAATTGATTCCTTGGGAGTTATGAGAAGAATGGTATTCTAATATATACTTTGCAGGCGGACTGGGACCCTACAACACCATTTACTACCGCAATCGGCACTCTAGGTCCCAATTCAGGTATCCGTGTAATGTCTTTCCGTACGTGCAAAGCAGATACTGTGGTGGGCCTCGCACCAGGAGAGGACGAGAAGCTTCGCCAACTCCCTGGGGGTGGTGGATCGACGTCGCGTGAATGGGCTTGGACTGGCAAATGGGCTGTTATTTCGTTCTGTGACGGAAAGGCTTGAGATATTCGAACTTTGTGCGCGATGGGCATATGCCTGGCTATATCAGATAATAGACAACGATAGAGATGGATGGTCAAAGCATCTTTGGGCGACTTGGGTTTTTTTTTTTTTTTTTTTTTTTAATTTTTTGAATCACAACCTTTGACAGACAGATATCATGAGTTCGTTTATAAGTTTGTTCACTTCTATTTTTCCACGTACTTCTAATTCTACAGGTCTAAAGCCCTTGAATAGCTAAACTCATGCATAGCAAAGAGGAAGCACTGCACCACAGACTGACCAGAAAAGAAGACAGCCAGTTTACTCAGGTTATAATTCACGAGTACAGCATATGCAAGTGCTATTATTATCGAAGAAAATACCGAGTCCTCGACAGCTTAAATCTTGCAATTTTTCAATTCTTGCTCGTATTGTCCGCGCTGTCAGGAGTGTGAGGAATGTTCGGGCCATAGGCCGGTGGGGAGTTGAGATGAAGGGTGGAAGATCTTCCTCGCGTAAATGTAGAGGGAGATTGGAAATATTTGTTAAGCCTGTCAAGAAGTGTATGTCATGTTTTATGTATACAGAACCCAGGCTGATACCAATGGGCTTTCTTACTATCATCGGATACGGATGTTTCGTGAAAGGCTACTGCGTCAGTCTCTGTTATTATGCCCTGGCTCTGCGAGAGTAGAATTGACTGATTGAATCTGACCCTGATCTGGTTGCCAAAATGAGTACACATTATGGGAGTAAGCAGCCCTGCATTTCGTCGTTGAAACACCGGCCCTCTTCTGATTAACAGATGAAGTAGATAGGGAAGAGATCATTCATTCATATCACGACCGTGGTCTATAATAATCTCAACGATTGATATCATGGAACTCTTCCGCTTCAGGAATGAACGCATGAAGAGGATCAGCCAAGTCCACCCAGCCCATATAAGGCTCCCCACAAGTAAATCCGATGAATCTTTGAATCCAGACAGGAAGATTCTTGATCTTCTTCGGATCGTGCGAGAGATATTGGTTCTCCTCTTGACGGAGCCAGGACCGTGTTGCTGACGCGCAGGCAACCAGTCGGTACTCATCAGCCGTCGTGTTGCCACCAGCACCATGGTAAGTGGTTCCCAGGGTGAGAAGACAATCACCGGGCTCCAACTGAGGAGCTGGAGGGACTCTGCTCTCCTCAGGGGGTGGAACACTATGATCCCACAGATGGCTGCCCGGGATAACGCGAGTCGCGCCGTTCGCATGCGTGGTCTTGGTCAGTGCGACAAAGAAAACACACGATGCATCTCGCCCTTGTTCATACTCTTGAGCTTGTTTCTGCCAATTATGATGGCTCATGTCATCCTTGTGCAGGCCCTGGACTTTGGCACCTGGCCCAACGCGGAAACATAGCGTGCTATCAAGCTGGGGCTTGCTGTCGCAATAAAATGGCGTGGAGCCGTTCTGATATTCGGGAAAAGGGTTTTAGTATTTGTACACAGGAAATCCCCATCTGCCTTCTGCTTCGTCTATGATCATAACCTACCCAGTAGGGTCCGGTCCTGGAGATCAGAAAATACTCCATCACGTTGTGCCACATTGCATTCCCCAGGACCCGAAGAGCGAATGTTTCCGACTTGCTTGCTAGGCCTGTAGTTATCGACGTTTCCTTTGCCATAGCTGGCTAGAATTAGCGGTGCCGGCATCCACGAAAGTCGATACTCACTCTTGATTTTCCCGTGCTCTTGAAAATAAGGTCGAAGTTCATCTTCAATATTGCTAACCACTTCGCGAGGGAACACCTGGCGCACCACACACGTCCCAGCCTGCTTTAAGCTCTCTATTACATCACCAGCGAGGGCTTCTGCATTCTCATACAACTGAGCATTGAGCTCAGGGAGTGCTGTTATGCGTTGCTGGTCTGCGGGAGTCGGGGCCGCTGGAACTGCGTCGACAGCCATGATGAGTTTTAAGACCCCTCCGTGCTCTATTTTCGATGTGAAAGAGTCTCCATGACCAGCCAGCCCATTACTAGCGACATTGATTAAATATACGGTCAAGCTGACCTGAGCGTCTTACCAGCAAGAATCCAGGGATGAAGTCGCATAATAAAGGAGATTCATACAGCTGTAATTCAACAGGCGAATAGGATTTACGTCTGACGAGAAACATGGACTGTGTACGGGCACTGCGGCAGATTTTTATCTATCTCGTTTATGCAAACCTAAGCATTAATACCATTGCTTCTAACCCTCCAAATCCCATGCGATGCTTGCACAGCGCTCGTCTGCAGAGCCACTGGGCATAGTGCTCGCATATTGTGATTTGAAGCCCTAAGAGCATCGACGTATCGAACGAAAGGGGTAGTTCCAATTAATTTAGCTCTGTACTGCTCACAACTCACAGGGGACACATTGATGCCGGAACGGTGAGAGAGTATTCAACAATCAGCTGAATACTGGAAGCTAATAGATGCAGATTGGTGCTTACTGAAGAATGTAGGAGACTGACACCTATAGGGGAGAGATACGTCAAGTATGCTGTATCCCCCGCCCCCCCCCCCCTTACTTTGGATATATGTGTGTGTAGGTATGCTCTCGATATAAGAGACATGCATGACAGCACACATATATTCGTCCTATGAGGCATATAGGTGCATTGAAACTATTGAACACAAACCTACTCATCGTCAACGTCAGCTGCTGCAGCCATCTGCATCCAATGTTTTCACCGCAAGAACCATTTCCACTTATCCCTTTGGGCCATTTCCCCAATAGCTAGGGTATTCCTGGATTAGACACAAGATCCATGAAGGTGCTAAGCTAAGTATTTCGCTAGGTAAAACAGATATAGTTAGTTTTCTACTCGTACTTCTCTATACTTCTATATCGTCCAGGGACGTTTTCTTTCTGGCTGTTCGAAGGACCACACCACAAACATCACAATGACGGTCCCTGCTTCCACTCCCACGACTGCAGAATCGTCCCAGAAAATAGACCATGCCGTCGATGCTTTCAACCCCAAGAGATACTTTTGGTTTAAGAATGGGCACGAGCAGGAGTGGTGGCAGAGAACCGCACCCCTTCTCGCTCGAGTGTTCCAATCTGCCCAGTATGACCTGCAACAGCAATATCTTTACATGAGTCTCTATAAAACTTTCGTCGTCCCGTTCTTAGGCCCTTACCCGAATCAATGGGACTCATTTATCACATACTGTGGGGTGCCTGTCGAGTTCAGCATCAACTACTCGGACAATAGCCCCCCCGCCTGTCGGATTGGGTGGGAGCCTGTCAGCGATGTTTCGGGCACATCGATGGATCCGCTGAACATAGACACGGTGTCCAAGGCGATGGATGTTATGTCTCAGTTGCATCTCAAGGACTTTGATACTCGTCTTTTCACCCACTTTGTCAACACGTTGACGTTGAGCTCCGAGGAAGCTGCCGCCGTCAATATCGCCGAGCTGCCCATCTCGCGATTTAAAAATCTGGTCTCGTTTGGCTTGGATCTGAAAGGAGGAGAGGTAACCGTTAAATGCTATATCTACCCTGCGCTCAGGGGATATACGACAGGAAAGTCGTTCCGAGAGCTACTCGACCATGCCATCCAGAGCGGCGGAGATGTTATGAACTGCTCCCAAGCATTGAACAGTGTGCATGAATACCTGGAAGGCGCTGGGATGTACAACCACTACTCCTTCATTGGGTTTGACTTTACTGCGCCATCCAAATCCCGCCTGAAGGTGTACAACACCATTCAGGACATTACCTGGGCCAAGATGGAAGATATCTGGACGCTGGGTGGGAAATTCGCCCACGACCGCACGATCCAGCGAGGTCTGGGCTTTGCAAAGGAGCTCTGGCAGCTGCTGACTCAAGATACCGTAGGACACCACATCCGACGAACAGGCACACGAGGTTTTATTGACGTTATCTCCCTAGGATAAAATGGCCGTTGGCATCTGGAACTACGAGCTGGCCCCCGGAGGCACGGTGGTACCCAACCCTAAATGGTATTTTATCCTGCACGGCCAAAATGATATGGAAAACCTGGAGGCCATTGTGACGTTCTACAAATACCTGGGGTGGAATAACTTGGCTGAGACCTTTATCCCAACGGTTCAGCAATACTTGTATGTTATATTTCCCATCCCACCCACCTGAATTGGGACGTCCATTGCTAATCGAAGGGCCTCTCCAGTCCCCATGCTAATGTCGCGGAGACGACAACCCTGGTGCAGTACGTCTCGCTTGCGTACTCGGAGAAAACGGGCGTCTATTTCAGCGTCTATTACCATTCTTCCATTGATCCTGCATAGGAACCCTTTGTAATTTCGCAGGTAGACGAGGCTTCAACTTGGTTCGGCCGGCAGTGGCATGCGCTGCTCGGCTCTTGGATCTCCAACTATAGTTCTAAGTGTTCCGTGTATTGTAGCTATTGCATTACTTGTACCATTCTACTCGCCGTGGCTATAGTTGACTGGAGGGAAAAGTTGCGCTGATTCAAACGCATTGCGAAACCTCGCACAGTCATCGGCAGCTGCCTAGGTAGGATATGGAACTGCAGCGTAGATTCTCTAAAGAATTCCTGAATAATTGGGGAAGTATAGCGACATAAAAGGATAACTCAAATGCAGGCCAATATAATGACCTATACAGGGCTATAGTGACGCATGCAATTAAACCACCGCCCCGATTCTGTCTGCATACCACACACACCCCCTTTTCGCATTGCTATCGAGCCAGAAAAAAAGAAAAAAAAAAAAAAAAAAATCGATTCTCACAGTCCGAGGATAGCATCCAGATCTACCTCTGCTTCTCGCTTGCGAATGAGAATCTGCGCCGTTGGGTTGGCAATCAAGCTAAAGCCAGATGTGTAGACGGGCGGCCGGCCTTCACCCGGAGGCAGTTTAAAATCAAACTTGAGCAACAGATGGCACATGAAGATTTTAATTTGATCGGATGCAAAGAATCGGCCTGGGCAGGCGTACTGTCCGTACCCGAAGCCCATGACCTTCGGGCCCGTCGACACAAACTGCGTCCATGTTTCGTCGCCAGTGGACTCTCTCAGGTTATAATACCGATAGCCATCGAACTCGGCCCCCATGGGCGAACCGGCCCTACGCATTTCATAGTTGGAAATGCCGACATAGGAGCCCCTGGGAAGGACAATCCCCTCTGGCAGCGTGACTTCACGCTGCGCCGTTCTGGTTACCATGACTTTGGTCGCGACAGTTAGCTGGGGAAAAAAAAAACAAAAAAAAAAAAAATTCCGCATTCTTACCGGAGGCTAAAGGCTTGAGCCGCTGGCTTTCCTTCATCACGCTGTCGAGGAGCTTTAGCTTGTACAGGAGCGCCTTGCGCGAGGTCTTTCGAGACCCGCTGTCTTCGCTCATCGCGGCGGCAACTTCTTCCTCCTCGTGCCGCAGCACGGCGATGATCTCCTGGCGCAGGTCCCGGACCAACTTCTCTTGCCCGCAGATGTCGAACAGCAGCTGGGTCACCATGTCGGCCCCGGTGTTGACCGAGCCCAGGGACAGACCCAGCTGCGCCACGGCAGGGTCGTACGGCACCCCGAGGGCCGAAGCAGTTTCGTCGATCCAGTCCAGCCCGCATGTCTCAGTCGTCGTCTCCGGGGCGGCTCGCCGCTCCTCGACCACGGGGTTGATGATGTCGCGCGCGCCTTGGATGAGCTTCCTGGCCTTGTGCACCGAAGGCAGAAAGTTTGCCACGAGCGGACGGAAGGGAACTGGCCAGCGACGCAAGGACCCAACAGCCACGTACGAGTCGACCATGTAATCCTGCAGCAGTTGGATCCATTCGGGGGTTTGGTACAGGTCCTCGCCCAGGAAGACCCGGGACGACACCTTGGTGAAGATTGCAAGGATGCTATCGGAAAGGGTAATCTTGGACCAGTCTGGGGGGTTGGCTCGGTTAGCCAGTCACTCTTCTTCAACCCCCTTGGATGAAACAATAATAATGCAAGCAAGATATCTTTAGTCCTACCGGAACAATCTGCCCAGTGCTCTCGAAGGGTTGCTGCCGTAACCGCCGACAACGGATCGACCAAGCTTTCTGCAATTTAGCCCGGTCAGAGAGAAATGTTCCAACAGCTCAAAGGCGCAAGCTCGTTCTGCATACCAAGTTTACGTGTGAGCTTCTTGTTGACCGTTTCATGCACCACATGGTTGGGTTGAAAGGCTTCCAGCCCGCCGATATGCCAATGGAATAACTAAGCATCGTGTTAATTGCGAGTTGATTGATTGATTGATTGATTGATTGATTGATTGATGCTGCTTCTCCAGGCAGAAGGGTCTTACATCTCTGGCAAACAAGGAGAAACTCAAGCCGGTCGTATCCCGGATAGACGTCGCATATCTCATCGGTAATATAAGCATTGTCCCATTGTCTGTTCCCAGATAGAACCCATTTTCCGACTAGATTGAGGTTAATAGCTGCAAGACAATGGGCGAGGGCTTTTTACCTTCTCGAATCCCTCTTTCAGGAGACTCTCAGAATCCGAGAGGAACCGATTTATCGCATCAGTGGCCCAAATTTCGCCTGGTCTTTTGCCGTTGATCAAGGGAAGCTTTGCCCGGCGAGTGATAGGAAACGCGAGGTATAACACGAGAGTACTGAGCAGGATTCCAACTAGAGGAGCCAGGTCCGTTGGACGGAGAATACGAAAGTAATCCAGTAACATGGCTGACGCTTTTTACCAGTGAAGATGAAGAAATCGGACGCCTTTTTTTGTTTTTTTTTTTTTTTTTTTTTGTTTTTTAAACATACTCTCTCGGGTACGGTACTCGAATGGGCCCGGTACTTCTTGTCAATGATAAAAATAAACTGCCAAATAATAATAATACTAATCATGCATAGTGGGTAAGGTGAGATTATAGCTCATGCATGGATTACTTTGCTTGATATTGGACAAGCAAGGGGGCATTATACATGTCCTGGGATGTACATATGCAGAGGTAAATAGGCAGTGACAGAGACAGACTGAATTGCAAGGACTGCCAGTTTCCACTGAGATACGTTCCCTTGCACCAAAAAAGCATGCATCTATCAACACGTCTCGCGAAGATAGGGGGTGTCCGCAATGTAGCGTCGAGTTATTGCAACTATCGCCTATTTGTATGTACCGTAACGGCCCTAGAGTCGTGCACCAGCAACCCTTGCAGCTTGTTGGCATTTCCCACCTGGATCTTTATACTTGGTTCAGTCAGACGTAGTAGTCCGGGCATTGATTCACAGAGAATCAGGGTGTAGGCTACTCTAATAAAGCGGGAAGTTACAAGCAATACATCCGGCATCTCTCGAGCCCGTGTTGCTATGGTGAACACTATACTGGAGGAATAGATAGGTACATATATACCCTGACTTGAGACCTTGAGAGTGATCAGTATCGCTCTCCGTAGCCAATTCAAATCAACACTACCACGATGTGGAACTGGTTTTCAAGAACGAAGCAAGTTCCCCCCAAGACCGAGGCCGAGACGGTCATCCCATTACACAGCTGGGATATCGGCGATCACAACCAGGTGTACTCCCAGGTCCTGACATTCCAGTTTGATGCAGTGTTGGACCAACAAGTGCTTGAAGATGCCTTTCAAAGGCTACTGCAGACTGGAGGCTGGAGGAAATTGGGAGCGCGGCTTCGAAAAAACGTTGGTTAACCCTTCCCCCCTAAGCAGCCGCGACAGCTATTCATATAGACAATCTACAAGCAGCAGGACTCGGGCCAGCTTGAATACCATATCCCCAGTGGTTTCAGCGAGGAGAGACCTGGTGTTCTCTTCACCAGCACCAAGCATGATACGAAACTTCAAAATCACCCAGTGTTCCGCCATTTGCCGCAGGGAACACGTAAACCAAGCATTTTACCAGAGTCTACGATGGACTTACTCCCATTCGTCACATATCCAGGCTCTCCCAGGACAATAGACGACTGGCTAGGCGCAGACATACCCCAGCTGGCCATCCACACGGTGACATTCGAGAATGCCACGCTCCTCACCATGACCTATCCCTGCACACTCACAGACGCTACTGGAACGGCTGCAATTCTCCAGGCGTGGGCTGCAACCATGCGCGGCAAGACGGCAGAGGTGGTCCCGGAGTTCGCAGGGTTTCGCGAGGACCCGCTAGAGCGTGTAGGTGAAACAGGAAACCCGGACCAGTTTGTCCTTTTCAAAGACATCCTGTCAACATGGGGAACTGTGGTTTTTGTTGTTCGGGACCTGTGGGACCAGTTCTGGTACCCTGACTATGAAAAACGCCTTCTCTGCGTCCCTGGAGAGTTCTTGACCCAGATGAGGACGGACCTCATGCAGGAGCTAGGCGACGATCTGCCCGACGGGAAGGATCCATTTATTAGCGAAGGTGATGTCTTGGTCGCCTGGTGGACAAGGATGGCCGCTGAAGCCCACGGAACGGCGCCCGATCGTCTACTGGCGTTGCTAAACATCATGGGCGTACGGTCGCTTTACCTTCCAGCCCGTGACGGCATATACATTGGCAATGCCGGGTTACCGTGTTATACCTTGCTTCCTGCGGGAGAAGCCTGTACAATGAAACTCAGTGCACTCGCATGGCGACTTCGCCAGTGTCTCACCGTGCAGCGAGAGAGAGAGCAGATTGAAGCTCATGCCTCCTTGATGAAGAGGGATGGCCATTTCCCTCTTATTGGAGATCCAACAATGGAGCTGTTTACCTTTTCGAACTGGCATAAGGGAAAGTTCTTCAACATCGACTTCTCTGCAGCACGTATGGAAAGAGACGGTGACCTTTCACCTGCCTGCAGCCCAACTTGCATCGTTCAAAATGTTCATGTCCGCGGTGATAAGCCCTTACGGTTTACGGGAGCAGTCATTGTCGGAAAAGATCCACTGGGGAATTGGTGGGTTGATACGTGTATGCGAAAGCAGGCCATGCAGATGTTGCAAAGACAACTGGACGTAAATATTGAGGACGATCCCGCATAAACTATGACATACCTTCCCCCCCCCCCCCCCCCCGCCTCTCTTGTACATGCTTGGATGTAAGGGTTATCGTGCACTTGGCCCTATCCTTGCATTTATGACTTGACACCATATTCATGTGAAACCGCACCGCCAAATACTACAGGCCGGGAGGGTGCTTACTCGTGGCGGAGAGTATAAGGAAATAGCTTCGATCAATAATATACCTGAATTTATATACCAACTAAAGGAAATTATCCTTTCGCTTCGTCTTCTTGCCACGAACAAAGTTCGTTGTACCCAACATGGCTATCCACAACAAAGTCATTAGTGTCATTGGTGCCACTGGCAAGTGCTTCACAGAGTTCACTCCCCTGATGTATGATTCGGTTGGCTAATTTCCTACCAGGCGCGCAGGGAGGCTCAGTGGTTCGGTCCCTGATCCAGAATCCCCAGTTTGAGGTCAGATGTATTACTCGCAACAAGTCATCTCCACAGGCAAAGGAGCTGGCACTGTTAGGGGCATCCGTCGTGCAGGCCGATACTACGAACACCGCAGTATTGGAGCAGGCCTTGAGTGGGAGTTGGGGTCTGTTTATGAACGTTTTGACAGAGGTAGCTCAGCTCGCTCGTCTGCCCATCGGGGTGAAGATTGTCAGGAGTTATCTGATATTCTAGTCAGGAGACGACTCTTGATGTCGGAACTCAACAAGGAATCGGTATGCTCGCAAGTGCAGCCGCAGCTGGCGTTAAACATGTCGTCTACAGCTCTGCGCCTCATTCGGAACGCCTGACAAGTGGAACATGTCTTGCAAAACACCTCGACGGTAAGAGGAATCTCCATCTGGCACTGATATTCGTTTTCTTGTCCCTCTCCTCCATTTTCCCACGGGATCTAATCGCCGCATAGTCAAGGCGCGAATCGAGTGTTGGGGCCGTGCAAATCCATCCTTTGAAACTTTTACTCCGGTCATGATTTCGTGGTATATGGATAACTTTTGCAATCCCGACTTTGGCATGTTCTTTGGCGGGTTCCCCTTCAAGAAGGATGAGGACGGTGTTCTAACATGTCGGATGCCACTGTCCGGTGGAGATGAAACTCTCCCATGGCTGCATGTCGAGAACGACTTTGGAGATATTGTGCACGGCATCTTTCTCAACCCACAGCGATGGAACCAGCGTGTCATCCAGTGCACTGGAGATCTCTTGTCATGGGAAGGTATTGTCAGTGCATTTACCAAAGGTAGGGAGGGCTCTTCGATCTCCGATCATAGTTATATAACAGCACGGTCACTAATCAACTATTGATTTTCTAGGCACCGGTCAAAAGGCCCGATTCCAGCCTTACATGCTCGTTTCTGATATGCCAACCCACGGCTGGGAGGGGATCCGAGAGCTGTTTGTATACTCCCAACTTCGTGACGGCGAGTACTTTGGAAACGCACCGAATGAAGTGAGCACGGCACAGTACCTGAAAACCGCCGCATTCAAGGCCAAAGGGGGAAAGGGCCGGGAGAGTCTGACCACTGTCAAGGAATTTTTCGAACAAAAAGAGGTCCTGCGTGTAGTACTGGAGAATCAGTGGTAGAAAAGATACATAAATGTCAAGAACCCGCCGGTTAGGCTCACAGACAACCACCAGTTGTGTGCTATAATATTATGGAATTCCTGTAGGATCTCGCTTGTGGAGGTAATTCCTGTGCCCTGATGTTATACCCAGATAGTCGATTCCTACACTTTTGGTAACAGTGCCAATGGGCCACTCTCGAGAGAAAACTGAAGCAATGAAGTGCACCAGGGGTATACTCGCGCTATGCACCTCCCGGTTCAAAGGTCGGTAAAGATTACAACGATAGCAGCCGCGAGAATCACTATTTCCCGTTCAGCCTGCAACCGCCGCCAGAATTCAAAATTGCCAACGGGCCTAGGTACAGAAAGCTGCTGCTTGGACCTGTCCCTAGGGTGGATCAACCTAGCAGGTACGTGTATACATGCAAGGGAGAAGTCCTTGTGTCCATCTGCCCTCGGGTCGTCATATTTGATGCATCAATGAGTGCTTTACTTTCACGCCTTACTTGGTATCCGAGAAAGTGATTTCAAGAAACAAAGCACCAGCCAACCCCAAAACAGTATATCTGCCTCCCTCTGTGCTGTGGCCAACTCAAGGGGGCTATTCTTGCACAATTCTCGACCCCTCCTTGCTCCCAGTCAGGCGAGGTGGCATCCTCATGTGCTGTTCGGAGCTCCCAGGTTATTAGCCGGGTGATATGATAGATAGGCACAGGACTGTAGACAGCAGCCTGCGTACCACGCCATGCAGTGCTACAAGGGAAACCGAGGGAAACCTGGCCCAAGGTCTAGAACGATTCAGATGGAGTGAATCTCATACGAAGCCCGCGAATTTACTTAAACCAACCTGTTGGACATCCGGACTGGAACACCTCCCCACGACTCCTTAGACGATAGTGTTGATTGACAAAAAAAAAAAAGAAAGATCAAGCCCGTTATCAATAGCCCACAATGACTTTTACCAAGACAGAGGCCGTTCCAGCGCCCACCAAGAAAAGCCCGCCGACTGAGCTCCCCGAGGTTGACGCCCGATCACAGTGTGGACAGGACGCCCTCGTGGATCAAATTATCGAAGCTATATCGGATGCCGGTGTATGTATCGTCAGGAATATATTCAGTCCGGAAATCGTTTCACAGATTCTTGAAGACCTAGAGCCATATGTGGCAAAGACCACTCAGTTTGACTGTAAGCCGCCTGGGGACGAGGGCGTACTTCCTCCTATACTGCTGTCTGGCACGAGATTGACCACCCTGTTCCTCGCGTTTAGCGTACAATGCGAATGGCTGCCAAATGACCGGGCTCCTGACGAAATCGGAGACGTATGCCCATAAAGTGGTGGGAAATTATCTCTTCCAAAAGGTCCACAACTATTTTATAACCGCCCGTTATCGCTGCTGGGTAAGATATTAAAGACTTAAACCTCTCTCCTCCAGTGTTGCACAGGATATTAAACCGCCCGCTCTGCACGACATCTAGGTCCAAGAAGGTGTTCAGATGACATTTGAAAGTCCTCCCCAACTCAACTCCACCGTCTGCTTTTACTTGAACCCGGACTCGCCAGACCAGCTTCTACACCGAGACGACCAAATCCACCAGCACTGGAACGGAGCCGCAAGCGAGTACGTTCTGGGCCGAGATGCTGTCTGCTCCATGTTTGCGGCTCTTACTCCAGCCACGCGAGACAACGGAACGACGCGTTTTATCCCCGGTAGCCACCTGTGGGATTACAAGGAGCCCTATCCCGTCGGCCAGGACCCCAGACTCCGCTACGCCGAACTTAATCCCGGCGACTGCTTCATGATGCTGGGCAGCGTGGTCCATGCGAGCAGTGCCAATACCACCACCGATCAGAGACGGGTTCTGATCTCGACCCATGTGTCCAGAAGCAACCTGCGCGCAGAAGAGAATCACTTTCTCACGTATAGCTTGGAGGAGGTCAAGAAGTTCCCGCTTTGGCTGCAGCAGTTTATTGGATACACGGTGTCCAAGCCGTTCTGTGGCTGGGTGGATAAGAAAGATCCTCTACGCCTTGTCAACCCCAAGGCTTCGGACGCCCTTGTTTCCGGCTACGGTAAGGAATACCTGGAGGCAAAGGGTGCTCTTTGATTATCATCATGCTCTTCCTTCTTCATCATTGTCATCTGTGGAAACCTCCATATCCGCTCGCAAAGAACGAACTTGGCTTGTGACACAACCAACCGGGAGAAAGGCTTGAGATTAGCTGTAATTAGCGCCTGCCTGCCTCGCAGCAAAAGCTACGCATCTTATTACGTCTTATTAGACATTACTATTTCTCGTTGCTAGTCAGCCAAGTGGGTGCAATACAAATTGATGTCGTGAATTTTTGGGCACCGTCGGTCTACGAGACAGCGCATATTTAGTAGTAACGATGATCAAGCCTGCTCGAAATACGTAAACTGACGATACGAAACGCTACTGTATCGTGGTCGTCTCTAGAACGCACTTAATGACGGCTCATATGCTAGGCTGATGGACTATCTCCCTTGTCTTCTTCTGTCCACCGCTAGTTGGTGGGTTAAGGATCAGAGGAGGTTGTTACTGTATGAAAACTGCCAGTCCAAGGAACAATGGAGCCAGTGCATGTGAATACAGTTCGACAGTGATGTGCTTTATAGACCGCAGGCTAGCTGTAAGCTACTCCATGCATAAATTGACGTATATGTATAGGGCAGGTCGTGTTCGGTTACACAGCCTTACTCTGGGTAGCGGTATATCTGCAATTATACGGGACTGCAGTATGCATCTCTGTATAATACGTTACTACTATTTTAAAAGCAGAAGCTGATGCTGAATATGATATGTTTCATTCACATTGAGGAAATTTACAGCAGGGCTTATTTAAATGTAAGTAGCGCAGTTAGGGCTCAATATGGCTCACTCACACTGTATTGGACCAAGCTAGCTATGTTTTTATGCTCCGGCCAAAAAAAAAAAAGAAAAGAAAGTAAAGTAAGTGGCTGCCTAAATATTTCTTAACAGGAGCATGAGCGTGAGGATTTATATGCCTTTGAATAAATCATTTCTCTGGTGAGCATGCTATAGTTTACACTCTATATACACCTCAATAGAGACAAGAACAAGCGGTGATTCGTAGCCCCTGACCACCAGGTTATCTCATGCGGATGGATCTCCATTGATAATAGTGTATATCCATGACGCTGCGTGCTCCATGGCAGATTTCACGGCCGCATGTGGAGTATCAATACGGCACAACCCCTCGTCATCCCACCGCTCACTGCCCACTCCGATTCGGGTGAGGAAAAGGTCCTGGGGGTCCCACCGGCGTTTCACCTCTAGTAAGCCCTCATAGTTGGATCCCCAGAAAGTCCGGGAAGGGTGCTGTTCATAAGGGAATGGAACCCCCAGGTATCCGCCCCGTTGGCCGCCCTCAATCGATTCAAGTAGTGGAAGCTGAGTATGTTTCAACTCGTTTTCAACCTTTTGGTACACCTTCCAGTCGGGCTGCTCAGGCAGGGTGCGCCCCAGATTCAGGGAAAACAGGGTCGAGCGCCAATCGGGGTGGACTGCACTACTGTTGATTTGGGTTGGATTCGCGGTAACTTGGCCCCCTGCCATTCCGTCGAAGCTGAGCACATCTCCGGGTCCGTATTGCAGCTGCGATAGTGTGCGAATCATGTTGGCAGGGCCAGAAGCCGAGGCCATGAAGGGTTGTGACACGAAACGGGAGGCTGTGAGCACGACACCAGCCTGGTCCAACCCTTTGGGGATGGCGAGGTATGTGGAGATTCGATCGAAGTGTTCGTCCGATGATTGTACCTGCAGCCCTAGGTCCTCTAACTGGTCCTGGAATTCCTGGATGGCGGGGTTTCTCTGCGGATCGGTCTGATTGACGGCGTAGATTTCCACGCTCAACAATGCTCCCCCAGGAGGAAAGATAGGCATCACGTATGTTTGGACGGAAATTCCTTGGTGGATCAGCGCTGGCAGTGTGCGAAGATGCGCTTCGACTGCCTTCCAGAAAGCCGTCCCAGGCCCGCGCGGATCGACCGCAGTCAGTTTCGTCACGGTGGCAGGCATATCGGGGAACCTGCGGAAGGTGACGCTGGTTACGATGCCGAATGTTCCTCCTCCTCCACCTCGAACGGCCCAGAAGAGATCTTGGTTGTGGTGTTCATTTGCGACAATGTAGGCCCCCTTGCACATTACGGACTTGGGTTAGATGTCTCCTTATCAAGATCATTCATCATTTACTCACCTCGGCGGTGATCATGCTGAATTCCAGCACATTGTCAACCCCCAGCCCTTTGGACGGACTGAGAATTCCGTACCCTCCACCTTGCATCCAGCCACCCGAAATACCTACTGTACTGCAACTCCCTCCCACCACGGTATAACCCTCCTTAGAGGCGTCCGCATACAGTTCGCCCGTGAGGACCCCTGCTCCGACCGTGACAGCGGGACCATAAGAATCTACCTCTTGACCCCATGGAACTGCGGGTCGAAACGAGTCGATGGCTTGAATTCCTTTCAGTCCCGCTGTATGGATCTGTAGGGACCCCGGAGAGGTTGAACGACCCGCAAGGTCATGGCCGGTATTGCGGACGGTAAGGCGCAGCCGATGGGCGGCGGCGAATCTCACCACTTCCTGTACTTGTGGAACAGTTTGAACAGAGGCCGAGTAGAGGGCGACTCGACCTTGGGCACACTGAGCAGGGTGGCCCTCTTTACCTACATGGCAACTCTCTTTGCCTTCGCGCGAGTACTCCCAGTTCATAAGTTGCAGGGATGCTATAATGGACCAAAGACACGCAACGCAGCATTAGCATTGTATCCGGACGATCCATTTCGTCCTATGTCAGGAATTGCACACCTGGATTCAATACTCTCCAAGTGCCATTGTGGGAATTTTTGATATATTCTTCGCAGGCCTCAGCAGAGTGACTGTCGCCGAAACAAACATGGCCGGCTGGACGCAAGGCAATGAGGTTACCTTGAATCGTCTGATTCAAATCTTGCCAGCTCTCCCACGACGGCCAACATCGATCTTGAGGGCGACAGCGGCACTGGACGTCAGTGGAGAAGATCGAAGATAGTCTCAGCACATATGCTGAGACAAGAACGAGCGTCGCCAACCGGAAGAACATCCTTGATGTTACTACGGGACAAGTTACGACGCGAAAACAATCAACGCAAAGAATATGATCAATGTCTTGAAAACGGAAGCCTCTGCGAATGGAGGCAGATTCACCTGGAGTAACTCCATTCAAAAAAAAAAAACCAACAAAACTGCTAAGCAGGACTCGGGGACAGGCCCGGGTTGGGTTCTCGACCAGTAATCGGTGAAGCACAATTTGACCGACAGCAAGGAGTCAAAGCTAAAATTAACAAAAAAAAAAGGAAAAGAAAAGAAAACAAGCTGGAATGCTGTACAGCCTTCGTTCCACTATTACCCCGTAGAAGATGCAAATTCTGTGTAGCTCGACACATCAGCGCCTGGAAGGAGATATAATTGACATGCCTGTATCCAATCATGCATTAACGCAGACTTACACGTCACTTAGTAGTTGCCCCGTGCTGCTGCAATTGTTCCTAGCATGCTGCAAAGCCCGTAAGTGAGGGAGTAGGTTGACCGATGCATGCGTGCATGCATATTATTGTATGAGACAATGCAAGGTAGGTGGTGTAAAGCTGGTCAGGAAATCTTCCATCGCGCAGATGGACAAAGATGACCAGGCTTAGCTGGTTTCTTGACTCGATGCAAGAGGCGAATAGAGGCATGGAGATCGCATTCCCAAGGACCTGGCTGCGCTGGTCAAGCGCAGTGGCATGCCATTCTGTCACTAGTAAGGCGAACCGGTCAAGCTCCTTGCTCTGCTCAACGTACCTGGAAACAAAAGATCGGGGTTGATAGTGGAATGATCCTATCAAAGTCCATGTAATATAGAATAGTGCGACTTTCCGGCCTCTGAATACTGAATTCTCTGTGCATTAGACCTTTTTTCATACCCATTTCCTCTCCTTCAGTCTTTTGACATTTCCCATTCATCCTACATCGAATAGGACGATGGAGAAAGTCAAGATCAAGTCAAGAGATAATCTTGAGCAATCATGGCTTGTTACTTCCTCTCCCAGCCCGTTCTTTACCCGCAACAACAACTGTCGAGACCACGAGACATTGACGACAAACGAATCCGTTTCCATCCCCATCTGCAGGGACAGACACTCGACCCCATGGCAATCGATCCTTTCCGTAAGCTGGGCCATTCTGATGGCCCAGTATGCCGTATCCACGACTGTCACCCTTGATACCCAAATACGTGAGCCGTTGGCCGGAATGAAAGCATGGCGTAGCAGAAGAATCCACACGGATCCGGATTGCAGCATCGAGACTATGCTGGATAGTGTCCTGGAAGAACATACCAAGGTTGACACAAATCAGCCTCCCGATGTCGTGGAGACATCCGGGGCGGCTGAAAATGCTGTTGATCAGAATCCAGCGCCCATACAGCGGGTATCAATGGTCATGCCCTGCGAGCACCATGGTGTGAATGGAATTCAAGTGCATGGCACAGAGACTCGCGTGCTCCCGGAAGATTTCCTTGCGGAAGACGAAGTGCTCCGCGTCGTTGTGGAGCAAGGGGCATCGGGGAGCCGACTCTTCTGTAGAGTTCGCTATTCAACAGCCCTAGGTTCCATGGCCTTAGCAAGTCGGGTGACGCATCAGTTTGCCCATATTGCTCGGGAAATCACCTCCCAACCCATCAATCGCAAGATCAAAGAGCTAGCAATACTCTCAACCCTCGATCGAACAACCATTGCGCAGTGGAATGCTGGATCCTTTGCACCAATATCATCCTGTTTCCACCATCTATTTGCTGCCCAGGCCCAAATACAACCTGATGCCCCCGCAGTTTCTGCCTGGGATGGCGAGTTGAGCTACGGCGAACTCGACGGACTCTCTGAACGACTAGCTGGGAAACTCCTGGATAGTGGGTTGCGCAAAGGAACCATTGTCCCTCTGCTATTTGAAAAGTCCAAATGGATGGTTGTCAGCGTATTGGGGGTTCTGAAAGCCGGGGGCGCTTGCGTGGGCTTATGCACCAGCCATCCAGACTCTTATATCCAAGGCATTATTGCCCAAACGGGCACCAGCCACGTTTTGTCATCTTCTACCCAAACCGGAAGGTTGAAGGGGATGGACCAAGCTGTGTGGGCCGTCCAGGAGATCTTGGAGCAGGAATCCTCGAGCACGAACGATCGACAGGTCAAAGAATTGGTGCAATCCGAGCCCCAAGATCTGGCATTCGTGATCTTCACATCCGGCAGCACTGGGAAACCGAAAGGAGCGCTTCTCACCCATGAATCCATTTCGACATGTGCCCACTATCATGGGTTGATATGCAATGTGAAGCCAGGCTCTCGCATATTGCAGTATTCCTCTTACGCGTTTGATATGAGTACTATTGAGACCTGGTTTGCGCTGGCCCTTGGGGGGTGCTTGTGCGTCCCGTCCGAGTCCCAACGGCTGTGGGATCTTCCTGCCTTCATTCGAGATCACCGTGCCACCTGGGTATTCTTTACTCCTACCACCTTGCGCAGCTACCACCCCGGGGACCTCCCTGGCCTGGAGAACATTGTCCTGGGAGGCGAAAATGTTACGGAGGATTTAGTCCACCAGTGGCAAGGCCACGCGCGCCTGTTCGACTACTGGGGCCCAGCCGAATGCACTGGATCTGCTGCGTGCGAGATCGTGCCGGACACTTGGATCCCGGGCACATTTGGCTGTGGCGCTGGTAGTAGGCTGTGGATCGTGCGCCCTGAGAATCTGAACCAGCTAGCTGCCGTCGGAACAGTGGGCGAGGTCGTGGTAGAGGGCGATATTGTGGCTCAAGGGTACCTGAATGATCCGGTTCGCACGGCAGAGGTGTTCATTGATCCTCCCAAGTGGCGCTCCCAGTTCAAGCAGGAAGTGCAGGGACGACTTTACAAGACGGGGGATTTAGTGCAATATAATCCCGATGGCACCGTTCGATATGTCTCCCGAAAAGATACCGTGGTTAAGATTAATGGGCAGCGTGTTGATTTGGACGCGGTCGAGGTTGCCATCCGCACTCTAATACCAGACCAACAGGCCGCAGTGGATGCTGTAGTCATAAAAGGGCGAAATAGTCGCACCGATTCTGTTTTACTGGCCTTCATCGAGACGCCAGCCGGGGCAGATTGGGTGGAGGACCTGGCGACAGTTCCTGAGGAAATGCGAGATCCAGCGGCTTGCATTGCTGAAGCCACGCGGCTGCGTCATGAACTCTTAAAGTCCCTGCCACGGTTCATGGTGCCTAGCTTCATCATCCCATTAACTCGCATACCGCTCAGTGCCACCGGTAAGGTGGACAAAAAACGCCTCCGCGCTTCTGTGGCCGGTATGAACCATAGTACGCTCATGGCATGGCTTAACAACAAGTCCCCAACTTCTACTCCGACTACTTCAGGATTCGCATCACCAATCGATTGTGAAGCAGCAGAAAAGGAACATCCATTGACCGAAGGAGAACACATTCTTCTGGCGACTGTAGCTCGGGTTCTCGGGGTCGAAGCCTCGACCATCGATATGGACGCCTCGTTTCGCCAATTAGGCGGAGACTCGGTTCATGCTATCCAGATCGCCCGCAGCGTGGCGCAGAGCGGCCAAACGCTTCGAATGGACGACATTCTTACCGGCAAATGGTCCCTAAGGGAGCTGGCGCAGACGGTGAGGAACATTGCGCAAACTACGTCCAAAGTATTAGAACCATTTTCGCTTCTCCATCCGGCTGCAGACATATCCCTCTTGCGTGAAGAGGCAGCCGAGCAATGCCAGATGTCGACAAAGGACATTGAGGATCTATATCCGTGTACGCCCCTGCAGGAAGGTCTCCTCTCCCTTGGCTCCAGGGGGGCCTCGAACGCGTATGTCGACCGATTTATTTTCCATTTGCCCGAAGCCGTGGATTTAGACCGACTGGCCGCTGCTTGGACTGCCGTTATCGACCAGCTCCAGGTTCTTCGGACGCGGATCATTCAGAGCAGCAATAGTCAGTTTCTGCAGGTTGTTGTGCGCCAGCCATCCATCTGGGCTGAGTATACAACGGTTGATGAGTTCATGGAGATAGACGGTAAAAGCGAGATGGGCTTTGGCACTCCGCTAATTCGCTTGAGCCGGATTGCGAGCGAGCCCGTTATGTTGGCTATCACCCTCCACCATGCCATCTACGACGGATGGACTCTTTCTCTGCTCCTCCGGCTCGTTGAACAGACCTACGAGGGTTCGCCGGGGATGCAGCCCCTCGCATTCTCTCGGTTCGTTGAACGTACACTCCAACAATATGATTCCATGGCCATGTCGGATTTCTGGCGTCGTGAGATGGCAGATGTGCAGCCGATTACTTTTCCAGAATACCCGAGCCCTGACTACTATCCTATGGCCACGACCTCTCTGTGTCGTTCGCTCGCAGCCCCTGTGATAACGGCGACCAAGTCTCCCCCCGCCAGTCCCACAACTCAACTGCGGCTAGCTTGGGCTCTGCTGCTATCTTTATACGGCGGCACAGACGATGTTGTGTTTGGGAGTGTAATTGACGGTCGGCGCGGCGATCTGCCTGGCATCGAGGCTGTGGCGGGTCCTACAATTTGCACAGTTCCTGTACGCACCAAGATTCAACGTGATATGACCGTGAGGGAAGCAACCCGCCTGATCGAGGACTCCGTGAGTCGCACGATACCTTATGAACAGTACGGGTTGCAGAACATCGCACGGGCCGGGCCGGATGCTGCAGCCGCATGCCAATTCCGCAGTCTACTTGTCGTTCAGCCGGATGAGGAGATTTTGGACAGCCTAGTCTCGGGCCAAGTTGAGCCCCGGCTAGGTGCAATGCATGGTTTCCCTGGGTATGCGATTACCCTAATCTGCCACCCTAAACCTGACAGGTGGAAGCTGGAGCTTCTCGTGGACGAGAAGGTTGTCTCGTCCAGCCAGGGATCACGCATATTGGAGCAACTGGATCATATTCTGAATGAGCTGGCGCAAGAAGATCTTCAAATCAGCGATATTAATCTCCTATGCCCGGGTGATCAGTCACAGCTGTCTGCGTGGGTGCACGCGGATGTACCAGAGCAGCGTGACTGCTGCATTCATGACCTTTTCAGTCAGTCTGCAACAGACCGACCGCACAAGATCGGTATTGCCGCATGGGATGGAGACCTAACATACTCTCAACTCGACCAGCTCTCCAGCGCCGTAGCTGCTGGGTTGATGTCACAATGCCAGTCCGAGAACGGCACGATAGCGATCCTCCTGCCGCGCTCCCGATGGGTCCCGGTGAGTATGCTGGGAGCCATGAAAACAGGTCGACCGTTCGTGATGTTGGAACGGAATCAACCAGTGGAACATCATCAGCGGGTGTGCAGGAAGGTGAACGCAACTCAGATTGTGGCTTTCGAGACCACTGTAGCGCAAGCTCGGAGCTTAGTCCCCACGGTGTATGTTGTCGGGCCTCATATTGAGGATCCCCAATTCCTACTACCGAACGGAACTGGCAGCTCTCAATGTCAAGCAAAGCCCGTGACGAGTCAAGATACCGCGTATTATGTATTTACCTCGGGCTCAACCGGCGAGCCTAAAGGAGTCATTATCGAGCACGGGCAGTACGCCTCTGCTATAGTGGCACAGCATCGAAGCCTCCATATTACCGCCCACTCTCGAGTCCTCCATCTCTCGTCCTATGCATTCGACTCATTTCCCGTGGAGATTCTCACGACTCTCTGTATGGGAGGCTGTGTTTGTATTCCCTCCGATGAAGAAAGTTACAACGAGATTGCCCGAGCGGTGCGCCGGTTCCAAGCCACATGGCTGGTGACTACTCCATCCATGCTACGGCTGATCGAAGGGGAGGAGGATCTTCCTAGTCTGCGTACCCTGGTTGCGGTGGGCGAGTCGATGCTGCCAGGACAAGGAGAGCACTGGGCATCTCGCGTGCAGCTCCTTTGCGGGTATGGGCCAACCGAGTGCTGCACCGGCGCCTCCGCACAACCTGTCAGTGCGGGCCACATAGACGTCCGTAATATTGGCCCCGGAATGGGCGCAAGACTATGGCTTGTACACCAGGATGACCATCACACGCTGGTTCCCGTCGGGACAATTGGTGAAATCGTAATCCAGGGCCCGATAGTCGGCCGTGGGTACCTGCATGACCCCGAAAAGTCCCAGGATGTGTTCCTAGAAACCGCGGATTGGGTTGCCTCTATGAGTTTTGCTCGGCACCACAGGCTATACAAAACGGGAGATCTTGGCTACTACAATGAAGACGGGACGTGTACGTTCTTGGGTCGCAAGAGTCAACAAGTCAAGTTGCGCGGCCAACGGTTGGATCTCCATTTGCTCGAACATCACCTGCGCCGATTGTTTGGCACTGGCTGCATTGCTATTCCGGCCGTTATTCGTCCCCAGGGTGATCAAGCACACCCAGTGCTCGTGGCCATGATCCATCTTCCCACTGACAATGGAAAATCAAACACCGAGCATACGTTCTGCATGCAGTCTCCCGGATTCATCCAGGCAGCAATAAAAGCGCGTGACGTTCTGCAGCAAGGGTTGCCCTCAGTCATGGTGCCGTCGCTGTTCCTTCAGATATCTCAGGTGCCAATGTTGGCATCCGGCAAGGTCAACCGTTCGGCTCTCCAGCGCGCGGCAGCAGCCATGGCTGTTCAGGATCTCTTTGGCCTCGCCCGATTGGGCGCGAACAGCGTCGAAGAGGTACTGAACCCTGACGAAGATGTTGCCAGGAGTCTCTCTCAATCTTTGGCGAACATGATGCACAAGAATCTGCAGTCTCCCCACGATAACACGACTAATCCGGTATCAACTGGTGAGAGCCGACCCGAGAATGATTGGATTGTCGGCCATAATGTATCCCCAGCACATCTCGGACTGGACTCGATTGATATGGTGTCGTTTGCGCGACTGATTGCGCGCGAGTACCAATTGAAGATCCCAGCCACCGTGCTATTCCAGAGTACATTAACAGTCCGCAAGATTGCAGAGATGATCTCTGCCCGAGAAAACGGCATCGTGTGTGCCCAGCCAGATCACGAATCAGCCCCATGGTGGAAACATTACCAGCAATTGCTGGCTTCCATAGACCTCTTCGAGGGCGGGCCGCCACCAGCCACGCTTTGCAGGGACTCAATAGCAACGCAGCCCCAATATCGCCCTCGTCGCGTTTTCCTCACGGGGGGGACCGGGTTCCTGGGGTCTCGCATTCTCCAGCAGCTTGTAGCCAATCCTGACGTCGAGTCGGTCACGGTCCTTGTGCGTGGCAGCAGCGTTGTCCAAGCGATGGCTCGGATCATCCGCTCTGCACGCCTAGCCCAGTGGTGGCGTGAGGAACATCAACGTGTTGTGCATGTATGGCTGGGTGATCTTTCGCGTCCAAATCTAGGCCTCTCGCCCGAGCGGTGGGCGGTTCTTTGTGGACAAAGTAGCTGCTGCCCCTCCGAGCACTTTGATGCCATCATCCACAACGGAGCGTTGGTGCACTGGGTCTATGACTACGACGCCCTTCAGGCCAGCAACGTCGGGAGTACACTTCAACTCCTCAAGGCGCTCTCAACCACTAAACACCCAATTTCCTTTACCTATGTGTCAGCGCTCCGGCCAGGAGAGGATGGTATTCCTGAGGTGGGCGACGTACGCGAGGCCGTATCTGCGGATGTTGGATACAGTCAGACCAAGCTGGTTTCCGAGCTTCTAATTCAACGATATGAGCAGATGTCTCGGCGGTCAAATGTCTCATTTGCAATCGTCCGGCCTGGATTGATGATGGGTGCTGCTTCCGATGGAGTCGCCAACGTAAACGACGTTATATGGCGCACTGTCTCGGCCGCCGTCAATGTCAACGGCTTCAATACCGAGGAAGAGGACTCGTGGGTTTACATAGCGCCAGTGGACTGGGTCGCCACGGTGGTCGTACATGAAACAATTCACACACCAGAGTTAGGGCACGGGATTAAGGTGACCGCCATCGAGGACGGACTGCATGTGAAGGATTTCTGGAGAGCCATTATCAAGGCCACATCCCAGGCTTTGGTTCCCATGGACGGTACCCAGTGGGTGTCTCGAATCCAAAATCAGATTCAGACCGTTGGACGCCAGCATCCTCTGTGGCCTGTCATTGATTTCTTCCAGGCCACTTCTGGCTGCATTGGGTCTGTCCTTGGAGACCGTACAAAACCCGATTCCGCAAGGGGATCGGCACAGAGCATTCTTTGGATGACAGTCCTGCGGAATGCGCAGTACTTAACCTCCATGGGCTTCTGGGAGACGACCCAAAACCAAGTAGATCATCCACAGAGGACGCATGACTTTGCCTTTCAACGGACTGGCCTTCAGTTGAAGAGCACGGCGTGATCCATTTCATATGATAAAGAAGCAAGCAACCGGGCTTGCATTACTACTGTTTCTCCATTTGAATTCCGATTCTATACTCGCCAGAACGTGAACCTTTCCGCACTATACATTCATCACGGTGGTTTCGGGATTTTGAGGCCTGGTATTTTCATTGAATTTTCATTGGATTTTTCTTTTTTTGGGATGCTTTGCAAGTTACTATAGAAGAGACGAACTCCTTATACCATTGTTTAAGTTGATTTAAACTACCTTACTAGATTGAGGCACTGGCTGGGTCTTAGTCGGAAGCATTACATGTGCAATTCTTGCTATATGGGTGTCTAAACACGGCAAGCCGTTATAATATCAATTTGAACATATTTACCATATCTATTATATATCTCTACGTCCGAAACCGTATAGGGCCGTTTATCCATGCTCATCCATCGAGATACTTCTACTCTTTTATGCCTTCTGGAAGAGAGGATCTACTCAACAGAGTATGTCTAGACTGCAAATTCGACGACGTGTGATAGTAACGTCCATGTGCAAAGAGACCTACTGATATATTTCATTCATAGCTACCCAGGTATAATGCCCCGGTTCCCTTCTCTTTCATGCATCTCCCTCTTGATTCCGCACTGAAATGGCGTTTAGTGAAGCGCCTTCACCATCACCTTTACATGCTCTTTATTCTGACCCGAAAGATTATCGGCCCAAGCCATACTTGCAGAATTGGTCTGAAATAGTTCGAGGTCAAACTGAGAGAAGATGTATGCGATACAGCAGTATAATTGCATGTAAGCAATGCTGTGTAGTTGGGCAAAACAACGCGTTAGACCCTTTTATATTAATCGTCTAGGGCCGAGTGATTTGGTAACTTACTTCATTCCGGGGCACTTGCGAGGCCCTTTGCTAAAGGCCACTACCCATTTCTCGACATCTTTCTCTGATTTCATCCACCGATCTGGGTTGAAGCGATGAGGCTCTGGGAACAACACCTCGTTCATCTCCACCATGGCATTCGCCATTGAGATCGTGACCTGTGATGGCATCAGTTGACGCTATCCAAGGGATGAATGATTCATTGACGCACTCCTCCAGGCACAGAAACTGATCCTATTTGGGCGCCGCCAGGTGGCACTACTCTGGGGATTAGTCCAGGTGTTGGATGAGCCATGCGAAGACTTTCTCGCACCACCGCAGTCTGGCTCGGGAACAACAAAATCAGTACACAGTCTCTGATTAACCATCATTGTGGAATACTCGGCTCACTCACCAAGTAGGGTAAGGCCCGGATGTGATTGATATCGGGTGTTTTGTTTGCGAAAGGGTTCTCTGCGTCCAGTTCCTCGCGCAACCTGCGGAGAACATTCGGGTCATTCAGAATATAGAAACTGGCGCAAGATAGAACATGGCTTGTCGTGCCAACCCCCGCGATTAACAGGTCAAATGGGTCCTTAAGTGGGTTCGGTATATGCTTCACGCGATCGCAGTGATCCATGTCTAAGATCAGGTCAAAATACCCTCTCCTGTCCGGCGTAATGCCCTTCATCTTCTGCGTCTGCGCTTCTTGCGACCAGCCACCACACAGCTACAAGATAGTGGTATAGTTTAGTGTATGAATTTACCCCGGAAACAAAGGTACCACGCACCGTACTAAACTTGCATAGCTCATCAGTGACCCTTTTCCCGACAATTGGAATGGCGCTTAAAATGGTGCTAATTTGAGGCAAAGCCATAGCTTGTCCCCGGTTAGCAACCAAGCATAAAATGACGAAAAAGTATCAGACTCACATAGCCATGTAATTCCTGCTGGGACATCAAGCATCCCCAGTAGTGGATGGCCTCTCTCTCCTTCGCTTAGGAACTCGGGTGAGCGAGCCAACATGGCTTCACAGGCAATATCTCCCTTTCTCATGTTAGCTTCACTTCAGGGTACCCAGTATCTTTAGTCCCCCAAGGCTATTGCGTACAGTTACCGACCGGTAAATATGCTGAAGGTCAACAGGTTTACCTTCCTCCTTAGCCGCGAGGAGGATCCGTGAGACTTTCTCAAGTTCTACCATCATTGTGGGAAGGAGAGCAGTTACAGCGCGCGCTGAGAAGAGGGAACTGAAGTGATGCCGGTACTGGCGAAAGTCGTAGGGGTCCGTAATACTAAGAAACGCCCCAGGGGCGTCCATAAGATCACGGTAGAAGGTGATATCCTTCTGGTATTTGCTTCCGGTACCAAAGACTCTGTCCAAACCGATTCAGTCCATCGATTGGCAACCCGCAATGCCTGCAAATTACAATGGCATAAGAAGAAAGAAAAGAATCTTACATGTGGTAAAAGTCCAGATCGCTCACATGAATATGGTTGGGACCAATCCGGATGACAGCCGACTCTATGTGTACATATTTAGTATACGTCCCCACGACTGAAAGGACATGCCACCAACGGCAGACCTACTGGATTCTCGGTGAAGATCAGGAAACGACTTTATATAGGATCCATTACCAAACACGTTGTACCAGTATCCATACCAATCACTAATAGCGGCCAGCCTAGGACCAGGGATGTGCCGGAGGGGATGAAAATAGAGTCGCTGGATCGCCGTCCATATTCCAGGAGCAATGAAGATACCCAAGAGCAAAGTAACGAAGGTAGGCGAAATGAACCCACCCAGAGCTTCCATGGTAACTTGTGGTACCATTCCAGCTAAGAAGTGAAGTATTCTTTTTCGTTACGCTAGCGTGCTTGCACTGAGATTTGACAGCGACTTGAGTGTTTCATAAACTGCTATACTACGGGCTATAATACTCAATAGCCAGAAAGGTTGCTTCGCTGCATGGCTTTCGATCCCTTGAACCAGTCCCATCCCTTGCTGTAAAGTCCAGCTGGATTTTCTGTTGCTTTGCAGGGCCACGTATGTATTTGGGGGGGGGGGGGGGGGGGGCATGCATTGCCATGTATGCAAGGAGAGCAATGGTATGCGGGCGATGAACAAGTTCTCTGTCAGATCTTTTACACCGACATGGGATATTCTGACATGATCCCCTACCCAACTAGTATATCTGAGAGCTTTGGATCTGGTTTCTATGAGCCCAGTGCCCGTATAGAGGATTCACCCATAGTTTGTCACGTAGGTGTGCCTACCTACTGCATTGAGGATGTTATTTATGTTCATTACGATTGCTATTCTCCTCGGGATTGTCTACAAGTTCCTCGATGACAGGCGAAAGTTACCTCTGCCTCCAGGGCCCAAGCCACTGCCGCTGATTGGCAATATTTACCAGATTCCATCCGAGAATCCATGGCGGAAATACCAGGAATGGAACGCTACGTACGGCCCCATTATCAGCTTCAAGCTAGGCCTTCAGACCGTGATATGCCTCGGGACTCACCAAGTGGCACACGAAATCCTAGCGAAGAAGAGCGAGGTCTACAGTTCTCGACCTCCACTGGTGTTTATGGGCGAGTGCGTGTTCCGCGGTCTGAACACAGCACTCCTGCCATACACCAAGCAATGGCGTCTGCACAGTCGGATTCAGACCAAGTTTCTCAAGCCGGTGTGGGCGGAGCGATATGCGCCACTCTACGATCTGGAAAGCAAACAGCTCCTTCTGGATTTCCTTCACGGGGACCACGACATCCGTGACGTCTTCCTTCGGTTCTCCTACAGCCTCACAGCTACGCTGACCTACAGTAAGCGCATCGAGACAGTCGATGGCAAAATGCTCCGAGTCATTGTTGAGGCCTCCGAGAGTATCGCCCAGATGAGTGCTACCCCCATGGTCAGCCTAGTCCAGCTCTTCCCCATACTGAACCGGCTGCCACGTCCCCTGGCGCCCTGGAAGGCACTAGGCGATGAGATTTATGAAAAGGCAACTGCACTCTATCGCGACTGTTGGACGGAGGGACAGAAATCCCAGTCCTGGAACTGGCTGCGCGGCGCCTTCGATCGCAGCGTAACTGCAGATATAGACACAGAGGAGTTTATCCACATCATCGGATTCATATTCGATGCCGGTGCAGAGCCCATGACAGGAGTGATGGAGATCTTTGTGCTCGCCATGTTGACGTTCCCGGACGTTATGAAGAAAGCCCAGCAAGAAATTGACCAGCGGATGAATGCCACCAACAGATCAAACCAGATGCCTGCAGGCGAAGATCTAGTACATCTCCCCTATACCATGGCGATTTTGGAAGAGACTCTTCGATGGCGATCAATTGCTCCGGGGGGCTTTGCGCACAAGACCACCGCCGATGATGAGTTTGGGGGTTATCGGATCCCCAAGGGGTCCATGGTCATCTTCAACCACTGGGGAATGGATTTGGACCCCGAAGTCTTCCACAATCCTATGGAATTTCGTCCGGAAAGGTGGCTCGAGAACCCAGATCTCCCACTGGCCGTGTTTGGCTTTGCTCGTCGAGCATGTCCTGGTCGGCACGTGGGTAAAGGAGCCATCAAGCTTGCCATATGCCGGATGCTATGGCTGTTTGATATCTTACCACCCAATGTGAATGGAGAAGAGATTAAGCCTGATCCCCTTGACATGGTGCAAGGGTTATTGAGTCCCCCGACCCCCTTCAAAGCGGTCTTTAAGCTTCGGGGTGTCGAACGGGCGGATATCCTGGAGCAAGAATGGAGAACGACAGAGAAAGATCCAGATACTTTGATGAATAGCATTTACGAAAAGGGGGCTTAAGATCCTGTTCGGGTGTCCCTTCGCTGAGTTGTGCTGGGGGATAGTGAGGCTCAAAATATACATATACTTTAGCATACATCTTACTATTCAAATCATAAGTCAAGCCGCCCTTGTCCATGCGTACAACCCAGTCAACAACGCCCTGGTAATTAATTTGACATGTAGTTAGTTCATTAGGAGAATCAATTCGGTACGCAACGCTATCACAACACAGCCATTCACTTTCTACCTCGTTCTCTTCCAGTGTAGTAACAAATAGTCTCTCTCTTAACACTCCTCCTTCTGCAGGACGAAGAACATTTGTAGATGATCCGGACGGCCAATTTCCACTACCTTGATGCCGGATGATGCTTCCACAAGCTGACTTACCTCTTCCTCATTCCATGCTCGCCCCTTCAGCGTGGTTCTGCGGGACTCTATTAGCTGACGCTGACCATCGCCCGTCTCCCGGAAAACCTTCAGTTGAAATGTGGATGTCTGCAATGCACCATCTTCCTTGTGGCTGAGGAACGAATTCTGATACACCAGGCCCGGATAATTTATGCTCTTGTACTCTCGGGGGGCGCCGCTGTGGTCATAGTAGTTCATGTCTTTGCCACTTTTTACCGTATCAGCGTTGGTGATTGATATGCATGCTCGACCAATGTCCGGCCGCAGAGCTTTGCTCAAGCAATCCAGGAACTGGCCGGCCATGGAGTGGTCATGCAGATGGAGGAACCCCCCATCGGCGAAGAGCAACAGATCAACCTGGTTCTCGATTCCACAATCGGCAACCACCTTGTCCAGGTCACCGGCTGCGGCGCATCGCCAGGCCACATTGCCCACGTAGGGCATATCGCGAGTCTGGGCCGCCCTATCGACCATGTCTTGGGAGATATCAAAGCCAATGAACACAGCCGGGGAGAGGTCAATCTGACTCTTGTGGGCTAGTTCGGCTAGACTGTGTAAGGCGCGTCCGGTGCCTGTGCCGACATCGAGCACCACCACACGGTCGGGATTTTCCCCTCTGGCCCGTTTGAGTTCTCGAATTTGGTGCAGTTGCTTCTCGAAAAATGCGATGTCCGTGTAGAACGCAGTTTCATTCGCGCTCAGCAGATCATAATGCTCGGCGAGGTAGGGGGAAGAGTAGAAATCGATATCCGGAAGAGGAGTGATGGAGCCCATGGCGTAGAAAGGGTTGGAACCGGAGACCAGAGGTTGGGATATTGAGGAAGAAACCGATCTCCAGGGTCGATGATTCTTTTGATCCTATTTATAACCACAGGTAGCAACAGACGGCGCAAAACGATGTCCTGGTATTGAGTAAGAGTTTCTTGAAGCAGCATTCCGCCCCCTAGCATGCCCATCGGCAAGGACTGGACTCCGGTTAACGTAACTGCATGATGCAAGTAGGATTTCTGTATTATTGAATTCTCGGTACGGGTGAGTGGTGTGAGCATCTGTCATTCAACCTATACTTATCAGATTCACTCCGAACACGTCAACCTAGTCACCAGCTACGTACCAGCTCTAGCTAAATTCAGTAGCTGAAAGGTGATATCAAATTCCCATATCTATGTTCTGCCTCCATCGCTCATCCAAATGAATGCAGTGTGTGGTCCATTGGGAAGTTCTGGGATTGAATGTACTTCTACAACAGGACCATGGATTCGAAGCTGTGACCCTTTGAATTTGATAAGACTTCTACTCTAAACGCCCTAGAAGCAATCCAAGCAAGGCCAGAAGACGACGTATGTGTATTCCAAGTTCGTGTATTACCTGAGCAGCAGAATCAAACTGCGAACCCAACAGTCTTGATTGGGTCGTTTTGCTCCTACTTCACATCACGGCCCTTCACAGACATCCAACGTGAATCGAAGCTGGGATAATCACATGCGGGATCGGGTTTAGTGGACTCGATATCAAAATTGAGGAGGAAATGGGCCATAATCAATCGAAGCATGTCGGCGGCCAATTGCTTCCCAGGACTGGGGATGAGGTATTAATTTAGAGACAGGACACATCAATTAACATCACTGGTGCACTTACCAGGAGTGTCTTCCGTCACCGAATTGTCGAGACTTAGGGCTTTGTCCAGCAATCTTATACGAGTCCGGACGTCCGGTGGCCTTGCCCAGCTCATGGAACCGAAATCCCTGGAACTCGTGCGGGTTATCATAGTATCTCGAATCCCGTAGAACAGGCGTGTTTGGAGTCAGTACATATGTTCCCTTTGGTATAGTAAGGCCATTCTTAAAGGTGTAATCCCGTATGGCCACGCGATGCAACGAGGCTGCGCCGTGCGATGTCAGAGTCAAAAACGTCCGAGGGGATCATGATATCTACGGGCTGGAAATTCTCACCTGGAGTGAGTGGCCGGTACCGCTGACACTCTTTAATGAAGCTATCCAACATGGTCATAGATTCGATTGCTTCTTTCCCCATCTGGTCATGCTCTCGCAATACCCCTTCCACTTCCTCCCGCAGCGGCTTGATATATTCCGGGCGAATTGTGAGTTCGTAAAGGCATGTCGCAAGCACCTATGTATTCATGAGCAGAGTACCTAAACTGACAATCCATGAAGCATACCATTCCTGCAGAGTGAACAGAGCCAAAAATCGCTGCAATGAGCAGCTGTGCGACGTGTACCTCGTTGTACTCCCCTGGGGCATCCTGTTGCACCCACATCCACATCCACTCCCCAATAGTCTGGAAAGATGTCAGTCAGTGTGGCTAACGCAGATACCTCGCTGGAAGGCTCCAATAGTGTGGCCAGAAAACATACGCGGGGTTGGTCTGCTTTTTTATCTGTCCGTTGGATTTGGTCCGTTATAAGGCCGGTCAACTGGACTTGCATGCGAGACGCAGCAAAATATGGACCAAAAACCCTAAACGAGGCTCAGACACGATCGATAGCATTTGACTACGGAAGGGACATGGCATACGGCTTCAGTATCTCGGGCAACCACGCAATTTTTCCACCGCTGACGGGCACAGCCGATCCATACCTCGTAAACAAGTCTATGGCCGCTGGGTCTCTGCACAATGGATCGCCAACAAGCACCTTTGAGATGAGCCGAAGCATGAGACGCAGTCCGATGGTGAGACAGTTCAGCTTCTGCCAGTCTACCAAACGTCAGCCTCAATCCATACTACCTCAAAATGTATCTTGCCTCCTGTCGTCGTGCGCATTTCGAAGGCCAGGGCAAAGTCCAACTCGGACACAAGTTCTTCAAAGTAGGAGTTGTTGGCGGTACTCCTAGCTCGAGACCAGACTAATGCCTTGGATAGGACTGGAACTGGAATATGGTGAAGGGAATCCGCGAAACCCGGAACTGTATACTTTGTTTCGAAGATCTGATCAAGCAAAAGCAACGCGTCAGAGAGGCTTTAGTGAATACGCTTGGAGCAGGAAATTGGACCCAACACCCTCATTGAATGCATTGAGCGACATGTAATCATCATTTAAATCCTGGTACTCTTTAATCATCGCGTTGTCGCAGAGGCAGACCTCCCATCGATGAGGAGTCCGAAATTGGAACGCAAAATCCCCGTGCTGGAATGGAATCATTTAGCAATTAGGCGTTTCTCCTTCGCAATGATATATTGGTACCTTCTCATAGCCTTCCTGAAGAATCTTAGGGCCGTTGTAAAGCCAGGCAAGTCCTTCCTTTCGTGATGCTATCAACCCTCTGGCTCCCACTACAGGGACCTTGACCTGCAAAATATTAACCACACAATCATCTGGAGTATAGGTCTCTGCCTACCCAAGAGCAGTAATATTTGTACCATCGCACAAGGACTTGGGAAATTACAAGCAGGCAGAAAGCATGAACAAGCAGACTGTTACTCGAGGGAGCCCATAACGACAACATGATATCTCGACTTTCGAATCCCACCCTTCTAGTCAGATGCTAAGTAGAAAAATTACTGAAGAAAGAGACAAGACTTCAGGGCATGAAAGCGCAAGTAAAAAAAAAAAAAAAAAAAAAGAGAGAGAGAATAACTGTATTCTCGCCGTCCCAGGTGTGGGAGCATTTCCAACACCCCTATGCTTTGGCCAGATCATCTCCGTGGTCATTAACTCAGCCATTCTGCTGTCATAGGTTGCCGATTGCGGGCAATTCTAACTTACACATCCCCTGCGTTGAGATATGCCACTTTCGTAAATGCATGAAGTTGATCTGCAAGGGAGAAGAACAGCTGTAATGCGTACGGAGGAACGGAGTAGTCGAGACCGGTCATAAAACAGAAAAAGACCAAGGAATTGCTATAGACTGGATGTCAAATCTGTGTAGAATCTATGGACTCCGTATACTCCTAACCTTACTGGCACAAGCTTGTTCTCTATCTATAGTTAGAGGTACTTTCCGTGGCGAATGCGGATTCCTGCCTACCTCTAGGTATGTATGTATCGTACTCCGTACAAACCACATAATTCCTCTGGCTTTTCCTGAGGTCAGTAGACTAGAGTTTATGACCACTTGCATATGTGATACCATATTTGAGATTGAGCAGTTGGCATTCCAACTAGCCGTCAGTGATGTGGTTTCTCTGCCTTGCATTGTATCTCACTTCTAGGATCGAGTCAGAGCGTACTCGTATATTCAGCTACAACTCAAGTACATTGCATAATATGACTTATCCCTCAGAATGGATAACAACTGCACTTCGTGGAAAGGTGCTCACACCAAAGCGTCTCGATCGTGGGCATGCCGCTAAGTGCCTTTCAGGGTTCGGTTCAAACTCTGGCTTGTATGTTTATCCCAAAACAAAACCTACAATTGCATAGTACCCTTATGAATCTATCTATCATTATTAAGCATGCTTTTACCATACAATCAGTTGGTATCCATGCTACATGCATCCAGCGTGCATGGCTTTCCTGTCGGGCTGTTGTATAGTTCTGTAAACCATTCCGCGCAAGTTGTCAGTCTCTTACGTCCCTTGCTTCCTTTTGCCTTGAAGGCTGCCTGCTTCAGCTCCAGTGCCGTCCGACATTCAGTAATACCGTTTCCAAAGATTTCTCCGTGTCTCAGTTGGTAAAATGCGAAGACATCGCTTGACTCCTTCAGTTCTGGCTTGTCAAAGGCCGGAAATTGCGCTGGGTCTTCGTACCCGATAAACCGCGCCTTTTTCTCAGTCACTGCCACAGGAGGAAGTCAGCGATGGAGGAATAAAAATGAACAAGGCGCAGTGGGTCGGTTACCTCGAATAAACGTGTTCACAATGTCCTCAAAGGAGACAATGTCCCCCACTGCCTGCACTGTGCGACGATTCCATCGCAGCGGATTGAGGAAGATCCCATGCACTAGATCGCCAAAGTCTTCGTCGACACAGATCCAAGGCACCTCTTCTCGTCCGCCAATAAGCGGAGTCCGAAATGTTAGGTAGCCGTCGGAATCCTCCTCGAAAGGGAATCCACCAAATCCCTGGTAGAATGAGGGCATCAGGAAATCCTCCAGATACCAGGATGACATGATGGGGGTAAAGGTCGTGAATGCTGGATTTGCCCGCCCCCATGAATCCCCGTAGGCTTTGACTGTGAGGCTGCTGTCAACAATGGCTAGTTCCTAGTTTTCAAGATCAAAATTGGATGTACCGTCTAAGATTGGGGTGCGAATGGCTCCATTCGTGAGACTCTCCGCGGAGGGCTGGGAGCTAAACACTACATGTTGGATCCCTGCTGCTGCTGCACTGCGAAGTATGCAGTTTCCAAAGTCCAGGTCGTATCGGCCATCTCGGACAGTGGGCTTGGTTGAGGAAGTGGGCAGTCAGTACTCATCCGGACCAGCTAACGACGACTTCAGTAGGGAGGAGGAGGCGAAAGACACACCGAGTTGGTGTAGCCATTGTTGATGAAAATACCCCAGCTGCCTGCAATGGCCTTTTGCGTTTCAGCCTCATTGAACCCATCAACTTGGACAACTTCTGCTCCCAAGGATCGGAGTGCCTCAGCTTTTGACGACCCAGCATCCCGTGTGAGACATCGAACCTCAAAGTCTGCGTTTTGTAGAAGTGATCGGGCCACGGATCCCCCCTGTTTACCTGTTTGATGGAGATATGAGCAGTGCTCGAGATAGAGTATGGCAGTCCGAAGTCCAGATTCTTACCTGTGGCCCCAACGACAGTCATAACTCGGCGGTTAATGGTCATTTTCCTATTCCTCGGGGGCTCGTGATATAACTAGATGGTGGGAGAAAGAAACCCACGTCAAATATGGACTTACAAGGTATTCCGGAACCAAAATGGAAAGTAGAAAGCTATATGTGTCTATTTTATAACAAGTGCCAGAAACTCGGGGTGAAATGCCTTAGCAAACTCTCGGAGAAGCGTCGTTGAAGCAAGGGTGCCAAAACTGTCGCGATTCTGTGTATCCACGGCGCTACTGTACTAACACACGGGACATAGGGCAATAGGAAGGATTACTTCAAGCATGCATCTGTTCTCCATGTATCACAGTGGCGACGCCACCTTGGTGGGAACATACAAGCTGCCCATGCACATACCAAGCTCCTTGCTGATATAACTCGGTGAACGGGAAGTTATAGTAGTCACATCTGGACCAGGTGGCGATTGAGTGGATTTATTAACGGACTCTAAAAGTCCAGAGATATGGATTTTATGATAAACTAAAAGAGACGCTACTCATGAGGTGCTACACATATATATAATCGCACACCGGTCCGAATCTAGAAAGGCGCGCATTTATTTAGTGAAAGAAGCTGTGTTTGAATCACCCTTCTCTCTACAATCATCCAGAATGACCCACATTGGACTGGGAGCAGATGGCGTTGCGAAGCCCCATTCAAGCGGAATCCAGGTCATTATCGTTGGCTTAGGGCTGGCTGGACTCACGGCTGCCATTGAATGTCATCGCAAGGGTCACACAGTCATCGGCCTTGAGAAGGCAGCCCAACCAACCCATCTTGGTGAGCAATATCTTCCGCAAACCAATTGGTTCTCACTCTATCCTAGATCTAACGTACGTATTAGGGGATATCCTGAGCATAGGCCGGAATGGCTCGGTGGTCATCCATAAATGGGACAATGGATCTGTTGCTAAGTCTCTTGATTCCATTCGATGCGACATAGACCTCATTACTGTATATGATGAAGCAGGAGAAGTAAAGGATCAGAAGGAGATGGATGGATACAGGCCCGGCGAAGGATGGGTGATCAATCGATCCGACACTGTGCGCGCGTTGTACGACTATGGCAGACGCCTGGGGATCGACCTCCGATTTGGGCTTCCAGTGACGGAGTACTGGGAGGATGAGCAGCAAGCCGGCGTTATAGCGGCCGGGGAACGAATAACCGCAGATTGTGTCATCGCGAGCGATGGAATCCATAGCAATGCAAGGCCTATCATCAGCGGAGCTCATGCGATTCTCAGGAAGACAGGGAGCGCGATCTACAGATGCGGATATCCTTCTGAAGTGCTCAGGGGGTGTGCTGAGGCAGAGTGGCTACTACGCAACACGGAAAACCATGATCAACTGAATCACTTTATCGGAAAGGACATCACCATGCTCATGGGAACTGGAAGGCACGGAAAGGATGTATACTGGGGATGTATGCATAAGGTCTGAGCATCCTCATCACGGCCCATTAGACGGAACAGCTACTAACAACCCCCCCCCCCTGCAGAGCTTCCATGACGACGTCTCCGAGCCCTGGCTCCAGCCATCTGATGTTACAAACGCGCTTAAATACATTGAGCATTGGCCAGCAAAAGATAAGCTCGCGGCAATTATCGAAAAGACTCCCCAGGGAAAATGCTTCGATCATTTGGTTATGGCTGCGGATCCACTGACACGATGGGTTTCGGAAAAAGGCCGTATGATCCTCATTGGCGATGCCGCGCATCCCTTCTTACCAACAACCGGGCAAGGAGCAAATCAGGCCATTGAAGATGGTGCGGTAGTCGCAATCTGCCTCGAGCTTGCGGGCAAACAACGGATCCCACTTGGGCTTCGCGTCATGCAGAAGCTGAGGTTCGCAACCTAATCTTCTATTCCTACCCATGGTAGCTGACGAGGTAAACAGGTACGACAGGGTCAGCTTAATCCAAGACGGTGGATTGAAAATGCTAGCAAGCCTGCAGAAAGCCAACTGGAAGGCCGAATCCAAGGAAGATGTGCCCACGATGGTAGCACGCCCATTCTGGATATTCTCACACGATTGCGAAAGAGATACCTACCAGGAATTTGGAAAGGCCGCCAATGCAGTTCTCAATGAGACCGAATATACCGCGACTAATATTCCTTCGGATGGATTGTTTAGAATTATCGACGAGGAAGGACAAAAAGGAACCGCAGGCGGGGATTCCAAGATGTAGTACGCGGGGCTTCAAGACACGTCCCCTTTGCAGTTTTAGTTCGAGCTGCCATGTTCATCGTACCCACGGAATACACGTATGATATTGCATCTGAAATATGCTCCTAGTAAATCACTTAGACGTGTTATGATATGCCGCAGGGAGAAGGGGGGGGGGGGGGGGGGGCCCTATGCCGTATGCAGATGTGTCAGAATGGTAATATCAAGGTGCCACAGCACACTTAATTCGTATTTGATCATGAGCGGAGTATGGGATGACGATGAGTAAAGACCGGAATAGTCAATTCGTACCCCTTACTCCGTGCATCGTTGGTAGATTAATGGGCTACTACTGGCTCTCAATAACATGGTGCGGAGATGATGCAGACTAATGCCACCTCGCATCCCTATACAATCCTTACATCACTCGCTTATTATAGAACCGTTTCGTGGGATCAGAACGCGGTCAAGAAATTATTGAGATAACGAAGTTGCGGTGTAGTTTTATAGACCTACGGAGACCGACCTTTCATCATCTGTTAAATTACGACGAGTGAATGACAGTCCACATCTCATTCACAGACAGATTTGGTCAATAGAGCCTGGTTTAATCACATCTATAACCCTTCCCATCGAATCCCCATTACAAACTTTGCTTCTTTACTCGATATTTACTTGCAACTCAAGAACAATGGCACCTGTCACTGCTAAATACACGGGCCAGCTGCGTGATAAACGGATTCTTATTGTTGGAGGCACCTCCGGCATCGGATACAGTATAGCAGAGGCCGCTTTAGAACATCACGCTGTGGTTACCGTCGTCGGTTCCAACCCGATCAAGCTCAAGGACGCAGTGTCTCGGCTTGAGAAATCTTATCCTTCTGAGACGGCAGGTGGCCGGGTCCGAGGGATTGCGTGTGATCTTGCAGATTCGTCAAATCTCGAGGATAACGCGCAAAAGATCCTTGCATTTGCAGCGGAGACGTCCAAAATCAACCACATTGTGATCACAGCTGCCGATATGACACAACCGCCGTCTCTGATGGAATTCACAGTTGAGAAGGTGGAGAGGACGGGAACAATCCGATACATGGCACCCTTGATGTTCGCCAAACACCTGCCTCGGTTCATGGACTTGAGTGCAGCTAACTCCTTGACGCTCACGAGTGGCGCCCATGCCCACAAACCAGATCCCGGCTGGACGGTCATCTCGGGATATTGCGGTGCGGTGGAATCCATGGCGAAAGGACTCGCAATTGATCTCCAGCCATTACGGGTAAACGTCGTGTCACCCGGTGCCATTATGACCGATGTAGTCAAGGACATCCTAGGAGATGCGTACGACATTGCCATAAAGATGGCCAAGGAGAAGTCACTAGTTGCCAGTGCGGGCACGCCAGAGAATATTGCTCAAGCTTATCTCTACCTCATGAAAGATCAATATGTATCTGGGACGGTACTGGAGTCTAATGGTGGTATGTTTCTCGCTTGAGGTATCTCGCCCTTCGGGAGACAAAGTAATCATATCATATCACAAATACCTTGCAAATATTTGAACAGCTTCGAAGCCCAGGGCCTATACCTAGCTGCATAAGAAATAATCCCAAGTCCATAGGTCCTAGAGTTTTGTGGATGGCTGAGTACTGCCAGCATGGTAGCTGTAATATCCTCTAGCAGACGATTTTGATACAGAAAAGAAATATATTTTGACCCTCCTCCCAGCAATACGTATGTCTCATAAACCGGCATACTCTTCGGATTCTCTAACGATAAGGAACGGCCTAATATCCAATATTATTTTACATTAACTTTCAAGCTTCTACCATTTAAAGGATCACACTTTAAGAATGTCTAATCTTCGATCCTAAGGGAGCCATACGAGAGCTACAAGGAAGCCAGCAGGTATAGCCAAAACAGCTTCAGCGCTATCTTTCAATTGTGGACTATCTAGACATGGTTTGCCGACTCACGCGTAAACCATTCTTTGAAGGTGGTGAGATTCCCAGTCGAGCATCCCCGGGCCTCTACAGCCGCCTGCTTGCACTCACGCGCCGCAGTGTCATCGCTAGCATGTTCCGCGAACCATTTCCCACCACAGAAGTTCATAAAGAAAAACATCAAGCGGGCCTCTTCACGTAGATGGCTTCCATCATGGGGGACATCCCTCCACGAGGCAAGCTGCTGATATCGCACGGGTGTACCGGTGGCTACATGTTCTTTGTAAGACTCATGGACTACATGCGGGTAACCCTTCGAAGAGGGCCATGGGATAGTACGTAGGAGTAACTCACCTTTAGTAAGTTCCTTCGCCATATCCTCCAGTTTGATAAGCTGGCTGATGGCTTGGACCTGTTTCTGGTCGTACCGCTGCGGGTTGAGAAATATACCATGAACGATATCCCCGAGGTCATCCTGAACACTTATCCAGGGCATCCGTCCGTCACCACCGTAGGGAGGAACGGCCAGGACTACTTCCTTTTGGCCATTTCGATACCAAGGGAACCCACCCCATATTTGACAGAAGCACTCTTGCGTCCAGCACTCCATAAAAGAGGCGGGGAGGACGGCAGTAAAGGTTGTGAAACTCTTTTCGCTCCGCGCATATTCCTCGGCATAGGTTTTGTCTGCGCACCGGTGAGGTTAGCCTTGCGTAAAAATATAAAGTATTCTGACTTGGTGTAGTGTCTCCATCCGAACTTACAATCAAACCCTGTCAGATTAATACGACCCTTGGTTGCCCGGTGAGGGCTGGCCGCCGAACTGTACACGATATGCTGAACGCCTGCTGCTTCAGCAGCATCCAGTACGGCAACATCAAGGTCATAAGGAGTGGGTTTTTCGATGCTATCCTCGTCATTCTGCAGCATTCCTGTACGTCAGCATCGCACTGGGAATGGATTACTTCATGGGCAAATCCTCACAGGGCCATCTGAATTGCTGTTGATAAAGGCTCCCCAGCTTCCTTTGAACGCGGCGGTAGTTTGGCTTCGATCACTTCCTTCTGCCAGCACGATCTCTGCACCAAGCTTTGCAAGTTCCTGAGCTTTACTCGATTCCGGGTCCCGGGTGATCACTCGCACTTGGAATAATTGATCTTTGTGTGCCAGAAGCGAGCGAACCACCGAGGTACCTTGGTTCCCTGTGCCACCAAAAACGGTGATGAGCTTCTTCGTCACAGTCATTTTATTTTAGTATAAGTATTCCGTAAATTGCTGGTGGTAATCAAGGACATTCGATGAACGCAGGCAGATTTATACGGAGAAGTGATTGAATTTAGCATCGCCAACTTCGGGCAATAGCTTATAGAAATCGCTTGACCGCTGGCCATGCCCGTAACCTGACGCCCAAAGGGAAGGCAGGTAGAGGAGGATCCTTGCGTCAAGCAGTCAACCTTGCTTCAAACACACAAAGTGCAATAGTGAACTGTAGAATGGACCGGTGAGTTTAGGGTGCTCGGATACACGTCAGACATATTCCGGGCTGTCTGCACGAGATACCATTACAGCAAGGGATTACAGCTATATCCTGACATGTCAGATGGTAACCGGTGTGCCATACGCAAGTGTTGGGTGGATTGTAATTGAAGGAATCCTCCTTTCTCCGACAGTCTCTGGAAATCCACCTTTCGCTAACGAAGCGTACTCTCTAAAAGATCAAGTCTAAGATACCAGCAGGACACTTCGCTTTTGCAACATCACTGCTCGTATTCTCTGCCAATTCCTTTTTGCCTATTCAATATCACAATCATGACGGTCACCAATGTCAACGACTCTCAATGTGTCATAGCCAAAAGCAAAGTTTCGTCAGAAACAGCGGCCCAGACTCCCTTTGATATCCTGACTCGATACTATGTATTCCCAGATGAACACCAAAAGAACTGGTGGGAGAAGACCGGGGCACTCCTAGGCAAAGTGCTTGCCTCGGCGAATTACAGTGTCTCGCGACAATTCGAAGCCCTCACCTTCTACGGCCAAGTGCTGATCCCACTTTTGGGCCCGTATCCACTGAGCTTTCGCAGTGCGATCACGCGAAGCGGCCTCCCCGTTGAGTTCAGCGTGAACTACCAGCAGCGAGGGGAGGTTGACCCCGTGGTCCGAATCGGTTTTGAGCCTGTTGCAATGGCATCCGGCACTCCATCCGACCCCTACAATCAGATCCCCATTTCCACTTTGCTTGATCGGCTGAAGCAGCTGGACCTTCCGGGGTTTGATGACGATTTGTTTCAGCATTTTCTCACAATGCACACTCTCAGTGCCGCAGAGAGAGAGGTCATGGCCCAGAAAAAGATGGAAGGAAGCGACCTGACCTCGCAGGCTGCTTTCGGGTTCGATCTGAAACCCAATACGATCTCCGTGAAGGGGTATACGTTCCCCGCGCTGAAATGCCACGCCCAAGGTTCGGGATTTGGAACTGTCATTTCCGAGTCCATCAAGCCCCTCGAGAACCGCATTGGTCACTTTGACTCGTTTGATATGGTGAACGACTACCTGGAAGAGACGAACGGATATAGTCAGTTTGCCTTCTGGTCGTTCGACTGTGGAGATCCAGCCCAGTCACGACTCAAGCTATACAGCTCCCATAACGATGTGGTCCTGTCTAAAATTGAGGAAATCTGGACCCTGGGTGGGCGGAGCACCTCGCCGACGGTGCAAAAGGGACTCGAATACCTTCGGGAGTTATGGGAGCTGACCAAGCTGTCCGAGGGCCATCGTGCCTTCACAGGCGGGTTCGATGACGGGAAGGACTCGACCCCAACTCCGATGGTATGGAACTACGAGATGAAAGTAGGCGAGCCCGCGCCATTGACCAAGTTCTACTTCCCGATCCATGGGGAGAAGGACAAGGATGTAGTCCAGGGCCTTGCCCAGTTTCTAGTGAAAATTGGTCTGTCGAAATATGGGGAGGACTATGAACAAGTTGTTCGAGATTACTTGTAAGTCAAGCACCACTCCAGCTGTGCCTGTAAACCTGCATTTACTGACTCTGAGCAGCCCTAAACAAAGCCTAGACACGACGGCTAGACTCACTTCTTGGATCTCCTTTGCCTACAGTGAGAAGACTGGTGTATATCTGAGCGTATACTATCATTCATCTGAAGATTATCTATGGTCTGATGGCAGCACAGACGAGTAGTCGCCATATCGACGAGTTCCGTCTAAAAACGGGGGACGCTGGGGTCCTGACTCCTATTTGTTGGACAAACCGAATCCGCAGTAGAAATTCTTATTGGTTATTTGACTGATACTAAGTATCATAAATCACTGTTCTTCACACTATTCAGCTATAGTTAAGAACAGGTGCTGGTACTGGAGGTATAACAGCAATGTCTCTCTTTGGATTAGGGTTAATTAGAAGCATCCAAATTAACCTGTTTAACCTGTTGTAACGCGTGGATCGTAAGGGTTTCAAGCCATATACCTAACTATCTCTGAAGTGTTTATCCTCGAGAAGCCCAATCTGTATTCAGTAATTTGAATGTGGGCTGGTGTGATGTGTATAAGCAAATTTGGCGCTTGAAAGTACACCTGGTGATATTTTCCATGGAGGCTTGAATGGTGAGCCCCAAGAAAAGAGTCATTCTAGAGGTAGTCCACGACGTGCTTCAAGGACACTGCTTGGAGAGGTGCGGGCTAAGTAAAACGAATCTCTTCTCTCTACGGACAGAGCCACGCCACGTCTGTAGTAAATTCAATAAGTACACGCCCTAGTTACTTGCAGCAGATGATTCAGCTCTGACCCATAACATTAGTACCAAAGATACGATGCCATTCCATACAATTCTCTACAATCAAGTCATAGCCCCTTGACGAAGTTGCACCCTACTTAGTATACCTGGATCATGGCGGTGACTAGAACAATATGTGCAGGCTTCGGAGACAGATTATTGAGTAGGGATCTCCCTGCGATTGCTTCGAGATAGATGCACTCTGAGTGCATGCATTGAGACGTTCTGCCGCTGGAAACAACGCATTCCCTTATCTATACCGTAACCCGCGTAGGAGCCTTTCGTGTTGCACAAAAGGGGAACTCAATCAAGGGAGACAAGACACCCTAGAATGCTTCATTTGACCTCTCCCAAGCATGATCCTTCCTCTTCGGAGTGTCGCCTTGTGCATAAAGAGGGTCAGATCTTTTGAGTTCAGAGTCAATTGGCATTTCTGCAAGTGGTTCTACAAAGTAGCTTCTTACTTTTTAAGTAAGGATAGGATTTAACCCTGGTGTCGCCGCCATTCAATATAAAGAAGGGTCAATGATGGAAACAGTTTCAGAAGAGAAAACAAATAATTCCCCCCCCCCATTTCCTCTAGATAGTCTTCCTTTTCATCTAGAGTCGAGCACGGTGCAAACTGACGGGGACTGCTTGAGCCTCCATCATCCATTATACGATTCAATTATCATGGGTTCCCTACCCGCATTCGACATCTTCCAGCACAAGTCCACTACATCTGACCAAGTGGTGCAATCCCTTATCCAGAATGGAGTGGTTATTATTCGCAATTTTGTGTCCCAGGATGTGATCGAGACTGTGCAAAAAGATATCGAACCATCGCTCAATCGCTTCTGCAACGAGTACCCGACTCACAAGCTTAATGTTATGGCCAATACAGTCCGCGACTCCCGCACGTTTATGGAGGCACTCGTAATGCATCCGCTCTTAGTAGATGTTTGCGATAGGATACTCTCCGGCCGGTGTAAAAGCTGGTTTGGCCAAAAGTGTCGGGAGTTTGTGTCGAAATCCCAAGTCTCGTCCAACTCAACCCTAGTGGCTATGCCCGGGACCGAAAACCAGCCTCTACACCGTGATGACGGGCTATTTTTCAACGACGTTCCCGCTATCAAGGCTTCTGAATATCAACCCGGAAGAGATCGTGGTATTGTTTGCTTCGTTGCTAGTACAAAGGCAACCAAAGAGAACGGGGCCACTCGATTCATCCCCGGGTCTCATCTACAGGCGTCGACTCAACCGCCACCTGCCGACGAGACAACTGCGAATATTCACTACGCAGAGTTGGAACGCGGTGATGCAATGATCATGTTGAATTCCTTGTATCATGGAGCGTCCGCCAACACAACAGATAAGCCACGGGTTCTATATGCGGTCTCAAGGACGCATGGGTATATTCGTCAGGTGAGATATATGCCTTCCCCCCTTCTTCGGGTAGTGATTGTGGAATAAGAAACTAAGTCCTCGGTTTAGGAAGAGAACCAATACCTTGCTATCCCCAAGGAAACGATGCTATCGTTCCCTGAAGAGACGCAAAACTCGTTTGGGATGTCTATTGTAGGTCAATTTCTGGGATGGGTCGACTTGCAGTCCCCAGGGGAGTTTATCAAGGGCACGCAAGCGACACGAGATTGGACGTATTGAATCCGTGTAGCTTTGAAAGGAAGATCCTGGGTCAGACCTCCCAAATTAACAATACTGTGAGCCTGCTGTGGCCGACGTATCCAAATTGACCGGACTCTATTTCTTCTAGAAGTTGCATTTGTGCTTGTCGTGGAAATTCCGAGATAATGAATCATTCTCAGTAGTATGTTGCCTACATTGTGCACTTGGCCAGAGATAGTCCCATAGCATTCCATCCTTTACCGTGTAAGAAGTTGCAAACTAGGCTCGACTTTGTCCTTTTAATGCTGCTGAGCCGGTTGTGGATTATATCGATCATGTCTACTACCATCCGGGTAGCACACCGTTGTTGAATACAGCAAGGACTTTGAGTTACAAAAGTACTAGATGAAAGGAATCTCTTTATCTATAACAATCCGGTATTTGGCAGGATTATGTCCCTTTGAAGGCCCTTTATCATACGCAAGACAGCGACGGCTCAATACAAAACCCCAAGGGAAAGTAAATTCTTTTCAGATTTCTCCCATACCACACTCAATTCACTTGGTATATTCCCGTTCGAACCACTCCTGGACTGTCATCAAAGTCTCCCGGCCGGTATTCCCCTTGGCCTTGAACGCAGCTTTCTTCAAAAGGGCAGCGGTTCTGTTCTCGGTTGGTCCGTTAGGGTAATATTCGCCCTCCCTGAGCTGGCAATATGTGAACATGTTCGCTTCTCCCCCCTCGAGACCGCCGTCCAATTCCGAAGGAGAGAGATAGGGAATAAAGCGTGCGAGTTTTCCCGTTACTGGTCATTAGAGGGATAATCCATGAGCTTGAAGTCCACGCGAGGATCGTCAGGGTTTGGGCATCATTGTCTGTACATACCTTTGGAGAACGTCTGGACCAATTCGCCAAAAGACATTGGGTCCCCAACAGCTTGAATCACACGAAGATTCCACCGGAGTGGGTTCAGGAATACACCATGGACTAGATCTCCATAGTCATCACTTACGCTAATCCAAGGAACATCTTCACGTCCGCCCCAGAACGGAAATCTGCAGGTCAGGTATCCATCACTATCTGCTTTCTGAGGGAACCCGCCGTTGAACTGGGCGAGTTCTGGGGACTGGAAATTCTCCAGATACCACCCAGCCATAACAGGCGTAAACGTTTCAAACTTCAAGTTTGTCGTGGCCCATCGCTCTACCCTAGCCTTGACTGTCTCTCCGTTTTAGCCGCCTGTTCATTTTCAGAGGTGCCAAAGGGTCCCCGTACCATCCATGGCTTCAATCGAAGTCTGCCCACTCGTGAGTAGCGCCGTGTTTGGATCGGAGCTGAAGACCATATGTTTTACCCCGGCAGCCTCTGCGGCCGCTAAGATAGTCTTGCCGACTTTCTCGATGGACGCATAGTCCGTTTGCTGTTTACCCTGACTTAGCCTGATATGCAAAATATAAGGAATGGAGCCGGCATACCAAGACGGTATAGTTAACATAGGCCCCCCAGCAGCCGCTCAGAGCCGATTGCAAGTCGGGCAGGTTCTCGGTATTTGCTTGAACCACTTTAACCCCCAGTGCTTGGAGGGATTTTGCTTTCGTGGAGGAGCTATCCCGTGTGATGCATAGCACTTCAAAATCTCTGTTGGCTGCCAGAGATCGGGCCACTGATCCTCCCTGGCTACCTGTTCATTGTCAGCAACATTGGTAGCTTTATTGATGCCATGTTCAATGTCATTTGGATTACCTGTAGCCCCAATCACTGCGATCACCTTCTTTGGAATAGTCATGATAATACACGCCTTACGTATGTTTTTTTTTTTTTTGGTTTTGTGAAAGCACCTAGTTTCTTTTCTTCGTCACCAAGCCCTAGTAATTTAGTGCGATGACTATACGAACGGTGTCGAGGACAGCAAGACAGGCCTTCCCCATTTAATGAGTAATTTGTACTGCTAAACATAGCATCATCGGTAGAGCTGTATCAATCATTATGCAAGGGAGTGTTGCTGTTGATTCTTTGCTAGAGACAGCACACCAGGCTCTGTAGAAACTAACGGTGTAATGACTTCAGAATAGTAAGATACTTATGCCCTAAAAGACTAAAGAAGCATTCCTTACAGTGATGTCTATAAATGCATCTTACAGGGGAATATAGCATGATGCTAGGATATTACTTGTCACCCGCACCCACTCTCTCCCTGTCTCTCTTAATCCAAGCATTTCATAACCTTCAACTAGCGGTGAGTGTATCTAGAGCGTATCTATGCTCGAGACGGCATCTGTAAAAGGAGGCCTGTCTTATGCAACCCGATCAAGTATATCGTCCTTGCTAACATTCCGAGTATATGAAACTAACTTCAAGGCATGCAAGGGATGTGCAGGAGGTGACGGATGCAGAGAGCAAGAGTTGCAGCTCACCAAGTAAGCCCTAACTTGCCGAAAGAATGTATATATATGCATGTAAGAACTTCTCCAACTCAGAAAACCCCTTGGGGATCCACGTAACACAGCATAACAAAATCAATAATAAAGATGCAATATTAACTTCCATCAGTTCGCTCCTAACCAAGGCGTGAAACTGACGGTAACCCCCAAGGACCACAGTATGTTGTTCGCTTTGGATAACATCAGCAATGGAAACTGGGAAGATATCCGCACCGTGGTCTGTATTCTCATCCTTGTAACGACTAAAAAGGGGTCCATCGTTCGACTTGCATGTATTCCCGTTTTCACCGCAATCTTATACCTGCAACTATGGGGGTCTTCGACCAGCGCCAGCACTCCCTTCCAAGTGTCGAGTGAAGGCCGTTCGCTAGGGAACTATCTTCACCACTTGAATCTTCTCGTGCTGATAGGAGTAGACCTAAAGACCGATGCTACCCATAGCCTCTGGTCGCGGTTGAAATCCGCCGTGTTCTACTATGCTTTCAATCTGAGGGGGATTGGAACCGTCCACCAGACCAAAAACATTCCTGAGCTCCCTCGCTACTTCCGAGGAAAGTCGAACCCGAAATACGAATTTATCCTCCGGCAAGTCACGATTGGATTTTGGGAGTATCTTGTTGCGGATCTGGGACTCTCCCTTCTGAGAAGACTCTCGGATGAACGGCGCTCCCGGTATTACGGCGCCGGTGAAGAATGGATCTCCTGGACAGACGGAACAGCCGCGCAGTGGCGATTGCGATTTCTAGCCACCCTTGTTTTCTGGCCGACGCTCAAGGTTGCTCTTGATATAGGGCATCGGTTTGGTTCCGCGCTGCTGACGGCAACTGGCATGACATCCATGTCCGAGTGGCCACCCATGTTCGGAAGCATTACATCGGCATATAAGCTGCGCAACTTCTGGGGGTGAGTGTAATGCAATACTCCAGCTTCTTGATAAAAAGGGGGTTGCTTTCTAAACAAAGAGCAGGAAGTTCTGGCATCAATTCCCTAGATGGTCCTTGACATCTTATTCCAACTTGATCACTCGAGAATGGCTGAGAATCCCCAAACAGTCACTCTTTGGTCGATATTTGAACAATGCCATTGTCTTTGCCCTTTCAGGGGCAGTTCATCTGGCTGCAAATTGGAAATCAAATATCTTTGATGGAGATGGGGGCTGCTGTCTCTTCTACCTGTCCTTTGTCGTGGGATATATCATTGAGGATTTCATCCAGCATATCTGGAATAGCGGCAAAGGCCGCATGATCGGCACCCTGAGTCCGTCGGCCATGAAGAAATCCTATTCGGTGCTTCCTTACCTGGAGAAAGCAGTGGCGGTTGCATGGGTGCTCGGCTTTTTGACCATTGTCACCCCGTGGTGGATCTATCCGTACCTTCGGCAACAGCCTGTGCTGACTGTCCCGTACAGCTTCGTGGACACCTTTGGGATGACCAATGTGCTGAGTAGTGTTGGCTTGGGGGCAGTGTTCTTATACCAGGTGTTTGAAGCGCGGCCTTGATTATAGACCATTTCAGTTCGGCGGAGAAGGGATACCTCCAGAAACAACCAGTGGTTATATTTCATAGATAAACGGCTCTTTCGGCCTATTAGGTAGTTGGTAGCTGCTCCGCATTATTTACATGATGGTGTTCTTGTCCGTTTTTAATCTTTGGTTGTGCTCGAGTGATGCAAGACCTCGCTCACCGAACCGTACTGGCCACGGTATCGATGATGTCTCAGGGGAAAAACGAGTATATGGCGCTGAAAAAAACCATGTCCGATTATGTAAATGTAAAGACTGGAGTAAGAAAAAGGTTAACTGAGGGTATGATCTCCAGATATTAGCACCCAAAACAGATCGAGAGAGGGATTATCAAATTCACCAAAACACCCGAAGAACAAGAATACCAGATCTGTTCTCTCCACCCCCCCCCAAAAAAGACAAAACCTGGCCCAACTTCTACCCCACAAATAATACAATTTAACAAGGAAAATAATAGCAAACACTCAGTGCTTCAACGATGTTCGAATGTTCTCCTTGCCTTCTCGACCTTTTCGTGTCTCATCCTTTCGATGGAGTCTTGCCTGAGCGGCGAGTTGTCGCTCTAATGGCAAGGAATCCCGTTGTGAGGTGGCGGCAGGTTGCCGTCTTTTTGCACGATCAAGAAGGTACCCGTCAGGAAGAGCAGATAGGGCATCGAGACTGTACTTCGTAGGCGAGCGGCGGGTTCGTAAACGGTCTGGGCGGATCTGATGGCTATCATCTAGGCGGAGACGGCGACTAGGGAGTGACCCCACGATTCCATTGCTGGTTAAATACGCGAGACGGTGGTCAGTACTTCGTCGGAGATTCGTACCCGACCAGGTACCTGTCTCGACGGTTGGAATCGGAGGAGGCGAGGAAGGAGGAAGAACGTCCGTCTCGTCTCGATACTGAGCAGCTAGGGTTTTGACAGGAGAAATATTGAGCATGTTACTGAACTTCTCGTCACTGGTGTCGATCCCCACTTCTTTCATCGCCTTTAACAAATCCAGGTCGACTAGGTCATTTCTCGTGCCATTGGCACGACGATCCTTCGCACGAGGGCTCGGGCTGGGGGGCTCCTCAGTCTCCTCGGTCTCATCGTAGGCTCTTCTTTGGGGGCTGATCTGTCGCGGATCGGGAACCTGGACCCCGGTGTAACCATTATGGCGGTCTGACTGGCGCATTCGCGCCCGCGTCTCGGGTGCACTCTCAATCGCTTTGACCGTCAGCCTCAGAAGGTCAATTTGCTCCTGCATTTGACGACGCTCTTCGTTGAAGGATTCCTTGAGTTCTTCCTCCTGTTCGCGATACTGCTGGGAAGTAGATTTTAAGCGATCTCGGCACTCCTGAATCCGGGCTTCGAGTTTAGCCTCCCTCTGCCTCAACTTCGCTTCCTTTTCTTTGCGCCGACCCTCGTACTTGGACATCTCCTGCTTGACGCGTGCTAACGTGTGCTTGAGCATCGTATTTTCCTTCTTGAGTTCGGAAGCTTTCTGTTCCGAGCTGAGAGCAAGGTCTTTCAGTTTATCGAATTCTGACTGCTGTTGTTTCATCTCTTCGATCCGAGCATTCGCTTGGGCCAGAGCCTGCTGGGTTTTGCGCAATGCCTGAGAGGCTTCCTTTGAAGAGGTACTAACGTCGGACGGTCCAGCAATATCTTCTACATCGCTGCCAACAACGCCATGCTGCTCTAGGATCTTGCGTAGTAGGCCAACCTTATGTTTGTACTGTAAGGCCAATGCTGTTTGCCTGGTGAGATCCTGGACCAATTGCTCCTTGTCTGCGCGAGTGCTTTCCGCAACCATAGTAGAGGCAAGTTGGGTGACATGACGTTCCATTTCAGCAACTTTCAGTTCCTCCTCCTTCAATTTCGCAGTTAAACGTGAGGCCTCTTCGTCTTTTTTCCTGGCATATGTTTTAGCCGCGGAGCGGTACTGGATCAGTCTTTTGATCTCCAGCGTCGTCCTCATCCTATAGTTATCAAATTCTTCTTTCCAGTATTTGCCAGATTGGGATCTCGGCTCGTTCATATTAATAGTGTCCTCGTTATCATCATTTTCCGTCAAGGGTTGGGATCGAGATGGGGTCTCTGATGTACGCGCCTCGCTAGATTTCTGTAAAAATTGTTCAGAACTCCTGCTAGGCTTTTCACGTGAGTCCATTAACGTTTGTGTAAGCTTGCTTCGCGGCTTATCTGAAGAACTGGATATCCACTGGCTGCTAGCACTGGTTGACGGGTTTGCGGGAGTCCTGACAATCTTGCTCGACGGATCGTCTCGCTTGCGCTCGTTGTCGATAACGCTTTCCCCAAAAGAAACTGTCTTCCGGCGGTTTGACACGGTCCCTGGCGTCATGAGGATGCTTTTAGTCGGAGACGCCATCGCATTCACCGCGAGATCGATATCCGCTTTTGTAGCCTGGGCAACATCACCCTTTGGCTCCGCGGGCGCTTCTCTTGAGGTCGACGGATTCTGCTCGTGATTCTCAAGTTTCTGTTTTGGCTTCAGCTGGACCGTGGTATTGTCCTCGTCATCAGCCTTGGGCGTTCCAAACAAGGCACTCTGGAACGCGCGAAGGGCGAAAACAGGGGCGGGAGTCTCCGGTGGCTCTAAAATCTTGGAGTCATCTAAAGAAACAAACAAGGGATAAAGATATCAGCATGCGATTCCCTTGATTAGAAAAGATAGCCTGTATTATTGGACGAGATTTAGGGGACTAGAGGGGCGGGCGCTGCGGGCGGAAACAATTAGTAGAGACACGCACCTGCGACCGGGTCGTTCTGCACCCATCCCAACATGATATCTGCAGGGACAAAGTTGATGAAATTTCAGGGAAACCGACATATGCCTCACACAAGCGGCACCATTGGCAACCCAGTGAGATTTTTAAAATAACGGCGGAAGGGATGCAGCAGCGGATTGACGTGGAAGAAATGTGCTTACTTTGTTTACTCTCAGCTCCAGCGCTATGTAAAACAAGATGCAGGCGGTGGGCGGAAAAACGACGGGGCGAAGCTACCTGCTGCTCTTTTTCTCCGCTCTCTCGCTCGCTCTCTTTCTTCGTGTGCCTAATTGGTCTTCCACTCCATCTGCCAACACACCCAACGGACCGTCGTCGTTAATTCCTCCCAGCTTATCCCCTAGTTTGAGACATGTCTGTTTTCGAGATATAGAGGGCTGCAGCTTCGGCTGCATCTTTGTCACAGCTTCTCGTGGCAAACAGACCACAAACTCTACCGGGAGCACTTTTCGACCTCTCCGACCTCACCGCCCAACGCCCCGCTATGCCTCACCATCACAAGAAGACCAGCAATGCTCAGAAGAACGCCTCTCCCCGGGCGGACAAGAAAAAGAAACTGGCCTCTCAAGAGCATATACCGTTCGCATCGCCGGTAGCTGCCCCGACGAATTATCAGGAAATCCACCAGAATGAGGTCGAGGCCCTGCGCTCGATCTATGGCGATGACTTCGAGGAGGTGCAGCACCGGCGTTCTGCCTGGCAGGTAGGCTATTTCTTATCTATGCAGTTTTCTATCGTTTCGGGAACCTTGACTGAATCAATCAGCAATCGACTGAAGTTTCCTTCAAGCTTCATTTGCGAGCTTCCTCCAATCCCGATGTCCGCCTCGACTTGCTCGTGGAGCTCCCAACAACGTACCCCAAAACCTTTCCGAACATGTCACTAGAAAACTTAGACGACCTTCGCCCCGGAGCTCGATCGAGGATCCAGGACATTATACGAAACAAACCCAAGACGCTTCTCGGCTCAGAGATGATTTACGAGCTAGCAGTGTCGATCCAGGATGTGCTGGAAGATGTGGCGGAGGCCCGAGCCCAGGATAACGATCTTCCCAGCTTAGAGGAGGAACGCATGGTACAAGAAGCGGAAGCAAATCAGAGAGCAGAAAGAGAAAGAGAGGAAGAACAGCGCAAACGAGAAGCAGCCACAGCAAAGGAGGAACGAGAGCTTCAACAACTACTCCAGGACAAAATCAGAGAGCGGACAAAGGCGAGATTATCACACAGGAAGAGCAGGGCATCTGGAATGGATACGACGGGCGACCATGAGGCTGAATTGAACTTTCCCGGTGCAATCTCTTTCGATCCTCCTTTGGTCATGACCGAGGCCGATGAGGGCCCACTGGTGTTTCGATCGGTCTACGGAAAGACTCTTTTGAAAAGCGCTCAAGGAGCGGATACCTTCATGGTGCGACCCGTGGTTCCGGAAAATCGGCCATGCGCCCCCGTCTTAGTCTTGAAGGAGCTTTCGATTGATGAAAGGGGCGTTGACCTATTAGCGTTTCGTGAACAAATGCGCTCCAGCGAGGATAAGTTGGAGGGCCTGAAGAAATTACGACACCCGAATCTCGTCGATTTTATTGGATTCAAGATCCATAGGCCTCTGCACCCGTACGACACATGGAAAGTGTTTGCGCTAGTCGAATACGCGAACAAAGGGTCACTTTCTGAATTCCTGGATATGGTCGGCACGGTCCCGGTAGAAATGCTTCGTGGCTGGACAATTCAACTCCTGGAGGCTCTGGAGTTTTATCACCGTAGCGGCTTCGTGCACGGAAATATCCACTGTGGGCGGGTCCTATTATTCCAAAATCCCAGAGGCGGAACAATTGTCAAGCTGCAATCGAGCATCGAAGAGGCTCTTCCAGATTCCGCTAGAAGTAAACGACCCCTGACAACCTCTAAATCCCCGTTTTGGTTGCCGCCGGAGTTAACACAGGATGGTGCACCATCAACTATGAAGACGGATGTTTGGGACCTAGGGATCATCTTTCTTCAAATGGGCTTTGGAAAGGATGTGTTGCAGCGTTACACGTCAGCTAATGCATTGATGGGAACCCTAGGCCTGGCCCCCTCCCTACAAGATCTGCTCCAGGAATTTTTCCGGCCCAACCCAAAACGAAGGCCAACGGCTTTTCAGCTGCAGCCCTCTGAGTTTTTCCGTATTGATACCCCATTAATCGTGCGTACAAGTGCGTCAAATTCCATCTCACTACCAAGACGGCCCCGCCTCGACTCCATAAACGGAGGGTTCCCCATGTTTTCACGGTATGTCCAGGATTTTGATGAGGCGGGACGCCTGGGCAAAGGTGGTTTTGGAGAAGTCGTGAAAGCGCGGAATAAATTAGATGGCCGCTTTTATGCAATCAAGAAGATTTCCCATAAATCTGCTACTGCATTAAAGGATACTCTGTCAGAAATCATGCTTTTATCGCGACTCAATCATCCGTATGTGGTGCGCTATTATACCGCCTGGCTCGAGGAAGATTATGATCATGGAGACGAGGAAGCCGTCTCCTTCACCGACGGAGATTCTCTCACTGATACACACTCAGCCCCGTTTGGCTACAGCACACCCGGTCTCGACTTTATTAGCTCTAGTGGCTACCCTAAAATCGAGTTTGGCTATGATAGCGATGAAGAGAACGGAACAGTGTCGACTAGGGAAAAGGGAGAGACGCCAGAAACATTTGGCACGGAAAGTGAAACAGGCAAGGAGCTTAGTCGAATGAGGTCAGGATCGCAAGGTAAACCAGTGCTCACTACGCTTTACATACAAATGGAATACTGTGAGAGACATGTAAGTTTGTCTGTTATCTCGATTTCTCAAAAAAAAAAAAAAAAAAAAGGGGGGGGGGGACTTCCACTAACATTTGGAAGACACTTCGCGATCTCACAAGGAATGGATTGTATGACGATACTGATAGATCCTGGCGCTTGTTCCGCCAGATACTCGACGGATTAGCCCACATCCATGGTCATGGAATTATACACCGTGATCTAAAGCCCGATAACATCTTCATTGATGCCGCGAATAACCCAAGGATCGGGGATTTCGGTCTGGCAACCAGTGGCCAGTTCACTACGGCCGTCCGATCTTCCGCAGCCGCAGATTTCGAGGGAAATTTAACTCGCAGCCTCGGTACCACCTATTATGTGGCCCCTGAGATGAAATCCGGATTTGCGGGGCACTATAACGAGAAGGTAGATGTAAGTTAATACCCTATGGCAGCATGCCTACCGTCCGTTTGAACTCGAAAGACAATTACTCATTCGCAAATCGTACAGATGTATTCTCTCGGAGTAATATTCTTCGAAATGTGCCACCCTCTGCCCACCAGTATGGAACGCGATCACACTCTGAGGGAAATCAGAGAGAAGCACCACAGACTTCCTCCCCCGTTTCAATATTCTGATAAGCTAGTTCAGGGCAAGATTATTGAGTCGCTACTAAGCCACACCCCAGCTGAACGGCCGTCTGCGTCAGAACTACTCCACAGCGGACAGATTCCACTTCAAGTTGAGGAAGAAACCTTCAGGCGGGCAATCATGCATTTGTTGTCCGATCCTAGCTCCCCCGATTATAAGAAGATTCTATCCGCAATATTTTCCCAGTCTCCGAAGAAGTTCGAAGACATTGCATGGGACATGGACTCGCGAATAGGGCCGGCGGCAAACGAACTCTTAGTGCATGGTCTAGTCAAAGAGAAGCTTACCTCGATTTTCCGCAGACACGGAGCAGTGGAGACTCCGAGGCAAATACTATTTCCCAAGTCGCAGCATTACAATAGTGGTGCTGTTAGGCTTCTTGATGCTTCTGGTAACCTACTCCAGTTACCATTTGATCTAACGCTGCCCAATGCTCGTGCTATCCCTCGTCAGGACTCTTCGCTAGAAAAGACCTTCACTTTTGGAACTGTCTATAGGGAAGCATCTCACGGCGGTGAGCCTCGGACTCATCAAGAGGTTGATTTTGACATCGTGTCGCACAATACCCTAGATCTAGCACTTAAGGAAGCAGAGGTTATCAAGGTTCTTGACGAAATTCTTGATCAATTTCCGCCACTAAGGTCAAGCCCTATGTGTTTCCTTGTAAACCACTCGGACCTCCTCCGACTCGTGATGGACTTCTGTCGCATTACTCCTTGCCAGATTCCTCTAGTTAAAGAGGTAATCAGTAGGTTAAATGTTGGGAAATGGTCTATGCAGAAAATTAGAAGTGAGCTTCGTTCCCCCGCAATCGGTGTTGCCTCAACTTCGTTGGATGACCTTGCCAGGTTTGATTTCAAGGGTATGCCTCTGAATCCATTTTCTGCACTGTTCCGTAATTAACCCGGTTTAGATACGCCAAAGCAGACTCATAAACGACTGCGTGCGATAATGGAAGGCACTGAGTTTGCAGAGAGACTCGCCCCGATCTTTGCCCGGATCAACTCGCTGGTAGCATATCTACAAGGATTCGAAGTGAAACGGAAGGTCTACATCAATCCTCTCGGGAGTCTGAACGATAAATTTTTCAAGGGTAGTATCCTCTTTCAGTGCATCGTTGACGGTAAGCGACGTGATGTATTTGCAGCTGGTGGTCGTTATGACTCTCTCGTTCAAGAGTTTCTCCCCAGTGTCATGTCGAGCCGCTCCCAAACTCACGCCGTGGGGTTTAATTTAAGTTGGGACAGGCTCAGCACGGTTATGATCGACTATCTCAAAGCCCCTACCAGACCATCTTTTAAGCATGCTGAACTCGAGGTGGGGACTTTTTGGAAGACGCGGAGGGTAAGCTCACCCGTGATTGACTGCGATGTGCTTTTACTAAGAAATTTCCAGTGTGATGTACTTGTTGCGAGCTTCGACGCAACGGTCCTACGCGAAATGGGGGTCAAGATAGTCCAAGATCTTTGGTGTAATGATATCAGCGCCGAGTTAGCCGTGGATGCATCCTCGCTGGAAGAGCTTATTGCGAAGTACAAAGACCATAACCACAGTTGGATTGTCATTGCGAAGCAGGATAGCAAAGATCGAGGCTTCAAAGTCAGATGTTTAGTTCCGAAGGAAGAGCTTGACATACGAACCTCCGAACTCATACCGTGGCTTCGAAATGAAATTCGAGCTCGCAATCTACGTGAAGGCACAACAGATGTACGAAATCCCCGTTTCGCCATCCAGCCAGAGCCAAGCACAAACCTGAACGAGCGGGCGAACGACGTGCGGATAGTGGTTCCTCAACACCGGAGTAAAAAGACAAACAGGAGAAATATCGTCGAGTCAGGTATGTTTCCTCTCGACCTCAACCCCCAAAATGCCCTATCGCTAACCTCGGCCCAGCACTGCTGCGATCTCGAGAGGTGGTTGAAAAGGCATTAGATGGCCCAATTGCCGCCATTGATACTCGTGACGATTTACTCGAAGCTATAAGGGATACCCGTCTATCAGACCCTGATAGCTGGCGTGCAGTGATACAGAATGCACCCCTTACAGAACGGAAATACCTAGGGCAAGTGCACGAACTGCTTTCAGATCTTGCAAACGAAAGTCGAGCGGATGGCACGGAAAACTTTAGCAACGCCTTTATTTATAACTTCCGCACCGGATCATGTCTCTATTATGATCTTGGGAGCGGAAATGAACGGTAAGAAGAATAATGATAGACGGATATGATTATTTATGTGGTACGTGGCATGTGTGATGTGATGTATTTCTTTTGGGCCATGTCAGGGGTGGCTATTTTGCTAGCATCTCCCCTCAGCGTTTCTACGTATTATTATTATACCCAGGGCCCTCGACTCCGTTGCAGCTGGGGAAGAGAGAATATAAGAAGCCAAGAAAGGTATCTCTGATATTATACATATAACTGAATGTAATAATGCAACCCCGTAAATTAATCGCTTTCGTCATCGCTTCCATACGCCACTAAGGGACCAGAAGCTTTTGGTGCCTGTTTTGTCGTCACATTCCCACCCGATAGCCCCCTCAAGGCCGCAACAGCGGAGCTCGAAAAGATCCCGCCACCAGTTTCAGCCTCGCTATCAGCAGCCGCAGGCTCAATCATAAGTGATTGACCCGACCCCTCAATTTGGCCCGCGGCCCCTGCATCCTCCAACTCCTTTGTCCGAGTATACCATACCTCATCTGGAGGCTCATACCCCTGTAACCCGAAGCTCCCCTCGATCTTCTTCCTCTTCCGCGCCTCGGGGTCTCTTCCCTCCAGCTCCGCCACGAAATCAGCCGGCAACGCTCTCCTTACAGCCTCCGCTGCCTGCTCTTCCAACCTCCTCGCCTCTCGCTTCTGGGCTAAGGGGTTTGGATCCACAGTCGCCCAGCGCACATTCAAAATTTCACTATGGTCTAGACTCTGGTGAGCCATGGCTTCCTTGGCGAATTGCGCGTTGGCTTCGTTCGTGTATGTGACGAACGCGACACCCCGCGAAGTTAAGACACGGATTCGGTCAACCTGGCCCCATTCGGCGAAATGGCGGGATACGACTTCCTCGATGTCGTCTGTGGCGTGGATGCGACCAACGTAGAGGGTGCGATTCTGGCGCATGAATGAACCCACGCCACCCATGTCGTCCCGGTAATCGTTGAACTTGTCGCGCCCGAAGCAGTCTACGTTGGGGTTGAAGAGGTCGTGGAGCGTAGGCAGTCGGTGGAGGTATTCGCATTCGTGGCCCTTAGGACAGACCTATCCGTAACCACAAGAACCCGTGTTAGCTAGCCATGAACTGCCCTTCTGAAAATATATATATATATATATATATATGAACCCGAAAATAGAAAGAGAGAGGAGGGGAGAGGAGATAATACGCACCCCACGAGCAAAAAACAAACAAAAGTATGATCCAGGCACTTTATCCGCGCGTGTGTATCCGCTATCTTTGGCGACATTGCACCGCGACGGCGCCGCATGTTTCGACAGATACTTGTCCTCGCGATCACCGCCAGACCACTTGTTATACCAGATGTTGAAGACTGTTCCTGTCTGGGGGGGCGGCTCGGATTTAACCGTCGCAGGGTCGACCTGCGGTCTGGCTGGTCGTCGTTTTCGTCGAATAATCTTTTTAGTTTTCTTTTGCGCCCCGTTCCCATCGGTCTCGATGACCGTCACGGCGGTCTCTGTTGCTTGAGTGAGAGCATTGTCGTCCGTGGCAACCAGTTCCTGCTCTGTTTCGCTCTGGTCGACGGTGTCTGTGGGCAGCACTGCAGCCGCTGGGGGAGTTTCGAGTTCTGCCGTTTCAGCCATGGCGAGAGAGAGAGAGAGTTGTGTGAGAGTAAGAAGGCGGATGTCTGGAGGATTTCCAGGCCTGATGGGATGTTGAGATCGGTCGGATTTATGGGTTTATCCGGTGGTGATAACATTTTTTTGGTTCTGCCGCATCTTCAGACCGCGGCTCAGAAGAGGAGGATAAACACTTACCAAAACCTCGAGGTATTATTCCTCTTAAGGTTTGGTCCTTGACTACGGAGTACTAGGTAGTATAAAGGACTTTCTTTTCACCTATTGAACCTTTTGTTTCAATTTATTCTTCAACACCTTATTATACATGGTTTCTAAGATTCCTTTGAGTTTCAATCCACGCACTATCCAAGGCCGTTTTCTTTTCCTTCGAGCAACCAGCATCAACATCAAAATATCTGATGCCTGATTCAAGACTGGATTAACACCCAGCGGGCACCCCACACAGTCTAAGAGCAGCCCGAGTTCTTACGGCTCAGACAAACCTTGCGATGCCCTGAATTCTTCGGCGAGTAACCAGAGACAACCTTGTAGTCACAACATGCCGGTACATACTCGCACTCTTCGAGAATAAGCTTAGCCACCGCATGGGCCGTCCACTCTGTCAAATCGGTCGAAGTGCCCTTGTACGGCCCAACCCGGAGACGACAGTTGCCGTAACTGTAGACCGACCGCGTGTTACCGATATACGTTTTGCTCTCAGACATGAGACTGAGAAGATTAGCACAACTATACTCGTAGGCGAGCCAGTCTTTGCTGCAGCTGATTCCGTATGTCTTGCGTTTCTCAAGCTCAGTGACATCCTCCTCGCCAATACGCTGCAGGAGAGCCAGTACATCGGTAGCGTGGGAATCCTCGCTGCTGGTTTGAGTATAGAAAGATAGGGCTTCGGTGTAAAGCTCTGGCTCGTTCACTCTGTACTCGCGAGCATCGTCCGCGATCACTTCGAGCACAGTCATATTACTTGAGCCATCGACGATACCATCTTCCACATCCCCACTGATATGGTATCGTGCCCAAATCGCGTCACCGTACCTTTGGGCCCGAAGCGACTCAATATATTTCGTGGCCCAGGGTTCGACATGATTCATTCCGGTGGTGTTATCGAAGACATCTTGTATACGCAGATCCAAGAAAAGTTGCTCGGGAAGAGTCGAATTTGTAGCAAGCACTTGTTGCGTGAAGGCAGCAGCAGCTAGAAGGGAGAGCAAACGCATTATGAAGACGTTTATAAAGAAGAAGAAGAAGAAGAAGAAGAACAAGATGTTTCTGTACTCCGTCGAGTGATATGAATTGGCCTGAATTGGCCGATTTATAGAAACAGAGTGACCACAAGGCCCCCAAATCTCTGTTAGCTCCAAACTGGTGGTGACGAGGCGCGTCTCTATGAAGCTGAGCTGGCCCCCAATACTATAGCTGGCTTTCCACCGGCTCGAGACGATTTATGTAACTAAAGGTTAGTATCAGAGCGATGGAAGATATTGCTTGCTTGTTCTGAATAGTCACAGCAGCCATCTTAGACCTCAATTTAGCCTCTTAAGTCAGCATAATATTATTCCTATACCAGGATACCTTGATTAGCTTCAATTTTGGGTGGAAAAGTTGGAGTAGGACACGCGTACGATGGCCCCCACATTGCAGTGACTGTCATACTTAGGTACGGAGTACAGGAGTCAAAATCGAGTTCTGGTTAGTTCTGATATAAAAATGTCACTGTGTTGTTGACCAAAGCCCCGCCGATATTCCACCTGAGTGTAGTAAGTCACAGAGACTTCGAAGCTGCAGCACACAATCCCAGGCACCAGTCAACAGTAACACAGCCTGGAGGCCTTGACGAGGCTCCCAGTTTGTCAGGAAGCAGGAGTCTAGAGTATGTAAGCGGATGTGATGTGATGTCTCTGTGGAAGGAAGAATTAACTAACGAACCAACTAGTACTAACTAAGGTCTCTAAACGAACGCTGATTTAATAGGCCTTTTGACCTTGCCTTGACTTCCCAGACTTCTATCTACCAAACACCTCTCTCTCCACTCACCTCTCGGACATTTGATTTGTACATTCTTCAACTAAAGATCAGGTATGAATGATCTTGCCGGAATTTTCAAGACTCCCTGTGGTCAAAGCCTCCGACTAACAAACGTGAGATCAAAGCCATGAGCCTAAACATGTCGGAAACCAGGCCAGTTGAGCAGCTATTCCTAGAGTTTCCCATCCAGCTAGTTCTCAACCCCCGCCCGGGCACCCAGTTCCTAGAGCCGTGGGCGAGCATGTATGTCGATGCTATACGTGACACTCGATTTGGGGACGCGGTATGGGCACGCTACCATATCTCTGGCGATGTAGAAAACGGGATCGTGGGCGGGTCAAATGGTATGACGGTGCTCGATGTTATCAAGGAAGATGCTCTGTCATACAGGGTGAACGAACCGGAGGAATACTTTAAGGCTTTATTGTTTTATGCAAATACTAGCAGTGCCGACGGGCATGCCGATGTGATCGAGGTTATTACCCACCTGGACGAGGGGGAAATTGCTGAGTTCAAGGCCAAAGAAGAAGCCTGAGAGGCGCCTACGATTTCATGTTCATATTTATAATGTCAGCAGATTGTCTGAAAGACTGAAATAGAGGAGCTGAGAGCTCATCCAACTATCCCGATAGCTATAGTTAACTATATATAGTCGACCCCCCCCCCCCCCCCGGATAAACCTATAAATCCGACCAAATAGGTATGATTACATAAGCCTCCAGGGTGGGCTTGGCATCGCGACGAATTTGATGCTCCATTTGATTCCCTACAGAACGGTGGCATATTTATCTCGCGAGGGTCAATTCCGATTCATTACACGAGGCGGCTTGTGCTTTGGATTCTTTTCGATCCTGGGTGTAAATCATCATCCCCACCGTCTTCCGAAGCAGGCTATCCGAGCATATTGAGCTTGATATCAGAGTCCGCGGGGCTCTCCCACCGTCAAGATGGTGAATATCACAGATAAAATCAAAGAGTATGTACTGAGCCACTCCGTGACGCATGGTTCAACGCAATCTTACGCGGTTATCACCACTACAGAATCGAAGATGAGATGCGCAGGACGCAGAGTAAGTTGTCTTTCCGCCCTCTGGTATCTCATACCCCGCAACTCACTAACGGGACTACAGAGAACAAGGCCACAGGTGCGGGCAACCCCTGTAACAATTACATACTGTAGAATGGTTCTAACCTGAATCAGAGTACCATCTTGGTCTTCTCAAGGGGTACGCTTCTTTTCCTGGCCCTCCTTTCCTTCATATATGGTAGAGAAAAAGCCCCGCTGATATCCAGACAGAAAGCTGGCCCGGTTAAGAGCCCAATTGCTGGAACCCACCGGTGGCTCTGGCGGCGCTGGTGTAGGTTTCGACGTCAGCAAGAGCGGCGATGCCCGTGTAGCACTCGTTGGTTTCCCCTCTGTGGGTAAATCAACCTTTCTGAGCAAGATCACTAAAACGAAGAGTGAAGCTGCAGCGTATTCTTTCACTACACTGACTGCTATTCCCGGTGTGCTGGAGTACGGAGGCGCTGAAATCCAGGTTCTCGATCTCCCGGGTATCATTGAAGGTGCCGCTGAGGGCAAGGGACGAGGTCGACAGGTTATTTCCGCTGCGAAGGTTTGTCCTCTTCCCCGAAATCGTGATACGAGAGTGAGTAAGATCTAACGAGATTGCCAGACAAGCGACTTAATTCTAATGGTCCTTGACGCCACGAAAAAGGCAGAGCAACGAGCCCTACTAGAGGCGGAATTGGATGCTGTTGGCATCCGACTGAACAAGGAGCCTCCGTATGTCAAATGACATCCCCACATCCTTCCTTATACAGACGACTAAACAAAAAAAAAAAAAAAAAAAAAAAAGAAACATCTACCTCAAAGCCAAAAAAGCAGGCGGCATGAAAATCACCTTCCAAACACCCCCCAAATACCTAGACGAAAAGATGATCTATAATGTCCTCCGAGACTACAAAATGCTCAACTGCGAAGTCCTCGTCCGAGACGAATACGGTACCAAAAAGTCCCCAGGAACACCATCCAGACCAAGAAAACTAACACCGCACCAACCCCAGCTACAATCGACGATTTCATCGACGTCATCATGAAAGACCACAGAAAATACATCCCCTGGTAAGTCCCCGCTACCCCCCCCCCCCCCCGGGGGGAGCTCCCTTCGCTAAGAAAACAGTCTCTACGTATACAACAAAATCGACAGCGTCAGCGTCGAATTCCTAGACCAACTCGCCCGCGAGCCGCACACAGCCGTCATGAGCTGCGAACTCGACCTCGCTGTCAAAGAAGTCGTGGACCGCATTTGGAAGGAACTACGATTGATCCGGATATATACGAAACGGTACGTCTGCCCCTTGCACATACATCTACATCCATACATATAGCTACTGCTCATTTTCCAACCGGTTTTTTTTTTTTTTTTTTTTTGGCAAGGGTAGGGGGGATGAGTCTACTGACACCTAGTAGGAAAGGAGTGGAACCTGATTTCTCCGAGGCTCTGATTGTGCGAAGCAACTCTACGATTGAAGATGTCTGTGATCAGGTCCATCGCACGCTGAAGGAGACGTTCAAGTATGCGTTGGTGTGGGGTGCGAGTGCGAGGCATATCCCGCAGCGTGTGGGATTGGCTCATGTCGTTTCCGATGAGGATGTGGTTTCGATTATTGCAAAATAGAAAAAAATAGATCCCGGTAGATAGTTATGATATTGAAGCCTACACGCGTCCTAGGGTCTTTCAGCGTTGAAATTGCCTCCTCGAATGATTTTTACTAGCTCTGGCGACTACCAAGCGTATGATGACATGTTTCGATACAGAAATGCACTTTTTGCATCAAAAAAGATATATTCAATGAAAAATATTTTGACCGAACTATAAACAAGACCCAAACAAACCCCATAGCCAAATTAATATTCCACCCAGACTCCATATATATATCAGTTCCCGTACGTTCACTCAGGCAGCAGCGGCAGCGGCAGCAGTAGCCTGCATATTCTGCATACCAGTGGTGGGGTGCACGTCAACACGCTCCTTAGGCAGCAGATCAACAAGCAGAGGGCTGGGCAGGCTATCACGGGTAGGGTGGAAAGCTGCCTGGCTGGCCTTGTACTTGCGAACGCTGTCAAGGTAGATGTCGAAGAGGTAAGAGGAGTCAAGAGGACCGCCCTTGGCCTCGGGGTGGAACTGGGTGCTGAAGATGGGGCGAGACTTGTGGATCATACCCTCGTTGCTGGAGTCGTTCAAGTTCACAAAGTAGGGCTTCCAGTCCGAGGGCAGAGTGGATGTGTCCACCGCATATCCGTGGTTCTGGCTGGTGATGTGGCAGCGGCCAGTGGTCAAGTCCAGAGCCGGAATGTTGTGAGCACGGTTACCGTACTTGAGCTTGATGGTACGAGCACCAGTAGCCAAGGCCAGGAGCTGGTGGCCCAGGCAGATACCGAAGATGGGGACCTGAGAGGTCTCCATCAGACGACGGAGGTGGTAGGTGGTGTCCTGGCAGTGGGTTGGGTCGCCAGGGCCGTTGGAGATGAAGACACCGTCAAAGTGGTGGGCCACCTTGTGGATGGGGTAGTCGAAGGGGAACACCGTGACACTGGCACCACGGCTCACGAGGCTGCGCAGAATGTTCTCCTTGACACCGCAGTCGAGGACAGCGACGTGGCACTGAGGATCGGCTGCGCTCACGTGGAAGGGAGCCTTGGTGCTCACCTGGCGAACCAGGTGGATCTGCTCAGGGTCGATAAAGGCCTCATCCTGATCCGCATCATATTCCTCACCGACGGTGATACGAGCCAGGGAAGAACCCTGCTCACGGAGATAGGTGACAATGGCACGAGTATCGACACCGGAGATAGCTGGAACGCCCTCACGAGCGCACCACTCGCCCAGGCTCTCGACTGCGGTCCAGTGGCTGTACTGTTCAGCCACATCCGCCACCACCACACCAGCGGCCTGGAGGTTGGGGGACTCAAAGTACTTGAGCAGACCGTGCTGATCCCGCTCCGCAGAGGGAACGCCGTAGTTACCGATCAGAGGCTGGGTGAACACCAGAATCTGACCACGGTAGGAAGGATCAGTCAGTGACTCGGGGTATCCAACCAGAGAGGTGGTAAAGACCGCCTCTCCCGAGATGTTGGTACGAGCTCCGAAGGACTTTCCGTGGAAGATAGGACCATCTCGGATCGTGAAAGTAGCCCGTTCAGCGGGTTTGTGGGAGCGAACAGTAGCCATGAAGCGAGCTTGGATGGAAGAGCTCATGGGGGAGGACCAGGCGGGAGCCCTGGTGGGCATCACCTTCATCAGTCGGGTGAACATCATTTTGAGTAGAGATTTCGTTCAAGAGTATAGCAGGAATTGAGCAGGGTGGGCGACAGGTAGGTTCAGTAATTTCCAGAGGCTTTCCAGAGGTGATCCGAGATGTAATCCTGTGACGAATTGATTAGGACGATTGGCTGGAATGGGACGTGATGACATACCTGAGAAGTGAAGACAGAGGGTGCCAAACGCATGAACGCGACTTATGAGTACCAGTTCTTAAACTGATATAGGAATTGAAATGGATGGGGAAATGGGGGGGTAATTTAGAAAGGCATGTAGGGAATGGATTGATGGTGGATTGTGTGTGGGATGGGAAGAAATGAGTCAAATGGAAGAAGAAAGAAAGAAAAACGCTTTAAGAGAGAGAGAAATTTTGCCTGGAGCGAAAGTCGGGCCGGTCGGAGAGCACGTGCCGGGGCTTACACCGACTGATGGCGAATGGACCAATCAGCGGCGCCGGATTTCGGAGGCGATAATCCGCTTAATTATTCCACTTTATTTTCTTATCTTTGAGCTATAGAGAGATCTATTTAGCCTCATATCAGTCCCTATAAGGTAGAGGTAGAGGATAGAGAGCTCTATACGGCTGCAATCGGCTTGTTTCATTCGGCTCTTTTTGAAGAATTGGAAAATAGTTACACATCTACTACGATCGGTGCATTCTGTGATATGTCCCGAACCTGTGGTATATATACCGTTCAAATGCCCCTTTCATCGGATGCAACGATACAGACCAAGGGGTTGATCCTCTATCTCCATTATCAATGGTCGTCCCAAAATACTACGTGGGAGCTATCATAGCCTGCATCATATCCATCATCTCCCTCAGCGCCGCCATTGTACCTCGCCTCACAGCCTACCAACCTACCCTCCAATCCCAAACCCCCCTAGATGGACCGGGGTGTGATGGATCCGGCATAGTTGATCCAGATGGCCGATGCAGCGGCGACGGAATTCTCAATCCCATTCCGGATCCAGACCGGGAAGGGTTCAAGTTCGACAACCCGTCGACGGACTGTGAATATGTTACGCAGATGTACATCTACGATACCTTTAAAGTGCTGGAAAAGGACATGACCAAGCTGTTCACTTACATCCACAAGGACGTGGACTTTCATGTCATGGGCCACCATCCGATTGCGGGACATTATCACGACCTCATGCATTTCTATGTCAATGCGCTGCGTCGGGTGGCCATGTGCTTTTCCGAACATGCAGAGCGGTTTGAGGTGCATCCACAGGCTATTCATGGGGGTTGTAATAGCAAGTGGTCGGTCCAGGAAGTGCTGTTTAAGGGACTGATGAACTCAGGTAGGATCTTTCAACCCTAACAGCGTGTACTTCTGGGGGGGGGGGGCCATGTTTGATGCTAATCGGTTAGGGGATGCATTTGAGGTCGTCAATGTCTGGGTAACCCGATGGCATCACGGACAGATGGTCGAAATTCGAACCTTTGTAGACCAGGGCCGGATCACCGAGGCACTGCACAAGAACGAGTTATGGTGGAATGCCACGTCAAACCGGGAGAATCTGCAGTACATGCCTGGCCCAGCAGGCATGCCGGATTTGAAGGAACTGGAAAAATATCTAGGCTATCCAGATGGTCGCAAGTATCAAGATTGACCTGTCTTGACCGTTAGATCCTGATCAGTGTTAGGGTTCGATCTTACCTTAATTTGACTCTTGCATTCTTTCCTACTATGTAGTATCAAAGACATAACTTGCAACACTTTCTTCCCAGTAAAATGAGGCTCGGTTGGTGTCGGCCTGCTAAATTTGGCATAGACAAGTCATGTGATGCGAGATGCTCAGTTAACAATTCAAACTCAAGACAATTTCACAAGTCAACTACTTCCTCCCCCCCTCCCCCCCCCCCAATTTCATATTCATCTCGTATTGTATGGGAAAACCATGGCTGATCAGGGGAGAAAGCGGTCCCGAGTGGCCTGCACCTCCTGCCAGTCCCGCAAGCGTAAGTGCTCAGGTGACCAGCCATGCACGACATGCGCGCAATTCGGCTCAGACTGCCACTATGACCTGCTCTCGCGCAAGAAGAAAGACATCCGGCATTTTCAATCGCAGTCGGGCCCTCTGCTCAGCTCGGGTGCGCTCCCAACCGAGATTGCCGCCAAACGACCCGACCAGGCGACTTCAGCGTCGTCGCTGGCCGCACTACTCGTCAAGGCGCTGGAGGCGAATTCCGGCGCCGCATTCGCGCGACGACTGAACCCCAAGAACGAGCTCGCCGGCACCTCGAAACTCCATCTGTTCGGCTGGAATGTTGGGGCCCGGTATCCGACCCCCGAATGGACGCAGTCTCTAGCCACCGTCAAGCCCAGGCCCGTCGTGGAGATCATCTCCCAGGACGAAATGCGGTCCCTGGCCGGGGTCTTCTTCGAGAAAGTTGATCCATGCTACCCCTTCATCGACCGCGACACTCTCCTCCGCCAAGTGGGCCGGCGATGGCTACCGCCAGCAGCCGAGTCCGCACTGGCATACGGACCCTACGACGCGGTGCTCTGCGGCGTCGCAGCCTTCGGATACCTCTTCTCCCGGCGCCACGCCATCCCCGCAGAACTGCACCTGGTCGAGTCGGCTCGCTCCATCCTCGAACAGAGCCTGCAAGCCGACCCAGCCTCCCCGCTGGACACTGTAACGGGGTGGGTGCTGCGCGTCGCCTACCTACGCATGACCACCACCGCACACGCAGCGTGGATGGCCAGCTGCACGCTCATGCACCTCATCGAATCCACCGGCCTGCACCAGGAACCGTCTTCGCATATCGCGCTCGACCGGGCCACGGAACCAGGCACCCCAGAAACGCGGCGCCGTCTCTTCGGCATGGCGCGCCACCTGAACGTATGGATCTCCTTCGAACTCGGGCGGTCCCGCGTCGTACTCCAAGGCGCAACCACAACCACCTCCTCACCATCATCCTCTTCTTCTTCTTCTTCTTCCTCCTCCTCCTCCTCCTCTTCTCTCCCTCCAGCCCCGCATCCAATCCCCACCACCACCACCACCACCACCGACATTTACAACCTCCTCCCTATATCGGAGAGCCTCGACCCCACCGAAGCCCAGCACACATCCAACCTCGAAGCCGCCCTGACCTCCGTGCTGGATATCGGGTACGTCCAGCCGCACCTCATCCTGGTGCAATGCAACCTCATGCTCTGCATCTACCGCCGCCTGCGGGCCTTCAACTCGCTCATCCCAGCGGACCTCCTGGATCGCGTGCTCGCTCTCTCGCGCAGGGGCCTCCGGGCCGCCGCCGACCTCGTCGCCATCAACAGCCCCTGGCACCAGACCGCCAACGTGCCGTTCCAGGTCGTCTGCACGCTGCTCGCAATCGATACCCGCGCCTCCCTGGGCATGCTCCGCGATGCCATGCGCACCCTGCACCAGGTCGCCGCCGCCTATGACACCGAGGTCATGCGCGAGGCCTACACCACCGCTTACCTGATGGTGCTCGTGCACCACCGCCGCAAGGAAGAAGATATGCGCTCCCTCCGCGACGTGCTGCAGTTGGGCCGCTCTCCTGGACTTCCGCAGCTGCCGGTGGCAGTGGCAGTGGCAGCGCCGGTCGCAGAGCCGCCGGTCACAGAGCCCGCCCTGCAGTCGGACCATACGCTTTCGGATTATCCCGGGTTTACGTGGCTCAGCGATATCTTGCTGGATATTCCTAGTCTACGGGATTTCGATATGGATGGGTCATGATGATCTGTGCTATGAGATGATTGGTATTGGAGACGAATTTCTCCCAACGCTTGGGCAGAGAGGACGGTATGCAGAAGTTGGAGTGGCTGGGTCCCCGTTCATTCATCTTTACCCTGCTTATCGCTTCGTCGTCCTCTCGCGGGAGTGATTCCCGTGGACCACGCTACACGGCCGAGCTTCCATAATACCCACAGGAACCCGAGCACTATTACAATCACGGTGCCCGTCTCGATGACCTGGCTTTGGAAGAATCCTGCATGTCCCAGCCGCAGAACAGGGACCTCCACTTCCTCTACAAGACGGTGGTGCTGGCGATGCTGCGATGGATGCAGCTGGTAGAACATCGTGCGCGGACCAAACAGGCTCTCCCAGCCCAGATTTACTCGGTCAAACGGGTTCATTGCCATCTTGGTGCCGTCTTCGGCGGTGCACGCCCAGAAGACTACGGGCCACGGCACCGACGTGGATCGATACCCCGATTCCGAGGGAGGGAGGTATCGCAGATGCAGGGGGACAGTTACGTTCCACGCTTCGCTACTTTGATCTGACGGGGACGGAGTAGCCAGCTCCAGCAGCCAGTTGGAGCCCCATTGGGATATGGACCAATCTGGTGCTTCGAGATCTGTCTGCCCCGCGACGGAACGAAGCGCGACAAGGTTATGTGATTCGAGGAACAAAGGGTCTGTCGTGGAAAGCTGGTACTTGTCGCCGAAGATCGACGAGGGCAGGGTGAGGTATGTGTGAAGTGCGCATGTCGCATCAGGCGGACCGGGAGGTTTCTTGATCGCCGCGCGGGGCATCGAAATGGTCATTGTTGGATGTAATCCGGTGGGGGGGGCGAAGGACACGGAGTAAGTTGCGTCCGCCGGAAGGGGGTGATGGCGAGAAGGGAACGAGAAAAGGGTCGGCTCTATACGAAAGTCAAGTCAGCAATCTTCCTTTTTTTTTTTTTTTTTTTCCCCTTTGTTTTCTTTCCTGTATATGTATGTATATGTATATATTCTTGAAAACATACTCAACTCCGTATCCTCCCCAACAACCGCCAATAATCCACCCATCTTGATCTCCTCCGGGTCCGTTGCCTGTTCAGCACCCAGAAGCCCAACTTCCACTTTATCCGTGCCCGCCGCATGTTTCCGAATCGTCTCAGTCCAACCTGGGGCCCCTTCCGGCGCACGCGACCAAAGCCCGGACATCGTCAAGGCATGCGATATGCTATCATAGTTAAGATCGACCGAATCCGCCGATAAAAGCAACGCCGCATGGCGAGAACACGCCAGATCATCCCGGGCGCAAATTTCCTGCTGTAGGTACGTAACGAGGGTATCGAGGGAGGGCAGGGATTCGTAGAACTGGTAGGCAGCCGTGGAAGCAGCAGAGCGAGTGGAGAGAATGAAGGATTTCTTCCTCATGTTCGTCAGCGTAACCAGGCAAAACCAAGAAAGAAAGAAAGACAAACCTCGGCATTCTCACACTTTAACCTGGGATCGAAGGCTTTCTTAAGCAATGTACACAATCCCGATTCCCTGAGCACATACATTAGCTCTCTTCTCCGTTGCCCCCACACAACTAGAACAAAAATACTCACGACCCCCGCTTCGTCACTTCTCCTTCTCCTACACGCACCGGGGAAAAAAACACATGCAACCCAGCCGAAACCCGACTCGAAAACGGAGCTAGAGCATGATATTGTCTCTGCGTAGCCCAGCGAAGATGAATCCGATGGGATTGTCCAAGGACTTGACGGAGCTAGATCCATAAACAATTATCAGTATCAATCATCCCATCTCATCATCGGTTTGTTATTGGGTATGGTTCTGCTCTGCTCTGCTCTGTTCTGTTCTCCACTGTTCAACAAACAGCCCACCAGGTAAGGAAACCAGGATACACACCTCTTCGGGCAGCTCATCCACACGAAAGGTCACGCGTTCTTCGCGGGCTCCGTCGATGTCGTGGATTGAGAGGGAGTCCGGGGAGAGGATTGCTTGGTTGAATGTGAAGGGGGCGTCGGGGTGTTGGATGAAGGTTATTCTTTGGCGCATTCTTTCTACTTTCTTTACTGGAGGAAAGGAAAGGGAAAGAAAGAGAGAGAAAGAGAGAGAAAGAGAAAGGAATGGGAGTTTGAAGAGTTTAAGAGAGAGAGAGAGAGAGAGAGAGCGAGCGAGCGAGCGAGAAAGGAGGTTTCTTGCATCTTTGAGTAGCCGATAAGATAAGCCCAAGTTACTATATATATATATATACATACACACTGGGTAGATTAATATCTATGAGCTGTTACAAAAACATACATATATTAAGTCATTTGAGATATTAAATGAAATCATAATTAAGTAAAATAGGGTTTATTCATCAGAACTAAACATGCTAGTTAAGTATGGAGAAAGTATGCAGAATCATCTCATCATAAACAATTCGCGAATCAACCGTGCTCGCGCCCAACGCCAAAAATGCTAGGATGAATTCCCAATGAAAGAAAGAAGAAGAAAAAAAGTTACGGGAGCACGCTCTTCAGAGTCTCTTTCTGAGAAGCAGACAGCGTCGCAGGGAATCTGACATTGACACGGACGATAAGATCGCCCCGCTCACTGGGCTTCTTCGAGATGGTCATTCCAAGTCCCGGGAATCGCTCTTCGTATCCCGGGGATGTTGGACCAGGCTTGGAGACACGGATCGATTTGCCGTCGATGGTACGCACGATCCGCTCCCAGCCGGTCAGAGCTTCTTTGAGACTGAGTTCCACTGTTGTGATGAGATGGTCGCCTTGTCGTTTGAAGTTGGGGTGTTCTTTCTGTATAGAATCGTCAGTACGCTGTGCGATGCCACCAATGCAGAAAGAAGAGAGAGAGAGGGGGGGGGGGGGGGGGATCTTACCTCTGTCACAATGAGATGCACATCCTGTCGCCCGCCTTCCTCCTGATCACCGACGCCGCGGTATTTAAACTTGGATCCAGTCCGCAGACCAGGCTTAATAGTCGCTTCCAACGTAACATCCTGAACGGTCCGTTTGCCGCTCGCATCAAACGCCTTGCTCTTCACGGTAACTTTCTTCGTCGTACCCCGCATAAGCTCCTCCAGCGTGAGTGGCAGCTGCTTCTCCATAATCGTCGGCTCTGGCGTCGGAGCCCGCGGAGACTGCTGGAACCCGCCTGGTCCGCGACTGGTGCGGAACCTAGGCCCAGCAGCGCCTCCCAAACCACCGCCCAACCCGCCGCCCAGCATCGAGAAGATATCGGCTTCGTCCAGGCCGCCGCCGGCGCCACTCGACTTGGCGAAGTTCCGGAAAATATCGTCCGCAGAGCTGAACTGGAACCCACCGGCGCCGCCAGGCCCAGTCGAGAAATGGAAGGTGCGTGTCCCGCCGCCTCCCGCGGGCATGCCGCCAAAGCCGCCGGGCATGCCACCTTCGAAGGGCGAGGCGCCGGCGCCGGCGCCGGGACCGCCCGCAGACGGGGGCGGGGGGCCACCACGGAGGAGATATTCGAGGCCGAACTGATCATAGACTTTACGTTTCTCAGGGTCTGAGAGGACTTCGTATGCTTGGGACACATCTACGGAAGAAAGAAATTAGCATGGGCCGACCCGGTAGAGCCGGGGGATGCCTACCTTTGAATTTCTCGGCGGCGTTTGGGTCGTTCTTGTTCTTGTCTGGGTGATACTTCAACGCCGACTTGCGGTATGCCTTCTTGATGTCATCCTGCGAGGCATCCGGCTTGATCCCCAGGGCATCGTATAGCTTTGTCTCTGCGACCATTTTGGCGGGAATGGTGGAGAAAGAAGAAAAAGAAAACAAAATATGGATATCAACAGAGTCCTAATTGGCGGAATCCAAGTAGAATATAAATGCAGGACTGAGAGGAGGAGGCAGTGGTGGGTGAAGGGGGGAAGAGAGTAGGAGCAGCTCGAATGACGTAGAAGATTCGACCGGACGGCGGCACGAAAATGATAAGGACAGACAACGGGACTCAAATCAGACAACTGCGGACACTGAACAATCAAGACGACATAATGGTTCTTAAAGGGTCAGTCAGGTTCAGGTTCAGAGTGGAATATGCAGAAAGAAGATGATGGCCAACTGTGACTGACGTGTGTGTGACTGACTGACTGTTGACCGCAACTCCAGAAGGTTCGAGAAGCTTCTCTTTCTCTTTCTTCGCTCCGGGATGGAGATCGGGTTTCTTACATTCCCCATTCAAAGCATATTGAAAGCATTCCAAGAGTGACGCCGTCATAGACAATACAACATCGTCAACCATTTCTGAACAGTCAACAGGACCTCCCCTCCTCTGATCGCTTGCCTGAAGCGGATAGTCCCGGTGGAACTCTCGGTAAGCTGAGGCCAAGTGTGGGTTTTTTTGCACTACGCCTACAGAGGATCTCCTCTTTTACTCAACATGGTTCGAGATGGTTAAACTAATTCTATTTCTATCTTGGGACCCGAGGTATCGCCGTCGACCACAATGTAATCCTTGATCGTTGCGGTTCCATTAACCACGCTCTGAGTCTGCTCATCGGTACAGGAGGAACGAAGAGAGAGAATGTAGCAAGTGGGGTCCGGACTGTCCGGGACCAAGTTCGTGATGTTCCAGGTCGAGGATGGACCCTTGCTGGAATACGTGCGATGCTGAATCGTGGACACCCGGCCAGTGGCAATGTCCCGGTTGAAAAGGGCACGGTGGAAAATCTCATACGCCGTCTGCGGTTGGTACGCTGGTACCTCGTGGCCGGCTTCGAACACCCGGGTGAACGAGAAATTCCCGTACTGACGCACCAGCCCGCCGACGTAGGAGGAGTTGGTCTGCACGGATGCATAGCCCGCCGCGCGGAACTGGGCTGCATCACGGTAGTTCACCTGCAAACTCACCTGTTCGCCGCCGTTCCATGGGCAAGCGTAGTCTCGATCGCCGTACACCAAGGCCACCTTGATACCGGAGTCGAGAACATACGCCAAGTCCTCCAGGTACCCGTGCACATCCGCCCGTGGGTAGTCGCCCGTGCTGGAGAAGCCGTCGTAAACACTGTCAGTAGATTCCGTGAAGTTGACCGGAACCCCCAAGGCCCCCTGGACCCAGTGCTGGCTCAGGTAACCGAGGAAGTAGGGCGGGGGGAAAGGATCGGGGTCGAAATGTGAGATATCGTAGTAGCCCCGGCCGGCGTGCAAGATATAAGGGCCCTCCACGTTGTTACTGCAGTAGTCGTTGGCGACCTGGCACGCGCGGTTGACCGTGGCGTTGTTCCCATACATCTGGGGGTCCCCCTCCAAGGCGAGCTGGCGGCACCGTGTAATCAAGTCCTTACAGCCACCCGGCTTACTCCACGCCTCCATCGCCGCGTCATACACCGTTTGGTTGATAGCGGGGATCCCATAGGTATTGTTATAGGCCATCTGGGGATACGACTCGCCCTGAACGAGCAAGTCAACGCATCCGTTGATAATGCCCAGTGTGTCCAGGTGGATATAATGGGCTTCCCCGGGCCCAGTCAGCGAGCCATTGGCAATCTTCTCGTTCTGCTCCTGGAAGAGCGCAGTGAAAGCCGGGCCATAGCGCCCACCATAAGACTCGGTCCAGATGCTGACCCGGTCGTTCAGCGGCTTATACTCGGGGAACTCCGTAAACCAGGTCTGGGCAAAGTGCCACAGAGCGCGGGCCGCGTTCGCCGTGGTATTGGCGGAGCTGGACCGGTTCAGACTGGGGAACGTACCGACGTAGAAAGTGTTGTTCTGCTCCGGGACGGTCGTCGTCGTCGTCGTCGTCGTCGTCGTCGTCCATCCGGAGACGTTACGCACCCCAGAGACCTGGTCATAGGTTCCATTGGTGGGGAGATCGTAGCTGAACCCGACCTGATTCGGCTGGTCGATATAAAGCATGTTGACGTAGTTATTCCACGACCAAGGATTCGGCTGCGTCGAGTTGGAGTCCGCAGCGACCCGACATGGTCCATTCTCCTGCAGGAGACCGATCATGGACGAGCTGCCGGGCCCGCCGTTCATCCAGATCGACAGCGGGGCATTCACGGGGTCATTCCGCGATTCGAAAAACCAGAAAAAGGTGTTGATCGGATACTGCTGGGCCAGTCCCAGATCCCGGAGGGTGCCGGGGGGCAGATGGACATAGCCGGAGTATGATTTCACGCCCGGTGTCGTTTCACAGATCCCAGGCTATTTCATTGGATAGGGCAACTCGTTAGAACGGAGCCCTCTTGAAGAGATGCATCATGTTATAACTATCCGAGAGGGTTCGAATGGAAAATCATTCTAGACTCAGCTGCTGTACCTGTTTGTAGGAAATCGTGACCCCTTTCTGGCTCTTCGACTCGATCACTTTGACTCCCTCTGGAGTAGGTGGGAAGTACTGCCCGGTGACAGCACCGACCAAACTGGCGGTGACGCCCACAAGCGATAAAAACGAAGGCATTGATGGTGCAAGTAGCCCTCCGGCCATAAATCCGAAGGAGGGGAAGAAAGTGAGAGAAAAAAGAAAAAAGGATGCAACCGTGGAGGTGGAGGGAAGGGAATAGTGCATATTCTTATTTACCCGAATCCTCAGCATCGGATGCATCACGTAAGAGGGGAAGAGCCATGGATTGGCCGGAGACAGCAATAGTCAATGTAATATTGCGATCGTGTTGACTTGTAACTGATCAGTTCCACTCAGATCTTCATGGCTAGGGTTCAAGAGTATATATATTGGCCATCATTTTGGCGTGGAAGGAGATATTCAGAGTGAAATATATTTATAGTTAGTCGGAATTACCCAGTCATGAGCAAGATACATCTAAATAGGAGATCACACATCAGATACCTATCTTTATTCCTCGTACAGTTCGGCTCGCAGCCCTAATCATCATCGAGTGGAATCGAAAAGAACCGAGACGCCCAGGTATTCCCATGCAGGATATTCTCCAAGCACCAACGCCCAAAACGCTACAAATCAAAACAAAACAGCACGGATATCTTGACGCTGACCAACACGGAGGTAGAACCAAGAAATACAGGAGACAGAAAGATATGTCCTCAGGGTTGTATATGCACAAAAAAAAAAAAAAAAAAAAGAAAAGAAAGAAAGAAAGAAAAAGGGTAAATCAAGATAAAATGGGGAGAGTGTGTGAGAAATCAACGGCTTAGTTGACCGTCACTACTGCCTGGCTCTCACTTTTGATAGGCTCCGTCGATTCAGTCTCCGGATGACTCGCTTTCTCAGTGTGGGTAGTGTCGTTGGTTTTGGGCTGTTCGAGACTCGCGCTAGACCCATCATCTTGAGTGCTGACCTCGGTTTCTGATGCCGCATCCGATGCCCGCACACTCGACACGGAGTGGAATTCATCCTTTTCGAGAGACACCTCGTTGAATTCGCCTGCTTCATCCGATGAGGTCTCAGCGGGGTCGTTCTGAGGGTTAAGAGGCAGCTCTGCGAACCCATCCAGAGCACCATGTGTGGAGCCCGGGGTGAAAGAAGGAGTATCGTATGGGGTAGGCGAGGTACTGGGAGACACGGGCCTCGATGGCGAATTTGACGCTCGTTGAGGATTGCGTGGTGGAAGTGAAGGAGGTTGCCGTTTTGGAATGGTGACGAGACGAGCCCGAGTGAAGGTGGGAGACGGGCGCCTGCCTTCCAGTGGCAAATTGGGGGCCTCAACGGAGACAGGGGAAGAGGAATTGGTGACGCTGTCGCGTCTGGAAACTCTTGCGCTGCTGACCTCGTGAACTTCCAGATCGTCGTCGTTGATCAAATCTGGATCAATAATACCCTGGTCAGGGCTGCGGAAGGGGGATTCATCATGTTCCGGGATGACGGTATCCCAGCGGTTCTCCTCGTCCTCCCATGGGGATGGTTCTAGGCGGTCCGCGGGGTCTCGATTACTCCGTGAAGACGCACGGCTAATCGATGTGGGAGCAGTCAAGGGCCCATCGGCTGTCTGAGTGCCGCGGTCCACACTGGCGTAACTCTGGACACTGGTGCGCCAGCTGTTACGCGGCGAACTGTCAAGACTACGGCGGAAAGTTGCGTAGACAGGACTCCCTGGGTTTGGTCTAAACTCGAACGCTTCTTGACTTGGCCTGATTTTAGTCCCCGCCTCGCGGATAAACAGGCCTTCCGCCTCCAACGCCTTCACTCCGAACGGATCGGGGTCCTCGGGGTCGGGTATGCCAAAGGACGCATTGGCCTGCAGCTCCAAGTCTCCGGGAGTTTCACCGGGAGGAGGAAGCAGACTCTCATCCACATTCAGGTCACCCTGGGCCGCCTTGACCGTCTGGAGCAGAGTTGCAATTGAAGGGGGAGGTCTCCTGGCTTTACCGGCTAAGATGTCTGTTACGGATATGCGCTCCCCATAGAACCGCTCATTTTCATCCGTGCGTTCGATGATGATGGTTCCATCCACCTGGACGCCGGCATACAGACCACGACTCTTCATGTAGGTCCAGATCGGAGCTTGTCGCTTGTGGACTTCGGAGTCAAGCACACCTCCCATTCCAACGGGACCGGCAGCGGCGCTGACCTCTCCCCCTAGTGTACATCGGACCTTCTTGAACGCCTCCAAAGCCTCGTAGGTATTGATCACCACGACGCAGTCGTAGATATCAACGCCGGCAAGGAACCCAATACCGGCGGTATGCAGCATGATACCGGAAGGTGGACTCCATTCCCCGGTCTCTGGAATCCGGGCCAGCAGCACGCCACTTCCACCCGATCCACTGATCCAGAGACCGGTGCGCATGGTGGTGAATATGGCCAATCCCTTGGCTTCCTTGACGACTTTGGACGGGATCTTTTTCAGGACGCGCTGTTTGCCTCTGGGGCGGTCGATTTTGCCGGGTTCCTTATTCACGGCACTGTCTGTGCTTTGTCGATCGGATTCGGCGTCGTTATTGGCGTAGAAGCCATCCTTGCAGAAGCTTCGTAGAATTCGAGCTGCTTTATCACTTTCTTTATCGAGGGACATGGGCCAAAACGCTTCAGCACCGACACGATTGGACAAACGGTTGACGGGATCGCCCAGCTTGTCGAGAGTGTGCCATGCTTTATCGAACCCCTTCTTAGAGGTTCCCTTTGTCCTTTCCCAGAGCGAGGGCGCCATTTTTTGCGGTTCGAATGGGCCACGCTTGGTTGGAAGGGATAAAGAGAAGATGAGTAGAAGTATAAGTCTCAAGGACTCGATGAATTTTTTTTTTTTTTTTTCTTTTCCCTTTTGAGGGACTATAGCAGTATATGGTAGATCACAAGCCACGCAAAAGTGACGGGAACAGCAAGCATATGTCGCCTCAATATTTCTTAATGCGACCCGGGAATGTATGAGAGACGGAAAGCGGCCAGCTATGATGTCGTTGCTGACACAGGCCGCGGAATGTGTGTGCTTCAAAAATGCACGCTATCCACGAGGAGAAAGGGCGTAAAAAGCGATGTACTGTGTATTTGAAATCAGCTGGCGGGGGCGAAATAAAAGTCGCGCTGAGAAATACTGGCTGCACTGGGTCATGATCAATCAGCCTTGTGAACTTTTCGCCGTGCTATCCGTGTTCGAGACCAGCCAGTCAGATGGGTGGCAATCGAAGGATCCAGTGGGATACCAGGAGAGGGGAACCGCGGATGGAGAAACCATGGGCTTGCTCACCTAGTGAAGACTAACGAAAGGCTATGCTTCCGAGAGAATTAGGTCAGGATTCGATGCAAGAAAGAGTTAGATTCCAGCGGATGATGAATGATGAGGATTTTGTTGAATCGAGCAAGGGATACACTCTAGTATAGTCCACAGGATGTATGTCAGTAGGTAGATACCCCTACAGGAGGGAAGGGGATCGGATTCAAGAAAGAGAGAAGGAGGGAAGAAAGAGGAAGAAAGGATGAGTCGAGAGGAGGAAAAGGGCGTCATAATATAGCAAGGAAGCGACATCATCGTCAGGGACTGATGCCAGCACGGCTGGATCGGAAACGCATGGTTGGAAAGCGCTGGAAGTGGCGCTGTGGCTGGTCCGGAAGATGGGGAAGTTGATTCTGCTGAGATCGTAGTAGAGACTTGGAAGAATAAAGTATGATGGAGGAGGAAGAGATGAAGATGAAGATGAAGAAGAAGATGTGATGGGGATGATTACCTGTACTCTGGTATATTCCAGTGATACACACATTTCTTTCCTTCTTTCCTTCTTTCTTTCTTTCTTTTGGATTTATTCTCTTCTATTCTCTCTTATTCTCTTGATATTTACAGAATTATAATGAACAATCTATTGTGTTTAAACCCAGAATGGTACCTTGTCATCAGAGTACTCCATACGGATCCAAGTCTTCCTAAGATTCAATTCTTAAAAATTATAATAATTATAATAATAATAATAATAATAATAAATTTTCCCATCCCCTACATTCTCCTTTTCTCATGCATTCATGTATCGACCCAGAATATGACAGCTCCAATGGATGGCGATTCTCAGCCCAGCCATCTGTCGCCTAGGGGAAGATACGTCCGCTGCAGTAGTCTCTCGATAGTCTGATCCAACTTCACTCGTCCCTAGGTAGGATATACTATCTAGTACCCTAGTTACAAGAATTTATATCCACAGTGAACTGCCTCCAGGAGACATTTATTATGGTACCCAATCACTCCTTTCCGTCCGCGCATGTCTGTATACTCCGTGACGGACTAACTGCTAGTACGACTGCCTCGGTAGGATCTCGGAGGAGTCGTTGTACATACATACACTGTACATATCATATGTGACGGGCACTTTACAGGTTTTTTTGTTTATTTGTTGTTTTCTGAGTTCTGAGTTTTTGTCCCGATTTCTTCACACGAGGGTTGAGGTCTGTCTGTCCTGCGCTGGATTCAATGGATTCTTACTCGATCGGTACGGATTCCGTCATACTAGATATGTCTTCCTCCAGATCCTGAGTCGTCAAGTTGAGATTAACTGCTGCACGGCGAGAGCAACCGCGTGCAGAAAATCAGGCGCCTTTTTGCCTGGGTTGAAGAAAAGCATGTCTCGCCAGTTCGCCGGCCGTTTTTCTCACATCGGGATGCCAGACCAGCATTTGCTGGGCGAGATCCAGAAACGCTTCCCGCTCCGCTCCCTCCAGGAAGGAAACGGTGTCGCCTAGTTTCCGGTCGGGGATCAGGTCTTCGTAGAGAAAGCGACCTAGGATGAATTCGTGAGTCTGTGAAGCATTCGCTCGAGATAGGGACCCCCAGTGATAAATACCAGTATCGTCAAAGAATGGCCCATAGAAGTACTCCTCCACGGTCTTGCATACTCTGCCGTCTTCGCGTCTGACAGGTTCCGGCCACGAGTACTCTCGCATGTAGTGATACCTTTGTATGATCTCTGGAGGGGGTGGGCCAAGCAAGGCTATCATTTCGGCGATGTGTAGTTTCGCATCGTAACGACTGTGTTGATCGTGGATCTGCCGAAAGAGCTCTTTGCCTTCGATCATATCCCACAACTGGTCGGGCATTAGTGGATGCAACCAACAACCTTGCAAAAAACGGGACGCACCAGAACACCAAGGTTCCAAATATCCGCCGGCATTTGCCATCCATTACCCAGTATCACCTCCGGCGCGCGATAGTGGCCGGGCTGAATAGGCCACACGCCCCAGTCGTCGTCTTCCTCGAGCCTGGTTGCCAAGCCAAAGTCGACCAGCTGTGGGATACTTCTCAGGCTTTTGAGTGGCCCGAAGTCGTGACGAGACTGGTACACTGGTCGTCCCGTCGAATCAATCTTGAAAGCCATCGGGGTTTCAAGCTGGAAATCCATGAAATCAGCCAGCACGGCTGGGTCCTCGAACGAGACCATGATGTTTTCCAGCTTAAGATCTAGGCAGCCAGCCACCTGGGCTCAGTATCGCCGACGGGACGCAAGGCCGAAGATGAACTTACCCGTATGAACTACCCTGCATTCTTTGTGCAGATAATCAAGCCCCGTAAGAAGAGCCCGAATGTATGTTTTAACAATGGGCAGTGGCATCTTTCTACTGTCAAAGCGCCGCTGATACATTGACAACGGCTCCCTCATAGGCGGATACACCAGACACGAATGAGAACCTTCTGGGCCTTTTACTTCAAACGAGTCGAGTAACGGTCGGATAAGTGAGTGACCGCGATGCGATGGGTCTGCCGTGGAAATGTGCTTTTCAATCTCGCGCTCATGACCAGCGGAACTCGCATGGTAGGTATTGGTGATTTTAAGTGCCACGACGCTCTCTGGCTCTTCGGTATACCTGGATATTTGTTAGAGACAGAGAGTTTCGAATTGAACAGAAATTATTATAAGGCTACCCTTGCAAATCACGCGCGAGCCAGACTGTCGAAGACACGCCCCAGCCAACTTTGACCAGGGTTTGGTAACGATCAGCGAGGACCTCTCCCGGCTTCGCTGGGTAGAAGTACTTGGGATTGTATACTGGCGAGATCTCTTCATCCACGAGTATGCCAGGTGGTAAAGGTGGCCCCGGAGAAGGCATGGGAAATGGTTTCTTGCGCCGCAAGGCGGACAAACGAGGAATGGACCTTATAGTGTTCATTACAGAGTTGCTTGCTGTAAGCCGATAGAGAAGGTGATAACTATCAATAGTTGTACGAAGAAAAAAAATCAAGGAGGATGGCTGGTAAACATGGTCACGTGGCACAGTAAGGCGAATATCCCAGCAGCCAAATGTAGGTACTTCGCTGGGGGACAAAACCCAAGGGAAGATGTATCACTGCTAGAGATCCAGCTGGTGCGGCGTATCTGTAGATCAACAGCGGTAGCTCCATGACAGAAAGTTGTTGATCAAAAACTATGGCCAACAATGATGTAATAAGATGTGAAACATGTCCTATAAATATATATAACAGTAGCATCATAGAGGTTGTATATCACGATATAAAAACAACTATACAACTTGTTCTCTAAACTTCCTACTAGGTCCTGGTGCTATTAGGAGGTACAAGGTTAATGGAAGCATTCATTCAAAGAATAGTAGAATACACCATGGCTGTATCAGTGGAATCATAGTTCAGTAACAGGGCCAATGGTCTAGCGAAACATAAATAATCACCGCATTTTAAAATCACAGAGCGCCAAGTTCCTTGAGCTTCGAGATCAACCCGTCCACATCCTCAACCTTGCCACCACCCTGTCGGGCTGGGGGTTCTATTACAGACAGTTAGAATCGATGATTGCGCATTGCCAACCCCAAGGAAGGATTAGAGAGAGAGAGAGCGGAAACACGTACCAGTAACCTTCAGAGTCTTCAAACGCTTCTTATCATCTACCCCAAGATCCGCCAGCGTCTTCTTCTCTAGCGGCTTCTTCTTCGCCTTCATGATGTTGGGCAGACTGGCATACCGAGGCTCATTCAGCCGTAGGTCCGTGGTAATAACCATGGGCAGCTTGGCCCGGAGGGTCTCAACACCACCATCAACCTCATGAGTCACCTCAATTGTACCCTGATCATCCTTGACCTCGACCTTACTGGCCTGTGTTGCCTGCGGCCAGCCCAGCAGACCAGCCAGCATCTGACCCGTCTGGCCCTGATCACCGTCGATGGCCTGCTTCCCGAGCAGCACCAGGTTGATGTTCTCCGATTTGACCACGTTCTGCAGCATCTTCGCCACAGTCAAAGACTCCAGGCCGCCGTCACTGCTGTCGGGAACGTCCACGTGGAAGGCGCGGTCGGCGCCCATGGCCATGGCGGTGCGGAGGGTATCCACGCATTTCGCGCCACCGGCGGAGAGGGCGAGAATGTTTTCGACCTGCAGGGGACCCTTGCGTTCACGGAGACGAACGGCTTCCTCGATGGAGAGCTCATCGAAGGGGTTGAGAGAGTGCTTCACGCCGACGGTCTCGACGCCGGTCTGGGTTTTGTTGATGCGAGGTTTGATCTGCGGCAATTAGTGGCTGGGTCCGTGATGTATGCCGCTGGTAAAGATCCAAGATAATATAGAAAACCTCCATCGTGACTCTTCGCCGAAGACGGAGCAACAAAAAGCTAGGACTTACCGCATAGTCGATCACCCGCTTGACGGGGACGAGAATTCGCAATCCGCTGGCCATTCTGGGAGGTATATATGCACTTCTTCTTCTCACTCCGAGGTTGATTCAACGATTGAATGCCAGGTTGCGGGGGGAGGGGAGTCAAAAGCAGTAGGGGAAAGAAGATGATAACCGAACCGGGGGGCAGAAAAACGATCCATTGACTTGTAAGCGGAGAGCTGCAACAATGCGGGCCGAGTTGTCCAACCACATTCGCCTTCAGATTCAATTCACCCGCCTGCAACCGAGGTTTACTTTTGCAGGGTCGATACATCCCGGAGCTGGAGACTCCGTACGTCGAAATTCCTGGTGTCTATGAACCCTATCTATATACAGAAAGAATACCGCATCTTGTTGTGCCTGCTGCTCTACCAAGTTTCCTGCTTGTATCGTCCGGTTTTTTCCATCCCTACCAAATACTCTTCTGCTTCCCGTCGGCTGAATCGCTGTGTATCGACGTCCCCGCCAAACTGGAATGACTCGATTAAGGCCTCGCGAACAGCCTGGGGCATTCGTCCCGAGGAGCCGCAAACATAGACAGCGCCGCCCTTGTCATGGAGCAGCTTGAAAACCAAGCTGAAATTCTCTCGGATAACATCCTGGACGTAAACCTTTCGTTCTTGGTCGCGTGAAAATGCAGTCAGCACCTTGAGTTTCACGAGAGAGCTCAATTGCTGCCACTCCGCGTCAAAGAAGAAATCCGCGGCCCGGTTGCGACCGCCATAAAGAAGAAGCGTCGGCTCAATTGGAGGGTCGACGCCCGGGTTCTCCTCCTGGTATGATTTAACGATCGCGGCCTTCTCCCAGAGCATCGACCGTAATGGTGCAACACCTGTACCGGGGCCGATCAGCATCGTCGGGCCAACCAGTTGGCCAACGGAGGAATTCAGCCCGCCTCGTTGCAGCTGGACCTTCATTGTGCTTCCTGGACGGAGCGTTGAGATATACTTGGTGCAAACCCCTTCTCTGATTTTTTTAATGACAGTTCGATACTTGACAATCGCAATTAGGAGCTCAAACCGCGCTCCTCCTTCCGGGGTCCGTTTTAGTTCTCCGCCGCTGGCGATGCTGAATTGTCTTCCTCGGAAGATCGGAAAGACTGATGTTGCATGCTGCCATGGGATTTTGACCGTGTCGAATTCATGCAGAACTTCTAGGATACTACGTCTGGGTCGTGTGGTGTAGTCCCAGAATTCCTGGATGAACTCGGGGTTGGTGAATTCCAACAGTCGTTCCTTGTGCATTTCGTAGCCGGTGTAGTGGGCTAGTGACGAAAGAAAAGCCCTGCGGGGGATCGCTCGGATATCCAAATAGTTGATAACAAGCTCGCGGAGGGTGAGTTTTGGATGAGATTCAAGACCGTGAATAGGCGGAGCTGGTAGGTCCTCAATGGGTCGTGCGTTGTCGCTTGGGACGAGAGAAACTAGTTGATCAGCTTGTTCCTCCCACCCCAGCATCTCAATGAGGCTCTGGGCATCCTCTGGTGTATTTTTCGGAGTGATGCATATCACGTCCCCGGGGGCATAGGAGACTGCATCAGGTACAGTGAAGATAAAATGCCGTACATCCTGCCAGTGCGATGCTGGTGTAACACGCTTGTTTTGGATAAGGGTTGCCGTGAGGCCATCGTGGATCGGCCGCTGGTCATAATCCAGTCGGTACGAATCCGGAATATCTGTAGATATTTTCGGATCTTCCGTGTTCTTAGGGGTAGGTGGTTCAGAATCCGGAAATGCGTCCTGGCTTTGCAGCTGCAAACCCCATTTTGGTGGAAGTTGAACATCGTCCGGTATCGGATCCTGTCCCCGAGGGAGAGGATACTTCTCCAGCAAGTGCTTTCGCAAATCCGTGAGCCAAGGGATGAATGTACCTTCAAGCCTATGGCGATAGTCAGCATGCAGTGAACAAGGGTGATAGTTCAAACAAGGCAGGGGGACACACGGACCCTTCTGGATGCTGCTGATCGGCTTCTCCACCGGGGTATATCTCGTCTGCGCCGAGTTGCAGCAGCCGCTTGTACAATTTGCGAGCGGCCCAATTGAATCTTCCAAAGTCAGAATGAATCAACTCCATATGCGGACTGGAATAAACGTACTTGGGATACGAACTATCACCAAGTCCAAACCATGTAAACCTAACCCCACTCAAAAAGGTCGGCGGGAGTTTCTTCAACAGCAATGATCTCCAAAACGTCCTCGCATTGGCGGGGAGATCTCCCTGCCCGGTGGTTGAAACCACAAAGACCACTACCGTGTGCGATTGCAACGAGTCCTGGGAGTCATGAATTAGCCAGAAAAACACGATAGCAGAGAAAGGTAACGAACTGCCTTGACATGGTTTAGTGCTGAGACATGAGTCGCGAAGTGAAGGCGCTCCGCCAAAGCACCTATTTCCTCGGCTACTTCTTGGGCATTCCCAGTTTCGGAGCCGTAAAGGACAAGAGCAGAGCGTTTCTCTGATCCTGGTGTCGGTTGACTCTCACTCATCCTGTCCAATGCACTTGATCACTAATAGGCGAAGTTGGTGCGACTCCTAACTGTTGCCCGCCAAATGTTGACTCAAATTTGTGGATCGGAATGCTCCGCGGACCGGGTGATGTCATCCGCAGATCGGACCAGTACATTTTGGCTTCATTTTGAGAGCATCTACCTAGGTACATCCCAATGTTATATACGCGAATAGATGCGCTATACACTATACTTATCCTGTTATGCATTCTAATACTAGTTTGTATGGGATTGAATCAATCTGCATCGACGCATAACCCCCCAAAAACCCCACTGACCGAATCGATCATTGAAATGAATTTCGCTTCTTAATGTAGATGCTAATGAACCGCTCATAGATAATCACCAATCCAATCAAAACAACACGGGTATCTGTAGAAATGCGCCTTAATATGTATCCTCATCACCACCGCCACCACCTCCATCTCCAAACCCATCATCGCCGTACTCGTCATCGCCCCCATCGAAGTATTGCTCGGCGTTATAATCTCCACCCATTTCGTCCTCATCGTCCTCGAAGTCATCATCCACAATTTCTTCCTCTTGATCTTCGTCTGCGTCAAGGATATTCCCTTCTACCTCTTCGTTCTCCGCCCCCTCACCCTCCTCTTCTTCGCCTTGTCTCCTCCGCTTGGCCTCTTCATCTTCTTCTTCATCGTCCTCGAACCCTCGCTTGATCCCACTAGCCGCCCCCTGGAGCACGTAGCCATCTAAGACCGCATCCGGTTTGAAATTCGGCTGAATGGTCGTCCAAAGATCACGGGGGAAGAATTTCATCACTGAAAGAGTCACAAATCAGTTATAAGCGCACATTTCCCTTCCACAGTGGAGACGCGACGGATGGGAAGAAGGGAGGGGGGAGGGGGGGGGCTAAATAATTAAAAAAAAAAAAAAAAAAAAAAAAAAAAGAGAGAATTTCCATACCATAAGGCCGCCCCTGCACCTTCGGCACTAGCCTCTTCTTCTTCTGGTATTTCCCCGAATAAGACGGCATCCCGTTAAACGGATCAAAGCTCGCACGCGCGCTAACGAATCCATTCGGACCAGGCGAGGACCCCAGAATCGAGTAGTATGGACCATCGTGGAACCGTTCCCGGAGAGTGCGATACAAATCAACCTGGATTTGTTCGCGGGCGCTCAGCGGTCTTGCGTGCGGGATAGCATATTTCTAGCGGGGATATCCATAAGCAACTGATTAATCTCGGGGGGGGGGGGGGTGGTTGGGATTATATATCATGGTTTTTCAAGGACCGTGGGTTGTTGTTCTTCCAACATACCGGGAAAAGGGGAGTAGGAGCCGTGTCTGGCTCTCCGCTTGGGTCTGTGGTATCCCAGGTGAACTCTGCCCCGGGGAGTTTCCGGCCTTTCTTGGCTCCGAACCGCGACATCGTGAGGGTCGTAGTGGAAATTACCGCTGCATGTGTTAAACCTCGGCGGAGGAGAACTGATGGAGATGCGATGTGATTACTTTCGCCGCATAGAAAAAAAAAAAAAAAAGTCCCGAGCGGAGCTTAGACTCACCGCCTTTGAGCGGGGATGCTGACAAATTTGGAAATTTAGGGTTTTAGAGTTCTGCCCTCTGACCGCCTGCTGGAAAGGAGTTGATGTATAGATCTGGTGAAACTAGCAGCTAGTTTGCATGCATACTTATGGAGAAGAAGTTTTAATTAATATATCATTAGGCATAAAGTGTTGTAACTTCGTGACTCTTCACATACCCACGGTCTCGACCTGTGCCACTGTCTGAGGCCCAGGACCCGATGGGCCGTCTTTTACGCGCTTCTCCAGTGTACGCACGATGTCCCCAAACCCTGAAAACTCTTCCTCTATCTTTTGAATGGATTTGTACAAGGCAACCAAGACCTCGTACTTGGCGGTCGCCACTTTCCACACAGCATTCTGGGGGTCCGCAGCCCCTCCCGCGACGAAATCGGAGTAGGACCGTGGTGGCTTAAATAAATAAGGTAATAGGGTGGTCAAAGCTGGGGGGGTAAGAGCAACCCATGCACCTGACGAAGGCAGCATTCCTTCGGTAGCTGGAGACAAACGGCCGAGTTGTTCCTCGGATGGAAGTTGGTATCTAGCGGTACCAGGAACGGACGAAGTGACCTCCTCTGACAGAGGGTGCCAGTTGGCGGTGACAACGGCCTGCATGAAAGAAATCGAAGCCAAAGAGAGGTTCTTCATTGCCAAAACATCAGCTGCGGCGATAGTATCTGCCCAGAGCGATGGGCGATGATTTAAATAGGCGAAGTAGAGCACACGGGCCGCCGCGGCTTCTTTATGCCAATCAGTTGCGGTTTGGCCGGATGCGTTCAACTCCATTGAGTCGGCAAGCTTTACTTTAGGAGGACCGTGGAAAATCTTTGCTAGCGCATCAAAGACTTCTTGGATTGGTGGGTTTGTTGGCAACGCCATCACTGGATTTGTGCCTTTTCTATTGGCCTCTACCAGCAATACACGCGGGAGGCAGGCAAGGACATTGAGTTGCCCACTTGGAATGGGGCCATGAGCCCATTGCGAAGAGGAAATCATCAAGGATGCATCGACGCGGGAAACAATGCGATCCAACAGCGCAGGAGGAATTTGTAAGAAATGGTTCGGATAGAGCTGCGCATATTGGGCCACATAGGCCATGATAGGGCCGCAGAGATAATTGAGGTCTATGGGATCTAACTTCGATTCATCCACATAGTATCCCAACAGAGTACTATGCAACTGGTGTGAAATGAGAAAATCAAGAGCTGGCGAGGAAAATGTGGAAGTTGACTGCATAGTGGTGTGGGACATCAAATTAGGGGCTTCGATTCCAAGGAGATCGCGGAAGAAATTCAACTGCGTCATATGCATCAGCACATCGTTCTTATCGACCATTTCACAGGCCGCAAAATGCAGAAGACTTTGGCTCTTATGTCTAGCTTCCACGTCCGCGATCTGAGAGCTTGAGATCAGGTCCCAGCGCAGCTGGCCTGCTTTTACAAGGAAACCCATTAGCCTTCCCTGAGAAACCGTCTTTTCTCGTTTCGGCAGGCTTCCGGGTCCATCGTCAGTGAGCGAGCAGAACGAGAATAGACGCCCGTAAACGTCCCTATCGGTGAAGACTCTTCTCCACATGAGGCCCTGTCCACCGGAAGAGTCTTCTGGATGCCCTCCATTTTCCAGATTATTAGCTAGGTCAACCTCTAAGAGTGCCCAGAGCGCATCGAAAGCTGCTTGGGCGACGGCGGTTGAGGACGTGGAGAGCCAAAGTTCTACCAACGATTTAACCAGTTCGGGATCTCCAGCAACGATGGCAGCATCGCTGGGCCTATGACCGGCTTTGCTTAGCAGGGTGAGGGCTAGGAGATTGACGGGTGGTGATGGAGCACGGACGCCAGCTATGAAATCAATGGGGGGGTTGACCGAGCGGAGTTCGGCGAAGCTAAAGTAGGCGGCAGCTTTGATACAGAGTGTAGTGACAGGAGTAGGGTCTTCTTGGAGAACAGGCAAGAGTTGCGACACCTGCGTTAAAAGCGCTGCCGGGACTTGACGGTCTGTACTTTCTGTAAGCTCTAATTTCAGCTTGTCTAGGAGGGTCTCGTCGAGCTGGATGGTGGGATCGTCCTGAACTTCTCGTAGATGAACTCTCACTTCATTATATGTCGACGGAACTGCCATCCTGACCACGGAACTGAGAGCAACTTTTGCAAATAGATGAGCAACGGGTTCTTAGATGACATTCACCGCCACGTCTACCTATGTCCAACGATCAGTTGAGGAAGATCGTGAGAATCGTCGGGGTCGTTGGCGGGGAAGCTCCTGTGGCGGATGCAAACGAAACAAACACGCACCACAGCTCCGCCCTCTCGATGTCTGGGGAGATAGATCACTACCTACTACACTGACAATTCTCCGGCTAAACGAAGCCAGAATTCCCCCCCCCCCCCTTCGAGAATATTTGGAGAGGGTTTCTTTTTTGATCATGTCTGACCAGCAGGACTCTCTTCTCTCCCAGAAGTCATCCGATTCGGGCCTCCACATCCAGCTGCACCCGCTTACCCTGCTCACTATCTCCGACCACATCACCCGGCATGCGGCACGGTCTCAACAAGGTCCAATTATCGGGGCGTTACTAGGCCAACAAAACGGGCGCGAGATAACGGTAGAATACGCATTCGAGTGTATCGTGGTGGAAAGCCCCAGCGGCGAAGCGCAACTCCCGAACGACTGGTTCGTTGAACGAGTAAAGCAATGTAAGCGGTCGCGTATAGATGGAAAACCATCATCAATCAGCATCCCCAGATCCTAACCGGGACCAGTCAAGGATGTCCATAAAGCGCCAACTTTAGACCTCATCGGATGGTGGTCAACGGCTCCTCCCTCCGGCCCTACTGCATCCCACCTCCCCATCCACCGCCAGATCCTCCAGAATCACAATGAATCCGCCGTATTCCTCGCGTTCCATCCTTCACAGGTACAGGGGGCATCGAAGAATGGGGGGAAACTACCCTTGACTGTGTATGAGAGCGTTTACGAGGGAGAGAGCGTTACCGAAAGTGGGAAGGCCATGCAGGTAGATGGCGAGGAACAGTCGTTGAATATTCGCTTCCGAGAGTTGCCTTATACAGTTGAGACGGGCGAGGCGGAGATGATTGGCATCGATACCGTCGCTCGAACAGCCAGGAATGCAGCTGCTGTCGAGACATCAACTACAGGCACCGGTGCTTTGCTACAGAAGGATACTCAGAAGACTGAGGCTGACAGCAAAGACCAGTCAGCTAGCACAGTTTTACTTTCGCCAGAGGAGGAAGAAAGTAAGTTTTACGTCCTGAATAAATACCCCCCCCCCCCCCCCCCCCCTTTTTTTTTTTTTTTTGAGTCACCGCTAACTTGTTTACTACAGTGATTGCTAGTTTAAATACACGCCTGAACGCCATCCGAACCCTGGAATCCCGAATCTCCCTAATCAAGTCATATGTTTCCAGCATATCTCCTGAATGCCGAGATACCCAAGCCAACCCCGATACATATTTGTGTCACCCGATTCTCCGAGATATTAATTCCCTTCTTTCTAACCTTTCACTCCTCACACCCCACGAACAAAGTGCCTTCTCGGTAGAGACCCTCGCTCAGAGCAATGACGTGCACCTGGTAGCTTTGCTTGGACAGCTTAGCCAGAGCATCAAGGGTATGCGGGAAGTGGGTAAACGTACAGCCATTGTGAACAGCGTGAGACGTAACGCTGTGTCTCGAAAGGCTCAAATGTCCATGCAGAGCCGATATGAAGATGACATCATGGCTCGGGATGGGATGACTGGCTGAATTAGGTTTTTCTCAACGACTGGAGAATGGATTCGATCCTCATGATTGGCACCCTGAATCTCATAATGAACGTCGTGGTCCCGTAATAAAGATGACGGCTAATCGACGAATAAAGAAATTAATGAACCTCGTAAGAATACATCCATAAAATCTAAATAAATCATCATATATACTTGAAGGTGGCTTAAATATACAAGCTCAGCATATTCCGTCATCATGATTGAGAGAAAAAAGGAGAAGAAGAAGAAAAAAAAAAAAAAAAAAAAGGACGCCCAAGACTAGAAGGGTATAATCTCAACAGCCATTTCAGATCATACCAGGATAAGAAAAACAAAACACTTGGTATGAATGAAGGCAAGGACGCAAGGTGGAAGAAAAGAAGAAAAAAAAGGGGGAAAAAAGGAAAATCATTAGGTAAACAATTCAAAAAGACAAGACAATCATTACACTTCATCACGGTCTACCTTCGCGCATGCTGAGAGTCATTTCGGTAGTGTGATGATGGGTCGTAGGAATCAGGTACAGGGATAGGTGGCTGCACTTGTAACTCTCCCGACGAAGGGAAACGGCTATGTTGACTAGGATACTGGCCAGGTGCGTTCCCAGGAACATGGTAATAATCTTGGTCGGAATCGGATGGGGTCCTCGACGGGACACGGTGTGCTTCTTCCATAGGAGAGTAAGGTCGAGAATGGAATCCTGATTCACCCAAGGAATCATTGACTCGGAGGTTGGGGTTATAGAAACGATTTTGCTCCTCTTCGTAGGGCGGGGGAGCTAGCCCCAGGTCACCACTTGATGGGGTTGGTTGAGCATGGGAAAGTAGCACCTCCCCCTCCTCGTCTGGAGCACGGCCGTAACGACTCGAGGTACTACCGGCTATTAGGGCGCCTGCTCCCTCGTAGCTAGTCGGGTTGGCCTGGGTTGCGCCTTGCGTCGGATTCAGTCCGATTGTTTCAGCTGAATGTTGATAACTCGGGTCCAGTGTCCGCTTCTTCCGGCCGACAAACAGCCAGCGCATGCTGCGGCCCACGGCCCTGAGGAGGTCAATAGGGTTGAGGGCGTCGAGAAGAGCGCCCATGCCCCACCGACCACCATGATAGGAACGTTTCCCGGCCCCGTATAAGTCGGTCACTTCATCTGATTGGAACCCAATCGAGTATGGCTTCCACGGGAACGCCCAGATATGCAAAATAGAGAAAAAGGCCATTTCAACACTGATGATTAAATTTGCAAGTCCGACTTTTAGATCAGGAGTTGCTATTTTTTCCGAGGATTTGATGACGTTAGAAGAGAATAAGAAGGAGATCAGACTCTAAGAAGGGGATCAGTATGCATGGTCCAAGACCGGTAGACACAAAACGGGTCTGATCTTACCGTCTGCCAGAATGAAAGGAAAATGACCAGCTTGATAGAGGCGATTTTCAGGAAAGGCGAGTACTCGCGGATGTCACTATGGATCTGGACGTAAAATTGAACGAGACAGTACATTGCGATTGTGACCGCAACACACTCAATCGCTAGGACCTATTTCCAAAAAAAAAAAAAAAAAAAAAGAAGAAGAAGAAAAAAAGTTAGTGTAGCTCCCTGAAGATAATTTGCAGTCAATCTTACCCAAACATGGGCAAATGCGGGACTAAGTGATTCTTCACAGTACACTTCGAATTTTTGTGTAACAACGGCAAGAATAGTCATAAGGACACGTAGAAGGCAGTACTGAAAAACGCCAACCCAAATCACCTATGTCAAGTAGTTAGCACCCAATGATACAAACAAGCGTGGCAATGCGCATCGTGGGGTCCGTACATTAAACCAAGTCAAACCACTCCGCGGAACCCTCCAAATGCCATTTTGACCCCCAGTACATTTCTGAAGCCAAGGGATAGGCCAGACCCAGTTCTTCGGCTGGATTCCACGGAAGTATTCCTTTTGGCTGTGTAGGTCCGGAGCGATGTAGTGACACAGTAAGGCAAAGAACGCAGAGATCGTGAACGCTTCGTAGCAGTCGCCGAGAACGGAGTAGTAGACGGCATTTTTGTAGTAGAAGGTACTCAACCAAGCGACGAGGGAATAGATGGGGATCATAAGCAGGATGCGAATAATACTGCGACAGTAACACGAGCGCCACCGTTAGCAAAGGGGGCATGCCGGCAGGCCGGTTACGACGAAGGTGATTCAACTTACTGGCGCTGCTCTACGGGTTTGCTGTAATGTGTGGCATGGAGCATAATCAGACAAAACGAAATCAACACCGCAAGTACTGCGAAACCACCGATGATGATGAGGGAGAGCTCGTGAAAGGTCAGACCGCCATCCCACAAGTCGATCTCATGGACTATTGCGAGGTAAGGGAGCGGTTAGTTAGCGATCACAGGGAACAGCGTCAAGTCCCGTCTTTGGAAAAAAAACAAAACAAAAAAGATCCGGGGACAAAGAGCATACTGGTCTCATTTTCTTCCGTCAAATTACACACGGGCCAGCCCATTGTGGCACTGGATGAAGCCCTGAAGCTGAAGACAGGGGAGGAAAAGTGCGGGATTCTTGGAAGGAGATGGATGACGGGAAACGAAGTCTCCCTGTATCTTATCCACTATGTATGGCCTTGGCGGAGTGGCGGCCGATCGATTGCCTGAACCCCCTGGAACCACCACGTTCTTGAAAAGTTACACGTTGTTGCTTGTTCGTACAATCGAGATTCGCCAGGGAGGAGTGACAGAAGTACAGAGTAGGAGGATGAGAATGAGAAGTAATAAGCTGCCCTGTGAACGAAATGCTGACTTGATCTGGCGCTCACCTAACCACTAGTACCTAGGTCCTATATTTATGTACAATGAACACCCTTCGGAGACAGCAGATATCACTCCTGACAACCAATAAAAGCAACCATAAAAGAGCCACAAAGACAAGACAGCCAAGCTTCAGACAAGCCTGGAGAACGGTCGGTCCATTTGCTTACTGCTCCAGCCTAAGAGGATCTAAGTGAAAATGGAATTTCCTGTTGATTTACCTGGAGATTCCAAAGCAACTTCATATGATGTAGAGTAGTATAGCATCATCATGCATCTGTCGGATATCCCGGGAAAAAAAGGCGTCAAGGCTGCAGTGTGCTCATTTGTTGATTCCAGATTACGCTGCGAATTGCAATCCATAAAGAGAACATCCTCATGCCCACTTACCTACCGCATGCATTGTGGCGCAGCAAGATATCGTGTCTGACATTGGGATCGACTAAAGATTGTTCCCTGATTTTATCGTCGCTGGCTATACATACAATAATACACATAGTCATCTAGGCGCACCCCTTCTAATTATTATTCCACGGACAGAGTGGACTGGTTTCAGGCCAGTAGGTTTCTCCTGCAACTGTCTTATAGTGAAACCGGGCGCGTTAATTTCTTCCGCTGGAATTCAGGTTAGGACAACTCCTCTATTGGCGCCGCTATGAGGAAATATAGCAGCCAGTCCCAGACTACCTAATTAACCTCTTGTGAAAATACTATTTGATAAGAAAGCATTACTCCAGTTAAAGACGCAACCGATATCCAACTTCCGGGCTCCGGGTAATGCAGCGGCTCTGTCTGGAGCAAGCTGATTTACATGTCTTTTTTCTTGGCTAGTGATTTAACTTCTTGAATTTTGGATATTCTTCTGCCTGGACTGGTGGGGACAACCATGGTTCCAATGACACCAATGCCCACAAGCGGCTCCCGCTGTGGGTTTTCTGGATGGGCCACGCGGAAACCTGGAGGTGATCGAGAATAGAAGTATGTGTGTAAAGAATGCCATGATACAGATTGATGCCCATCAAGATAAATGTGGCTACAAAGCTGAGGGGCTATCTTTGGGACTGAAGAAAATCAGCTTTTCAACTATCGTAGCGTGAAATGTCGATGAGCCCCAGTTCAGTATACTAGAGATTTTAGAGACCAAATCCAATGCTCTAGTTTTACATGTGGTCCGCCACATGTCGATATTGGTCATGCAATAGCTGCCATCAACCTCATTCCAAAAATGAGCCCAGAGCTCACAGGCAGGTCCTTCCGTGGTTGCGGAAAAGGTAAGCAGCTGGCAAGTAGTGCTTGTAACGCTTGGAGTCGCTGTGTTTGGTAGCGGCCCCTCACACGCCTTATAAAGGGCCTTTAAGATTTCTATGGCTGACGCACCAGCCACGGCTGCCCGGTTTTGTGCTTGATAAAGATTACCACCTGTTGCACCGGATTTTGCTTCGACAAGGAAGAACGGGAAGCGTAAATTGAGTGGTGTCGCCCCAGGATCACTGATGATATCAAGAGTCTCCTCAAGGTCATTCAACAGATCTTTTGCATCTCTAACCTGACAAGATTGTAATGCATCTGCAAGTGCGCGATCTGAAATACCTACTGATATATCAGGGCGGGGGTTCTTCAATGAGAATAGGGTTATAGTCTTGTACTTCTTCAGGTGCGTTCACATCAATATAGATCCCTGCACGGAAAAGTGTTCGTGTACGGTAGATGGACTCGCTCAGCTTTTGTAGGCTAGAGGATCGGGATCGTGACAGAGATGATATAGAATGTGGAGACGCTGTATTCAGCCCTGCTGCCATATTGAGCTGTGCTAGATACTCCTCCTTTAATGGAAACCGAGCGTAAGGAGTTGGATCGGGAGCTAACTTGGCTTGCTTCTCAAACTCATGTGCCGAGAAAGTACGGTCCGCAGTTCGTTTCATGTTGACTTCTTGGAAAAGCCTCTGTCTGACAAGAGAAAGGGACACTGTTTTAGCATTGCGCAGACGGCATGCACTGCAATGATGATGAACAATGTTTGGGAAATGAGCTTACTAAATAATGACTCATCTGGGGTCTCTCAGACAGCTTTTCAGAGCGACTGATTAGGATAATGAAAGCAAGGAAAACCCTCATATCTACTAGTAAAAATAGGCCCTCGTACCTATCCTCCGGATATTCCTTTTACACACTAATCCCACTCATTTACTACAACAAGAAGGGCAATGAATGGCCTTGGCGCCTGTTTTTTGCTCGGTGGGGGTTATACTTAACTAGATGATGGATGCAGATACCTCATAGAGATAGGTATTTGTGTGTTTTCGATTCTCAACCACCTGATTATGGATGATGACTATGATAGTTCAAAATAAGTCATAAATATATGGGCCTAGACACTTTTGGACCCTATTCCATGAGCCTAAGTAAAGTACAATCCCTGATTGGCGTTAATGTAGCACCAAAAAAAAAAAAAAAAAGACAACTCTGCATGAGTAGCAAAGCAGATATAAAAAACCCCACGACATGTATAGCATAGATTTTAGACGTTAGTATGAGAGTCCTTCCGACTATCTCTCCTGGAATCAGCCATTCCTGCCCCACGGCCACGACCGCCTCGCCCACCACGTCCTCCCCGGCCTCGACCACCGAATTCGGGCCCAACATCAACGAAGAAATCCCCGTCTTCGAATGTAATACGTCGGGTTTTGTCTCCTCCCCGTCGGGGATATGACCCCTTCCGCAACAGGTCATCAAATCGGTCCAGGCGCCGATCGGCCAGATCTCGAGGAACGGGAAGATAGTAGAGTTTGGGCTTTGCGGCGGTGGACTTGAAGAGCTCGTCCAAGGGCTTGAATCCTTGCCCGGGTTGGGAGCCATGATTTGTTGTGGACGGGCCGCTGGGCCGTCGGTCCCTGCCGCCGCTCATTTCCGCGCGGGGACCGCGGGGAGGAGGACGCGCAAAGTCTTTCGGCTCTGGGGCGCGTGTGAGGTGGGTTCCTGCATCTTTTAGCCCCACCTCTTCAAGCACTGCGTGAACTCCGTTATCAGTTTGATCGTATTTGACCTCCCAGCGCGGAGGAGGGCCACTGCGTCCCCGGGAGTCCTCCTCTCTCTGGATCCATCCAGATACCTTGTCCTCGGGTATGAAATCCACAAAGAGACTCTTGCGATTCCGTTCATTTGGCCAGACTGTACCATGGAGAGAGGCGCGGGCGCGCGAGGCAGTGGCAACGTTGGCAAAGCTGGCAAAGCAATGGGTCTTGATGGGATCTAGATAGAAATCTAAAATCGCGTCCGGATTAGGGGGGGAGCCTGGGGCAGATGCGATGGCGATCAGATGATTTTTGAGTGTTGCAGGTTGTAGGGGGCGCATCAGGCCGTCAATGTATAATGCAGCAGTCGCCGCATGCAGGGCGGGTTCAACTGCTACATCTTCCATTTCAACATCCGGACGTGGTGATGCAGGCCGTGCCTTCTCATGCTCCGCGGGAGCAAAAAGACCTTTAAAGCGGACATCGTGCTTTGGAGGTGCACTCTTCTTGATCTGGGGTTCATCTTCCTTCGTAGTGCAAATTGTCTCTTGAGGGTGCTCTTCATGAATCTCTTTCGATATAGGCACGGGACCTTCCTGGCTGGGTGTTTCATCAATACCGGGTAATTTTTTGTCTTCTGCCAAGGTTATTTCCTCCGCTGCCCTGGCCCTTTTCTTTGCGAGTTCCTCTGGGTTAGGCGCGGGGCTTTGACTGCGACGTTTCCTTTTTCGACGATCCTCAATGATTTCATCTGTAGGAAGAGGGGTGGATAACCCGGTGCTGACTTCTGCCACCTGAGGCCCTGATGGGGAGGCTTTTTCGACAGGCTCGGGCGCCTGTACTTCTTCCTCTGCGATGGCTGTAGATCCCTCTTTGCCCACATCACCAGGAGCCTGCTCCACTGGTTTGGCGGTATCTTCAGCCTCTGGTTGTTTGTCTGTAGCCTCTACAGCAGGTTCTTTTTCATCCCCCTCGCTTGTTTCCTTGCTAGGTTCCTCTCTCTGGGCAGTTGGCTTGGTTGCAACGTCGGCTTGTGCAGGTTCCGGAACTGTATCTTCGACGGGGTTTTCTTCAGCAATCTCCGGCTCCGGTTGGGTTTCGTCAGTAGAAGGAGCGGTCACTTGTGATTTCTGTTCAGCATTCGCGTCTGGCGCCATTGCAGGTTCTTCCGGTTCCCCAGCTTGCGAGTCCTCCTGCGGAGGGGTTTCGACCGCAGGAGAAGCTTCATTTGCATCGCCTCCCTGTCCATTAGCGTCTTCTTCGAGAAGCTTGTTGACGATTTGTTGTTTAACCCTTAAACCAGTCTGGGGAATCCCACGTCGCTTCAGCTCCGCCTTCAGATCGGTAACCTTCCATTTCGAATAATCGGTCATGGTGACGGGAGGGGCTCAAAAGGGTCGGAAATTCGGATCGCGTAGAGCATATGATAGATTGCATAAGACTACCCAGGGGTTCTCATCGTTTGTAGCTGTAGAACTCGCCGTCTGGGAGGATGCGACGCGATGCTCTCCTGCGGTCGGGGAAGCTCCCGAATTGCCCTTTTTTTTTTTCTGTTTGCGGGAGCGGAAGGACTGACGGCGCTAATCCTCTTTCAGAAGGCCAATTTATGGCTTATGGAGTACGAAGTATTCAAATCAGCGCCATTCATCTCTCCCTCTTGATCCATCCTTTAAATTATCTCCTTGCCCAACATCACAATGCAGCGAGCCACGCGAAAAGCTTGGAGTATTTGTATCCCTGTTGCTCGCAGGGACTTGACTACGTTTCCACCCCCTCCCTACCGTACTTGAGAACCACATTTGTGCCGCATCGAACCATGTCATCATCACAGTGGACCTGCAGGCCAAGAGTGTTTCCTACTTCTGGATTCAAATTGCTTGATCAGTCCATCGAGATTGAGGAAGAAACATTGCCTACATACCAGCCCGAGAAATACTATCCAGTCAAACAGGGTGGGATACTCAATGATCGGTATCAGACGCTTGCCAAAATAGGGTACGGAGTAATTAATGACACTTGATGATATGAAGCCTGGTATCCGGCAGCTACTTATCGCCTTAGGCTAAGTATTGCAGATCTCCACTTAAAGAACTTGCTACTTCCCAGACCAGAGACAAGCTATCTTTCACGATTTGAAGAAGCTGAAGTTACAGACCCATCACCTAGGAGCTCTTGTATGACGCGTGGTTGATGAAGGGGCTATGAGAGGGACAAGCAAACAGGCTGTCTCTATCGCACCTGTTGATTCTTATCATGCGCTATTTTATATTTCCTTAAACAGCGTGCTCTGTATACCCATAACTGGTTTGTCAATTTGAATTATATATTGATGTATCTCCAAACCCTAATGCCAAGAGCTCTGATCTTTTTTGAGATATTACCTAGGTAGCTAGGTATCTTCTAATCCTATCTCGTCGTATATAGCTTATAGTAATTGGATCGGCTGGTCATTTCTGGACTTTACTCCGCATTGACGTATGCATCGGAACTGACTACCATCATCTCCTTTTACTTCCAGGCCCAAAGTTGGCATCGGTTTCTGCATATTTGCTGTCTGAAAACTACACAGAATAACTGTTGGGATGTTGGACCCTTCTGGACCTCTACCTATACTGGATCACCATTCCATTCACTTCCACCCATCACCCTGCAAACGCTGCGTAGTGACACGTGCGCCATAGTATTTATTTCGTCCCTTCATTCTACAACTTCAAGCATCTTAAGCAATCCTTTCCATTGCTTTTCATCCCAAATCGAATCTCTTTCGCTATTAACTTGACATCCATCAATAACTAAGACCAATACGACCCAAAAAGTCTGTATCTTTCCCATCTGAAAACATCCGAAATGTCAGAAATGGAGAGTTCCCCGTCTGAAGTAACGACAGTCAAGCCAGAAATTGCAGAGGATGCTGAAAGCCTCGGAGATCTCAGTACAAGTATCCAAAAGTTTGTACAATAACTTGCTAGCAACAGTGCTTGTGTTAATCATCATTGCTAGGTTCTTTCACTCTTCCGCCTTCGCAGACCTCACTATAGTTACAAAGGATCAAGAACTCAAGGTGCATAGGTTGGTAATCTGCGGGCAATCCGGGTACTTCTCTCGTCTGTTTTCACGTAATTGGAAAGTAAGTACCTAGGGTTTTCTGGCCATAGGAGGAGCTGCGTCTAATCTGGACCTCCTAGGAAACAACAGAAGGCATTGTACGACTCGAAGAAAGATGATCCGAGAGCCATAGAAGCAATGATCCATTTTATGTACGGATTTACTTACGACGGAACCGGTGGCGGCCATCTTTCTCCCATGTTGTTTCACATCCAGGTATACCAGGTTGGAGACAAATATGATGTTCCAAAACTCAAGGACCAGGCGAGATGCAAGTTTGAAAACGCAATCGAGTTGTGCTGGGCAATGGATGACTTCCATCATGCTATTGCGAATGCATACTCGGCCACAAGCTTTGGGGATAAAGGACTTCGAGACCCTCTTGTCAGAGTATCCTTAGAACATATTGATGCCTTGCTGCAAGTTGAGGAATTCCGGCGAGTACTGACGGAAACACTGGGGTTTGCCGCTGACCTTGTCCAGACCCCCCACTGTGGTAAATCTTGGGGTCTAGAAAAATCGCCCTGATATTTTCTGCTACTCGGATCTGTTCGTTGTATCTAGAATGTTAGTTGTCTAAGATAAATCGAGTCTAGAAACACGACCAATATGACTCTGATAAAGAGGACTCCGTGCATCGCCTCGATTTTCCCTCCTGTATTCCGCTATCTATAAATACACCTCGGACTCCAATCAGTCCACCGATTCCTTCGATATATAACCAAAGCAACCCTCGGGACTAGAATTGTAATCCTTCTATATGACTCGCGATCTTCTGGCGTACAGACCTCGACCAGCTGGAAGAGATCCAAACTACTCCTAATAAGCCTTACCCTACTATCACTACACTCGAGGCAAGACAGATTCGTTCAAGCTTGGGCATATCGAAGCCCTGAAAAGGAATCACAGAAAACAAGAACGTTTACTTAAATGATTGCACACCAAGAATGCAGAAAGGGTAACTTACAGTCTTTATAGCTGTCTTATCTTCCCGATTTGAAATAGGATATGCGTGCTAACTTGAATTTACATAGGTATCTAGTATAAAGGACACCGAGACTGTATCTCCTACACTACAGGAACTCTCTGGCTGTATATATAAGTTGATTTTAGGTTTTTTTTTTTAAAAAAAAAAAGATTGTGGACTGGATCCAGCACAGTTGATATATAGATTAAGACTTCTGTTACTTTTATTACCTTGGGAGATGGCGTACATATTATCAAGACAAGATATCTCGGGGCTCTATTCGCTCTATTCATGCAGATTGTATTAACTACCAATACTTATATTTTGGGACTGCGTTCCCGGTATTCTATAAATACTTTACTATTGTTCCCATCTTACTATTCCAGATAGAAGAAGAGCCCCGTTCCGTTCCTACCATGCTTGTATTTTGTCAGGACGGGTAATGTTAAGGGGACAGGTATCTGACCTTCTGCATAGTTAGATACCAAGAGAATGATATTAATAGTACTTTCTCGCAGCAAAGGGACTTGCAGATATGATCCTGAAGGAAAACGCTTTGAAGAGCTTAACTTACCTCGGCTTTTAAGTCAACACAGGAGAGGATTCAAAAAAAGTCCTCAATGGGCCAGATGGTGGGAGAGATATACTTGAGCTGATTGAAGAAGTTAGACTGTTTATGGGAAGAATCGCGCTATCATCATCATTATCATTATTTGATAAGGAAATTCATAACCGTTAGCTAAGCAAGTTCGGAGGACAAGATATTGCTTGATTCGGACAGGCAAGAGGTAAAAGTTATAAGAACATCCTCCCGATGTTGGGGCTTTGTTGTTGCATCGCGCGCTGCTCGCTAGCCCGGTATCCTTATAACGGATATGTTCTAGTAAAACTTCACGCAATTCTTCCATGGCCCAGGAGAATTTTTAAAACTTTGTCCATGGTATCAGCCCTAAGTTTCCCACGCTGTTATTGCGTCTCTTGCCTGCTTAGCCGGAGAAGTGTGTACACAGCCAGAACGTTTGGAAGGATCTCTTACAGTATGTACTCCGGTACCCTGTGTGCCTTCAGTCTGAATGTGGTGGCAATGGACTTCAATACTATTCACTTGTACTCTCAGTAAACTTCGAGTCCGTCTCGTACCACCGACCAGGTGCCGCATATTTCCCACATTTCCGGCTGTCATAGTCCTTCCCCATGACCATACACTCAAGCTTCCTTTCCCAGGCATCCCGCAGGGGTAGCAAGCCCACCTTTTGCACCGGCCATGCAGAATATAGAAAGAAGTTCTTAAGACCGTCCCTTGCAAGATTAATAATAGGTTGAATAAGCCGTTTATAACTTTGCCATTCCTTGTTAATTATGGCCTGTGTAATGTGCCCATCAAAGTGGGTGCGTAGATACTCGCTGTCAGAAAGATCGAGCGTGAGAGAGAGTAGAGAACTGTTTCCAAATTGCTGAAGGCGGTTCACCGTATCGTCCCATTGCTCGTACCCACTAATGGGATCTAAAAGGAACTGTATCGACCTGATGTATTTTAAGGCATGGTTTGGAACAGAGTCGACAAATGGCACTAATTGATGAACGGCATTTGGTGTTTCCAGGTCATACCAATATTGCCGGCAGAGAAGAACAGAGTGCGATGCCACCTTGAAATGGTTGGAGGAGTAAAAGATCCGCGTGGCATCCTCGTGCATCTGCCGGTTTGTAAGAAATAGAGGCAAGGGAAATTTCCAGCATGAACACTCGAATGAGAAAACACCACTTCGTTGTAAGAACCCAAAGCGTTTATTCTGTACACTATCACATACAAAGCAGTGGTTAGGGTACGATATCTCATAGCTGGGGTTAAAGCCATATTTGGGCACCCAGACAAGATCGTAGGGTGCTACCAGGTCCGTGAATTCCAAAATCCGTTGTCGGATCTCCCATGGCATCTCGAACCAGATGACCTTGCTGACTGGCATCGATGATATCGGGCGACTGGTCATTTCCTTGGATAGATTGCACACAAGAGGGAGTAGCTTTTTATGATAGTCATTCTCAAATTCGGGGTACATTCGAATTGAGAATCCAGCTAAGACTGGGAGGTCTTTTAGTGGCTGGATGACAGCTGCGGCAAGATCATAGTTGTCCACATCGCAGACAACAGATAGCCGGAGACGGAATTCAGGAATGGATCGAGCAAGACAGCGACAAAAGCGTTTCCACTCTGTGATAAATATATTGTGGCCACGCGTCTGCATCGTGCTACCGCAAAGCAATTTGTTTGGATCTACTCTCGTGAGATAGTGATTTGATCTGCAGGTGGGGGGTCTTACATCGAAACATATCGTTCAAAATAACCCGCAAAAATTGCAAGCGCGCAATGGCATTTGGATGAAGTTTCTCAAGGCCCGAAAGTCCACCGGGTGCAGTTCGGATGACACAGAATCGATTCTGACTGTATAAAAGCGAGCTCACCTCCTGGGAGATATCTCGACAAGCAAGAAGTAACTGTATCGGAAGCGGCTCGCCCTTCCATGACTCTATATCACCACGGTGCGACACTGACGCATCCTCGACACTTTGGTTGAGCTCCTCTTCCGTCGGCGGCGTATTTAGGCTGATAGGGGATGATCGTGCAATCCCAGCGAGAAAATAGATTTTCTTTCGAATCTCATAGGGTAGGTCCAGGATCCCGGGCCCGTTTCGGGGTGGCTTCTGTGTGCGATGGGGTAATATGAGATATCGGTCGATAGATGTTTGAACCATGGCTTTGTATGAAAACAGATCCCGTTGCACCTGCGTATACACAGACGGCTACTTGGATAGAATGAAGTAGAGGGGCTTGGATAGGAAGTTGCAAATGGACTGATGAACTGATGAATGGATGAACTGGATTCTTGCATTGTATGAGGAGAGTTGAGTTCATCAGACGGCACGTGTTCCTGCAGCAAGGCTGTCAACTACTTTGTCCAATCCTGCGAGCAACAGTAGTAAGTACCTACCTAGTAATATAATAGTAAACGTTGTTATTATTATAATACTATTTATTAAGAAAGACGGCTCGTACACCACTAAATAAGCCTGTCCAAGGACTAGATAGATCATATCACGAAGACTTCAATCAATATAACTGCATATCCACTATACCCTGTATACACTTTGGCGCCTCAGGTATACTATCAGAGAGGCTGGTGCCTCAGGCGATACCTGATTCGGCACGGAAAAAATAACACATCCGGAGCGCTCCGGCAGGGGAATTTTCAAGCCATCTGATTGGTTCTTCAGCAGTCACCCGCTTGTAAATTGAAAAATCCTTGTGTTCAGTCTATAATGACTCCCTCTTTTACCCCTCTATATTTAATTTCCTTGATGATGCGAGCATAGCCATTTTCTTCATTCTTTCTATTCATCTCTTTTCTCACACTCCAATTCCTCTCCAATCCCTTTGCACTCTGTGTGCTATTTCCCCCTCTCTTTCCTCTCTTTCCTCAAAATAGGTAGTGGCGCAATGGCCACAGAATCCCCCAGTACTCTGGGGCGACTCCGTCAGTTTCCCCCACACCTAACTCACTACCCTGATATGAGGTGAACAGCTACTAAATCCCGTAGAGAGAGTCGATTCACTACCTGAAAACCCATTTGCGTCCCTTATTACGGATCAGTCGATTGCTATTATCCCCTCTTTCACCTTGGAGTCCGGTGTCACCCTTTATAATGTCCCGGTGGCTTACACTACCCGCGGCAAACTCTCCCCGGATGGCGACAATGCCCTGGTGATCTGCCACGCTCTCAGTGGTAGTGCAGATGTGGCAGATTGGTGGGGTCCCCTCCTTGGTGGCCCTGGACAAGCCTTCGATATATCGCGATTCTTCGTGGTCTGTCTGAATAGCCTAGGTAGCCCCTATGGCAGTGCCAGTGCCGTGACGTACAAAAATGGTGACCCGGAACAGGGCCTCTATGGTCCCGAGTTTCCGCTTACCACTGTCCGTGACGATATCAAGTAAGGACTTTGCTCTACCCATTATGGTCATGCGCCCTGCTAATTTAAACCAGGATCCACAAGATTGTTTTGGACGATCTCGGCGTCAAACAGATTGCTGCCGTCGTCGGTGGCTCCATGGGTGGTATGCTTACTCTCGAATACGCATATTTCGGAAAACAGTATGTCCGAGCTATTGTTCCCATCGCAACGTCGGCCCGCCATTCTGCGTGGTGTATTAGCTGGGGAGAGGCACAGCGTCAGAGCATCTATAGCGACCCGAAGTACGAAAACGGTTACTACTCGTTTGATGACCCCCCCGCTACTGGCCTAGGGGCAGCGCGCATGTCAGCTCTTCTGACCTACCGGAGCCGCAACTCATTTGAGTCCCGCTTCGGGCGGAACGTCCCGGACCCCTCCAAACGGCTAAATATTAACGGCACAGAGAGACTACCAACTCCTCCGAATGAACACTGGGCCATCCACAACGATGGTCACAAGGGCAATTGGAGCCCGAGCGGACGCAACTCTCCTGCGCCCGAAAAGAACGAAATTCAGTACATGGATCCGCAATTTTCTGGGACTAAAACCTTTAGCACAGCTGTCAGTCCCACCAATGGCAACACGCAGAAGCGGCCCCCCACTTATTTCTCTGCACAATCCTATCTTCGATACCAGGGAGAGAAGTTCGTGAAACGCTTCGACGCCAACTGCTACATCGCCATTACCCGGAAACTTGATACGCATGATGTCTCTCGACACAGGGCCAGTGGTACATCGCCAGAGAATGCGGTCCGGGAAGCTCTGTCTCAAATCCAGCAACCGGCACTAGTCTTGGGAATTGAGAGCGATGGGCTTTTCACTTTCGAGGAGCAGCAGGAAATCGCGGAAGGCATTCCCGACTCCAGGCTCAAGCGCATCGAGAGTCCCGAAGGTCACGATGCCTTCTTGCTTCAATTTGAACAAGTCAACCGCTATATCCTGGAGTTCTTCCGGGAGGTCTTGCCGGACATCATGTCCAAGACTCCTGCGGACAGTGCTACCGTCGATGGTGTTGGTAAACTGACAAAGAGCAGCACCTTTGGCGAAGCGGAAGTCGAAGACATCACCGCCTGGTAAGGACAAACAAGTATCCCGGATCTTGTTGGCGCAAGGACATGCTGCCTTCACCATTAGTTGACGCTCTGCCGAGGGTAGGGGTCCCTATGCCTTCTCTCGGCCCAGAGAGAACACGTCGGCGACCTCAACCATCGCCAGACCTTGAGGGAGTAGCGGTGCAATCTTTTGTTTTATTTTTTTTTCTAACCAGTCAGGGAGATGAGCATCCAACTGCCTCTCTCGTAACCAAAAAAAAACCCCAGGTCAGACTGTAAAGAAGCATCCAACTGCTCCCCATCATACAAGCCCTATACCACACGGTATCTTGCGGTTGCAGATCTCGTGAGGGTGATGGGCAATGAATTCCGCCCAGGAATAATTTACTTCACACTACATTAGACCGAATACGGCCACATACTATTTTACGTTTCTTCTTACATGAGTAATTTTTTGTATTCTCACTGAATAGACGGCGACCTTGTCCTTTTGAATCTTCATCCCTCTTTTAAGCCAATCAAGCAAATAGTATTCCCCGGAATACATAGAGCCGAAAAAGAAATAGATCCACAAACTGGATTACTGAGTAGTTTTTAAGATAATCTTTCTACAAAATCCCAGCCTCGATAGCAGCCCAACGGACCCCTCCCAATACAGGAACAAGATAGTTTGACTTGATTCCTGATACCGACAGGAACCAAAGAAGCTAATGTCGTGATGATATTTGAGCCTAAGCATCTTCGGAAACCTTTCGTATACCGGCCGAGATGAAGCTAGCGTAAGTAAATAACAGTCCCAAATATAATTCTCCAAGCATTGGGATGACTTGCTATCGCTGTCATCGTTGTTCGTACGTAGGGTTGGTCTATGGGCAGAGAGACATCAGCGATGCGTGACTGTCTAGGTAGGAGGCTCAAGCCATGGTGATAATTCCGATTCTGAGATATCACATTGAATCAGAGACATGACTCCATTCCATATGGGTCAAAGAATGGACAATCATCATCGGCGGAGGGGACAAGAAAGCAAGCCTCTTCTTGGCTCAGGCAGTATTCCGTACCTATCAAACCCCGGTACTTGACGAGGTTTTACGTCCCATTTTCTTGCCGATAGCTAATCATAAGTGATGGATCCATTCCAGCTGCTGGATCTGTCAGTCTCGTCCACCCCTTGATTTATCCCTTGGGAGCTTGGGCACCCCCCTTGCTAGAACTGTTCGACAGGCGAAGAAGATAGATAGACTCGGAGTGCTGAAACGGCGGCTGGCTATCTGGCTGACAGTGGCTTCTGGACTTGAAGTATATGTTCTGTGCTGTCTGTCCATCGTGCAAAGGCAGCCAATGTGTCCCCTAGTCATCATGTCATGGCTTTGCATTGAAGAACCAGCAGAAGGCATCAGATCGGGCAGCTTCCAACACGAGTCTAATGCACTGCGACCTCTTGGCCCTGTGTGATCCCCTCCTAACTGTACGGAGTATTGTATCTCTTCCACTCATGTCGATCCGGTTCCAGCCTCCTGGCCTAGTGTCAGTGTTCCAAACTTGTTTCTCAGACATGGCAAATGGGCAACCTCCCTTGTGCAGCGTCGGGGACAATAGTCCACTGCAAGAGTAAAGCGATTCTTTATTCCAAAACATGCTGGCTGGTGGTTTCTGAGTAGGTAGAAGATGTGAAAATGGTTCCACTTTTCCTGTGACGCTGTGTGACTGGAAACTTGGTTGTTCTTTTGGGGGGATTTCCCTACACATCTCTCTTCAGGTAACTTCTCTTTCTCTTTCCCCCCCACCTCCTCTTTATCCTCTTTATCCTCATTATTCTTACTTCATTTGGCCAGGGCTGGTCCTTTTGCTTTGTGAATCCATCAATCTTCAATTTAATAATCCCCTCCTTTTGCTCCGTCCACTCTGTTTGTTCTTGACCCTGCTGCTGTATCAGTCGCCTTCTCTCCTCCTCCCGAATGGAGCTCTTCCAAATACAGATCTGGCAGCTGGGTTTACTACTTGATTCCTGAGCTTTTCCTTGGGTTAGTCTTTCTTGTGTGAGATCATCACTTCCACCGAATTTCTTGCTTGCTGAAGCACCTTCTTCTTTCCTTTCCTTCCAGTTGCGACGCATATCTCAGATCTCAGCTCCCCCCCCCCCGCATTCCAGTCCATCCATCGCTCTGGACAACTTCTCTCATTAGTAAAAGCCAAATATTCTAATTTCTTGCCCGGGGCCAATAGTTGACATAGCTCATCTTCTTTTACTCCCCTGTGGTTGTTTGGGACTGGTTGCCCACCAGCAGTGTTTGTATTTGTGCCTGCTCTGTGCATGCTGGCAGTACCATACCTCATATATCGCGGTTCCAACTACTCAACAGCTCGAAGTATCTATCTACCTTGACTTTATTTTGGTTGATTTTCTCAGCCTGTGCATACTATGGACCTGTTCACAAAAACAGGCACTACTCTCAAGAAGCGCGCATCCTTGTCTTTTCGACTTGGTTTACAGGTATGCTCGAATATCTATTGTGTATGAGCAGCAACTAACAGGTCCATAGAAACCCACATTTGCTACATTAAATGAAGAGCCTACTCGTTATTATGACTTTGTGGACACACCTGTTCTATTCCGGCCTTCATCGCCTCTCATTGAGCGTCAGGAGATCTCTCCGGAACTAGAATCTAATATCAGATATGCTTGTTCCCTACTGGTATACAGAATCGAACAGGGTGTACCATCGCCTCACAGGCATCGACCAACTACGGCTATGAGCCCCAGAGGATCAGTCGAAGACTTGCGAATAAAAGCCCAGCTTGAGTCAAAGTACTTGGCTCCGAAAGTTGGACCCGAGGTGGCTGCCCGAAAAGGTAAATACGACTCGGGTGTTGTTCTAACCCAGCAGCCAAGTATCCAGACTATGAGAGCGCTTCATTCCCGATCTGGGGAACCGTCAGAATCCGAGGACAACAGAACCGGGTCAGTGTTCAGCAACAGTCGAACAGGCACATCTTGCTCGAGCACAAACACCAGTTATTCTCCCGGCCGGTCATGGACGTCGCCGGCCGTATCAAGTCCTAAACAGAATGCGATGCTGTCAATGACAGGCGGGAATGTCATGGGGTGTGTGCAACAAGAAAACTATGATACAAAAGCTTTTCTCAGCAGCTCGTTGAAATCAGAAGCATCTCCTGAAGATGATAGTGTATCCGAAGACATTGAAGTATTCTTGGACGCTGACACTTCTACCGACGAAGACGGGGCTCCTCTTTTCTCCTCTCCCCAAGCACTAAACAATGCATCACCCAGCTTGGGAATCACCAAAGACCCCAAGTCAAAACGCCAGTCCACATTACGAGACCAACCCACTGAATCGTCAATCCAGGAATCCAACCTCATCGGTCTTGGTGCCTCCGGCCTCGAGCAAAGTATCAATCCACCAAGCATAATCATCGACAGTCGTGGACGCACGCACATTCTCACAGCTGAAGAAGAAACTCAACGCCTGGAAGATCTCCAACAAGCAGTGATGGCCAAGATGGAAACAGGTCTCATCAAATCCAATCCCATCCGTCATCCCCTGCCCTCGCAATGCGAGAACGCCAAAGACCAGAACGGTACTAACTCTCGACCCCGATCCAGCGCTTTTCGACTCAAATCCTCTTGGCCCGCCAAAACAAGCAACAAAACTGCACCTTTCAACCAAAAAGTTCAATTTCAGCAAACCATCACCACTACGACTGCTGCTCAACAATCCGTCTTCAAAAAGCTAGCTAGCTTTTTCTTCTCTGAACGAAACACTCCTCCCTGCGCCGGAGAGTAGATCCCATTCCCTCTCCGGCACAAATCAAATTCAGCATCATTTTTGTTTTCTTTCCACATAAAAATTTCCCCCGCCCAAGCCAGCTTCAAGTGTCTAGGAAGGGGACACGGTAGAAATGAGAAGAATGGTCCATCAACCTCGCTCTCAGGATATAATCGATTCAAAGAAAACGCACCCTGCTAGCTGGAAAGAACACTCACACTCGACCTTCCTCAAGACGCAATGTCAACGTCAGCTATCTACTATACGTACATATTACATACTCACTCCACTTCCCGCCCTCCCTGCACTCCCCGTTCTAGTCTGGGGTATGCATTAGTATACTCCGCCGATCTCTTGGCAGATATTCTCCAGATTCTCTGGGTTCTTTGAGATTAAAACTGACGGGAGTTGATTTGCAAGGTTAAATAAACGGTGCTCGGTATTCCTTTTTTTTTTCTTTTTTTTTTTTTTTTTTGCTGCGGTTCTACAGCACCAGCAGATTCTACGTTAAAGGGTAGGTGGGAATATCAGGGTAGCTACGGAGTAGGTAGTCGGTGGAATGTTGGTTGAGTTAGGGCATAGATCTCGTGGCGTTGCTGGTATTGGCAGCAGCAGTAGTACATATTTCAATCTCCTTAGGTATGCAGATGAATATCGAAGAGGCATCTTACTGTTATTGTCAAGTTTATTTCCCTCCCAGCTTGCAATATATAAAATCCACTCATTGTAGCCTTCTCAGCGGGGTGTCCTCATAAGATTATTGGATGTATTTCTCATCTTCATACCCTTCATTTACTTGTGGAAAGCCAGCTCAAGAAAAAGAAAAAAAAAATGTATCTACAGGCCTATCCAGAACCGGGTCTTTTCAACAGTAAATGAAGACTTGAGAGTTTCCTCCCCAGTGCCCGTAATGAGAACCTCATATCTGCCTTTCTCGGAGGCCCACATCTCGCGCTTCTCATCCCACCAACTTGTAGCTAGTTTCTTTTCAACAACGATATCAACAGTCTTCTGCTCACCCGGTTCAAGTGTGACCTTTGCGAAGCCCTTGAGTTCTCGGACAGGTCGGTTGACATTGGTAGATGGCGGGATGACCCAGAGCTGGACGGTCTCTGCACCAGCAACCTTACCGGTGTTTGTGACTGTCACGGTGGCGGTGATTGGTTCGCCATCACCGATCTTAGGCTGTTCGGGAGTAGTATTGAGGATGAGGTCGGAGCGAGAGAAGGAAGTGTAGGACAACCCGTAGCCGAATGGGAAGAGAGGTGCAAGGTCGACCTTTTCATAGTAGCGGTACCCGACATAGATATCTTCACCATAGAGAACACGACCGCCCTCTGAGCGGAAGTTGAGGTAGGCTGGATTGTCTTGAAGACGGACGGGGAAGCTGAGGGGGAGTTTGCCGGAGGGATTGACGTCGCCGTAGAGTACATCAGCAATACCATTGCCGCACTCGTTTCCACCGAACCAGGCCTGGAGGAGCACCTTGGACTTACTCACCCATGGCATAGTCACCGGGGTACCACTTTGGATCACGACAACACTATTCGGGTTGGCGTCAAGAACGCGAGAGATCATCTCATCACTGCCTGGGGGCAGGTCCATGTGGTCTCGGTCGTGCCCCTCAGTCTCCCATTCGCTAGTAAGACCGGCAAACACAACAACCTGATCCGCATTGGTAGCCGCCTCGACTGCCTTGGAAATCAGCTCCTCTTGGGTTGTACGGCGGGCAGCGCCAAAACGGAAGCCTCCGGGGCCAAAGACCACCACTCCGCGGGTATCGAGATCTGAAGTAGGCGCACTACCGAATTGTAGGACCACCTTATATGTTTGTCCCGCTTTGAGTTCCTTGGATCCCCGCTCTTCCACGGTTCCGGTGCCAAAGAAGGCAGAGCCTGGGCGCTGGTTCTTGGAATTGTCGACCACGAGTTCGCCATCAACGAGGAGCTTACCGGTTCCGACCACAGTAACGCCAAAGTCGTAGATGCCATCCTGTTCGGGAGCGAAGAAACCTTCCATATCAATATAGTAGGTAAAGGACTTGATTTTGGGGTGTCTGTAGTCCATCAAGAAGCCGAGAGAAGATACAAGATGCAGCTCGTGAAGCAGCTCTCTGTTAGGGCTGGATGCGGGCTCATCATAAACACGGAACATGAAACCAGTCTTGCCATCCTCGGTCTTCATATGAGGACCAAGCTGAGGAAGATCCTTGTGGGAGTATACACCTTGGCTGAATTTTACTTCGCCCTGGCTCTTTGCAGACACGCCGTCAAAGGGGGTCACAGTATAGTACGCATCAAGCGATGCAGAGCCACCACCGCAGTAGGCGGCAATTTTGGTATTGGGTCCAATAACAACAATGGACTTTTCCTTGCTAAGGGGGAGAATGTTATCTTCATTCTTCATGAGTACAATGGACTCTGCAGCAGCTCGACGCAGCAGAGCTTTGTCCTCGGGGCGGTTTAAAACTTTCTCCTCTGCACCCTCGGGGATACCCAGTGGCTCAACATAATTAATGAGGTTCAGGATGTTACGAACACGCTCATCCATAACAAATTCTGGAACTTTATTTGATGATATGGCATGTGCCAGGGCATCGCCGCGCCAGCGTGTCTTTCCTGGCATCTCTATATCGAGACCAGCATTGATTGCCTCCGAGGTGCTATAGACACCAAACCTAGGGAACCAGCTCAGTATACTTTACCCACAGAGCGATTCAAGACGGTTATTTTAAATACTTACCAATCACTCATCACAAGACCATCCCATCCCCACTCTTTGCGGAGAATATCTGTGATGATTTTCTTATTCTCACTCACGTGTGTACCATTAACTTTGTTGTATGCTGTCATAACGCAAGCTGTCTTGCAGATGCGCATCGCTAAATGGAAGGGCATAAGGTATATTTCGCGCAATGCACGATCCGTGATGATGGAATCGACAGCCAAACGCTCGTGCTCCTGGTCGTTACACACAAAGTGTTTGAGACAGGCTGCTACTCCCTTTTCCTGAATACCCTTGGAGCAGTTACCTGCCAAGATACCAGAGAGAACACCATCTTCGGCAAAGGACTCGAATCCTCGACCGCCTAATGGGGATCGTTGTGTGTTGATAGTAGGGCCCAGGATGACATGGGCACCTTTAGCGATTGCTTCCTCTCCCATCAACTGACCAACACTGTACAGAAGCTCCGCGTCCCAAGTAGCTCCCAGAGCTGTGGCACAAGGGAAGCACGCCGCAGGCACGCCATTAAAGAAGCGGGTTCCACGGACACCATTGGGGCCGTCGGACATGCGCAGAGAGGGAACATTGAGGCGGGGAACGGAAGCCGTATGCCAGAAGTCAATTCCTAAAAACCGGGAGTACAAGATGAGTTCCAAGCTCAAACAGATGAGGAAATCCCAGGACCGGTAGTTAGCTATTCAGGCATTCTTACCAGAAGTGAGAGCTATCTTCTCCCCGATCGTAAGTTCCTCAATGGTCTTTTCCACGTCTAGCTTGGGCATTGTGAAAGACGTGCGGTGGGTGAGCCGGACTTCCTCCGACCTACCTAGGTACAGAAGAAGAAAGAAAATAAATGAGAAAGGGAAAAAAACAAGATTGGGCGCGATCTAGAAGAGAATCAACGGCGATAGATAAAGGTAAAGTAACCACCGGGCAAGCACAAGCTGACGCAATAAAGGATGAGGCAAGAACTTTAGGCAAAAGCGACCACCGCCGTGGGAGTCGGAGCTATAGATATACTGCGGTATCCACCAGTTGGGGGGATGACAATCAAAGGTACCGAGTTATCAGTGAGAGTAGATCCAACAACAGGCGCTTGGAAGGGGTGTCCCGCATCTCCCCGTCTGGGAATCAATGACTAAAACGCCACAAGCAGTTCAAACAATGCAAGAATCGTGGGCCCGAACGCCGAAGTTCTTCCACCAGAGGAAGAGGAACATGCGGCTGGAAACGCGCGCCATTTCGGAGGGGCTTGAAACGGAGAGCGGTGATGGTGGTGATGGATAATAAGCGGTGCATGACTAGGTTAGTTGCCCCAAGAACACGAGGGACGAGGAAGGATGGGGGAAACGTCAAATCAAGGCCTATCCTGAGCAGCCAACTAAAATGGGCACGGAGGAAGGTCCGAAGATCAACCAACCGGCAGGTTTGGCGGCACTGGTGGGGGAGCCGCGGAGTGTCGGACCGAATCGCCTGTACAATGGAAAGTTGGGCGAGAGTTGTTGATAGGAGGACAGATAATGTCATTAGAAGAGGCAAGATGTGAGGAAAAAGTTGATGTGAAGCTGGAGAAGGATGGATTAGGAGTCGGGGAAGGACGGAAAGAGGAAGAAAGTGAAAAGATCCAGAAAAAGTAGACCAGACCAGACCAGGTGACTTCTTACATCCTGAGGCCAACTACGGCATCATCATATATCAAACTTAGCCTACCTGTCTGCCAAATTAACCATCAATCAATCCGTCTATAGAAAGCAGGGGAAATCTCCATTGGAAGTTGTATATTGTTGTCCCATGCTTGATGCTTCTCGAGCAGACATAGTAAGTAGTCTCGCGATCCCATCGGCCGTTTTCCCAGTAAACCAATTAGAAAGGGGAGAAAGAAATTATGGAAATAGAACAAATGGAAGGATGGATAAGAGAAAATGGAACAAAAAAAAATACACCTAGGTTTGCTGAAGGCAGGAAAGCCTAGAAAGGTAGGAGAGAGAGCCATAGTATAAAAACAGGAAAAAAAATGTAATCCCGGCCCAACAATGCGCAGATGATATCAACCAGAAATCAAGCGATGAAAACCTAAACAGAGGAACAGAGAAACCATTGCGTCGTATTAAGCTCCCCGACGAGGGCGCTTGCTCTCACCCCCCATCCGCGACCCCCCACGGTTGCTTCCTTCACTAGGTCCGCCTTCATCGCCTCCAGGCCGTCCTCGTTTGCGATGAGGTGCGCCTCCACTACCACCCTCACGATGGTAATTGCGCTCGCGCGGTCGATCACGGTTCCTGTCACGTTCGCGGTCGCGTCCTTCCCGTCCGCTACCGCTCCATCGTCGATCGTCTTCAGAACCAGCAGGAGGGGGCGGCGGGGGCGGCGGTGGAGGAGGCTGCGCTCCATGTGAGTGTGACGAAGGAGGGCGCAGGCGTCCTTCATGCTCCTGATTGACCTCGGAGGCATCATCTCTGTCACGACGCCGGCGATTATCATCACGAGAACTAACCCCTCGGCGTGATGCTTCGCGGGATTCGTACCGTTCTTCCCGACTAGTCCCCGTAGCCGCATCGCTTCTACGGCTCCGCTCACGGTTTCGATCTCGACCATTCTCTCGTCGACCGCTGCTTCGTGTGCCATCGTCCTCATCTCCACGGCGATCACGGTCCCGTTCCCTTTCATGCTCGCGGTCCCGATCGTGTGAAAAACTCGCGCCAGATGAGTAACGCATAGATCGCCGGCTATCAGACCCGGAGTCATCTACAGTTTCATTTCGGGCGTTGGGGTTCAGTCGACTGCGGGGAGGACCATCTTCTTCGGCATTGCCAGATGTACGGCTCGCGAGAAGATCAGGCCTGCTTGGGGCCGACAAGCCCGAACGAGACCCATCTTCCTGGCCGCCCGATGTTTGGGGTCGTGACGACTGAGGGGAGGAGCCACGGGCACCCGCAGCCTGTCGAGCCGCCCCACGGCCCCTGACTGACGGACCAGGGCCTCGGTCTGCAGGGCCGCCGGACTGTTGGAGCATGTTATTAATTCCGGCAAATCGCTTATCGCTGCGCCCACGCTCCCCACTGAATCCTGGCCCGGGGGGAGGCGCGCGGGAGGCAGGAGACGGTCCAGTTGGTGGCCCGGCTCCACGAGGTCCTGACGGAGGAACGACAGCGGCGGGGGGCGGTGGAGGATGGGAGCGCATTCCAGAACCAAAGCTATTGTCCAAAGATGGTTGCTGTAACGCTTTGAGGCGATCCGGGTGGATGCCACTTGCTTCTAGTTTGTCGGATCTTGGAGATGGAGGAGTTGCAGAAGTAGGTTGGTCATTTCGCAACCCTTGACGCCCGGGGCCTGTGGGTGGCGCACGTTCGGGTAGTGCTGGTCCACTGCCAGAGGATCCTGCTGGAGCATGAGCAGGCTGGTTTCGTCCACCTCGGCCAGATGGATTCCTGCTTCTAGGGCCGGAAGGAATATCAGGAATTGGCTCACGGGGCTCCGGTGCTTCCATAGAAGTTCGTGGAAGTCGGTCGCTGCGTGGCCCGGTTGGCAAATCTTCACCCCGCGCGGGTTGCGGGTTAAAATTGCCAGATCGACGGTCATCAGAGGGGAATCGCTCGGGACGATTGGGGAGTTCGATCCTTTGGGGAGATGCTCCTCGGGTTGGTAGAGTTCGTCGGTCATCCCTCTCTTGACGTTGCGATTCCCCACGACGGAAACCATCCCCCGGTCGATCAGATATATCGTGAATCAGATCAGCACGGTCGGGATGCGTCTGCGGGCCAGCAGGCCTAGTGGGAAGGTTCTCGCGGATATCAGGAACTCGAAGGCGGCCAGATCGATCAGGCCAGTCTCGATAGGAAGGGCCACGGAATGGCTCATCTGCTGGTGGTCTTAGAGGATAGTCCCTATCCAATCGTCCAAAATTTCTCCCATCTCCAATAGGCTGGTCAAATGACCGGCCAAAGTCATGCTCACTGTTAAACCGGCCACCCCGAGGGTATTCCGAGTGACGGTCTCGTCTTTCATCCAAAAGGTCAGGCCGCGGGGGTAACCTTCTATCATCTAGGTGAGAAGTACTGGCTGAATGGGGTTGAGAACGAGAAGCCCGGGCACCACCAGGTGCTCTTGCCTGGTCAAACTGCTTTGGCGTATTTGCTGCCCTTCTGGAGTCTGGAGCTTTCGGTGTGGCCTGAGGCCCAGCAGGAGAAGGGGAGGGCCGGGACTGAGATGGAACATCTTCTCCAGTACGGTTTTCGGCAGCCAACTTGTCAGTAGAAGCTTCCCCAGTTGTCGGATCTTGACTATTTGCTGGCCGTCCTTCGTCGGCTGAAGTTTTGTTGGTAGGTTTATCGGTCTGTTGCGCGTCATGTTCAGCGGGATTCTGTGCATTCTGCTGGTTATCATCGGTATCCTTCGCTAGAGCATCGGCCATCTTTGCGTCCTCAATTTCCCCGTCTTCCACTTCCTGTTTTGAAGTCGTCTCCGATTGCACAGCACCTTTCGACCTATAAGTACGCAATTAGAACCTCAAATCGTAAAATTTGAAAAATTCCCAATTTGCGGTATGGACTTACCCAGGGGCGCCCATGGGCTTAAACTCCGGTACAGTAGCATTTAATTGGGTCGGGGTAGCCGATTGTGGTCGTGAGATAGATGTCTTTGCGCCAGTTTTGTCATTTTGGTTGCCTTTGCCTGAAGCTGGCTGGCTGGTAATCATGAAAGCCTGCGGGAGCATCCATTTCTTCTCACGGCGGTTGAGATCACCGATCAAAGAGGCCGCGGGAATTTTCACATCATCTCGCTCATCATTTTGACTTAGATTGTTCACACTGGTAAGCATGTCACGACCAATCCAATTGACGGCCGGGAAGTGTTGTACAATCGCCTTGAGTACACTGATAGCATTTCGGATATGCATATATTCACCCCCATTCAAGCAAATCTTGAGCGCAGAGGACAAAAGACGATGCCACTTGTAAAGCAGGCGGCGAAAATCTTCGTACTCAAGGAAAGTTGTAGGCTTACCTTCCGGGTCGACAGTCATGGCAAACCCGGGAAGGTCCTTCTTGTTTCCAAAGGCTTCTTTTTCGTAGACGTTCTTGTCAGCATGCCAACGACTTAGATCACGAAGAACCTCATTTAATAAGCGGCCAAGGTTGTCGGCTTCCCTCGATGTTGATTGGAAAATCAAAGCGGTAAGCCTGTGCTCGCGGAAGAGCTGATCTAACAGGCCCACAGTGCGGAAATTGGGTGCTCCGGTTGTATGAAGAAATTTTAGCATCTTGAAGCAGTAAAATGCATCAATGGGAGACAGAAGCAGACGAGGGAGGAAACACTGTTCTAGCAGCGCGATGTGCAAGGAGTCGTGCTTGCCTCGCATACCGACAAACCATCGGTCCTTCTCCTTTTGCAACCTCGCTCTTGTCTGACCATAAGACTTCAAGTGAGCTTTGTTCTCATCTAGAATCCGGTCTTGAAGCTGTGTGATCTGCTTCTTTTCCCTCTCCTTTCGTTGAGTTCCCGCAACACTAATGTCTGATCGGTCATTACCGATAGCAATGACTTTCTTCTTTAAGCGGTCAATTTCGTCTTCATAAGATTTCTGGGGTATATGCACGTCGTAGAGAGAAAGTTGCCAAAAGGCGACGTAGAAGGGCAGACCCACGGCTCCCCAAGTTTCTGAGGGAAGGACTGACTTGACCTGGTCTTGGAGGTCTTGCATGACCGGGTTCAAGGGCGGCGAGTCACTCAGTGCCGGACCAGTTAGCTTTTGTTCCAGAGCCTGTGCACCAGCGTCAACTAGCTTATCAGGTTCCTCCTGGTCGATGTCCATTTGGCTGGCCGCCAACGGTTCAACTTCCCCATCATTTGTTTCTATCTTTTCCACCTCCGCTTTGAGGGCAGGGACTTCGTCAATTTCTTTCACTTTCGCTGCGCTCACAATATCCTGGGAGCTCTTGTCAAGATCACTTAGTCTCTGGGCAACACTTGGCCGTCGGATCCAGAAGGCAACTTCAGGTTGAATACCAAAGTCACGAATAAGAGATGCAAGGTCGGGAACAAACGAGTCGAACTCATCAACTGACAAGTTGCTGCGAAGGAGGTCCAAATACTGAGCTAAAATACGATGTATCTCGTCGAATATGTTTCCTAGTAGCTTCAGCTCGGACGACGCTTCAGATTCTTTGAAGATACAGGTTAGGCGCTCTTGCGCAATGGCAATGAGCAATTGCCCGGCAAGCCTCGAAACTGTGAGAGATTTGATAAGCCGTTTTGAAGTTGTCTTTGATTCGTGTCGTTTATCCAAAAGCTGGAGGATGGTTTGGGATTGTAAGATATCACCTCCCGCCATTGCTTGTATTTGGGCGTCATTAAAATTGGTGTCGGTGATAATGCCCGCCATGGAGCTGATCATCTGTTCCAGAACAATAAGATCGGTAGAGTTGTTTTGTCGAAGCTGCTCGACGACGTATTGTAAAAGGGGAGCGGGATCCATCACTGAGTACCGTTTGAAAGTTCTCCCAGCAAAGGTTGCCAGGGCGTTAAGCCATCGGCTTGTCAGTAATCCACCTTCCTGGACTCGGCTTCTCCCCTTTTGCCCGAGAGAGTTGATTAAGGACCAAGTCAAGATATCGTAACCAAGATAGGTGAAATAACGCGCGCACTCCACAACGACCTCGATTAGATTCTCGTATGATTCGATCTGACTGATCGCGACATTGATGACAATTCCGGGGTTTGCGTATGCGATCTTCGCCAATGCTCGAGCCATTGGGCGTATGTTGGTCTTGCTCAATCTCTTCAGAACATCCTTCGTTTCCGCCCGCGCTTGATCGAAAGCAGACTTTATATCAGGAAGACGAGATGTTTGGCCGAAATACCACTCCGCGTACATGTTGTATCTGGTCTCCCTTGGAAAGAAGCTTATAAGATCAAATATTTCATTGACCACACCGGGGTTTGCCTTGGTAAGACTAATGGCAGGAACCAAAAGGCGCTTGCAAAGATCCTGCCAGCGCGCCTTATTTTCAGGGGAATCATCCTTAACGAGGCTATCCTTCCCAATTCTGGCAAGTTTAGTAAGAAGACTCGGATCCTGTCCAATCTTGTGTCCAGAAAGGTTCAGGAACGAAGAGCAAAGCGCGAAGACATCATCAACCGACTGGCATATGGGAATATTGTCGGCCCAGTCATCCCAATAAAATCGGTAATCTGTGCCGTCATTTGTATCTTCTTTGTCCAGCTGTGCCCATCGTAACACTCGCCTGGGCGGCGCTTGCGCTAGGCGGATATGACCCTTTGGTACTCCAGCTTGGTCATGGCTCGGGATTTGCTTTTGCTCTCGGAGTGCCTCCACTGGCGGCAACGGGCGTAGAGAAGCATAGATCTTACTTAGACAATGATGCAGGATGCGGTGGATGTATTCGGGAAGTTCGGGATAGTTATCCATGAGCCATGGGAATTTGCTCAGAATGAAGAGGGATTCTGGTAGTGCGCCAATAGCGAGCAGACTCTTTAAGAGAAGGACTTTCTGGTCTGACGGTTCTGGCAGCTCGTTTTCCTCGGGTTTCGCCGCCGCAGATTTGTCTGCCTCTTGATCTTTCCCTGGTGTCAGGGAACGTGCTTCTGATTCGCGAATACGAGGAATAGGTAATGTATCATCTGAAAGAGCACCAGCCATCATGAGAGCATTAACGCCTCCACCAGGACGTGCGGCTCTCTCCCGTTCTGCCTTTTCTTTCAACTTCTCCTCTTTCAGCGCATCCATCGAATCGTCGGGCCGCCAGAGGTGAGGGTATAAATCGCGGAGAGAAATAAAGCCAACTTTGATCAATAATGCGGCCAAGTAGATGAGATTATACGGTAGAATGTCGGACTTGGAGCGAGCCTGTGAAGAATAGAAACGGAGTTTGAATCCCAGAAGTTGCGCGGCGACCTGACTTCCCTTGGGGGGCAATGTACCCGTCTCCTCGATCCATTTGCGAGTATCAGCCTCCTCGCCGGACAGACTGTTGGTTTCAGGGAACAACTGATTCAGCTCCTTCGCCGAGACCGGTTGACGACCAATCTCAAAGAAACCCCGAATACCAATTTGCCTGATTCGATCCCAAAAGTCTCGATCACGTTGTGCATTCGCATGCAGAGCGTCTGCGCGCTCTTCATCAGTTGTTACCCACCCAGAAGATCCTGGCAAGGCCCAATTAGGAAGCCCTGAGTCGCAAGGACCTCCCACTATGGTGTGCAGAATATGCTCCTTCGGCCACCAAGAGCTGGCCCGCAAAAGTTTCACGAAAAATCGATACTGTTTGACCAGAACAGCAGCAAAAACATCGAGAGTGACGTCCAAAACACGGCCAACATCCATATCAAAAGCACCGATCATCGCTTTGACCCTCTCAAATGTATCCTCCACAACCTCGCTGGATGGTGGTTCATTGTTACTTGTGGCAAATAATTCTGTGAGCAACTTCGAGTAACCTTCAGATTCCTCACGTAGCAGGTTGTAGTTTGACTGGCGATAAAGAAGATTGGTCTGTTTACGAATACCCATTCGAGCGAACGTGTCGCGAACAAGACCAAGGGATTGAAGAAGAGGAGTTTCAAGCTGAAGGCGCATGAGAGTGGGGTTAATCCCCGTAGAAAACACTAACGGTCTCAGGGCGAAATTTGAAGTGTCGGAGTCGGTCACGATCGATAGAGTATCCAAGAACAGGGAGCGAGTGTCAAGAGGAGCAGAGGGTTGGTCCTGGCCTTCCATGTGAATATACTCTGCAGAAACCTCCTCTCCAATAATCTCCTTCACTGTTGAGCCAGCTTCCTCTGGTGGGAGCCGTCCATCCAGCCCACATCGAATGAGTTCTTGGTATATTGAGGCCAGTACTATCATATCCTGACCATCCCTAGCCTGCATGCCTTCCGCCACAAGTCTCTGTTTCCCTGTAGCTTTCCAATCGTCAATCATATCACTAGAAACATACTTATAGTGATAGGACGGTGGCGGTCCGGCTGGTGGGACATGTACTGGGACTGTCGGGGACATGCGCGACTGGGGGGTCGGAGTAGGTTGGTGTTTGGCTTGCGATGGCCCTTGTGACTGTGATTGTGTCGGCTGTAGTTGGGGTGTCATCGATGCTATGCCATTCATCTGGACCTGATCCGATCCATCTCTCGCGGCGGGCGTGCTGGGAGGAGACATGGCCGCATCCACCCGACCACCCGGAAAATTTTGACTGTCGTTGCTCGGCCGCCGACCAGCATTACTATGCCTTCCACCTCGACTTGGCTGTCTTCGTAGCCTACCGCGCGCGTCGGAGTTATCGCGAGATTGCGGTGAATGCGAGCCATGGTTTTGTTGCGCCATGTTGAGGTTGCCCGGTCGGTGAGGTGAAGGACGTGGGCCGTCGTTTCCAGAGTCAGCAGACCACGGCCTTTCAGCTTTCTTCCTCTTTCCTCCGGCTCCTGGAGCCATGACAGCTTCCGTCTAAGCTCGAACGCTCAGGCAGAGAACCGATATGTTCCCGACAGGTCGCAATTCATGGGGCGATCCTAGACGTTGCAGATCGCATTAGCTTCATGGAGGTTTAAAAACGAGGATAAACGGGAGGACATGATGAAAATTCGAACGAACTCGAGATGGGGAAGCACAATCTGCAATGGAAAATATCATGCGAGTCCAAGGTTGGAGGAAACGCGACACCTGGGGAAAAGTCGAGAATTCGCTAGTTGGGCCCCGGACGTAATAATCGTGACTACCCAGACCAAGGCGGCGCTTACCCCGTTTATCGCGCTTGTCTCGTTTATGTAGTACTTGACAATGAATAACTTCATTTGTTCGGCTTAACTAGTTACCTAGAGAGTAGCTATTATTCCGCTACTAATTTGGGGTTTTTTCATCACTATTCATTCATCATCATGCCAGTCCCAAATCCTTCGCCTCAAGATCAACGATAGACGGAATCAACTCTATCAAGCTCGGTTTATTCGGACTCCATCCCAAGAGGTTCTTGCCCCGGTAAGAGAAGCCCCTTGAGCTACTCCCCCAAGCATACAACCCAAACTGGTTGATCTCCAACACCTGCGCATCGCTCAACTCCTCCACGACAGGAGAGGGAATCAACTTCTTCTCGTATGCCGTTTGAGCCACTGCCCGCTGGATATCCCCCCAGACGAAAGGCCCGTTCTCTGCTAGATAATAGCCTTTCTCGTTCCAAGTGGCCTTACCGCCACCAGCTACAGCTGCGTCTCCCAAGCGAAGGTAGAGGTCGGTCAAGTCCTGAACATGAACCTGGTGCCAGATGTTTTTACCTGGACCGATTAAAATCCCCTTTTTTCTCTTCAAAACAGCAGCTGCCAGCCAGTACGCTTGCAGGCTTTTCTGGTTTCCGGGTCCTCGGCCAGGACCGTAGATTGTAGGCGGACACACGACTGCCGTCTTCACGCAGTTTGGTGGCCGTTGTCCGGCTCCGATGATGATCTTGTCCACATTGCGATGCAGCGAGTCGTCGGGGAGATTCATAAGCTCATCGACGCCATCCCAGTCATCATACTGCTTGACTCGTTCCAAGCCCCAGGTGTTTGTACGAAAGTCCTCTACAGTCAAGATACCAGTCCCAGAGGTGTGAATGATCCACAGAGGATTCCCTGGCGTGTGGTGGGCAGCACCCTTGGCAATCGCAGCAGCAGACGCGACATGGTCACAGTCGGCGCAGTCTTAAATCCACTCAGTCAATCACTCCACCCCTTCAGATCAAAATCACCTATAAAACGGCGGGGGTTACTCACGGTAAACAATATCCGCATTCTTCACTTCCTCCTCAATGATGCCGGCTGAGTCCAAATCTCCGTATACAACTCTCACTTTCGGGTATTTACTCGCAATCTGAGCTCCTTTTTCCTTATTACGGACCAGGACCGAAATTTGCCAGTCAGGATGTGCCTGGGTCACGGCGTAAAACACATCTCCACCAATGTATCCTGTAGCTCCGGTGCTGGGAAATAATGAGTGCCACATCTATCTTTGGGGGGGGATAAATAACCTACAGTAAGACCTTTGGGGGCGCCATTTCGGATGTGTTGCTTTGCTTTCTCAAATAGTAGAAGGAAGTCAAGGTAACCAAGTGGCGGCTGCTGGAGTATATACCCGGGAACTGCCCGCATTTCACCACGAGAATCTTCCACAGTATAAGTATGGGAGCTCGGGGATTCTTACCTCATCATTGGATGCTTTGAAATCAATGAGTGGCCAAACTGACGCGGAAATGAAGAGCGGGGTAGACACTTCTTCCTGTTTGTAACATACGGAAATTGAAGCCGTAGAGTAAAGGCCAATATATACCGGAAAGTGCTTTTTACTTCAGCTTAGGGAATTTGACATAGCAGGTCATTTCTTTTGGTAGGAAGAGACATACGGACAACACCTAACCAAGTTACGATTGATTGTGTGTGGAATTGGATTTAACCATATTAACTAACTAACTATAGCTTATAATTAATAATAGCCCTAGAACGTGAATCAAAGCAGGACCCTGAACAATGTAGTTCAACGCAAAGATTTCCTTCCCTGTCCAAGAAGCTGGAGAGGAAGCTGGAGAAGAAAGGTACAGGCCTGGTGATACGCGAATATTCACATTGAGTTGGTACTCTGGTCCAAAAAGAAAAGGAAAAGAAGAAGCATGTAAAGCACTTTTCAGAGCTAAATGGGTATTTTGATATTAAATCCACAGGATCAATTTCCTCTCGATGCGAAGGACGTGCAGCCCGAGAGTCCAGTACTCTAGTAAATCATGTCATATGACCACGCACACAAGGAAGCAGAACAAAAATACAGAGTCGTAGAACATTTCGCTGGAAAGTCAACAGAAGCATAGGTAACTTGTCGCATCATAAGAGCGATATCGGGGTTAAGGGGGCAATAATTTCGTGGGCCAAAGAGACCTGCTTCTGGTGGAGAGCTGCAAAAGACTCCATTGGGAAATTCATCGTCGTAGGGGAATCTCTTAGAGAAAGCATGCCCATAATTTACAAATCAAGCAAACGAGAGATGATAACAATGGGAAAATACCTAGAAAGTGCTGGTGGCGAGCCGGCTTGCGGCATTTCGGGCGTCAAGTCGGTCCTCATCGTCCTCTTCGGCAATCGAACCGACGCCACTGGGCGAGCGTAAACGTCCCTTGGCTCCTTGTCCATTCACTTCCTCTTCCTCCTCAGGCGTAGGTGCAACGAAGCTACCACTCATGCTGCGACCAATACTGTCGCTACGACGAGGTATTCCGCTCCACGCGTCTCCTTTAGGTCCCTGGCTCGATCCAAGATTTGGGCGGCGTACAGTTGGGTGGGCTTCACGACCCAATCGGCTCAGTCCTCCAGAGGCATCGATCGAGCGGATATCCGGTCGCACGCTCTCCAGCGTGGCGAGAGTCCTTCGCTCAGATTCAATCTGACGCAAGGTATATTCACGTAGGCTCGTCCAGAGGTCGCTGGAAGTCCGTTCAAACCACCGGCGCTTTTCCATGAGAAGGTTAGAGGTAACTCTCTGTGTCTTCTTTGTGAGATAGTCTTCGTGGCTCTGTGCCTCGTCCAAAGCATTGATGGCCTCATCTACCTTATCCGAACGGACAGAGCTGCTAACTTTCAGTCGGTCGGCGGCGGCTCGCTTGCTACGAGTAACCTGCTGGGCCTGGAGTAGATCTCGAAGAAGAATGTGACGGTTGGTGAGAGTCTCCTTCACAATAAAGGCGTCCGATGAGTGGTAGCTGAGTGGGTCTCCGAGGGTGGTGGCCTCGGCAGTGGCCTGGACTGCATGATAATCCCCCACATTCTGTATAACTTTTCCAAGTTTCCGATAGGCGTTTGCTAACCCTGGATGCGTCTCTTGAACATGCATCTGTCCCAACTTCACACCAAAGTCGGACTCTGCGAGGCCAACACCTGAAAGTTTCGCTGGTTTAGAATGTGGTTGTTGAAAAAGAAATAGACTGGAAACATACCTCGTCGCGCCTTAACCACACGGTCAACCTTGTGGCTCGCATCCATTGTTCCGAGATAAAACATTTTGACAACAGGGCGTGCATTTTGCAGCTCAGGGGTGTCATCAGGAGGTGGTGCGAACTGCTTCAAAACCTTCCTTCGGACTCCCGTCGCAGGTTGCTTCATCCTCACAACGGGGCTATAGCCAAAATCGCTCTCGACGAAGAGGGTTATCTCATCGTCCAGGATCAACACGTCATTGCTTAGGATGCAATTCAACCATCGCTGCATCGACGCCTTCACCCTAAATTCATCCTCTTCGGTGCCGGCTCCGGCTGGTGTCAAGGGGGGGGGCACAGCAGGGACAAGGGCCTCGGGGTTAGCCGACATGAGATGATCCGCGAGCTTGACAAACTCCGAATGAGTCCGCCTAACATCGCGATACTGGGTAGTCCTAAATTTAGGAATATTGGTCTAGTTCTTACAGTCAGCGATTGAGAAATCGAAAAGGACAAAAACAGGTACGCTCACATGAACATCAAAGCGAAGAATGGGATCCTTTTTGCCTGTTCTTTCCAATGCAGTAATCTTTGCTTGGATCTTGTACACTGGAGCCGGCTGCTTGGCATTCTGTCGGGCCCCAGTTTGGTACCGCGCAGGGAGCTGGGATCGGGGGTGGCCCGCCGGGAGAGCTTGTTCCCCAGGATAGCTGGGTTCACCTATATGTGTATTCTGGACTTGCTCCGACAAACTTGGGCCACCGACTTCAGCCTCACCAGATGCTCTCGAGGAATGCGCCTCAGTTGGCTGCGAATCCCCATCGCCATCGTAGGGAGACTGGGGTTGCGGGGGTAGCGGAGAAGATGGGATGTCGCTGGTACTCGAGGAAGGGTAGGTTGCTTCAGTAGTTCGAGGCGAAGCCCAAGGGGAGGTCCCCGCTGGATGTTCGGGGTCTTGCGATAGGCTGGAGTAGTCCATCTCCGTTGTAAGAGGTGTGCTGTGTGCGCAATGGGCAGGATACAAGGTTACTATGTAAGCCTCCGCTGGGGCCACGTCTGCAGGGGAATGCGAGGGGTAATCATCAGCATCGAAACTTTGGCAGCAGCCCGTGAAGGAGGTTCAATTCCACTTACAAGTAGGCCCTCCGAAATCAATTCTTCGAGGCTGCAGAAAGGGATGGAGTAGGTGATCGCGAGGGAGATAGAGAGGGGGGGAGAAAGCAAGACGGTGGAGATTCCCAGACAGCCGAAGGTTACGTCGTTGCTGCCTGTGGGGTGCCTGATTGCCCAGGCATCCAGAGCTCTCCGCCCGGCATCCGGAGCCCTGGCCTGGCGTCTTGAGAACCTCACTTTTGGTTCTTGCGGATTGCAGCCCCTCTGATTCACGAAACATCGCATTGAAGCTGCTGTCTCTTCCATACGGGGTCTGGCAGAGGCGGTATGGTTGTGCGACAATTAGCTTTCACCTGCACATAGTCTTCTCGAGTCGAGATGGTCTCAGCTCTGTTCTTGCGCGGCGCCCGCACCCACCGGCCCAGTGCTCTACAATCCAGCCATTCCGCTCTCGGTTGCTCGAAATTTGCTCTATATCCGGCCTCCCGTTCCGAGCGAACTTGTTTACCCAAGCTACCCCGATTCTCGACGTGCGCGGCGCGGTTGCAGGAGAACCTCGATCGAACTCGCAACATCGGAATTATCGCACATATCGATGCGGGGAAAACGACCACCACTGAGCGTATGCTCTATTATAGCGGGTTTACGAGACGGTTAGGGGATGTAGATGAGGGCTCGACTGTTACGGACTTTCTTCCTGCGGAGCGAGCTAGGGGAATCACCATCCAGTCCGCTGCTATTACATTTTACTGGCCACCCGGGGAAAGTAACGTTGCTCAGGCTGAACAAGCGTCACCTAAATCTGCATCGCGACATCTGATCAACTTGATTGATACTCCTGGTCATGCGGACTTCACATTTGAAGTCCTCAGATCTTTGCGCATCTTAGACGGTGCGGTGTGTATCTTAGACGGTGTCGCCGGAGTGGAAGCTCAAACAGAGCAGGTTTGGCGCCAAGCAAGCACGTACAATATCCCTAGGATTGTTTATGTGAACAAATTGGACAGAGACGGTGCGGCTTTTGGACGGACGGTGCGAGAAGTTGCCTCGCGGCTTGGCGGATGGCCCGCAGTGTGCCAAATTCCATGGTTTGAGGGAGGAAACGGACGGTTCCTCGGCGTTGCAGACGCTATAAATCTCCAGGGCCTTCGGTGGGAAGATGGGGATGGCAAATCCTTGAAAAGCTTTTCCCTTCACCAGTTAGACGAGGCTGAAGGTCACCTTGCACAAGAGCTTCGACGAGCGCGGGTAGCCTTGGTAGAGCTATTAAGTGAGCATGACGAGACCATGGTGGAAAAGTTCCTCGAGTGTGAAGAGGACCACCTTTTGGTGTCTCCCAATGACATATTGGAGAGCGTACGTCGGTGTTTATTGGAGGGAGTAGGAAGGAAAATCATACCTGTCTTTGCTGGGGCTAGCTTCCGCAACATCGGCGTTCAGCCATTGCTCGACGGTGTCGTCAACCTCCTACCAAGCCCTCCCGAGACCCCTGATCCCGAGGTGAGCATTGGGGGTGTCAGAGGAAGTCTTCGTCGCCTCCTCTCTGGCGATCTACTTGTGGAACAGAAGGAAAAGTCGACACCCAAGGGCAAGCAAAAGAAAAAGTCCGCGGTGGTAGCCGATAGTCGCAAAGCGATTGAACAGCTCCATGGCTGTGCCCTTGCCTTCAAAGTCGTCAACGATGCCAAAAGAGGAGTTCTGGTATACGTTCGGGTGTACTCCGGATCCCTGGATCGAAACAGCCTCTTGTTCAATACCAACCTAAACGTCTCTGAGCGCGCCCCTCGGCTGCTCAAAATGTATGCCAACGATGCGGTGGAAGTGGATTCTATTCCCGAAGGCCAGATCGGAGTTGTGGTTGGCCTGAAACACACCCGAACTGGAGATACACTGGTAGCATGCTCCGGTAACCGGCCAACGCCTCCAGAGCCTCTTAACACGCTCCAGCTACGGCCTATCAACGTCCCTCCTCCGGTTTTCTTTGCCAGTGTGGAGCCACACAGCCTCAGTGAGGAGAAGAAAATGCAAGAGGCATTAGGGCTTCTCCTTAGGGAAGACCCGAGCCTCCATGTGAGCGTTGACGAGGACTCCGGACAGACATTGCTCAGTGGAATGGGAGAACTTCACCTTGAAATCGCCCGAGACCGCCTCATCCACGACCTCAAAGCCAAAGCCTCCATGGGACGCATCGAGATCGGATATCGCGAATGCCCACTTGGCTCATCGGGACCCGTTACCAAGATCTTCGACAAAGAAATCGCCGGCCGCAAAGGCAAGGCTGGCTGCACGGCAACCGTGGAAGTCTTCGACCCGGACACCTCGCCTCCTCCAGTCGACAATGCCGCCGCCCTGTCCTTCAAACTCTCACACGGCAACCAAATTGTCATCCTCGCCCCCGAATTACAAGTAGAAACCAACAAACGCGGCCTTGAAGAAAGCCCCCTCCTTCCTCCAGGCCTCGACGTCGACCTCCTCCGCACAGCCCTCCAAAACGGATGTCTCGCAGCCCTCGCGCGCGGCCCGCAATTCACCTTCCCTATGCACAGCACCCGGGTCACTCTGACCATCGACCCAGCCGCCCACATCTTCGGCAGCGACACCACGCCCTCCGCGCTCTCCGCCGCCGCACGCCTCGCAACCTCCACCGCCCTCCGCGATCTCCTCTCCTGCCCCACCGCAAACGGAACCTGCCTCATGGAACCAGTGATGCACGTCGTCATCAGCGTCGACGAAGCCAGCCTCGGCGCCGTCGTCCACGACATCTCCTCCTCGCGCGGCGGCCATATCCTCTCTCTAGATGAAGACCTGCCCCTCCCCACCACAGACCTCACTTCCTCCTCTTCCTCTTCCTCTTCCTCTTCCTCTCCCCACCCGCTAGAAGACCTCCCCGCAATCGACCCAACCAAAGTCTACGCGCCCCCAGATCCCTTCCAGTCCCCATCCACCGTGGATGCCTCGCTTCCCGACTCCGCGCACCGTCCGCGCACAATCACCGCCAAGGTCCCGCTCAAGGAGATGGTCGGGTACTTGAAGCACCTGCGGAGTCTGAGTGCGGGTCGGGGCACGTTTGTGATGAGTGTGGATCGGTTTGAGAAGATGAGTGCGCCGAGACAGAAGAGCGTGCTGGCCGAGTTGAGGGGTGGGTATTAGATTCGATTCGGGACGTAGTAGTGTAGCTAGCTTGCTTTCTCTTCGGTGCCTTGAGTTGGTTTACTGTACCATACTGTGCTATGTAAGATATAATAACTAGTTAACTAACTGAACTAACTAGTTATAAAAATGATATAAAGGATATATAATATGGGGGTATGGTTGGATTTGATAGGATATCTAGATGATATGTGTATCGGATAGACGATGTATATATATATATATATTTTCTGCATCAACGTCTCACTTGTTGGTACCTTACAAGGAAAATATAAATAAAATTAATTATATATCTGAAGAAAATAAAAAGCTTCCCCAACATGTATGCAATCATTCATCGATTAGATGAACAAGACTGGACCATTGATATATTCCTAGCAGTCCAAGAATCAGTCTCGCACTATGACAGTGACAGTGACAGAGTCTGACTACAAGACAAGGACCGACCGTATTGACTATCCCCCAACCCTAACTGGACCACCCTCGCCTATGTATATACCCTACCAATTATCATCCCACCCCCCGCCATCTTCCTGACTCTTCTTCGACGCAGGCGGAGGCGTCCCGTCACTCCCAGATACCCCTGTGGTCGTGGTCGCAGCCGTACCAGTAGGACTAGGTTTCATCGCCGCTGTCCCAATAGCTCCAGACCTCGGGGCATTCATCCTCTGGTTCTCCTGAGACCCGATGGTCGAGAAATCGTCCCAGAAATCCTTATGCTCGGGTTCTACATTGCGGGACCCTCGACCCGCACCGGAGTTTTCGGGTCCCTCAACGAAACGCTGGAAGGAGTCTGCGGCGCCACGCGCGCCGACTTGGATATTTTGACCGAGCTGGCTGGCGTGGACACGGGCTTGGGCTGCGAAGTCAGATTCCGCTATCTGTTCACATTGCATTGGGTCAGTTCTGGTCCTCTTGGGTTTGATGGGTGTAAGGAGGGAGAGAAGGAAGAAGAAGAAGAAGACGTACCGACTTGGCGGTAGGCTGGATATAAGATTCATTCATGGTCTTCGCGCCCTTTCCTACAGCCGTCGTGAACCACCCAAACCCTTTCGTCAACGCCGCCATTGGATCTTTCTGAAAATCATCGAAACCAGGGATAGCTCCGTTCCCTGATGATTGCTGCGCTGACCTCCCCGTCGCCATAGACGGTGGCAGCCCACCACCAAATCCGGTAAACTTACCTCCCTGCGAGGGCGGCAGACTCTCCGAGCGCGTCGAATTCTCGGATCCCAATTTCGCAAAGTACGCCTCATTTCGGACTTTTCTTCCGCCTGCGCCCTCAACACCGCCAGGTCCTTCTTGCAAACTAGCAGCCGCAGCGGGAGATCCCCGTCCACCCTGAAAACCAGCGCCCATACCCGGTGTACTCGACCGCGAACCACTCCTCGCTAGCCCGAGCTCAACAGCCGGCTTCTTCTGCCTCGTGGATTGCTGGTGCCCCGGTACGTATTCCCTCCCCTCGACCTTCGCAGAAAGTCTCTCCTTCCATTCCTCGCCAACCTCTCCCTCGTAGCGCTCCTTGATCGTTGAGTCCTCGAACGTGCGGCCCTCAGATTGTGTAATGGGGTGGGAGTCGAAGAATTCCTTCCAGGGGTCGTTGCCTCCAAGTTCCATCCGGTGTGTTTCGGAGTTTTTGAAGGCGTCCATGGTTATCGAACGGACGAAGGAGATGTGGACGCCCAGGCCGCGGTGGGTGCCGGCGCAGTTTAGGCAGATGAAGGTTCCAAACTTAGGGGAGGCCTGGATGATTATTAGAGGTAGCTTTTAGTTAGTTGTCCTGAGGTTCATTTTGGGGGTGGTGTGCGGTAGAGGGGGAAAACAGAGTGAACCGAGAGAATAAGATGGATGATAGTACATACCCATTGAGGGGATGGAGCGCCGCAATCGCAACATCGGTCATTTCCATTTACTTTGGAGTATTGAAGGAGCTATATTGGCAGGAGGAGACAGAGCATATAATGTTAGCCACGTAGACCTGGGGGGGGGGGTAGGTAAGGTAAGGTAGGGGGTGATGATTCCGCCCAGAAGGCAAGAAAAGCGGTGATATACCTTGGCCTTCGTCTCCGGGTCTACCTCCCATAGGCGAGACATGACGAACAGGAGTTACTGAGGGGATAATCTGGAGAGGGATTGTAAGAGAGAAGGTAGAGAACCGGCGACAGTTGTCCTCCACCCCTCAAGCCCACAGAGTGCGGAGTCTGTGCCCGGGTAAGTTCTGGAAATGGAATTCCCCCTTCAGGAGAAGATTCATGCAGTTCCAAATGGAGAGAGGGGTGAAATCCCGGCAAATGTGAGATGAGTGAGAAGGGTGAAGAGAGAGAAAAGACGAAGACGAGGTTGGTTGAGACAGGGAATGGGGGGGGTTGTCGCAGCCAAGATAGTGTGCGTGCTTTTTACTAGTAGTTCCACCACATGTTTTGTCCCCTGGCTCTACTTTGATTGAATATTGCGGAGTTGTCCCTTTTTTTTTGTTTTTTCCTGTACTTGTGTGTACTTGTGTGTACTTTTCTCTGCTTGTGCATACTTATGTGTATTTGGGTATACTTGTCTGTACTTGTCTGTACTTGTCTGTACTTGTACTGGCTACGATACACTACAATCCAAACAATCAACTCGGCGACAAGGCCAGCCTTGCGGCTAATCGTAAGCTAAATAGTAGCTAAGATACAGTATAGCAGAAAGGCAAGATTCGTTAAAAGGTCAACGTGTCCATCACTCCACCCTCATTACACCGTTTTTCCTTCCTCTCAAATACGAACTCCGTCTGGCAATCCGTATATAAAACAAAGTAAAAGAATGCTTCATCCTCGCGTTATCTTATCCCCTAGGACCAGGCCGGACAGGAATAGTATTCATAAATTTTTTTGGCGGTTTTTTTTTCTGTTTTAAAGGGGGGGGGGGAGGGGTTGTTTTTTATCTCATAGTAACACATCCGGGCGACGCCTACCGTGGAGATAGTCCATCCTCAAGACAGTTTTCCGATTGCGACATTGTCAAGCAAAATTTCTGTAGCTTACGTCCTGTCGGGACTGTACTTGTTCAGGATGGGGTTGACATTGTCATTATTTAGTCAGTGGTGGGAGCAGTGTTCTCTTGAGCAGGAGCCTCGACACCCTCCTTGGACTCCTCACCAACAAGGGCATCGTCTTCCTTGCCGGGGCTGTCAATGGCCACTTTGACAGCAATCTCACGACCTTCAATCTCCTTTCCGTTCATTTCCTGCACAGCCTTCTCCTGGAGCTGCTCGGAGCCAAGGGTAACGAAACCAAAGCCACGGCCCTTGCGGGGCTCGTTGCGGGCCTGGAGCTTCTTAATCATGAAGCGAGGGATAGGGCGCAGGGCAATCTTGGCGGAAACGGGCTGGTAGTCGGTAAAGATTTCCTTGAGCTAGGTGGGGATCAGCGGTCTGAGGTTGTAGAATTAGGGTCTTCGCGGTACTAACCTTCTCCTCACTCAGATCGTATGGCAGGTTGGCGACCATGACCTTGGTCTTGGAAGGAATGCCATCCTCGGGGGGGCCACGCTGCTTCTGGGGACGAGCACGGGGCTTGCCAGCCGCCTTGCCGGCCTCGGTGGTAGGAACGACGTCGTTTTGATTGGTGACCTCAGTCAGAGCAGTCGTCTCTTCAGCAGCGGCAGTAGGCTCAGCAGCTTGGGTGGGTTGAGCCTGGGTCTAGCACAACGACCAAGATTAGCGAGGAGGCAAAAACAAAACGAGAATCAAAATAATAGACCCGCGAGAACATACCGAGCGGCCTCCGCGTGTACCACGACCTACACGGCCGCGACCACGACCGCGGCCACGAGCACGTCCACCTGCTCGCTTGCGGCCCTCATTGCCGCTAGCGCCTTCACCGCCACTTGTAGCCCCCTCGGCCTTGGCTTCGGCAGGCTCAGGCTTGCGGGCGAGCTGGACAGAGACCTTGCGTTGGAGAATCTCCTTTCCAGAAAGCTCTTCAATAGCGGCAGTAGCCTCAATTGCGGTGGCAAGGTCCACGAAAGCATAGCCAACGGGACGGCTAGTGCGAGGGTTCACAGGGATGGAGACGCTCTCACTAGAAGGATGATGAGTCAGAATCAGGCCAAGCTAGTGATCCTCTTAACGCAGTACAGCATATAAAAGGGGAAGATAAAAAATAAATAAATAGTCAAAAAAGAAAAAAAAAAAAAAGAAAAAAAAAATTAAAAATTAAAGGGATGACAGATGTTTTGGGGGTTGGTAGTGATAAAGCTCAGGAGCAACTTGCAACGCGGCATCATGCGGGCGGAACCCAACAAACAGCACGAGCTTGAGCAACCAAGCAGGTTGGCAGAGTAAGCGAGGGCAGTACTCACATCTTGTAGTTCGTGAAGAACTCCTTGAGCTCCCCCTCAGTGGTCGCATATGCGAGGTTCCCAATGTACAACCGACGTCCTTCATCGGCACTGGCAGCAGCAGCATCAGTTGAGCTGGCAGCGGGGGCAGTGCCGTTAGGGGCCTCGGTGGCAGGAGTGGTAGAGGCCAGGTTGTCGGTAGTGGTGTTGTCGACGGCAGAAGACATCTTGATGGCTGAGGACACAAAAGGTCGAGATTTGAAGGGGGGTTGGACGGAGAAATCGCAATGAAGCTGACCGGGTTTGTGTGGTGTGTGAAGGACTCAGGAGAGCTGGAGGCTGCCTGTAATCTTGAGGTAGATCCTGGGTAGGAGGTTGACCTGGGATGGGAAAGACTTGAAGAGGGGGGGAGGAAGGGAGGGAGAGAGGAAAAGGGTAGCTTGGTGCCCTAGATACGAAAGAGAATTGACAGGGAAATCTGAGTTGAACGAGATGACGATTTGCCTTGAAAGAGGAAGGAAGGGAAAGTTGACGCTGTGAGAAAGGAGAAGGAGCGAGAAAATGGCGGGGATGACTAAGCAGGGCCACGACCATTGTTGATCGTTGTTGTTGTTAATACAGAGAAGAAGAAGAAGAAATATCTATATGAGTATATTATTTATAATATATAATAGCATCCTCAACCAGGAATCAATCAATGGTCCTGGTTTGGACTCTCTTACCCTCAATCTGATCATGCAGATCCCATGCATCTCGCCAAACCCTGATCTGCATACTACAACTAAGCATATTCTAACCAGTCTATCTCTAGTCAGCCTTGATTTTAGTAGTCGTAGTAGTAAAGAACGCATTCTACGTTGTTATGTTCTCCATTTTTATAGCCCTGGAGATATAACACACGAGAGTACCTCCGGAAGTTCCCAAGGTTGTCTTTGTACACTTGATGCTATTTGAAACCAGGATCCGAGAGAGGACGAAGAATGGTGGCCCATAAACTCTGTCGTGTATGTGAAGGCTTCAAGTGCTTTCTTCTCATCTTGGTGGGAGATGTAGGAGATCTTACCATGAGGGAGTATAATATATGCACGTGAGATGTCTTGACTCGGATTCTTTCATTTGGACTCTTTCTCCTGTCCTTCGACCACTCATCATGGAATCTTCTTACAGTCGATGAACCCTTCCCATTTTATAAATATTTGTCTACAGTATGAAACCTCACTTTCTCCTCCTTTCTTAACTAGCATTCTAATATTTAGAGTCGCAGAGGATATTTACTACTAGCGCTCAGTCAAGATGTTGCTCCTGCCGGAAAGAACATCTCACAAGCACAGCACTTCGAATTTCTCCTGTTTTTTCCAAAAAATGCTTCATTTTACTACATGATTCCGACTGAGGATGTGGAAGAGGGATGGAATTGATGATATTTCCGGAAGAAATGATTACACACACTCCCGGGGGCGATCCTGGAGCGGGAGCACAGCTCAGCCGATGGGATTTTTGGCAGAGCATCATTTCCTTGGGATAGGATTTGAATGTAGGTCCATGTACCTGATCATGCAGACTCTACAAGTGATGAGTTGTAGTGAAGGGTGCTTGACTGCTGCTGTTGTTATGGAATCTTCTCTTCTCGCCGTCCTCCATACTGGATCATCTGGATTTCTTTTGTCCGGGGAAACATACCCACAAACAACAAGCACGAACAAGTTAGGCGCCAGGGTTTCTTCTTTCTTACTCTGCCCCCCCATCTATCAAACAAGACCCTTTATCTGCAGCTTTCTTTCTTCTCTTCTCTCCGCCAGTCACCCTCCATTTTCTGCTTTATGATCGCATTCAATCTTGGGTTCTTAAAACAAGAGTCGCCACTTGCTTGGCGGGCTTAGTCAAGGGTGCGACTTGATTAGGGATAATTATTCCTCAATTATTAACAGCCTTTGACTTTCCCTCCCGATCTCTATCTTTTTCCACTTCCTCGCTGCTCTCTATGCCCGAGTCGCCCGTCTCCTTTCCCCAACCACCGGCTCTCAATCACCTCAAATCCCAATGGATCCTATAGAGCCGGCTGGCCGCTCTCAGGACGACCTTCCTCAGCCCCAGCGGCCGTCCTTTCTCGTCCCTCCCGCCCAAGATACGACGTCATCACATCCCCGACAGCGCTCCTCATCCTTGCGCTCGTCGCGCCGGCCTACAATTCGACTCCAACGTCCACCTTCCTTTGACCAGTATACCGCACAAACCCAACGACGGCAAATTGCAACTAACCAAAGCACAAATAATCTCAATCCAGATGTTTTCCGTACTTCCTATGTCGCAACCACCCTCCCACCGGCGAAAGAAGACGATGAGGCGTGGGAAGGGAACCGTCGCCGAAGCAATTCCGAACCCCGACCGGGACGTTGGTCTGCGCCTGTCCCAGTCGCACTGACCCAAATCCAGTCTGGAGAGCCAATGCATACCTTGATGGAGGAGTCTCCTGGTCAAAACCCGGGGGGTTCCCGCCGGCCATTTTCGGAGCAGTTCAGGCCAGCGCCATCTCCGGTGCAACCGAGAGATAATCGGAACATTTTACGTAGGACGAGTGTGGCAGCCCTGAGCCGATTATCGAGAAATCGAGCGATAACCGTTACCGGCACTTCGCCTGTCCCTGGTATGGATGGCCAGGAATATGACCCTCATATCGTTGATGTTCTCGATGTTATTGGTAAGTGGCTCCAGCCGTATCAACGAATCACGCAAATTATTTCCCGACCATCAATCAGAGACTAATAAAAAAAATGTTTATAGACCCCGAAGTATCTGCTCTCTCAACCCTAACTAATGTCCAGAATTCCTTATTCATCCCAAACCTGGGGTCCTTTCTCAATCGCAGTCAGACGTACACCCTCTCACCTCCCCCGGAACTTGATTCTCGCGAGGAAACAACTACGACAGATGAAGGCGAAGGTGACGAACTAAAAGTCCCTGAACCTCGCCCAGCTCTGGAGCGTCCGCTTACTAGCATCTCGTCTGTACTGGAAGAAGGAGAAACTCGGTTCGCCGTGCTTCCAGAAGGAATCACTCTTGATGGTTGGTCTCAGCAAGATATCGAGCAGCTGAATGACCATGTGAGGCACATGCTGCACTCTCGTCGTTCGAAGTTCAAACGGGCAATGAAAGGGTTTGGTAAATATGTGTCAAAACGTATGTCACCATTTGTTTTTTTTTTCCCCGGAGGGGTTTGCAACTACTAATACTTGGTTCGATAGCTCTTGGATTTCTTGTGACCCTATATGCAACCTTGATTACACTTTTTGGGCTTGCTTGGGTACTTTTCCTCATTGGTATGGTCTCTCTGTCCATTGGGACAATATATCCCCAGACTAACCAGGTACATACAGGCTGGATCAACATCGGAGGTCGGCAATTATACGTGATCAACGTGATTGACAACGTTTTGGTGGCTCTTTTTGCAATCATGGGTGACGGGCTGGCCCCGTTCCGCGCAGTCGACACATATCACATGATATTCGTCGCCCATTACACCTTTTTAACATGGAAGATACGCCGGAAGCGCCGTCTCCCGGATTTAAAAGACAAGAACGACCTTCCCTTGCGAAGTGAGGTGGATGCCGATCCCGAAGCTGGGGATATCTCCAAAGAGGATGAGCCGGAATTCAGTGTACTGAACCCTCTCCAGCAGCAAAAACTCATGCATCATCAAACCAAGCTTGCCAAGTCGCATACTTTTTACAAGCCGCACGAAACCGTGACGCATCGTGCCTTTCCATTGCGTATGCTTGTTGCCATTGTCGTTCTACTCGACTGCCATTCCTTGTTTCAGATTGCCCTCGGTACCTGCACCTGGGCCATCAGCTACCATGTTCGTCCGTTCGCTTTGACTACCGTTATCCTCTGCTTTTCAATCACCTGCAATATATCGGGAGGCGTTCTGATCACTCTCGGCGATCGAAGGACTCGCAAGAAGGATGTGGTCGAGCGAATGTTCCGACAAAAATTGACCAAGGAAGCGATGAAGAAGATAGAAAAGAAAAAGAAGAAGAAGAAGAAGAAGCAGGAAGACGAGAGGCTACGTGGATCACAGTCTGATTCCACATCTACCTTCCCACATGTGCAGGACGATGGCACTTGATATAATAGACGTTCTTAAATGATTTTTTTTTTTTTTTTTTTTCCCGACTATGGCTCCTAGATGCTCTAATTCCGTTACATCATAATATAAAGAAAGGGATATTAATGCCAATGATACCTCGGCCCGATCTTGCCTGTGTCTTCTCTTGCATTTTTTTTTTTTTTTTTTTCAATGTATTAGCGTCTGGATTTTTTCCTTGATATTCACTATATAGAACATCTCTTGCATGTGCATAGATATAGTTATAGTTATACATATACAATCCTCTAAACCAGTCCACAGCCTTCTTTAAACAATCCATTATTAATTTACTTGGATATTCATTTGTTAATTCTATTCTTGGAATGCTGTCGTCAGTTCCCTACTGGATCATGTACTGTAGTAAGTACCTATTTTAAACAGCCGAGGCCGAAAGATTTGACTTTGTATTACTATGGTTGTTGCTCCATCCAAGATAGCTGGCTGGTAGGTAGATTCAGCCGGAAAAAAAAAAAAAAAAGAAAAGAAAGAAAAATAGAGAACAGAAGATGCTGCCATAACATGGTGCATTGTTTGTTTTTGAATCTGGAAGTGTCTGAAGTGTTTGAATATACAAGGAAATGGTGGTGGTATTTATAAACAAATAGGCAGGCTGTTGGCGCTCACTGTACAAAAAAAAAAAAAAAAAAAAAGAAACCTGATCCGATCTTGTGAATTTTGAAGAGGGGAAAGATTTGGACAAAACTCAGAAGGCGTAGAAAAAGCAGCACAATATGTTTATCGAAAATGTGGCAAAAACAAGACAAAAGGATTGGACAGTTGTGGAAGGGCGCTTGCGCGACTGTGGTCCGCTGGGGAGAAATCAAGAAATGAAAAAAAAAAAAAAAAAAAAGGAATGACATATAGGCTCGGTAAATGTGTGTTGCCCATTTGAGGGGACGGTGGGATCTCTCCGCATTGGGAGGATGCCGGGAGTTATGTTTTTGGGAGAAACGTTTATAGTTCCTCGCGAAGAGTCTCTGTCTCTGTGGGAGGTTTAACATTGCGCTTGTTCAATATCTTCTCCAGAGCATCTAATCTTTCCCGGGTGGTTCGTATCGCTTGGTTCATCTCACGATCGGACATGTTCTCCTCGCTTAGCGTGTCTCTCAGATCCCGCTCACTTTGAGGCCTTCGACCACTCTTCTGTGGCATTCGGGGCTCGGATGCTTTGTGCACAGCTGGGTAAGATAGACCATCAAGCCCTACCCTATCTTCTAGCCAGTTCCACAACTCACTTTCCTCTCTGCGCCACATCTCTTCGTAAGCTGCTAGACGCTGAGGCAAGGTATAAGCAGGGTATGAGATATCATACGACATCGCAGGCGGACTGGAAGGCCCACGGAAGATGAGCATAAAGAGTAGAACGACAATAACCAGAAGGGCTGTGTTCCCATTCCACAAAGGGTTGAAGATGCTGGATATTGGACCGAGAAATGGACGAAGTGGTCCAAATACACCCCAAGATTCAGCCTTCTGTGCGCTAGCATCATTAACTGCCTGTGAAACGGTGGCCGAGGTCTCTTCGGTAACAAGCTCGCCCTTCTTGCGGCGTCCTTTGCCTTTAGTGCCGCTTTTGGCACCGGATGCACGACCGCGCGGGGCGACCGCGAGCTTGATAGCTGTAATTAGATCGTTTCCAAACGTTGTTTGACCGTCCATAGCACCTTTCTCGATAGGACCTACTTCTGGTCAGTTCCCCTACAATTAAGAGGTGAGAATGCATTTGGAAGGTTTACCTTTCAGCCAACTCTTTCCCGACCACTCGATTGTACATGTCATCAGAAAGCGCGTCTGATTGTTCGCCGCCCATGTGAAAAGATACTTTGTCTTGGTACAGAAAACATTGCCACTTGGCACATCGGGAGTTTGAGTACTGAGCGTCACGAGGACCGCCTTCTCTAGATCAAAGAAATCCAACTGCTCTGTGCTGATGCACTTAGTCTGCCGGGGACCAATGGAGCCAGGCAGGGGTTTGATATACGAATATTTTCTGGTTCGATTATCGTTTGTGAGACCTGTCTTTTCGGCATCGAAATCGAGTTCACCGGACTTCTGGTTGTCGACGAGAAATTTCGGCATGAACGTTGACGAGGCTGGCCCAAACACGCAAGAATAGACTTTACCAAGAGGCGCGGGAATTATCTCGTCTTTAACCACTCTGTCATACTGGGCACCAGACTCAGTATACTCAGTTGGCGAGTGAGTTGCTGGGCCCGGGAAGTCACCATCCGAATTACCACTCTTGCCGCCTTTGGAACTACCGTTGGCGCCGGATGGAGCTGGGGTTGTTGAAATGGGCCCGGAGCCCACTCGAGGGAGGCCTTTAGTGGGCAGTGACAAGTCACTTGCACGAGCACTCTCGAGTGCAGCGTCGAAAAAGCTGTCGGCGTTATCTTCCTCCTCATCCTCGTCGTATATCTCGTCCTCTTCCTCCTCGCTCTCATCATCGCTCTCCTCAGCTTTCTCGGTTTTGTCACCGGTGCCATCGGCGACCCTGGTACCATTCACAGAGCTCTCGAGGGCGGGGTGATTGATCTTCCAGATGTTGACCATCAAGTCGTAAGTCGACTCGCGACTGAGGAGAGACCTGAAAGTGTGGCGAGCATGCAAAGTCTGAATAGCTATCGCATTTGGAAAAACCATTGCGGTTGATTCTTTCTCAACCGCTACGATCTCATCGAAACTGATGACGAGGGTGGTGACCCAACCTAAGATATTACTTGAGAAGCAAATATGACCTTCAGAGATGTAGATTCGTCCCGCGAGGATGATCTCTCGTTGAAGGGCGCAACTGTAATCCTCAATCAGATAATCATCTTCAGGGACACTGCGGAATAGCTGATGAAAGTCCCTATTGCGCTTTTTGCTGGCCACGGCGAATCCCGTCAGTCGTGGCATGCTAGCGTTAGCACCTGGAGCACCTAAAGCGATAGCACTTGCGCCAATTGCGCCAATTGTTGAAGTGGTGGCCCCAGAAGAACCTCGGTGGCGTCGTCGGGCCAGCCGACTTCGTACGCTACCGCTTCGATACGGCCTCGTTGAAAATTCTCCATCCAGAACGCTGCCACCAGGAGGGGTCTGCGCACCAGTAGGCTCTCTTGCAAGAGGCAAGCCGGGTTGTGCTTCAAGGGGGTCATCAGTAGGTGGGCTCACTGGAATATCAGCCGGTTTTTCATATGCCATTGTGACTGCATGTGCAGCACGTCTATCCTCGAGTCTTGCAGCCTCTTCATCTCGCTGAGTGACAGTAGGGCTTCTGCGTTTCTCCGTTGGCATATCAGGCTTCGTGATGACGACTCCATCTGGCGTCGACACGGACCCACCCGGTGGGAGAGCAATATCAAGATGGCTAAAGTTCAAGTCTCCGGAACCCAAAGTGTCCACTGCCAACGGTTTCTTTTCTTCTGGTTGGCTTGGAGCTGCGGTTTCAAAACCGTCGGGCTCACCCTGGGATGGTAGGTTTTCTGATTCTTTGGTTTCGGCTATGGCAGGGCTACGAATTTTGGGCGCATTGAGACTGTTGGTGAGGGTGGATGCTGCGCTCTGCGCTGCAGAAAAGACGGAGGAAAAGAAGCCACTCTGTGAGGTACCAGACGGTGTTTTCGCAGACTTCGCTTCGTCGATAGTCGGACTCGCAGCAATGGAGTTAGACAGCTTGCTTGGTTTATGATTTGCGGCAGAAGCAGAGCGGACGCGACGATGAGATATCATGTTTCCAGAAGGGCTTACAACGATGCCAGGAAGCAAGTCTTTGGACTCCAGGGACTCCGGCGACTGCGTAACATCTGGAGAGCCGAAAATCATGCGACGTTCAGTTTGAGGAGTTGGTGGGGTGACTATGGCTTGCGGGGCTGGGACGGCGGTGTGCGGGGGGGTTTGGACGCGAGGAGCTTCAGGCGAATATCGAGACTTATCCTCCGTCAGGTCTGTACGAATCGGCTTGGGTATATTGGGAACCGGTGGTGGAGGTGCGGTGGTAATATTCGGAGCCTTTTTCGACGACGACAGGCTACTCCTTCGACTGGTGCTTTTCCAGCTCTCGCCAGATGTCGAGGAGGCCCGGTCCCGGTTGGCATTCTTTTTGTCCGAGCTGAAGGCATTTTTAAAGCGCTGGCTTCTGGAGACGGTTCTCTTCTTCCCATTCCGATCTGTAGGTATACTCAAGGTGGATACTGGTTGACTCGATGGGCGTGGGATTTCTGTATCAGGATTGGACTCGGATGGCGCGCCAGTTGTACCGCTGATGGCAGAATGTGCATCGTCTTGGGCTCCGTCGGGGTCGTCCGCATCTACCGACATCGCTTTGATCAAGGGCGATGAGGATGTGTAGAAGCCAGAGTGAGAATCGTGCGACGTGAGGGGAGGGGTTCTGTGAAATCGAATGTTAGAAAAATTCCGGGGTTTAGTTCGAGACGAACGAGCGGAAACTCTTACCTGTCCGGTTCAGAATCGTCAGTTAAAAGGTTGATTGCCTCGTCGTCGGGTGGACTATTGTTGTCTCCCGGCGACAACGAGATAGTGGACCCCCCAGTCGGTGGCCTGGAGAGAGTGTTGTCTCGGTTATCCGACTCAAACCTGGCTGTTAGCTCATCCGTCTCCTTCTGCGCCTTCCGCCTGCGTTTAGAAGCAAGCAACTTCGACAATCCACTGGAGCCTGCCTTAGTGGAGTCGGTGTCACCAGCTTGCGACCTAGGTCTATCGGAGGTGGAATCGATCGACAAGGGACCATTGCTTCGACCCGAGCTCCCCATCGGTTCCATATCTACAGGGGTAGTCTTCACGCGACTCAATTTGCTGAGGGACTGCTGCATGTCAGATGGGAAGGAAGCCTCAGAAAGCTCCGACCGGGTCTGACGGTCCATGATGGGCGGAATAGGAAAGGAGGAAGGAGAAAGAGGTAGTGCTCGATTATTCGGATGTTCAAACGGTGGCGCTTTGCAACATGCGAGATTCTTCTCTCGTTTGTCGGATTGCGAGATGATCGAACGGTAGGTCAAATAGGCAGACGTCTTTGGCGGGAGCTAACAATATGAGATGGAATGCGAAGCTGACCTGGGGAAGGGAAAGAGAAAGACAGCTGTGCGCACAGCCAGCATGTCTCCTACAATATGAAACAGGAAGAAAACGAGAGAAAGCCTCTAGATAAGAACGAGGAGATGGTCGAAGGGGGAGGGGATGAGGAGATGAAGTTGGAAACAGGTTCCAGTTACCCCATAACTTTTCCCATCATACAGAATCGAGAGATTCCCCTACGAATACGAAGGAGCGGCGCCATTCCAGTGGGGCTGCCACCCTTCTTTTTTTGGCTGTGCAACGAACGGGGGTTCTAGAATATGTCTATTTCTTTGGAGATTCTAATTCTAGCATACTTATCGATCCGATTATGTAGAAATTGCTCTATAAATAAATAAATCCCATCGTTCCATATAGACACCTGGGAATTTGGCCCAGTCCCAGGCACCAACACCAGCTGTGACCGTTTTGGTATTGTGTTTGTCGCTGGTTAGGTCCTTTTCCACCGCCGGATTAGGGGCTTCGTGTAATGTTACCGTCACATCCCCCAGGTCTTCTTCCACCACAGCGAATGGCGTCACTTGCAACCCCTCGCAATCGGATAGCTTCATCCACCTCGTTCAACTCTGTAGCCATGGAGGCTGCTCCCCTGACTTTGGTATGCCTTGGGCTCGATGGAAGACCCCCTGGATTGAAAAAAAAAAAAAAAAAAAAAAAAAAGAAATAATAATAATAATAAATTCACTGACAACTTCACCACCCAGGCCCATACACACGCTCGCAATGCCGTTCTAGAAACCCGCAAGTCCAATCCAGTCGCAGCGAGTGAGGAGCATGACCTGGCCGCAGGAGAATTTGCAACGATTGCTGAAAGTAGTACGGATCGTGAGGTATGTTTTTTTTGGTCGTTTAGTGGCTGTTTCCTTGCCTTCTTGCCTGGTGTTAAGGTGTCTTTTCCTTGCAGGCCTTGCGTACACTTCAGCTACTCGAGCACCATCACAAGAAGCTTGCTCAGATTCTCCGCTTTCAACATGAACACCCTCCTTCTACTTCAGTCACGCCGGCCACTGCTGCTGCGGTGGCCGCTCAAGGACTACCCACGGAATCAGGAGCATCAAAGGCATTCTCGCCGATATCAGATACCCAGCAACAGCCTCCGAAGCTATCGGGAAATCCACGCTTGCCCACCAGAGAAACATCCTCGATAGCGAGTAATCTCGCTTCCGCACGAGGGATTCCTGCCCAGCCACGCCGCGCGTCTCCCGCATCGCCTACGCTCTCCTCGCAGCAGGCGGGGGCGCGGATGACAGACAGCCCCGGGAGAATCAGGACAACTGAGGCTAGACTCCGGGGAACCCAAACTCCGGGAGAAAGAGAGCGTGGAAACCGTGCATCTGCCCAGAAACAGTCCTGGTCTCTCCCAGCTGAAAGCCCCACTGACATCACCTCCCAGCAGTTCGTGCCCGCGAACCCAGGCGAGACCGCACATCAACCGCGCGGAGAACCTGCCGCTGATGAGGGCTTCCAACGGTTCTATTCGACTTTCGAGGGGCTTATTTCCCGGATATCTGCTCCGTTGGCATTTGCAGGGCTCCCTCTTGGATCCGATGGCCCCCAAGCGGGCGCCACAACTCGCAAGTCATCTGCGGATACGAAAGTCGACCGGTATTCTGCTGTTTCCGATCGCTCCATGTCCTCTGCCGAGCCCGATATCGACAGAATCTTCTCGCGGGCCGCTCTCCGGGCAATCCGAGACTCCACGGGCGGATCTGGTGGAATGGGAACCGGCGGTGCCGCGGAATCATTCTACATCGTGCCCACCACAGGCGGGACTGTCTCGTACGCAGGCATCCTCACCCGAGCAGAGAAGGAAGCCCGTCGAAACAGCCTTGATGACGGTGACGAGGACTTTGTCGACGCCCGGGAGACTCCATCCTCCCCAGAGATGCTCCAAAGTCTCACCGCGAGCAAAGGCAAAATAGGTCGCGGTGGGGACAAGCTCACTGGCATCCAATCGCCCAAAACAATGGAAGAGCTCCAGATGGAGAACCAAGCCCTCAGACACCTATCCGATACCCTCTCAAAACGGCTGCACATGTGGGAAGTCAATGCACAGTCGTCGTCGATGGCGCTGCAACAATCACTGAGAGCCATGCACCACCAGAACGCGCCCTCCGCAGACCCTGGTCCGCATTTGTTTCCACCCGCCGTTTCTCCACTTGCGCCAGTGCTCTCGGGTCTGTCCATCGAACAGGACCAACGGATCAAAGAGCTCGAGGAGCTGGTCCGCCTTGGCGAAAGGGAACTTGACAAAGTCGGCCGGGAGAATGAAAAGCTCCGAAATGTGCTTGGTCGATACCGAGAACGGTGGGAGAAGCTGAAAGAAGGCGCCAAAACAAGACGCGAGAGTAAATCTGGTGGAGAAGGCAGCGTGCGCAATGGAGGTGCTGCTGCGGCTGCGGCGGTTCATACGAATCATCCCGGGGCAGACACAGAGGACACCACATCCAATGAACCGGACGTTTGAAAGCTGGCGACGCCTAAGATGGGTTTATGTTGAATATCTTACTACAAAAGCAAAAAAAAAAAGCGTTATAGCCTTTATTTACACACACACGCACATGTATTGTATTATCCTGCAGATTCTGATTGATATTGATTTGATATATAATGAATTAATCCTCACACGAGCCCCAAGCATGTCGTGATGCATGGATGCCTTATATAGTCCACCTCAACTAATCCTTTCATATGTATGGGTTAGCAAAAACCTACCCCAACCCCTAGCACCTACCTAGTAGATCCTAAGGAGTACATAAGTAGTCACTGAACATAAAAGGTGGCATTCCCACGAATATCAGCCGAACTACTGCCCACCAGCACCTGGAACGCCCCCGGCTCCACCACATACTTCATGCGCGTATTCCACAGCCCCAACTCCTGCACCCTCACCTGCACCTGGACGGTCTCTGTGTTCCCCGGCGGAATAACCACCTTTTCGAACCCCCGCAGCATCCGATTCGGCACATCCACGGTCGAAATCTCATCCACCACATACACCTGCACCACCTCGGTCCCTTCCAGTGTCGCATGCGTATTCGTCACCGCCACCCTCACCGTCACGGTATCGCTCGCGGACACATGGCTCTTGTCCAGGGAGACACCGCCGTACTCAAACTCGGAGTAACTCTTTCCGTATCCAAAGGGGTACCAGGGGGCCGGGTTGCCAAGGACATACTGGTGTCCGAAGACGAGGGTGCCGTTTGCTGTTTCGTAGCCGGAATCGCCAATGGAGCGGCCGGAGTTCAGGTAGTCGTAGTAGACGGGGAGGTCGCCGACGTAGCGGGGGAATGAGACGGAGAGTTTGCCGGAGGGGTTGTAGTCGCCGAAGAGGACGTCCGCGAGGGCGTTGCCGCCTTGTTCAGAGGGGTAGAATTGCTGGATTAGGGCGGTGGTGCCGTTGGCAAGCCAGCTGTCGGAGATGGGTTTTCCGCTGGAGAGCACGACAATCGTGGGCACGCCCGTGGCTGCGATGGCTTTGACGAGGTCGCCTTGCGCGCCGACTAGGGAGAGGTCGTTTGTGTCGACGTGTTCGCCTGTTCTGTTGTTCGGTAATTTGTTCGTTAGTTGGTTAATTGGCAGAGAGAGAGAGACGACGAGCATACGTTGCGTTAAGTCCCATCCACAGCTCGCGTTGGTCTCGACTCCAAGTGCCTACGACGACAATAGCAACATCGGAGTTCTTAGCTGCTTCGATGGCTTCAGGGAACCCTGACTGGTCGTTGCTCCACCTTTCGCAGCCTTGAGCGTAGTGGACGCGGGCTTTCTCGCCCACGGCGGCTTTGATGCCGTCTAGAGGAGTGACGCCGCGGTACTGGCTTCGGTAGACCACATAGTCACCGTACTGTTGTTAAGTTAGCATTGGCGGTTTAACCATGTTGGAAAACACTTACGTTCATGAAGCCATGAGCCATCGGCCCAATGACTGCGATATCGCCAGTCTTCTTCAAGGGAAGCACATTGTTGTGGTTCTCTAGCAAAACAATAGACTCCTTGTCCAGTTTCCTGGCCAGGTCAACAGCCTCCTTGCTGTGAATGAGCTTTTCCCACTCTTTATGAGGGGCGCCAGGGTATGGGTTCTCAAAGAGGCCCATGGTGAACTTGGCGCGGAGAACTCTGGAGACGGCCGTGTTAACGGCCGCAATATCAAGCTTTCCGGACTCGACAAGCTCGGGGATCTTCTGGAAATTGCTGTCGGTGCATTAGCTATTATACCATATGTTTTGGTTGATAGTGAAGCTTACAATGAACCACCACCCATCTCGACGTCGTTACCAGCGGGAAGAGTCTGAAGCGTGACTGATTCCATATCAATAGGTGAGCTCCCGCAGAGGTGGAAGGCAGTGCAAAGACGGTCGGTGGCACCCGCATCGCTAATCACGTAGAACTCATAGCCCCATTCATCACGAAGGATCTCTGTGAGGGTATGGTAGTCTGCTACGGCGGGAATTCCATCATACCTGCGATGAAGCCAGTAAGTTTTTGATTTCTCTGCTCGATATAAGGACCACTTACGAATGATATGCGCTCATGATGCTCCAAGCACCAGCATCCACGATTGCCCGCTTGAAAGATGGGAAATAGCTGTTGTCACAGTTAGCAGCAGCCCTCACTTCTGCGATATTATTACCCACGTAGTCCGCAGGTATCGCTCGCCGCCCTTAACAGGACCGGTATTGATGCCCTGCTCGGGTTCACTGAATCCAATGAAATGCTTCACGGTAGAGGAGACATTGAGGCTCTGCAGTCCGGTGGTATATTCATACCCGATCTCTCCAGCCAGGTACGGGTCTTCGCCGAATGTCTCCTCAACCTGCATCGCAGTCAGCCCTGATCTCTGTGCCTTTTCTCTTGTATAGTAATGGATTCTTACGCGGCCATATCGCAACTCGCGCGCCAAGTCAACAACCGGGCCGAAGAGTTGGTTCACTCCAAGAGTAAGAGCTTCCTGGGCGATGATTTTTCCCATCTTGTTCACCAACTGCAGTATATGTTAGACTCTATCCGCAAGTTCCTGGTAAGGGTCAAGATAATAAAGGCTGGGTCAACGCACATCCCTATTGAACGAACACGCATATGCAATAGGGGAATTGAAGATCGTTGCATTGGCTATGAGGAAACCGTGGATCCCTAAGACAAACACACGATTAGCTTATACAACCCAACGGCTGAGAGAAGCACCGGTACCTTCAGTTTGTACAAGCGCTGGAATACCGAGAGTCGTGTTTTGAATGAGATAGTCCTGAGCTTTCTTGACATTGGTAGCGATCCAGTCCCAAGGAACAGGATATCCGACTGAAACGCGCGATCAACAATACTGCCGCTATACTTCTAGTCAAAGAACCCACCCATACCGTAAAACATGCCTGCCTTCATCTTCATATTTTCCACCAGGCCGGTGTAATTGAAATCTCCCGTGTCCGCATTCATCCAATTAGTGACATCACCTAGTTGATCAGCAGTCAGTCTCTCGTTTGGAATTAACCTTACCTAGCAGCTCAATCACGATCCTAGTAGATGGGGTTTCAACGCACCTTGTATCAATTGAGCCATCTTATCCTCGACGGTCATCCGGCCCAAAAGATCCGAAATGCGATCCTCAATAGACGCATTGGGGTCCTTGTAAACGGGCGATGCACCCCGTGCAGCCGTTAAGCCCGCGCAGAGCAACACCAGCCCCCGGGAGAAACGATTAGACAACATAACTACAGTCTTTGAGAGTCTGGACACTATTTACTCCCGCTTCTCGTCTCGTCTCTTCTCGTCCCCGCGTGAAAGAAGCGATCCTCTGCGAAGTATGGAGTCAAGTCCGTCCGAATTCCGGGCCCCCCGAGCCATTTTATTTCTTTTATTTCCCAACCATGATTGTACATAAGAAACTGGAAATCATTCCACGATTCTGCAGACTGGGCTAGTCTAGGAATCTAATGCAGTCAGAAAAGAAAAGCAAGGGAATTAGGAAAAATAAGGCAAATCAGAACTGGCAATTCGGGTGGAGAGAGCACTCACATCGTCCGTTTGCCCAGCGAGAGACAACTGGAGCATCCAAGTCTAGATGGGATTATGCAGGTATCTCGGAGATGATTCCGGGTCAGGATGATACCGAGAAGGGTAAGTCTGACAGCATATTGATGAATGAAATTGAGCCGAGATGCCCGCTGTGGGGAGAGAGAGAGAGAAAAGAAAAGATGGACGGCTAAATGCAACGGTATGCAACAGGAAGAGGGGAAATGAGAGGGGTCGTCGGTTTCAAGAATAATCCCACGTACTCTGTAGAAATAATTCCTAGCATCCAAGCTGCGAATCGCGTAGTGATCCTCTCTCTAGTACAGTTAGTGAAATGTTACTGTACACTGGGCAGTTGGGCTGCATGATGCTATCCAGGGATGCCATTTCCACCTATTGAAGTGGGCTCTGCATAGCAGCAGCTGCGAGGACCGGGTGACTTCCATGCATCAAATACAAGCATCATCTATATGTTGTCACACAAAAAAAAAATATGTGGATGCAGGAGAACTTGCGATTTCTACCGACAGACAGACAAGAAGGCGCATGTGTGATTCTAAAGTATAACAGCTATGTATGTTCAAGATGCTGTCCGCAATGGTATAAAGTATACAGCTAATGTCCACCAGGAATTACATTATTTAGACAAAGTGACAGAGAAAATGATATGTACTGGGGCAACTCACACTCGTTGCCTCAAAACACCGCCCAAACTTTACAGCCCCCTGTGATCATCCCTATCCACTTGCACACTGGCACGATGCTCATCTGTGGGTACATTCTCAGGTGCCTTCTGGCTAGCGTTCTGCCTGTGCAGAGCGCCGCCCAGCCACGAGAAGCCCCTGCTCCACGAGTCACTTAGGCTGCGGAGTCGCGAGACTGTGGTAATACCATCGGAGTGATTTCGACGTATGTCCTCGGGCGCAACGCTAGGTGTCAATTCCCCGGTGCTCACAGGCGCAGTGGCCAGATCACCAGTTGAGTTGAGTCGAGCAGCGGCCAGGGAGAGCCGAGAATCGTCCCTATTCCAAGGGTTGGCGTTCAGCCCATGGCTATCCCCTTGGCCTTCTGGATTACGAGGGATATTCTCTATCACTGTGGTACTCAGAAGCTTCTTCCGGCCGGGCCGCCGTGGAGTCCTCCGCTCCTTGGCTGGACTCACTTCACCACGAAGAAGCGACTCGGCGATAACGGCACTGAACCCTGCTGAAAGAGTAGGGAGTAAAGGGCCTGGGGAAAAGCGTGAGGAAATGGAATTTCGTGCCCTCCTTGGTGGGGTCTGGGGCACAGTGTGGTGCGGAAGATGCGCGGCTGTACTCTCCGTCCCCGTCGGAATTAATGCACTAGCCTCGTCCGCACCCGGAGCTGGAGGGAATCGAAGCAACATAGATGAGCTGGCTGCTTTGAGTCCTTGTCCTGGAGGTGTGACAGGCCGTTTAATAGGGTCAATGGACTGGGTGGTTTTCGGGGTCTCTTCTAGAGACTCAGCCCACGGGTTCCTCAGAAGTGATTGTGCTCTAGAGGATGAATAAGAGCCAGGAGATGGTTCGGAAAGCGATTCGGCAGCGAAAGAGCCAACAGGGGAGGCAGATGCGGCAGATAATGCTACTCGTGGTGTGGCTTGATTTTCATCAACATCTTCAATATCCCGACTGAGGAGAGACCCAGATGGGGACTGAAGCCCACCGTTGGAGAGCTCCGGTGATCTTGGCCGCACTCGGTTATTCACCCGGGAATGACGAGGAGGAGGAGGCGAAAGGTCAACACTATCCTGGTACCTTTCTCCAGATAAGAGGCCAATAGCTTCTTCCTCATCCTCGGCAGAGTAGGAGGACTCGTCATCAGCGCGAACCCGTCCACTAGTGATGAAGTACACTCCCAGAAAAGTCAAGAGGCAGCCTCCCACGAACTTTGTCGCGCGGCTAGGGGTAAAGGATCGGAAATCTCTGTATAGAACAGCACTGCCGGTGATGACAGACAGCGTGAATAAAACGAACTGTGTTGGAATAACTTGAGTGGAGTCAAACCGTTGGAGAGCTCGGTTGATATATCGAATTTGCATCAAGGCACTGAAAACAAGGACAAAGATCAAAAGATATGTAATAGGAAAGGTGATCACATGCCACCAAGTGCCTGACAGCAGGGACGAAACGCCTTTCGTCGAGAGAGCAGTGTACCCACCTAGGCAACAATTAGCAATCACGCGATAAGTTGGCTCGTTAATAACAACATACCGAACAGTCCAACCAACCCAACGTCAATGAGAATAGTCCGTGACCCGTATTTGCCACTTGCCCACATCAGAACCACAATCAGGGTAGCAGTAAGGCCTAGGTAAAGCTCAAATTCCCAGCGCGTAATCATTACCCAGATATCATGTGGTCCAATCTTCTCTTCTGATGACTTGGCACTCAGCACAACCACCACGGCTCCAGTAATAGCGATGACAACGCCCCAAAAATCCCGAGTCCGAAACTTTTCTTTCAGCAAACAAGGTGCAATGACACAATTCGAAATCAAAGCAGCCACACCCAAGGGAGAAACAATCGACGCAGGGGCAAACCCATATGCCATGAAATTTCCAATCTCACCAATAGTCATGAGTACTATCCCAGCCCACCAGTATGGAGATCGAAGATACGACTTGCGGTTTCCATGGCGCAACTCGTTTTCAGGCCTCACAGTCTGGTCTGACAGCACCGAATCATTCAACTGGTCCTCTTGGTTTGTGTTCTCATCCTGCAGATAAAAGTTCCGTCCAGATCGGCCGGTTGATTCGTCTCCATCTGCACTATGACGTCCTGTCGCTTGGGGTTGGTCGATATCGTCAACGGCTCCGTAAGGGACTGTAGCCGCCTGGCCGTGTTGTGCGCGCTTCCAATCTAATTCCTTGCGTAACTTTTCATGTTCCCATTCCTTACCGATCTGAATATGAGCATAACGTTGGATATTGAGGGCCAGCGAGATCAGCACATTTCCTATGAGGGCGGTGACGATACCAATCAGAGAGGACCACGCGTAAGGACCTCGTTCGTCGCCATTATCGTTTCCGGGGGATGGTGTTAGAGTGGGGAGGGCGTGAGACCAGGAAGGACTGGCGGTTGAGAGGACAGTCGGCGTGGGAGTGACAGATGAAGCAAGCACTGTGAGCAGTCCGGCTGCTAAAGGGATCTGGTGTGTAAGATCCATTTGGATAAATATCAAATCAAACGAGCAAAACGATGAGGCAATGAATCAGTCAGCAGCACCAAGTCCACAGCCACAGTAGTAGTAGTACAGAGGATGGTATCAAATCAAGGGAATGCCACCAAGAGGTTCACAGGCGATACGAATGATCTCTAATCCTTCCAAATATTCAAAGAGTCAGCGATTTGGAGGAGGGTTGATCATGCTGATGAGAAGAACCGCATCCTGTGCCCCTAAGCTTACTGGCACCCGAACTGGGGATGTGCTCTGTACAAAAAAAAAAAAAAAAAAAAATAGCTCCGACAAGGAAAAAGATCAAAAGGAGGGACTTGGTAGATTAAATCAGAAGGTGACCCAAGATCCCGCGGGTTACCGGGCGAGGAAAGGGAGGAACGGAGAGGAGATAAACGATGATAGATGAAAGTCGAGGAGGCGAAGTCGAAGTTGGAGACAGAAAGATAGGCGGTCGCACGTGCAGCGCGGCGTTAGAAGAGGAGGACGAGTCGACGACAAGGACAGGCTAGGGACTGAACACGACCATTGTATTCCGGTGCGAGATCTAAGCAAAGCGAGGAAGGAGGAGCAACCCGAGACTATTGAAGAGCCATGTGCTAGCTGTATCTTCATTGGGCTCTCTGGTCGATCCGGAGGATCCTTTTACACCTTCTCCCCCACCCTCACCCTGCGCATTGTCACCGAGCACAAATACCAGAGTTTATGTTGTCAAAAATTCATTAAAAGCCGCGTCCGGTCTAGCGGCAGTTCCTTGACATATAGTTATGTATATTACAAAATGATAGCTAGCTAGATACCTTGTGGCTCCAAGTTTTCTTGATCACCGCCTTGCCTTTTTCCTATCCGGCTCGGGCTCATCATCGTCACTAAGATCCCTATATATGGTCTTAGGCTGTGTTTCCTGCCAAGCTTTTGTAAATATCGGGTCCTTTTCAGCCTTTTCAGCATACTTCAAGAGTGCTTCTCGCGGATCTTCATCGCGCATAGAGCTGAGCGGAATATTCTCTCGAATATGTTTCTCGTCCGGTTGAGATTTCGCAAAGGGTGTCTGCGCGGGCATGTGAGGCCGTCGCGGGTCCCTTGGACGACCCGAAGCTGTTAAGCCAATGGTTGGGTGTCGTGCGGACCAGGTAGCCGAGCTGTAATGGGGAACGCCGTTCGATCCGATAACGACCGAGTCTCCCGAAATTCCCTGGGCTAGATTCATTGTGAGGGTTGGATCATCGTCAATGTGACGGCGCTTTGGAGCCTTTGACATGACCAGTGCAGCGCCCTTGGTCGACATGTTCGGGTTATAGAGAATATGAGTTTCAGCATTGGCAGATCCAGTCAGAATTTGGTTCAGTTTCTCATGCCACAACACGGTAATCAATGGAGATCCAGGAGTGACTGGTGTGACCAGCTCAGGCTTCAAAGTAGCGGGATTCAGGATGTGCAAGTGACCGGTCTCAGAGCCGGTGACCACATTAGCCGATGTCGGCGAGAAAATGATATTCGACGAAGGGAATCGAGAGGAGCTAGAAGGATGCACAACTGTTGTGATCGGTTGCTTAAACTTCCTTGTGTCCCATAATTTGATAGTGTCGTCTCCTCCCTTGGTGATGACCAGTCTTCCATCGGAGCTGATGTCAATTCCACTCGTCCAAGTATTCCGCGCATGTGCATCTCTAACTTCAGCACTAGGTCTTGTATACGGGCCATTTCCGCTCCACATCAGTAGGCTGCCATCAAGGGCAGCACCTACAAGGACATTGGGGCCGCCTTGTTTCGGGGAACCCCAGGCAAGGGCAGTCATTTTACTCCGACCAGCGGATCCAGCAGCTTTTGACTTGTGCATAATGACCTCCTTTTGCGATCGCCCGACATTAGCGTCCCATATACGAACCGTGCTATCAGTCCCAGCAGTAGCACACAGGTTGAGATCTGTTGGGCTCCATGCGCCGCTCGTCACCTCTGATATATGGCCCTTAGTGTGATGGAGATCCCTCAGGTACATATCACCCTTCACAAACTCCGTAATTGTATCGCCATCGCGATTGAGAATCCGCGGTTGGGGCGTCGCAGAGACAACCAAAACGTAGCCGGGAGAGAGGGGGTTAAAGGCCGCATAGTGTACCGCGTGCGCTTCCTGGGCCGCAGACTGCTTTTTAGCGGAGGGGTCAACCGATTTAAACGAGCGCACTGTCGACGGAGTCATGGATGCAAAATCATGCAGTTTTATCGTACAGTCTGTAGAGCCAGTGATCAATCTGGATCCCGATGGATCAACAGTAATCGTCGTGACCGCGCGCTCATGTGTTTTCATACTAAGCTCATGCGACACAGGGAACTCGTCCTCATCATCTGAATCATCTGAATCGCCGTCGCTGTCTGAGTCTGCATGACTGTCGTCGCTTTCCTTTTCTTGACTCGGCTCCTCATTCTCATCTTCTATTTTCGCGGCCGCGCTAGGATCGCTGGTCAACGGTGCTTTCTCATTGTTGTCATCATCGGCTTTCGCATTGCGTTTGGTGAGGTCGATTTGGGCGTTGACGTCGGTTTTCTTCTCTTGCTTCCCAAACCCCGATGGGAAGAATTTTTTGAAAGCCTCCTCGTCGAAACCGTCCATGGTGAGCCGTCTCCGTTTCGTTGTCTCTTCTCCTCAAGTTGCTCGAGCTCAGTTCAACTGGCTCTAGATCAAGGAAGGTTTAGAGCTATGTTTGACGAGTTTTGCAAGTTTGCAATGTTTGCCGCTCCGGGGCGTCAACCCCCGACATACAAGTACAGCAACTACTGTAACAGACCGTTACTCCGTCCTGGAATGCATTTAAACTATCGTTACTACAACGAGGATATATCTATGGATAGATAACACGAGTTCAGACGATGGGAAATAAACGTAGTCAATGGCTAAATAGTATGACCTCATCGGGATTAGAATACACCACTTTAAATCTCTACGCCCAATGGTGCCATGACTTGTGCCATAGTGGTCATAAGTACAACACCAACACCTGTATGCGCATCTACAAGTACAGTCCTTCCACCGGGCCACCATCCTGCTTCGTCTTCATGATCCGCTCACGAGCCGCGCGGAAATCATCCATCTGGACCCTCATCCGGCGTTCTCTGAGAGCCATCAATCCAGCTTCTGTGCAAATGGCGCGGATATCCGCACCGGAGAGATCATCCTTCTGGTTGATAAACTCGTCCAGATCGACGTCATCGCCGAGAGACATCTTTGAAGTATGCAGGGTGAAAATCTTCTTCTTGGTGTTTTCTAAGAATTGTTAGCAAGAGGTTGTAGTTCGACGTTGGCGAAGAGGCAACTCACGGTCCGGATTCTCGAAGAGAATCTTTCGATCGATACGTCCAGGACGGATCAAGGCAGGGTCCAGGGTTTCAATCTTGTTTGTGGCCATGATAACCTTCACATCTCCACGGTCATCGAATCCATCCAGCTGGTTGAGAAGTTCTAGCATAGTTCGCTGAATTTCTCGTTCACCGCCAGAAGTGGAATCATAACGCTTGGTACCAATGGCATCAATTTCATCGATGAAGACGATGGAGGGTGCATGTTCCGCGGCCACCTGGAAAATCTGTCGCACCAACCGGGGACCATCTCCGAGATATTTCTGGATGAGTTCACTTCCCACAATACGCAAGAACGTTGCGCTGGTCTGATTGGCAACAGCCTTGGCGAGCAGTGTTTTTCCGGTTCCTGGGGCACCGTAGAGGATGACACCCTTGGGCGGTTTAATTCCCATTTCCTCGTACAGTTCGGGATGCAGCAGCGGCAGCTCAACAGATTCTCGGACCTCTTGGATCTGAGATTCCAGACCACCAATATCCGCATAGGACTCAGTGGGCGCCTTGTCGAGCTTCATGACCGAGACAAGAGGATCCGATTCTTCTGTCAGCACACCAACCACCGAGACCGACTTGTGGTGCAGAAGAATACTCGCACCGGGCTCGAGAAGGTCCTTGTCGACGAACGACATGATTGAGACATAGTACTCTGGGCCAGTAGCACTCGAGACAATCGCATGGTCGTCATCGATCAACTCCTCCAAGTTACCGACTCCCATAGGACTGCCTCTCATATCATCAACCCGGCTACGCTCATCCGCATTCCTGTCCATGATATCAAAATCACCCCTGCTAATATTGTCTTGGCTAGCCTGTGCCTTGGCCTTCCGCAGACGCTCCATATTCTCGACGTACTCCTCCTCTAGCAACAGGTGGTCGTGGACTCGCTGCATTCGCAAATACCGTAGTTTACATCGTGATGTTGGAAAAATGTCGGGCAGTTTGGATGCAGTGCTGGGACCGGCGGCCTTGCGCTTCTTGCGACCGATACGGGTGGTTGGAGGAGGGGGTGGTTCATATCTGGGCTTATCCTTCTGTAATAGAAACTGTGAGACCAGGGCTGGTGAATCATCTGGAAGGACAGTTAAATCCCCACCTTCTTGTCCTTGTCATCCCGGCCATCTCCTCCGCCGCCTCCGCCAATGTTGGACTGCTGGTTACCCTGTTTTTTTATCGATTTGTCAGACAGGAGACGCAGAGTAAGAGAAGATAACAGAGCGAGCACTAACCATAGTCCGAGCGTGTGAGGTGAGGTTGGGAAAAGATAAGACTCAACACAGGCAGAGTTTCGACTGAAACAAAATAAGATTATGGACAAATTAGAATGAAATTAGTGTTGAAGATGGAGATGCGGATGAGAGATGGGACAAGGAGAGACAGCGAGAGAGCTCGAGGCAAGATGGGAGCTTTGGGAGCTGGTGTGGTCGCCTTCCATCTGCTGGTCTTGGCGCTGACTACGTGTGTTTGTGTTGGGAAAGCGGTGTACTTCTTTTGGCTGGCAGATCATCTTCCTCTTTTCTGGATTCCAGACCGCCTTCTCTGACTAATCTCATGGCACGGGACCGCCGCCTCATAATCTCATAATCTCATCTCATAATCTGGCGATGTTTGGAATCTACGGATACATAATAGAGGAATCCATCGGGATTCAAAAGAGGACAGACAGTACTCCGTCTTGTAATTAGGCATGTGTCCTTGGCTTTGGGCGCAGTATAAGTTGGTTGTTGGATGTTGGTTGGCCCTCTGGACGGAATATGGAGTACCTATGGAGTAATAATAGCCATCGGCCATCGGCCATCAAAATAAAAGCGATGCTGTTTCGTCTTGTCTTGCCGGAATAATAGGAACAGAAAGCTTCGGGAGTCATCCATCTTCCACATCACCCTCTCTCTCTCCTCCTCGATTCTCATCATCGTTTCTACCCAAGTAGCTACACCTCGATATAACCGACAAGCTAGGAGCTACTTCTCTCTGCCGCCTAGTCAACCCCTCAGGTTCCCCTCCAACCTAGCTTGAGGCTCTTCTAGCACCGTCCTTTTTAATCTCCCTCCTCAGTCCCAGGTATATCATCCTTCTCCTCCTATTACCCACATCACACTTCTCTACCACTTCCATAAGGAACTCCTCCCCCCGGGTTTCCCGAAGCTTGGCGTGCTTTCAACATTAATAACAGCGTCTTATGGGCCAGTAGCTTCACGACCTTCCTCACTGGTTCCTGCCTATTGTTTGCAAAGCTCCCCCTTCGAACCCCAATCGCTCCTTGACTCCTGATTGATTGTAAAATCGTTCGTTCTCGATACCCATGGCTTCGAACCGTGCTCGACGCATCGCGAAGGAGATTGCAGATATCTGCGCAGATCCCCACTCCCACATCACGGCTGAACCTGTAGGGGATGATGATGATATCACGCATCTTCGAGGTACATTCCCAGGGCCTCCAGGTACTCCCTATGAGGGTGGAATATACAAGGTCGATATCAAAATCCCTCCCGAATATCCGTTTCGACCGCCCGTGATGAAGTTTGAAACCAAGGTCTGGCATCCAAATGTCAGCAGCCAGACGGTTAGTCCCTAGAGCCCCTGGCCCAGACGAAGGGACCATCATTAAGTATAGACATTTTAGGGTGCTATTTGTCTGGACACTCTATCCACTGCGTGGTCTCCCATCCTGACCATCAAGGCGGCCCTCCTGTCGCTGCAGTCATTGCTCAGCACTCCGGAGCCCAAGGACCCACAAGATGCGGAGGTTGCCAACATGCTTCTCCGAAAACCGAAGGAATTTGAGCGTGTTGCTCGAGAGTGGGCGACAGTATATGCAGGAGCTCCTCGGCGACCGGCTGGAGAAGGCAGTGGCGGCGCGACGGATGAATCTCTTCGACAGCTAGAGATCAAAGAGAAGGAAGACCGAGAGAAGGAGGACTTGTCTAAGTAAGTACCTTGTTGAAGCTTGGCGAAGACGGACGGGAAGCAAACTTATTCCTTTTGCTAGGTACGATGGTTACAATAAAGAGCTTATTGATAGGTTCTGCAGCATGGGGTTCGACGTCGACCGAGTCGTAGCCGCCTTCAAGTACTATGGGATTGACCGAAATGACGGCCAGGACTATGAGCTGGAGGAGGCCTATATGGGTGATGTTACTGCACGACTCCTCGGGGAATCGTGATTCTCTTGGGCTACAATTGGTTGGTTTGTTTATTATAAGGCATGCTGATTGGGTGGACTTGATGACGAGCATGGTGCCTGGCGAATGCGTTGGTTTCTTAGCTTGCCCTGTTGCTGGGCTTTGGGGCGTTATATCATCCAGACTAATGGGTCACGACCGACTTTTAGTATATCACTGATTTTCGAGCATGTGAAGCAATCTTTCTCTTTCCTTTTGGCTCATTTTGTTTTGATGCTTTGGTCTCTTTACATTGATCTCATCTCTCGCCGCAGGTCGAACGAATATGAAATTTGTGTTGAAAATCGAAGGGACTGTACACAGCTTGGTGGATTCTCGTAGAAGTAATGAATAAGGAAGACTTCAGTTAGAGTAGTCCTGAGCCGTCGTGCTGATTGTGGTGGTGTCCAAGTAAACGATTAAATTGAGCTGGAAACGGTACATATCGATAAGCACGTGGACCGTCACGTCAACCAGCTTCAAGTTCGACCTCCAAACCCTGCCGACTTCCCCACGATTACTCTCAACCTCGTTATGGGCAAATGAGACATATACGCACTCGTATAACGAGCGCATCTCCTCTTACTTACCTCTCGGGCTTCGGGCTTTTTTATAAATCCATATTTTTTGACCGCACACGACAGTTTGCAGCTATCGGTTCTTGGCCCCTTCAACATGATCGAAGACGATTTCTATCGCACCTCGTCGCAGTTCAAACTGTGGTCTTTCACGGAGGAATCATTGCAATCACTAAGGCAAAATACAAACACCATCGCCAGTGACCGTGTGCGAGTTGCGCTACGGAGGGCGCGTGAGGCACGACAATCGGCCAACTCTTCAGCGGCAGGAACCCCAACCGCAAATCCGAATGGAAGTGATGCAGATAGCAGAGCTGGTGAAGAAAGGGACATTGAATGTCTGACACCAGAGGAGGAGCAGGACTTGGTGCGGTATTTCTGTGAGCAGATTATCCAGCTCGGAGAGAGTTATAAGCCTCCACTTCCAACGATAGTAAGGGTATGTTCGTCGCGTGATGATCAAAGGCTCTCCAGTCCAGGCCCATCCAGGCAGTAGGCAATCGCTGAACTCTTGCTTCATATCACCTAGGCCACCGCGATACAATACCTCCGTCGATTCTATCTTACCAACTCTCCCATGACATATCATCCTAAAACTATCATGCCCTGTGCTCTCTTTTTGGCGAACAAGACCGACAACTTCTGCATGTCTCTCCGGCAATTCGCAGACGGAGTTCCCGGTGACACGACAGCAGAAGATATCATCACCCCAGAGTTTCTTGTCATGCAAAGTCTCCGGTTCACCTTTGATGTCCGCCACCCCTTCCGCGGCCTGGAGGGGGGCATAATGGAACTACAAGCCATCGCGCAGGGACAGGGCCAACCCGCACCTCATTTCCCACAGCAAACACCAGAGGACCTTCACCGGGCTCTACACTCTCTCCAATCTTCTCCAAATGCGCCTCCATCATCTTCTGTATCAGACCGCCTCGCCCGAGCTCACCATACCACCCGCGAAATCCTCAAATCTGCCGCCCAGATGACAGACGCCTACTTTCTCTACACCCCTTCTCAAATCTGGCTCTCAGCTCTTATGATCGCCGACAGCCCTCTAGCTGAGTTCTATCTCGACTCCAAACTTGGCGCCCCTAACTCACAGCCCGGGAACCCACTCTGCGAGCTTCGAACAAAACTCTACACTACTCTAACGAAGTGCTCCAACCTCCTCCAATCCTATACACCACTAGCCTCGGACCCAGATCAAAAGAAAGTGATGCGACGCATTGGCAAGAAGCTGTATCATTGCCAGAACCCGGAAAAGGTGAACCTGGCGGGCCACAAGCGCATCCCCGCCGCCGCCGCCACAGCTCCAAGTGATCCAGCGACACCAGAAAGCGAAATGGAGCGAATAGCTAAAAAACGGAAACTAGAGCGGGAGCAGAAGAGCAGAGAGGCACAGGATATCTTTGGGGGGGAATTGGTCATGCAGCGGACAAAAGAACCGCAGCCTTTGGAATAATCTCTAATTCAAGCTAAATAATACATACTTTCGAATTTCTCCCAGCAAGCAACCGATCAAAAAAGACATGACCATCCCAATTTCCGTCTTACTTTATATCAAAACAAACAAACCAATCCCCTAACCAAGCAGCACATTATAGATCAAGCTCTGACTTTCCAGATACATACCTAATTAATTATCCTTACCCATACTGAAGACTCCAGAAAACAAGTCAGCTTTAAGTACGTATAGTGACGTTCGCAATATATATATGTACCAACTCAATACAAAACCAACTGATCTGCTAGACTACAAGTAGTTATTCAGGCATGATACTGTTATTTCTGTAGAACACCAGGCCGGGGGGGGGGGGGGGGGGGGAACAAGGAAGGATGGGATATTCATCAAGTATTTTTCCAAAATGTTCCCCCCCTTTCATACAATGCAGTACATGATCAGGTAGTAACTGGACTTCATCCTCCTGTTATAACTGCTGCTGCTGCTGCTGCTGCGACCTAACTAGTGGTTATATGTAGATATAGATACATGTATCAAAGGGTTACTTTAAGGTCTATTATATTCATTATATTGCTGTCTTTTGGAGGAGAGATTGAGTACTGTCTGTCTGGTATACTACTACTACCTTGGTACTAGTAGTAATATATACGTATGTATGTATGTATATTATGCAGAAGGCATTAATCTCTCTCTGGGGTTAATGTTATTTATATAGAGACTTCATATTTGTCCCCTGCATGTATATAAAGCTTACAAGTCTTTAATAGAATTGCATCTGAAAATTCAGTTTTTCATTCATCGAACAAACCACAAACCCCACTGACGGACTGGATGGAGTCCTCCATATCCAAGATCTATAACAGAAGACATCAATCATGTAACAGCAAAGGAAAAAAAAAAAAAAAAAAAAAAACATATCCGGATCAAATTCAACCCTCCAACGCTCAAGTCTAGTGGGGGATGAGGTATGAAACATGCCATCTAAAAGCACCCAGTAAGGAATAAAAAGCAAATAATATCTCCAGAAGCGAGAAAGCACAAGGGGACAACGCCGCGCGGTAAGGCAGGCTAGTCATTTCCCCTGAATATGGATCACCCGGGACGGTTCATCACTCCCGAGTCCTGTCAAACCTTTTTCCTCTTCCAGTTGTTTTTTTTTTTTTTTATTTGCATCGTCATCTTCATCTCTAGCATGCCCAGTCATAAGTAGAAAGAAGAAATGATTTCTACCGATTCCCTTTTGTTTTTATCTCCATACGAAGGGGTTTAGACAGCACCCGCGGAAAGCATCTTCTTGCGCAGGTGGTCCTTGTATTCACCAATGCTGCCATTCCAACGGCTGATGGTCTTGTGCTCGCACACCATGATGTCCTTGGCAATCTTGTCCAGGAGACGGAAGTCGTGGGAGACGACGACAACACCACCACTGAAGGCGTTGATGGCATCGGCCAAACTGTCAATGGTAGGGATATCCAAACCGTTGGTCGGTTCGTCGAGGAGAATCATGTTGGGGCTCTCAATAGCGAGCAGGGCGAAGACGATACGGGACTTCTGACCTTCCGACAGGGTACCCATAAGGGCGGTTTGGGATTCACCAGATAGACCGTAACGGCCGAGCTGTTGACGCCAGTACTGGTAATCCTGACTCTTCTCGGGGAACTTATCACGGACAAACTCCAGGGAAGACTTAGTAAGATCGAGCTGCTCAGCGGAGTGCTGACTGTACACGCCGAGCTTCAAGTGGGTGTGACGGCTGATACGACCACCAATGGGAGAGAGCTTTCCGGTCATGAGACGCAGCAGAGTGGACTTGCCAACACCGTTGGGACCGACGAGGGCGGTTCGGGAGTCCATGTCGACACCAAGGTCCAGGTGCTCGTAGAGGGTGTCCTCCCAGTTTCCAGAGTAGGAGAAGGAAACGTCATCGAAGGACAGAACCGGAGGAGGTAGCTTCTCCACATCGGCAAAGCGGAAGCTGAAGACTCTGTCGGGGATAACGGGCTGGATGAAACCATCGGCCTCCATCTTGTCCAGAATCTTTTGACGGGACTTGGCCTGACGCACCAAGTTGGCGTAAGTACCAGCGGAAGCAATAAACTTCTTGATGTGGGCAATTTCTTCCTGCTGCTTGTTGTAGGCCTTCATCTGGTTGGTTTCCTGTTCAGCGCGGGTCTTGTGGTAGGAGTCGTAGTTACCACCGTAGTACAGAAGCTGCTTCATGCGCATGTCGATCATGGTGGTACAGACACCGTTCAAGAAATCCTGAGAGTGGGAGACCAGAACCAGGGTGCGTTCCCACTTCTTCAGGTACTCTTCAAGCCACACGCACGCCTCCAGGTCCAAGTGAGCAGTAGGGTCGTCCAGGAGGAGCAGAGAAGGCTTGACGAAAAGAGCTTTGGCAAGAGCCACACGCATACGCCAACCACCGGACATGTCCTTGGTTTTCTTGTCAATAGTCTTCTTGTTGAAACCGAGACCGGTGAGAATGAGAGAAGCACGAGTGTGGAAAGTAGAGGGGTCCATTTTATCCATACGCTATGCGAATAAAAATTAGCCAACAACCAGAGCAGCGATTTGTGATATAGAAAAACTCACGTCGTACAAATCCTCAAGGATGGGACTCTCAGGACCATCCTTTTCCAGAATCTCTTCAGCCTGCTTCTCCATGCGGTCCAGCTGGTTCTGTGCCTCAGTGACAACCCACTCGAGGGCACCAAGCTCGCTGGGAGGGGCACCTTCGTTAAGAAGATAGATATCGATATGTTCGGGGATAGGGAATTCGCGTTGATAGATAGACTTGAGCAGGGTAGACTTTCCGCAGCCGTTCTCACCCAGGAGACCGTAACGACGACCGAAGTTCAGTTCAAGTGTAGAGTCGGTGATAAGGACTTTGCCGTGGAACACCAGGGAAGTGGAGGTGATCTTGACATCGCGAGAAGAGGCCATGGAGGAGAGCACACCGGTGGTGACACGATCTGACAGACCGTGCTTATCCATCTGTGCTGTGAGCTTCTCGACCTCCTTCATCTTGGCGTCGGTGGTGGCCGGCTGGTCCTCAGCAGGAGTAGCAGTGCCATCGGAATCGACAGCGGGGGAGTCCTCGGCGACGGCATCCTTCTTGGACTTGCCGAGCTTCTTCTTATCGCCATCGGCGGCACGCTTGGCCATGCGAGCAGCTTTAGAAGCGGACACCATTTTGAGTGTGAACGTAGACTAAGGGAGGGGGTATCAAAGGTGTCGAAAATCAAGGGGAGATGAAGCGTGTGTCGTGAAGGCGAGTTGTAGGTGGGAAAAAATGAACTCGACGAGAGAAAGGTGGATCAGAAAATAAAAATAGCGGGGGCGAAACGAGAGCCTTCTTTTTGCTTGGGTGGGGGGAGAAAGTTGGAATGGTCGTTGGAAAAAAAAAAAAAAAAGAAAAAAAAAACCCTTATCGATAGGGCGGGGTCAAGGAATTGAGAGAACAACCTGTTCTAGGTCCAGGGATGAATGAAAAAGGTCAGAAAGGTTTCAAACTGAGTGTCAATGGGATGAAGGGTCTGATAGCGACCGATCAAGAAGATGATGATGCTGATGATGATGATGGATGGGGTCTCGAGAGTCGAGATGGAGATGCGAGAAGGAGAAACGAAGCAAATCAAAGCCGTAAAAATCCCTTCACGTGGTGGGGCGGCAAACGTTGATCTCATTGGCTGAAACACGTCACTGACCGCGGTCACGGGTGTGGCGGGGCCTTGCCTGATCGGGCATTGAATAGCACGTGATATATTTGATCTTCGGGAACAGTACTGCTACTTCAATGCTATATACACCCTGGATTCCAAACAAATGCTACTGAATCCGGTCACGAATTTGCTCGAGGAGCTCCCTCTCTTCCACAGACAGCCAAAACTCATCCGGTACCAGCACTTGCCCTTTCTGGATAATAATTCGCATCGGCTCATCCGCAATCCCAAGATCAGACGCACTCACTGAGCTCTCCTCCTCTTTCTCCCCGCGCTCAGGATCCTCCGTCGGTTGTGGTTCCGAAAGTGTCTGCGGCGTCCACCAGTACAGAGGAAAACGGCGCTGAATATTGTTGATCAGCAACGCCACCGCCAACATCAGCACACACCCAAGTAACATAATGGGAATCAACCACCAGCCCACCGCATATGCCTCCGTCACGGCTAGAAGCGCCGTAGCTCCCGCAGGCGGGTGCACAGTGTTGGTGAGTAGCATGATGGCGGTAGTGATGGCACAAGCCAGCGCGCCTCCAAGTTCAGGCATGGAGTGAGCGTGCGGGTTCAACGCGAAGAGCTTGGCAATGGAGACGCCGATTACGCTAGCAATGAACTGGCTGAGAATGGCGTTTCGGGGCTGCGCGAGGGATGATTCGATAGCGCAGAATTCGAGAACGGCCGCGGCGCCCTATGGGATCACACGACACTGTTAGTAGAGGTAGCCGTGGGAAGATCCAAGGAGCGGAGCCGAGTACGTACAAAACTGCCCACAATGATTGGGGCATGGTGGTTCTGGAATGCAGGGACCTGCAGGGAGACCTCTGCAATTAAGAGCACGCCGCAGAAGACCCCAAGGGTAGACCAGAAGGCAATGACTAGGTTTCCGAGAGGTCTTGGATGCTGGTCTCCTCTATATCCAAGGAAGTGAGAGACTGGTCGAGGCAGCCTGCGCCATGGAGGAGCCGGGATGAATGGATTTAGGTAGGCATCGATGTCCAAATGCCATCGAGAGAAGTCGATGTGTTGACGCATGGCTGGAGGTTGTGAAGTTTGTTCCAGCATGCCACGGTGGCCATGAGTTGTTGTTGCTCCTTACTAACGACTTGGGATTCAAGACCGGGAATCGTCTATCGAGGCGGATGCTCCCAATCGATGCTAAATACCGAATCGAGCTGTTGTCATGTGGGTTGAGTCTGAAAACGAGGTCAGCAGTTGACGATAAAAAAAAAGGGTTCTTGCGGAAGGCTTACATTTGCTCATGTGAGTATGATTCAGCGCAGTTTAGCAGGGAGACGGTGATTATCAGGTCTAGTCAAGACATCTGCCCCTGAAAAACCTCCAACATCTCGTAACAGCGATCATTTTGCTTCTGACTCACGGTCCGGCGTGAAATCCGGGAGTAAGAAGAAACCGCAGAGAATGGACTGCAGAAGCGGCACTCTGGGCATGGCAACAACCGCAGCAATTGTATCTCCGCGGAGAGCAGTGCAAAGAAGAACATACGGTATTCCAGTGTATCTTTCTGTGGTTTTTATGCTGGGAGAACATTGAGAACCCGCGTTTTGTTGCTCTTCTTCCACTCATAGGTTTACGTTGGCTAATGGAAATTCCGCATGCAGCTTAGGGTTGGGACCTACGAGAGGTAATTTGGTACGGCTATACGTAATTTACGCCTATGACGTCATCGCCAGGTATTTTTGCGCTTTCCCGCTGTCTTTTGCAAAGAAGTAGAACTGAACCCCGGGTTCTCTCAGTAACTAACTACTTATTTAAGATTCTATGGTGGATATATACTACGGCGTGAAGGACTGAGCTTCCCAGCATTGTAACAAGTGCTGCATCATGTATGTGCAATTAAGTTCTCTTCGATCGGTATATTTAGACATCCAGGGTCTTTCCAAGTTTGGAACTCTCTTGAACCAACTCAATCAGTCGGATCACCTTGGCCGCCTCTGCTCCACTGACAGGCACGTCACCTTCGCCGGCAAGAGCTCGGGCCATCTTCCTGTAAAATTCGGTGTATGTGGGTGGTTCCACAGTGGGCACAACTTCTTTAACGGGCGTGTCATTTTGGACGGTGGTTAGGAAGCCTATCAAGGAGAGATATGATCAGCAGTAACACGCGAAAGTCTCCGGAGTACAAGGCATACCATAATGTTCACTGGGTTCTCTGCCATACCCACTGTCACTAGGCCGCAGACCTTCTTTGAGTTGGTCCTCTTGGACATCGAGATGGAACTGGTTGCAGCATGAGTAACTATGCGACAAGATTATTGAACCGGGCCAAATAAATACCTTCTTGAAGCTTCCCTTGTCTCCCCGGACCCAGAATCGCAACTGCTCTGCTTCAGGACTGACGACACCCGCCTTAGCAGTAACCAGCACGCCCGCGTTATAGTGTAGCAGCACGGTAAAGGAATCCTCGTATCCAGAGGTGTTGACTTCTCGCTGGGAGCCAACGAAACCAGTGACCCGGTCAGGCTTGCCCAGCAAATGCACAGCCTGGTCCAGGAGATGGGATCCGAGGTCAAAGATGGCGCCTCCTCCGGGGAGGACCTTGTTCTTCCACTTCGAGACCTCAGGAGCAGGCTCTTCGGGACGATGGCGGTCGAAGTGTGTTTCGAATTCTACGACACGGCCGAGAGATCCGTTCTTCACTAGTTTCGAGAGGGTCACGAAGTCGGCATCCCATCGACGGTCTAAGTGGGGTTCTTGATCAGTATATATCCTAGAAGACAGGGTGGAAGGAGGAACATACTCTGGTACACCGCGAGCAGTTTGTTGTTTTTCTGGGCAAGCGCAACGAGTTCATCGGCTTCCTTGGAGGTGGGAGTGAAGGGTTTCTCGCAGACCACTAGGAGCCGGTCGGGGGCGCGATTAGTAGCGGAACTAGACGACGCAAAAGCGTCAAACATGGAATCCTCGGATAACTAACCGTGCTTTCCATTCTCCAAAGCCAGCTTGGACAAAGAATAGTGCGACTCCGGCGCGGTGGTAATGATAACCAAATCGACGCCTGCATCCTTGACCATGTCTTCAGTGGTTCGGTAGGACTTGATGCCAGGGTGGTCCTTTTCGGCGTCATCATCAGGCTTGGGAGTTCGCTGAACAACGGCATAGAGGTTCAATTGAGGGACTTCTTGCACGAATGGGATATGGAAGATCTTTGCACTGAAGCCGTAGCCTACGACTCCGACGTTGAAGGTCTTGGAGGCCATGGTGGTAATTGTGGCGGGGTAAGTATTTCGATGAGGGGTAAGAACTAGAAAATGAAGGAACTTGCGAGAATACAGCAGTCGGAAATTGGGTCAATAGAGAGAGAGAGAGAGATATATATATAGATGAAAAAGATCAGCCAGAACTAGCCCAGAAAATTCCCTAGTCTAGCATCATCGTCGTCTTGTAGAAATCTGGCTGGTGTGGGGGAAGGTCCTGGCGATGGAAACCTCAGGCTTTGGCGGGGCAAAACCAAAAGCAGATTGATTTCCGATGAGCGAATTCCAACCATCTACGGTGTATACCCACTGCAAATTCTGATTTGATGAGGTAGAATTCATCCGGATCATATTCGTGGTCCTTAATAACTGATCACATTGCTTATTGCCCATCCTCTAGGTAACTATCGTGCATGGTCTACTTATCCAGCAGCCCCTCCATAACTTACTCTCGGATCCCCACACACCGAGTCACCTCGACCGCATCCTTTACGAAATTAGCATCTTTATTTAACCAGAAGCGGGAGAGAGAAACTTACCCGACATCCCTCTGGTTGCCGGAGAACACTCTCATAAACCAGGTTCGGGTTACCGAGAATCTCAAAACTCGGGATGTCATCCTCCAGCATGAAGGACTGCACCGTGCGTCGTTGGAACCCACTGGTATCATAGGACTTGGTCGGGCCTCGTTCGGCTGCCTTGCGCTTCTCCTCCACCGAGCTACGCACATACTCCAGATAAGGCGGGTTCCCCGGATAAATCACATTATCCGCCGCCAAAACGGACACGTTCGGCACAATCATTCCCAACTGTTCGCACAACTTCAGGTCCGTGGTATACGCAGGCTTGTAGTGGTCGATGAAGAGAACTTCCACCTGCGTCACCTCCCGGCCGGTGAACAGCTTATGCAGCGAGACATCGCTCCGACCAACGATGATGCGCACGAAATCGCGCAGCCCCGCTAGATCCACCAGCATGTTGGCGATGGCTGCGTATTCCGGGTTGAGCTCGAGACTGTAGTAGCGCTTACCCCCGTTCCGGCGCACCGCGTCGCCGAAGAGAATCGCAGAGTACCCCATGTAGCAGCCGAGTTCGATCATGGTGCCGGGCTTGCGCTCTTCAATGATGTCTGTCACGAACTTGCCCTTCTCGGGACCGACGTTCATGAAGTGGTATGTCTTGCCGAATTCGTCCATGAGGTCGAGCACTTTTTGGGGGTTGCCTTGGATTTCATCTCGGTTCGGTTGGCCGTAGATGAAATGGAGGAGCTTCAGCTCCCGGTCATCCTCGCGCTGTGAGCGAACGTTAGCCGTGTAAGTTTCGTAAAGTCGGGGGAATGGGTTACATACAGAGCCTCCAGGACGAGGATGAGGTTGGTGCTGAGACATGATTTAGTAAGTCAGAAGAAATAGTTAACTAATGTATGAGACAAAAAAGATGGAGAAAAATCTAGATGATTGAAGCCTGAATCACAGCCGGATTCTCCTGTTATATATATATACGAATTCGTCGGACGAAGCTACCTACTCGAGCAAAACGCCGACTTGTTGGCAGGATTATTTCCCGCATCTCTCTTTTCCTATGGCTGGAATGTACTGAGGCGTTTCTAAATCCGCCCAACTCTCAACAGACTCGGGTTGTCGGAGATGTTCGTCAGGTACATAGCTGAATCAAGTACTTAGGGCCGACAAGCTCGGAGAAGCCCACTCGGGGAAACTGGATAAGGGGTAATTACCACCAGGAGCCGGACATAAGAACACTGGGGTTTGTAAGAAGAATGTTGCAGTGACTCAGTGTCATTCTTTGCCGACTTGTTTGAAGGATCTCGAGCATGTCATCAAGGTGACGTTTAACTCGGTGTATGACTGACTGACCCCGTTTAGGGTTATCAACGGGTGAGGTTGAAAATGGTCACTCCACCATCAAAAACAAATCCAGACCACTGACCAGGTCCAGTATCACGATTCCTTCCATTCGGCCGGAACTTGACGGACGCCACCAGATATTACATCAAGTGGTACCTAGGTATAATATAGAGCCGCCATCATCGTCTCAAGAAACCTCAAAAAAGCCAATTCAATTGATTGCTGCTGCCAACATATATAAACAATCTATCGAGTCATTCATCTACCAAAAATGAGCTCTGCCGGAACGAAGCCAATCTCGCGCATTGCGATCATCGGCGTTGGTCAAGTTGGCGCCGCTGCTGCATATGCTCTCATCCTCGGTTCCGTCGCCAATGAGCTGCTCCTCGTCGATGTCAAATCGGAACTGAGAGACGCTCAAGTTCGCGACCTCTCTGATGTCACGTACAGCGGCAACAGAGGCACCCGGGTGCGCGCAGCAACGTATCGCGAGGCCGCCGAATGCGATGTGGTAGTCATCACCGCAGGGTCCAAGTATTGTATCGGTGCGTATCGCGGCGGCCAAGTTACACCCGTGCAAGCACGCTTATACCACCAGTTAGGCCAGACGAGTCTCGAATATACGTACCGCAATGTGGCGATTCTACGCACCATAGTCAATACGATGAAGCCGTTCAGGTCCGATGCGATCCTGCTTGTTGTGGCGAACCCTGTGGATTTGCTCACATCTCTTGCGCGAGAGCTCTCCGGCCTTCCGTCTAGTCAGGTCTTGGGGTCCGGGACTTTCCTCGACTCTGTGCGTCTTCGAGGATTGTTGGCGGACAAAACGGGGGTGCGTACATTCTTTCTTTCTTTCTTTTCTTTTCTTTCTTTCTTTCTTACAAGATGGGATGCGGCCCAGTAATAGGTACAGCGCTCGCTAATGTATCGTTGTGTAGATCGCTGCCACCTCAATTGATCTCTACGCAGTTGGCATTCACGGCGAGCAGCAGGTTCCTGCATGGTCCACTGCAACCGTGGCTGGCGTGCCCCTTGACCAGGCGCTCCCAGCTACCGCTTATAATCGCAGTGAAATCGTGAATGAATGCAAGCATCGATCCCAGAGCATTATTAAAGCGAAGGGTGCTATGCCCTTGGGAATTGGGTCCATTGTCTGCAGCATCTGCTCTTCCATCCTGCTGGACAAGCACAACGTCCGCCCGGTTAGCCACTTCCAGCAGGAATATGGCTGTTGCTTCAGCCTGCCTGTTGTTCTGGGAAGACGAGGCATCGTGCAGACGATCCAGATGCCTTTGAGCGCCGACGAGAAGGCCCATATAGCCGAGTCGGCCACTGCTCTGAAGGGCACACTCGATCGCGTCAAGGAGGTGTAATGGATTAGTCTGTAGTATTTTTTTTTTCATTAAGGCATGGGATGGGGTAAAATAATTTAATGGAGTAATTACAATTGGAGATTCCGACCTACACACACCTACCTAACCTAACCTTGCACCGGGCCTTCCGACACGCAAGAGATGACCTGCGAAACCATCTGTTCGTTAAAACAGGCCCGCAAGCTCCTCTTGAGTCACGGTCAAGGCCTAGGAGCCGACAGAGAACCCGTCGGAGTATTCTGTAAACTGGGAAGCGAGAATCGCCAGGAGAGCTGCCTGCCACCGTCTCTCGGATGTTGTTTGCCCAGGGAGGAGTCCCTCCCCTCCCACTAAGGGACCGTCGCGACGGCTGAGCTGCTGGAAATTACGGACCAAGGGTTCGCTGCTCATCTTTTGGTGAGGACCTGTATTCTGCCCAGGTATATTTAAATTTAGACATCTGATGCGTACGTTTTGGGTTATATGCAAGTATAGGGTTGGTATTCTGCTTTGCCGGTTGTATAGAGTACGTACTCTTCTCTGTACATACTGTGTGGAATTAGGGCTGGTTGCGTCAGCCGCCGTGTCACACCACCAAGCTTTGGGTTATCTGATCCTCGGGTCTAGACCTACAAACTCTACCTACAGGGAATTCTACTTGTTCCGCTCTCAGAGTATAACTCAATTGTAAGGTTATACTTTTAACATTACGTGATGAGATGGACTGACTGGGGTGTCTAGTGGTAACGGTTGTGGTTTCCGTCTGTTGGCATGCGAGTGTTTCCCTAGACTCGGCCGGTATTCACCAAGACAGTTGAGCTGGTAAATCCGATATTGACAGACTATTCCTCGATTATCTCAATTTCAAATGTTCAAAGACCTCAGTCCCTCCTCTAGATCAGTCGCTCGGGTTACTCCATCCGTTGTCCGATGGCTTTGACCCCCAACAGGTGAGCCACACTCAGGGCATGTGGATAGCTGCATAGCACCTCCACATTCGCCAATGGTAAAAGGGTGGCCGTTGACGCAATAATACCAGTGTCCAGTGCCCCGAAATTCACGTGCCATGGCCGCTACCACCGCCATACGCTCCTCGTTGCTGACAGGAGTGTAGAAGGTTGATCCACGCAGCATCTTTTCCGTACCTTGAATCTCTTCTTGGATACCGCGGGTTTGCTGAGGATGGAGTGCCACAAGATCTTTAGCGGCTTGTAGGGCTTTGTTGCCTTCTGTCAATAGAGTCTCTGATTGAGTCGCATCCTGGCTTCGTCTTTGCTCCAAGGCGTACAGTTGAGCGAGGAATAAGTATCCCTCGACCTGGGGTAGCACGCTTTGTGCAGCGGCCGCCATTTGGATAAGGTTGCGAGCCTGTTTCCTGTTGACCTCAAGATTCACGAACAGTTGGCTATTGCAAACTCGAGAGTCCTCGCGAGACCGCAGAGAAAGAAAGTCCGCGAGAAGCGAGTTATCCAGTCGCAGAAGAAGGGCGGTTGCTTGAGTGAGGCCCTTGGTTTGAAGCACGCTCTCGTCGAAGTCGAAATCCGATCTTACTTGCTGTTTCCGTCTTCGGGCATCCTCCACCATATTGCGGACTTGGCTAAATGGTTGTTCTTCTATCTTCACCTTGTTGCGATATTCAACCAATTGCTGTCTCAAACGCAGCAGATCTCTCCACCGTCTTGGGTCCCCTGTTTTGACATAGTTGTTCATCAGCTTCACCTGGTGATCCGGAGGCCCTTCAACTGTGACGGTGACACCATCCCCAAATATCTTCAGCACTGTAGATGTTTCAAGCCCATGGATATGAGCTACAAGCTTCGTTAACTCCTGAGCCAATGGTATGTACTGTCGGTTCAGATACAAGATGAACTTTTTCGTAGACTCGTCTAGCAAAGCACGCCTCACAAGTCTTCCGTACCGTGAGATACTTCTCAAGGACCCTCGGCAAGTAGCGCAGCTTCGAATATCAGTGATCGAAAACGGCTCCGAGGAGGCCGCGATGGCGACAGGTCGCTCTTGCTCATCCGTGATGTAATGCTTTTTGATGTCCATCTGCGCGTCCATACTTTCCATCGTCAAAAAGTGCCCACATGGCGGAAATATGCATGGGTTGTCATTTAGATCAATCTCTCCGTAAGACTGGCCTAGGATGAAATCAACCGGAGTTTCCTTGATCTCATCCTCCCCACAAGCTTGACAAAATCTCTGGTCTGGGCAAAGCTCTCCGCAAATAGATGGGCATTGGTGTCCACAGACCAAAGTCTTTGTGCAACGTAGGGAACACGGTACATGATCACATGGAGCAGCACACGGCATGGAACATGCACTGTGGGCACAAGCAGAGAGGCATTCAGGCACTGCGCATGGAGGGCATGGGTCGGAGCACTTCTGAGAGCATTTGGAGTGGCCACACTGCACATCGCAGGCAGACTGACAGGGCGGACAAGGGTTATCACCATGACACTTATCAACACAGGCGTGCGCGCATGTGTTATATTTACGACCACACTTCTGTCCACAGCTGCCATGGTCAACGTTGACGACGGTTTCCGAAGTGCGTGTTATGCAGGCCAGACATTGCCGCTTGCAAGTATGGCCGCAGGTCAAAACCTTCCGACAAAGGCTCTGGCACATATAATTCACGCTTTGAACATCAATGTGACAGGGAACTGTGACCCTATGGTTGCAGAGAGTCACATCCTTTTCCACAAGTACCATGCATTTCACGGTGCTGAGATCTTGCGCCTGCCAGCAAGGAAGACTGGGACTAGAATGCCCGCAAGCAAGAACTCGATTAGGATCAATCACGGTGGCTGTACACTTGATAGGGCATCGATCTCCACAAGGCTTAGGACATGGGTGTGAACATCCCTTTTGTGGTCGAGGGCAGGGTTCAAGACAGTGAACTGCTCCGTGGAGTAGGTCTGAATGGCATTTCTGCTTGCATGGATGACCGCACTGAAGCCGCTTGCCACACATAAGGCTGCAACCTCCCTCCGGCGAGAAGAGCTCGAAGTCCCCGGGCTTAGATACCGCAATAGCGGTGTCGGGGTGGCGCGGACATCTGAGATCCAAGGTAGGACCAAAATTGCCATCCTTTTCCAAAATATTGACAACCTTTCTCCACATTTCGACTCCTTTTCGTGCAGTCTCCGAATTTCCAATAATATACATACCATGCATAGCCCGCGATAGCAGGACATTGATCCGATTTTCAGTGCGGAGGAAGCCACAGCGGTTTTGGCTATTGCTTCTAACGAGCGAGATCACAACTACTTTAGCTTCTTCGCCTTGAAAATTGTCCACCGTTGCAACTCGCAAAGATTGAAGGAGGGTAGACTTTGTCACTTGTGGTCTTGTTGCAGCGACGTTTTCCTCAGTAAACCCGGCTTTCTCAAGATCATCCTGGTCTCTCTCGCCAAGGGTAATAGTGAAAGACTGGCTTAGTTGACGTCGCATGCGATGCAATTGCCCCAGATACGGGGTAAGAATAGCGACATCACCAGCCTGATAGGTTCCCTGTTTGACAAGGTGACTGACGAGACCGATGGTCATTTCGATCTCGTAATCATTCCAGTGAGATGTTGCCATTGCATCATCCTTAGATGTGCCTCCTTCAAGCTGTCGATGGTCTAGCCAAAACAGCCTTTTCCTCATTCCACTTACCTCTGGGTATGCCAATACCGATGGGTCATCTTGTAATCGGGGATATAAGGTGTCTCGAACGAGCTGGGAAATTGACGGATGCATGCGCCGTTGCGTTTCGAGGGTGCAAAATGGAATCCGCATACCGGTACTGTGCTCTGGCTCAACAAGTCTTTCGAACAAAGAAAGGTCCAAGGAGTATTGCTGGCCCTGTTGACTCTCCCGTGAGAGGGTTGAATAGTTTTGGATTTGGGGGCGTAGTTGTTGATGGTCACCGATCAGGATCAAATGTTCCGTAGATGGCAGTAGTGATGTGAGCAAATGAGGCTCGAGCACCTCGCCCGCTTCTTCACATATCACCACTTTGGACTGGAGGCAACGCAGCATATTCAGATTACGGGCTAAGCCCGTTGTCGTTACTCCGATGACATCTGCACTGCGCAGACATCGCAGAGAGAGCTCCTCGCTGACACAGTCAAAGGATGATTTGGTTTGCTGATGTGAGTCTAACAGAGACAATGCCTCCATGTGAAGTTCTTTCCTTCTCTCGTCAATCCAATGGTTGTAGAGTATTCTGCGTTCCGTGTGTGTCATGTCGTAAACAGGCACCTGTACCAGCGTATCGTGGCTACGTGGCATATCCCCGGTTTTTTGTCCCATTTTTAGCCATGACTGGATAATCGATTGGGCATTACCCTGCTTTATGTAGCCGTCTTCGTCTGTGCCAAAAAGGAGTTGGTAGTGATATCGATGGTATTCTTGTAAATATTTCTCCAGCTCCCTGTCGGAACATTGGGTGTTCAGTTTGAGGGAGTTGAAGTTGTCTTCAATTTCGTCCAATTTTCTTCCCAGCCGGTATTGTTCGCTTCTTTCTACTTTGGTTCTGTCCACCTGTCGATTCACTGTCCGGAGATTCAAGGGCTGCAAGACTTCTGATTTTGATTGGGATCCGATTCGAATGATTTGAGATGTGATGTTGTTTTCAAGCAGATCCTCCAAAAGCTGGTCGAGCGCATGATTGGTATAGCAAACGCAAATAATCGGGCCCAGGCCTGCTTTTTTCAATTTCCTTTTGTTCGCAAGCAGGACTCTGATCAGGGCTACACCGGTATAACTTTTCCCTGTGCCTGGAGGCCCTTGAATCAATGCTACCCGCCTCTGCAGGGCGCGAACAAGCGCAAGTGCTTGGGCATTATCCAAGCTTGAGTGCCTCTGTAACATTTCTATATCGACAGGTTGGGACGCTTTGATTTCCAGGCTTGAACCATGATCCATGACACAACGTAGGTCGAAACTGAACCCTGGCGCTAATGTGTACGCGGGGGGAGGCACATCAGCCACGCCACCAGAGGAGCCTGCACCTAGGGGAACGATGAATTCAGACATGGGAAGATCAGAAGCTTTCTGCATTTTCTGGAGTGCGAGTAAGGTGGACTGGAAAGACGGCAGAAGCACCCCCGGAAATTCCACGAGCGAAATGGATTGAGCACTCTTTCCTGACTGACAATTGAGAATATATTGTCGGTTCTGTTCAGTCGGTTCCACCAACTCTAGGCAAACCGAAGCTAGACTTGAATCCTCCCAAAGTGATCCGGTCGGTTTCTCCCTTGGCTTTGTATCTGAATTGGGCTTTCGTTTTGATCTATCACGGATATCTGATACGGTGCAGAATATGGCATAGCCCTGCGGATCAGTTAAACAAACAAGAGCACTTGATTGAAGCCTCTTTGATAATTCCCACCATTCCTTCTTCTGGAGCTTTTTCATGCTCTTGATATTTGAAGGCTGTTCAAACTGAACTAAGAACTGAAGCCCGGAAAATCGGTCGAAGGCGAGCGCCCGCACCTGGACTCTTTGATACACGTTGGCCCTTAGCTGGCTTTTTTGTGAGCCCTTACGACCACCAGATTTCAACTCGGTATGTATGACATCCCTAAGTTGACCAATTGTGTCCTCGCGCAGTAGACGGAAATTCCGATCGATCAGTCCAGCCAAACCGCCAATATGCCACTGGGCTGGGTCTTTTACAGGGAGATACTCCGATTGTGAACACAAGATCTCCCCGTATGTAGGCATAATCTGGATCTGACAAATCCCCGCATGGTCGTTATCGTGGCGGCCACCAGGAGGGCGCTTTTCCGTATGAAACGCTGCTGGAACTCCGTTTATTAACGCAGGCTTTGTCGCTGGAGGTAAAGCTGGCAGAGATGTTGCAATGTCAAGACGTCGTTGCAGCTTTCCGAGGTAGACTCTGGAGGCTTCAAGCTGCCCCTTTATCTCCAGAGCTTGAAGCTCCAAAAAGAAGCCCTCGAATCTCACCGCAATTGGTTTCAAGGGCTCGTGGACAAATGCGGTGGAGTTGAGTTCAATCACCTGGACGAAAAGTTGGAGACATATTTCAAGGTACCAACAAGCGACTTCGGCGTCGGATTGTGTATACTGTTGCACAGAGTCTGCAAGAAAGTGAAGGAAAGGTTCTCCTCTGCGGCCCACGGGGCCCCAGATACAGTTGTAGATTGTGACCACGTTATTTTCCACAACCAGCGAGGCGAGGACGTCGCGATGGGTAACGAGCTCAAGAAAGGGGAGAACGCTGTTCTTGAACAGATCACGCTTCCTAGGGTCTGAAAGTTCGACGTAATCTCTTTGGATCAGCTCCTGAATTCTCCTCAGGCCCCCTTCGGAGGACAAGCTTTGGATAACTTCTTGGAGAGCACCGTCGGTAGTTTCGATGAGCTGTCTGCCCTGTTGGAAAAACAGCCCCAGTTCCCGGCCCAAGGATCGTCCAGTCCGGCCCTGGTATGCTTTATTTGTCCACAGATCCAAATCACTGCGGCTTCTGGTAGTAGAATGATCTTTCCCCGGCTTTGTACTTCTCCCTTGGCCTTGACTTCGTGGCTGGCTGGCACAAGGCTCGTATTTGCAGTTCTTGAAATCACATCTCCCCTTATTCGCAAACTGGAAGCATATTCTATTTTTTGTTTTTTTTTTTTCGTTAGTACATTGATTCAATGAGCGGGGTCAAGAGCCTCCACTCACTTGCTGGATGCCATTCTGGAAGTAAGATAGCTGGACCGTGTGCTGTTCAATTGTGCTGCTAGACAGAATCAAAGAAGTAATGCTGGAAGATGTTAGAGTAGTCATAGAAATATGTTAGCACATTCCAAAGGAAAAAGTACAGGGCAGTCCTTAGTGGTGTTAAATAGCCTCTGATGTTGCAGACACGCTGGGCATGATACCTGGCAAGGCTGATTCACGGGTTGAATATTTTGGTCAGATATAGTCAATATGATGTGTTGCTGGGAGCCAAATATTGCCTGTTTAGGTTTAAATATCACGTGGTTCTGCCTAGCGTTCAGGAGTTTTAGATGCCGGCATCTTATAGAATCATGTTCCCCTCTATTACACCACCATGGATGGTACATAATCTCCCTGACTCAGTATGAAAGAGATAAATAATAGCAACACCTCAGTGCAAGCAGCCAACCGGAACCAGACTGGTCTTGGTACAAATGGGGATAGTTAATTGGCAGTTAGAAAGTACGCAGCCTGCTTGCCAGCCTCGTGCAACCAATCCTACATCATGCTTGGGTGGATAGACACGATACCATATACATCTACAGCAGTGCGAGAAATCTAGTGGATAGGAATATTTAGTTAGAAATAAGTGGCACAGCAGCCTTGCAGATAGCAGTGCTTCCATGCTTCAGCCGGACACTTTCCATTCAGCAAGGTATGCCACCTGTATTCTGTGTTACTGTGAAGGGGCACTATCCTCAAATTTTGAATTTCTATAGTTACTATTCTTGGTCATTTTCGTGGCATATATATATATATTTTATCAGTTGTCATGCCCCCCTCTTCCCTGTCATATATTTGGTAATATGCTTGGACGCGGTGGTAAGGTGCCTGCCTAGTAGTACTTCAGGCCTTTAGAGTGAGCGGCGCTGCCAACGAGCAGAGGGGATAGGCACCTCGTCGTTTGTAGGCTTTGGCACGGCCGTAAGCATAAGAATTAGGCAGATATGCTTGTTTTTGGTCTCCTAAAGGTCAGCAAGGCTCTTTACGCTTGAGAATGACGGCCAACAGCATCTTACATCCTCTTGCATCTACTGGGAGTCTATTAGTTAGCCCTAAGGTACAAGCTTTACACTACAATATTTGTATTTTCTACCTAGGTACCAACTTGTTTCAGAGAGTTAGAAAACATTGGTTAATACAGACAGTTAAGTTATGCTCCATGATCTAGTATTAGTTTCTATAGGGAGGAGTTGCTCCTGTAGCCGATCCAATTGAAGGGTAGGTATAAAATCCATATTAACGAGGGGTAGTTTTAAAATAGGAGTCTGGAATATGGTTACTTTGGTACATGTAAAGCATTGTCCAAGTAGATTTTGCTATTACAGATTAAACGACGTAGAAGCCCGTTCTTTGCGTCTTTGTGTATATGTCATATATCTAGGCCTAGACCCAGAGATGTCCAATTTAGCCACTAAGAGAGGGGGTGAATTTGTTCTGATATTTAATCAGTTTGTGTAAAAATTATGAAATGGTTAATTTTATTTGTATAAATATCTAATATCTACTTGTAGGTATAGGGTCAAATATAATACAAAACACTTATATAAATTCTATAGCCTATATCTTCTTGTCATGGTCAAAGTCTTCACCACTGCAGCTAACGTGTTTTAAATGAGACAGTAGATCAGCGGTAGACAGGAAAGGAGGAGATTCCCTTCATAAATAATAGGATAGATAATTATTAGCACTTGGTTGCAATGAAGAGTAGTAGTACCTTGCAAAGGCTTACCAGGTCACGCAGCTGGCCATCTCTTCTTGCTCCCAGTTAATAAATATTTCCCATTAATTATCTCTGCATCTACTGTTTAGCCAGCAAGCTTGCTTTGCCGAATCGTACTGCTATTGCAATTCTTGCATTCGAGCAATGATTCTTTCGGTGCACATCGAAGCCATTTATGCTTAGAAGCTAACTTTGGCAGGGATAATTTCAGGGACCATGTGCCAGGTATTACTGGCTACATCGTACTGGTTCCGAGTAAAATGGAGAAAGCGTTGATCAGGGTTCTGGTTCCATTTCGCGATGTCTTCTGGCGCTGTTTCCGGGGGGAAACCGTCCCGTGCCCAAAAGACGTTGACTGGCCCAATACGGGCCTCCTCTGGAATCAGTAATCGGGTTGCTGTCATAGCTCCCGTTTCTGCGACAATAGAATATGGGCTTGCAGCGGATTCAGATCCCAGACTAGTGATGGAGCTATGGGAGTCGCATCCGGAAATCTCATCACCATGGGCCTGAGTAGGCCTTTGATATCCGCAGTTTACATTCGTGGGTCCCAACATCGTAGAATTGTTTCTTAGTTGAGCTGCGAATTGTTCTTCTAGCGCCATGATTTGTCTGACGAACAGGACCGCGCTGATAGACTTGTAAAACCCCTGCACCTGGGGTGCTCGTTCTAGTAGCGCCAGTGCCCTGCGTCGAATTCCGGGCTCGCGGCACCTAAGGCAAGTGAAAAAAAGAGGAAGAACCACGGTGATGTCAAAGGTGTACGGTGCTTGGGTACCGTCTGACCGCGCTAGGGCATCCAGGGCGATGCCAGACTGTTCAACTATGGTTTCAAAATTAGGTAGATACGCATCGGTGATCATCTGTACTGACGATACGCAGACAGCAATCATTATCGATAGCATCTCGTAGTGCGCGATGATAAGGGCGACGGTGCCGATCTGGTTTGGTGATACAGTGTCGCTTGGGTGTAAAGATACCATTAGGCTAGTAAAGGCAGTGCGCCACGCGCCCAACTTGGCGGACAGGATTGTTTGGCGGTTGATTAATTCTGGTGTTAAATGAGATGCGTGAAACTTCAGATGATGTTGTGCGCAAGTTGTCTGGAAAGAATGGATTTCCGCGGTTAGAAGAATGATAGTTTCTCGGGCGGACTTGAGTGAATGAAATTCTTGCAACGCTGTGGGTTCCGTGTCCTCTATCAAACTCCTCAGTAGATTGCTGACGACCGCCCGGGCAATCGATCCAAGACGGGCAAAGATAGGGACTATGGTATCCTCTAACAAAGCCGCATTGGTTGCTGTCACGGCGCCGCACGCTATCTGGGCACGCAAAGCGAGAACAAGATTCCCACCTTGCCCGTAAAGCCGCAAGGCCTCCTCCACATGCCCCTGGAGGGCTTCAATGCATATAAATAATACACAGCTAATGAGTCCGACAAATGTATCTACGCTGCCGCGCTCGATTCGCTGACGCACACCGGACACGGATCGCGAATACCAGTTCAATGCGTCTCGATGGTTTTGATTCAAAGCGCGAGGTTTCCCGGGGTGCAAACAGTCGAGATTCGGATAGGGCTCCGGACTCTCAAACAGGGCACTGATAGCAATGATGGCATCCCACACGGCAGGCTCAGTGCGGCACACCTGTGGGACAATGGTTTTCCAGAAATCAAGATCCAGTTGACCGCCAACGAAAGGCGCGGCGTGTTGAAAATAGTACGCAAAAGCTCGACGTTCCCGCCAGACCGTGTTTGGTGATGATGAAAGCGGCGTATCGAGAATTGAGCTCATAGAAGATGCAGAGGAAAATGTGCCAGAAAATGTGCCTTGGTACTCGCACTTGCGACCTGTGCTAGTGCATCGGATGCAGCTTGGCTTTTCTTCTCCGCACTTGACTTTTCGAATTCTAGAAAGCGTTTAATACTGCATCCTAGCATTGAAGAAGAAAAGAACAGGAACGTACTTGCAAGTTTTACATCCCCTTGTTGATCGCAGAGGCCCAATTAATCCTGCCCTCGAACGGGGGGGCGGGCTAACAGGCATATCGGTAGCATTCCAGAGCAGGGCTCAGGATGCCACTTCCGCCAGAGGGTATCTATATACGTAAAGCGGAACCCCGTTTATAGATAAGAGGCTGAGGACGGCGGTGATGGTGTGGTGCCAGAGTCGAAGTGGTTATGGGTCGAGGAGACGCAGTACGGAGTAGAGTGAATCTGATGGTGGGTGAAGTTGAGCCTCAGGCACCAATTTCGTTTATTAAGCGCGATCGATGAAGCTTTCCCTTTTTTGGTATACTATCGTGGTTCGCAAGGATTTGCAGGAACGCATATACTCTTTTATTCAATTTGGCAATGGTAATAATTTTGCATTTCCTGTGTCCTGTGTTCAATAGACCAAGCTATTCTTAGGTTGTTCTTCGAGGTGTGAGACAACTACTCAGGGCGTTGTAAAATATGAGAGACCAGCACATCCTCCCGATATATTCCAAATCGGTCAAATTAGACGAATTACCGCTCTCCTCAAGTTCCTTCGGCCTTGATGGGGTATGAGACAAGACTTTTAATGGGGGTTTCAGGCGATGAGCGATTAGCAGTTAGCCTACAGGTGCTCTACTGGCTGGAGTTTGTCAAATTCAGGAGCAGCATCGTACCCACCACAGGGCATGTTTCTAGCGATTTCCACATGTCAATAGAAGGCAAAGACATAGTAAGCACATTGTCTCAACTAAGATGCTTTTCAAGGCCCCTTTTTTTCAATCGTATGAGTCTTGGGTTAAGCCTAGCAGAACAAGAATCAAGTCAGCCATTCAACATTTTTGATTGGATTAGGGCTCGGCGGGTCTTTGTTGGCCCATCTGGATTGTTGTCGCCACAGACTCCTCTTGACACACCCCAGATATTTGTCTTTGAATTATGGAAGATGCTCTCTGGCCTGGCCAATTGAATAGTTACAGGCGGTAGTTAGTCTCCACTGCCGACCCAAGGAAGAACCCCGGGGCCACCGTGGGTCTTCCAGATGCCCAGAAAAAAGGCTCCCCGAAAATCCCTCTACAGACGGATTAAAGGGGGGTTTCAGACGCACTAGATTCTTGTTTCTATCACGCGGGATGTGGCAAATCCGGTTTAATTCTCTTCTTTCTATAAAGTACGGATTTTTTGTTGGGTTCCTTTTCATTGATTAAAACTATATGTTGTGTGCGCCGCCAAAGCCATCTCCAGCTCAAGACATCGAGATTCCGCCAGACAGAGCAAGAGCAATAGATTTCTAGCTTATGGTCTGAGAGGCTTTCCACAGAGTCGAGTCGAGTACGCATAGAGCCCACCGAGCTGGCTATTTTATATGAAAAACGACATGAATTGTTACGTTGTGTGAGTTAGTTCAGTACCGTGGCTTTTGATACGAACCACAGTTGTTCCCGGGTTTACTTCTTTTCTTCGGGTTGTCTCTCAATGCTTACATTGAGCTTCACCAAGAGACTCATTCATTAGCATGTGTTCAAAAACCAACGGTAGCCATGTTGAAGGGGGTGACGGCATGGAAATACTCTTAAACGCAGACACAGTCCATTACGCCAAAGTTGCTACCGAGAAAGAACACTGCATGACCTTCTGGGAAGGTCTAAAGCTGTACCCAAAGGCGGTTGCGTGGTCGGTGCTCATTTCATCAGCCATCATCATGGAAGGATATGACGTTGCACTCATGGGCTTCTTTTATGGGTTTCCTGCGTTCACCAACAAATTCGGGCATTTAACGTCAGGTGGCTCTCGTGAACTATCTGCGTCCTGGCAAGCTGGACTCTCTAATGCCATGAGCTGCGGACAAATCCTTGGCCTCTTCGCGAACGGAATCATCTCGGAACGCTTTGGATATCGACTGACAATGTTGGGTTCCCTGGTTGCAAATGTGGCTTTCGTCTTTATTACCTTTTTTGCTCAGAACGTCGAGACGCTTCTCGTTGGTGAGATCTTAATGGGAATCCCTCTCGGAGTATACCAGACTCTTAGTGTTACATATGCATGCGAAGTATGCCCTGTAGCCCTTCGCGCCTATCTGACGACATTTGTGAATCTCTGCTGGGTGATTGGCCAGCTGATCGCCTCCGGTGTATTGAAAGGTCTTTCCAACAGGGTAGATGAATGGGCGTACCGGATCCCATTTGCAGTTCAATGGATCTGGCCCATTCCTATCTTTGTTGCCGTCCTGATGGCCCCGGAGAGCCCGTGGTGGCTCGTTCGGAAGGGCAGAATCGACGAAGCGGTCCACTCCCTCAATCGATTGACGTGTAAAGGCAATTCGGATTTTAATTCAATCGAAACGGTTGCGATGATGGTTCACACAAATGAACTGGAAAAGAAGATTACAGCAGGAACTTCCTACTTGGACTGCTTTCGGGGGCTGGATTTACGCCGAACTGAAATCTCATGTTTGATCTGGGCCGCCCAAAAACTTTGCGGGTCTGGGTTGATGGCCTATTCCACCATCTTTTATCAACGTGCTGGACTGCCGGTATCGCAGTCGTTCAATATGACCGTGGCTCAATATGGGATTGGATTTGTCGGCACCGTCTTGTCGTGGGTGCTCATGTCTTACCTGGGCCGCCGCAGGCTTTATGTCGGCGGTTTGGGCATTCTGTGTGTCTTGCTTCTGGTTGTTGGCTTCATATCCATCGCTCCAGAATCTACATACACTTCCTGGGCAACGGGATCTATGCTCCTTGTGTATACGTTCTTCTACGATTCGAGCGTCGGACCGGTCTGCTACTCGCTTGTATGCGAACTCCCAACTACCCGGCTGCGTATCAAGACTGTCGTCCTGGCCCGTAACCTCTTCAACTTTTGCAGTATCTTGAGCGGGGTGATTATCCCTTACATGCTGAATGTCGACGCATGGAATTGGCGCGGTAGAGCCGGTTTCTTCTGGGGTGGGCTCTCACTATTATGCTTCCTGTGGGCTTATTTCCGGGTTCCCGAGCCTCGAGGACGTACGTATGCCGAAATGGACGCGCTATTCGAGGGCAAGTTCTCTGCTCGAAAGTTCGAAGATACGAAGATCAGTCTTTTCTCCGATGAATCGGTCGATACAAAAGGTGACTTTAATGACACGATCCCAGGATCACCAACATGCAGATGAAAGGGATTAATACACGTCATGCAGGGCTCTTAACTGTACTGTACTATAGATTTCCTCTTCTTTTTTTTTTTTTTTTTTCTTCTTTGTGGCCGAGACTTTCCATCTCTCCCCAGGATAGAACCCTAATACGCCAAATGAGCCAAACACGGGCAATTGGAAAGGGCAAAAGGCAGCGTTCTTAACTCCAATGCGATCATCTATGCAGTCAGATTACACCTCTTAAGGACCAGTCTCTCCGAATTCCCCAATCACCTACAAGGCTATGGATATCTCGAGTAGATATATGCGGCGTAGTCAAAGTCACCTGACGGTCCCCTCGCAAGGCTCAATTAATGGAAATTGAAACTCAGATTGATCATCTTCCTCGTCAACTGTTTCAAGATACTCATTTCCTTCCTGAACACGGTCTCTTTTGCACAAAATTGCGAATCCTGAACTCAGCCCTCCTTGTACTCGGAATGTCCTTCCTCTCTGTCGGTTCGTCGTCCAAGCTCCCGCAATCCGTTTCGACCCTGGGAGCAGTCGGCGGTAAAGCGTTTGCAGATGGTGTGGCCAAGGGCAATAAGATAATAGCAACCTATGCCCCGGTAGTCGCTCAAAAGGCCGTTGAAATCTCCAAGGACGTCAAGATCCATGCAGCGAATGTTTGTGCTCCGTCCCCGAACTGCATCTACGTGAATCTCACCAACATTGGAACCAGGTAGTGGAGTGGAGTCGAGTCGCCACAACCCAGGTCTAGCAGCATATGCTCTAGCTGGTGTTACTGGCGCTGTACTCATCGTTGTCCCAGGAATAGTCTCTGCGCCTCTCCTTGCGAGCGCTGGGTTCACTGCGCCTGGAGTTCAGGCTGGTAAGTTAGCATAATTCACATATAACTGCTATCGATTTGACCGTTTGTCAATGCTAGGCTCCATTGGCGCCGCAGCCCAGGCCTCTATTGGAAATGTTGCTGCCGGTAGCGCATTTGCAGCCTTGCAAAGTGCTGGTGCTGGAGGTGCTGCAGGACTTGGTATTGTAAATGGCATCATACAGGGCTCTGGGGCAGTGATGCTGGCTTTAAGTGGACCCTTAGGGTATATCAAATCAAGGCTTTGATGGCGGGTGCAATGCTCAGGATATTAATGGAACTTGAGGAGAGGGAGCTATTCCAGCTGTCCCTTTGGGCTTTCTATCATGACAAGAATGAACTCGACTTATATGGAAAAGTGCTGAGAACTTAACTAGCATTGGGAAATGGTGTTTTAAAGCTCAAAGCAATAGGACGAGGAGGTCATCATTTCACGAGATAGAGTAAGATTGATATGGATATTTCCACCTGGCATTATATTATTATGCCCTGTTGACTCATTACAGTCCTACACAAGGTGACATGAGGATTTCCTATTGTACAAATCACACACGTATCCCAAGGAACATATAAACTTCAACCGTTAAAAGGGGTTTGGGCCTTTAAATTATCCATATTGCTTTGAATTCGAAATTCAATTAGTATAGTTACTATATTGCGGAAAATATGAATGGAACTAGTTAACTAGACGTAACTGACTGCTTATATGCTATCCCAAGGAACCGAGCGCAACCAAAGCTACCCCCTTCATTTCCCCACATCGCATCCTAGAACTACATTGGTATCACGTACCTACGACTAAGGGTACTCCGTACTTCTTTTGTTTGATTGTCTGATCTCTCGGAGTGACGGAGTATGCGGACCGCAGTAACCGCAACATCTGACACCCGAGGCAAAGATTAAAACATCACATCATCATCACCATCATCACCCGAACACAACTTCTACCCTCTCGGCCAAGGGAAGTCTGCATGGTGAATCCATTTCCTTGCAAGTAAAAAAAAAAATGAATATTTCTTTGAAGATGATCGATAGTCTTGTCGCCCGTTTTCCCTGGACCCGGGCACCATTCATTGTCGGTGCGCCCATGCGTGCGCTCGGGGGGCCCAGGCTTGCCGTCGCCGTCTCCAGTGCAGGAGGCTTGGGGTTCATCGGGCCTCGAAGCACCATGAGCGAATGGCCCAGTGCCCTGAAGGAAGCAGAGCAGTTGGTTGCCAAGGTACGAACGGAGCCCGGGTCAGCATTGTTCGGCTTGCGCCCGGATGATCACCAGCTGCCGGTGGGGATCGGCTTCCAGGTGTGGGCCGACGACCTGGTGGTAGCAAAGGCTGTTGTGGAGGCCCATAAACCGTGTGTTGTGTGGTTGTTTGCACCGCGACAGGGCCAGCGTGAGCTCGACGAGTGGTCTCATGCCGTGCGCCAGGCCTCGCCCGAGACGGATGTTTGGATCCAAGTCGGCACGGTCACGGAGGCTCGCGAGGCCCTGGGGAGCTCTCAGCGGCCAAATGCAATTGTTGTCCAGGGCTCTGATGCAGGTGGTCATGGGCGGGCAAAAGATGGACTCGGAATTACGACTTTACTACCTGAGATAGCGGATCTTATGGCCCAACAAGAACAGCGGCACATCCCCTTGCTTGCAGCCGGGGGGATTGTTGACGCACGGGGGATATTATCTGCGCTCTCTCTGGGAGCTTCGGGTGTTGCGATGGGGACTCGATTTCTTGCGTCCACGGAGGCTAATGCCGCCAAAGGGTACCAGCAGACAATCCTGTCTGCAAGTGAGGCGGGGAAAAGCACCACGCGCACACAGCTGTACAACCATCTACGCGGGATCACAACTTGGCCGGAGGACTGGAGCCCCCGAGCCATTATCAATCAAAGCTTTCGTGATTTTCACGAGGGCGTACCATTCGAGCAACTGAAGAAGCTACATGACGACGCTGCGAAAACGGGGGACAGTGGAGGCGCGCAAGGCCGACTCGGGATGTACGCTGGCACCGGAATCGGGCTGATTCATGATGTTAAAGACGCAGGCGTCATTGTGAAATCCTGCCGAGAAGAGACATTGAAACTGTTAAACGAGCTTTCTACTTTCTTCCGTGGATAGGGACTCGTTTGATTCTGTTTTGTGGTTGATTTCAATCCTATAGATCCGGACCAGGACTTGTCGTGAGATCTAGAAATCTTTGGTTCTACTCAAATAGAAACTCTAAGTCTAATAAGTCTTTTGAGAGTACAAGCAGTTTTGGATTCCGCCATCCAAGTGGATGGCGTCTCTTAGTAATGTCATGCCACATCTTGTACACGGAAGTCTAGATCGAGGAGATGGCACAGATGCTCGAGTTCCATTCCAAATATCCTTTTTCATAGTCATGAACCCAGGTCGGAATAGAGAGGTGCCACAGGCGTCACAGTTACATACCAAAGCACGCACCGAGCCATACTATCACAAAGAACACATTTTAGTAGTGAGAATAAGTTACATATCCCCGGCCACTTAATTCATTCATCCTCTAGTGATACAATATCCAGACTCCCAGATTCTATACAGCATGTCGAAGCTGATCGTGGTCGTTGGAGCCACCGGCACCCAAGGCGGCTCAGTCGTCAACGCCTTTCTCAACGAACCAGGCTACAGAATTCGAGGGATCACTCGCAACCCCAACAGTGACAGGGCAAAGACCCTTGCAGCTCAAGGCGTGGAAGTCGGAATTGCGGACCTAAACGACGAAGCCAGCCTCGTTGCCGCCTTCAAGGGAGCACACGTGGTATACGCCGTCACCGATTTCTTCGAACCTTTTATGAAGTCTGGCGTGGAAGAGGCGAAAAAGATCGAATACAGACAGGCCATCAATCTGGTCGAGGCTGCTAAGCAGATTCCGACCTTAGAGCAGTACGTCTGGAGCACTTTACCCAACTGCGGCACCGTGTCTGGGGGGAGATTCCATGTCCCGTTCTTCGACGTCAAGTCCACGGTGGACAATTACATTCGAAAAGACGAAAGGTTCTTGGCCAAGACGGTATTCTTCTACCTGGGGTTCTTTTCTTCGAACATGTTCTATCCCGTTTACATCCCGATTCATGTGGTGAGTTCACAAGACCTACCCGAGTCCGCGTATAACCTTTGCTAACATCTCCCTGTAGAAAACCACGCAAAAATATATCCAACTGCTCCCCGCTACTGCAGACACCCAGATTGCATCACTCGGAGACGCAGCAGTGAACACCGGAATCTTTATCCGAGGGATCATCAAGAACCCCCCGAGGGAAGGAGGCTCGTATGTTCTGGCTCGAGTGGAGTCCCACACGCTCGCGGAACATCTCTCGATTTGGGGTGCTGCGACAGGACTAGCAAAGGAAAAGCAATCAACAGAAGTGGTTCCGGTTTCTCTCGACAGCTACCGCAGTATCTGGCCCGGGTATGGAGATCTCTTGGGAGAGATGATGGCCTTTTGGTCCGACGCCGGCGACAGGGCCTGGACTACGCCATTGGGGAAGCCACCCATTGACGGACTTGTCTTATTGAGCGAAGCCGATAAGAGGTCTCTGCTTGGCACGTTCGATTCTTTCAAGGCGGAAGCTGTGAAGTTTCGTGATGCGGTTTAGTTAGGTGTATGTAATTATTCCTCAATTTCCCAAAATCTGATAGTTACTTGGTAGCAATCGATATTACATGCGTTTTTGAATATATCTCGACGCGTTTTGGTATTGTTGCTTCCCTGGACAGATACAAATTTTGCATCTTTTTTTGCACGGGAGCCATCACGCTTCTGCTCTGATATGATGCTGATGTGAATGCCGTACAACAGGAACCGGCCTAGTCCAATTTTACTGTATATCCCGCTAAGACTTTACAGAGACTTCTTCTCTTTCTTTCATGGGAGCTTAGCAACTAAAACATCTCAGCGCAAGAATCACTGTGTGGTGGTTTCCAGCTGTATAGCATATCAAATAAAAGACCCCGGCGACAACATACCCGATCATAGAACATCTCGCAGTGGGAATAATTACCGAGAATTAATCATGGCGAGAAGTAAACTGAATACTAGCCCCTGGTCCTGTAGATGTATCTCAACCCTGGTGTTGCGTGCTCTAGTATTGCTGATCTTTCGGTCCGTCTGGCCATCCACAAACACACCTAGGTATCAGCTTCTAATAATCCCTAAATGAAACAGGATCACAGGCTAGTACTAATGCCAAGGAGCCCTATGTAGGATTCGAGTGAAAGCGGGGTGTGCAGTAGGTGACCCTTTTATAATGCATCAAGTCATAGTTTACTCCATTCATCGAGAAAAGTACCACAGACGTCTCAAATAATATACAGCCCTGGAAAATGCACGCGGAATCATGGACGCCTCAGAGCGGCACCACGATGATCATAGCCGATCTTCGGCATTGTTACAATCATGCTGTCTTGTTCAAATACCACTGCCTCGTAAACGAAACCTTCTCACAACACACAGGGACATCCCCATCTACCGTCGCCCAATATAGCTGTTTGACGTCCTTCGATGCCGTGCACGCAACAAATCCATGGAAACCGTCCTTTTTGAGGCCCAACCCGCCGTCATCGGCAAATGAAAAGTCCTTGGTATAGGTGCCTGATTTTTGTTCACCAAGAATCACTTGCTTGTATGTTTCAGAGATTCCAGCATTGTCTGAGAGAAGCAAAGGTGCCTGGGAGCTTGCGCCAATGACATTACTGGTCTCGACTGTAATTGACCCGTCTCCGGTATAAAGATTTAGAGGTTGAGCGAGCGATTCGCCGGCCAAGAGGACGTAGTTGATGTGCCCGTTATATGTCATCGAAGACGACAGGTAATACCCATTGTTCGATTTGAGATAGTACCGATACGGATGGGATGCAATAGCTGATGTCGCAGATAAGGTCAGGAAGGATAAGAAGAAACCGGTAGAGGAACTCATTGTGATTTTGTGAGGGGGTAGAGGGGAGAGGAGAGTATACGAGTATCTTTGTGGGGAAATTGACAATAATGAATCCTCACAAGTGAGGACGTCGTCTCACTATTTTAATCAACAGTGATGCGAGAGCTGACAACAAGCCTAGCCAGCAAACCATGTAGACTATTTATAGTCAGGCTGGATTGTTGTATATTTCTGTCCCGGGCAGGCGTTCTGAACTTGATCCGGGGTGTCATCAGTTACGAGGACGATCCCTATATGACAAGTTTCAGAATGGCAAAGTTAGCGAATATAAACTCAACTTGATCACAGGGAATGTTGGGAGCGAATGATAACTGTGGTGCTTTTGTCAAAATGCAACCATCGCATGCAATATAGTAAAAGCACACAGCGACGATCTCTTGGCCTGTTCTTCCAAACAGCCTGATTCGAGGGGAATCTTTTGACTGATCACGTCCAGAGAAGTGACACAGCTTGTTGTCAATCTCTCGCCCCTTGGAAAACAAACTTTCCTCGTGAATAAATGAATGAAGTTAAAAGTATCAACTATTGTGTTGGTGTTTGTTAGGGATATAGATATGACGTCATGGTTTTCTATATTCACCAGCCACAGTAAGCTCCGCCACTGGTCACATGCCAAGTGTGGCTAGACTCCATCACGTGGTGATACAGCCGCCGCCTTATCTCTCTTTGCTTTTCGCCATTTTAAGCCTCCGATCTTCATCTTCTCTATCCCTCTCTTCTGTCATGCCCTTGAGAATTACGTCCGCCCCTGTCTCTGGTATTAAAAAGCGCAAACAACTTTCTCAGTCACGACCTCATGCGTCTCCTTTCTCCAGCCATGCTCGAAGGAAAGCGACCGTTCGATCACCTGGTGGTGTCAAATCCGATGATGCCGGCGATGACCTAGACCCACTGCCAGATTTGGGAGTATCAAGGCACATCTGCGAGTCAGCTCCCGTAGATAATGTCGTAGCGGCTCTGCAGCATATCCGGGGAAACATGTTCGAGGAATTGCCAGCACGAGCAGGGCTCAATAGCACACAGATCGCTCAAGTACTGAATTTCCGCCGATCGTTACCTCCACTTGTCTCCGTGGCGCATGTGCATACATTGATTGATGCACCTACAAAAGTTGAACGGGAAATCATGGCGTTAGTTTTTAGTGGCCGGATTCGTCGTCTCATTGTTCCAGGTCGGGGAAACGATGCCGCTGGGCTTGGTGACTGCTTAGTCTTAACTGAGGAGTGGGAAAAACTTGTAAGAGACAGCGCATTGGATTCGCAATTAAAAGGTCGGCTTTTCCTTGTGTCTATGAACTTACTGCACCAATTTGTTCACTAACAATACGCAGAGAAGTTTCTTGGTGTACTTAGTCGCATAAGGAACACATCAGCCTTGCCTGGAACGGCCTTTTCTCCACCAGAATATATCGCTTTAGTCCGTGCAGGATTTGTAGTTTCGTCATCCACTCTAGCTAAGGGCTCCTCGAGTGTACCCTCTCTACCAAATCTGCCTCCCACAGCCTCCCCTGTGGTCCCAGCTAGCCGATCTGGTTCTTCCTCCCAACAGAACGATATCGATCCCGCTTCTCATTCCCGATTTCAAGCCGGAACCTTGTTTCTGTCTCTTCCAAACACCGGGCCGTACCTCAAGCTTCTTGGAGCAGGTAGAGATCATCTTCTCGTTTTACTAAACAAGTCGAAGTACGGTGAAGCCCCTCTTTATCTGCTTCGTGACCGCTGGGACGGTACTATCGAGTCGAATAAAAGCTTCAGCGCAGCCAAAAGGGCTCGTGGCGAGTACTCGGGCCTTCTTCCCGGCAAAACCAAGAAATGGAAGGAGCTTTATGGGATGAGTTTTCGTTGGATTGTGGAAGAAGCAATCGGGGCAGGTTTGATCGAGATCTTTGACACTGGCAGCGTCGGTCCTGGGGTGCGCTGTTTGTGATGAGGGAAACTTGCCACTGGAAATCGACTCTCCCGGATATACTCTGCTCAAACAAGACAAGGACAAACTAGCACGGCTCTGGGCCTTACATTCGAGAACCTATAAATGTGTCAACACTATGGGCCCGGGTTTTCTTTACCATAACTGTATCCGATCGAAATTCATTGCCGCAACGTATTCTACCTTATTCAACACGGGCGGACCTGGTCCTCGGGAGTTGGTATTGGGATTGGGATTTCGTTATTATAACTGCCTCCGGTTGAGGTTACGAGGACGCAAGATACGGCATCGTGTACGGAGGATAACTAGTGCTCGTATCTAGATAGTTTCTATATATATAGACGTCTCTATATAACCTAATAGAAATTCAAACTTTCTTAGACTCATGCAAAGAGTTCATGCATAGGTGTCCTTTCTAGCAGATTGAGGAAGAATTAATCAGTGACTCATTTTTGGCTTGTCCGTTTCTCTCTCTCATGTGAAATGCGTGTACTGGACACACCTGAACAGGAATGCTGAATTTCAGATTGATTCATTCAGATATTCTCTCACTACCTAATGTGGTGTGTGGTGCCATTAGAGTAGATGCAGTATTAAATATAGAAAAAAAAAAATCATAACCAAAGAATAAGAAACCCAATAACGCCAGCCGTCCATTCGCAGACTCATTCCCATTAAGCCAGGCCGTAATATCAGGTAAATCATAAGAAGATAGGGAATATATTAACACCGTATGTGCGTATGTATGAGGGGACCGCATGAATGCACGTAATTATGCATATGAGTTACGAAAAAAAAGCCTGTTGAAGGTTGACGATGTCCTTGTAAATGCAGAGAATTTTAGCGGCTCTCCCACGAAAACCTTCGCGGCCGTGAAAGCTGCCCATCGATGCTGCGTCTAGGTGGAGTATGGCGGTCACTCGACGTACCCTCTGGACGCTGGAAGACAGGTGGTGGCGGTGTAATGGTAGAGATGGGAAGAGGTCTATACGCTGAAGATATAGACATGGACCTGGACGGCGCAGGAGACCAGGGAGGTGGAGAGTACGGAGGGGGGGGAGTCTCCCTTGTCGCTGTAGAGGTGTTTCCGTAGCTGCTAGGAAACGAAATAGCGGATGACACGTCCGACGTGACCTCTTCCCGGGAATAATCTGGGGATGCGCTTTCTTCCCACGCCAGACGCTGTTTCTCGTCTGCGATCATTGACGAACGCAACTGGTCTGATGAGATAGGATGATCGCGCATATGCGCTTCCAGCGTCTTCTCCCGGATGCTCATAGGTCGCGCAGTGTATCTGGGGAGCGGGACAACTTGGGTGTAACCGTCATCCAGCTGGTTCATATTGGGCCTGGATGGCGAGCTGGTGTGGCCATTGGTGTCCTCGTGAGGGACTGATGGAGACTGCTTTGCTGCCGTTGTGGATTTGGGCGAGCAACTAGTTGGTAGGCAGCAGCTCAACAGACCAGAGAGGCATGATGACATGCTTGCTGTCTTTCTGAATTCTGACAGTCAATAATAGCGCTAGGTTTTCAATGATGACGGATATAGTCTGCGGTGGATAGACGGGAATCTGGATGCCTGCCGCTATGGAAGAAACCACTACGCAGAAGTATGGTTCACGCAGATAAAAGTGAGATGCAAGCCTGGCTGTGATTCTAAAAAAGGTCTATCAGAGAAGCATGATATCACCGCAAGGTCCTCCAGCATGGAGAGACCAGATTGGGGTGCGAGACAGAAGAGAGGGAAGGGAAAGAAAGACAGATCCAAAGAATAGAAGGAGAGGAGGGAGGGGATACGAAGAATAACCCAGATTTAAGATGGATCCCCGTCAGCAAGAAAGGGCCCATGATTGCGGCTGTGAACAAGCCGCTATTCAGGTGAGATCTCTGGGTTCCTTAGGCATCTCCGTTATTGCCGGTTCTAATTGGCTGCCGGCTTTACCGTATTGTTACGGGCGGTGTGTATTAATGCCTGGCGCCCTGAATCATGAATTTTTTTTTTTTTTAATTTTTTCGAGTTTGATTTGGTGGTTTTCTGCCTGATTTGCCGTCGTGGATTTTTTTCATCTCAACACGTTTTTTTGCTTTGCTTCTTGATCTAGCCAACATCGCTCTTTTTAAGATTACCCCTCTCTCGTTTCAAGGGGCTCATCATCATGTCTGCCACTCCAATCATTTCCGCTCCCATAGATGTTGTCAGTACTGTTGGGGCAGCAACTCCCCCACAACTTCCCCCGCATCGTTCGCATGACCCCGCCAACAATCTCAAGAGAACAGATCCCTTCCAATTCGGATCTCGCTTTCTAGAAGAGGGCGACAACGTCTTTGAATTCAATGCCTGGGATCACGTCGAGCCGGATGACGAGTATAAAGCCTTTGCGGAAGTCCAGTACGCCAAGCAGCGTGAATGCCCCGCCTCGGATTTCGACAAGCTGCGCTTCAACGCCGACCCAGTCAAGTGGTGGAATGTGTTCTACAAGAATAACACAGCAAATTTCTTTAAGGACCGCAAGTGGCTGCGTCAGGAGTTCCCTATTCTCGCAGAAGTAACACAGAAGGATGCTGGCAAGAAAGTTGTGCTTGAGGTTGGCGCGGGTGCCGGAAATACTGCGTTTCCACTGATCAGGAACAACGAGAATGAAGAGCTTATGGTTCACGCATGTGACTTCTCAAAAGAAGCAGTCAAGGTCATGCGTGAAAGTGAGTATTACGATACAAACTTCATGACTGCAGATGTTTGGGATGTCAGTGCGATTCCAAGCGAAGAGAATGACTCTCTACCCCCCGGTCTCACCGAGGGATCCGTTGATGTTGTTATCCTCATTTTTATCTTCTCTGCTCTTTCTCCTCAGGAATGGGACAGAGCTCTCCACAATATCTACCGAGTTCTCAAGCCAGGTGGCCGCGTCCTCTTCCGTGACTATGGCCGGGGAGATCTGGCGCAAGTCCGCTTCAAGAAAAACCGTTATCTGGATGAGAATTTCTACGCTCGAGGAGACGGAACTCGTGTCTACTTTTTTGACAGGGACCAGCTGGAGGAGATGTGGGGTCGCTGGACTCCGGAGAAGGGTCTCCAAGAACCTTCGACTTTAGAAGCAGCCGCTGGGTCAGATGCTGCCCAGGCCACCGCTAAAGACGATGGGGCTTTCGACGTTGTCAGACTTGCAATTGATCGTCGGCTGGTAGTCAATCGCCAGATGAAGCTAAAGATGTATCGTTGCTGGATCCAAGGACATTTTACCAAACGTGAATAAATGTGAATCAGCAACCAACGACAAATCTAATCACCAATTGTACTTCCGGCTACGTCTCGGGTTACGAACTCGTGCTCTCCTTTGGCTAGGGTGCAGTTTTCCGGCGGCCCATCTGCTGCTCCAGAACACTTGGACCCAGCATGCAACTAGCTTATCAAATAGAGAAGACATCAGCGTCTTCCCACGGTATCGACGTTCTTCCACAGAAGAACGGAGGACCGGATCTACATTCTAAGCTGTGCCTCAAGCAACAGGCAACACCAAGTCCCTAGCAAAAGGCTCCGGATCACGAGCATCTGCCGGCGATTGACAGGCTCGCATCTTCAATACTAGACACATTTATACCCCTGCAATCGCAGAACCGCTTATCATGCTATCTTTCGCTTCATGAAATAATATAAACTATGATGAGCAAATCCAATTCTAAAGATTCAGTACCAACTAGGAACCCCTGCATAGGCATATATAACCACCTCAATCTTTTTCGCGTCATTGTTTAAATACAATCCATTCTCTCTCTTTGACTCGGCTTCTTTATTCTATTTATAGACGCTAGCATTAGGTTAGGTCCTCGGATAATAGCTTCGAACACGCTCAAGCTAGCAGCAGCGGCCGTTGGATCTAATCATAAGCAATCAACAATCCACTTCTCATGGAATTTTCTCTGCAAAGAAAACATTATCGCTAGGGCTTGTTCTCGGATTCGAGGCGAGAATTCCACTCAGCTCACCGAAATATTATCCACCTCCTAAGAGATCTTGGTGCTGATGTGAGTCTCGAATACATAGAGGTCTGCATGTCAGTCGGCTCCGTGCAGAGAATGGCGAAGGACCGGTCAATGTGACCAACAGGGTTCAGCTAAGCATGAGATCGGGGATATAAAATGCGTTCGGTTATAAACATTCCTATATCCAAGAGATATCACAGATTATTTCAAATTCTTGTGTTTCCTAAAGGTGCTTTACCTGTAGGTTCCAAGGGTGTTGATATCTTCTTCCAAACAGGAGGCGGTGAGGAACTGCAAGAAAACAAACCAAAAAAAAAACATCGTCAACAGACCAAAAAGGAAGCGTTTCTCCATCTCCGATCCCCCGACAATCAGCAGCCGCGGCAAAGAAGATCATGTCCAAGGCTACCGTTGCTGTCATTGCGGCAGCCAGTGCTGCTACAGGTGCTGGTATAACAGCTCTCTTCTATTCTTCCAGACCAAGTCCTCAACCGGCGCAACAACCACAACAAAAGGCCACCGCTGCTGCGCCGCCGTCCAGCACCCTCAAAACTCCTCCTCCTCAGCCCTCTCCACCCTCCCTAGCCTCGAAGGCTGCATCTTCCTCCTCCTCCTCCCCTGTTGACCCCTCTGGAATCTACCAATATGGCTTCCCCGGCCCCGTCGCGGACACCATATCCTCCCTCCCCCTAACCGGCGCCTACGATCGCCGCACCCGCAATCCCGCCTGGGTCGCAGAACATATCACGCCTCAATCTCTCTCCATGAAGGAGGCAGACCGCAAGCACAGCACCTTCTTCGAGGACACTGCCATCCCGGCCATCTTCCGAGCCAAATTGGCGGATTATTTCCGCTCCGGCTACGATCGCGGCCACCAAGTGCCCGCCGCCGACGCCAAATGGTCGCAGGAAGCCATGGACGGAACGTTCGCACTTACAAATATGTGTCCCCAGGTCGGCGAGGGCTTCAACCGGGACTACTGGGCCCACTTTGAGGATTTCTGCCGGAATCTTGCCAAAAAGTATCCCTCTGTCCGCATTGTGACCGGTCCCCTCTACCTTCCGCACCGAGACCAGGATGGTAAATGGCGCGTTTCATACGAGGTTATCGGCAACCCACCGAATGTGGCTGTCCCCACCCATTTCTATAAGGTCATCTATGCGGAGGAAGGACCCGGTGCGCCTTCTGGAAAGGTTGCACTCGGTGCCTTCGTCTTGCCCAACGCGCGCATCCCTAACGATAAGCGTTTGACGGAGTTTGAGGTTCCTCTTGAGGCTGTTGAGAGGGCGTCTGGTCTGGAGTTTGCGTCCAAGTTGGAACCTGCCCGGAGGAAGCGCCTGTGCCAGGAGATCAAGTGCGATATTGTTGTTCGGGAGTTCAACAACGCTTCTAAGCGCTCATAATCCCGGGACTTTGCGGGATTTTTTTTTTTTTATCTTTTTTCCCTTTGTACATTTACTTCACCTCTCTCTTTGTTTTTATCTTGTGATATAGGGTGTTTTACTATCTGGGATTGGGCTCCTGTATCGGGGCGCAATTGGTCTCAAGACCTGTTGTTCTATAGATTATTCGGTTTCCTCCAATGCATACATCGTATCATAATACCCCATAATAATCTCCCTGGTGTAGACTCATGATATATGCAAAACATGCGAAAGTTATCAGCATTGAAATGCAACACCCGACTTCGTCGCAATATTCCCTCCGCGCCCCGCAAATCCTGTACCCTCGGAGCTGATCTCCACCATGCCAGGTTGAATACCTTGCTCCTTATCCTTCTTTTTCTTCTTCTTTTTAGCACCCGCGTCTGCTTCTCCATCTCCTGTAGATTCACGCCGGGTAAGATCTGTTTCACAAACGTAGCATAGAATCCGCCCGTGGAGAGCAGCAGTTTGCTCTTGCTCCTCTTTTGTAGCATGTGGATCCGGAGCATCATGAGGCGTCATGAACTTATCTACACATGGTTTGCAGATGACATGACCGCACGGTTTAGTAACTAGATGCAACAGCAAAAAATGAGTCACTAGCATTGGAAATACGGAGAGGAAATCCACATACGTATCACCTTAAATGTGTTCGAGAGAGTCTTCTTGCAGCTCGGACACACCCTAGCCACAGACCCCTCAGCCCCCGGTTCTTCGGTAAAATGCACGTCGACCAGCGACTTGAGCGAGTAGCTATGTTGCTTGGATTCTGTAGACCCGGGGCAAATCGGAGTCAGCTTGACAGCTTTATTCGCTGCGATTTCATTTGGATCCGTTCCTGGTGTTAACGACGGTACCCAGAATGATGGTAAAGCTGATTTGCTCGATTCCGACTGCAATAACAAGTTTAATCATGTCAGTATCATCGAATTCTCTCCAATCGGATTATCACGCGAGAGAGAGAGAGAGGGAGAAAGAAAGAAAGAAACAAAATACCTTTTCCTTTTTAAGCTCCTGCTTCAGCCGCTCTTGTTCCTTCCGGGCTACCTGTGCCATTTCCTTCTCATCTAGTTCAAACACCTTCTTCCGCTTGCCGCCTCCAACATCGACCTCCCTCGCCTTAAACGCCGCCAGGGCCTCCTCCGTTTCTGCTTTCCTCTTTTTCTGATTCTCACTTCCGCCCGAATTCCCCTGCTTCTTTGCCGCCTCCAACCCCATGCTGACAAGTTCGAACTCATATAATTCCCGCGTCCGTGCTTCCTCCAGTGTCCGCTCCTCGTCTTCTGCGAGTCGCTTCTTCGCGTCGTCCCGTTCGCGCTCGAGTCGTTTGATCTCCTGTCGCTGCGCAAGCAGATCGTTTATCACGCATTCTCGGCAGAAGAGGTCCCCGTTCGCAGCACAGGCAACGGTTGGGGAGCGCGCAGGGTGTAGACAGAGCCGACAGGACCCGAAAGGTAGGAAGGAGTCGCGGCCGATGACGCCACGCTGGGTGCCCCAGGAAGCTCGCAGGAGACCGCGCTCGTAGGAGGTGAAGTGTGGAAGGGAGGTATTCCGTTTAGAGTGTGCCATCGCTTCCACGTGTGTCCGTCAAGGGTATTTTCAGAGACTATATAGCAGTTGGTGGTGTCGAGTCATGGGCTGCGATGCGAAAGGTCCGGTTCGGCTAACATCCAGATGCGTTTATAGAGGGCAATTGCGTCGAGGAGACACCATCGGTGTAGAATTATAACGGAGAAAGAACGGGAGGAGCAAGAGAAACGAGGCTCTAGATGAAAAAGAGCAGAGCCCAGAGTTGGTGATGCATGTTTCTTCATCGCGGTCATTCTTCCAAAATTATTGTATGATAAACCAGCACTCACCGCCTAAGAAGCATCTTCAATTGCTTGGTATGAGTCTGTCTTACTGGATAAGCTGCAACGCCCTTGTCCTGACCGATAATAGCGACATTAAGAGACTTCCAACATGGCTAAGATGAAGTTTCGGTTGATTGATTCCCAATTGGTTCGATCCTTTTTTTTTGTGACGAGATATCCCTTATCCTATCCATCCGCGATGTTATATCCGCAATTCCATTCCAGACACGAAAGACAAGCTTCGGTGATAGGCAGCATTTCCACTCTGCAGGCCGGAACAATGATACACAAATGATATCGGGCGTGATTATTACCCAGTAATAAGTGTGGTTTGACGACGCCTCGTTCAGGGTACATGGAGTGCGCGGGCCGCAACCAACAGACGGAGAGGATTGGAGAGAGGATTGGAGAGTGTCCCACCCTAGAGTTGGCGTACAAGAATCAAAGTATTCATTCTCTTACATTTGATAGCTACCCCGCCGCTCTTTTCGTGGTTTTATCTTATATATCTCGGTGGCCTCTTTGACTTTGCAAATAATCTAGATCAAACAGAAAATTCTACTTTAGTTGTCACCATGAGCTCGTCCATTGATATTCCTCTCCAGCCACTACCGGTGCCGTCGGTTACTGAGCTAGAGACGGGGATTTCAATACTTCCTCCCCTCTCGAGGAAAGGTAACGGTCCTGGAATGATTGTTCTGGTGCCTGACTCTAGTCTATCTGCTATCTCAATTAATGATGGGGTTCCTGCTCCTGCAGTGAAGTGGGCTGAGGAGGGATACGCCGTCATCGAAATTCGCGAGTCGGCTGTTGAAACAGCAGGCTTGATCAACCGGGCTCTTGAAGAACTGTCGAAACATGAGAAATGTACCCCGAAAGGCTCGGTGGGTTTAGTCTGTATGTGCTCTCTCTGTGCTTCGGCATTCATATTGCTCATGTCATCTCCATATAGCATACAGTTTGAAGCTATGGAACAAGGTTGCTTCCGACTTGGACACTAAGATTACTGCTGCGGCTCTATACACTGCCGTCTCCGATATTGCATCTCTGGCGCCGACTTCCATTCCGACCGTGCGCCATATTGCTGGCCCATCGTCCACTAAGCTCCAAAGGACAGAGGCCCTAATGGAGTACGCTTATCCAAGCATGAAGACAGGGACGTTTGCTTTTCCCGATTCATCAGAGTTCCACTACGCTACTGAGGCTGTCTCGCACACACGAAACTTAACCTTTCTAAAGAAACATATGAATGGACCATATTTTGATCTAGAGGCCATCTGGGAAGAGCACACTTACTTTGAGTTCGAGAACCGATCTGTAGAGCACACAATGAGCACCATGGTGCAAGAGCCTTATGTGAACCATATTCCCACGGTATGTTCCCCCCCACTTCTCCTTTAAGATATCTTCTTAACAATACTCCAGATCACAGGTGGTATAGGGAGAGACCGCCTAAGTAATTTCTACCGCGACCATTTCATTTTCAGCAATCCACAAGACACAAATCTAGAGCTCATCAGTCGAACAATCGGGATTGACCGAGTCGTGGACGAGTTCATCATGACTCTCACTCATACCTCGGAAATAGACTGGCTGTAAATGTCCCTCTTGAATTCTTTCTGTATCCCCTTCTCTATGTCATCAAGTCTAACTGGGGAAAATGCAGGATTCCTGGTATCCCACCTACAGGCTGTAAGCTCGAAATCCCATTCACCGCCGTTGTAAACGTCCGAGGAGATCGTCTGTACCATGAACACATTGCATGGGACCAGGCGACTGTCTTTGTACAGCTCGGATTGATGCCAGAATATGTCCCCTTTCCGTATGCACTCCCAGATAAGAGACAGCCAGCTTCGGGGAAGAGATTTGAAGTTCGTCTTCCTACAGCGGGCGTTGAGACCGTGGCCAAGATGCGAGATAAGAACTCGGTTCCTTCGAACCAGTTGTTTGAAGGAGGTATTCGCGAGGTATGAAAGCTAGCTTGTATTTTTATATAAATGATTTATAAATGAATTGAGACTTTTGCAAAAAAAAAAATAATTATAAGGAGTGCCCGTTCTGTTACCTAGGTTAGAAATCCTTGCATAATGATGAAAATCATATAAAATGCATATTTTGTATATCCCTGATATCGCAACCATGAAAGTATCTAGAAGTATAATTAGTATCTGTACGGAGTAGCGTGGTATACAGTCTATAGAAATTAAATAAATTCTAAGATATTTTCAACTCTATGTCACTTATTTCAGACCCCCTTAGAACTTTGGGTTCCGGTGTAAAATGGGGATGGCATCTTATATCGGATATGGGTTGTAGGGACAGATAATAGATACTCATAAAATTGACTGGCTGCTTGCTTAAAATCCAACAGTTAACAAACGAAACACACCTGAATAAACAAAAAAAAAAATAAGTATGTTGACTCCCATCAATTCTTCCCCTTCATCTCCTGCGCCTTCTTCCATTCCTGGTTGATCCCCTTATAATCATGGATCGTGTATCCCTCGAACATCTCCTGCCTCATGGTAGGCTTCCGCCTGCTCTTCACGCCCACGTCACTCAACAGCATATCGGCATATGGAATGGCGTCATACACAAATTCTGGCCACCAAGATGAGAACCCGCACGGGTAGCGATGCTTGCCAAACCTACTTGATAGTGCAGTCTGATGGTACACATCCTCGCGGTTGATGTCGAGTTTGCCGTTCAAGTAAGCGTAAACCCATAGAGCTTGGGTCTCTGCAAGGATAATATTAGAGGTGCTGTGGACCATTTTGACATAGGCCAGTGAATGGTCCGACTTTTCTGTCAGCCCTGGAGGCGCAATACCACGGTAAAGGCGGAATGGGCTAACGCTCTGGGTATACGGAATCTTTTGGCCTGGTTGGTTGCGAAGGTAGGGGAATTTGTTCAAGATTTCTTTGTCGGCCTGACCGTCTAACTTTCCCCAAAATGCCTCGTCGTCCGATGATAGGGTGCTGCTAGGTATACCTAGGCTAGAGTCGATGCCCTCGGGCTTATATTTGATGGTTGGAGCTAGCTTCCATCCGGTGATTGCAATCAGGGCGTCGGTTTTCAGACTGGTGCCGTCTGGAAAGTTCACCTTTCCCTGGCTGGACAGGTGAGAGATATCTTTCTTAGTGATCGTAACTTGCCCGGAACGGAGGTATTCATGGATATCGCTTGGATAGTTTAGAATGCCAACACGGGCTGACCAGAAGAGACTTTGCCAGAGTCAGTCCCAGGATCTATATCTTCTTCGATGGATAAACTCGTACCTTTCTTGTGGCTCCAGGTGCTTCAAAGGCTCTTCTTTGCGATATCCGTTGGTTGCAATCACATCCATGCGCATCTTCTCCCAAAATGAATGTACCAGGTATCTGCCTACCCTGGTTCTGTGAAGCATCTTCCGGATCCAAGTGTATCCATCAAAATCCCCCCATATACAGGGACTAAACCAAGTGAAGAAGCGACAAGTAGCCAGATCTTCTAGCTTAGTTTCACCCAATCCCAGATTAACCCAAGGCAAAGTCATCCAAACACCACCTCCTCCAGACTCTCGGATAATCCATTCAACCTTCTTGCCATGCGAGGCCATCAGATGCACAGCGTCGTATCCAGTCTTAGAAGCCCCCACCACGGTTACGGACTCTGCATTGGGATCTTCTGCAATCTTTGCGGCTTGCTCACGAAGCTGACAATGGTTCAAGACGGGCTTTCCGAATTCATCCTGGCCGCGCATCGTAATCGGATTCGGGTTGGATGCCAATCCGCTGCAGACAATAAGCTTGTCGCAAGAGTACACTATAGATCGTCCATCACTGGTATCTGCGTTTAACTTCCAGCCAGTCTCGAGCTTTTCAGCCTCAAAAACTCGGGTATTGAAGTGAATGCGCCGACGCAGGTCGAAGTGGTCGGCAAAGTCATTGAAGTATTGGTGTAGCACAAAGCCTGGGATATGCGCGTTATCTTTCACTCCATACTTGGCGTCCATGGGGAAATCGGTAAACTCATATGTGCCTTTCAGATTGTTGGTCTTCAGACCCTCATAGCAATTCTCTTCAGCCCATACTCCACCCAGTGTTGGTCGCTTCTCGATCAACAACAGGTCTGTATCAGGCGAGAGTTCGAGGTATGTCTTGGCAGCTGCCAACCCCCCAACACCTATTTTGGATCATCTCGATCAGTCTTCCTCCTCACTCGCTTTGACATCCATCTGCGCAAAGATGGCATCGATTGAGAATCTCACCCGTTCCTATCACAATAACTTCTGCTGAATGTGCCTCCATTGGCTAGCTATCACGGTGATTCTATCAATATTGCAAGTACAGTGGAAATCTGATGGAACTGCTCAAATTCGCTAACTTGTCTTTTTCATATGTACAGAACACTGGCAGTTACGTGGGGATGGGTTCACAGAGTAGGTGGGACAGCTGGGGAATGACCGCACGGAGCTAAGATAACTACTGATATGATGCTGCAAAAGCATTCATCAAGCTGGCTTACCCCAGGGAGCTTATTGCCCTTATCAACGCTGACCAAGCTACTGGCGCTAGGGTGCTGGCCGCCGTCTGATACTATAGATGGATGGCCCTGAAATGACTCCGCTCGACGGCCCGAACATTCTGCTCCATCTCCATCCCCTCATTAACTATCCGCTGGCCTGCCCCCACGAAACAGCAACTGTTCCTCCTACAATGCCCAACCCCCATTCCAAGCAATCCCCACTGCAAAATGGCCGCAGAAAAACGGAGTCGAAAGAATTCCAACCCAACTTTTAGACCAAGACGCCATCATTGCACCGTTCCTGGCTGTGGGAAAGCCTTCACACGTCTGTCCCACTTGCAACGGCACTCACTGAACCACTCTGAGACTCAATGGGTCTGCAGCAGATGCAATGCCCCATTTAAACGATTAGATCTTTTAGGTGAGCTAGCTGCAAGGTTAATCTGGTCCCGCTTCTGATTTGTTCGTCGCCACCCAGAACGCCATAAGGCCCGTCATTCGGTCAAGGATAGGCTGGCAGGAGGTACAGGCCTTGGGATCCTTCAAACTCGTAGGAAGACGTTTCATGGAGCCACGCCAGTTCCAGATGCTCTTATTTCACCTGAAAGTCCCGGTACCGTGGAGGACACTCTGCCTGTGTCTCGAAAAGGTGCTTACCAGACATCGACAAACCACCTGCTCCAGCAACATCAAGCCGCAGTTAACAAAAATGCAGCACCCGACGTCGGGAGGCCGGGACTCCCTGTCGAACTTGGCGCATCTAGCAATTCGTCTGAGATTGCGGTACCGATGCTCGATGTATCCGAGATGGCTGCCGTGATGAGCCCGTCAGCAAATTTCGCTGAATTCGGGAATATGTATTATGATACAACCTTTGATTCTGTGCACTTCGATGTCATGGGTATAAATCGTTTATCCCCAGAACTTAGTCCGGTCAACTCAGCGGGATCTCAAAGCGTTGATGGCGTAGACTCTTACGAGAATGACACCCAGGAAACGCAACCATCGCTACCCCTTCGGTGCTCACCTCGGGGTCTTAATTGGGCTGAAATACAGCCCTATCGTATCGCTCCCACAATAGAAGATTCGGATATTCAGTTATCCGCTAGAGGGAAGCGCAGTGTGAATTTCATACCTCAGCTTAACGCCTCAACAGTACGCATACATCAATGGTCTTTATGAAGCGTTCGAGTGATTTTAAAACTAACGACTCATTTCTAGGTTTTACCACTCAGTTCTAATGAAATGAGACGGCGATTAGAAGCTCCAATCCACGATGTAGTTCAGGAAACAATAGAAGGGGAACCAACTGGTTCTTCCCAGCCCCAAAATCATCCGTCATCTGAGCCTAGTGAGCTACAACTTTCATCCACAAAACGAGATGAAATTCTCGATCTGTTGTCAGAGATCAGACCAGTATTCCCCGATGGTTCTCTTGTGGGCGAGAAAGCCCCTGAACTCTCACTCCAGAATATGCAAGAATTCCTAGACCTATTTCTACGTTACTTCAACACATCCTACCCCATGGTACACGTTGCTACCCTAGAAGCTAGCAGCGCAGAGCCTATATTTCTCCTGTCCATGATTGTCCTCGGCGCCACATACAAAAACAAGGTGTCCCATCAACTTTCTGTATGCCTCTACGATGCAATCGTTCCGTATATACTCAGTGGTTTGATGAGCATCCCGCTTCCTGATTTGTCGACACTGCAAGCCTTTCTCATTCTGGAGTGCTATGGCATGTATAGGGCAGGTCCCTATCAGCGCGAAAATGCCATGTTGATCCACACGCTGCTGTTTAGTGTACGTTTCTCTGGTCTCCGAGGTCCAAACATCCGTACTGACTTAAGAAGGCTATTCGTCGAGTGTCCAGGTACCATGTTCGAGGAAGAGTAATGCTTCCACATCATCTCTTCAATCCCCACAGGCGATGGAGGACCTTTTCGTATGCAGAGCAGTACAAAAGGTAGTTTCCCAAAACCTCGGGCCAACAACCATGCTTATATGTAACAGACTAATATTGTTTTTCTTCATGTGGGACACACAGAACGTATCCTGCTACTCTTTCATGCCCAGCATGTCCACTCAAACCATCCAAGTGCAGCTTCCCTGTTCGAAGGAGCTCTGGGAAGCCCGAACCGAAGAAGAATGGAGCAAACTCTCGCAGGCCCGTAAGGAACCTCCTAATTTCAACGACACGGTCAAGCAACTAGTTGAAGACGGAGACAATCTACAATGCGAGCCACTTGATGGCCTCTCACTAACCCTCGTACTCCACGGACTTATGTCCATGTGCAACGACATGGTCCACTTTGACAACCGATCCATCTACCTGGGCGACCTAGAAAAGGGTGAAGTCTCATGGACCCCATGGCGTCGACAAATGACACATGCCCTCGAAACATGGAAAGCCAAGTACGACGCCTACAGCATGGCCTCTGTGCAAACTATGGCAGCCACCGTCGCTGCCGGTGGAGACGAAGAACGGACTCAAGCCAACTACCAAAAGGAAAGCATTGCCCTTCTTGCGCTTTATCACACCGCGCATATTGTGATCAATTGCAAAATTCGTCACCTCCAAGCTGCCGCAGGTGCAAAGGCAATTTTTGGACACATCGTTAATCCCCCAGATCGGGAAGAGAGCATGCGTTGGGTACGCCTGTGGATCACGGAGCATTCCAGCGCGGCTGACCACGCAGCCTGGCATGCCGCGCAGATGTTCCGGGAGGGCCTTCTTTACCTGAAACACTGGGATGTGAACGGCTTATTCCATTACCCTTGGTGTTTAGTTATCGGTACCTTGACGTGCTGGTCTTTCCACCGCTTTGGGGGGGAAGGGCTCGAGCCTTCGGCCTGCAACCATCCTCCTGGAAGGGACATACCCCAGGGTCAGTCTCAGGCGTTAATGAATCACCTTGTCTCGTTAATGGCATCTGTAGCGCCAACGAATGTTCGTCGGACGTTGACGAAATGTTGTACGCATGGACTCTCCATTGAGGTTGCGCGCTACCTGAAGAGCGTCCGATGGACTGCAGCATACGAAGCAATGAAACTATTAGAGGGACTCTCAGGGACAACGTAGCCCACCCTTTCTGTGGAGAAAATATCCTGGCAACCGTACATTAATAGCGCACAATCAAACTATCCAGACGATTATACCAAAGACGACCTGACCTGTTGTTTGTTCTATGTCGTTCGTGTACTGTACTTCGTAGTAGGTTAGGGCAAGGCAGGCTCATGCAATTCCAGTGATAGTGCTCAGACCTCGCCCAGAAACAGCAAGAAGATCAATCCGCTTGCTATAGCATCAACAAGAACTGTATCCTGCAGTTCTCAGTTCAACTCGCCGCACATAGACTTGTGGGGAAAAAAGAAAAAAAAAAAACTCACAATAACAGGCAAAAGCACAGAGACTTTAGTCGCCCACCAACCCACCAACCCATTCTGTTACTGGGCCTTCTTCTACATAGTTAGTTAGTCGACTATGTATATTCTTTCTGCTTTCATTTCTTTCTCTGTTCAAGTCGGGACAAGAAACACTCGCGTATACTGCCCAACACCTAAAGCATAACATAAGATGGCAACCAGGTTATTTCCTCGCCATTGTCATTATCTTTAGAGGCTCGAACGCGTGGCACGATGCATGCATACATACATACATACATACATCATTGAGTCGAGTGCCCCTAGTTGAAACGCCCTCCAATCGTTAACATATTTTGCCTATCACCACCCAGCGCAGCCCAGCACATAATCAGCAAAACATACTAGGGAATCAAAACTAAGTAATATCGATCTGTGGGGGCAGGGTAACTAGATACTTCATGGATAAAGATACGATTAGTTGACTCTAGTTCTCTCTAGGATAATTGAGTTACGTCTAAGCCAGACAAGATAAAACATACATACGTACATACATTGCATGAAGTGTACTCCGTACCCAACTGTGCAAGGTTAGAAAGCGCGGGTATGTTTGGTTTTTTTTTTTTTTTTTTCTCCAACTAGAGGTGGTTTAGATGAAATAGGACTCATGAGTCAACAGGTGGGACTTGGGCCTATCTCAAGTCAGCTTATCATCCTCACAGTCTGTTTCGACTCGCAGATCTCCAGATAAGCCTATGCTGCCGGGGATTGATGGTGGTCTTAGACCGCGTCGAAAGTCCAGATCCCTAGCGGAGAAGGAATCCCCCGGTTATAATAATGGCTATACTAGCAGCCTCACAGAGACCAGGAAATAGGCTAAATCTGCAGCAGCGAGAGTTGCGGATTTTGTACCCGTAGCTTTTAACACGGTCGATATGAAGCGCGTCCGAGATTCATTCCAACTTTCATCAATAGCTTATCCTTGAGCTTCCAGTCGTTTTCAGGAATGCGATCCCAGCGCTTCTCGACGAGCAAGCGAATGAACGGGTCGTCACTCTCGTCCGCATGCTTTAACGCCGCCTGGAAATGCACGCGGAGCACCGGCCAGGGAATCGTAAATCGGTAGAACCGAACCCGGACACGTAAACCGAGCAACCGCTCAAAGGTAGCAAAGTCGCGATCGCGGATCACCTGGCGGAGAGCGCGAGTGGCTCGAGAATAGGAAGAATCTATGTCAATGATCGCCTTGGTTGAAAGTAATTCCAGAAACTCGAGTTTCGCTTCAGTCCACGGGGCACTGAGGAGCTTATCAGGTATCTCCGACCCCTCGCAGAAAGGAAGTTCTAGGTAGCCGCCCTTTGGGTCAACCGCTTTATTTTCGCATATCTGGACCGCACCGAGATTAAGCCACACTGATATTCGATATCTCGGGCTGGGGGGTTGCCGGAGCCTTGGCCGGATGATTATATCGCCTTTCCCCCGATGGCCACCATCCTGCGCTCTATCGTAGCGGGCGAGATCTCCAAATCGACTCTCAATATTTCTGAGCAGATCGATGTCCTCGCATGAGAAGACGAATTGCTGTGCCGCAGAGCGGAGAACGTATCCAATGAACTCCTTTTGGCATTGGCGCATCAGGGGTAAAGTACACCATCGACATCTTAGGATGAGACTTCGAAGATGCCTTCTTTGCGCAATGCCGAGACTCTCAGTATCAATCTGCGAAGGTAAGAATGCCAGGCTCCGGAAGGGCTTTTCATATTCCTTATCGGTGCTGCTGAACGCGACCCGGATAAGCCATGTATAAATAGCCGGATTGGAAAGCGCTCTCGCAATATCAATAGAAGCCCGGGGCAGGTTAATCTCCAGACAACGCAGGAATATCTCCTGGATGATTTCCACGGGTAGGCTCTCAAACCGTGACTTGGTTCTCGTCAAGGATGGTGCCTCAACCATTGGAGTGGTTGCAAATAACCATGCGTGTTTCCCTCCAGGGGAATTGGGATGTCTTAAAAAGATAATATCTCTTTGCTTTGATTGCGGGACCGAATCTGGACCGGTCGCTCTGTTGTCCATCGATGTACGGCGTATCATCCATCAACACCACGAGATCCCGGAGCGGGGCAGCATATTTCCGGATACTAAACTCCGTACCTCTTCGCAACTGTTCCTCCTCGCAATCCTTTAACAACGATTCCGATTTGCTGAAAATCCCCAGAGGTTAAAATATTTGCCATGACTTGCTACGTCTGAGGCTGTCAATAAGTCAACCCCCGTCATTTTTTTTTTTTTTTAAAAAAAATGTCTCACATAAATAGACGCTGCAGCAGGCATTAACGTGAGCTCATGTGAGGGTGTCGCAGCAAGGGAACAGCCGAAGAGTCCAAGTTACCGAGTACGTCAACCGCCGCGCCGCGAATGCGAAGGAATTTCCGCACTCGACTCACATGCTATGGCATGTCTCGAATACTACGTGGGTCTGCGCGTGAGCGCGGAAAAGCGAAACAAGGACCCTATCAGCATTGCCCTTGGGCAGGGCTACAGGAGGAATTTACCTGGCTGGGATCGTACCCAATCAAGGATCATCCTGGGTAACTGGAGTCCTCGCAACATGGGTATGAAGAATGGGGAAAAGCAAACCTACTACGTCCGGAGTGGAATTCTTTGCTACCGGATACGTTTCCAATTCGGATTACTCCGTACCATTACCAAAAAAAAAAAAAAAAAAAAAAAGAGAGAGAAAAAAGAGAGAAAAGAGAGAAAAAAGAGAGAAAAAAGAGAGAAAAAAGAGAGAAAAAAGAGAAAAGAAATTATAATTTGATGTGATGTGAATAGTTATACTGAGACCAGGTCCTCATGTTAGTGTCTGGATTGTTTTCATCGAGATTAAAAGTCTACAGACTACTAGCCAGAACAGCCGATCTACGGGCCGTCTCCACCAAGACCTGAAGAACGAGGCAGGCCGATATGAGCTGTCGCATCCCGGAGACACTAGGGCGATCTGCCCGAGCGAGGTAGAACAAACCCCATCGCTATCAGCTAACGGAGAGCATCCCTTCAGAGACAAAACACTCAGGGAGTCGGAAGCGAAGAAACCATCGCATGTCCCTGTGGGCCAGACCAGACGCATTCAAGTCAGCACACAAGTAGCCAACACACCCATGCATCGGCGAGATTTCTACTCGGCGCCTTGGGGGAATAAAATGACAGTGCGCACCATCATAGGCCCAGATTCAAATGACAATGCGTAGCCTCCGTAATAATATGTAAGGGTAGGTTGCTAGAGCAAAGTCCTGCGCAACACTTCGCTTGCTGTGTAACATTCTAATCGTCGTGAAGTTTGAATGGACAAAGGGAACGTGTCTATTATTATGGCCTCGTTCCTATTATTATTCTTTTTTTTTTTCTTTTTTTTTTCTCTCGTTTCCGTGACAAGGACTTCCGAGTCGCCCAATTGCAAGAGAAAATATGGGTCCTAAGTGCATAAAGAATTGCCAAAGGAATGTGTCGCCAAATGCCAGGTTCCTAGGAGCCAGCACATAACTCCCATGTTAGGCACGGTGCCACAAAAATTGTCGATCTGGCTGGAGCCTGTGGGAAACCAATGAATCGAAGTTCCATCCTTTCTAGCCTTTCTAGCCTTGAAAGAGCTTATCCCGTATATAACTATTCGTGTCCTCAACATTTGCAAACGTCCTCTCCTTTTCGCTCGAATTGCACTGTCTCAATGTGGCAGAACAGCTCGTCTTTCGTTTAGTTCGGTTTTCAGTTCTTTTTGGCGTTCATTTCACGGTCCCTCCTTTGATATCCTATCCATTCTTTCCATAGACCATCTTTGCATAGCATTCACTCGCTCTTGTTCCGCGTTCGGCTGCATCGGTCCTGTTTGTATATAGCGGCCGATCATCCCGCAAACCAACCGTCATTTGATACATTGACATCAATACAAACATACGATCAACGATCATCCCCCGAGTGATTTTCACGGCATGGATTGTTTCCGGCAAATAGTTCGTCTCGTCAAAAGTCCATTCCGACGCAACAAGCACCGGGTTTTGGAGATTGTAAGTGATATCCTTGGATTCGATGACACAATTCAGGGCTAATGCAAAGGGGTGTAGGGGCCACCAACCGATTTCCGAAAGGAGGAGATGCCATCATTTTTCGTTGATGACGAGTTTGTACCCCCCGTTCCAGGTTATGTTTGAATTTCAATTCTGACTGCTCGACTGCAGCGCATTGACCTTGCACAGTCGTACAGCGCTAGAGAAAGACACGATCATCAAGACAATCGAACAAGAACCCTCAACCCGGGATAAGCTCAAGAGTCACGTTCGAAGGCTGAGTGTCAAGATGTCTCGACCACTTATCGACCATGAAGGAAGCCGTTTTAATAGTGAATTGGGCAACAAAAGAGAGGCTTCATAGCAGCCTCATCGCCCGATGCCCATACCAGACTAATTCACGCCCATGGTTCAAATCAAAAACGTCGGAACTTCATTTAATCGCGACTTCTTCGCCCCTGTATTATTATCCTTCGAGTGCTTTCGCTTTGTTTTGGGTTGCGGGGTAAATTGTTGACTCTGAAGCTGGATATTTGACTTGCGCAGCTCCGGAAGCTCGTCAAAGTCATCAAATATGATTCTCCTTTCTGATTTCACGGGGTTCAGACCTGCGCGTTCAGTATTCGTAGGTCGTAGTTTCTTCTCTCGATTCTCCACTGAGCGCGATATCAACGCACCGGCGGAAGAGCTCGAGGTGTTAGAGTTCGTAGAAGGGCGTCCATTTCTCCGATACACCACCGTAGGAGACACATTTCCACCACCGTCCAGGTCATCATCCTCATCATCCGTAGTCGTTTCTTCCGGCAACGCTTCCTCTCTCTTCTCCCTTTCCAAAGGCGAACTGCTTCTACCACCTCCCGCCTTTGCAAACCCGGCCGCGGCCCTGGTCGACGACTTAACTCCTCGCATCCCAACAAGCAACCTGGCCTTCCGCGGGCTGAACATAAGATCATACAAGGAAGTTCCCGCCCAGGATTCATGCTGCTCTTCTTCCGCATCCTTGTCATCAACACCGTCCAGCCCAGACTCGTCCAGCGCCCGCTTCTCCCTTTCAATTTGCTCTATTCCGGCTTTCTGTCTGGCGGAGATCTCCTCCGCCTGGTATTTCCTTTTAAGTCCTTCGCTCATCGACGATACTCCATCTGTGGGGCGCAGCACAATATCCTCAAGAGCACCGGCATTCTGTACCTTCGCCTCCTTCTTGCGACGAACGTATTCCGCGTAGTGTAGGTGGCGGGTGAAGCTTTGCGCGACGGTGTAAAATTCGTCTTCAACCATAATATATAAATCGTCATTGCCGAGTCCTTCAATCAAAAACCTACATGGATTATATCCTCTGATCAGCATCAGGGTAATCGATGGATTGCGTAAGAGAGAAAAGGAACGAAAGCAGACATACTCCTCTTCCGGACACTGATGAATAGGAGATGACGGTGGGCTTGGAGCTATTACCATAGGGTCGCAAAAGAAAAAAAAAAAAAAAAAAAAACGAAGCCATCAGTCAGAACTTGGCCATAAGTCAGTTCGAGTTCATATGATACACGTACAAGATCGTAAAAAATCACGTTTCGTGGACGGCGTTGAAACCCTGCTTGGTGTCTCGGTCTTCACCCGGGAGCTTCTCTGTGGGCTGCTCTCATTCTTGATATTTCTTGGTCGGTCGCGATTTTGGACCGGGGTAAGCCATGGTAGTGTTCGCGGCATTATAGTAGCTGATATTGTTGGAGAGATAAAAATACTAAGGGGGTGTATGTGTTCATGATAGATTGGTGGTGAGGAGAAGCAACGCGAAATGGCCGCGCAGGTCGCGCGATCTAGACTTTGTAAGTTTAGGCTCCGCGCTCCGCTTTTACATAGCGGCTACCAACCCTCGGATATCTGAGTCAGGTTGTGTGACAGCATAGTTAAAAAGAAGCTGCTATTCTCGCAACCAAGTCATTCACAATGGATTCAGATCTAGTTATTTATTTGGGGGTATCTGTCTCAGTCTGTCTCTTGCAAAAGAATGGATATGGTACAACACAAAATAATGCCATGAAGATGTCCCCAAACGCCTTGATTCGCCAACAAACCCGACATGAAAGTGTCCGCAATAAGCCAGGCCAAAATGAACGAAGGTAAAAGGAAAGAAACGAAAACGCCCATGATTGTTCCGATCATTAAACGCACTCTATGCTTCCCCAGGCCGCTTGCTGTTGCAGCTGACAATCTTCACCCGATCCGCACTCACAGTTGTCTGGTTATCAAGCTTGAAAGTCACATCCTTGATGAGGAAAGTCCACACTTCATCGCAGAAACGGTATGTATCGAGGTGACCCTATAGCAAAAAAAAAAAAAAAAAAAAGGACAAGCCAAGATTAGCATTTTCTTTCTTATCCATGAATGAACCATGCCACCAGTCCAGCCTAGCATCCATCTACCCATCCATTTATTGAAGGTCCGACCATCACTCCTCCGACCCCCCACATTTTCGAGAGAACTGGGCAAATATACCTTGAAAGTAAGCCGAGTGCGAACTTTATCTGCGAGCACTTCTGTGATGACCTTGTCAAACGTTGAAAGGATCTTCATGGCGAGCTGTGGCTCGATGCGGCCTTCATTGATCAAATCATCGAGAGTATCGGTCAGGGACAAGCCGAGACTAAGTGTGACAAAAACTTGTTAGTAACCGGTATCATTTCCACTGCCACTGAAGACAATAGTTACCTGCTCCCACGATAAAGCTCGTAATATGCCTGGGCGCTCATTTCGGCTGTGGCTATGGCCAAATGACAGATGGAGCAGGTGGTTAAGGATGCAAGAGTCGGGAGCCGGTGATAGATGTGGAGATCGTCAATCCCGGCACGTGATACAGATCGCGTTGCCACTAGTCCTCTTTTGGAGGTCAGATATTAGTCAGACAACTTAAAGGCACAGTTAGTACCTGCCTATAGTGGTTAGGCTATGAATCATTTCCTCCTTCCGATATTAGTTAGATTCTACTCTTTTCTATCCTACTTCTGATTGATAGCATACTTGACATCAACCATCCGTTTTTAACGCATCAAATGATAATACACCAGGAGATTGGCTGGGGGGCACAGTCGACAGTCTGGATTGCATAAGATATCACGAGGTACCTTTCTAATTCTTGAATGTTCTGAAACTCACTCATATCATGACCATCATGACCATATGTGTATGATATATGAACCGATGCGGGAACCTCTCTGGATCCTTCAGAAGCGGTTTACTGATCGAAAGCTTCCCCTTCCCCTTGCCAAAGCTTACATCTTATTTCTTTTGGCTGGTCTTGACTATCTTCGTACAGAGTGTAGAATTGTACATACAGGTTAGTATTTGTCCATCCCCGGAGTTTTCACTAGTGGTTTAGTGGGACATATTGACTTTTATACTAGACCTGAAACTTGACAATATCCTGATGACATTCGAAAATGAAAAATATTCTGCCTACCTTTATCCAAAACCACTTGCCCATGCAATATAAGACCAATTCATCTACCGGCCGGGCTGTTTACCGTTACCAAAATGATTTCGGCGCGCTAGACTGGAGGGGGTTGAAGAATATGTATCCAAAAATTACTGATTTTGGATCAGCAGTCAGACTTGATAGGGGGGAGGGACATGCTAAAAGGATAGGTCTTCATCCCATTCAACCAGACCAGTATCGTGCCCCGGAGGTCATTCTTGGGCACGTTGTGGGGTTTCAGTGCAGACCTATGGAATCTCGGTGTTCTGGTGAGTCTGACGCATTTCCTGAACATGGATCTGGCTTATTTGGATGAAGACTTGGAATATAATTGAGAGCACTGAGCTATTTTGCCACACACACACACACACACACACATGATACACAAGGCCGGTATTCAGCAAGATCACATATCGCGGAAATGATTGGACTTCTTGGTCCTCCTCCAAAGGACTTTCTCGCAAGATCCGATGCTTTTACTATACCAATGGCCTGAGAGTATTACCAACGAAGCCGGTAACCCATGCAGAACCCTGCGTGAATTCTACGGCGGGCCATTTTTCAACGGAGAAGGTACGTCGTGGAAATTTGGAATTCAAAATGTCATCCATTCTTTTTAACCGATACCAGGCGGGTTTCTTTATCAGAACTTGATTCCAAGCCGGTCAATCGATCAATCATTCCCTTGCTTGCCCGGTAATGACAAGGATGCTTTTATGTCATTTATAAGCTGTATGCTGACCTGGGACCCGGAGAAGCGAAAGACGGCGCGCGAATTAATGGAGCATCCATTTCTGATTGGATAAGATATCCAGTGCGAAATAGAGTCGATCAGGGCCTTTTAAGCTCTGCTCTATTACCTATTGCTTTTTGATAGCAGAGGTTGGTTGAAAGACTAGTATGTGAACGCCCAAGAATGCCATATCTCGATATTCGACTATATAACAACATCACTCTCCTATTATCTACACAAGCAAGCTATAAGGCTATTATTGTACATGCAACCAGTAGTACCGAGACAGCTCTTTCAGCTAGCAAGGACAAGTCAATTGTGAATACCTTGCTTTCAACATATCCAGTAAAACTACCTGCTGGACCTCCAGGGCATTATCAAAGACTAAATTCTGTGTTTTATCTACAGAACGAGATGGAATGGCCTGCGCCCGTATCATAGCATATTGTACTCGCAGGAACCTCCACGCCTAGATAAGTATGTATAACAAGGCAGTTAAGCCGCTTGAAGATTCAAGGGTGAAATACTGAAATGGATTTACTATTTATTTACCAAAATTGGATAATGCCACCTATATATAAGAGCCACCGAGGTAATAAGAAAAAAAAAAAAAGAAAAAGAAGAAAAGGTTTTTGAAGAAAGCTGTCGGCAGGTGGAGAGCCTCTCCAAAACGCCTTAAAAAGAGGCCCTCTCTATTCCTTAGAAGATGGGCAATCATAAACTCCAATAAATCGTGGCGCATTTACACAGGAACATCTCGCTAAATCAAAATCATTTCGCGTCAAAAAGGTGGATGATGAAGGGGAGGTCGAAAGAGAACTAGTGGTTGCCAACCATCCCTGCTAGGACACCAGCGCCAATGACACCGCCGTCTGACGCCTCGCGCAGGAAGACCGACTTTCCGCTCTTTTGCGGCCCGGTTCGCATGATAAGTCGGTCAATGAACTGCTGGCACATCTCTTTGAAATTGGGATAATACTGGATAATCCCACCAGTGCAGGCGACGACGAGCTCCTCGGGGCCAGATTGCCAATCTGCGGGAGTGGGCGAAGGAGAAATAACAGGCACGATCGGTCCTCGTCCTCCATTCACTCCGTTTGAGTTGAAAAAGGCGCCATCATTCAACTGAGGGAACAAGCTAACGCCGTTGGGTTCCGGTGAGGCGGCAGATGAGTGGATTGGCGATCCCTCGTGGCTATCCAATTTCAACTCAATTTCGCCAGCGCATGCCAGAAGTCCAACAACGGCCGCAGCTATCAAGCCGGCAGATCGCCGTTGTACACACCTGGCGATTTTCCGGAAGACGCCTGCAGAGGTAGCATCCCACCGCCACATACTACTTTCGGGCGGAGCTAACGATTGATTTAGTTTAGTTGCCAGTTCCTCATCTGCACGAGCACGAGCAACGTTGTCCGAAACATAGGACGTTGTCAGAGCATATTCTCGGGTGACATTGGCGGGTAACTCAGCGGGAGGTACACCAGCAACATTCACTATGTAGTCGAAAAGAATGAGTCTGATGAGTTCACCAATGTATCTACCTCCAGTCATGTACTCAAACGGTTGGAAGCCAGGCTGTGCACAGGCGGCGTCTAGCTGAGCGTCCCACTTGGTGATAATGTCTAGCTCTTTGAGAGGTGGCGCGGCCCCGGAAATTGTCCACTCTGTGTTCACGATGATTTCGGAAGTGCCCGGGTTGCTCAACTTTACATGTTTCACCTTTGCTTCATGTAGAGCGCTAAGCTTCATGGGGATTGTAGCATTGCAACCAGTGCCAACAATGATACCCATGGCAACACGGCTATTGGGCAGCGATTTCACGGCGTAGGCAAGCGAAGCAAGCGTCGCAACAGCATCGTTTGTAATAGCGGCAATCTTGAGCTTAGGTAGAGCAAAAAGCTTCCGGCGCTTGCACGAGGGCTCGCTTTCATCGTCAGGACGTCTGGTATGCTTTTCGTATCCGCTTAGCAACATCTTTCGCAGGTTGAGATCTGACGTGATGGCGAATCCTTTACCCATTGGCATAAGGGTAGCTTCTGACAGAGATTCTTGCCTGCGGCCTGTTAGCTGCTAGAGCCACATCCCAAGGTACCTACCCCAAGTCCCAAGAATCCAGAGCGAAAGGACGGCGGGAACTCACATTATTGGAAAACTGAAAGTAATTCCCATTTCAAGCTCCTCTGGGATTGTACCTTTCGTAGTGTCCGAGCTCAGACTTTCGGCCACTACCTCTGCGATACAGTCCCCAATCCAGGCAAACAGATCCTCAGCCTTGTCCATCTTCAGGTGTTCTTGAATGGGCCACGCCCTTTCGAGTGTGCGTTTCACTCGCTGCGTTTGCGCTTTGCGAAGTGGTCGCTCTGACACGTTTGTAGAGGATATGTCCGGATCCGCAGTATCCCCTAGTAGCTCAATAAAGGCAACCCGCAGATTGCTGCCACCGACATCGATAGCTAAATATCTACCGGTCTCCATGCCACTGGGGAGTTTGGAAACCGGGGTTGGTAAGAATTGTTGATCTGAATGCAAAGCCAGGGCCCGGTACACGTCTGAAAATCGACGGGCTAGTTTGTACAGCACAGCTTCGTCCAGGAATATCGGGGCCAAAAATCCATCCACCATCCGTTGGTGCTCCAGGTATGCCCTTAAGGAGGGATCCATTTCGGAAATCTCCTCGTCCTGCTCCTCATCTTCGTCAATTGGGTCATCGTGGATATTTTCGTGGTCTTCGTCCCTGCGTAACCCCATCTGCACTGGACCGACCGGAGCCATCATGGTGCTCGGGAGTTGAACAAGAGAGGTGTGGGGTGCGGAGATAGCGACCAGGATGCAGCTTGGTGGAGGAGTGTGGTCCGTGTGACTCAGCGGCAGGTGTTGGTAACTAGTTAACTATCTTCACGAATATCGAGTACAGCTGTCGATAGTCTCTAGGTAATGGGTGTATTTGCGCGGGAGATTCTGTGAGGGAGGAGATACGGAAGACGATATATATGCATACGAAAAGATGGGAAAGGGGGAACGAGTCGGGGGAGCGGGAACGAGTCCTCGAGGAGACAATAAATCTATACAGCGGAGGCCGATGGTCAGACTTAATGTTGCAATGAAAGGCAATGCACTGACGCGTAGCTGCAGTGTGGGAATGGGGAAGGATGGCACCACGATGACAATCACCATGCAGGGAGCCTGGATGCGTACCGTAGGGAAGTCCACCTGGGCAGTTGAGATGGGAAGGAAAGAGAGACCTCTCACAAGGGACACAAGCAGATAATACCCTAGGGTACTCGAGATTAAAAGCTGACCTGGAAGCAATTAAGTATGATAACCACAAGAATACATTATTATTACTTACTTCGAGAGTGACTTCTGAAGGGAAAGCAAAGGTTAATAATCCCCACCATTCGGGTGTCCAGACGAGGGAAAAGAAATGGGAATGAAAATGAGGGAAATAAAATTCAAGAAATAGAAATAGAAGGAAAAATGAAGAGAAAGAAAAAAATGGATTTAAAATCAAAAACAAAGGATGAATGAATGCGACCATCAGCCAGACGATGTGACGCTGCCCGGTCGGAGTATGTATATGATAGTTGGGTATTATTACTATCCGTCCCCTATGTATTGGAATTCTGCTCTCGTTCTTTGATGTACTAGTAAGTTACTATTCAACTGTCGCATGTCATTTTTAGCAGCATTTCCTCTGGGATTTACCAACCTATCCCGGAGTTCCCCCCTTTCTCTCCGGGTCGTCAACATCATCTCGTTCGAAGAGACTCCACCTCGTCTCCAATCTTGGCTTCTTCCAGTCTTTGGGGGGGAAGTATCAGGATAGAGAGAGAGGCTCAGGAACTCACAGGGGCAAATAGGAATAAGGGGGTTTTTTCGTATCATACTGCAGCTAGTCCAGTTAGTTGGAACTCTTTTCCATCCGACGATGAGGATAATGAATAATAACCTCGTTTAATACCTATAGTACTATTTAGCCATGTGGTTGTTAGCTGGTGGGGCGGATTCCTCTCTGGTACAGTGGTACGTACTATAATATATACAAAGCGCTTCCATCTCTATATCGAGTCAAGGCCTATTCATTTCCAAGATGGTCGCTCCAAACCGAGAAAATAGACCCAACCCCCTGATTCGTTGATCGATGGGCAAGTCCGTAATGGTGGGATGCAACATGCACCTGTAATAATACTAGATATCGCCCTGGTCAATACGAAGTCGGCTGCCGTACTTGAGATCAGGAAATCCGCCGTTCCGGGCTGGCAAAATATAGTCATCACCTTTCGGCCTGAAGTTCTCCAGCCACAAACTTGTCAACTGACCCTGCAGATGTTCCGTCTGTTTGGTCGGATCTCGCAATGACCATCTACCAGGTATGCGAGGCTCGCATAAGGATTCGGAACGGTTCCTGTGATGTCAGAACCGGTGGACCTCGGAACAGACCAGACACGCAATCCACAGCAGGGTTTCGGAAGATTAAGGAATCTTTGGTCCTCAGGGTACTTTGGGCTCTTGGGGTGCTCTGGGCTTCGTCATAGGCGCCGGTTCCGAAGTCGGAGTCATCTGTTTTTAGAGGACTCGGAGAGGCGGCATAGCAACAAGCAGATTTCCTTTTTGGTCTGCCGCGATAGTAGTGGCGTGTCCCTCCCGTCTCTCCGAATTTAGCCCGCATCAGACGCCCTCCATGCCTCCGGCACAACAAGTATTGTACTCCAAGTCCAGGGCATCCAAGCCTCCACTGAGAGTCTCCCGTGCGAGCCCAATGGCAACTGATTGTAACTCTGTTGGGTCGCCGGATAGTGTACAGTGCAGTAGCGTGTCCAGGACGTGTCCCAGCGTTTCAGAAGAGGTAGTTCATGTGTAGGGAATCCCAACGCCGTCAATATTTTCTTCTTTGAGCTCACCGCTGACCTGGCTCTTTCAAATTTCGGACCAGGCAAACCTGTCCCTTCGTCTCTTAGCTATCCAATCTCCCGGAAGCTATGTACCTTGTTGGATGGACATGGAGCTTAGCCCGCTTATTCCCAATTTAGATCGATTATAACTAACTAGTTAGTCGAAAACCATCTGCTTAGTTAACCACCGCATTTCATAAGCAATGAGGCTGGAAATTAGATAGCTAAATCTTTCCTACTGTAGCCAAGGAGTATCGTTTGCTCCACCCTATCTTAGGGTCTGTGCCGCAGTGTGCATAAGGAAGGCCGTTGATTCATTCTTGTTGGACGTAGCTGGAATATGCCGTGGTCCTTGCTCCGGGCTAAGATCATCTCCCATCAGCCAGAGAGGTGCGACACTGCAACGTTGATGCAGGTTTTGATAGGCCCGCTCCCACCAGCGACGGGCCAGCAAAATAGCATGTTTTCACTTTGGGTAAGGAAATCTGGTGACCTGACAGCGAATTCGTTTCAGCAGGAGAGATTTTTTTTTTCTTCTCAGGCTACCTCGTCTACTGGGTTAGGTAGTTAATGAGGAAGATTCAGTTGGAGTGGTATCGTCTGTTTTGTGTTGCTTTGTCTTGGATTTTCCCTTCTCTGGAGTCACATCCGACGACCACACAAGTGACCCCCACATCCAGACCTCGTACCTGACTTAGATCGCTTCCCTTTCTTATCCTCGCCGTATATTCCACCCCTGCCAACAAACGATTTCGCCCCGAACAAATCATGGAGAAACAGGAAACTCCATTCCGTGTGGATTCACTATACTGTGATGATCGGATAGCCGCAAATACCCGCCCCAAGACCCCGCGACGCGACCGGGTCCTCACCAAGATCGCTGCTGGGTTGGGTGTCATCTCACTCGTTTTGCTGGCTCTCCGATGGATCCCCGTCCCCGTTTCCAGCTTGAATTTTCATGGGTGCCATCGACATGGAAAATCTGTACATGAAATACCGCCCCCAAATGCCGCGGAGGTACCCCTTGATGGCGTCTCAGACCAAACTATCAACCAACGCGTGCCTTTTGAGGCTCATATTATGAGCAAATGTCCAGACGCACGAGACTGCATCCGGCAACTTGTCGTGCCGGCGATGGAGCAGATCAGCGACAAGGTTGATTTCCAGCTGTCGTTCATCGCAAGGTGAGCAGAAATCTAACTTGACCTTGGCTTGCCATCCGTTGCAGAGAACTCACACTTCCAGCAGTGTGTCCAATAAATCGTCGGATGTAGAGTGTAAGCATGGGCCCGCCGAGTGTATCGGCGATATGCTCATGCTCTGCGCTGCAAATCTCCCCTTCCCGCCCAAGAGCCAAACTGCACAAAGCTCTGGTTCTCGAACCCCTGTCATCCGATCTCTTGGCTTTGCGACCTGCCTTATCACTGACTACACAGAGATTCCCGATAGGTCGTTGGTGGAGCAATGTGCCTTGGAACACGGTATTGATTTCGAGGCCTTGAATGAATGTGCCAGTGCGGAGGATGATGGCTTTTTCAGCTCCGCTGACGACGAGCCCCGCAGCGGTGTTGCGCTTCTTCGGAATAGTGCTCTTCATAGCGCGGAGCTTGGCATTCAAACCAGCTGCACCGTTCGTCTAGATGATGCTGTGTGGTGCGTCCGGGATGATGGGGTTTGGAAGGATTGCGCTAAGGAAGGGAATGCCAGTAAAGTGTCGGTGCTTGTCCAAGAGATCGAAAGGCTCTGGAAGCAGAGAAATTGATCCGTTAGTGAAGACCATGTTTATCTGATAATCTGTTTAGCGAGTTGATTCTTTCAGCCCTTCAATAATGCTAATACCTAGGAAGACTGTACTTTTATTCTCGGAATTTTCATGAAACAGGAAGCAGCTGCGTTGATATAATGCTCTTGGGTTAAAAGTGACAGACATACATAATTCATCATAGTTCTGCTTTCCTCACACATTGGGGGGGGGGGGGGGGGGGGTTTGTCTTTCCCATTTGCCTTTTGCCTTTCCTGTATCTATTGTCCTTGTAACACATAACCTATAAATTTGGATTCTAGAGTGTATAACCCCATTTGTACTGTCTGCTCTATGTGGGTTCCAGAAGAATATACCGCGAGTTTACCGCAAATCTGCTCAGCCTACAGGCCATCGCTAGATCTGGGGACCAGAGTTGATCATTCACTGCAATTCAAGAGCCCCCATTCACTCTCTATGGGTTGCCACGACTTCTCAGAATAAACAAGAATCCCCACCATCCCCATGTGGTGCTGAATATCAAGCTTGAGTCCTTAGCGCTCGAATCGCTTCCGTCTTTGCGCCTTCTCACCAACAGCAAAAGAGGGTCCTTAATTCGAACGGCATCGTAAGCTTTCTAACACTAGACATGTCGCCCTCGAGAAGGGTCGACGAGCTTGTCCGCCAATACCAGATGGTCAGCTATCCCAGCCCGGTTATGCAAGACATCCTCAACAACTCTATGAGCTACTCGCTTCTAGTTGGTGCTCTTCGCCGCCAGGTGCTTCTAGTGAAATGTCGCTCGCAGGAATTTGAAGCCAACCAGGTTACTATTTATGATAAAGCTTTGTTGATACTTTCTAAGTATGGAGAGGAACCGATGAACGTCGGGGCGCTCGAGCTCTACTTGACTGAATTCCTCGGGATTGTGCCAATAGGAGCGGCTTCAGATGGGAAGGATATGGTTTCCAATCATATTGAGCTACAGAAAGTTTTGGATGAAGGTCAGTCTGTTCTATCTCATGGAGAGTATACTTATTCTCACATAAAGTGTGTTCTTCGCCCGCCCAGCTGGTCGAACTGCCAATACTCCCGCCGAAGCAGCTGCCACCGACGAACAGCCCCAGCGAGAGTCAGGTCGAGAGCCAGATCGAGAGTCTATTGTTTACGGTGACGCAAAAGATGAATACAATCGCTTCCATGCTAATTTTCACGCTCACGGCGCCGATACTACTTCCACAGCGGGGCAGGAGAGAGATGGGCACCAGCCTGACGAACGTGTAGAGAGAGCGGAAAGAATCTTGGAGGTCTACCATCGGGCAAAGGATGACTACTTCAGCGCAAAGGAGAGGGACGGCGTCGAAAGTCTCAGGTCGGTTCGGTTTCTTCGAGATACAGCTGAAAATGCGCTCCGGTATCTTCATGTAAACGGGATGTCGGGCCACAGCTGTGTTCCCGATCTAGAGAACGTGTTTGCCATGGCAAGAGACAGAACGGCCCAGCTTCTAGGTGGTCGCAAGCGACATTTTGATGACGATCACAGAAGACGTGGTTATACTGGTTATAAACGACCTCGCCGTTTTCTCGACTCGTATCGCCCTCGGAATCATGGTACTCGCTGAGATTGGTCGCTGATCGGATCTTCGGTCTTCTGGCCTGGCGTTCATACTGTCTCCCTTCTTGTCTATCCTCGTTTTCTCATCTTGCGTGTTCGTTTTGTTTCCTTATCCCGGACGAGGAGGAGGAGGTGGTGATGATCGACTGAGGGATTAAATAACCCACGAAAGCTTTCGATTGGCTCCGAAGACGCGAACAATCACGAGGCAGCGTCACACCCACTCTCCCGAATGACCCACGTGCCTCCTCGCTGCACATAGGTGTATTTTATTGCTTCAATTCTTCAGGTTCTAACATAAATTCTTCAATCTCATCCCCTGGGGAATCAATTTTGTCTGGTTATCCGTGTGAAACACTAGATATGGATCTCTAAAGAGCGTAGTGTCCCAGCTTGCCCGTGAAATGGCCCCCCTACGGCCCTCCCCGGCTGAGGCCGCGTCTGTTGGCAGCAGCGGATCATCATCAAACTCGAATGTCCTATACACCCCAAGTTCTGACAGATCTGAAGAACGCTCCAGCCGCCGGCCAGCTGCGCCTTTGAAAGTGCAGACTGATTTCGGCACCTCGCAAGATCAGTTTTCCGACAATGATGAGGCTGATGAAGAGTACAACTATGATGATGAGGCCCGGCCCAAGTTCAATCGACCGAGGTTGCCCCAGTACACGGAAGTGGAAGAGCAACAGGTTGTCAAGAAGTTTGATCGCAGGCTTGTTCCGTTCCTAGCTCTTCTCTACTTGCTTTCTTTCTTAGACCGCTCTAGTATGTGCGTTAGCTGGCTGTCAATCTCAGTGGGCTCTTCTCCTTACTCTACTCCATTTTGCAGACGAACTTATTAACGACGGTATCAGATATTGGAAATGCCAAAATCGCGGGCCTTGTGGAGGACTTGAATCTCTCGTCGTCTCAGTATGAGTGGCTCCTCACGGCCTTTTATATCACCTATATTCTTTTCGAGTGGATGACTCTGCTATACCGAATTGTGCCCGCGCATATATACATTTCGCTTTGCGTATGTGGATGGGGCCTCGTGGCATCATTTCAATCCCTCTCGACTTCCTTCGGAACCATGGTGTTCCTGCGCGCAGCACTTGGAATAACCGAAGCCGCCTTTGGGCCGGGCGTTCCGTTTTATCTATCGTTGTTTTACAAGCGTGAAGAGCTTGCATTTAGAAACGGGCTTTTCGTTTCCGCCGCACCGTTAGCTTCGTCGTTTGCAAGTAGCCTAGCCTGGTTGATTGTGAAATGCAGCAGCGATGGGCCGATTGCGCCGTGGCGCACTCTATTCCTCGTGGAGGGGTTTCCCAGCGTGATTGTCGCCATTTTCGCGTGGTTTTTAATTCCAGACTCGCCCGGCACTGCACAATTCCTTGAGCCTCGACAAAGAATGGTGGCCCAGCTGCGAATGGGAGACGGCAGATTCGAACATCTTGGCCATCGTAGACGATTCAACTGGGGCGAAGTTGCGAAGACTCTCAGTGATCCCAAATCTTATATTACAGCCGTGGGTGCCTCTAACCTCCTGCAAGAATATCTCGCTGACAGCTCATGAAGGTCATGTTTTTCAGCTGCAATGTGGCGTTCAGTTCTATGCCAGTGTTCCTACCAACCATTCTCCAAGAGTAATTAATCCACCAGGAATTTGCCCTCGTCGAACAACGAAAGCTAACCGAAGACTCCCTAGCATGGGTTACTCATCCCTCAACTCACAGGCTCTTAGTGCACCGCCGTATCTCGTCGCATTTGTCGTGGTGCTAGTCACCGCATACCTGTCTGATCGCAGCAGATCCCGAAGCCCCTATCTCATCGCGCATGCCGTTGTCTCATCGACGGCATATCTCGCAATCGCCCTTACCGGCCATTTCCACGGGTACATGCCAGCCAGCCTGCACGTCTTCATCCGCTATCTCTGCGTCTACCCCGCGGTCTCCGGGTTCTTCTCCGCCATCACTCTAATCATCACGTGGAGCATGGACAACCGCGTGGCCAAGGAAGGCAAAGGCGCCAGCGTGGCTATTCTCAACATCATCGGACAATGCGGTCCACTTCTGGGAACAAGACTTTACCCCAAGGCGGATGGACCCTGGTATGTGCGGGGGATGGCAGTCTGTGCCTTTTTCATGGGTCTTGTCGCCATTCTGGCGTTCGTGCTGAGGGTTATACTGCAGCGCGCGAATGGGCAAAGCAATGATGACGAGACCGGCGGAGAGCGCGAGGTCCTTATGGGCGGGGGGGGTCTGGAAGCGAATGTGGAACGATTTACGTATATCATATAGATGGCATTTTGGTGTATACCGCTGCGGATTCCTACTATCTAACTGCAGCCACTCAGCCTTCATTGAAGACGAAAATCAACATATATGTCCACGGTGCATTATATTATTATGTATATATATATAGCCCCCACCAGACAGTAGAATAAAACAATACCAAATCCTGGGTCCAGACCAGTCAGGAGATCACCACGCCGTATGCCCACCATCAATCAACATCGTACTCCCCGTCATAAAGCTACTCGCATCACTCAACGCAAACAACGCAGCTCCCCGGAACTCCTGCGGCGTCGCCAACCTCCCCAACATATTCTCGGCCTCCCAGGTCGCCCTCACCGCGGGATTCTGCGCAAACACCTGCTCCACCATAGGCGTCAGGATATGCCCCGGACACAGACTATTCACTCGAATGCCATGCCGCCCCCACTCCATCGCCAACGACCTCGCCAGCTGGATCACCGCCGCCTTGCTCGAGTTGTACACGGGGCTCGTCATGCCCTTGTTGGCCACCACCCCGGACATGCTGGCCACGAGAAGAATCGAGCCCTTCGCCTGGTACTGGAACATCTGGCGCGCGGCCGCCGTCGCCGCGTTGAAGACGCCCGTGAAGTTGATCTCCATGACCTCCTTCAGCGCCGTCTGCGAGTGTTCCAGCGCGCTCTGCAGATGGTTGATCCCGGCCGCTGCGATGAGCCCGTCCAGGCGCGCGTTTTGCGCCGCGATGAGCCCGAACAGCGCATTTACCTCTTGTTCGTTGCGCACGTCCACCCGGTGGTAGTGCAGGCTGCTGCCGCCGTAGTTGGTTTCGGAGTGTTCCTTTGCGGCTAGGAAGTCGGCGTGTGGGGTTTCCAGGCGGTCCACGCAGTATACTACGTACCCTATCTGTTAGGGGGGTTTCTGTTGCGTAATGAAGGATATAATAACATTTGGAGAGAGAGAGAAAAAAAAAAAAAGGGGGGGGGAACCTTTGGCACCGGCTTCCATTAGGGCTTCGGCCATGGCGAGACCCAGTCCGCGTGCTCCGCCTGTGACTACGAAGACCCGGTCTTCCAGGTCGAATTCCCGGAAGCGATGGGGTGGGCGGATGGTTTCTTTTAGCTCCGGTAGGCGAGACTGAATGTGGTTGGAGTCATGGGGGGGGTTGGTGGGGGTGATATTGGAGGAGTAGCTGAGCTTCGGAACTGGTTGAAGCACTGCATATGGAGATTTGGTGTAGGATGATCGTGCTAGACATAGCGAAGGCCGTATCAAAGGCGACCGAGACAGCGCGCTGCGCATGGTGGGTAGAGATATGTATATGTATATGTACAGTTAGGGCGAGGAGAGAGGAGACAGGGAGAGAGGGAGAGAGGGAGAGAGAGAGAGAGAGAGACGAGATCAAGATAGGAAAGAAAGATGAGAAAGAAATAACTTTATGATACTCGAAGAGATGCTCATCTAAGTCCAACTGCTCACATTGTTTCCTGGAGGAGAATCAGGGTTTATAGGTACCAGCAGTCCTCCATCACATAGCTCAGAATTCCCCATAAAACCTCCAGAAAACAAAGACTGTAATTGGAAAAACAAGAAAAGCAACAAGGTCCGCGTGATTCCCTTGATGGAACCACCGTCTGATCTAGAGTTTTTCTAACCCAGACCAGCTGTATTGACGACCACTATCCACGGTACAGCGAGCAGTGCCATGCACGCGCAACACCGAAGCTTGCCACAAGGGAGGGAGGCGGGGAGTAATAACCACAGATAGTGGGATCTGGGAGTCAAGAGCGCGGGAGGGAAGCATGTTGAGTGAGGACGATGGAGCAACTATCGTGAGATTTCTGAGAGAGACAGCTACGGATCCACCACTTGATCCTGAAATGCATCATGATCGAGTGGAAGAATGGTCCACCGGTCCACCAGAGAACGGGATTCCCGAGTATGGGGAATCCCAAGTGGTGGTGTCCTCTACACTTAAGGAAAATTCAGTATGTTATGCTAGTATTACCACTCCAAGCTAGGGCTTATCCCTCCAGGTACAGTATACCTCAAGAGTATTGATTGCAGTTTACTGCGTGGGCATAGGCCAGCGGTCTGAGAACATGCCGATTATTCTACGGTACGGAGTTTAACCAAAGCAAGAAAAAGATACTTATTAGCATTTTGAAGTCTCCGTAACCCTCGTTGTATAGTAAAATACTTCGTCGTCATCATTGGTTAAACGCCGTAACTCATCATCGCTAGGCTCCGTATACATAAATACCATACCATACTCCGATCTATCTCATAAAACCCTGATCAATCAATTACCAGTTGCAGTGCCAAAGTCCAGTTTCATCAGTAGTCTATCGACTCCTGCGGCCTTGCGTGGCACGTACGGGCTGCCATTTGCTTGGGCAAGCGACCAGTTTCTGTGCGCATTGTTCTTCGCCAGGTCGAACATCTTTCGTCCCTCTTCGGCTCGGCTGTCATCGATGTCCCGCAATCGGGCCACAACTTCCTTGATTCCTGCTTCGACATCCTCTCGGGCACTTCGCAGCGCCTGCCATACCTCTCTCTCTTCACTCGCGTAGTCGACCAACGCATCTACCACCCCTTCGTCGGTTTCCAGGTCCATGTTACGTTGGATGGCTTCCAAACGAATCACGAAAGCAATAAAATGATCGACTTTGCTAAGTAAGTCCCGCAAGGCGCGGGTGAACGGCGGGTCCGTTAGGAATAGTGACTGGACCAAAGCGAAGAGGTACTGTCGGTGGGCGGTTGTTAAAGTCTCGGGGTCATGCCGTCTCCGGCTGGGGCTATCGATCCCATATTCGTAGGGTTTATCGCCAGACACGGCTGAATTGTCAAGAGGCTTTCCTTTCCCTGACGCTGCAGTTCCCGGTCGAGAACCTGAAAGGGACGCGGTGTCTACTACCGTGCCTGCTTCAATCCACTCACGGAAATGTTGCCACGATTCATTGACAACTTCTCCTTGGAAAAAACTCCCGATCTCTGACACTACGAAAAGGGACGCGCTACTTGTTGCCCAAATCGGCCGCATCTGAGAGATTCTAGCATTGTCCCTTTGTCTCCCCATTCGAAGCCTGCTCTGCCCAAAGGCGCCGTTGCTCCGGGGAGGGCCCCAAGGGGAAGGATAACATCTGCGAATCGGTGTGTGTTTCCAAAGGTCACCCAAGCGAATTTGAGCCCGCCGGATACCTAACAAATAGGAGTGGACTTTTGAATAAACCGAAATATCTGAAGTAGAGAGGAACAGATCAAGAGGAGGTCGGGCTTGCACCAAAAGGGATGTTGGAGCTGGAAACAGAAGGTCGTCGAAAGGCACATCCGAAGTCTCCGCCATTAACTCGGCTCCGGCTCCGGCTCCGTCGGACTGTGACGCTGGAATTTGGCCATAGCCCTTTGTATTGGTCGATAGTCGAAGAAGGTCTCTTGCAAGGTCGAGCTCGTCATCTGCAGGATCTTCTTCATTTTGTAAGGAGTAAAGCTCAGCCCAGGTGTTCGTGAGAGTAGCCGCCACATCACCTTCCTTGATAGCAAGGCCATCCAGGCCGCCGGATACTATGTTTCTAGAAGCCATAGCCTCAGATCTCTGCTGCCTTTCCCGTAGGCGGGCATCAGCATGCGACACGAGTGCGGTGGCAAATTCACCGCGTCGCAAGAGTAAAAAGTCATGCAAAAGTGAGAGAGTCTCGAGAATCTTAGGCAGAGGAAGTAATTTAGAGAGTGTGCTTTGAGATAAAGACAATCGAATCGAATCGATAGCGTTGGACAGCCTTGAGACTGATATAGGCGATTTTAAAGACGCAAGGTAGTTGATATGTTCGCCATGAAGTGTGACCGGAGAGGTCAAGAGCCCATAAGAGGTATTTTCAGCAGAAGGGCCGCGTTTCGCTCTAATGAGATTTAAAGTCTTTCCGATGAATAAGATCGATGATGCTGAGTGGGGTAAAACGAATTGAGGGAGCAAGTCTGTATGAATGACGAATTCGGTAGCAGAAGAAGTGCGATCGGTCTCACTAGTGTTGTCCTTTTGAATGAAGAAATCATCCTTGCCCAGAATAGGTAGGTTCCCGTATAAAAGCCATGTAGATAACTGCCTCATCCATGCTGTTTCGGCCGCACTAACCAAGTGTAACGCTATTTCTTCGAGGTCAACATACCCTGTCTGTGTCTCTCCCCGAAGATGGTCAATCAATCGTGCACCTGTACAGCTTTGGGAGCCTCCCTTCTTGTTTACGGGCTGTATAAATCGAATAACGTCCCAAAGCCATTCTAATCGCCGTGTCCAAGGGGAAAATTCCCCCACAATGGTCGCTAACGGGACAATGCCGTAACCTCCTACATATCCGCTATCTTCAACCAGGATTCCCTTCTCAACCTCTAGGATTTTCTTTTGAAACGCTCCGAGATGATGACCATGAATGGCTGTTGAGACAGCCCGACATATAACAGAAGGATGCGACGAGGAAATCACAGTTGTATGAGATCGGAGTTCCGCATGTAGACGACTCAAACGGGAGAGGGAGGAGAGGAGGGCTTTTTCTGGGGGTGAAAGAAGCGGAAAGGATTCTTCAGAGACGGCATCTTCTTCGGTTTGGAAGCTGAAGAGAGACGATTGCTGCCCCGAGAGGGAGAGGAGGATCTCGTGGAGCATCCTGGTTGGAGTTTGCTTGGGAGGGTCAGTCCATGAAGTGTTGCACCATCAGCCGTGGCAGTAGTACTCACACCAGCCTATAAGGCAGGTCTCTGTTCTGTCTTGACTTTTGACGTCGCCAGTACAAAAGTCCGCTTCCAAGAAGCTCGAATCGACACATGAAAAACAGCTGGTTGAATGATATTAGGTGTCATGGGGAGCTGCTTTTCGGTACAGCAAACTAACGGGTCGCGTCACGAAGAAGCTGGTGTGAACTTAAATACAAGGTAGGAAGTTGATGAGACACAGAAAAGTTGGATTGGGATTACATCAAGAGCAATATTAGAAGCCACGGTCAGTAGACATATCTGCATCGACATGATAGACACCTCAATAATGATCCCATGGTCACTCATTAACTATCCAAGAGTCTTCGGCTAAACAACTCTCGTGCCTCAGGCATTGATCAGGTGTCAAACTTTGGATCCCGCTAGGATCTGCTTCAACGCGCGAACTAGTTAGTTAACTAAATACGATGAATTTTATATTTGTCAGCGTGCGCTCAGTCAAGAAACTAACAAGTTAACTAACTTAATTATGTTAAATTAGATAAGACCTACTCCCTCTATCTTACCCGTGCTAATATAATATAATAATGCACCTGAGGATTCTCACCAGAGCAGATCAATTATATTCCGGCACGGATAAGCTAATGATCCGTTAGTCACGTGACAGAGCAATAGGGGTTAGTTAACGAGATCAGGCTTCATCATCCAATACCCCAGAAGACTCTGGTCCTTTTTTCAGATTCCCAATTCTTCGGTGGTCTAGGCACCAGCATTACGTGTCAAATAGCTCGAGAACTCTTCCCACCGGTCCTTGCCTTTCTTTAAGAGCTCGCGAACGTTACAGCTCCAACCCTCGGGAAATTTGCCCATGCCTGTGACTTGATATGTATTCCACATTGCAAGTTTTAGTCGTGCCATCTTCCGATCATGGAAATGGTTGCTCAATAACATACCTCTACAGCTGGATAATGCCAAACCGATCACTGACGTACCTCCTACTAGTAATTCGCACAAAATCATAACCGTGAAGCATCGCCCCTTTATTGAGCAGTCTGACAACCAAACGCTTTTGAGCATTGGCATATTTGCAGAAGTCTATCTCGTGGATAAAAAGATAATTAGGAAGGCTCCTCGTAGTGGCAGCGAGGAACATATCCGGCCAATAGTTCGTGAAGCCGATATTTACGCAATTCTAGGCAACCATCCCCGAATTGCTCAATGCATATCCCTCAGGAGACAAGATTATGTGGATGTTCAATATTATCCTCTGGGGGATTTAGCCGATTACCGCCAGACAAACGCGATTGCCCCCGACCTGCAATCCAGATGGTTTCAACAAATTATTGAAGCAGTTACTTTCATTCATAGCCATGATATTATCCACTCGGATTTGGCATTACGACAATTTTTCATCGATAGTGACTTGAATGTCCGCCTGGGTGATTTCAACTCTTCGCAGTACCCTGGACACCCGGCTTTAGGCTATGAGAAGGCATCTCATTGCCTGCCAAGGGATTATGATATGCCAAACACAGTTATGTCGGATCTCTTTGCTCTGGACTCTACATTATATGAACTTGTTACTGGTGTGATTCCATATCATGAGCTTTACCCGGTCGAGCCTGAGGAAATTGTGCGGTCTAGTGACCACACTATTATTCGAGCGCGAATTCAGCGGCAACATCAGGCTGATTGCGAGATTGAAGCGCGGTATAGGGAACAGCGATTTCCTGATGTATCTCAAACCTTTGGAGGAGATGTTATTTTGGGGTGCTGGAAGGGGGGACTTTACTACAGCAGAGCAAGCACTTGTTCATTACATAGCAATGATACCAAACACCTAGCGAACCTGGTTTTCATTATCTGTTGTGTTGCTCTAATAGATTATAATCATCACGCAAATACTTTAGATACAGCAATTCAGGATATAGTTCCTAATATTTGCATAAATAGATGAACAGGGTCTATATCATCATACCAGGAGTCAATACCTATTTGGAGGAGGCGTTGTTCCCATTTCCTTTATGGATTAACAATTATGTAACCTGGAAAAGCGAGGACCTGTGAGGACCTGCGAGAACAATTGATTTGAGTTGATCCGGTATGTCGAGCCGCCAGGCAAATAGAAAAACAATAATGACAGGTTAAAGGCTTGTCCATTGATACTGGTTTGAGGACGGTATAATAAGCTCCTAAGGAAGAGTTGACCTGAGGCCGCGGTCCGGAAGGTATATATGATGACTCAGCAGGATGTCTCCCGCGATTGGTCCAAACCCCTCCAGCTCAGGCGTCAAAGATAACCTGAGGCAATAACTTATCCCCTCTTACGTCGCCGATTTCTAAAAGCCGCAGCAGAATTCAATTCAATAGTTAGATCGTTCGTTGTGATTAATAACGTCCTATCCTTCATCCTACATTCTCCCATCCCCATCTCCCTGTTGCTATCTTTGTTTTTACTTCTATTTATTCCACAGCTCTTGAGAAATCTAACGTGAATTTCTACCTACATTTCCCCCCGCTTTGAGCTCCTCTGTCGCTGAGAGCTCTATCCGATCGCCGGAACCTTACCGCTTCTCCCCCCTCTGGGCCTGCACTTGGAGTTGTGGACACGAGTCACTATTGATAGGAAGTCTTGCCTTTTAAGCAAGACTTTCATCTTTACACCTTCACCATTCCCTCCTCGGATATCCCCGTTCGTGACGCTGCGAAGCTGGGAAAGCGAAGAGCGTCTGCCAACACCGAAGCTAGACCGGAGAAGAAGACCATGACGGTACGCTTGGTGTCCGAAGACCTATACTTTCTCCCTATATTAATGGACTTTAGGATTCCAAAATGCAGGTCGATACTCCAACACAAGAGACCGTCGAAATGATCAAGCATGGCGAGATCGACGAGTCTCTGTACAGCCGACAGCTGTAGGTGCCTTCTATCAGAGCCCAGCTTTCCATATCAAAACATTCCAGGTATTTATTTGTTCGCTTTAGGTATGTTCTCGGCCACGAAGCCATGAAGCGTATGGGCTCCTCGAACGTCCTCGTCGTCGGTTTGAAAGGCTTGGGTGTTGAAATCGGTATGTTGGACGGACGCATGCTCTGTAAATTTTGATAATAACAGATACAGCCAAAAACATTGCTCTCGCCGGTGTAAAGTCCCTCACGTTGTACGATCCTGCTCCCGTCGCTATCTCCGATCTCTCGTCTCAGTTCTTCCTTCAACCACAAGATGTTGGCAAGCCCCGTGCCGAAGTTACAGCTCCAAAGGTCGCTGAGCTGAACTCATATGTCCCGGTCACGGTCCATGAGGGCACAAGTCTTGTGGATGACTTGGAGCAACTAAAACGTTACCAAGCAATCGTGCTTACGCTCACCCCCCTAAAAGAGCAGCTAGCAATCGCAGACTTCTGTCACCAGAATGGCATTTACCTCACCATCACAGACACCTTTGGCCTCTTTGGATACCTTTTCAACGACTTTGGCAAGAATTTCACGATTGGAGATGCCACAGGTGAGGAACCTGTCAGTGGAATCATCGCCGACATCGACGAAGATGGTCTAGTCTCAGCGCTTGACGAAACCCGCCACGGCTTGGAGGATGGAGACTTTGTGACATTCACCGAGATCAAGGGCATGGAAGGCCTAAATGACAGCGATCCAAAGAAAGTCACCGTCAAGGGTCCATACACGTTCTCCATTGGAGATGTGTCCGGCCTTGGCTCATACAAGGGTGGTGGTATCTTCACTCAGGTCAAGATGCCGAAATTTGTTGATTTCCAGCCACTCTCTGAGCAAATCAAAAAGCCGGAGCTTATGGTTTCGGATTTCGCCAAATTTGACCGACCACAGCAGCTCCACATCGGCATCCAAGCCCTTCACAAGTTTGCGGAAACCCATGACGGCCAACTACCTCGTCCCCATAATGAGAGTGATGCACAGGAAGTGCTGAAGGTCTCCAATGACCTTGCCTCCAGCCAAGAGGAGAAGGTCGAACTTGATGAAAAGCTTATCAAAGAGCTGAGCTATCAGGCTCGCGGTGATCTCAACCCCTTGGCTGCGTTCTTCGGCGGTGTTGTGGCACAAGAAGTTCTCAAGGCAGTTTCCGGAAAGTTCAGTCCCGTACAGCAATGGCTCTACTTCGACTCTTTGGAGTCTCTCCCGACCTCTACCGCCCGCTCCGAGGAGACCTGCAAGCCCCTAGGTACCCGCTACGACGGTCAGATTGCTGTTTTTGGCAAAGAGTTCCAGGATAAGATTGCCGATGTCACGCAGTTCCTTGTTGGCGCAGGAGCTATTGGGTGTGAGACGCTAAAGAACTGGGCTATGATCGGTCTCGGAACTGGCCCCAAAGGAAAGATTTATGTTACTGACATGGATCAAATTGAGAAGAGCAATCTTAACCGACAATTTCTGTTCCGCAGCAAAGACGTTGGCAAACTCAAGAGTGAATGCGCTTCCGCTGCAGTTGTTGCAATGAACCCTGAGTTGGAGGGCAAGATTGTCACACTCAAGGACCGTGTTGGGCCCGATACCGAAGATGTCTTCAACGAAGAGTTCTGGGAACGTCTTGATGGAATCACCAATGCTCTTGATAATGTGGAGGCTAGAACTTACGTCGATCGCCGCTGTGTTTTCTTCAGAAAGCCACTGCTAGAGAGCGGTACCCTCGGAACAAAGGGCAATACTCAAGTGATCCTTCCACGCATCACTGAGTCCTACTCCAGCTCTCAGGACCCACCAGAGAAATCTTTCCCCATGTGTACTCTCAAGAGTTTCCCCAACCGGATCGAGCATACTATCGCTTGGGCCAGAGACCTCTTCCAAACTTACTTCGTTGGGCCTCCCGAGTCCGTCAACATGTACCTGTCCCAGCGTAATTACATTGAACAGACCCTCAAGCAGGCTGGTAATGAAAAACAGACTCTGGAGAACCTACGCGACTTCCTAGTGACTGAAAAGCCATTGACGTTCGACGATTGTATTGTGTGGGCACGTCATCAATTTGAAGCTCAGTACAACAATGCCATCCAGCAGCTTCTCTATAACTTCCCACGAGACTCCACTACATCTTCCGGTCAGCCTTTCTGGTCAGGACCTAAGCGTGCTCCAACTCCCTTGAAGTTTGACAGCTCTAACCTCACCCATCTCGGATTCGTTATTGCCGCCGCAAATCTTCATGGCTTCAATTATGGAATCAAGAACCCTGGCGCCGACAAAGAGTACTATAGGAAGGTTGTGGATAACATGATCATCCCCGAATTCACTCCCAGGTCCGGTATCAAGATTCAAGCCGATGAAAATGAACCCGACCCGAACGCTCAGCCCTCCGGTTCCTCTCTGGACAATAAGGATGAGATTCGGCGCCTCGTTGACTCTCTTCCATCTCCCAAGTCTCTTGCAGGATTCCGCCTGAACCCTGTGGAATTCGAGAAGGATGATGATACCAACTACCACATTGATTTTATTACCGCGGCTAGCAACCTCCGTGCTGACAACTACGATATTCCTCAGGCTGATCGCCATAAGACCAAGTTCATCGCCGGAAAGATTATTCCTGCCATCGCTACCACTACAGCGCTTGTTACCGGTCTAGTAGCCTTGGAGTTATACAAGATCATCGATGGCAAAGACGACATTGAACAATACAAGAATGGTTTCGCAAACCTCGCCCTCCCATTCTTTGGTTTCAGTGAGCCTATTGCAAGCCCGAAAGGCAAGTACATGGGCAAGCAAGGTGAGGTGACTATCGACCAGATCTGGGACCGCTTTGAGGTGGAAGATATTCCTCTGCAAGACTTCCTCAAGTATTTCTCAGACCAGGGCTTGGAGATTTCCATGGTCAGCTCTGGAGTCAGTCTGCTGTACGCCAGCTTTTACGGCCCATCTAAAGTCAAGGACCGTCTTCCTATGCGGTAAGTTCCTTCTATTAAAAAAAAAAAAAAAAAAAAAAAAAAAGGCGACAAAGAAGATGCTAATGTTTGGCTGTAACAGGATGAGCAAGCTCGTGGAGCATATCAGCAAGAAGCCCGTCCCCGAACACCAGAAGAACATTATTTTCGAAGTGACCGCAGAGGATCAGACGGAGGAGGATGTTGAGATTCCATATGTGATGGTGAAATTGAGGAAGTAAAATGGGTTTACAGCGAGGAATAAGGGAAATCCATTCATGCCGTAAAAGCTCATGCTAGTCGATCTACCACCCACCATACACCCTATACACTTTCCGTCATATACCTTAGAAGAGACTCGAATGCCAACTGCCGTTCCAAAGTCTGTTTTTGGTGCAGTTACCTTACCTTGTGTTGGATAGTATGAAAATAATAATAGTAATCTGCCGGTCATGATGAGCAACCGCTTTGTCAGCGCCTTAGTGACGCCTTCGTAATGATTAAGCAATCAACGTCATTCCAAAGGCTCCCCGCATATAATTGAGCCCCCCCCTTATTGCCTTCCAGCTCTGTCGTGTTCATGTTTCCTGCTGTGCTTAGACCTCATAGGGCTGTACATCATATTCTTACTCCCAGAATTCTATCGAGACTTGGTAGTACAAGCATTTCCAGATTCGCCTTCATCTCTGCGCCGATCTCCACGACTCGTAAGATGGCTGTAAGCTACCCCTCACTCACATCTTACCTACACATCGATGAGTCCTTTGCTAACCATTGGTCTAAATTTTAGACAGGCAACGCCAACAAGATCACGGACTGGGTAAACCCGACTGATAAGTCGGGTGAATTCAAACGTCAGGTTTCGTCTTTCCGGAACTGGATCTCCAGAGAGCCTGGAGCCGAGTTCCCTCCTGAAAAGGGCCGTTATCATCTCTATGTCTCCTACGCTTGTCCTTGGGGTGAGTTGCTGGCTTCTATGCGAAAGAGTGGTGCCAAAAATAACCTAGCTAATGCTGTGCAGCCCACCGGACTTTGATCACCCTCAAGTTGAAGGGCCTGGAGGATTTCATTTCCTACACCTCCGTGCATTGGCATCTAGCCGATAAGGGTAGCTAAGCATTCCCTTTTATTTCCGATACAATGGTGAAGAAGAGACCCCACTAACGTATGCTGTTGTAGGCTGGCGCTTCGCAACCTCAGATGAGAAAATTCCTGGAGATAATACCACTCCGGACCCATTACATCCTTCCTTTACCCATCTCCGCGACATCTACTTCTCCAATGAGCCCGAATATGCTGGCAGATTTACCGTCCCCGTGCTCTACGATAAGAAAACTAACCGCATCGTGAGCAACGAGGTATACTTCCTTACCCCCTCCTATTCCTCTTTTCCGCTCGTCCCAAAACAACTAACCACAATCCCCCCCCCCCCCCCCCCCCCCTTTACTTTAGAGCTCTGAAATTATCCGCATGTTCTACCATGAATTCGACGACCTCCTCCCCGAAACCTACAAAGCCATCGACCCCTTCCCTCCCACCCTACAGGCTACCATCGAATCCACCAACGAATGGACCTACAACGACGTCAACAACGGCGTCTACAAGGCCGGCTTCGGAACCACCCAGGAGGCCTACGAGCGTGCCGTGGCAACGCTCTTCTCCTCGCTCGATAAGATCGAGACACATCTCGCCACCGCTCCTGGGCCCTACTACTTCGGGTCCTCCGTCACGGAGGCTGACATCCGGCTCTTCACAACAATTGTCCGCTTTGACCCGGTGTATGTGCAGCATTTCAAGTGTAACATTCGAGATATCCGCTCGGGGTATCCGGCTATCCATCGGTGGTTGAGGAAGCTTTACTGGGATGTTCCGGCGTTCCGGGAGACGACGCAATTCGAGCACATCAAGAAGCATTACACAAAGAGTCATACGCAGATTAACCAGTTTAGCATTACTCCTGTTGGGCCGTTGCCGGATATTCTTCCCAAGGATGAGGAAGTTCGGGCTGTGGCTGCAATCAAGCCTTAGTATAAGAGCCAGTCTGTCTGTCTGTGGCTCGTCATTTATATATATATATATAGTAATCACGGAGCTAGTGTTAGCACACGAAATTGAAACCTCTTATGATTGTGAATGATGTTTATTCCACAAATACCCTCCGTTTTCCTCTATACACTATATATTTCTATTCCTTGTCCTTAACACAAGCAGCCAGTCCATCCCTAAATACAAATAAGCTAAAAGGGCAAAAAATGGGGTCCTCTTCAAACATCCGGCAATTCCGAATTCATACGAAGCTGGATATGAGAAAAATAAATTTTAAAAAAAGGAGAAAGAAAAAAAAAAAAAAAAAAAGGTAACAAAAACTCCATTATATGCTTTACCGCACGACGCCTTGCCATGCGAGTGTGGGGGTCTGTTGTGGCAATCCAACCCAAAACAATTGGCTATTGGAGGAGATGATAATCTCGAAATGCCAGAAACAAACAGGTCTAACTCAAGGAAACAAAGCAATTGTATGGGCGGGTAAGAGAATGATTAGGATGGTAAGGGTGGCGGGAAAGAAGCTGCATTCGTCCGCTGTGGTTTCAACGAACGGAAAGAAGAAACCTCCTCAACTTCCATCCTTAAGGGATCATGGCGTCGTGCGTAAGGCAACTGGATTTAAGGGTATCTCAGTAAACGCTTGTAAATAGCCAGCAAGAAGGTAAAAAGAGCCAAGTGGCATGAGCTTGTAAATGATTGGAAGTGAGGCGTGCACAGCTGCACGTCTTTATTTCAGCCCAAGCATTCGCTTTGAATTTTCGTAGACAACGTAGCTGATGGATACGGCAGGCGCAACTTTGAGAAGATTAGGCGTTAGACCCTTGTAAAATCCACGGAAACCTTCAGTTTGGATCGTCTTCCGGGCAACATCGCCAATGCTATCGTATGTGATAGGGTGAAGGACAGTGCCTTGGGCCTGTAATCGGGTTCGGAGGACATTCAATGGATAGACAATAGAGGCACTAAAACCTCCGCTAATGGCGCCAATGGCACCTGTAGTGAAGTTGCTGAGAGGAGCATCGTCCTCGTGACAGTTGTGCAACCGAGCCTTTCGGGCAAGCAGGGCACGTTTTAAGTATTCAAATGTGGTTAGGTCAATGGCGGCATAAGGGAACATTCCAATTAAACCAAGAGGTAACCCGCGGAAAAATCCGAACAGGCCATTTTTGTTCCACACCTTTCGTGCGGTTGCCACAATGAGCTGGTTACCTTTCAGGCCGCCTTCTACAACTTCGCATTGCATTCGGCTAGTAATATGTGAGATTCAGAGCCATTGCAGTCAGGTGCGTATGTGTTACTTACAACTTCAAAGTGTCAAGGGGGTAGACGAAGCATCTGCCATCTCGTTAGTAGTGCATCCACAACTAAGCCAAAGCAAGTGACATACTGTGCAACCATTCCACCAAATCCTCCGGACAGAAATTGCGATGTCGGCTTAAGGTGTTTCGGATCATTGTGTCCTTCGAGACGAGCAAAAGCACGTTTTGCAGACTACAGGTCGTCAGCACTTGTAATCACGTTCACCCTGCAGAGATAGTCTAACCTCATAGGCCCCGAATTTAATTGCCGACTCGGGCATAACCTTTACTACATTCAACCCATTGCCTTCCCCCTGTCAGTGTACATTAGCGCAGTGGGAAGCTCCTTGACATACCTGCAAACAAGCTCCGGATACCCCCTGCCCGCCATAGCTCCTTAACCGCATCACGGAGGGTTTTCGATGCCTTGCCTGCAGCTTTCAACGGAGCTCCATCTTTCGCAGTTCGGACAGCCGGCGATTTCGATCCGGTCTGCGCAATAAGATAGACTTTGAGACGATCAAACGGTGCTGTGGCTGTCCTGGACACGGCACCTGCCATGCCACCAGCAAGAAAATAACCTAATTGAGGAGTATTTTCGGTCAACTTCTGTTCATAATATCGAAAGGACATCCACATGGCGACAGTCCTGGGTATGGGAAGCCACTCCAATTCCAAGTCACCATCAAAGGAGATGGGATCACTCTCAAACGCAGACTGGGACCGTGATAGCGCAGCTTCCGCATAGGCTGATGGGATAAATGTCGTCAAAATGTGTGCTGGGAAAATATTGTACAAAAAACTTTTGATGGTCAAAATATAATGTCTAAGAAACGAAGGGTCTATACCTAAACCCTGCAGATCGTTGATGTGGACATCTCCTTCCGGGTTTAGATTTCCGGTTGCCGTGTAGTATGAGAGGACAGCGTGCAGGTCGTAGGATGCGTAGGCGGGTAGAAAGAGAAGGAAGTCTCTGCATGACGTTAGTCATTCGTGAAAACCTTCATTTGATCCGTCATAGGATTTATACCTCCACTCGGGATAAGAAATGACTCCATCCTTATTCGTGTCTACATCCGCGAAGAATTCGTCAAGCTTGGCGTTCGATACCGTGACGCCAGAGCTTGCGAACGCGGTCTTGAGCTCATTCTTATCGATCTCTCCGTTGTGGTTGTGGTCAATACTCTGAAAAAGCTGCGAGAGCTCAAGCTCGGTACGGTCGATGAAGGCCCGAAATTCTGGAGGATACTTGTTAGGTTGGGTGCCAGTTTCTCGAATTTCGAGGACTTGTCAAGATACAAGACGTGTGTGTGGTCTTACCAGAGTAATCTATGAACCCATCGCCATTGGTATCGACAGCCTGTAAAATGTTCCGCAGCATACTGTCTGCATTTTTGAGTGCTGGAGGGGATGGGAGAAAAACGTCAGAGCCGCGATCCGCCGGGATAGTCAGGTGCAAGAAAATAAATGCACAGGATCAAGTCACGAAAGAAAAACTCACGATGATCAATCTTTTTCAGGCCCTTCTTTAGCCCATTGAAATCCAAGTGATCCTCCTTGTTGGCACCCAGACGCATCCAGAGTTTAGCAACTCTTCGGTCCCGTTCATCCTTCGACTCGCCGACGGCCATGTTTCGGTAACTCGTAAAATTATTCCCGGATACCCGTCATTCTTTTCAAGGAGGGGTCACAGGGGTCCGGTTTGGATATATCCCCGTTGCATTAGGGGAGCGTAGACTGTAGGAATAACTTGGGCATCGAATCCGCAGGGTTGACGTATAAGGATAGCAGTTGTATAGCATATACTATCGCAGACTAACTTGAGGCCCGATAATATCCATGAGAAATCCAGCCGCAATGATTTGCTTCCTTGCCGCGAAATGACCCGGAAGAAAGAAAAGTCCCGGCCCGGGTTCACGGGACCTCAGCCCTACTATTCCATTTCTGGAATATCGCTCTGCTCCGAAGATCGCGGTCTACTTTGCATCTTGTCTGTCATAGAACCAACAGGGTTCAAGTGAATCCCTCTATTTCACTGAAATAATTGTCTGTATTCTCCTGATATACATTGGGAAATTGCACATTTCGTGGGTGTGTTTAGCTCGAGCGTCCCCCGTCCCCCGCCCCGCAGCTCAGCGTCATGACGAAGAGGCCATCCCGGGCTTGCTGGAAACTGGAAGATCTCTCCGCTTGTATAATCAGCCAAAATGGCTGCTAACTACTGGGCATCAACCCAACGGCGACATTGGCTGTTTACTCGGGAGCGACTGACGGAGCTTCGGGAGAGCTTCAAAGAGAAGGATAAAAACGCACATTCCCAATTTCCTTTGCCAGACCAAAGACTACTCAACATCTACTTCAGTCAGCGTAAGATACAAAGTTTGGCTGTGAAACAAAGCAGAAGCTAATACCAGGTAGAGCTCATAAAGCTGGGCAAGAGGATGTCAACCAGACAACAAGCCCTCGCCACAGCCCAAGTCTATATCAAGAGATACTATACCAAGAACGAAATCAGGCACACAAACCCATACCTTGTCACTACCACCGCATTCTATCTCGCTTGCAAAATGGAAGAGTGCCCGCAACATATCCGATTTGTTGTTGGTGAAGCTCGCGGCCTTTGGCCAGGTACAACCCCTTCCAAAACCCCGCTGTTCATTACTCGCCACTAAACAAATGGGCAGAGTTTATCGCTCCGGATGTCTCGAAGCTCGGCGAATGCGAGTTTTCACTGATCTCCGAGATGAACTCACAACTTATCGTGCACCACCCATACCGAACACTCTCGGACCTCCAACCAGAATTATCCCTTACATCAGATGAGGTGGCTCTTGCGTGGTCTGTGATTAACGACCACTATCTAACCGACTTGCCATTATTGTACCCGCCCCATGTTATTGCGGTTATGGCAATTATTGTGGCTGTTGTTTTCAAACCGAGTAGCCAAACCGCCTTCCATGGAACTGCAGCTCCTATAGCGGCGGCAATGCGAGACGGTGGCATGAATATCCTCGCAGCTTTGGGCGATAAGAATGGAGCTGGACCTCCGCCTAGAATTCAGAAGCTCGTTGCCTGGCTTGCTGAAAGTGAGGTTGACATCAGAGCGGTTATTGAATGTACACAGGAGCTGGTGTCTCTCTACGAAGTGTGGGAACAATACAGTGAGAAGCACTGTAAAGAGCTACTAACCAGAATGATCAGGGGGAAGACCTTGGAAAAATAATTTTTTTTTGCCCTCTCATTCATCAAATGGCGCCGGCGTTTAGGTTTGGTTGGATTAAACCATGTCCAATTTTCGCTTGTATTAGGGAATCATGACATTCAACATTTATCTATCACGTATGGTGTGGTATTAGAGTATATATTATAGCATACATCAAACTAAACCGAAAGATCTTTGTGCTTGAGTGATTTTCTATGTATGTATATATATATATATATATATATTTGGGTTCATAATGAAAATACCTCAACATTTTCTCTCTCAGCTATATATATATAACACACATATCCCTCCCCCTTTACCCATGCATAAAGCATACAACGACAAGCTCTACCCTGAGCAAGTCGGTAGACGAGATGTAAAAATCGCGTAGCGAGCAACTCAACATTTACTACATACCTACAGAGTACAGACAGAGTACTTACATCCTACAATCCCAAACCCATCTACATGCATGCTTTGCCTAGTTTAGCTCCGTAGGCACTAGTAAATCGAAAAAAAAAGTGCATATTCCCCGAAACAAAAAGCAAATACGCCTCCATACAAGAGTCCCTACCTAGAGGAAATCATATCCGTTCTCCAGATCTTCGACAGAACAGCGAGGAGGAGGAGGTTGGGTAGCTGCCCCCTTGCCTCCACTTGAATCAGGATCCCGAGAGCTTAAGAACGCTCGCGGCTTCAACGTTGGTGTTTGTTATTATTTTCAGGAGGGAGAGGAGGTATTTGTACCATAATTTGTCTTAGACAGTCATCTCGACGATAATATTTGATTGGGGGGGGGGGGGCTTGTCTTGTCTCGTGGAATGCAAAACCTAGCTAGGACAAGAACTACGAAACTTCCTCGGATCATTTTTGGGGTGGATGTCAAAGACCATCTATCCGTAGATGATGAAATCATAACAAGGGCAGTGACTGGAAAATTCCGGTGCTTGAGGTATCCAAGGGGTTTAACTCTGGTGTACTCCGTACCTTAGCTAGGTAGTTATCGACCACGAACACTGGAAGCCCGGAATCTCGAAGAATGGAAAGGTCCAATCATGCATGTATTTTCGCTATCGATAAACTGGGAAATAGTATGCGTTCTATTAGCGGGGGCTGCGTGATGGGTTAGATTCCAGTGCTATTATTCCCAGCGTTATCGTGCTCAAATCTGGGGAGCATACCGCTATACCGGCACTGCCACCGGAGTAACCGTGAGAAACAAAACTCCGCTGGCCTAGAGTCAATGACGACATTGAATTGGATCTATCTGTCTGTCCAGACTGGTAGGTTCCATGTTCAGAATCCAGATCGATCCCATACGGAGTATCCGTAGACTACCTCCTATGTGTCCTCTCCTATCCCTTGCTGAGCGAAATGGTACGTGCTCCCGCTTACTCCGAATGTCGGCACAAAGTAAAGTTTATGTACCAGTTTACCTAGAGGAAAAGACAACCGATCAAAGGCTTACTCCAGCAAAAGAACTTGGAAATCAAGGCTGAATCTCGTAGCGAGGCTGGATATACGGAGTAACGGAGTAACGCTTAATTATGATAAGACAGCCCGTGTAATGGAGTTTGCCAAATTGAACCTCGAGAGTGTGTCCTTCCATATCTTTGGATAATAATTAAGATACTCCGTAATTATATTACAATAAAGAAGCAAACCGTAAATAAAACACGCAAGAGTTTCACCTTCCAGTATGTAGTACAGAGAGTCCTCCATACTACAGAGTACTTTCATGGGGAAGACCGATCTTCGTTTGCAGCCCAACAGTATTCAGGAGGGTCTTTAGCATGAAACTGCCGGCAACGTACGGAACCCCCTGACTCCATTATTTTTGTATACTCCCAGAGACCTAGACCCTTTATTTGTACATGCTAAGTGTTGCAGTAGCCGCTGCTATCTAAGTTACAACTCTTATTGGCTGCAGCGACCGACTGCTTCCTCACAACATGCATTCAGTAACTAACTAACTAGTTAACTAACAGATACAAATCCAGTGGCTGGATGTTGCATAGTGCTCCTATTACTGCTACAGAGTAGGTGCCAAATACCCCTGATGTCGTCAAACATGTCGAGGGAAGGACTAGCCATGAATATTATTTCGGAATACGAAAGAATACCATGATAAATATTACAGAGCTTTAATCGAGAGTAGAGTACGAGCATTATGTAAATGGTTTGGAGAAGGCTACGATTGGAATGATCGAGATGTCTAGTGCTGTGAGGTAGTAGTACACTCCCTTGAAGGGGTAGAACAACAAAATCCATACTCGACAGCCCAAAGAGAATGTATGGAGATTAGTTAGTTACTCCTGAGAATGGCATCATGGAGTCATCTATTATTTAGCCACTAAAACAGTACATAACAAATTGTGGCTTGTGCCCTTATTATAGTCAATAGTGAACAAGTCAATCATTGCGGAGAAAACTTTAGATTGCAGATGAAAACTCTTCAAACGGGCCAAATACTTAATACCAGTAATACAGGTGCAACCCGATCTGGAAGTCGGGATATGGACCCGTGAGATGTACTATGTAAAATTGCACCATTCAAGGAAAGGTACCAAAATGGAGGTGCAAATCATTACCCGCATGACTTTCAGTTTGCCAGCGCATGCCTGTCTTCGGAAGTCAAGTCGGTGCCACAATCTGACCTGGGCAACTTCTTCAAGTTTCCTTTTCGAGATTACAAGAAAACCTGGTATAGTTAATTATTGATAATTATTAATTATTTCCCATGGCCATAATTATGATGAATGATTTATAGGAGAAGCAACAGGAAAGAAATAGTTCGAACCTAGGTAGTAATATTAGTACTCCGTACATGCCACGACTCTGCCAGCTCTGGAGGCACACAGTCACAGCATCTCACTGAAAAGTGAAAACAACACCAGACCCACTTCCCCTCTTCTTTCATTCCCAGTAATCCATCCAATCATCAGGGGGATGCTATATGCAGCCCAGCAGAAATGCATCCTTCCTTCAGGACTCCGATGGAGTGATACGACAGACAGCCTTAAGCGGCTAAGCTGATAATGAACTTTGATCACGGCCAGGCTTTGTTCGTGGAGGAGAGTGGTGTCAGTGTCACTGGTGTGTTTCTGTAGGGGGAGTAGGCCTCGACCCAAAGCGGCCTAGTCTGGTTTTGATAGACGTCATTTCGCTCCACTGAGTAGCCGCCCACTGTCGGTTCGGGATATTTTCATTGGTGAAGATCCACCCGTTTACTCGAAATTTCATTAGCGGTATTTATCCAACTCGCCACTGGTGTGTGACCTGGTTAGCCCTGGTTAGCTCTGCAATTGGCGTGGAAGCGTGTGGAACAAGTGCGTTGCAACATTTACCGTACCAAAATTAGCGCTGATAAATCTGGTTACCGTAATTTACAGCAGGCGAGCCCTTGCGGTGGCTCCACTCGCAGACTCAGCCCCAGCAGAATGTACCAACAAATTCAATACCAACAACTTCCCCTCTCCTCTTTTGCCTTCCCTCAACTGGCGCCACCGCTTCCCTCCCTCTTTTTCTTCTCTCATGTCCCGCCATCCATCGATAATTCCCCATCCCACACAACCACTAAGCGCAAATTCAACCCAACCTTCCAACATTCACTTTTCCTTCGTCTTTTTTTCTCATCTACTGCTATTACTACCTACGTCTTATTTTCTTCTTTTGATCCCCTCGGATTTAATATCAAATTCTTTGCGAAAGTTGCATTCCACCTTCCTCGGGACCATTCTTGCTTCTCGTTTCCTTTCATCCAAAAGTCGTTCGCCTCTAAAAAAAAAGAGTCCCTCGCCTGCTGGTCCTTGCTTGCACATCCACACTGTATATATTGACTCGCTCAACGATCTAACGTTTCTGTTCCTGGTTCGTCGTTTTTACACGCATACGCCAAGATGTCAACATATTTCTACGGACAGCACCAGCAGCACCACCAGACCCCCCACCATGGCGCGCACTTGACAACCTCGAACAACCACCATGGAGGCCGTTCTCGTAGGGGCCCCAAGATGGCGGCTCAGAATGCTCAGCGCCAGTTTCGAGGCGTAAAAAGCATGCGAGAGCTCGCAGAGGCTCCCGCTGTGACAGCCTTCCGTGCAAGATTTGAGGCTGGACGATCCTTCGATCTGGACGACGACCTGGAGTTCTGCCCTGGTCTTCTCACCGAGGACGATGTATGTTTTCACCATTTGGGGTCCAAACCCTCCCTCCGCTAGATTCGGGTGGCCCCCCTTCGGGTAGTAATCTACCCTTCATCCCACAGAACCCCCTTGTTGACCATCATATCCCCTCTTCCAGCTTCACTCAATCCACTCGGCTTCTTCGGACCGTTCGTCTCTTTCCAGTGGTTCGCCTGATATCTCTCCCATCCAGCATCAGATCCAGCCCGTCCAGCAGGTCACGCCTTCGATTTCTTTGTCCCCCGCTTCCTCGAATTCTTTTATTCATTCAGGGGTTACTGGTAATCTCGCTCAAATGAACTTTCAACAGCCGTCCGCTGCTCGCACCCGCAAGGGCATCCCTATTATCAACCCTAATACTGGAATGACCATGGCCAGCCCCCCTACCTCGATCTCCCCGGGCTCGATACAGAATTCTCAGCGCCGATGGTGAAAGCCATAATCTGCCGAGTCGCCAACCACTGGCGAGAGGCAGCACCGTCCGCCCATGACGCGTTATTCAATTTCGTTCGGCTTCTGCATCATCGGTCTCCCTAACCGCGGGTTATAATATTTTACTGTTTGTTTTCTAATTTTTCGATACGGCTCCCCCCTCCCTTTTTTTTTCACGATCAAACCCAAATTTCCCCTTTTCTGCTTCACGAGCACGCGGAACACAAAAGGTTACATTTGTCTTTTTTCTTCCCCTGTATATACCCTCTCCTCCGATCACGACTTCATCACTTTCTAGACATGCTTTTTCGACTTTCTGCGAGCGACGGCGCCTGCGATTCGATTTCCGCATTCGATATCTCCAGCGATACCTTGTTTTCTTATCTTTCGGTTAGGGAAAAACAAAAATACCTATATCTGGCCTTGGGGTTTTTGGCCACAGTGATGTATAGAAAGCGCGGCGATTTGCCATTTGGGCGCTCATTTACGGCACGGAGTTGTTTCTTGGAGTACTTTGGCGGCTTTGCCAGATCAGCTTAGCGAATTGCCATGTTTCTTTGGGGTTTTCCTGGTTGCAATATTTGGGTGGGATGGATTTTACTTGATGCTTTTTAGGGATCTAGAAAGGCGGAAACGATATACGTCTGCATTGGTTGGGCTCTGTTGAACTTGTTTGCAAGGTTTGCTGTGATTTTTCTTTTTTTTATATCTCGCATGTATTGGCTCTGGCCTTTTTTTCTTCTATTTTTTTCTTTTTCTTTTTCTTTTCATTCGTGTATATGTGGGTTGTGGTGACAACGCAATCCTTCTTGCTTTAGGTCAACGGGCTGTGAATCCCTGGATTGGATGCGGAGTTCAATATATGGGGTCACCCGCGATTGTACGGGTTGTAGACCACGTTACAGTTAAAAATGTTGTTTTACTACTGCTGCGTCGTTGGCCGACGATGATTTGATTCGACTTTGATTCTCCTTTGCTTCCACGTTGATTCGGTTGGATTTGTTACTTTGACTTCTGGGACTTCCGGAGAGTGATATGGTGTATGAGTTACTATTATTACCAGCTTCCTTTCGTTACTGTCACTATTAAATCCAATCTCATTTGTTCTTCAGTGCGCTTATAAGCATAGATGTAAAACTTTGATTAGGGTTGTCTCTTTAGATTTGACCCAATCCCGTCAGGGTACTTGTTATCTCGCAACATGAAACCACGTCGTTGCCATGTTGGTCCTGCAAGTGGCTTGTGCTTACGATCGACTGGCAGACCAAGGTACAAACGTACTATACAAAGTCCTGTAAAGATGGGAGAGTCAGAACTACTAATACAATCCCACCTGATCTGGTGAAGTCCACCTTCTTTCCCCTACAAAAGATATAGATAGGTCTCCTATCTATGTACGGAGCACTGTACTATAACACTCCTCAAAACATGTTGACTGACCCTCCTAAATTGGAAACACAGCTAAGTACTCTGTAGTTAAAAAGCCACTGTACAATGTAAAAATTCAAAAAATCAGAACGAGAGCCTGAGAAAACCGGGGCGATGCATCATTCATTGGCATGACGTCACCAATGACATTCAACACTTTGGTCTTCAACCTCAACCCACATCGTCCAGGGTTTGGTTTGGTTGGATTACAGCAGCAATGACGCAGGTCTATTGCGTTCTTGATAAATAGCTGATGAGCTGCATGTTCTGAACCCAGAATATAAGCAAGTATACTAAACTTGACCTTGACCTTGACCTTGTACGGAGTACGTGAGTACAACCAACCCACAAGACAAGAGCATGAGAACCACCAAGAGAGAGAGAGAGAGAGAGAGAGAGAGCTAACACATCTCGAGCTTTACAGTAATCCACAAGGAGACAGAAAACAACAACAATGTCCCTCCTAATTCCCACCCGCCGCATCAGCCTAACACGTCTTCTTGCCTTTCAACCAACATCATATCCATATAACTATAACTATAACTATAACTATCCATATAGAGACAAAATTACACCAACAGCACCATTCCACTCATCTACCGCTCAAGCCACTCTCAAAGAATCAGACCACGGTGCGTGTGTGTGTGGCCTGCTTTTGTAGTTCGCTCTGTATTCACACTGATTAATGCCCAGGCCGCGACGACCTCGACCAAGTCTATGAACGAGAGAAAAACAAGCAGGTGAAGAAATCCAAGGAGGAGGGGACGGCGGAATGGAGCCCGGATCTGGCTAGTAATAGTGAGGCTTCGGTGAGTCTAGTCTTCCCCCTCCCTTTCTTGGTATGTCCGGTATAGATAGATGTGGATGGCAATGGGATGCGTGACGGTGACAGGGATGTGCTGATTGGGTATAGGTGAAAGCGGATCGAGGGGAGGTGGAAGACAATAAGGATTTCATTGACGTGCAGAATCGAATGAAGAATGAGGCTGGAAAAAAGAGGTAGTATTATGGTGTTGACTTCCACAGCGGGGGAGAGAAACGTCTTCTATAATAGTGTATAGGATTGTATGATTAAAGCAGATATAAGTGACTATACAAGGTTCAAGTCCATCCCAACGCCTATTCCAATCGCATTCAAGGGAGTGTCCGGTCAAGCGGAAATGGCGACGCCCGCCTAGAGAAAGAAAGAAGTGAAAACCATCGAGAGCGCCTTAGCAGTATTTCCCACCCGGAAGTAGATATCGAAGCATGACAAATAATGAAACAGGAACGACGCTGACACAAACTCATTTTAAAATGACGATCAGGATGACCAGGATGATAATCAATCCGATGATCGTCATCAGGCTCCAGTTGTCGCCAGCGCTTCTTCGGATCTTGTTTAATCGCTGCTTTGCCTGGTCCAGCCGGCCCTGATGTCTGTCCACGTCCCCATCCATGCCATCCAGCAGCGCGACGTGGCCGTCGAGCTCATCCCCAATCTGAATACTCAGCTGGTGCTGCCGTCCGATCGACTCCCCTAACCGATCAAGCTGTTCGTCCTGCTCGCGCATAACACGTTCATGGTGATCGTAGACCTGCTCGTTCGACATATCGGATGTATCAACCCCAGGCGGCGACGGAGAGTCGCGGTAGGGCTGGAACAGATTGCGCCGGTTGCGATCCTCCTCGTCGTCATCTTCTTGGGCCTCTGCCGCGGCGGCCGCGGAATCCATGAACCGAACTGATTTCGACGGCGGATGCTGCGGAACAGGCTGCTTTAGGTCGGGGGACGAGTTCTTGACGTTCGGAAATTGTGGAGTTGGGGTGCGGGCTGGGTCATCGTCGCTGTCGCCCGGGGCGCTGCCTTGAAACTGGGCCGAAAGGTCTCGATACTGCGACAGCAGGTGGCCGAGCTGGTCTTTGAGATCGGTGGCCCCCTCGTCGTTTGATTCTTCTAGCTGCGTAACGTTTGTTTTCACGCTCTCGATGCCTTCGCGGAGGGACTCAAGGGAGCGGGAGATTTCCCCATCTTGGCTGTTGGGTTCTAGATCCAGTGAGATCGCTCGTTGTCGCTCTAAAAGGGAAAGCTTGATGTGATCGGCCAGGAGAAAGAGTTGCGAAGGATTTGGCATTGTGAGACTGGAAGACTGCGAGAGTGTGGGAGATGGATAGGGGTGCTGGTCGGAGAATGTTCGAAATGGGGAGGTTTGAGCGGCTGAAGGAGGAGGCCTGGATGGAAACTGCGGAGGGGAGGAAATCAGCGCTAGGAAACTGACATAATCCTTAGAACTAGAGACGCACTCTTTCTCGAGGTTGATATATTCTGGAGATAAGTTGATTTCGATTTAATTTTGGGTCTGATTCATGATTTATGAAGGATAGAGAGGCGTCTGTCGGGGACCTGTTCTAGGTAGAAACCAACCCCATATACGGTTGGGTATCAACTAATTTATTATAGAGTACGGAGTAGATACAGTGAAATTCAATGTTTACAATAATGTTATTCTTTATTTTTTAAAACAAAATATCAACCATTCATGGTCATGACGCTGCTCTGCGCAACTCCAAACTCCCCGCCATGTTCGCGTCTTTTCCATCTACCCGACCACCAGAAACGATTCCCCCCCAAACAACCACCTCTCACCCTTGACTTTCCTCATATATCGCCCTGAATTCTGATCTGCCCAATTGACGCATTGCATCCCTCGATTCCAGCCATCGTGTAACCCCTCATGGGTTGTTGCCCGCGATTATTGTTTCATCTTCCATCCCCACCATTCTCGACGGACGACGATCCCTTCGAAGAACGCACCTCTCCTTTCTCGCGGCAGTTCCTTCGTTGATAGAACCCCTACTCGTCTTGCAGTCTTACGATATAACCGGGCCATTTGTGCCGGCAGTACGCCACCCTCTGTTCCAGAATGAAGCTCGACCAGTTCCTCGCCATGGAGGCTCTCGAGCAGGACGAGTTAATTGACCTGCGTGCGTTGGAATATGTCGGCGACTATGACGACCATCTTATGTGTCCAATCTGCCACTGTCCTTTCATCCGACCCGTGCGCTTAGAATGCGACCATGTCTTTTGCCAAATGTGCTTGAATACCGCTATCCGCAGCTTCATTTCTGGCCGAGACGAGTTCACCTGTCCCACCTGTCGCACCCCCACTCGAGATGTCTACCTCAACGTGCCGCGTTTGTTAATCAACATGTGCGATGAGATTCCGACACGATGTCCATATGCAAGTGAAGGATGCAAGGAAATTGTCCCGAGAGGGCATATCCAGTCGCATGCAGACAAGTACTGTGGTTATAAACCGATGGATTGCCCGGTTACTTCATGCGACATGACGACCCGCAGGAAGGACCTCAGTCCGGAACGCAAATGCCTGCATGGGCTTCACAAGTGCCTGCGCTGCGATGAGGATATTATGGAGCAGGAATATGAGGTGGGTACCTGCAAATCTAACTGATTTTCTCGCTATTAACAAGCATCCCCTCCTCCAGGAGCACGTCAAAGAACTATGCCCTAGTTTGAAAACAACCTGCCCCGACTGCCAAGTGACGGTCTTCCGAAAAGCCCTCAGAGAACACATCGATGCCTGCCCAGAGGCCATCCACCCCTGCGCCGCATCTAAATATGGCTGTCCCGTGAAGATGAAACGAGCAGAGCTCGGAACACACGAACAAAGCTGCCCGCTAATAACCATCGGTCCTTACTTCGAGGCGCAAAACTCCCGACTCGATTCTCTCGAATTGACTATGCGCCACCTGCAACAGCGTAACGAGATCTTCGAGGACGGCCTGGCCAACATCCGCTCCACCCTCATTGAATCCTCACATGCCCTTTCCTCCCACAACCCTGATATTACCTCCACCGACCCGTCCTCTAACTCCAACTCCACCACCCCAGGCATATCCAGCAATAATGACCAAGCTCAAATAGACGGCTCCTCCAACTCCTTCGCCAACGCCACAACCTATCTTCTCTCCCTGCACGAGTCTCTCCGCGAAGAAGTCGCCCAGCTGTCCCACGCCATCACAGACCTCGACGCCCGCGCCAGCATGGCAATCATGAACGAATGCCTGCGCATCAAGGAAGACATGGCCCACACCAATGCCGCCGTCAGTAGTATTCGCATGCAGGTTCAATGGCTGATGAACCCCCGATTACACCAGGGCCAACGAGCCTCCAACACAAACCACAGTAACGATACCAGAGCCGCCGCCGCCACTGCTCCCAGCAGTAGAGGCCAGCTAGGCTCTTCGACTCCAGGGCCAAGTAACGGGCCTGGTCTTTTCCGTCCGCGCAGATTAAGCGATACAGGACGAGAAGGAACGAAGCTCTGATTTCTCCTTTTTTAGGGGCAGAATACATAATAATGATTTTTTTTTTTTTTTTTTTTTTTTTTTTTTAATGCGAGCACTGGCTGTTCTAGTTACGGTACTTGTTCCCTATAATAAATGATCATGTATGTGTGTATATATACATGTATGTATACACCTCCTTATTTCCTATTTGCCCCTTATTGACTGATTCAATAATACTAGTACGAGAATATATAATATTCATACAGATTGTAAGTGCTCTGATCCCGACTGAGGCTAGTAGCTATAACTAACTATGTAAAGTCTCCTCGCAGTCTGTATGGTTGGTTTTGCAGAAAGAAAGAAAGAAAGAAAGAAAGAAAGAAAGAAAGAAAGAAAGAAAGCAACGGAAAGAAAACAATGAATCTACTTCTTCCTCCATTGCTACTACCACTACCTAACCCGGGTATCAACTGCTTCCCTCATCTACGCTGCCACCACCCTTGAGTACAGACAGACGTGGTGGTACATCATATCATGATTTAAAAAAACACACATACTTTTCACAAAATATAGAGAGGATTGTGTTGTATTACAAATAAACAAAAAAAAAGTGTGAAAAAGCGCTAAACTCAATCATCCTCACTCTTAATACTGATACCCTCCTGGGCCATGAGAATGTCCGTACCCTTGCGAAGAGGGAGGAGGGTAACCGTACTGTGATTCCGACTGGAACTGGTTCTGGTTATATCTGGATCCTTCTTGTGGAGGTGGAGCCGGATGGCCTCCGTGGCTACCACCACCAGCGTAATAGGTATTGTGGGTGCTGTATTGGTCGTTGTAGTTGCCAGTTGATTGGTGGTGAGGTGTGGATGTGTGTGTATGAGAATGCGAATGGGAGTGCGTTTGGTGTTGAGAATGAGACTCGTGGTACGGCGATGCCTGGGGCTGCGGCGGTGGTGCCTGATATTCAGACGCAGAAGAGGAAGAAGTGGTTTCCTCTCTTGACGATCCACCGAGCCCGAAACTAGAGAATGCGCTATTAAGTTTCCCCAAATTTGAGATTCCAGGGATGGGAAGACTGCTGAGGTGGCCGGAGAGCTTTTCCCACGGGAGTTGGGAGCCGGAGCTTTGGTGTTGCTGCTGAGAGTAAGAGGAGCTATGAGACTGAGAGCCGTGACCCGAATTTTGGCCGTGCGCAGTGCCTCCAAGGGCAGCGACCCCGGTATGTGGCTGTGCATGCGAATGGCCGACTTGTCCTCCGTTGTTCTTACCAGACTTGACGCCCTCCGCACTGAGGATATCGTTAAGTTTGGCGCCGCGGTCTGGCATACGATGGACCCAGGATTGAACAGCTTCGAACATGGTGCGGTGGGCTTCGTTGTTCATATTTCGGAGGGCAGGGTGATGGAACACCTGGAGACAGTCGTCGAGCACCTGTTGCTCGGGGATATTGATGTCCTGCCAGGCGTGGAGGACGCGAGGTGCGACGTATTTGAGAATAGCGGAAGCAACGTAACCAGCCGGCTCGTTGAGAAGGTTGGAGAAGTGGTCTTTGGACAGCATGGAGTGGGTAGGGTCAGTGCATTGAGGGTTGGTCCAGGGTTCAAACTGGTGTTTTCCAGAGGATTCGATCACACCAGCGGAGCCTGACTGTAAAGATTTCGAGGCAGCATTGATGATCGGTCGAATGAATGGAGCGAGCAGGGACATGATGAAGACAGTCAAGGTTTCGGTGATTCTCTCGACTAGAGCCTCTAGACCAGGGATCTTCTCAATGATCGCGGACAGCTTCTTGACGACTTTATCTCGGAATTCGAGAATGGGGTAGATTTGAGCGATGGTTTTGGAGGCGTCGAAACCTGGCAATCCTGGGAGGCCTGATGCAGGCTTGCCCTCGCTATTGCTGGGAGTTGCGCTGGCTCTGCTCTGGTGCCCATCATCGCCTCGACTGCGTTCTGAATCCTCGTTAAACGCACGAGTCACTTCGCGGGCGACATATCCAGTATGACCGCCACTATGATTATTTGCAGACTGTTGAGCTTCAGACTGACGCTTCAGAGCTTCGGCCTCCGCAACCAGGTCCCCACATCCTGGTACTTTGCCCAGCAACCCGGTCAAGGAGCTGAGTGAGTTGGCTGACGAACTCGACTGAGCATCTCCAAGCGCAGTGTCCATCTCGTTAATCTCAGACTGAGTGAAGTGGTCCGTTGCCTCTCCAAGAACGGAGTGGAAAAAGTCCACCATGCCAAAAGTTCCCGTTACAAGCGGGAACACCTGATGGCCGTGGAGGTTGATCTGGGTTTGGGTGCCGGTGTGAGGGAAGACATTACGGAATCCCATCTCGCGAAGAGCAAGTTCACAGTAATTTGTGTGCGCTGCGAAGTCCTCCAGCGTATGCAGCCCTTGTCCTAAGCATCGAAGCGCCTCGCACAGATCCTCTTCGCTCCCTTGACGGTTTCCACCGTGAGTGTATGTTCTTCCATAGTGGATGCTGCGTGCCAAACTGAACTTGATGTAAGCTGAACTTGTCGCCCAGTCTCCGTTCTCATTTGCGATGTAATTTTTCATGCCAGTTTTCGAGTCGATGTCTAGCTCTATCTGACGGATTGGGGGTCGTAGTCGGGCATCGTACTGACGGGCATCTTGGTTATCAGCGTAATCTTTAGGATTACTGATGGAAAGCGAATTTAGCGACAGATATGCCCAAGTAGAGGGAAGAGACTCACTCGATGTGTTCCTCAGGACGGTAGACCCCAAGTCTATCGGCCGTTACCTCAAACTCAGCCGTTGCATACCCAAACGAGAGGAACGAGAGAATCCAGACAAGAATACGGATAGTATCAGCGGGGAGGCTTTTCAGAGTACCGACATCCATAGCCTGGGAGCTGGTTGTTCGCAAATTAGCGGCGTTGTCTCAAAACATCACGATACCAAAGCCTACTAATCCCGTAGCCAGTTCCCGAAGTAGACACGTTTGACCATATTCGAAGTCCACTTGTGACCTTTGATGAATGCAATTGTCTTAAGCATATCTTCGATATCTCCATGGCGCCAATTTTGGCCTTCAACCTTCGAGATGGAGGCGATATCTGCAGGCGTTAGGAGCTGTTTCTCTTACGGAGTAAAACGAGAGAGACGTACTGCCAGCGCCAAAGGCATGAACCTGACAAGGGAGCAACAGAAGTATAAGACCCAAAGCGAGCAGGGTACTCAGACCCAGACTCATTCGAGGAGCCATGATCCAGGAACTGACAGTCAGTGAGAACGCACGAGACTATCGAGGAGATACGCGAAAAATGAGGGAGATATAGTAGAAGAATTAAAGGTGCATGCAGATGGCTGAGTAGTGATCTTCCGATTGGGAGGGGGGGAGGAGGGAGGGAGAGGGAGAGGGAGAAGAAGAAGGCTTGGAAGTGATGGCGGGGTAAATTTGCTATTGTTGAAGCTGGGACTCCTGAGTTCTGACCCAGGTTACAACAAAGGCACCCGTGGACGATGATCCGAGGCGATACGAGATGAAGATGACTTCCCCACCATAGCTAGAGACCCCTAAAGATTTTAGTGTATTGGGTGTCACTAGCGACTGAACCCTTAAATCACACCGACAAATAAAACTACTCTATAATCAATTTATTTCAGATCTAAATTAGGGGAACTCAGTAAAGAGCTGCTGCTCTGTGTACTTCTTATTTCAACTTGGGTAGGTATTCTGTTGAAGCGGCGGGGTGTAATTAATTTACAAGACTGTAATTTGCACTTTTCCCTGTTGTTTGTATTAATGTTTTGACAACCCCGCTAATTACGGATCATCATTACTCCGGTACCCGTAGGCTTTGCCAGCGGATGAATTTACCAAAGTACTTGAGTAGTAGTACTGCGTAGATTGCGCGGGGTAGCTAGGGTACTAATCTGATATATCCATTATTATTTGAGAGATAAAAATAGGAGTACATACTACATACCTAGGTAGTTGTGGAATTTAGCACCTATGGATTCTTATATTTAGGTACAGTACATCACTCACCAGCCAGACAGGCAGATATATATAATAATAAATAAGATAACCCCCACCATCGCCCTACCCTCATTCTCTCCATCTCCAGTTCTAACCCAACCCAACCCAACCCAACCTACCTCTGAAGAAGAAGAAAGAAAAAAAATGACCCAAAATACCCACCTAACCACCCTCCAAGAAAATGGCTTCGTCGTAATCCCTTCCCTTCTCACCTCCCCCGAAATCACTCGTTTGCGCGAAGCCGCAAACAACGCCACCACTCTCACCCGCTCCGGCTCCTGGGCTCACTTCCGCACCGTGCCAAAACAGTTCCCACCCTGGCCCAAGACTCCACCGCCGGCCTCGGAGGGCGGCATCTGGGGTGTGCAGCATCTCCTGCACCCCGAGATGCCGGGGCGGGAGGAATTCGCCCGGTTTTATTTTTCCGAGAGGGTGTTGGGGGTAGTGGAGGGGTTATTGGGAGTCTCTTCTTCTTGTTCTTCTACGACGACTAAAGGTGGGAAAAAAGAGGAAGAAGAAGAAGAAGAAGAAGAAGAAGAACCCCTAGTCATGGAACTGTTCAATTTACTGGTTGCGCCCGAGACCAAGGATTTCGAGCTTCGGTGGCATCGGGATGATATCCCCGACATGGTGTCTGCGGAGGAAGAAAAGGCGTTACTGGAGGCCAAAAGCCCCCAGGGTAAACAGTTCCATGCGCAATACAACCTCGCTTTATGTCCTGATAGTTCGCTGGTGGTGGTTCCTGGATCGCATCGCCGAGTGCGCACCGAGGAAGAAAGAAACGCAGATCGCTATGCGGCTGAGTTACCGGGGCAGTTGGTGGTGGAGTTACAGCCTGGGGATGCCGTGTTCTATGATAGTAATATTTTGCATCGGGGGGTGTACAAGGCGAAGCTCCAGGGAGGGGAGGAGTCGAGGTTGACCTTGCATGGGAGTGTTGGGTTGAATGAGCGGGGGGGTAGTGCTCCGGAGAACAACAAGGACAAGAAAGTACGGGCAACGGCCGTGTTGCAGCATGGGGTTGGGGCGTGGGTGCAGCGGGAGGATGCCAAGTTCGGCATTGGGGAGCGGCCGGAGAGAATGCGGGCGAATTTGGTGGCGATGGGAACGGGGGAGGGAGTTGGCTATTCGCTTCAAGGGTAATCATATCCTGTACTGGTATACATAGCTTGATAGTAGTATAGTGTGCATATACAGGTAACCATCATCAAGAACCCGCCCAAAGATCCCAAATTTAACCCAAGGATAAAATCTAGCGAGGGGCAAAGAATCAAAAAAAAAAAAAAACATTAGATGAGGTATTTATAAACCGTCATCAGAATCATGCATTCGTACTATCATTAGTCGTTCAAGGGTCGTTGTCCATAGGTATAATGGAACAGCACATAAACGTGAAAGGAGCCATGGAGCACTTCATGGTGCACTTTGGCGACGTATTCTTGCGCTTCTTCGTAAGTCCACCCGAGGACTCGGGTAAAAAGAGCCAGGGAGTATGGTTCAATCGCCTCGAATAGTGTCATTTTACCCACGCGTCCGATCTCTTTTAGTCGTGGGCTTTTTGGCCATGTGCCCATTGGACACTGGTATTGTGAGCAAATACTCAACGCAGACAAAAGAGGGAGAAACAAAGAGAAAAAAAAAAAGAAAGGAGAAGTAGGATATGAGAGGCCTACCTTATAAACATCAGCCGTAACGTTGGTAAATCCAGCCCCCTCTAGCCACCCAGACAGCGATGAAGCAATGTTCATCTTCTTTCCAAATTTGGAACTTGCCTCATCTAGCTTTTCCTGCAAATCCCGGAGCATATGTGCGTGTTCATGCGTGCCGTCGTCGGAGTTTATCCACGCTTCATGCTCTTGAAATTCAACCCAACCACCAGGGTTGAGATGATCATAAGCCTGGCGCACATAACGCTCCCAGTCAGCAATCCCACCGGCCATGCACCTGGAATGGATGTAATCGAACGCTTCGTTGTTGGTAAACGTCCAATCACTCTCTGTATCATCGATAATAAAGGAGCAATTGGGCGGCGCCCAGCTTGGTTGAATCGGGCTCAGATCGGTGCCGATAATCTCGGCGTCGGGGAAGTCCTCGGCGACCTCAAGGGCCCAGATACCGGTTCCGGTGCCAATATCGAGGATACGCTTGGGCGGATTTTGTTGGGCTACCGGAGCCCGAAAGAGATCACCTCCTATGAGGAGCTTGAAGAGGTGGTGTGTGAGGGTTAGGCGGTCTTGTTCTTCCTCATCGTTGGGCATGGGATATTGGCCGTACCGGTAGGCGTGGTAGCGACGACCATTTTCATAGTAGTAGTCCCGTACCGAGGAAGCGAAAGTGAGATTGGAGTCAGCTATGGATTCAGAGTCATAGACGGAGTCTTCGTCGCTAGTCTATAGATTGTCAATTCGCTTAGGTTTTAGCAGGTGAGCGGGGGATGAAGAGAAGCGAGAAAATAGACAAATACAAAAGAGAGAAGTCCTACATCGATCTGAATAGGCTCATTTAAACTTGGCAGCGGCATACTCTAGACGAAAGCTCTAGATAGTAGGATCTAGCTAGAAGAAGCAGGGGGGGGAAAGGACGGGAGGAGAGGAAAAGAAAGAGAAAATCATCCATCCAGGAAATAGTTGACAAGTAGGAAACAGGTGACTAATTCTTCCGCAAAGCTTGTCAATAACTAAGGGAATCCGGGGAAGATTCAGAGGGAGTTTGGATATGTTAGATTTGGTTGTACGTTTGATTAAAAGAGTAGTTGATAATCTTCTTTAGGCCAATTTTATTAACTATCCTTCCCTTCTTCTTGGTAACTACCTAACCTAACGTGTGCATTCTGTCCCGTCTGGTTGGAACTTGGATCCCAAAGTACCTTGATACTGGTCCCTCGTATTCTTGCACTAGAAAGCACTCCTAAGTACTCCGTAGTAGGTACCTAGGTAGTATTTCCTATGTACCGATTTTTATAAACTAAATCAAAGTACAGTCAGTTTCTTCTACCTCGGTTTACCCCCCTTTTTTAACATAACAAGATTAACCACATCTTGGATTTGATAGTCTATGATTACGCATTATTCGCCAGAAATCGACTGTCAAAATGGTCACATCGTCTCGTTGCTAGCCCAAAGTGCGAAGCTTCTCCTGTTCAGAAAGAGTCAAGGCAGCAAAGAGCTGCTGGAACTCGGCTTTGGTAGAGGCATTGCGGAAAAAGTCCAACAAAAAGCCTTGCGCCTCGTCGTCCCGCTTGCGCACCCCAAACACGCCCTCGGTCCCCCCCTCGCCAAATGTCATCAGTTCCTGTTTGGTGACACCCAGACCCAAATCAAGAACATTGCTTGGAACATCCTCCCACTCGTCGTCATCGCTGCTTTCTTCCTCCAGCGCAGCCGCTGTGGCAGCATCGATTTCCTTGCTTCCAGACGCCGCAGCTAGCTCCTCCACAAGGACCTTGATGATCTTCAAGGGCGCACTGACGGTCGTGTACCGATCAGGATTGTTACGAGCCTGCGACCGCGTCTTGATGCGGCCGGTATCCTGAACAATGAGGTCGCCCTTGACTTGCACCTGAGAGAGTCGGGGATCCTCAAGATTGTACAAGGTGGCCAGGGCTATGATATTCTGTTTAATTTCGTCATATCCAGCAAAGTTGACCGAGTTCTCAAGCCACTTGCTCATCACAATCGGGAGCCCGCTCTGTCCACCAATATCCACCTGCGCCAGGAAGTCAACAACCTCACGGGCGCTGATCAGTGTCAGTCGAGCGAACACAAGGATCAAGCTTTGGATGAACTGGGCCTTTTCTGCCGTGGCAAGACGGCGGGCGACAGCCTGAAGCAGTTGGGGAAGATACGGTCCGAGTCTTTCCGATCCTGCACGCTCGACCAGTTCCGCTGCGAGCTGTCCAACCTCTGTTGCTGCGTTGTCATCCACGGATGGGCCGAGGAGCCGATCGATTATCACCAAAACCACTTCGGTGGCTTCCTTGCCGCTCTGTGGGTCACGCCAAGCAATGAACTGATTAAAATCATGTGAGAGAATGTGCCGGACAGCTTCCGTGGCGGGCCGAATCAACTCTCCATCGGACGAATCGAGAAGAAGTCGGTTTAATTTTGGCATGACGGTCTCGACAAAACCTGCAGGCAAAGGCTCAAGGGCCCGCTCCGCAAGAGCCCGCAGGAGGTCTGCAGCAAAGTTCGTGAGCGCATTCTCTTGGGTTAGGTTTCCAACATCGATTGCCCCGGTGAGAGATGGTAGAACTTTTTCGCATAGGCGAACAAATGAGTCCGGACCTTGCTGCGAAATGTTTTCCACAATGTCCTCAAATGCCTCTGTCACAATCATGATCAGTTGGTAGTTTGTAGCTCCGTTGCTGGCGATGTTGAACAACACGTCGATAGCTACTGAAGAGAGGACTACGCCAGGGTTGACCATGATCGTATCACGAAGCGTTTCTGCGAGAGTTACTTTCAGGTCGTCGCTGTCAGACGACTCGCGAAGATCGTGTGCGGAAACAAAATCTGAAATGGCGGTGATGATGGGAATTTGAACAGGGACAGTGTTGTTTGCGGAAAGTGAAGGCATGAGGTCCTGGAGGGCCCGGATGCAAGACACCTTGACGACTTCTGACGAGTCTTCGGAGATTGCCTTTAGGGTGGCCTCCAAGTAAGACGCAGCAGTCGCCTGGAATCCTTCACCCGCGACCTGTGCAAGAATACCTGCTACAAGATAGCCACGAGCCCGCAGAAATTCTTCCTCTTGTTGAATGGAAAACTGGATAAACTTACAGAATCCACTGGCGAGTTCTAGAGAGATATTCTGAGAAACTTCGTGCAAGTCGCGGAGAAGCGAGTTAAGGATGAAGAGGGACGACTCGCGAGATTTCCATCTATCGAGAGTTAGTTTCGTTTTTCAGGCTCTGCCAGAGGGGAGATTCTCACGTGGCAGCTGAATCAGAGAAAACATTATTTAGGAGCACCAGAAGGGTTTGAGTGGTAACGTCCTTCAGCCATTCGCCCAGCCTGATCACAAGATCTCCGCTACAGGTGCGGGGAGTGTAGTTGGCGGTGACAGAGGTCTCTTCAGAAAGGAAGAGGTTGACATCGATATCCCACAGGCCTTCCTCCTCCGTCGTGATTTGGGCATATGAACTAGCCAGCTTGAGGATTTCCGGGAGCCAGCTTTCCGTAGTCGCGGATTGACCAGTATTCTGCAACTGTTGTTGAAGCTCTGCCTTGACCGGTGGTGCCTTCAAGAGCGTTTGGATGAGATCCAACTCCTCCAACACCAAAAGATCCAGCGTGTATGGAAGTCCATCCACATCCACTAGGCGTCCTTGTCTCTCATCGTTGATGTAAAATTCGTAATACGAGCCTTGAATATTAGACAGCTCTGTCCAGATAGTAGAGAAATAAGCCGGGCTTTGAGGGACCACCAGTCCAGGGAAAACCATGCGAATTTTCATCAGGGTCTCGAATCCAAATATTAGTGCAAATGCCAAAAAAAAAAAAAAAAAAAAATTGAGAAAGAAGAGAGAATACCTTCACAACTTGTAGCTTCAGTGCAATGACGCCTCTCCATTGAGATGGAACTTCGCTTTCCTTAGATTCCTCCTGTTCATTTGGAGGTTGTGGCAAAGGAGCTTTCAGAACGGAGATGAAGAAAGGCGACCAGCCACCTAGAACCTCATCCATGAACTGTTTCACAACAGCCTTGTGTTGCTCGAGCACCATTTCCAGGGTATCGAGACACGAGCGGAAGACTGCAACAGCCAATGCCCTTAGCACAGGCTTCCTAGACTCATTTGTCGCCACGCTGAAGAGAGTGGTAACGAGGTCGCGGGCAACATTGAAAAATTGTTCTTCATTGAATCCTGTATCCACCAGATCCAGCAGCACCTTCAATGCACCATGAAGGGCAGCGGGTGTGCTATTTGCATCATTGATGATCCGAAGCAGTGCAGGTAGAAGCTCAGGCCATTGTTCAGGGAAATCAGCACTCGCAATCTTGCTGACGGCATAACTGGCAGCAGCTTTGACCTTGCGTTCAGGAATTTCTGTAGTCGTGGCCAAGTCGAGAAGCACGCCTCGAATCTGAGCCTTGTTCACATCATTGATCAGAATTTGGCCCTTGAAATCTTCCAGATTCGGAGACCAGCCGGCGGTAATGAAGGTCCGAAGGACTGAGAGGGCAGACTGCCGTAGATTTGTAGGGACGGAATCGTGGGAAGCGATAGCAGCGAGTGAGAGGGGGAAGTTTTCGTTTGGATAGAGTTGCAGGAGGTGCAGCTCGGCGGCCTTTCTTGTATCGGCGACCGGCGACTGGGTGTCAGCGAGCAAGGTAAGGAGCTCTTGCTCCATCGTGAGGAGTGTGTGTATGTATGTGTATGTGTAAGAGAGAGAGAAGGAGAGAGAGAGTGTGTATGTGAGGGAGGATATATGAAAGATAAATTACAAAGTGCGGCCAAATCGCTAGCAGAATGCAGGAGATCAATCTGGCTCGATGTTGTCCCTGACCTCTGATGATCTCGTCAAATTAATTGAAGCCGCGAAATATCGCGTCCGTCGAAAGGAGGGGCAGTGGGAGGCGGTGAGGGAAAGGGCGGTAAATCCCCACATTGAAAATGATGGTATTTTTCAATTGCGGGTCGTACGTACCGTACCGTAGGACTCCGTACTTAGGTTCGTTCAGAGTATCCTTTTAATTATTCTGCAAATTTGACCAATCTGGTTTTTGTAGGAAGTGGATACCGGGCGGAAAGATACATGTGTGCTCCGTCTTAACCTCTAAATTAGCTGAAAGTCAATACAATTCCACGATTCCCAACTTCTGCGACATGGAGGGTTTGGGATTATGTTTCACTTTATTTTGTCCACTGAATAGATGACTATTCATCCGTATTCTGTAACTATATCAAGAAAGCAAAAATTAGAGGATTGAGAGAAAAAGAAGTATAGAAAATCCCGTCTGTATTACTGCATGGGCAGAGACCCACGTGACGGGTCTGTTGTCAGTGAAGGTGGAAACCAGTCGTCGCGTCGCCCTACTGGAGAAGCCCAACTCAATTCTTCTTCTTCTTCTTCTTCTTTTGCTTCTTTTCTGGTCTTTAATTAATCTTCTTCTTCTTCTTCCCTCTCTCTCTCTCTCTTTTTTTCTTTTTTTAAGTAAGGATTCCCCCCGGTTAACTCGGCCCTTCCAAACAATCTCCAGTGCCCAAACTAGCTCCTACCCACCTCTCTCTGTCTCTCACTCAACCCTCTACTTGCTTTTTGTCTTCCTTGTTTTCAACCCTTTTTCTAGTCCCTCTCCCCTGATCCCGAAAAAAAAAAAGGGTTCCAGAAAAGAAAAGTTCCGAGGGAGAGGGGAGCCCAAGAAGATACAGCAACATTATAAGTACGAGAAGGGGAATTCTGAACAGCATCATCGTCGTCATCATCATCATCATCACCACGCCTCTCTTTAATTCCTTACTTACCTACTATTTACGATCCTACTATTCATTCTCGTTTATCTGATTCTTATTCATATTCTTTTTATTCTTCTTCTTCTTCTTATTACAGCCCATCTCGATCTCATCAGTGCATCCATATGCTCTGAGCTTCACCTTGTGTTTCACCCTATCCACCCAACGTATGTAAACTCGAACTCCTTCATTTTTCTTCCTCGTTCTTAGTTATTTAATTTATGCTTTTCTGGTTTTCCTCCCCAGCCCCAATCCTGTTATGAATCCACCCCTCTTCCTCCTCTTCTTCTCCCTCTCTCCCTCTTCTCTCCTCCAACCAACTCCCTCCTCCTTCTCTATCTCAACAACCTGAAACTTTCCTGTCTCGTGTCTCTCCTGTCATCTTAAAAATACATCTCCCCTGTTACCCCCCTCATACTGCCCGTCTTGTCTCGACATACTCTGACCACACGTCATTTGCTTCTGGTTCCTGACCGTTCCTGCTCTGTTCTCTTCTCCGTTGTACCGCCATACATCCCTCTTCTCTCTCTCTCTCTCTCTCTCTTTAAATCTCACTTTTTTGGCTACTTTTCAACCCCCATAACAAGAAGGGAGCATCCATGTCTATCGAAACTATCTCGTGTTGACTTTATCCCAACATAAAAAGGCAGAGCGATGAGTAGCCTCAGGGTGGAACAGCACTCAGATTCTCCGAGATCCCAACATCATCATCACCATCTTTCCTGTGGACACGACGATACTAGAGCCTCTAACAGCAATGCTCAGTGAAAGCACCACTACGACAACAGCCATGACAACATTTTCTGCCCCGGTCACTACTCCCAAGTCAACGCCCACCAATCAGTCCGCGTTGGCCGCCTCCTTTACCAATTTCCTTACAGTTTCGATACACCAGATTCTCTTCCTCCGATCGGTCTATCCCAGGGCTACTTTCCTCCCTGTCCGAGCTTATAATTACCCTGTCCGACAATCCCGTCATCCCAAGGTGTGTGACTACATCAATGACGCCTCAATTGCGGTCGGGACGGAGATCTTGAAAGGCACAATTACTGCTGTCAGTATTATCATTTCTTCTCTCCGCACAAATCAACCCCTCGAACGGTATGCTTTTGACCTGTCTGGTTTCCCTCGGGTTCCCGCCGGAGAGGTCAACACCACCTTTGAAGACAGATGTCAAGAACCATCCAAGGCAGGTGGCCCCTTGCCAGAACGGGGGCCCGCGCCTCAAACCGTCGACCTTGAGGCGCAATTCCGCGCCTGTCTTGCAAGACTCGCATCTGCTTGTGCCCGCTTGACCCCATTGCCGCGGGACGATGAATTTAGCTTTACCGTCTGCATTGAAGTCCGGGAGGATGCTTTACCACCTGCTGGTACAACCACAGAAGAACAGACGTGGATTGTAGCAGAACCCGGAAAGGTTCATCTTCGCTCCTGTTCTGCGCCTTATTCAGTCTCCAAACTGCGAAACGGCGAGCCGCACCAGCCGCCACCAAGGGTGTCGAACGGTCGTGCCAAAACCGTCCCTGTGCGGCGTGTAGAAGCCGGTGAACTTCGCTTGGAACTATGGGTGGAAGAGGCACGACAGAAGTTTAATGAGCCTGTGGATTCAGAATATCCACCATAAACTTAGGCCTTCGATTTGCCTAATTCCCATTTTTTTTTTATCATGTTCTTGAAGCATGGTTAGTGCTTCGTTTTCCTTTTCAATTCTTTCATTCTTGTTTTAGCGTGACCAATGATCGAACATATATGATGAAGACACTTGGTATTGTCGTCCGAATGAGTGGCGCAAATATATAAAATGGGGGAGCGGACGATTTTTTGGGACTCGCATGGCATTATAGAGATTTTGTTCATATCTTTCCTTCCTTTTTTCTTTTTCCCTTGTCTGCATTCCACCTTATCATATCCTTTTCATTACGGTGCGCCTTTTTCTTTTCCCTGACTACATTTGTTTTCCTTGTCCAATCTTTTTCCCCCTCCTATCTTTCTGTAACTTTCCCCTCGTGATTTATACCATTTCCTATTGTCTTCTCTATTCTTGTGAAATTTCCCACCAAATGGCCTAGCAATTCAATCCTAGCAATATTTCATTCTTAGTAATTGACTGGCGTTCTCTTTTGGTTCTTTTCTGTTGTTTCTATTCCAAGTTGGTGGAGGAGTTGGAGTTGGGGTACAAGCCCCGCAATATACTGATGAGATACAGTGCAATATGAGGACGAAATTGCCAAGACCTGGAGATACGCTGGATGAAACTGAAGATGCCATGAATATGCATGATATGATGGTTTTACGATCTCTGCCTATGCAAATAGAGCACAGAAATACCTAGTCCTGATGCCATTCACCATACCCTCCTCCTATCAGATTATTTGCTAATTAATCAAGCTATGTTAATATGCTGCCTAGTTCTCTTTTCAGACCACCAATATTTAATCTATTTACTTTCCGGATTCCCGACTAGTCATGACTTTATTTCATTTATGTATCTACCTATTTATTTTTATTTTCTCTCTCTCTCTCTCTCTCCGTATCATACTCGGACAGCGTGTATCAAAAAAAAAAAAAAAAAAAAAAAAAAAAAAAAAAAAAAGGGCAAAGCAAGCCTCTGCATCTCACACCCATTTATTTATTCCGTGATGTTCCACGCTATCTATCCAATATACTAACTATATCCATCCATCTATATATTGTTACGTACTAGTAGGTCATGTTGTAAAAGTTTGTAGGTTTATCGTCTATGAACTGCTCACTACAGGAGATTGGTTGCTAGCTAATTAAATTGTTGATACGTCGATAGTATGATGGACGGATATAGGACTACGTCATGTAATGTGAAACCGAAATGGGATTGAGATTGTATCACTATCACTATCACTACCTTAGTTAGTAGTTACTGCCTAGGTGGTGGTAGCAGTAGTAGTAGATCACTATCTACTCTGATGTCTCTGACGTGAGAAGGAAACTAGGAACGGAACAAGAGCCCAGAAAAGCCCAAACAAGCAAAAAAGGGTGATTGATTAAAGGAATTAGGAAAAGATGAGGTGGAGGAAATGCAACTCGAGTTGCGCGACTTTGTAGAGGGATCGATCGAGCCTTCCTGTCTGAATCATGGATCAATACCGACTTTGGTTGGGGTATAAGGCGGCGACGACGACAAATACAGCTTAAACAAAAAAAAAAAAAAAAAAAAAAAAAAAAGATGACAGGTCTGCCTACCGGAGTACGCACCAAAATGATGCATTCCTCAATTTTGAGCAGAGGAAGAAGAAGAAGAAGAAGAAGAAGGAAAAGAAGAAGGAAAAGAAGAAAAAGAAACCTTAGAATGGGAGTTGTCCGCCTGGTGGCAACATCCCCGGCGCATAGTGGACTTGATTGCCCTGCGCTGCCACTGGAAGCGGGGCCAATGTGAATGGGTCCCTTAGCAACAGATCAGGATCAGCGCCAACAAAATTTCTGGGTGGATGGTTTGGTGCAGGTGCAGGTGCAGGGGGATTCGTATTAATATTAATATCATTATAGTGGATAGCCGCCGGGGCAGCATTCAACTGGGTTGTCATCGGCGTGACGCCACCGTACCCGTGAATATTCACTCCCTGGGGGGTTGGATTCGGATTCCGGTCCTGGGGTACTGCTGGCCGTATCCCCGCCGCTTGGGCGTAATGGTTTTGCAGGTAGTCATGGGGCGGGAGCTGAAGTTGTTCTTGCGCCAAGGCTGCTCTTGGTATGGGTTGGTGTATCACCTGCCCTGGGAGCACATACGGAGCTTGGTAGGCATATTTACTGGCCTTGTCCTTTGGATGCTGGATTCGAAGTTCGGCCTCTGTCATCTCAGGATTCGCTGCCAGGACCTTATCAATGGCTGCCCTCTCGGCCTGCTGGACCTCCTTTTGCTCGCGGTCCCACGTCGGATCATCCCGAGGGCAGATATTAGGGCCTTGTCCAAAATGGTTGTACATCTCAGTGGAGATGTCTTTCTTGCAAAGATAGCACATCGCCGTATGGCACCTGGGGCATACCATCTTGTTGCACCCATATTCCTTGACGATGTTCAACTGGCATTTGGGGCAGTTGCGGATCATGGCCTTGCTCATGGCTTCTTCGACCTCGTGACGTCCTGAAATACCTTTTTCCTTTCTGGATTCCTCGCATGTCAAAGGCACATGACTTCGTTCCTTACACAAGCGGCAACTAACAACCTCGCATGTAGGATTGGTGCAGCGGAATTCTCGATCTTCTTCTACCGGAGGGCATACTGCCTTGAAAGAACAAAACGGGCAGTCTACAAGGCCCTCCAGACAGGCTTTGCGGATTTCATCTTGTTGTTGGAGAGAATCAAGCCTTTCCATGATTGACGGCCCCAGCGCTTCAGTGAGCTGGTAGCGCGAGAATTTAGCCTGGCAACCACTGACATCGAAGCATTGTAACGTGTACTTCATAAGGCCAATTTGGGTCTCTGCTGATTTGCGAAGACAGGTGAAGCAGAAGAAGTGGATAGTATCTCCGTCACAAGGGAGGCATCTATTTGCTGGGGCCTCAATGTAACAGCACTGACACTCTATAAGATTGCCAGTTTGAATGTGTTCTTCTTCGTTGAGCTTTTCTGCTATCTCTTTGTCCTTTTCCATTTGTAAAGCAGCTGTTTAGAAATTAACCCGCTACGTTCGAAGTACCCTTAAATATATGGGTGATACTCACCGGCCATCTTTTCGCCTTTTCTTTTCGCAGCATTCATCTCCCATGCTAGCTCATCCGGAACGAATCCCTCTTCAACAGAGGCCGAGCGCTTGCGTTTACCATTCGTAGAAGGTCTCTTCTTCTTCAGCCTTTCAAAAGGCCCCTGTGACCGGTCGAGATTGTTATCCTCAGCAAAGAGGGCTAGGTAGGAAACATAAAGGTGTTTCTTTTCACCGATAACCTTTCGAATATGATGCATAGGAATGGAGGGAAACTCTTTGGCCAACATTGCCGTCCTTATGCCTGATTAGTCTGGAGAATTTTTGTTTATCTTTTTTTTTTTCTAAAAAAAAAAAAAAAAAAACCTCTTACGCTTGTTGAGAATACGCAGCATTCTCTAGATGCGATGTATCATTTGCCCATTTCTCATATTCGTCGCCATCATCTTCCTTTTGCCTCTTGGGTTTTTCTTGCTTTGGATATGACTGCTGTTGAAGAATCTCCTCGAGTACCGCATCTTTGATCCATTGCATTTGAGAACCTTGAGGATGAACAATTGCGTGTTCGCTGTGCCTGGACAAAGTGTTTTGATGGCGGGTAATTAGTTCCTTAACGTGACTGAGCCTGATATCAGGGAATATCTCCAGGATTTGGCTCAGTAATATCCCACTAGTATCCGAACCAGAGGCAATGTGATTCTGCGCTGAATGTTCAATCTGCGTTGGCAACCTCGGGGGGCTTGACGTCGAATTAGGACCTAAAGATGCAGACGAGTCAATTGAAGCTGGATTCAGGTTGGTGTCATTTAAATCATGCAGCCTTCTTCTTTTTGAGGGCCTGTGAGGGGTTGTTGCAATATTCAAGTTGGGAGCCGAACCATCAAGCTGTGCATTGATTCGCCAGGGGAATTCTGGATGCTGCAGGTGGTAGTAATCACTAGGGGTATCCGAATCGTAGGAAGATACGGTAATGGGGGAATCCATTATGGATTTGTTGACTGTCTGCAGAGAGGCAGGATGGTATCAACACAACGTGCAAAGTGCAGAAGCAGGAAGTGGACGATGTCAAGGTGAGTGAAACCAAAGCGCCAATACAACTTGCAGATGAGAACAGAGGATGGGAATGAGTGAGGCCCACGTCCAGAGAAACCAACGGAGGGCAGATCCGACGTGGGGGGAAGTCAGGAACAAAGTTCAGGACCGGGAAAAGGAGCACTGCTCATCAAGCGCGATTGTAACAATGAGAATGTTCTGGTCAGAAAGATCCAATACTTTGTAGAATGTCATATAATGTGTTTCTATGGCAAGAAACAGAATTGGCCTTCTGGTTCAATCAACCATTGGTTAGGGGGCTACCATGCGACATCAATCCCCATCATATAAAACCAAGACGATGCTTGTAGTGCCAAGAAAGAAGGAAACTTGAGGCTTGAACTCCAGGAATCAAGATAGACCAGATGATGGGATGGCAGGTTGATGCCCAGAAACAGGAATAAAGACACCCAACGCCATCCTGTTGTCAGCTATCCCCACGTGAAAAAAAAAAAAGATGCCTGTTGGGGAGATGCAGATGCCCACGGTGTTGATTGGTTGACTAAATTACTTCACTCATTCAACAGCCAGGTGATCCGTGCCAGAGATCCCTGGGATGCATCAGGTCAGCAATGCCAGAGTTCAGGAAGAGTATACTATGGAATATTCTATTAGTATAAATAACATTCAATCAGAATAAGTTTGTGGTGTTCTCGGCATTTGAAGCTTTTTCTTCACAGTCAGTTTACTGTAAGGAAGTAATTGCAGTAATACCAGTATTTTAAATACACCATACCAAACACGGTTTCAATACTCCGCCGTACCCCGCCTACATACTACTGAATACTGAATCCGCCGACGTCATTCTAGCTTGTATAATTGGCCAAGAGAAGCAGGTACCTACCCTAGGGTACATCCTCTCTCCCATGGTGACCGCTTGCCATCGCTTGCCATCGGCCGTGACAAATGGAAACTACACCGATGGTACGCGATCAAGACGGGATAGTTATAATCCCTTGCGTCCAGCCTCTCATTCAAGATTCTGTATCCAGAAATGGCCTGGTCATAGTCGCCCAGATTCAAATCCGTCGGGTTGTACACCATCCTCACACTTTTCGACCTATCTTGGCCTGGGTGCAACGTTGTTATCTTGCCCCTATTGACTCACAACAAGTTGAAAGCTAATATATACCCTCATGACAGCCAAGCCACCCACTCGATCGGATACGAACGGTGAAGGAAACTGATTGCTTTGAGGTGCAGAAGAAGGACAAAAGATGATTGCTGCCAACCTCTCTTCTTACGGCCACACGAACCTTCTGGAGGGGGACTCCCCCGAGCTGGTCTTGGTCCAGGCAACGCCCAAGGAGCGGATTGCGTCAATTAAGCTAAACAGCACTGAGTGGAAAGGCCCATTGGATCTTGACACGTACATTACTCGTGAGGACACTTTACTCCAGCAGCGACTAACCAAGGACGCCGTAACTTGCTGGGTGTTGGTTGACCGCCGGGAGCCGGAAGACGAGAGGACAATCCTCGGCTCTTGCGAGACATACAAGAAAAAGGCGATTGTAGCGCGTGGCGGTAAGTTAGAGGATGTTTCAGCGCACGGAGTCGGAAGTGTTTACTGTCGACCCGACTTTAGAGGGAAAGGGTACGCAAAGCGGATGTTGGAGGAATTGAGCAGGACGATCGATACGTGGCAGGTGGCGACTGAGCGCAGCGAAAGCTCATTGTTTAGTATTTTGTTTTCTGACATTGGGAAGAGATTCTATGCTCAGTTTGGCTGGAAACCCTATCCTTCTTCACACTTTGAGCTTCCTCCAATTTCTAAAGATGAATATGCCTCCAAAATCCCTGGTGCTGCTCTGCCAGAGATCAAGATATTACAAGCGGCCGATGTCCAACGGCACCTATGCAACGGGCATGTCGTCCAAAAAGAGCGTGAGATCTTGCGGTTGGCTTCGCAGAGCTCCCCTGGGCCCAAAGTAGCAATTGCTCCTGACTTTGACCATTTCGTATGGCACTGGGCAAGGGAGGAGTTTTGTTATCGCAATCTCTACCCGAACCGAGAACCCCCCATAATCAAGGGCGCTGGCGATAGCGAAACCGGAGTGTTCTGTGCGTGGAACAGGACGTTCGGCGAAACTCCTCAAGATAACACCCTATATATCCTCCGGTGGGTGTACGACGAGCCAGTGTCCAGCGAAGAGTCCGAGAAACTCGTCAAGGCAATGGCTGCAATCCTGAGACGCGCCCAACTAGAAGCGCACGCGTGGAATATGGCCAATGTCACATTCTGGAATCCAACTGCTCTTCTTGAAAAGGCCGTTGCTCTGCTAGACCCTGCTGCTGAGATAGTGCATCGCGAAAAAAGCAGCATTGCGTGTCTGAGATGGAACGGGGCCGACGAAGTCTCCGAGCATGTCGAATGGTTCTGGAATGAGAAGTACGCGTGGTGTTGAGGGGACGAGCTTTTTTGCCTCACTCGGGCTGGAAATAGAGCCGCGAACGATCCAGCAGGCGACTCAATGGCTTATCGTTTCTGTCGTTTTTGGTTTTTAAACAACTCATGCCAGTTTCTTGATTTCTTAGCGGCAACAGCAGCACTAGTATCGGTTGGGAGGTTCTTTTTGACTTTCTGTCGATCTGTTTCAGTAGCAAAGCAAATGGTCTTTGGCTCCGGGTGCAAGTAGTAGTTTTCCTATTCGGCGTAAGCAATAGTCCAATGGCACGGAGAAAAAGGGTAGTCGTCACTTACAGGTAATTTCGATAATGAAACATCCCCTCTCCAAGTCTCAGGGAGATGGTCCTTCCAGGCATTCAAGTAGGCAGTCTGGTCAACAGCAGAGCCAGCAGTAGGCGCCTCAGCCTCTAAACCCGTCTCCCCAACCCACTGTACACAAATGGATTTATCGATACTCGCCCCTAGACCGGAATATCAGCATCTCAATCCCCCTCCCCCTTTTTTCTCTCTCTCTCTCTTTAAATAAGGAATCAAAAACAACTCACACTTCATCTCCGACTCGAACGCGTTCCCTTTCTGACCTCCAGACTCACAAACCCTCCGCACAACAGCCTCAAACAGCGGCCGCGGAAACGGCTCGTCGCCACCATCCTCATCAAGCACAGACCTCCACAGATCCCGCACCAGAAACTGCTTCCCCAGGTCTATCCCATGAAGCACCGACCCCTCAAGCAACCGCTTCCACACCGCAAGCTTCACCTGCGCCGAGGGCACCCACCCCGTGACCGACGGCGCGCCCAGGAGAAACGCACAAGCATCCACCCAGCCCGCTTCGCACTGTCTCCTGGACACAGGGATATCGTCGAAAACGCGCTCGATGGCGTCCCTTCGCGCCGAGGGGTCGAGGTCCTCGGGCAGGGTTGTTGTGCGGCTCCCGGTATCGATGTTCTCTCGGCTATATACCCTCATGCGCCGCTTCAGAAACGGCGCGGCGGAAAAGCCTGCGACGGGGGTATCTAGTTCCAAGGTTGATCCGCATTTCGCAATCGATGTCACTGGGTCTGTGTGGTTGAATGTGTTGTCGTCATCGTCATCGTCATCGTCATCGTCATCATCTTCTTCTTCTTCACCATTGTTGTTGGTCTCTGCCGCTTGTTCGCCCACAATACGTGAATCCCGTTTCTGGATTGCGCCACGACCGGGTGTGAGAAGATGTAGGGAATTCGAAGATTGGACTTGGCGCACGCGGTAGGTCTGGGTAGGTGTGCAGAGATTCAAGTATGCGGGGGTATTTGTGTCTGTGTCTGTTTCTGTAGTGTCGTTGGCAGTATTGGATGGAGATGGTGATTTGAGCTCTAGTCTTTTTGAGGGGTCAGTTCTGTTTCTGTGTTCTTTTTCTGGCTATACACCTAGGTACACCTAGATGCAGAGAGAAGAGACAAAGAAAACCTACATCGGGGCATCCTGTGAAGAAAGCAGATCTGCTAGTTCTGGCGGGAGCTCCAGCAGCTTGAATGCCTGTTGCGGAAACCGGTATGTGAAGGGGATACTGGAGGCGGATTGCGTGGACATTTTTTTTTGTAGGTGGTTGGTTGGTTCGCTTCCCAGGTATACAGAGGAAGAGAACAAAACTACCTGCTGTAGGTGATTTTTGAGGGTTTGTGCAAGAATGCTGGAAGAGGTGGATGTGTCGTGGACGCGTTGAGCGCGATTTGGGGCCAACTCGGTTCGTGGGGCTGGGCACGGACCACTACTTAATTAGTAGGTGCATACGCTGAACAAGTGCCTGTATCTACTACCTAGGTAGGTTTACGGGCTCAGATTAGAAGTCAAGGGGAACCAAAAAAAGTCAGAGAAATTCTTTCTATCAGTACATTAAACATAAACAACGTGTTCCTAGAGTAACTGGAAATCATCCAGTGTAAAGCAAGTCGGCCAAGTCAACGTCAAGACAAATCCCAAGTGTCAAATACATGTACAGAAAGCCTCAACAGGAGAGGAATCGCCCAATGGCCAGCATAGAGCAGGGAGTTTTGAAACAAAACAAAAAAAAAAAAAAAAAAAACTACTACACCAGAAGCATCGAGGACCTTGGTGATGGGATTGAACGCCCCTTTTATTTAGCTTGACTTCGCTGCTTCGTCGGTTTTTGCAAGGTTCCCTTGTTGTTCGTGCACGTCGTCCGCCTTGCCTTTTGCTGTTGCTGGCTCCCCCGCAGCAGCAGAGCTGTCTTCGGGATCTTGAGGCGTCGAAACCTGTCTTGCTGGTTGCTCTCTGGCTGCTTCCTCCATCGAGTCGCGCACAAAGGCGTTGTCGATTTCCGATTCGATCTTCGGGTCCTGGAACATGGCCTTGTTGCGTTCTGCGCGCTCGGATTGTACTCTTTCTTCTTCCTCGCGTTGCTTTCGTTCTTGTTCCATTTCTTCCATATGCCTGAGATCATCGACGCTGGGCTCGTAAAGATGCCAAATGGTGTAATGGGGGAGGCCAATGACCGAAAACCCCATACGTCTGGCCATCTAGTCATGTCAAAAAAGTTAGTAGTTGTTCTCAGTCGGGAAGAGGAGGGGGGGGGTAGAGAGCTACCTTGCCGAACGCCTCGGTCTCAGCGTGCTTTTCGAAGCTAAAGGCTGGGAAATGTACACCGGACCGGAAGACCTTGGCCTTTGCAAGAATACTGACCCCTCCTACCCCATCCAGTTCCATCTCCATGTCGGGATCCCCGTATGGGTCACGGAGGTAGGCGAGGTGAGGCCGCCAGGTGGCGTATTCTGCATAACCCTCCACAATAACGGCGTCCTCGTCTAAAGTATCAGCCAGCGCTAGAGCTGTTTCTGACTCTTGCCAGGAGTTCAAATCATATGGTTGCTCTCCCCCCAGCCAGTCGGGAAGCGGGCGCCATACATCTGGGAAATGGTTAGGGGGCCGTAAGAACAAAAAGACCATGTCCTAGAGGGGAACACTCACTTGGCACAATGACATCCCGGTCATGTCTCATAAGATCTTCGATAATCGTCGATGGCGCAGTCAAAACATCCGCGTCTCTCCAGTAGACCCAGCTATGCGTGGGTCGGAGCGTAGCGCTGAGGAGCCAGTTCCGGGCCTGGGCCATCAACTTCCTGCGTCCTGCCTGGGCCGCAAATCCATGTCTACTCTCCACGTCCTGGTTGACTTTCTGACCAAAATCCTTCTGTATGACAGAGATTTCTCCAAACGACATATCGCGATCCGGGTCATGTTGTAGCTCCTCCAGCATTTGCGAGAGCATTTCCATAGTGCCGTCTTTGGAATCCGAGACCAGGAAAGCCAAATCAATCAGATGGTGTGGATATGTGAGGTTTCGAAGATGGGAAAAGAACATGGGGAGATGGGAGGCGGCGTCCCGGAGCGGGGTGCACATCAACACTCGTTCTCCATTCTCCCAGCCGCTGGCTGTCCCCTGCATTTTCACGAGATCATAGTATCGGACGGTTTGAATGTGCAAGTCCTCTGGGGAGGAGGAAAGGAGGCCAAGCGATAGCACGGGGAGAATCGAAGCTCGCCACGAGGGAAATATGAGGAGCAGCACGAAGAGCGAGACACCCGCTATGAAACAGAGCCGTTGAAAAAGCTGTCTTCGTCGTCGCAATGCTGGTTGCGGGCGCGGTTGGAAGCTTACCAGAGTTGCAAATCAGCGCCCACGAACACCGGAATTTCAGTGTGTGTATATATAGCACGAGAACCACTTACCGATGAGGGGAGATGGAAAAAGTGCCGCCCTGGCCGCCTCGAGGGTAGGCAGAATACCCATTCGCAAAGGCGTGGTGATGCCTATTCATCTTCATAGAAAATCCAGCATGTGTAGACGGGAAACCCAGCCCCCAAGACACAGACGAACCGCTGAGGTCCCCAGTGCGCGTAGTGTGTCAACGGTTGTTGTGTCGTGTCGTTGTCGTCTGCGAAATTCTTATAAGCAAAACGTCGATCGCAAACGAAGGGGGACGGAAGACCAGGCAACGTAATCCCGTCCGTCAGCTTTAATTTAGCTCCCTAAACCAGGTTTAAAAGAGACACACTCCCATTAAAAAAAAAGAATTCAGGTAGAGGTGGAAAGATCTCTCTTTTTTTTTTTTTTCTGTCCCTCCATGTAGCATCGCTTAATTACGTCGGTTTCACATTGACCAACCTTGGGATCCCCCTACCATAGCATAGGACCATAGGTACCTCGATCGCATCGTCACCTCCCTAATGCGGCCCGTGAGAACCACCACAGCCCGTTTGCAGCCAATGTAACGCTTTTTCCAGGATTTCTCTTCTCCGTTCTTTATGATAGTATATACAGAATGAAAAGGATAGCATCTTTTAGTGAGTTACCCGCGAGATTCTCGACTCCGGCGACCCCATCCCCTTGACTCCCACCTCCACCTGGCGCATCAATTTGTTGAGCAATGCTTCCATCTGCGGCGGGTCTCGAAGGGCTGGGATGACGGATCCGGCCTCGTACTCGCTGTCCAAGATATAATAGCGTTCTCTACCCCAGTTCTCCACCGTGTCGCTCTGGAATGCGACTTTCGCGATCACTTTCGCTGGAACACTAACCTTGTTGATAGCGCTCTTGGAAAACACGCGCAGGAACGGCCGAAGTCCAGACTTGGTTTGATGTGCCATTCGAATGGAGAGTGGGACGTCGGCAACCAAGTGGCTCTCTCCAACCATCCCTCCCGGGTCTAGAGTGTATATATTGAGAGAAATGTTACCCGTCTATATTTCAGCGACAAGTCAGCGTGGCGCCTGTAGGGGAGCCGGGGAAAGAACCCGACCGAACTCACCAAGACCAGACTCCGTCGCAAGGCATACATGGCCGCGCTCATGATCAATTTGCTGCTCCCGACGCGGGCGAGGGCGTCCTTTGCACTGAGAGGCGTCCCCGATCGTCCCACGTGGGAGGCTTGGTCTTCGTCCTCAAAATAGCCCAGGGATCCCTTTGAGATAGAGGAACAGCCGATGTTAATCACTCTCGCGCCGCCGTTCGGGGTGCCGTCTCCGGCTCGGAAGGCCTCGAGCAAGCTGACCGTCAACAGGAACGGGGCGATGCAGTTGGTCTGGTAGACGGGATCGTGGCCATCCCGGGTTACCTGGTCGGTGACATACGAGGACATCGCCGCACAGTTGATCAACAGCGTCACGGGAGGGATGTCTTTGCTATGCACTCTCTCCACGGTATTCTCGGCGAAGCTCGCGACAGAGTTGAAACTGGCGAGGTCTACCCTAGCGACCTCGATGGACCGGGGCCCGATCAATCGGATGCGCTCTCGGACATTCTGCACGCTCTCCGACCTGATATCGCGGGCCAGGAGCAAGAGGTGGACGAAGGGCTGGGTCTTTGCAATGGCAACAGCTATCTCCGATCCTAGGGACCCGTTTCCCCCTGTGATGATTGCAGTGCCCACCAGCGGAGTGCCCATAGAAGTGACGGTGATTGTAGACTCGCTTGGATAATAAGAAGTAGAAGAAAGATTAAAACGAGGGATACGGTACCATTCAACTACGCGAGCAGGCTTTTTATAAGGGTAAGCAGGCAGCTAGTATGGAGGTTCAATAATCTCCCCTACCCAGTGGGAAGTAGGGGGGGAGATCTGAAATGGAAAAGAATGGGAAAAGAGAATATATATATATAGATATATAGATATATATATATATTTAGATATAGGAGAAGATCGACAGCAAGATCTTAGTCCCAAGGAAGGGCAGATTAGTTTCACGAGTCGAGAATCAATGATTCAATGGTGTTTTAGAAAGAAAAAAAAACTCTGAGTGGGGGAGGAGAAGATCAATTCAACTAACACTAAAAGGCAAGAAGAGAAAGGATCCAAAGAGATAGGGATCTGAACAGGTTGTCTTAAAATATAATTCTAGGGAAATAACGTACTCCTCACTTATTCCTGTATACGGAGTACACCGTTATGTACCTAGGTAGAGTAGTAACTGGTAAGATTGTATAGACACCCAGTACAGACGAAAATAGCGACAAAGCAACCAGAACAAAGCGAGGAAAACAAATCAATCTGCAGCCACCAAGTGGGACTCAATATATACGAGGTCTGCAGGAATCTGAAATCATGTCTCACAATCTGACTGGGGGTTGGTAGTGTTAAAACCATACGATCCCCGACCGAACAGTTATTCTCCGATCTCTGACAATCTCACTATTGTCAGAGTAGGACAACATCGGGATTTTCTCTCTCTCTCTCTCTCTCTCTCTCTAACATGACCTCACTACGACACAAAAACATAACAGTATAAAACCTGAATGGATTCCAAGAACTTTGGAACACGGATGAAATCCACCCCTCTGGTTCCAACCAGTCCCCGCGATGCCAGAACAAGCAGCCACCTCCTACATCGAGTCCCATCGACTCCTATCAAGCCTGGAACGACGAGCTGGAATTCTGTTTCCACGACAGAGGGAAGCTCCGAAGGATGCTGGGATCCAAAGCAGATCCGGAATGCCGTGGCGCACCACCAGTCCTTGGACCAGCAGCCCAGAGGCAGAAGACGGAGCGACAGGAGCAAAACCGAATCCTCGAGGACACAGCTAAGACAGGTAAAGGCTGCTAATGCAGGTGAATCGGCTTCTTGGTATCATGAAGGATGAAGAGCAGGACTGGAAGCGCCGCCGGGTCCGCTGCTGCAGATGAAAGCAAATGGTAGTTAACAGCACCGTGAACCAACAACACATTTTCCGGGTTTGGGTTCTCCTCGCCGTGAGCTCCCTCTCCTGTATGGCTCTTTTGGTTGTGTCTGTCTACGTTCTCTATTTGGGAAGCCCTCTTTTTTTTTTTTTTTTTTTTTTTTTTTAAATTAATTACATTGTCGAAACTGAAATGGCAACGGAAATGGTAGAACAGAACAGGTAAATGGTTCGATATAAAGTGTAAATCTATGGGTCATCTATTATACGACATTTTAAAGCAATCTATATTCATACGTCATGCGCCGCCGCCGAAAAGCCTTTAGAACCAGCTCCAAGTCTTACACATGCGCCCATCTTCATTCACCGTCCAAAAGTCACTGCCAACGCCCTTGAGCGCATAGAAGAAGAACTCCGGGTCCCAGTGAGCCTTGACGGCCAGCAGGGGCAGGAAGTTGGTGCCGAAGAAGGTCTCGCGCCAGTTCGGCTGGCGGAAGTTGCCCTCGTTCTGGTAGCAGCCGCTGCCGGGGGTGATGGCCTCGAGCTGCGGCACGAACTCATTGGTGATGCGCCACTGGTCGGCAACCATCTCATCCCAGGGGGCGGTCTCGTTCCAGGTGGTGCCAATCTGCATGGTCACGGCGGCGGAGCGCCACGCGGGGAACACAGCGTTGGACACGTCACCGGGGTTGCTGACGTCGAGACCGACCCCGACGGCAATCACGCCGTTCTCTGTCAGATTCCGGAGCACCGTACCCATCTCGGCGGGGCTGGTCTCGAGCAGGTCCCGCGGGATCAGGCGGCCGCCGTACTGGTAGGACGAGACGGCGAGGTTGCCGTAGGGGAGAGGGCCCATGTACTTGTTGTAGTGGTCTTTGTAGGAGTCGTACTGGGTATACGAGACGACGTACGTGATGTTGAGCTTGGTCAGCGCGGTTTCGAAGGGGTTGAGGATGGTCTTGACATCGTCGGAGGTCATGTTGTAGGCCGTGACCGGGTTGATGGCGAAGACCTGCGAGGTCATCTCGTAGATGACGGAGGCGCCGGCGTCGATCATAGCAGGGAGCAGAGCATGGAACTGGGAGACGGCTTCGTAGAAGATGTCGGAGTCGGTGTTGGCGAACTCCAGAAGCGCGCCGGCGATGGTGGCGTCCGCGTGCGCCTTGACTGTGACGGACATGACCACCCCAAAGTTCCCGGCACCACCGCCGCTCAGGGCCCAGAACAGATCGGTATTATTGGTGCGGGAGGCAGTAACGACCTCGCCCGCCGCCGTGACGACTTCAAACTCCAGGGTTTGGTCAGCGGCCAATCCGAACGCCGTGCTCAGGGCAGAGTGACCGCCACCCTGGATGTAGCCACCCGTGAAACCGACGGTGGGACATTCGCCAGCGACAACAACCAGTCCCTTGGCGGATGCGGCCTCGAGGATCTGGTATCCGAGCACACCGGCGTCCATCTGGAAGGCCGGGCCTTGATAGTAGGAGTCGGAGTAGTCGAGATATTCAATGTTGTTGTAGTGGTGAGTCCACACCGAGAGAGATCCAGCCCCCGTCGAGCGGCCCAGGTAACTGTCCAGAACGTCAGGATTTCACACATCTTATCAAATTGAAGACGGTGGATTAGACAAGAGATGGGGGGACACATACTCATGGCCAGTGTTGTGGATAACAAAGCGAATGTTGTTGGATTTGGCAAAGTGAATGGCCGCAATCACGTCGTCGCTCGAAGAAACATTGACGGAGTAGCGGGCATAGTTTCCCAAGAGACACGGCTGGGACTCTGCCGTGAACGGGTCGCAGCTCTGGTTGGCAAAGAAGGTCTGCATCACCGAAGAGGAGGAAGCCTCACTAGGGGTTTTGTCAGTCACGTCCCTGTAGGGACCTGCTTTTTCATCCACTTACTGAGTCTGCGGAAGGGTCCAGTCGGCCTGCAAAGCTGCGCAGGCAGCCTCATCATAGTTCGGATCATGGCAAGGGGACCCGATGGGTACGGTCTTGATCAAACGGCCACCGACGGTACTGTTGAGGGACGACCATGTCGAGTCCGAAGGCCAGCAGCTGTCCCCAGGCATACAATAGCACTGGGACGAGGAGGCGACCGCATTAGAGGCCAGAGCAGCCACCGCTGCCAGTGTCCAGGAAGTCCTCATAATAATTCTAGGGGTGAAGATCAAGGGAAGTGGATAGAAAAGTATAAAATGACAGTGTCGATCATGGGTTTGCGGTTCACATTTATACTATTTAAGAGAGCTCTGAGCGAGGACAGAGAAATGCCGCGGTTTTCTTTTCATCATCAGCACTATTGAAAGGGGTGGCTGTAAAATCCTGATGGAACTGATGGATCCAGGAGTCGCATCCGGAGGAATTTCCCAAGTATGTCTAGGGTGGGACGTTCTGATCTCAAGGCTCAAGCAATTCATGCTGTCTGCGTATCCTTAGCAGGTCAATAGTGCATTTTAGTCTAGTTCTGCCTGGAGAGGATCCTACAGAGTCATGTACGGAGTATGGAGTCGTCTACTCGGTATACCCTAAGTTAGGGCACAGACATATGAATCCCCCAATTGACGAAAATCACGCCACATAAATAGTAGTCACTGGCATCCATGGTCCTCGTGGAAAGGATATCCATCCCGTCGTATCCGGGGGGGGGCGCGCTTAAAGAGATCCGGTCAAGGTCCACATTCCACCTGGGCCAATAAAGCATCCCCCGTATATAGGGGGTTCTGGATTGATCTCCGAAGAAGGCGAATTTGGTGCAGACCACCAGCCAACTGCCGAAACCATGGACCGTGGGCGAGATCTTGGGAGGAAAGGAGAGGGTTCTTAATCTATTAGAGTTGAGTCAATTTCGGGGGAAATCCTTGGAAGAAACAGAGCCTGTCAACTGGTAACTATTCGCTGTACTCCGTATAACTACCAGGTCTTTGGTAAAAAGAAGCGCTCCCGAATGCAAAAATTCGACGACACTGTTAAACTTTTCTCAGGTACGGTACAGTAGATAGTTATTAGTTAATAAGAACAATATAAGCCTTCATGACTCGGTCTGGATATCTCCCTGAGCTTCTTCTTTTTTTTTTTTTTTTTCCCTCTCTTTCTGTCTCTCTTTCGCTTGTTCTCTTTCTCTCGTTCTTACACACACACACACACACACTCTCTCTCTCTCTCTCTCTCTCTCTCTCTTATAGTCTTGTGCATTGTGAGCTTAGTCTCCGGGCAGTGCAGGCATGACACAGACCACCTCGCATGCTGGCCCGGCTCTGGAGAAGGGGATATGGGCCGCTGTAGCGGTGGTCATAGTGATCGTCGCTCTCAGGGTTATAGCTAAAATCAAGATCCATCAATTCCGTGTGGATGATGTTTTAATGGTAGTCGCATCTGTATGTACCTGCATCCTCCCCAGGTGTTCCCATCAATTGATTCTATTCCGGGACTGACTCGCTCCCCAGATCCTGACCATCGTCGCAAGCGTCTTCCTCACAATCGCCGTCAACTATGGCTTCGGCTCTGACCTCATGACCCAGGCCTTTGACAACCAGAAGATGGTCCTGAAAAGTATCGCGATCCAGGTACCACTGGTGACTATCAGCACAACGCTCGCTCGCTGCTCTTTCATCCTTTACCTGCTTGTGATTCTGGGGTCGAACAAGATCTATCGGATCATACTGTGGGCGTTGATGGGTCTCCAGTTTGCGGCCAATATAACGTCCGCCGTGCTTCCGTTGAGTATTTGTCGGGATGTTCGCATTCTCTGGAATCCTACTATCAAGACCACATGCGGTAATATTGAAGATGTGGTAAAGTTTGCCTATTTTACTGGTAGTACGTTTTACCTTCTGCATTCCTTCTATCTATCTATCTATCTATATAGATAGATAAACTAACAAACACAGGTCTCAACTGCGCCGTCGATTTCTTCCTCGCAGTCTTCCCCACTCTAGTAGTCTGGAACCTCAACCTGCTCTTCCGTATAAAAATCAGTTTAATCGTCCTTCTGAGTCTAGGCATAGTGTACGTCCCTCTGGACCGGAAAAAAGAAAAGAAAAGAAAGAAAAAAAAAAAAAAAAAAACTAATCAAATTATAGCGCAATGGTCGCCTCCATCATCAAAACCACCAAACTCAACGACATCCCCAGCGTCACAAACCTGGGCTCCTCAACCGGCATCGAACTCATCCGATGGGGCTACACCGAAAACGTAATCATCATCATCACCTCGTCCATCCCCTGCATCCGGCCCCTGGTGATCTCGTCCGTGCGCAAGTTCTCCAGCGGCGGCATCTCGCGCTCCTACGAACTCACGGGGCCCTTTGGCGGCTCGCGCACCCGCCGCACAGGCGGGGGTGGCCACGGACGCACCGACACGGCCCTCTCCACGAACGGAAAGGGAAGCAGGTTCGATCGCTCCATGAATGCGGAAACGGGGAGCATTGAGCGGATCCTGGATGACGGGGTTTACGGCCATCGGGCTGGTGCTGCTGGTGGTGGTGGTGGTGGACATGAGACAAGCATTAGTTCGGCTAGGACGGGGTCGCCCGGTGGGGAGGATGAGAGGGGGATTACGAAGCAGGTTGAGATTTCAGTCATTTCGAATGAGTTTTGATGTTTATGTATGTTTTTTATGTTTTCTTTTTGTGTATATATATATATATATGTGTGTGTGTGTGTGTGTGTGTGTGTATGGGAGGGTTAGATTATTTAATACCGATAGAAACCCTGCGAGCAATATGCTGCTTGCTTGTATTGCTTAATTCAAACAACTAGCACCCCCAATAAACATATTACAATAATAAATTTATATACAAATAAAGCTTATTCTTTGACTTATCATATATTTCTTACCAGATTGCTTCCTTTCATTTTGCATCCAGGTGCTTGATATTGTGTGTGTGCCCTCCTTGTTTGTATTGGAGAGTATACGGGTGTTCATCAAAGAGGTGGGCAAGGCTTTGTGTCCCAAGTCTCTCTGCAGTTGCGCATTGATAATTACGCATGTCTTAGTAAAACATTGACGTGTACTCATCGAAGATATCCGGGACCAAGTTCAAGCCACTCGGGTTTCCCCTGGCAGTAAGTAGACCGTCGAATTGCAATAGTCCCAGATCCCAGTCTATTAGTGTTATCCGATATCTCCCCTTCTGCTCAACCATGACGTTCTTCGGCTGGAGATCCGCATGGGGCGAAGACAGTTTTGTGTCCCCTGAGGGTAGTACGTTGGATGGGCATCGCGCGCTTCTTTGTTTGGTGACAACTGACGTCCTAACCAGAGTGGGAATATACGAGTAGGGGCTGCTGCAGGGCATATACCGTATTATACTACCGATAGTACTGGGAGAGTACTGAGAATCTCTATTGTAATCTATCTTGAATGCTTCGAGAGTCGCTAATGTGTAATATATCTACCTAATAAACTGCTTCTCAGATTTACCATTGCTACCGGAGTGTAAAGAAAGAAAGGAACCCTGCTGTCAAACAGGAGCCGCAACTCCAATCGACGGTCCGCGCAGATCAAACACGACATAGAACGCTTTCAGGAATGTGTCGCCCAGGATTTGCATGGAGATTCCTTGGTTGGACTGAATGCCTCCGTAGCAGACTATTCAATGGAGTTAGTATCCAAAATATATATATAGAGAGAGAGAGAGAGAGAGAGAGATAGGGGTTACCTTTCTCTCCAGTTGTCGTGTTCGTCCCAACCTGTGCAAAATCAATCATTTTCCCCGGAACAGTCGCTAGATGGGCCGGCCCTACGGCAATCGAAAAGTTCGGCAGCTCCGCGCTGCAAGGGTAGATGTAGCCGCTGGCGCTGGTGACGAATACGGCCCCCTTGACTTGGCTATAGTAGGCGTCCACAATGTGCTGGTCCAGCAGCATCAGGGACGTCCCTGTGTCCGCGATCGTAGCAGTAGCCTGGGTGTTCTTGGTAAGATCGCCATCGCCAACGCGGTAATACGCCGACTCAAACTGCCAGAACCCGCTCGAGGAGTCGACGCTCGCGTTCACCATGTCGCCCTTGTACTTGGACCGGTCGATGATTCCAAACTCGAACTCGCCGACCCCGTCGCTTTTCAGGGAGGAACCCAGCACGGGCTCGTCGAGGACGCCGGCGATCTTCGCGAAGAACGACGGCTGTTGTTGTGGCTGCACGGTGTTGAGGGAGGTGAAGCCGAGGCCGACCAGTCCATTGGTGTAAGTGTCTTGCGCGAACGAGGAGGCCACGGTCGTTGGGACGCCGATGGCTTGTCCTGTCACTGTGACGCCGCCAACGTCGACGGTGTCGGTTCCAACGCCGCCGTACGCGTAGGAGTCGTCGCCGTAGGTGATGTTGAAGGTGTAGCCCTCGAGCTTCTTGAAGGTGCTGGACTTGGATGAGTTAAAGACCGTGCGGCCTTGGGTGTATTCCGCGGGGAGTTGGGAATTCATTACCCATCTATGCAGGTCAGTTGGGTGTTTGGGAATATTGAGCACCAGGGAATGGAACGTACAGATCCGATGAGCCCGTATCAAAGGTGACGGTCAGTTGCTGTCCACCAATCGTCATGGGAGAAACAAATGCAGCGTCTCCTTCCACCGAGGTGGCACTAACACCACCAGTCTGTTCTGGTTCGGCGACATCGTTGGTGGTATTCGCAACGGCGGTTTTCACAATCGGCTCGAAATCCGACAGGTCAATGCCCAGGTTTGTCGGAACAATGCCGTACTTGACATACGCTCTGCGCAAGGCACTGGGACCGGAGAGAGTCTCTGCACGACGGACTTTTTCAATCTTGAAGGATCTACCCTTGATCTGGGGTGGAGATGTCGGGGCAGAGAGAGCCGCAGGGCCGAAACACATGGCAACAAGGATGGACTGGAGGACCTTCATTTTGGAAATTAAGTGCGTTGTTGGGTTCAGGGGTTGTAAATGCAAAGAGTGAACAGGATCTGCTCCAGGCTGAACACCACCTAGTGGCTAGAAAGAAAAGAAAAGAAAAGAAAAAAAAAAAAAAAGGAAGAGAATGTACTAGAGCCAAGTCCAGACCTGGACTCCTGTGAATATGACAAGAACGAAAAGGAAAAGGAAGTCCGAGTGATTGTCGCACCTAGGAAGAAATGAAGTGAAAGTTATCAGAACATCCCGGAGCCGGGCCCTGCGGCATTAACCCAGGATAAATACCACAGAGCAGGAAGAACATCTCTTGTCAAGACTAGGTTGAGTGGGGATTCAGGAGTGCAAAGTGTCAAAAAGGAAAAAAGCGTGCGAATGCATTGCTGTCATAGGCTGTTCCAGGGGGACGCCATGAACTGCAGCCATCTCCATCTCATATGCCTGACACGATGGATCAGTGAGATCTCTCCATTAGGCGCATAACTTCACTTGGCGCCTAGAAAGCCCCTGGGATGTTGACTTGATGACAGCCCACGATAGGTTGAACATGAAACGTCTTATTTACCTAGGTCCTAGTAGTTTGGTGGCGGTTGACTTGAAACTGTTGTCTCTCCTCCAGTAATTCCACAACCCAAACTGATTATATTCTTTCAAATTTGAAGAGAGTTTTCTTCTTCTTCTTCTTCTTCTTCTTCTTCTTACTAGGTTACTTGGACTATCCCAATTAGAAATAGACTAGGATCCAACTACTCACTTATGTAGTATCATCAGCAATGTCCAATGCAAAATCATCGCACGTATGTCGTATAACCTATTCAACCCCGATCTAAAGTCTGGTATCTATCAAGAATATATATGCTAATGCGCCAATCAACTCCATGGAATGCAAATCAAAAATCATTCATTCTGCATCGTCGGGTAACACCTCGTCTGGAGCCTCCCCGACCATCTCACCAACAGCTCGCACCACCTGCTTGATTGCCAGCGACGCTGGGCTGTCGGGGAAATTGTCCACGAAACTCTCCCCGTAGTCGCACGCCATCCCAACGCGCGGGTCAAGAGGAACGGATCCGAGGAAACGGATGCCCATCTTTTTCGCCAGCCGCTTACCACCACCCGTGGTGGCCCGGAAGATCTTCGATTCATGGGTACAGCTGGGACAGACGAAACCAGACATGTTCTCGACCAATCCGAGGATTCGAATACCCGCCTTGCGACAAAAGTCAATCTCCTTCCGCACATCAAGCAGCGACACCTCCTGAGGCGTCGTGACCACTACTGCTCCATCGACCCCAGACTCCTTCAGCAGCGAATTCACCGACAAGTGCTCATCCGAGGTGCCCGGCGGCGTGTCGACGATCAAGTAGTCCATCTCGCCCCAGTCGACATCCTTCAAAAATTGCTTGATAAGCCCATTCTTTTTGGGGCCTCTCCAGATCACGGCATCGTCTCGATTGGGGAGCATGAACTGCACGCTCATCACACCCAAGTTATCCGACACCCAAACCGGACTCCACCCGGCATTGCTAATGTGGATGGTCTCCGACTCCACGCCCATCATCTTCGGAATACTAGGTCCACAGATATCCGTGTCCATAATGCCAACAGTCGAGGCCGGGTTCGACGCAAACCCGTGCGCAAGGAGGGAGGAGAAGGTTGATTTGCCCACTCCTCCTTTTCCAGACAGTACTAGGATCTTATGCCGGATTTGTGCCAGTCGCTCGGTGATGATCGGGATATCGGGATCGGGGCCTTTGGGGGCAGAGGCGCAAATCGCTTGGTTGGGACATCCTGCGCAGGCATCGCCTTTGCCTGCTTGTTCGGATTCAGGACCGGGACAGTGCTCTGCGGAGGAGGGTTAGTGACGGGCCAAGGGGGATCGATCGAAGTTTTTTTTTTTTTTTTTTTTTTTTTTTTTTTTTCATGCCATACCTGGTTCAGGAGCAACGAGATTGGGAGCCATCTTTGATGGCGCCTCAAAGTCAGCCGTTGTGGGCTCCTCCAGAGAAGGCGCCATAACGGTGGTGGTTCGTAGGTGCTTGGGCGGGGTTTCGGTCAGATCGAAGGAAGATGCGCCAGGCTGAAGTTAATCTCTGCTGAGGTTCAGATAAATTATAATTTATAGATCAGCAAGAAAGTTCATAAACGGTCTGAAATTCAACCTGCTAATAAAGATGAGAATAAAGGTGGCGAGGGGTTTGTGGAGGTGATGCTTGATAATCATCCATGGGCCGGAAATGACAAACAGTACTTTGGCGATTGGCGCGGGGACATTGCGGTGTCGGAGGCAACAAATCTTACCAACTGTAGAAAAGGGAGAAAAAAAGTATACAAAGTATTATATTGAATATTAGATCTTTGGAGGTAGTGTTAAACTTGTTCCTGATTCCATCACCGGTTATAAATATGTATACTGAGGTGGGAGATTGAAATTGAGAGTCCCAGATCTTGTGAATATTAATGTGAATATATTTGATATATGACCCTAGAAGCTGTTCCTGGTTGACTATAGAGAAGTACATAGCAGATACTCCAAAAAAGAAAACATCAGAAGATGTTCCAATAAGGGAAATATTTCAATAATAGGGTATACATATACATATTACTGCTGTATATAGTGTGGACTAGTGTTTACCCTATGGAGATTAAAATCACTCAGTGTTCTTAACCTACTTCAAGAATGCCCATTTCTATTATTGTAGGTCTTAGTGGAAGATCAATTTCACGAGCACCATTCATCACAACTGATTTGAGGAGCTGATCCCAGCTATAGACGGGATACATAAACCCAGGATTGATCTTGCACAGCCGGTAAGCGTCGAGAGAGGGGAAAGGGAAACCAGGATTATGGTTGATGGAAGAGTTAATGCAAGGTAAGAACTTTAACAGCTGATTAGAACAATAATTATCCATACGGAGTAACTATACAGAGTATTAATGCATAATCAGTCAAACAGACGAATTCAAGTCGCAGCCTCATGCAGATGCAGCGTGTTACCTGCCCAGTACATCTATACAGATTGCTGAAGACCAGGAATGTTGACTATGCCCATGTATTACAAATTTTGAATACTCTTTCCACATTGCCAAGCTCTCGCTAGATTCTTGTTGAGGAGCATTAGATTAGTATGGGAGACTTCGGAGCAGGAATTCTCCTTCCTTCTATGCCATTCTTCCCTTGTTATCTAGCCAGAATGGAGGAAGGGAATAATATAATGTACTCTGTATGCGGCAATTATTTTGCACCATCCCGATTGGCAGGATTTTGCATGAGGAAAACAATAATAACAAAGAACTATAAGTAATTGATAATAATACAATGGTCTAAGATATTATATTTGATACAATATCGCTCACTAACTATCTACCTAGTCTAGATAATAATCCCAACATTTTCCTGGAGGAGTCTCAATGTGGGCTGGTTGGTGCCTCAGGTGTGTCCAGGCCAATCACAAGACCCATTCTTAGCTTCCGTTTTTGGGTCGTCGTCACATGTATTTTTTCCCCTTCATCCAGAATTTCTTTTCTTTCTCGCTTCATTTCGAAGACTAAACAAACAAACCCCCCCAAAAAAAAGACAACCCCCCCCCCCCTTATATTATGGATCGCGGCCTTTCAACAGGCTCCCATCATCCAGACGATGATGGGCTTCGGGAGAGGAATATCTCCTCTCAGTCTGACCTAAACGTCAGTCCTGGGGCTCTCGCAGCTACTGCGGAATCAACTGGAAAGGACCAAGTGGGCAAGACCTTTGGTCGAACCCCAGACGGTACAGGTATGTATTTCACTCCTTACCTCAGAAGACTTCAGATGTCGTCTCATTCCTCGCTTTATACCCTGTTGGAAGCTGCTAAACCGTTGCTTCGTGATGTGATGCCTGACCCGGTTGTTCTCCCATTGAATAGTATTCACGGTGCCGCAAACCCACGACATGGTCTCTCAGCTCTTGTCACCATCAGAGCCGAAGAATCTATCGGACATTATTGTCTTGGCCATTCTGGCTGCTCACATTCTCCTACTATGGAAGCTCCCTGCAGGAGCCAAGGCCCCCGTTTTTGCAGTTATTTACCTCTTTTGGCGGACAGGTTACAATGCGGGGATTGGATGGCTACTCCACAACCAATCTCACCACAAGACGCTTGTCCGTTGGGCTGAGAAGTACAAGATTTTCGTGAATCCCGCTACCGGGAAAAACCCACACCCTCAACTGTACAACTGGATCAAGTGGGAGCTAGAAGCCAAGATCCCCGACGACTATTCCTTCGAGAAAGCCCCAATTGAGTATAACACCTGGCTCGTTTTTAGACGCCTGGTGGACTTGATCTTGATGTGCGACTTTACGTCGTACTGTCTCTTTGCGATAGCCTGTAGCCACCACCCTGCTAACGAAAGCGTCTTGATGACTATTCTGCGCTGGACGTCCGGTATTGCGTTGGTTTTGTTTAATCTTTGGGTCAAATTAGATGCGCACCGGGTCGTCAAGGACTATGCTTGGTACTGGGGGGATTTCTTCTACCTCATCGACCAGGAGTTGACCTTTGACGGTGTCTTTGAGATGGCTCCTCACCCTATGTATTCGGTCGGGTATGCCGGTTATTACGGTATTTCACTGATGGCCGCAAGCTATAAAGTGCTATTCATCTCCATTATCGCCCATGCAGCTCAATTCGCCTTCCTTGTGTTGGTTGAGAACCCACACATTGACAAAACGTACAACCCACCCCCTCGCAAACGTACCGCGGATCAAGACTCGGTGTCTACAGCATCGCAGTCTCTGGAGTCTCCAAATGCGCCATCTCCAGTCGATGATCAATTGCCCCACGCGCCAAAATTCAGCAGCCCGCCCCCTTCCGTCCACAATCTGTTAGGACTCAACAATTTAGACTTGTATCGGACCACGGACACTTCTTCCATGCTTGTCCAGTTCCTTATGTTCTCTTTAACTATCCTGACGCCTTCAACACCCTGGTACCAGTTTTTCTTCGTGGTTAATGCCGCACTCTGGAGACTCTGGTACTCAGTGGGTATCGGCTACCTGCTGAATCGTCAGTCCAATTGTAAGGCATGGACCCGCCATTTTGTCAAGTATGGCGAAACGCCCCATGAGGCATGGAGCCAATGGAAAGGCACGTATCACTTAAGCATGATTATGTGTTACTCAAGTTTCATCGCCGCCGTCTGGAAGATGTATACCCTGCCCTTAGACTGGGGTTATGGCCTCGTGCTACTTCGCCATGTCCTAGGTGCGGGCCTCATTAGCCTGCAGATCTGGACGTCTGTGAGTATCTATGAGTCGCTGGGTGAGTTTGGTTGGTTCTACGGAGATTTCTTCTTCGATGAATCGCCCAAACTGACGTACAATGGCATCTATCGCTTTTTGAATAACCCTGAGCGGGTGCTCGGTCTGGCAGGCGTCTGGGGTGCGGTTCTTATCACTACTAGTGGTGTAATCGCTTTCCTTGCCTTCATGAGCCACATCCTCAGCCTGGGATTCATTCAATTTGTCGAACGACCTCATATGCAAAAGCTGTACGGCCGGGGCCTGCGCCAGGATGCAGGACTGGTGAAGAGCTTGAAGCGATCCTTACCTCCATCCCTCAAGCAACTTCACGGAAGTGTCGACAAGATGTTTGATGATTCATATGAATTCATCGAAGAAATCATTGACTCTGCACGTCCAAAACTTGCCGCTGGCGTAAATACCTTCGTTCAGGATACGACCGCACTCTTCCAGAAGTATCCAGCTCGTGTGACCATTTCTCGCATTGACGCAGACCTAGCTGGATATGATTCACGAGACTATTCTTTGTCGATCGAAGGCACTGACTCGTTACCTCTGGAGGAGTGTGATCTCAGTAGAGAAGGCGCCAATGCCCGCACACCCCTTGATAGACGTGGTGAAGTGAAAAATCTGGTGTTCCAGTATGGATCACCAGTAAAGGTCAAGTGGACCGCTCCCCTCAACCACCACAAGAAAGATTGGATTGGGCTCTATAGGGTGATCGACAACACATCTCGAGAGGTCACACGCGTCTCTTCCCAAGGAAGATGGGTCGCCGTAAACGAGGGCTTTTACGATAATCTCACATGTGAAAAGGGCATCATTACAAGCGATGTGGTCGTCTCTACTTCCAACGGCGAGGATGGGGATAAGCATGAAATCGCTACCGGTGAGATTGTCTTTTCCGGAGACAAGCTCTTCTGGACTCAAGGCGTGTTCGAATTCCGTTATCACCACAATGGCAAGCACAATGTCATGGCTATCTCACGACCCTTTGAGGTCAAGATTCCTCGATTTGAAGAGGAGGATGATCGCTTGGAAATATCCCAGACTGCAGTTGAAATGAGTCTGTTACCTGTTGTCCAGAACTGTTTCGATCGTGACCCGGAAATCGCACCAGAGACAGTGGAAGAGCAATTTGGCAGCCTAGTTGATCGCGATAGCAAATATGCAAAGCGAGTCGTATTTGCTGTGCACCAAATGTGCGTTCTTAGTCCCCCCTCCCCCATCAATTCCCTTGACCTGTCACTAATCGATCATAACAGGTTTGGTGTTGAATTCGCCACCGAGGTCGTTCGATCCGACGGCAACGTCCACAACCTCGCCTGGCGAATCTGCAACGCAAAGAGAGTCCTGGTGCGTACCCTCCATCCATCTATATCTCCTTTGTTCTTTCCTTCTCATACATAGGGCTAACAATCATCTCGAATAGGCTCCCTACAGCATGTCCAGAAACGGTGCATCTACACCAACAGATGGGAAAGAAGACTAACGATGGAAAGAAAGAAATACAACTTTTCCATGAGATGATCTAACGAGCGGTGTTTCTTGTTTTCTGCCTATCACTATAACTGAAAGGAGAAAGAACAGACGAGGGGGAAAAAAAAATAACTCATGGCTGATTTACCAGACCGGTCTAGGTTTATGCCCGGGTCTAGATGCGAATGCCTGTTATGTGGTGTGGATGAAATGGAAAGATTTGAAATGAATTGCTTCATTTGGAAGATACCCGGACTGGAGTAGGGGGTATGGTGGTTAAAGTAGGCCTTTATAACTTCAAAAGTACATACAATTTAGTATATGAAAATACAATTTTATTATTACTCTGAGATGAATAGCTACTATTGTAAAGGTGCTGTTCAAAAAAGGGGGTTTCATTATCAAGATCTATATCCATGCTAATAATCTAAACTCAATGCGCGAGGAAAGCCTAGAAATCCAATGATCCATTAGCAACTTGTTACTGATCACTCGAGCAATCAAGAGTCAAATCGGGATCATTAAAGCGAAGTAGATCAGCCAAGCCGGTAAATTCATCCCATCCCCTGCCAGCCTCGATCCCAGAACCTGCCATCCAGGACGGACGACGAGTTCCAGAAAAGTAACTGACACAAGTCAAGCACAGCAAACAAAGCCAGTTCGAACAATGCAGGAAGATACAGCAATGTAGCCTACTCCCCAACACTCCACAACCATCCTCCCAGTTTCGCATCTTCCCCCTTCCGAGGAAGGGGGAGAGTGAAAAAGGTCCAGTATCAGGGAGGCGGGAAAATAGATCACTATACCCCTGTGGCACTATTTTACTAGCAGATGCAGGCCCGAAGGGATGTTTCTCGTGAGAGAATCATTGAATGGATTGACTTGTTGTCATCATAAAGGTAGTGGGTGTTTTTGTGTGTGTGAAGGGGATGAATCCGTACCTTGTACTTTTTGAGTTGTGGGACAGGAATAAAAGGATAATAGTTTACAAAACCTATAATCTTAGAAGCTGTCAGTACTAGTTGGACTTCAGAGTAAACAAGTGACAGATAGAGGAGCTCCAGGTTAATCAGGAGTTTTTGGTAAGGTATTTGTTTTTCTTCAAGATGTTTGCAGAAGCAGAACTGAAAAAATTTGTCTCATCATAGAAGCTTGATGGAAAGGGGGAAAATTCAATAAAAAATCACCATACCTTGAAATTCGTACGCCATGGACGTACCTGCCTATATTGTTTGAGCTACCTGTGACAATGTTAGCAAGACCATTCAATAGCATATATTGCAATGACTTGATAAATGTGAAAGATGATCATCAGATGGTGATGCATGTTGTTCAATGGCCCATTTGTTTGTCGCCAGAACTAAGATTTTGGATCGGTTTCCTCATATGAATGCGTGGGTGAAGGGGGCAAGAATGAGAGACTCACAAGATAATATTAGTGCCAGGAAGTAGGTAAGTTACAATAATTCTGCTGCAGAAGCTGGAAAAGAAAACCAGCCTGTTGTTCATCAATGAGAATAGGCGAGGTGTGGCAGCTGTTTGTGTGGGAAGAAAGAGAAGAGAAGAGAAGAGAAAAAGAAATTGAAAGTGAGGAAAGAAAAACCTAACGGGTGGAGACCACGCTAGTAGACAAACAATGCAAACATCCCTCAAAATTGTAGATTCCAATTCTGGACAACGACAGCAGCCTCGAGTTGAGGTCTTCACATATTCGGCTCTTTGCCTTGCTTGTTTTTATTAGATCGCTTGCGGTCGGTCAAGAACTCGTCAGGCTATGTCAAGACATGTGTAATGACTGACAGAAGAAGAATCAATGGGCCGCCCAGCGGCACGCGGCCTCCGGTCTTTGCTTCCTCTATCAAGTCCACCTCCGTCACCACATCAGAGCGACCCCAGCGTCAAAGACAGCCAAATGAGCTGCGGAAGATATGTAAGGGCCCATATTTCTTTATGATATTCTCAGAGTCGAGGCTTATATCCGTCCTATCTAGACCTCAAAACCGGGTTAATCCCTTCAGCCTCGGGATCTTCTTACCTAGAATTCGAACCATCAGCTTCTCTTTCTGCTGCGCGGGCATCGCCTAAATCCTTGATTCCTCCATCCTCAGCCTTGAAGCTCGCATGTACCGTTCATGGGCCCAAACCTCTCCCACGATCTGCCACATTCTCCCCCAACCTCGTCCTGACAACACACGTCAAGTATGCGCCATTTGCTGCCAGGAAGCGGAAAGGACATATCCGCGATGCTAGCGAACGGGACCTAGGCGTGCATTTAGAGACCGCTCTCAGGGGCGTGATCGTTGCAGAGAGATGGCCAAAGAGTGGACTCGACATCACCATTACCATCCTGGAAGCAGAAGACGATCGCTGGTGGGGAGACGCTCCCGACTCTCATGATGCGCCCTGGGGCATGATGAATGTCCTAGCAGGATGTATTACTGCTGCATCCGCAGCTATCGTGGATGCACGGATTGACTGCCTGGATCTTGTGGCAGGAGGAGTAGCAGCGGTGGTGTGCGATGAATCTGCTGATGGAGAAGCGGCCGCCCCGAAACTGGTGCTGGATACGGATCCCGCGGAACATCGGTCTATTCTGTCTGCTTGTGTCGTTGCTTATATGCCTGCTCGCGATGAAATCACTGAGATCTGGCTCAAAGGGGATACTTCAAAAGCGTCTGTGGGGGGCGACGACAAAAACCTCGCGCATGAGGCGCTGATAGATGGTGCCGTGGCTGCAGCTCGGGGAGCACATACCGTTCTCGCTGAAGCTGTCAGAGAGTCCGCCGAGCGGTTTGCTGGCTTGTTAATGGCTGAAAATTCTGCATAATCGGGTCAATACTTTTAGTTTACATATCCTTGAGACTTCATCTAAACCTTCACATTAAGACGTGAAACAGTGCCTTTGGTATTATGTAGCTATCTGGTTTGGCTTCTTGTAGGATACAGCATGTTCACCTTACTCCCTGAAAGGTCCTCAAGACTGTCTCTCTGCTCTCTGTCTGTCTGGATGTTTCTGATAATGGGATTAAAGGAGGAAAAGGGTTCAGATTTGAAACTACAGAGGAAGTGAGACAGAAAGTGTACATTCAAAGGAATTGAGCCCTTATAACACTCAACATGAATCGGGAATAAGGAGTAACATTCAATGAAAAAGGTCTACCTTTTTTTTTAAGACCTGCCTAGGTAGTGATACAATCGCCCTGGAAACAAAGCATAGGTAGAGATAGAAGAGAATAACACAAGATCAGGCTCTTCTCCTATTCCCTAGCTAGATGAGTAGTCACTTGGCTCTTCTCTCTTCCTTCTTAAACCCTTCTCTCCCTCTATACACCTCTCTCTATCTCATAGTCTCGTCCTCAAACTCTCATCCTCAGACATCCAATCCCCCCCCCCCCCCCCCTCTTCCATCCAAACCTGCAAAATGCCAGCAACCACCCAGCCAGACCCAAGCCTCCTGTTCCTGCACCTGTGCATACAGAACTCAGACCTGAACAAGGTATGTCAACGTCACCACCCTTGCCAATAAGCGTCTTTCCAAGACTTAGACTTAGACTAGACTAGACTGTGAGTTAACCCTACCCAACAGATTGATTTTGCTGCTGTCGGCGCCGCTACCGGCCTCAATATCCCCGCGGTTCGGATGCGTTATTCCCGCCTGAAGAAAAGCCTCGAGAGCAGCATCGTCGATGGCAAAGTGAATTTGAATGTCAAGTCCGCTGAGAATGCCGCGCCCGCGTCCGCAGAGGAGCAGCCTGACGCATCTCCTGCGTCTCCGTCGTCCGCGCAGAAGAAGAAAAACCGTGTGGCCAAGAGGAAGGTGGTGGGTAAGCAGGAGAAGGTGGCGGCCAAGCAAGAACACTAGGGAATGGAGCGGCAGGAAAGGGGATGCATCCATCATGTGCCTGGTGTTGTGATTAAGGGGATTGATTTATTGAAGCCTTGGAGAGGGACCCGGGTTGAGATGGATGAGATTGGGGTTTGTCTCTGATTTCCCTAGTGATCCATAGTTAGTGAGTGTTGTCCGGAGAATACCAGTGTATTGCGACTTATGAGGACAAGGGTAGTTGGTGAACTGATACTGTTGATGATAGATAGGTATACTCCGTAATGGGGATTGCTTGAGCTCTCGGAATCTGAAGAGAATTGAAAAATGCATGTGAGTAAAATCCAGATGCAGGAACTATCTACTAAGTTACTCTACTCCTAATAATGGGGTGTAAATAATCCCTGCTACAGAGTACTCCTTTCTTTGTCTTCCCCTCTACGGAGTACATATCTCACTACTCCGTGCTTGTAGTAGGTACAGAGGATTGCAAATATTTGTAAATTGGAGTATCTCAGCGCTCCAGGTTTACCTCCAAAGTAGGTACCTAGGTAGTCATGATTTTAATTCTCGTCCAGCAGAGATCAATAACATCTCCTTTCCAATTGTGATAGTTATCTGCCAGGAAAGAGATGAATCACACGGACTATCCCTATCTCGGGCAAGCAGTCCGGGCTTAACCAGCAATAAAACCGACGCATTCAATGTAATTTCGGGCTGGCGACAAATAGGAAGGTAGATATAAGCGCTGGAAGAGATCCCTCCAGATTCCGCAAGAGATACATGTTCCCTTGCAACGTGTAGGTCCCCTGCAGGCACAGGATTGGGGATTTGACTCGTCGATTTGCCGCGCGAACACGTTCCTCGTCAGTTCGTGCTAATTCCGAATCTTGTAAGTAACTATCTAATGATGCAGTCAGATTTGTTGGGTAGTTACGTAGCTAGTGAGAGAGAGGTACGTGGTTAGTGGACGCCATCTGGCCCATTCGCTGTTTGTGCGGTGATTGGGATCGTTGCGGGACATGCCCGATCGTATTAGTGTGGAAGACAACAGGCCTATAACATCGGATGTTAATGACCCTCTTTTTCTTCGGATTGCTCGGTGTTGAGATCATAGTTATCACTAACTAGCATCGTGGAGTCGTGGACTAAAGTTAGCAAGTTGGTAAATTGGAGCTCACCACCAGAGGGCAAAAATGGTTTCACTAGGATTTTGTCTTTTTGCTGTCAGTTATGCATAAGAATACTTAGTGCAACGGCGTATCCTCCGATGGGTCTTTTTCCGTCCAGACTATTTATTGAGTCTGACTCGAGTAGTTTTTTGACAGGTTCAGGGGTGATGAGAGAAAATTCCGACAAGGAATCTGTCTTGTCTGTGTCATACTCTTAAAAATCCCGAACGTACTCGTATTAGGGTTTGGTAGACTGTAGGGAATTGCTCCGTACAACAGTTCCTGACTTCCTGTTACCCTAGGTTCATGTTCTTATGATTCCGATCCAGATTCGTACTATCTTAATCGGCGTTTCAGCTTGGTATACTCGATCTGGGCCCAGTCTCTCTGCAATCTGCATATCTCCAAAAGGGTTCGGCTGGCACGGAGTATACTTACTATACTTCACTTTCTATGGAAACATGCCCGGATAAGAATATTTTGGTAACAGGGAAAGGTAGCTACTGAGGTCCAGAGCATTTCTCGTGTCAACCTATCAATTATAAATACTATATGTCTATCGTGGACAGAACAGTGCGTCTCGCATGTCTTTCCTTCGTGGGAGAGGCGGCTGGATGATCCCCTTTGATATACCAATAAAAAAAAAGTCCCCGCCATCTCCACTAACTATTATTAAGTATTATTACCTGAAGGCTGAGGATGGAGTTTCTGGCTCCATCGGTTACGATTTTCTCTCACTGGGCTGTTAGGTCAGTATTTTTTTTTTTTTTTTTTTTTTTTTTTGGTTGTTGACAGCTAACGATCTTATAGGTAGTGAAGCAGATTGTCCCAAATTTGCAAGGGAAAATAGATAGAATCAGATAGAACAGAAAAAAAGAAAGAATAAAAGAAAAAGAAGAGAAGAAATTGTCTCCTTTTCTCGAGAATTCAAGGATGTTAAGAGTCCACTACACTATCTACTCTGTACCTCTAAGATGACTCCATTCATACCAGGGCCATGATCCATCACAGTCCCAGTAATAGGAGTGTACACTGTATTAGCAAATAAAGCACATGAAATGGAGCTTAGGCCGGGGTAATTACCATGGAATTAACCATTAGCCTGTGATACCTTGCTCAAGACAACAGCTCTAGACATGCGATCTGCAAACTTGAATGGCATCGGGACATCGTCCCAGTTTAGTAGCTTAGCACTAGGAGTCTTTGACCTTTTTTTTTTTCTTTTACTGCTTCTTTTACCGTTTCTTTTTTCTTATTCTTCTCTTTCTCTTCTCTTTCCCTTGTAGACCCGATTTTTCCCACTCTTTTCCCACTCTTTTGTCCATCTGAAATCGTACCTACCTGGTATACTCCTTCCATGTCAGAGCAAGATGCCATCCATGACTTGCAATCCTTGATTCCGGTTGCTGTTTCTCTCTTTAAGTGATCTCCTACGCTGTTTGATTCTCTTCTCTATAATATATTATCGGTTTTATTCCATGCGTTGACGCAACCCCTCTGCCACTTCGTTCATTTAACCGGCCTCAACTCCCGGATTCTTCTTCAAGACTCGTTTGGTTTTACTAGGACTCCTATGCAGGACGTCGTGAGTGCCTAACTCCCTTTGGTCCCAAAGTTTGCTGGTTCACTGCAGCAATTCGCCGAGAATGGTGGTTCTCAAACGGTTCTTCCATGCGGAGAGAGCTTCACCAACCCCGGGCTCCAGGGATGCAGACATCCCGAGTAGGAGCCCATCACAACGCACCCAAGCATCGGGATTGGGTCTGAGCTCGAAGAATGCACAGCTGCTGGATGGAAATGGGCATTTTCAGAACATCGAAAAACAATTTGAAGCGATGCATGAGCAATTGCAGGCCCGATCCATGCCCCCGCCTACACACATTCCGCTCTCTCGTGCCTCAATCCGTCTTGCAAATAGAAATGCGCGACATATCGACCTGCTGGATGCTTTGCTCACATTCCAGAAGCATCAGATTGTGTCATCTGGCCTGGTATCACCCACTGCACCATACAATGAGGATGTTGCGGAGCGAAATATGGCGCCGTTTCTGCGCGGACGACAACCACGAAGCAAGAATCTCTACTCGCGCAGTATTTCACCTCTGTACCAGGAGGACGTTGCGGATAGAAATATCGCGCGGAATCGAAGGAGGAGCCGCTCACTGACCCGATCCAAATCGCACCGCTCCTACCAGCCGAGTTGTCAAAATGGTGGTGTGAAAGGGCGCCCACGCTCGAAAACGAAAGAAAGTCAGATCCTGCGTTCAACCTCGCCGGACTCTTTACGTCCCATACAGACCCCCCAGGGAGAGACAAGGGCCTCTAGCTCAAACGACTCGGAGATCCCGTATACCGGGAGGCATCTAGGTGTACCCCCAGCATACAAGCAAGGGGATTCTTGGAGCAACACGCCTCTCCCAGACAGTCCAACATTACCCATGACCATGGGTTATCAGCCGCGAAAGCTGAACGAGAACCCACGACAAGACTCCCCAGCGGGCTCAACTCCCAGCCCGCGTTTACCAAAGACGCCCAAAGAGCAAAAAAGTCCGGGATTTCGCCCAAGATCATCGGGCTTGAAGAAAAATGTCCGTGATCTCTCCATCAACACGGAATTAGCTGCTCTAGGAAGACCCCACAACATTGCCCACCGTGCCATCCAACCGCCAACCCCGAGCAACTTGGAAGGGAACCAAACCTCCAGTATTGCGGAGGTTATGAACAGCCCTCTGCAAATTGCAACACCAACATCCCCCGCGCTCTCGCTACTGCCCATGACCAACCAGAAGGTAGCAGAGATCATGGATATGTTCCGCAGGGCGTACATGTCTACACAAACCATATCACCACACCCAACATTCGAGACTCTCCAAGACGCAATTATCCGCGAAATCAACTCCCACGAGGCATTTCAACGTGTGCCTGTGCCTGAAGCCGGCCCAGCATTTACTCCATCTCCTTCCCAGGACTCATTTGACAAGAGTGCACCAGCTCTTAAGCCCTCATCATCAACCTCACTCAAAGATGGGCAGCTGTCCAGATTGATCCGAAAGGGCTCCCTGAAGAGGCACATGAGAGACTCGGAACTCCGTAAAAGCATCTCCACCAGCGTCCCCTCCCACGTCTCCCGACAAACCCCCAGTCGACGCAGACACACCGACGCGCCACACCCAACCCCAGGCTTCTTCGACACAACGGAACCCAACCAGCTCACCGGTGAAGAACCAGTCACCTACATGGATCTACTTTTGCAGACCGAGAAATCCACACCCCAACCCTGTTGTGCTAGCGGCCTCAGCACCACGCCATCCATTCTTTACATGCGGGCCCAGACATCCGGTTCAGACCGTGAAAGCCGAGCTAGCTTATCTGCTGACGATAGTGATGATGAAATCATCCATCTTCCGAGTGTTGGAACCATCCCTCAGGTCCAGATCCATGGTGTCGACGAGAACAATGTTACATATGTGGCTGCAGAGAATACGACACCTCGAAACGCTTACCGGTTGATGAATTGGCCGCGGAAATCCAACCGCAGCGTCAGTTGGCGCAGTACCTTGACCAGGAACGGTAGCGCTTCTACAAAAAATAGAAACAGTGGGCTCTCCGTGCAGTCGTACTGAATTTGTTTTTCTCATTCCCATTTCTCGAAAATCTCTCCTTCTCCTCTCTCCCTGCTCGTTTCTCTCGAACTTCGATCACAAGGCAACGACGCTATTCCATGAGCCATGACAACCCATGTCTCGTCTTATCATTCCATCCCTGCGTCCTTGCATTTCCTACATGTCATATCATCCATCTACATATACCTCATCAACACCTAGTATCACTTCAGTCTCTTTCTCATCTAAGTACCTCTACTTTGGCATCTAGCATCTTTCCTTGCCCAGGAGCTCTCTTTCTTCGGTCTCTGTCTTGCGCTCATTCGTTTCTCTTTCTGTGTCTGTCTGTCTGTCTGTCTCTGATTTTCTTTTCCAACACAAAAATATTCCCGATGGTTTTGGCGCATCGGCGTCATTTCTTACTAGAATAAGGTTAACATACTATAAATATAAATATAACTGTAACTATGAATCTATCTATACGAAAATATATAAACACACAGGCTTAAATATTCTAGTACTTTGCCTGCTGCTTAATTAGGTTGTAAGTATTGATATATATATATGTGTGTAGGTCAGTAGGTCAGTAGGTCAGTAGGTTGGTATAGTTATAGTAGCACATCACAACCCAACACAGACAAATAGTCTAGAATATATGATATGGATATAGAAGATCAAAAACCCCTTGATATTCCCTACAATGACTGAATTCACGCATACCTAGCTACAACAACATCAGAATAAATATAAATTCTAACTCTTCGCAAAGGCTTCCTTAAATATATGACTCCATGCCCATTCATTCATCCATCAACCACCCCCCCCCCCCGGCCGCCAAAGTACTGACTGACTGGAAAAGAAGAAACATAACCCAAATAATCACTAACACCCCAGGCGCTGTCACTACTCGTGTTTTTTTGGGGGGGCGGGGGGGGGGGGGTTAATATTCCGTATTTTGGTGGGTTTGTTTTACTTGTTATGTTATCGGTGGTGTTTAACACTACGTGCTTAGATCGTAAGTGGTAACAATTAGGAGAAAAACCAGGTCATAAGAGTCATGGAAGCCGTATCAATGTGGAGATGATAAGCAATGCTATTCCTGAAGTGAGTGAAATAGCTCTTAGTGTTAGATGATGAAAATGCGTTTTAGTAAGAGCCTAGAGATAGGGTGAAAAAAACATAGTGGTTAGTTGGTGATATCTGGAAACTCGGCATAAAAGGGAGGTGAGGGAGTGACTTACGTCCGAACATGCACCATTTCTCGGCAAATCGAGTACACTTGGGGTTGGTGCACTTGGTCTCGCCGGGCTTGATGCCTTCTGGCTGGTCGAAGGGAATGCAAAGGGATTTGGCGCCCATGCTGGGGGCGCGGGAGTCCTGGGGCTCATTCGAGTCCTCCTCAGCTTTGCGGGCGCTCATCTCCTTGATTTGGTCCTCACACTCCTCTGTCAGGCAGTGAGGGATGATACAGATGTTCTTGTCGTTAAGGGCAGGGGTGAAGTCATCCCAGCTGGTGATGAGCTTGCGGTGGGAGCGGTACTGGTCGTCTGCGCGCTTGAACATATCCTTGTGGATGGTATCGAGGAGAGTGGGAACTGCGGTCGACAGCTCGGGGATAGGGATAGTGGATTTGCCCTCCTTGCCTGGGATATCGCGACGAGCAACAGTGACAAAGTTGCCAGCAGACTCGCCAGGGCCGAATTCAATGCGCAGAGGAACACCGCGAAGTTCCCAGTCGTTGAACTTCCAGCCAGGGGAGTATCCGTCACGCTTGTCGCTGTCAGCACGCACACCAGCAGCGGTGAGAGTAGAGACAAGGGCGTCAATTTCAGCGTAGAGCTTGTCACGGTCTTCAGCAGTGGTCTTGGCGGTGATACCAACGGGGATAACAATGGTCTGAATCTCAGCGACACGGGGAGGGATAACCAGACCGTTGTTGTCACTGTGGATCATAACCATGACACCTAGAGTACGGGTCGACAAACCCCAAGAGTTCTGCCAAACGTGGAGATGGGGCTTCTTCTCGTCGCCCTTCGCCGAAGGATCCTCGACGGTAATGCCGAACATCTTACTGAAGTTCTGACCGAGACCGTGAGATGTACCACCCTGGATACCACGGCCAGTAGCGGGGATATAACCTTCAACAGTGGTAGTATACAAACCACCAGCAAACTTCTCCTTCTCGGTCTTCTGACCCTTCACAACGGGGACAGCCAAGAGCTCCTCGTAGATAAGCGCATAGAGGTCAAGAATCTGGAGAACCTCCTCGCGAGCCTCCTGCTCGGTCAAGTGAGCAGTATGACCTTCCTGCCAAAGGAATTCTCGGGTTCGGAGGAAAGGCTGGGGGTGCTTGAATTCCCATCGAACGACAGAATTCCACTGGTTGAGTTTGAGGGGCAGGTCGCGGTGGCTTCGGATCCACTTGGCATAGTAAGGGTACATGACGGTCTCTGATGTAGGGCGGATGGCAATCTTCTTCTCAAGAGGGGTCGAGCCTCTGTAAACCAAAAGAAAAGGAGCATCAGTAATTGGAACGCCAATTGAATGGCAAAGAGGAAAGAAAAGTCTTACGCATGGGTAACCCAAGCAACTTCAGCAGCAAAGCCTTCAATGTGGTCCTTTTCCCTCTGAAGAACATCCTCGGAAACAAACAGAGGGAAAGAGCAGTTCTTGACGCCCATCTTCTTGATGCGCTCGTTGAACCATTGCTGGATCTCCTCCCAGATAGAATAGGAAGCAGGCTGGCGCATATCAGTACAAAAGCTCGACATCATCTACACACAGAAATCATCGCCCACCTTGAGAATGTAGCATCCGGAAACATCATAGTAGTCGAGCATATCACCCTTTGTGAGGACCTGCTGGTACCATCCTGGGAAATCCTCCTCCTTGGAGACATCGATTCCAATCAAGGCCTTGTCGGGGTTCGCCTTGGCTCCCTTGGCGCCGGCCTTCTGTCCCTTTCCAGCCTGTCCGGCCTGTCCGGCCTTAGCAGCCTTCTCAGCCTTCTTTGCGGCCATCTCGGCTTGCTTAGCAGCCTTCTTTGCGGCATTCTTCGAGACCTCTCCCTGAGGGGCATCCCCGCTGGCGGGGGTTTGGGTGCGATCAGGCAGGGTTTGAGAGGCACCGGTGGTGTCGGCAGGGACTTGGCTGGCCATTTTGCAGAAGACCTAATGGAGACCAGAAGGGACTACCGGAGCGATATTCTGAAAGAAGGCAAAGGAAATCGCCAGAAGTCGTGAATTGGAAAGCGAATTGGGGGCTTTGTCTGAGTCAAAGTGGGATGAATCTAGAAAACTTCACCGCCCGGATGCGGCAGAACTTTTAGCGCAAACACGACGAGCTTCCTTTACAAACGACGCAGAAAAGCAGCTGTTGGAGCTTTGATACTCGGACAAGCAGCATTTCTACTGTCTGGCTTGCGAAATGGCAGGAATTTTCGAGGCGCCGCGTAACGCGGATACTCTCTGTGAGTTTTTTGTGCCCCTGGTGTCAAGATTTTGCCTCTCCCCGCTCTCCAGAAGTTGGGACTAATTCACCTCGCACAGTCTTGGGTGGGCAGAAAATCACCGGCGCTGACGTGCGGGACCAGAATGGTATGTTAACCCAAATATTCCCCCTTTTTTCTCATTATATTCGGTCCCTGTCCTGATTGTGTATCTAGTCCTTGCGACCCAGGCGATTGCAAATGTTGTCAAGAGCTCGTTCGGCCCCTCTGGCCTGGATAAGATGATGGTGGACGATATTGGTGTACGTTTGGTTCGGACCCCGCGCCGTTTCGACAGATTCTGATAGATTTTAGGATGTGACGGTTACCAATGATGGAGCGACTATTTTGAGTCTTCTCGATATCGAACATCCTGCCGGAAAGATCCTCGTTGATCTCGCCCAACAACAGGATCGGGAGGTACATCCCACCAACCCCTTAAACCCCTAGAGTGGTGGGGATATGGATGCTGATTGTGTATAGGTTGGAGATGGTACTACATCCGTTGTTTTGATAGCTGCAGAACTCCTACGCCGAGCGAACGAGCTGATGAAGAATCGCATTCACCCCACGACCATTATCAACGGATACAGACTAGCACTCCGAGAGGCTGTCAAGTATATGAACGAGAACATCGCCACAAAGGTTGAGAGTCTAGGAAAGGACAGCTTACTTAACATTGCAAAGACATCTATGTCCAGCAAGATCATTGGCGCGGACGCTGATTTCTTTGCTAATATGGTTGTCAATGCCATGTTGCTGGTGAAGACCACAAACCAGAAAAATGAGGTCAAGTATCCCGTCAAAGCAGTGAATCTGCTGAAGGCTCACGGAAAGAGTGGTACAGAGTCAGTACTAGTTAATGGTTATGCTCTTAACTGTACTGTTGCTTCTCAAGCCATGAAGACCCGCATAACCGATGCGAGGATCGCCTGTTTAGATATGAACCTGCAGAAGGAGAGGATGAAGCTTGGCGTCCAGATTACTGTTGACGACCCTGATCAGTTGGAGAAGATCCGTCAGAGAGAGTCTGGCATCGTTATCGAACGTGTCGAGAAGATCCTCAAGTCTGGTGCTAATGTTGTCCTTACCACCAAAGGTATTGACGACATGGTTCTCAAGCTCTTTGTTGAGAAGGGTGCAATGGCTGTTCGCCGCTGCAAGAAGGAGGACCTGAGACGCATTGCCAAGGCCACCGGAGCCACACTCGTGAGCACACTCTCAGATCTCAACGGAGATGAGAAGTTTGAAACCTCCTACTTGGGACAAGCAGATGAGGTTGTGCAGGAGCGGATATCCGATGACGAGTGTATCCTCGTGAGGGGAACCAAGGTCCACACCTCGGCTTCTATCATTCTGCGAGGACCCAACGACTTCAGCTTAGATGAGATGGAGCGTTCGGTTCATGATTCCCTGTGCGCCGTCAAGCGAACCTTGGAGAGTGGTAGCATTGTTCCCGGTGGTGGCGCCGTTGAGACAGCCCTTCATATTTACCTCGAGGAATTTGCCGTCACGGTGGTATGTACCAACATCTACTACTCTACCTTTTGTTTCTCTACTGACCCTCATTCCTCAACCTGCAGGGCTCCCGTGAGCAACTCGCTATCGGTGAATTCGCTCAATCGCTTCTCATCGTCCCCAAGACCCTCGCCGTGAACGCCGCCAAAGACTCCTCCGATCTTGTTGCCCAGCTCCGTAAACGCCACGCTGTCTCCCAGCGCGTCCAGGAGGGCGAGGCTAATGAGAAGGAGAAGGCCATCGCCAAGAAGAAGGAATACCGCAATTACGGTCTTGACCTTTCAAAGGGACGTGTCCACGACTGCCTCAAGGCTGGCGTTTTGGAGCCCAGCATGGGCAAGATTAAGCAGCTGAAGAGTGCTGTTGAGGCTTGCATTGCTATCATGCGTATTGATACCATGATCAAGCTAGACCCCGAGCGCAAGGAGGATGATGGTCACGGCCACTAAGGTATTCTATTCTAACTCTTTGCATGATGCATCTTTCTCTTCCTGTACGGAGTTTTAGACGAAGAAAAAGTATAATAAGACTTTATAGTACAAAGTTTCTCTATGTCTGTATACTGAGTTATCTATAAAACCTACCTGTATTAGAAAGACATACTGCAGAGTTTAGACCACCCCGGGAACCTGTCTATGTACAGTAGTCCATTTGTGGTTGGAGATGGATCCCTACGTATGCTTGGAGACTACTATGTAGAAATATAACCAATTATGTATAATTTCGCTTGTCTATGCAAACGTTGGCTGCTAGAATATTACCTGGTACACGTGCCATAACCCTTCTAACTAAAAGTAATCAAACTCCCGCTAAATGGAAGCAAGGTATGCATGCCATCAACGCCATGAAATGCGTGCAAGAAACATGGGGAACAAGCGGCATGAAAAGCACAGCATGCAACCCAAAAAAAAAAAAAAATTAAATAACAGCAAAAGCAATAGCCGTGGTATGGGGTTTATGATCATTCGTCTTCATCTTCATAAGAGTCTTTAGTGCTAGCCCAGCCGCACTTCCATCTGCGACCCTCGGCCTCTCCGCCTGCTCGCAGTTCTCGTGCTTCAGGTCCTTCACGCCAGCATCTGGCACTGTAATCGTCGCTGACGGTAATGAGCTCTCCGTTTACAGTCCATGTCACTGCCGACACTTCCTTCTTGTGGCCTTCATCTAATGATGTTCCGGTATCATATATCTGAATTGTATCTTCCAGGCGTCCTGACAAACCGATCCCAGAGTTGGTGCGGCGGAGGCCGTACCGAGTGGAGTATGGAGTCCTGGGAGCTGCATCTACTCCAACAGTTTGTTGCTGGGTAGAGGAGTGAAGGAATCTTTCGTCTGTGGGGAATAAAATAGGGCAGGGCTCGCCGCTTCCAACAGCTAACATTTCTGGTTTATCATCGAAGGCCTTTCGGACGGCAAGTTTGACGTAGAATGAAGCAACTCTTAAGCGTGGATGACGAAAGCCGTACAGAGGCCCAAGGCCTTCTTTGTCGGACCCTCCAGAGCGCCGTGGGCGGGTGTTGTTCAACGAAAGCTCGGGAGCATGTCCTAAAACCAGGTGCGAAGTCGAGTATGCATACACAGTGCCATCCCGGCACAAGGAGTATAATCTTGACCCATCTCCACCCATCGTCATGGACGTGACTCCAAACCGGCGGTACTTAACATGACTATCTGGTTCGCGTGTAGTGGAGAGAGGAAGAGCAGGCCGGCCCCTACGATTGCTATGGGCAGTACGCAAGTCCCAGAGCCGCAGGCAAGAATTGGCTTCGGATGCTGTGACAAAAAGATTTTCTCGGCCAGGAGGTAGAAATGTCAGGGAAGTCACGGTGATATCAGAGCGAGGCATTTGGGGCTCCGACTTCTCAGGGCCTATGGTTTGTGGCATCCAGGCATGAGCGCCATGAACGGTATTCAAAACTTGCGGATATGTCATCTTGGAGGTAAAAGCAGGGTTTACAGGCTCATTTTCTGACTCGAGAGAGCACTGGACCTGCAAAGAAGGTTTTTCGAAGCCTTTACACCTTAGATCCCAGATATTGACATTGCCGTCACGACTGCAGGTTGCTAGGACTTTGTTATTGGCTGCTGGCTGAAATTTGACCTGTTTCAAGGAAGATACGTGGTTGGCCAAGCAATACACCGGTCTCTGTGTCGCCATATCAATAACCATGGCGGTTTGGTCCCCTGATGCTGTTGCCAGAAGCATATCATCAGAAGAGAAATCTAGGTCCATAATCGCATTTGTATGGGGACGAAATGAGAGATATGCTTTCGAGAAGCCAATTTTGTCGTCTTTTGCAGATTCCAGTAGTCGAATGCCTCCTTCTTCATCCCCAACGGCAACAAGAGTATTGGCTGTTGAATTGTTAGGAGACTGGTGTAACAGACAAAGGTAAGGGAGGCTTACTATTACACGAGGCCGTACAGAATGGAAGGGCATGACGATCACCCGTCGAGCTCGTGCAAGCATGACTGTCAACTGGTCCGGAGTAAAAGGACGAAGTCAAATCCTGCCAGCCTGAGAAAATAGTGAGCACAGGGTTTGGAACATTCAAGGATATGGCTACAAACCGGCACCATAATTGGACCGCATGGTCACCCGATTTGCTCGGGACCCCGAAACACTGCGCATAAAGAACCCCCCCGACGTCTGCAGCGCTTTGGAGCGTTGAACAGGGGAAACTTTGACGGGAATTTTGGAGGGAGGCACGGGTTTCTCTTCTTCCCCTTGTGGCTCAACACCAACATCAATATCTCTCACCAGAATATCCACCTCCTCATCCTCTTCAACCTGGTACCTGACTCGTACCTTCCGCAGCGGTGACGATTGAAGAGGGGACGGAACAGATGACATGGAGAGCTTGCGTTTCCTGCTCGGCGTCCGCATAAGATCTGCCGGCTCTGGCCTACTCATCACAGCCTTCATTGTCCTTGTAAAAGCCGGCCCCAAGCGGTTGACTGCCGGAGAGCTGAGGGCTCTGAGAGCCTGACGACTGGTCCTGACTGCATTTGCATGGCTCCCACTATCCAGCAGCGAACGGGGAGTAAAGAATCTTCTGAAGGAGCGTGGAGTGACTGGAGGAGGCTTCTTGGGCTTGTGGCGTATTCCAGCATCAGAGGCTATAGACGGTGGAGAGGAAGGGATCTCTCCAGGCGACAGAGGAAAGACAGGTTCGGATCGAGGTACTTCAGGAAGATCATGACAGCGAGTCATTGTGTCCCCTAGGCAAAACAAACATACAAAGACATTCTACATAAGCGAAAGTGTGTGCGAGATCGATCAGGCTGGAGAAATCCGAGGCATAGTGGAGCTGAAAGAGAGGGGGGCCAAAGAATCCTCGTCCAGCAATATTCACGTCGCGGAAAAAAAGGGCCACAGAACAGGCGAGTCTCGTGTCGACGTGCCTTTTTCGTGACGCGAGTGACCCATAACGGCAGGCGGTGAGCAGTCACCATTAACAGTTGGATTCGGCAGGCGGTCAGTTTGTAGATCGGGATTTTTCAGCCAGAAATTTTATCTTTTTTTTCTCATGTCAAGACATTTTTGGTGTCGAACCGAGAGCTTTGCAGCAGCTCAGTCACGCAACGTCTGAGCTCCGCACGCTTTCATTCGAAGCTGAAATGGCCCCCATCAAGCGCAAGGGCAATGCCACCGAAGAGGCATCAGCCCGTAACCCTCAGAAGCGTGTACGGGTGGGAGCCGATGAGCGCAAGAAGGAGGGCAAGACTGCGACCGCCGATTCTGCGCCTAAAGCCTCTGAGCTCACGGTTTTGCGTGATGATGAGCCTTCCTTCCCTCGTGGTGGAGGTAGTGTTCTAACGCCGCTGGAACGGAAACAAATTCAAATTAAGGCCACCAAAGATGTCCTCTTCGAACAAAAGGGCGGAGCTAAGAAGGCTTCGCGGGGTTTTGACGACGAAGCTTTTGAAGATGACACAGACATGGACGACGTAGAGGAAACCGGCGCCGGTGCTACAAAGAAGACCCAGAAGCGCAAGAAGGGTAAGAAGAATGCGAAGCAGGATGCACAGGATAAAGGTGTCCGAATTGAGGGTCTTAGTTTCAAGGTACATCTATATTCCTGTTGATATTATTCTCACTATGTGAATACATATGCTGACAGAGATAGCGATTGGCACCTGGGACCATGGTTCTTGGACAGGTTTCAAGCATCAGTGCTCACGACATTGGCATCTCCCTCCCCAACAACCTCGTCGGCTACGTTCCTTTGACTTCTGTGTCAAGAATTTTCGAACAAAAGGTCGAGGAGATGCTCAAGAAAGACGGGGATGAAGATGACGAAGATTTCGACCTGGAAGATTATTTCTATATTGGCCAATATTTGCGCGCATACGTTGTATCAGCTGGGGATAAATCAAACAACGCCACCTCGAAAACTAAGAAACGCATCGAACTCACAATTGACCCAAGACAAGCAAACTCCAGTCTACAGAAATCGGATCTTGTGACCAACACCGCTGTTCAGGCAGCGGTGGTTAGCGTTGAAGATCATGGTTTGATCATGGACCTGGGCATTGAGGGTTCTGATGTGAAGGGCTTCATGTCGTCAAAAGAAATCGACCCTCGAACCGACCTCTCTACTATCAAAGAAGGATCCGTCTTCTTGTGCATGGTCACTGGCCAAAATACTAGCGGCAGTGTTATCAAGCTATCTGCCGACCTTCAGTCCTCTGGATCAATCAAGAAGTCACATTTCCTCAGCAGTGCTCCTACCGTCAACTCTTTCCTTCCCGGTACTGCAGCAGAGATCCTCCTAACCGATGTAACCTCAAATGGCATGGTTGGAAAAATAATGGGAATGCTAGACACCACTGTGGATCTGTTACACTCTGGTGGTAACTCCGGAAAAGATGACCTGACGAAAAAGTTCCAGAATGGCGCTAAAATCAAGGCTCGTCTTCTCTGCACCTTCCCCGGTTCTGAACCTTACAAAGTCGGCTTTTCCCTGCTTGACCATGTTCTAAAGTTCACCTCTGAAGCTCACGGTCCTAATTCATCCGACGATGCACCCTCTATATCCGCAATCGTGCCCGAAGCTAAGGTTATCAAAGTTGACCCCGGTCTCGGTGTTTATGTACAGATCGGATCGACAAAGCATACGGGATTTGTTCACGTTTCAAGACTGGCAGATGGACAAGTGGAAAGTATTGCCGCCGATCATGGACCATTCAAAGAAGGCTCCACTCATGAGGCTAGGGTGGTCGGATATAGCTCAATTGACAGTCTCTATCTTTTGTCCTTTGAAAGGAAAGTTATCGACCAGCCCTTTCTTCGTCTTGAGGATATAACCATTGGTGCGGTGGTTAAGGGAACCATTGAGAAGCTCTTGATCGGTGAATCCGGGGTAGATGGACTGATCGTTTCCTTGGCTGATGGCATCACTGGTCTCGTCCCGCCCATGCATTTTGCAGACACACCTCTTCAGTTTCCCGAGAAGAAATTCCGCCAGGGAATGTCGGTCTCGGTCAGAATTCTGTCGGTTAACCTGGAGAAGCGTCAGATCCGCCTCACCCTGAAGAAGAGTCTGCTGAACAGTGAATCAGCTATCTGGAAAGATTACAAAGAAATCACACCAGGATCGCAGTCCCCCGGAACCATTATCAGTATTAAGAATCATGGTGCTGTGGTTCAATTTTACGGCACTATTCGAGGCTGGCTTCCTGTTTCGGAAATGAGCGAAGCTTACATCAAGGACCCTTCGCAGCACTTCAGACTCGGCCAGGTTGTAAATGTGCATGCGCTAGACGTTGACGCTTCCCTTGACAGGCTATCTGTGTCTTGCAAGGATCCATCAACTATCGTTGAAAGTTACAAGACAGCGTTCGCCGACGTTCGCCCTGGTCTGCTAGTCTCCGGTACTGTCTTTGAGAAATCGAGCGATTACATCCTTCTGAAGCTGGATGAATTTGGTGGGCTCGTTGCCCGGTTGAGCCTGGGCCAAATCGCCGATGGATCCGCTTCCAAGCAGGCCTCAACCCTCTCGAAAATTCGTGTTGGGCAGAAGCTCAACGAACTTTTGGTTATTGACATTCATCGGGCCCATCGACTCATCCATCTAACAGGCCGCGCAAGTCTCAAGAAAGCTGCCAAAGAAGGGAAAGTCCCACAGAATTTTGAGGACGTTCAAGAAGGTGCTGAGGTTACCGGTTTCGTTAGAAACCTTACTCAAACTGGACTTTTTGTGCAATTCTTGGGTGGACTCACTGGACTGGTTCCTAAGCGACTTGTTGGCACGGAAAACGCGAGTAAACAGGACTTTGGTTTCACAAAATTCCAAGTTGTCTCTGCAACTGTCCACTCTGTCGACACCGACTTCCAGAGGTTCATATTAAGCATGGATCCTGAAGAAGCCACCGGTTCCGGTCCCAAGAAGGAGAAGAAAAAGAAGGCTGCTAAAGACCCTGAGGATCCCAACGAAATTCTCATCAATCCCGTTGATGAAAGTCTTAGGTCCAAGTCCGACATCACATTTGGGAGAGTTGTGAAGTGCAGAATTGCTTCTGTCAAAAGGACACAGGTCAACATCCAACTTGCCGACAATGTGCAAGGTCGGGTAGATATCTCTGAAGTTTTCGACAAATGGGAGGACATCAAAGACCGAAAAGAGCCGCTGAGATCTTTGGAACCAAATCAGATTGTATCTGCAAGAGTTCTTGGTATGCATGATGCGCGGAGTTACAAGTATCTTCCCATCAGCCACCGCAGCGGAAAGTTCCAAGTGTATGAGCTTTCCATGAAACCAAGCTTCTTGAAGGCTGAAAATCTTATTCTACCCAATATTGAGCAAGTGCAAGTTGGCTCTTCTTGGATTGGTTTTATTAACAATCTCGTGGATGACTACTTCTACGTCAACCTGACTCCCAATATCCGCGGAAGGCTCCGGTTCATGGACGCATCTGACGATTTGTCTCTTCTGGCTAATGTGCAGAAACATTTCCCTGTTGGGTGTGCTTTAAAGGTTCATGTTACGGCGGTTGATGCCGAGAATGGACGTATTGATCTCTCCGCTAAGCAAAAATCCGATAAGCTGTCGTTTGAGGACCTGTCCGTTGGTATGATCTTGCCTGCAAGGGTCACCAAAGTTACTGAGAGGCAAGTCATTGTGCAACTTAATGAAGCCCTCGTTGCAGCTATCGACTTGATCGACTTGGCGGACGACTACTCGAAGGCAAACCCCACCGCTTTCAGGAAGAACGAAGTGGTTCGAGCATGTGTCATTAATGTGGACAAGGCCAACAAGAGGGTTTCTCTCTCCCTACGACCGTCCAAAGTTATGAGCTCATCCCTCCCCATTCAAGATCCGGAAATCACCTCGATCGGCCAACTCAAAGTCAACAGTGTTGTCCGCGGATTTATCCGTCGAGTTGCAGACAACGGCCTCTTTGTGAGCCTTGGCCATGGCGTCACTGCTTATGTTCGTGTTACCGATCTCTCAGACTCGTACCTCAAAGAATGGAAGGATGCTTTCCAGGTCGACCAACTAGTCAAGGGCCGAGTTACTGTGGTTGACCCGGAGCACAACCGACTACAGATGAGCCTGAAGGAATCAGCTTTGGATCCAAACTTCAAGGCTCTTCTTACCATTCGTGACCTAAAGGTTGGCCAAACGGTTACTGCTAAAGTCCGTAAGGTTGAGCAGTTCGGTGCCTTCCTTGTTGTCGACGGATCTGCAAACGTTAGCGGCCTTTGCCATCGCACTGAAATGGCAGACAAGCGGGTGGAGGACGCTAGAAGTTTGTATGAGGAGGGTGACGTTGTCAAGGCAAAGGTTCTCAAGGTCGACCTCGAACAAGGAAAAATCTCCTTTGGGTTGAAGGCATCTTACTTCAAGGACGAGGATCTTGAGGATGAAAGCAGCGGCGACGAGGACGATGAGTCTGAAGGCATCAGCCTGGATGGCCTTGGTGGCGTTGATTTGGAGGGAAGTGATGATGAGGAAGAGGATGAGGACGAGGACGAGGATGACGATAGCGACGTTTCCATGGGTGGGGTTGATCTGGATGAAGAAAGCGAAAGCGATTCGGATGATGATAACGGCATGGAAGACGCTCCAGCTGCTCGTAAAGGTGGCCTAGGTGCGGTTGGATTTGATTGGAACGGCAACGCTCAGGACGAAGAAGATGCGGCGATGCGGTCTGATTCTGATAACGAAGATGAGGGACCACAAAAGAAGAAGAAGAAGCATCGCAAAGCGGAAATTCAAGTTGACCGAACCGGCGAGTTGGATGCTCATGGACCACAATCGGTAGCAGACTATGAACGACTTCTGCTCGGCGAACCTGATTCCTCACTTCTCTGGCTTCAATATATGGCATTCCAGCTTGAGCTAGGGGAAGTTGAAAAGGCAAGAGAAATTGCCGAACGTGCAATTCGCACCATTACGATTGGACAGGACACGGAGAAATTGAACATCTGGGTTGCTTTGCTCAACTTGGAAAACACTTACGGCGATGATGACACCTTGGAGGAAGTTTTCAAGCGCGCTTGCCAGTATAACGACACGCAGGAGATCTACGAGCGTCTGACCAGCATCTACATCCAGTCTGGAAAGAACGATGTAAGTTACTCTTCTCTTAGCCTGCCCGAGTAAATCAGAGGACTAACTATTTGGGTTACAGAAAGCGGATGAACTCTTCCAGACAGCTCTCAAGAAGAAGGTCTTCCAGTCGCCCAAGTTCTTCATTAACTATGCCAGCTTCTTATTTGACACCATGGCTGCGCCGGATCGTGGTCGTTCTCTGCTCCCTCGTGCTCTCCAGTCTCTCCCGTCTCATACCCATGTCGAGACCACGTCCAAATTCGGACAGCTCGAGTTCCGCTCTGCCAATGGAGATGTGGAACGTGGTCGTACGGTGTTTGAGGGCCTCCTGTCTTCGTTCCCTAAGCGGATCGACCTGTGGAACATCCTTTTGGATCTGGAAATGAAGAATGGCGATGCGGAGCAAGTTCGACGTTTGTTCGAGCGGATCCTCGGCATCCGTGACGCCAAGAAGGGCAGTGGTATTATCATTGAGGAGGGCAAGAAACTCCGACCTAAACAGGCTCGCTTCTTCTTCAAGAAGTGGCTTGGCTTTGAGGAGAAACTTGCGGCTGCTGATGGCGGTAATGAGAAGATGGTTGAGGATATCAAGGCCAAGGCTGCAGAGTATGTCAAGTCTTTGCAGCAGGAATAAACGGAAAAATCCACACGCAGGGGGTTTGATTCTTTTCTTCTTTTCCTCTTTTCTTCTTATTGATGATGATGGTGTTGGTGTTGCTTGGTTGGGTTCATACTTTGTACATAAAAAGAAAACAGACATCGTCATAGCCTGGATTTTTTTTATATAGATACTGAAGGCTAAAAAAAGTTATACTTTCTATCCACACACCCATATTTACATCAACAATACTTTTTGTTTAAAAGACCGTTTATTGCCTCTTCTCCGCCATCAATCGTCTATACTCCTCCACGATATTCCTTCGCTCATTGGCAAGCTCTTCTCTCCGCCTCAAACTTCCCACAGCCGCAGGCACATTCGCAACATCAACCTTGGCGCCCCCACGCACCTTGAAAATCTCCCTTGGCTTCTTCAACTGCGGCGGCGCCTGCGCGACATCAAACGGATTCACGGCGGCCCTCTTCTTTTTCAGCTGCGCCCACGGATCCGGACCATCATCATACTCAGCACCGTCCCCACCAGCCATTTTTCTCTTCCTCTTCCCTGCACCCACCCCAGAGCCTTTCTTCTTCGCCTTCCCCTTGCCCGCCTCCACCTCCCACTCCTTCCACAGCTGCAACTGCTCCTCCATCTCTGTTTCCCTCTCTTCCCGCTCGGCCGCCTCCTTCTCCCGGATCTTCACGTCATCTTCGCGCCACTGGCGCTGCAGCCGCCGCAGATGCTTCTCGTGCTTCGTTTGCTTCGTTTCTCGGATCTGGGGCATATCCGCGGCCGCCGGTTTATTGGAGCGTTTCATGCCGGAGATGGGCATTTCGCGATCCACGCGAGCTGCGAAGTCGGAGAGCTTTTCGCCGGGGAGGATTTTCAGTGCTGGTTCTGCTGCTGCTGCTGCTGCTGCTGCTGTTGCTGTGGGTGTTGCTGTGGATGTTTCCTGGTTGGTGGGGGGTTTGTGTTGCGTAGCTGTAGATGGAGATCTCGAGTCCGGTTCATCTCGCTTGCGCTTCTTATTATTATTCTTCTTCTTCTTCTTGTTGTTTTCGTCTTTCTCTTCGTCGCTGGTTTTGTTCTCTTGCGGATTGGGCTTCGGCTTTGATTGGAACTGCATCAGTCGGCGGAATGCGCGCGGGGTGTCGTCGTCGTCCAGGGCGGATTTCCGGCGCGAGGCGAGATTTGATTGCTTCTGTTTTGCATTTTGAGACTGAGGCTGGGACTGGGATTTGGATTGGGATTGGGATTGGGATTTCGGGTTGTGTTTTCCTGGTTTGGATGCGTCTCGCACGGGGAGAGGTTTTGCGATTAGAGTTGGTGGGAGGTTGAAGGCGCTGTTGTGGTTAGGTGTTTTCTTTCTTTCTTTTTAAGGAATAGAATCTAGAGGAGGGCTTACTTGGGGTCATTCTGCCTGCGTTTGTGTTTGTGAGGCATTGTGAGGGTGCTCCGTTTCTACTTCTACCTATAGAGACAGACAGGTTTGGGATGGGATGAAAATAATCTGGAATTTTTTTTGCTTGGCTTGGCGTACACTATCTTATCAAGTAGATATACCGCCTTCCTCTTTGGGTATTATGCCGGAACAACTTTTATCTACGGAAAAAGTGCTCGAGTTGCCTGGTTGATGATATGTTATTTAGTTGTGATTCAATTTAATTGACTTGGAATTGTGTTACCTTGTTAGGCAACTAGCACCATCAGGCGTCCCATGCAGAGTCTCCGTCCTTCATATGTACTTGACGTTGGTGCTCATTTTCCCTTCATGTGCCAAGTTACTCGAATTGGCTAGCTATAGATAGTAAACCGGAGTACTCTGGAGTCTGAAGCTTAGCTTGTCGCACAGGATTTCTCTTTCTGTCTAGGTTCTCCTTTTGAAGGGACAAAGTGGATTCCAATTCTAGGTAACACCATAACTGGAGAAATGACTCGAGAATGAAATCCCCAGGATGAAACACGGCAGGGAAATTCACTCCTAGACAAGCTTTTCGGTTCCACTCACAGAACAGATAATTCGTAGGTATTACTACCTAGAAGAAGATCTAGACTCAGTTTACCCGGGGAACCAATGGCTGCTTCCACTACCGCACATGGGCAACTTGGGAGATTCTAAAGTGGTTCATTGATTAATTATGGAGTACGGCGTAGAACTCAAATAGAGGGGCGAAGAGGAAGAGGGAAAGAAGGAACCTCATTCTATCTTGTCTTTTTCCCTCTTCTCTCTCTCTCTCTCTCTCGCTCTCTTTCTTCCTAACTATTACCTCTCTTCATGGCTGTCTCCCAATAGTATCGTACATATTATTCTTACCTCCAGCTACTACAGGAGCTAGCTATGCCGCCTTCTATACCCAATAATCCCCTCGGCACCTATTCCCAGTCCTCCTCTGTGTCCTCCTCCATGGAGCATTACCGTGATATGGAGGATGAGGAGTCCAAAAAACAACTCGAGCACAAAGCAGATGCTCGTTTTGAGGTGTATGACCCTGCTGCTGGTGACTCGGATATCGAAGATGCTCGTCCCGCGTCCCGGAAGAGACCACCGCATTCTCTCTGGGCTCGAGGATTGGCAGCCGTCTCTCCCTTGATCGCTTCAACTGGCAAACCCGCTGACGCTCATCCTTTCCTCTCGTTTCGTGGAACGCATTCGAAGGTTTTTCGTCCTCGATGGTTTAGGAAAGCGAATCGATCCTGTTGTTTGATGTATCTGGTGGTGGGCTTCTTCACTATGCTGTACGTCCCAATCTTCTTAACCGGTCCCAAAAGCCTTTTTTTTCCCCCTGTCGCTCATTCAAAATTTCTAGAGGCATTGTTCAGTTCATTTCTCTGGCTTGCGGCGTTGTCATTTCGTTCTTTCCGGACGAAATCGATCGTGCAACCGATCGCTGGCGGCAGAACCCGAGTGCTACGTCTCCGAACACAAACCGTTGGCCCACGGACGTCTCCCGGGATATTTTTGCGGTCGGTTGCCATTCACACAACGACTATTGGCGCCGCATACCCCTCTATTCGGCCCTCCAGGCAGGCTGTGTGGGAGTCGAGGCTGACGTATGGCTCTTCGACAACGAACTCTACGTCGGCCATACCACTTCCTCGCTCACCCCGTCTCGAACGCTAAAGAGCTTGTATATTGATCCCCTGATGGAAATCCTTGCTCGCCAGAACCCAATCACCCCTTTTCATCCTACCCTTGACCATCCCCCCAACGGCGTCTTTGACACCGACCCCTCGCAGAGTCTCATTCTCCTCATCGATTTCAAAACGGACGGGGAGGAGACCTGGGAATATGTGTATGCACAGTTAGCCCCATTCCGTGAGCGTGGTTACCTCACTTATTTTGACGGTACCGGGATTGTCAACGGCCCCATCACCGTCGTGGGGACTGGAAACGCCCCATTCAACCTCGTGACCGCCAACAATACCTACCGCGACATCTTCTTCGATGCGCCTCTGGATCTCATGGCCGATGAGACCGACAACAGGGATGCCGACGCCGCTCATGAGGAACGGGGCGACAACGCTGGTCAGGGCTTATCAGGCCTATCTCCTGGAGATCTCGAATCGACCACATTCAACATGACCAACAGCTACTACGCGTCGGTCTCTTTTAAAAAGTCGATCGGCTTTCCTTGGATGTTCCGTCTTTCAGAAAGCCAAATGAGTCTCATCCGAGCTCAGATTGCCGGTGCCCACCGCCGCGGCCTCAAGGTTCGCTACTGGGGAACTCCTAACTGGCCGCGCAGCCTGCGGAATCACATCTGGGAGATCCTCGTCCGCGAAGGAGTCGATATGCTCAATGTGGACGATCTCCAGAGCGCAACTCGCAAAGAATGGGTCCCCAGAATTTCCGACTGGTGGACATAGTCACCTCATTTTCCGTCCGACGAAACGTCCTCGCGTTCTCAAACACAGATACAAGGATTGATTTGAATCTACATACATACATGCCGATACGAATACTCGGTGCGTGACCTAACTGTCAACTACATGTCTAGACTAGAACAGCTGCAGGGCAGCCGTTTATATGCTACCTGTTATAGCATTGTTGCTTTTGTATGAGCCTCCAATTTTGCGAAGCACGGTGTTTGGAGTTTGGGTTGGTTTTTGGATACATACCCCAGGTTTTTTTTTTTTTTTTTTTTTTTTTTTCTTTTTCTTTTTTTGCTCTCTGTTACAATGTTTGGAATTGGAAATTATTGGTATGGCTGGGAATGAGTAGAACTCCAGTTTGGACGTTGTATGTTGATATCCTTATTTTCATCGTCATGTTTTATGATAGATAAATGTCCTAGGAGTAGGTAGTAGGTAGAACTATAGAATTGATTCAGAAGATATGAATTCGGGGTATCTCGATTGTTTCGTAACTCGTGTCGATATGCAATATAGATTTCTTTCCTTTCCTTCTTTCCTTTTTCCATTGGGGGGGGGTTCATCTTCCACAGAAAAGTAAAGGAAGAAAAGAGAAAGAGCTATAAACAAAACAAAGCCTCTTCTCCAAACTCCCTCACCACCGTTCCCTCCGCCCTTAAAATCCCGCCCAGCCAGTCCTTGGCCGTTTCAAAATCCGCCGCTCCAAATTTCACAAGCACACATCCAGCGCGCACTCGCGCCGCAGTGAAGGTTACCTGTGCGTCGAAGTTGGGCGGTGCTGCCTCGACAGCCACGGGGGCGGCCGAGGAAGCCCAATTCCGGGCTCCGATGCGCGGTAACGCGGAGAACCGGTCCACGATGAAGGCGGCGAGGGATTCAAAGACGGGCCCGTAGAGGATGAGGGTTCCTATGACGCCATGGGGACTGGTACGCTCGCGGATAAGATTCCTGGAAGCTGCTGCTGGTGGTGGTGCTGGTGGCTTTGCTTGGGGGTTTGGGGGTAACGTGGCGGCGGGGTCCCAGGGGTTGTTTTGGTGATTTTCGGCGTCGAGGATCAGTGAGTCCCGGAGCAGAAGGAGGAGGGGGGGGGGCCCCCTTTGATCAAGACCTGTACCTGGTTTCTTCTCGTCCAGGCACCAGATCTCGTTCTTGCCCTTCCAGGTTTGAAAGTCCCAGGCTTCGCCTCGTGCTGTGCGGCCCTGCGTGACCCAGTCGAGCAGGCAGAGGCTGCTGCGCCGCGTGGGGTCCTTTGCGGAGCTCTCGACTGTGAATCGTTGGGTTTGCTCGTAGCGGCTTCCCTTGTAGGGGACGGCGGGATCGGGCAGGTAGCAGAGGGCGGCTTCTTTGCCGATGCGGACGTCGACGGATTGGCGGCTTTTGGCTGCGGGGGGGGATGCTGCTGTCGGGGCGAGGGTGTCCGCGTCGGTTTTGAAGATCTTGGTGCTGCCTTGCGGGGTTGTGACCACGAGTCTTGTGCGTGGCTCGAGCGTGATTGAGACTTCGATGTGGTCGCCGGGAAGGAGACCGCCGCCGTAGGTGAGGAGGTAGAGATGGACAGGTTGCGAGGATGGTGATTGCGGAGTGAACCTGGGGGTGCGCGCGAGGAGCTTCAATGGGTACTTGTACGTGAGGGTTGTAAGGGTGGGGTTTGCGGGTGGGAGGAGAGATAGAACGACTTTGCCCTGGCCGGGTTTGGCAATGGAGGACTCGAAGGGGGATTTGATAGGCATTTGTTTTTTTTTTTTGTTTTTTTTTTTTTTTTTTTAGATATATTCTTGTTGGTGATGTCAATGTTTATAATGTTGTTGTTGTTGTTGTTGTTGATGATGATGTTATGGTTGCGGGGAATGGGACCGAAGATAGTAGATAAGAGAAGAAACGAATCACGGCTTGAACTGCATGATATTCGAGCCTTTTCAATGGCATGGAGATTGACATCTGTACTCCGTATTCGAATGGCGTTACTAAACGGCCTTATATTTTGAGGCGGGAGGTCGTTCACCGTGACTCTGTCTATTATCTACTGCTTGGTTTCTCTTTGGTCAACGGGCAGCGGTGCACCAGCACACGATGCATGTCAAAGCACTCATTGAAGCGGGCCTTCCATCACCACTAGATCAAACAGCTACCTACGATCGTGAGGTATTGACGATCCAATCCAGCGCTTAGACAAGCTAGACTGGCCGCAACAAGATCTATCACAGTTACGATTCTAGGGCTAGGGTTTATCAAATCACCTGGTTTGACCTGCATAAAATCACAAACTCCCGAATGCAGCGATGAGTCATCTATGAAAATGACCGCCGTTACAATACAATACGCATCACGCGGACAATACAGTCAGCTGACCACAAGAGCCTCAGGCACCAACCTATCTCCGCCCGTCATCGCCAGGCACCAAAGCGCGTCCGAGTTCATTGCAATGAATAACTTTGGGATTCAACCAGTGAGTTACCATCATCTCTCTGTCTTCCTCCCCCCCTTTTCCCCCTCCTTTCTTGCCTTCCCTTCCCCTCCTCATCCGTCATACCCTTGAGGCGTGGTATCTTTTTTTCTTTCTCTCCCCATCTTCTTGGATCGTTCTGCGTGATTGTTAGGACCAGATCGACTACACAAAACGCGCCGCGCAAAAAAGGGCAGTGCTCGGGTCAATCAATAACCCAACGAACTAACTTATCACCGCGTCTTTCCGACCCCGTCAAGTCCGCAAAAACAACCCCACGTTCGAGTACGCTTCTCCCTTCGTCCCGTTTATCAATGCGCTGGAAAGAGACATTGGCTAGAAAATGATATATTTATCTGTTCAACTCGCTGACTCCCATCTCCTTCCTACCAAAGTGTTTTAAGAGACCCAGGCCCTTGAAACAAACAGACCATGGAGATTGAGTCGCGCCCCTCAACCCCCGAACCGGGGCCCAGCCAGGACGTATCCCCGTCGGCCTCGCCCTCACCGGGAGATAGGAGGAAGTCTGGTCGAGTGACGCGAAAACCCGACTTATATTCCCAGAGCTATAGCGCTCCCAATGGTGCGACTGCAGGCGGAGCCAAACGAAAACGTGCAGCTACGGGTGAAGAAGAGAATGACGAGGAACGAGAGGACGAAGAAGACGCGTCGGAAACCGAGAGCGAGGATATCGACGACCAGGATCCCGACGAGGAAGAACTTCGAGAAAAGAAGCGTGCTGCACGCAAAGCGGCGGCGAAGAGAGGCGCTGCGGGGACGAAGTCCAAGGCTAAATCCCAGGGGTCGAGATCTGCGAAGAAACCCAAAGTTGCAGGCAATGGAATTGGGAGCCAGCTGGCTCTGCGACCGGCTGCGAATGGAGCAAAACCGGCGTCACGTCCTAGAAAACCGAAAGTTCGACCTAGCTTGGCGGCTGGCGAAACTGGTCTATATGGTAGGTTCAATCTTTCCTTTCTTCGCATATCAACTGACTGGGTTTTGCGGTGTAGCTGAGGTCTTTGGGAAAGGCCGTAATCCCGAGACAGTTGCTGCGGACTGGCTCACCAAATATCATCAGGAACCCGTCATTGCGATGCGCGATATGATTAATTTAGTTCTTAGGTGCTCGGGAGCCGACGTGGAAGTGACGGATCAAGATATTGAGGACCCCGATCACATTGCACCTCGTGTCAGGGACTTGGAAAATCAGTACCATGACCAGGGCATCACTGAATACCCTCTGGTTTCAAAATCGAGAAAGTACAGATCCTTCCAGCTTATCCTCGAAAACTTTTATACAGCACTCATGCAGACTTTCCACCATTCTTCCGCGCTATACGACGAGAAAATCATGTACGAAAATCTCCATTCTTGGCTATCTTCGCTTTCATCTTGTCACTGCCGACCCTTCAGGCATACCGCAACCGTCATCGCTCTTACGAATATGGGTGCTCTCTGCGATATTGCTCGCGAAGTAATAACATCTGTTTCGTCCTCCCGCAAGCAACTCGAGACTGAAAAGAAGAAGAAAACAGTCAATAAAGGAAGGGTTGAGGCAATCAAATCCGCCATTCAAGAAGGCGAAAATAAGCTCGAAACAATCGATGACCATCTCAAGGATGGCGTGAACATTTTCTTTGTCAACCGCTATCGCGATGTTGAACCCAAGATCCGTGCGGAAAGTGTCGCAGCTTTGGGACGGTGGATGCGCACCTACAAGGAATACTTCTTCGAGGGCCAGTTCCTTCGGTATTGCGGCTGGATCACCTCCGACAGTGATGTTCACACACGCTCTATTGCACTGCGCCAGCTGATCAGTGTGTACAGCAATAAAGATAACATTGCTGGTGCACGGACATTCACCGAACGATTCCGCCATCGGTTTGTGGAAATCGCTGCTCATGACGCTGATGTTGGAGTTCGTATTCTAGCGATTGAACTGCTAGACCTCATCCGTGAAGCCGGACTGATGGAGCCCGCCGATATTGATACAGTTGGTAAACTCATCTTTGATTCCGATGCGCGAGTCCGGAAAGCAGCTGGTCACTTCTTTGTGGCGAATGTCCATGATGTATTCGACTCGAATGTTGAGGAAGTGGCGGATGAAGTTAATGAAATGTTTGGTGATGAGGATGAGGACGAGGACGAGTTTGAATCGCCTAAACGGTCCTGGATTAAATTCAAGTGCCTCGTGGATATCCTTCAGGCCTATGATGTCCCAAGTGAAACCCCCGATCAGCCTAGCCTGACACCACGAGACACCCTTTCCGGTATCTCCATGGACTCCCGATTCGTGCTTGCGACTGAAGCTATTTCCCCCCACTTTGAGGAGCTGGAGAGCTGGCAGTCTTTGGCTGGCTACCTGCTCTATGATCATTCCCAGATTCCCAGTGAACAAAGGGATGGCGACAATTCGGGGGCGGTTAAGAAACTGTATAAAATGGAAGAGGGCCAGGAAGTTATCCTTTTGGAAGTTCTTTGCTGCGCCGTTAAATTGCGTATACTCGAAGTTGCCAAATCCGACGTCGACAAACGAGGTCGCAGAGTCAAGGCCTTGACTGATAGGATCCCCGAACTCCAGGAGGAGATCGCCCATGGTCTAGCTCAAATAATTCCCCAGCTCCTGAACAAATTCGGATCTACACCGGAAGCTGCCTCTGCAGTTTTGCGTCTCGAACATCTCGTTGATCTTGATAAGATTCAGGATCTACAAAAGGATGCTGCGGCCTACACGTCCTTGTTGAACGATATCAACAAGCAGTTCCTAACGCATTCTGATCAAGACGTCCTAGCAGAAGCTAGTGTTGCCTTCCTTCACGCCAAGAGCTCTGACGATATGCGTGAAGCATTAGAGGGCAAGATCCAAGAGCTCTGGGACGATGTGATGGATACTCTCCATAGATTATCCCATCGAAAGGAAGTCCTGAGTGATAGCCCGATATCGCTACCGGTTTTGAATGAGCTTATCAATACCGTAACAAGGATTTCCAATCTTTCAGGCGTAACAGATTGCACACACATCCTAGAGACGGCACCTTCGAGTCGGTCGAGAGGCAGAAGCACGGACCAGGCGGAGGCCCCATTCAACATTCTCCTACACCTGGTACAAAGAGGCCTTCGTGGTGAAACAATGGGAGCCGAAGATGATGACGAGGAGGCGAGAGCTGAAATCGAAGTTGTCATTGGCAGCATTCGGATTCTTCTGTTTTACTTCATGTGGAAAGTACAGAACTTGAGAGCGGCTTTGGAGGCGGGGAAGGCCAAGTTCAGCACAGCATACTTCGAGGCTCTAACAAAGAGCCGCGAGACATTCGTCGACACTCTTGTTGATATTATGGAAGCACGATCGGGCTTGGACGAGGTCCGTTTCTCTGCGACTACAACTCTGTTGGATCTACAGACTTTATTCGGTACAATCCGTCATGCTGGGCTAAACGTGGGCAACGATGAAGAAGACATGATCCTCCAAACCCAGAGTCTGGTGCACGAGATCGGCTCCGATGTCCAAGACCTCATAACGAAGATCCACGGAAACGCACTACGGACATATGCCAAAAAGTCAGGGATGGCGTTTGAGCCAGCAGAGGACGATGCTCCCGCTTCCGACTCGGAACTGGAAAGGGAGCCAATGGATGAGGAGGAGGAATTCGGTCTGGAGAAGCAAGCCCTAGCTAGTGAACGTTTGCGGTCCAAGATCGTCGCCGAGCAAAGGCTGTGCGAATTGACGGGCAAGATCGTTCTGGCGATCATAGGCCGCATTCTTGATGCTTCTGGGTCAAAGAGTGGCCATTTGAAGAAGAAGCTCCTCAAACAGAAATCCCAGTACGGTCCTAATTACCGCGAGGTCCTAGTCTTCCTTGAAGACCGTGCCCCCAAGCGTGCTGCCCCACGCGCTGCTCAATCCAAGAGCAAGCACGCTGCTTCGGGCCCAGACAAACCCGCAGCTGGTGCCGCGAAGCGGGCCGGGGAACATAAGTCGACCGAAAGAGTGGATGAAGAGAGTGATGCGGATGATTCTCCAGTTGAGGATAACGACGAGGAACTTGAGGAAGACAATATCGACCAAGACGAGGACAATGAGAACGAGAACGAGAACCCGGCGACACCTGAACCAGACGAGGATGAAATAATGGGCGACTGATCGATTAATTGATTGATTTAATAGTTTGCCCTCTCTCTCTCTCTCTCTCTCTCTCTCTCTCTCTCTCTTTTCAGTCTCTTAGGTTTTTTTTTTAAAGGAAAAATCTTTCTCTTTTGTTCCAAAACGGCGGATACGGCGTTTGGCTGCAAATTCATTTCCATGACGACTTGATTGATCCATTTATTCCCTTCCATCTTCTCGCCGCATCTTAAATTTCTCATCTCCTTCTCCTCTACTCGACTCCGCTCTACCTCTTACCTCTAGCTACCCAGATCACCTCATCTAATACCTCTCTCTCATCAAGATTGTTGTACTGTGCCCCTCTTGAAATCCAAATTCTACTACGCTGACGAATCTACCCAATCACCTTTTTCTGAGATCTACCTCACCATCATATATCTCTTTCACTTTCTTCTTCTTCTTCTTCTTCTCTGTTTTCTTTTTTTTTTTTTTTTTCAAATATGGTCTTATTCTCTTTTTTTTTTTTTTTTTTCTTCCCCAAGTTGAAGTCGTCGTGTCGTGTCTAGAGTCAATTGTGTACCTACCCTATGTTGTTCCCTTTAACTTCCTCCACCTTACCTTATCTTATTATTCCTTGTATATAAACACCAATTCCACCGGTTTGATCTGTCTTTGATGAAGACGAGATCTTCTCTCTCTCTCTCTCTCTCTCTCTCTCTCTCTCATTGCAGAGTTACTAAGATATGGCGCACAGAGTAGATACCATGCATACATATCCTTTATATAAATGATTACGGGAGGGAAGGGAAAGGAAAGGAAAGGAAAGGAATGGAATGGGGGAATCAACCAACCTATACTTTTCCGGTATACCTACTAAACGGGCAAGAAATATCCCATTATCATCATCATCATCATCATCGACTCCAGAGTGGAGCTTGACTATTTCCCTCCCCGACAAGGTTCACGAACTGTCAAGTTTACCTAACCGGAACTCGCTACTGATTTCGGACTGTATGTACCTGTACGGAACGTAACGTAACTGGTGTGATTGTTGGGCGATATCGAGCATTTGGGGAGAAATGGAGGCTATCTACATACAACCAAGATGGTAGCCCATAGTCATCGATCGCTGGAACCGCTCGCTACTTGGTCCTCGTACGTGCTTGTCTTTGCTTGTCTTTCTGGATAAGGATGGGATAGCTAGAACCCTAGCTCATTTGGAGCATACCACGCCTATAGAGAGAGGAAGGGAAATATTTAGAGAGGAGTTAAGGTAGACAGGAGGAAAAGGAAAGGAAAAAAACCCCCGAGTTAAATATAATAGACAATAATACGCCTGTGTATGAAGAATGCTACGAGAGGGGGGAAAGGGGGAGAAAAAAAAAAGGAAATCTGCATGACATCAAAGGGGGTTACATGACGGTGAATCTTGTTTATCGTGAATGAACAAACCGGGAAAGTAAGGAGGTCAAGGCGAAAGGGGGTAGAAACAAGTAGAACGTTTGAAATGGCAAAAGGCGAGAGCAGGCCCAATCAAGCTGGTATGGTATATCCCGGAAATCGATGCCCAAGACCTAACACCACTCCGGTTTCCCTGGGGAGCCATGGCCAATCCGGGTATCTAATTGAATACCACTCCAAGAGGACGAAATGATAGGGATTTGTTGATGCGGCGATTTGCAGATTGACACACCAACGTTCTAGCATGAAGTTGAATTGAAGCACATGATGACTTCCCCAGATTGGGAAGAAGGTGCGAAGAATTGTGGTATCCCAGATTTTTCTTCTTTTATTTGATGATATATTTTTTTTTTCTTCTTTACATATCCATGGAGTCACCACCGTTGGCACTAGCGAATGTGAATCCACCGGGCTGCTGTTGATTTGTGCCCAGAGTGAAGCCAGTCTGTGTTTGTTGAGGGGCAAGCTCGTCAATATCACCACCAGCCTCATCTTCATCCGAGAAGTACTTCTCGATAATGTTGTATGCCTTCATGTAGATCTCCTCGTTGGCGTTGTTCTGGCAGTCGTGGATCTTCTCCATACCACCGGCCTCTTCAATGAATAGGGCATAGCGGTTGACACGAGCCTCACCAGACTGAGCAGCCTCCTTGTCCATCTCACCGACCTTCAAGATGTTCTCAAGACCATCAAGAGCGACCTGGATAATCTTGTTGTCAGGGCATGCGAGCAGGTCGCAGAGGGGCTTGATGCATCCCTGGGTCACGAGGTAACGGATCTGGTCGGGCTTCTGCAGACCACCAGAGGTAGCATTGGAGATGGCCCAGCAAGCTTCCTTTCGGGTCTTGAAGTCACCGTTGGCAAGCAGGTGAATCAGAGGGGGAATAATTCCAGCGTCGACCACGGACTGAATCTGGGTGGAGTTGCCAGCGGTAATGTTGGAAATGGTCCAGCAGGCTTCCTTACGGATACCATCCTTGGTGGAGCTCAGCAGGGAGAGAAGGGCGGGCAGAGCGCCGCAGTTAATGATCACCTGTGTTTGAACATCGTCGCCGGTCACAATGTTTCCGACCGAGCGAAGAGCGGGGGTCTGCACGGAGGTGGAGGCGTGCATGAGCAGCTCGACCAGACGGCGAGGAATGCCAGCCTCAATGACAGCCTGAATCTTCTCATTGGTGCCATCAGACAGGTATGAAATAGCCCAGCAAGCATCAATAAGGACCTCATCGTCTAGCATGTAGATGAGCTTGGCGAGAACGGGGAGAGCGGGTGCGATCTGTAGTGAGAAGATTAGAATCAAATGGCATCCTAACCGGATAAGATCTAACATGGTGACGTACCGTATTCCAATCGGGCTGAGGGGTCTTGCCACGGCAGAAGTTGCTGAGAGTCCAGGTGGCATTGCGGAGCATGCTGATCTTGCGGCCATCGTTGATCAAGGTCAACAGGGGACGAAGAGCACCAGCATTGAGCACAAAGTCGCGGCACTGGGGGCTATCACCGGCAATGTTACCCAGTGCCCACACGGCCTGCTCCCGCACATCGGGTTCGGGGCTGCTCAGAAGTTCCACGAAGATGGGCACAGCACCAGCTTCGATGACAACTTGGGTCTGCTGGGCAGATCCGGAGGCAATGTTGGTCAAGGCCCAGGCAGCCTCAAACTGGACCAGGGTATGAGGAGACCGGAGGAACTCTACGAAACGGCTGACAACACCGGTCTCGATGACACGCTCGATGGGAGGGTTACGCTCCTTAGAAAGCAGCTTCCTGAATTTGGTTGTGGCTTGGATCTGAGATTCAATCTGGTCGGAGAAAACACCCTTGACCATCTCGGGTAGCTCGACATTAAGCTAATAAGAGAACAAGATGTTAGCCATTTCGAATCTAGGTGCATAAATAGTGCGGATCCAGCATATCTCAGACAACGATTGGTCGTGTGCGAGTGAGTATCCCCCGCCATGTAACGGCCTAAATCCCCCGAACAACAATCGGGCGGTGAAACACAGATTGGAAAGAAGCTCATGAGGTGAAGACAACGGAGCCCCAGGTGGAGCAGAGAGGAAGATTTATTCGCGAGACACGAACATGACCCAGGATTGCTGGAGAGGGGGAGGGGGGCAGAAAAAAGAAAAAAGAAAAAAAAATTTCAAAACAAAAACAAAGCCAACATCAAAGGAGCTAACACATACCTCACTTTCGATGGCACTGGCTTCATCATCGCTCTCAGTGGCAGCAGCCATACCACCTCCTACACCAATACCGCCATCCCGGGTTTGGATACCTCGCCTCTTGGCCAAGTTCTCCTCTCTCTTCTGCTTTCGAATTTCGACCTGCTGTTCTTCACGACGACGACGAAGCTCGTCAGGCCGAAACTGGTTTCTGGCCTTGTACTGTGTACGACGATGCTCTGGGATATAACGTTCGGCCATGGTTGCTGGGAAGAGGGAAAGTCCACGACAACGGGTTTACTTAATTAAGCCAGAAAAAAAATAAAGAGAAAATAGAGAAAATAAAGGTGGGGCGCGGTGGGAGGGACGGAGACGACGAAGGCGGGAGGGGAGGGAGGGTAGAAGAAGCGATTAGAGGGAGCAGAGTATAAGAAGTCGAGGAGTAGTAAGGCCCAGGTGAGGAAAAAAAGAATAATGGAAAAGATACCGTGCAAATAAGGGAGGACTTTTTTTTTATTATTTTTTTCCTTTCGCGGGGGGAGAAAGGGAGCGCCTGGAAGCAGAAGGAAAAGTAAGTTGAAGGAGGGGAAAAAAGTCGACCAGTGTTGACGGCAGATACATTGCAGGTGGGATTGCGGCCAGTCACGGGACTGCTATTCACTGCATTGGGTTTGGTGCCATCGGCTAAGCGCCACTTACGCGCAGCCGACTTTAGCGACGACGAACGCTTTTTCTACATATACCTAGGTATACTCCCACCCGACACATTATTGTCAAAGTAGACACCTCGATTCAACCGATATCCTGTAGCTCAGTCGCGTTTCTCGATTTGTCTGTCTTGGTTATGTAGAGCTTGAGCTCAGACTCTCTTCCATATATAACCTTACTTTCGTGTCCAAGAAAAATGCAATAGCCCATTCTACGCGTCGTCTTTCTCAAAGATGCCCGTGTTACCCGCAAAATTCGTTAATATTTCCACCGCTCTTGCCACCAAATATGGCCCTGTCAATGTAATCGGCGTCGTCGTGGATGTGTGGGGTGGCGCGTTTAAGAGCCAAGGCACCTCTCTTTGCATCACATTCACCATTAAAGACACCAACCTGAACAATGGGCATACATGGGACGGTCTGAAGATCAAATATTTCAAAGAAACCGAGAGCCTCTTGCCTCCAGTTCGAGAAGGCGATGTAATCTTGCTGCGAGATCTTGCGGTATGGTTGAAACCCCCAACCCCCAACCCCCAAACGCGTGTCTGTGAGATTCCTCGAGGTCTGATACTGACTGTTTTTTTTGGGCTGCAGGTCAGGGTGGTTAATGGGCGGCTGATGGGCGTTGCTGCTCAGGATCGAAATATTCCCTGGGCTGTTTTTCGTCCAGATAGAGACCCCACGTCTCAGTACTCTGCTCTTTCTGGCCCGGTTCCTTTTGACCCGTCGTATGCGGAAAAGACCTACGCATTTTCTTTGCTCGAGGCTAGTCCGACTACATTTCGCACTGCCTCTTCGTCTGGAGCTGTACTCGCTCCGTCTACGTTTTCCGGGCCTTCGCAGAGAAAGTTTGCACTCCTCAAGGACATCCAGGAAAGACAGTTCGTGGACCTTGTCGGGGAAATAGTCAAGCTCCACTCTGGAGATTTCGAAAAGGCTACGCTGTATCTCACCGACTACACGGCCAATGACAAGCTATTCCGCTACGAATCTGATGGTGACGATAAAGCTACCGAGCACGGACGCGATGGTGATCCCTACAACTATATCCCACGGTCGAAGAAAAATTGGGACGGTCCATCCGGCCAAATGACCATTCAGATCACTCTCTGGGAACCTCATGCCTCATTTGTCCGAGGAAACTTCGATAGACACGACCTTATCCGCCTGAAGAATGTCCGAATCAGGGGGAGCCGCATTGATGGGCTTCTCGAAGGGATTCTCCATACCGACAAAGAAAATCCCCGCGCCGTGCACGCCTTCCGCATAGATACCAAGAACGATGTCCGGGTTCAACAACTCCTCTCTCGAAAGGAAGAGTATTGGAAAACGAACCATGCCAAACGAAAACCAACCAAAGATCCCGAACCACCATCCAAGAAACTCAGCAGCAAGAAACAACGAACCAAGCCACCGCCCAAGAAGGAACACGGCCAGCAATCACTCGAGCAAACCACTCGCAACCCCACAAACCCAAACGGTACGAACATCCTACTCTTCCCAGCCACGATGATTCCGCAATTTTCTATTTCTAACGTTGCAATAGTCCAATCATACCAAGCAGGTGTTACCATCCGGCCCCTCGAGGTCATCGTGAACAACCCATCCCACAACAACAAGTCCCCCGACGGAATTGAATACCGTCTGCCCTTCCAGAACCTTTGCTACAGAAGCACGGTCCATGTGGTTGATTTCTTCCCCCCGAATCTCGAAGATTTCGCGGTTCCAATTCACCACAATCCCCCTGCACCTGGGAGCTCCCAGCAGCACCCCTTCACAAAGTGGGAGTGGCGGTTTTGTCTTCTGGTGGAAAGCGTCCCCCCACCACCGCCGGGGCAGCGCAAGGAACGGGTGAAACTTTTGGTTTCTGATTCCGATGCGGTGTATCTCCTCAAAATGGATGCGGCTAAGTAAGTATATCCCCTGTGGCTTACTTCCAAAGTTCCAAGCCGTGGAAGATATCCACTAATTTTTTTTTTTTTTTGGCTTGATTCGATAGTTTACGTGCGCATCCGAGCAAGCTAGCTGCCTTGAAAGAGAAACTTTTTCTTCTTTGGGGCAATCTACAGGAGCGGAAAACTAAAGCCATCGAAGACCCCACTGGCTGTCCGCTAGATTCCGGCTCTGTTTCGTCTTTGCCATTCACCTGCTGTATCAAGGAATACGGGGTTAGGTGTCATCACCCCGTTACAGATAACGACAACGACCCCCTTCCCTGCGGCGACAGGGACTGTTTTGGATGGGAGAGAAAGTTTGGGATGTTCATGACTGTCATTCATGATGGTTAAAGTCACCCAATTGAAGTATAATTGAATAGGTGCATCATGACCTTTATTTTCTTGTCATAATTCAACAATGGATACATATCTTTTTTAACCTAAATGCAAAGAAGGCAGGGGAATAATGTACTAGAGAAAGAAACGTACAGCCCGAGCTAGAATTGCCAAACCCTGAAGCGATTCTCGGCCGCCCTGTCTAATAACAGGGGGAAAGGACAGGATTGATGCAGCTGCTTTTCCTAAAACCCATAGCGCCAAAGGGTTATGAGCCCGGAAGCGAAGACAGAAAAAAACGGATTAGGGATGTTCTTATGGCGAGATTATTATAAAAGTAAAAGGCGGGGAAATGATTAAACTTTGGTCACTTTGACGATATTGGTGTCAACGCCGTGTGCTGCGGTATCAAACCGACAGCTCTGGCCCCAATAACATTCTTTTTTCCCTGGTTCGCTTTGGGGACATCGATGTCCATACATACACTCTGCATCGTTGCATTCCAACCCATAACGGCATGGCGTCATTCGCGCGATGGCGGTTAAGATTAAATATTCATTCTTAGTTAGCTTGCGCGAATGGTCGTGATGACAGTTCTCGTTGGGGCATTCGCCTTGTAAGAAGTGAAAATTGCAAAGCTTCAGTTTCTTCATGCGACTCACTTCCTCTCGAGGAATGGTTTTAAAATCAAGTCGGTCTACACGTTGGCCGTACTTATTCCGCTCCACGGTTTTTGACCGCGAGGTTAAGTTGGACTTGGAACGCACCACTTGGAACTCATCAGGGCTCGAGGGATTGGCAGACCCCGACGATATGGGAATGCTAATACTTGTTGCCGTGGTGTTGCTTGAGGTTCGCGAAAGCGGTGTTACAAGAGGAGTCGGCGACGGGGTGAGCAGGGAACGAGGGTTCGTCGCGACTGCAGCCTTCCACGGAGCCCAGACCGGCATGATTTTGGAATCTCGAAACAGTTCAGGAAACTTCGTAGACCTATAGTGTGTTTTCAGAGAGTCCAGGGTTCTTCCGAACGGAATTCCTTCAATCAATGACACGCGCCCTAAAAGCTTCATATCCGTTAATGTATCCTCCAAAATTTGAGTATATGCAGGCTCGTCCGAGCATCCCATGAATATTTGGTGGCAATGGCAGTTGTACAGATAAAGGTGAAAGGACTCTGTGGGAGAATCAACGTTGGGTTAGCGTACAGTACAACTCGACACAAGGGCAAGGGAGGAAATTCAAATCCTGCAGGATGCGAGACACGAGATTGCATTGCATACCCTTAATCTTATCATGCGCCGCATCCTTTCCAACTCCAACATCCACGAGGTCGAACAATGGAAACCTCCCATTGAAGCCTCGGGCAAATTCGTCCAGCACGGATGGGTCTGTGGTGATTCCACCACGAACACAGCTCTCACATAATGCCTTCATGTTGACAAACATCTTGGCCATTATCTTTGGTGAAACAATACTTGAAAAACTGGCTGCGATATAGGCCTCGATAGCAGAATATAGGGCCTTTGCTGCTTTCTGCCCACCCCGTTCGCCTAGCTGCAGGAACTCCTCCTGGAAGATTATCCCGTCTCCGTCTAAAAGTACGATTACGAAGGGTTCACGGTTCTAGATGACAAGAAAGATACCGTCAGCAATTGTTGAATAGGAGGGCACAAAATAATTTTGGTGTTATTCACCATAATAGCTTTAGTCCTGGATATCTGTTCCATTAATTCAATCTCATGAAGTTGTATATCACGATTGAAGCGCTTTGCGCGTTCATGATCCAGCTGTTCTTGTTGATATGCACCTTCAAGCTCAGTCACTCGTTGGATGAGTTCCTAGTAGAGGGAATGAATGTCAACAGAAGCAGAGTTGGAGGGTCAGGCGAAGGTCACGCTGAGAAGCTACCTCAATTAAATCATCCTTCTTCTGTTCTATCGAGGTCAGTTGCGTATAGCGTTCAAAATAGGCTCGAGCTGTCATGATGGCTAGCCAACCCGGGCGTATTCAATGGTACAGGAAAGGCTATTTGGAAGGGAAAACCAAAATCAGAGGAGAAAATATGGGATGAGGATGGGAGGAAGTGCAAATTAGAGAGCGCGAACGGCGCTTATGAACTCTTCTATGAATGGTGAATGGTGACACGAATGAAGGTGGGAAATGAAGGAGGAAGCAAGAGAATCACCACCGTCCGGTAGTGTATTATAGGCATTCACTGGCTGCGCGTGATATCAACCACAGCCTTTATTGTTTATTGTTTATTGTTTCCAAGTTTCTTTTCCTCATTCTCTTTTTTTCAGCTGGAGATTTGCTTTTTTATTAAATAATAAAATACCGGAAGGAACCGCAGCCTCCAGCTGAGTCAGCTTCCCTGCCTGGGGAAATCACGACCAACGACCAACGACAGTAAACGCCTACGTGGAGAAATTGACTCTCCCTCTCTCTCTCTTCCATCATCTGTCTTCTTCTCTCTCTTTCTATCTCCCCCTCCCTCTTCCTTTCTCTTCTTCTTCCTCATTCTTTTTTTGGGGGGTTTTTCTTTCTCTTCCCTCCCGGTTCTTGCCTCCGTCGCAATGGCTCGCTTTGCTTTTCTCTCTCTGGCTTTACTCTCGGTTCAGGCCCTGATCGGCAGCTCTCTTGCCGCTGTACGTTTGCCCACCTTGCCAGTCTCTCAATTGATGACCAATTAGATCACTAACATGAAATTATTGCAACTTAGGATACCGCGGATAAGGTCGATGAATCTTTCGAAGTCCCCAAGCTGGCTGTTACAGCCCACGCTGAGTTCCCTGCGTCTGAGATCTTCGGTGTAAAGCTTGTCAACGGACACCCTACTCAGGCGTTGGTGACCTTTGTCAACAATGAAGAATCTGCTGTGACCGTGAACTTCATTGGTGGCACTCTGTCGACCCTGGATGAGGAGCAGAGCCAGCTGGTCCGCAACTTGACTGCGACTCGCTACAGCGTGGAAATCCCCGCTGGCGAGAAGGAGAGTCTGAGCTACAGCTTCGCCACTGAAATGCACCCCCAGGATCTGAGACTGTCTCTCGCCACTGTTATTTCTGACGAGGAGGGCCGATTTTTCACCGTCTATGCCTACAATGGAACCGTGAGCGTGGTGGAACCCGAGACCAGCATCTTTGATCCCCAGATGTGAGAATATCTTCTTCCGCCCTTCCATTATAACCACAACTAACTTCATTCGATTAGCATCTTCTTGTACTTCTTCCTACTAGCCTGCTTTACTGGTGTTGTCTACTTCTTCTACACTGTTTGGATCGCGCCTTATTTCCCCCAGAAGCGCAAGTCTGGAAAGCCTGCCGAATTCTCAAAGAAGGCCTCGAGTGCGGCGAAGAAGCCTGAACCCGCTGTTGAAAGCCCTGCTGTCTCTTCCGCCACCACCTACAACGCCGAGTGGATCCCCGCTCACCACATTCAGCGCCCTGAGGCAAGGAAGGTCAAGGGCACCACGCGCTCCAAGAGCCGTACTTAAGCCGGTCGATGCAGTTATATCGCCGGGTATCGGCTTGCGAGAGGATCTCCCATAGGGTTCGCCAACGATCTCGCAGAGATTGGGTGCGATCCTCTCGATGAGTCTGGTATGAAGGCTAGCAAGCTTAGATGGAAAGATCGCTGAGAATGTGATCGGCCAAAAGTTATTGCTGCCTTGGATTCACTACATGTATATTTATGAATATCGAACTTATAATTGTAGCTCGTCAGAGCTTCACTTTTCTTCCCCCCTTTTTTTTTTTTTTTGATAGCCGCGTTTGGGGTACAAACAGTCGCTTCATCGGAAGCCCGAATACGAACACATGAAATTAAACCCTGATATTCTGTACAAATCCAATCACAATTTACATTTACGTCATTGGGATGTAAAGAATAATGAAAAACTAGAAGCCTCACAGCCGCTTCCACTCGTCAAATTCCTGCTCAAGATGCTTTTTCAGCTCAGTGAAATGGTTCTTGAAATCCTGACCGCAGCGCCAACATATAAAGTCCCTCCGCAAATAGCCTTGTCGATCGGGGTGTCTCCGCGGGTCATCCTGCGCCAGAGGAAAATCATTAATATCGATAAAAAACGGCGTAGAAAAACTATTGTAATGCTTCCTGTGCTTCAGACGATCACTGTACCGGTCCACCGAGATAACATGGACATGCAAGTGGTTCATTGACGGGTGCGCATGTATCCCACACATGATATCCTGCTCCCAGTTTCTGCCCTCGGGCAACGTCTCCGGCGGCGGATCGGTATTCATCGCTTCTTGTCGCTCCTTGTCCTGCGCCGAATACTTGCCGTATTTCCGTCGCAGTTCGCCTGCAGCTAGCGTCCGGAGCCGGTTCACTTCCTGTTTGACCCTTTTGAGGAACTCCGCGTCCTCGAGGGCTTCAATGGGATGCAGACGGCTTTTCACGGGGTCGCGCGGGAGGAGGAGAAGGTGCAGTGTAGACTTGGGGAATAGGTCATGGATGACCACGAAGTCATCGGTGTAGGATACGACTACATTGGACGGGTAGGATTCCGGTTTCGTGATATATGCGCCCAGGGCGTCTCGAAACCCGAATGTGTTCTTCGTCTGGGTGGCTGTGGTTGAGGGGTTGCTGCTCGCGTGCTTCGCTTGCTTGGGTTTGGGGGAGAGGAGCTCTGTGACTAGGAGGGTCCGTTAGCTAGGTAAGTATAAATTAGGGTTGGTATCGGCTGGATATATTAAATATTGAATTGAATACGGGATTTGAAGCGGCAGGGGATGTAGTAGGTAGTTATGTATGGATAGTGGTTGGTCACTACAGACAAGCATCTCTCTTCGCAGGTTCTTTCTGGGCTTGCGTGCCCGTATTGCTTTCCATATTTTTTTTTTATTTCACCACAGGATAATATAGGTTTCAAGACACAAGAAGAGATGGACAAATTTCGTATTTCTCATCGTGGTTGGGTTTCATGAAGCAATCCAGCTCCTCATCAACAGAACGGTGCCGTGTGTGGTTCCCCGCGGGTCTGGCAAAAAGCGGCCTAAGACGGGGAGGGAACCAAATTTCAGTGCAGGGCAAGTTGCCCGCAATCCTACAACACCATACCTAGCCTCTCAGCACAATTTGAGTTGGCTACTCCACGGGCGTCTGATCTGAGAATATTGTCGCCTTACAATGGGCCCTAAGAAAAAGTCTGACGCCCGTGGAGGCGTCCCAAAGCCTGGCACAAAACAGGCGAAGGCCGCCGCCGAAAAGGCGAGCGAGACTGCAAAGAAAGCCCCGCCAGCGGAGGAGCAGAAAAAGCCTACAGTCAAGCAGGTTATTGGTGGCGCATCGTGGACGGGGAAACTACCTGTCAATCTAATGTCAGAGCACTGTCAGAAGCAGAAGTGGGAGAGGCCGGAATACACGATGGTGAGTTGCGGGGAATTAGAGGCCAATACGGCCCAGGGCAACAGCTGCTTCGTCGGCATAATCTACTCGTACTGACGATCCTGCTCAATATAGGACAAGATTCCAGATGGGTTTATAGCATCGGTTATCCTCAGACGTACCGACCCTAAAACTCGGGAAATAACCACCCTTCCTCCCATGAAATTTCCGTCAGCGCACAAGAAACTAGCTGCGCAATCTACAGCATTGGAGGCTCGACATTTTGCTGCAACATACACCTTGTTTCGCGTGTGCAACAAGACAAACATGCACATGATGCTTCCGCCCACCTACAAGAAGCTCTGGAAGGAGGACTTTGAAAAGATAAAAGCGGAAGACATCAAAAGGGGGGATACTTGGATGTACGAGGCGGATCCATTCCTGGCCAAGAAGGAGCGAGAAATTGCAGCTGCGGAGCTAGATAAGAAACAAAGGGAGCGGGAGGCAGCCAAGGCAAAGACCGCCGACAATGGGGTGAATTTAAGCCTGGGACCGAGTGGTAAGAATAAAGGGAACAACATTTGGTCGCATGCACCCAAAGTTGATCTAGGAGGCAAGGTTCGCCGTGAGATTGAGGGACTGTTGCAAGAACATACCATATGGAATCCTTACAACGTGAAGATTCTCGAATCTGAGCGTAAAGCCATCAGCGAGGAGTTTACAAAGTTGGGCTTCCGACGGAGTCACGTTGAAGAGGCAAGCACTGCCTGCAAAGACCGGGAAGAGGTCCTTGAGTGGCTCCTTATATATGTTCCAGAGGACGATCTGCCACCTTGGTGTTTACCAGAAAGATATTCAGCGGGCGTGACGCTGGCAACCGATGACCTTGCAAGGGAAGCCAAGATCAAACGGCTCGCATCTGTTGGATATCCGGCGGATCTTTGCGCAAGAACCCTAGATAGCAACCATGGCGATGAATTTGCAGCAGCAGCGTTTCTGCAGAGCACTCTTGTGCATGGGAGCTCCTCTAATGACACACTCTTCTTGGATGCTGAAGACTCCTGGGCTGAGGAACAGGAAACTTTGGAGGCTATCTTTGGGGAACGATATTCATCAAAATCATCCAAGGTCTGCGAAATTATAAGTGAATCAGTCGATATCGCTGATTCATTATGCTTCCGATTTCAAAGACCTTCAGGACACTATCCATCGTCCGTTCCGGTGATTTCAATCCAAGCCAAAGGTATTCCAGCGTACATACGGCTTAGTGCTATTCGACAGGCCGTGCAATATGCGGAGGGAAATTTCCTCGGAGAACCGATGGTTTACAATTTAATAGACTGGTTCGAGACTCATCTCCCCGAGATCATTGAAAACCCTGGGAGACTGCGAGATATCGCCTCAATCGCAGCACCTCATTCGCCTGCCGAGCCTACATCGGAACTTCCTGTCCGTCAACGAGTTAAAAAGACTAAGGAGGTCGCCTGGACACCCGATTCGCCCCAGAGCATTTCAATCAAGGAAGCTTGGGAGAAGAAGCAGTCAACCAAAGCTCAACAGGGGATGCTTCAACAACGGGAGTCGCTGCCAGCATGGAATACGCAGGATGCAATTATCCGTGCGGTGAATGCCCACCAAGTCACCATTATCTCAGGAGAAACAGGTAGCGGCAAGAGTACCCAGTCAGTCCAGTTCTTGCTTGACGATATGATCAAGCGTGGCCTCGGTGGTGCTGCTAATATCGTTTGTACCCAACCCCGGAGGATCTCTGCACTAGGCTTAGCGGACCGAGTTAGTGATGAACGATGCTCATCTGTTGGAGATGAGGTTGGATATATCATCCGAGGCGAATCTAAGGTTAAATCTGGCACCACGAGGATCACCTTTGTTACAACCGGTGTATTACTTCGTCGAATTCAATCCGGCAGCGGCTCCGGAAATATTGCCAGCTCCCTCGCAGATGTCACACACGTTGTAGTGGATGAAGTCCACGAACGGAGTCTTGACACTGACTTCCTCCTAGCTCTTTTAAGAGACATACTTCGCACTCGCAAAGACCTCAAAGTGATTCTGATGAGTGCAACCCTTGACGCAGACATCTTCACCAAATATTTTGGTGGTCCTCAGTCTGTAGGCTTGGTCAATATTCCAGGCCGTACCTTCCCCGTCGATGATTATTACCTGGATGATGTTATCCGCGAAACTGGATTCTCGCCAGAGTTAGCTGAAAGAGGTTATGAAGATGATGCAGCCCCTTCATTTGCTGCAGAGGAATCTCTCGGAAAAGTTCTTCGTACAATGGGAATGGGAATCAACTATGAGCTGATTGCGGCCACGGTCCGATACATCGACGCTCGGCTGCAAGATCAGCCGGGAGGCATTTTGATCTTCTTGCCCGGAACCCTAGAAATTGAAAGATGTCTGGCTGCCGTCAGAAAGATCCCCAATGCCCATCCTCTACCACTACATGCCTCCCTTCTACCAGCCGAGCAGCGGCGCGTGTTTCTAAGTCCCCCGAAAGGAAAGAGAAAAGTCATCGCGGCAACCAATGTTGCTGAAACATCTATCACAATCGAGGACGTCGTAGCAGTCATTGATACTGGTCGTGTCAAGGAAACCAGCTACGACCCCAAAGACAATATGGTTCGCTTGCAAGAGGTGTGGGCATCTCAGGCAGCTTGCAAACAACGACGAGGTCGAGCTGGTCGTGTTAGGGCTGGTGTATGTTACAAACTCTACACCCGTAAAGCAGAGTCGAGTATGCCGCAGAGACCAGACCCCGAGATTCGCCGTGTTCCGCTGGAACAATTATGTCTCTCCGTACGCGCCATGCAGGGAATCAACGACGTCGCCATGTTCCTCGCAAACACAATCACACCACCCGAAAGTATCGCGGTCGAAGGAGCCCTAAACTTCCTCCATCGAGTCGGAGCCCTAGACCACGACAGGCTCACTGCCCTCGGACGATACCTCTCTATGATCCCCGCCGATCTAAGATGCGCTAAACTCATGGTCTACGGCTCCATCTTTGGCTGCATCGACGCTTGTATCACAATCGCAGCCATCCTGACCGTCAAAAGCCCCTTCGTTTCCCCCCGCGATAAACGAGACGAAGCGAATGCAGCAAGAGCCTCGTTCTCCAAAGGCGATGGCGACCTCCTAACAGACTTCGCCGCGTATCAGCAATGGTCCGACCGCGTGAAGGCCCAGGGCTACTGGTCCACGCAATCTTGGTGCACAACCAACTTCCTCTCCCACCAAACTCTCCGAGACATCTCCTCCAACCGCGCCCAATTTCTTACGTCCCTCAAAGACGCCGCTATCCTCCCAGTCACCTACTCGGACTCTAACCCCAGCTCCAACGACAGCCGCTGGAATCAGAATGCCGGAAACCGCAGCCTCCTCCGCGCTCTTGTCGCCGGCGCCTTCCAGCCCCAGATCGCACGCATCGCCTTCCCAGACAAGAAATTTGCCAGCTCCGTCACAGGAACCGTAGAAGTCGACCCGGATGCGCGCACAATCAAATACTTCAACCAAGAGAATGGCCGTGTCTTCATTCACCCTTCATCGCTCCTTTTCTCCGCACAGTCCTACCCCGGCGCAGCTGCCTACCTGAGCTACTTTACCAAAATGGAAACATCCAAAGTATTCGTCCGAGATTTAACCCGTACGTGATCCCCCCCCCCCCCCGGCCCCTTTTTTTTCTCAATTCAATTATAATGAGATAGAGTAAACCAAAGCTAACGAAAACAAAAAAAAAAAAAAAAAAAAATTGTCCTATAAATCCAGCATTCAACGCATACTCGCTCCTCCTCTTCTGCGGCTCAATCGACCTCGACACTACAGGCCGAGGCCTCATCGTTGATGGCTGGCTGCGTCTCCGCGGCTGGGCCCGAATCGGTGTCCTAGTTTCTCGACTGCGCATGATGGTCGATGAAATCATCGCGAGCAGAATCGATAACCCGGCTGCTTTTCTTGATTCTACTTCCTCCCTGTCTGGAAACAGATCCGGGGGCCAGAAGAGCCGTATCTCGGATCTGGTGATTGATGTTGTGAAAAAGTTAATAGAGTATAATGGGCTAGATCAGTGAGCGAGTTTTGCTTCTTGTTTTCAGACTGCTCGGGGTTGGATCATAAAAGTTGGCTATGTTTTGGGAACTGAATGATCTGATATGCCCTAGGTATTCTAGATTTGCTTTTAATCTATCTTTCGGGTAGATATATAGATATTGGCGTATACACCACAATGATAGAAAGGGCCCTTTACGTGAATCGGGTAGCTATATGTCTATCATGAAGAATAAGACCCAGTGGAGATTTACCCTACGACTATGGTTGTAGAGAATCAATGGGTAGACTAGATCCAATATCATTAATGTAGCGCCATAATGCCGGTGCGATAAGCCATAAGAGATGAATGTTTCGAAGAGAAAGAGATAAAACAGTACCCCAAAATAAACAAAGGGAATAAAGGGTAATGTTGAGGCCCGCGTCCTGGCTCACTAGTCATGAAGCCTCATAAAAACAGAACCTTCGTGTAGAGTCAGACGTCGTCACAGCCAGTGTAGACGGACAGGCAAACACAAAAGAAGAAAAAGAGAATATTAAAGTCGCCAATTAACTCCTCCAGTCCTGGCTTGACTGCATGTCCCAGCCCATTAAAAGATGCAAAAGAAAAAGAAGACTCCGCCGCGCAGTACCTAATCGTCCGTTATGGCCATCCCCTGTCTAAGTCCCAAATACGTTAAGTGTCATAAAAGACGAAGGTTTGCCGGTCGTCAAGGGCGTAGGTGAAAATAGAGCAAAATAAACTCCCGGTAAAATTCGTAGAAAGTTGCGGTCATATCACGCACTTGCCCCATCGCTGGCCCTTTTTTAGGGATGTTCTCAGAGTGTAAAAAAAAAGGGTCGTGACACCTAAAACATGCATCGCATATCCCAGATGTATAATAGAATAGAAGCGGACCATTTTATCAAAATAGCCGACACTCCTCGAATATTATCCCGTGTTGAAAATGATAACAAAAGAAATCACAGGGCTGCATGGCGTGAGCGTGGTAACACTAGGTTCAACACAAAGGAAATTAAATAAAACAAGGGAAGGAATGGCGAGTAGGTGGGAAAAAAAAAAGCACAGCTATGGCTGATTATGCTCGTGTGTCAATGGTGGACAACTTCGAGGGGCAGCTTGTGGTCGAGAAGTGAAGTCTCCCTAGTAGGCTCTGGCAGGCAAAAGGCTTTCCTCATTTCAGCCTCCACAAAAAGAGACGCGAGCTTGAATCGTTTATCTGTGTACTTGTCGTAGATTGCTGCATGGTGTTTGCGGGGCATCTCACAGCATTCCAACATGAGAGAGACAAGTGGGTAAAGCTGGGAATAGGTGTATTCGGCATAATGAACGTGGGCAGCACTCTGCAAAGATATCAGTGATTTACTTCCGGAGAGAGGAGGTCATGTAGGCTTACCCAATTCCCCTTCCTCAGCATCATTCTCGCTAGACAATGCGCACCCGCAGCAAGGAAACTGGCTGGGCTACCAACAAATCGCTCATCCATAATAGTAACCTCCAAGAAATACTTGGCAAGGGTCCTGGTCTCAAGATCGTAATCATCTGCCTTGCTGATCCTGCGCAAGAAGCTCATGGGGCCAGGCCATCCTAGCTCAAACTGCAGCATGCTCAGCATGAACCGCTCGGCTTTGAGGATTTCGTCAACGGTATAACCGCCATCCACCATGTAGACAATCTCTTGGACTGAGGGACAGTTGATCTCTTCATACTTGGCTGCAATGAAGATTGCAGTTGCACCCACAAGCTGCAGCTTACCCAGAGAGACGATCTTGCAAGAGAGGAAACGGTCGATGTAGTTGACGCAAAGGAAAAGAGTCTCTGGGAGCAGTGAGAAGCGATGGTGTACCTGCACAAGCCAATCCATGAGGACAGACCGCATGGACCATTGGATTTCAGCTTGGTTGTCCATGTAGTGCGCATTTGGGAGCATTTTGATCTAGACTACACTGTCAGCGCCATTCAAAAGAAATCGTCTAGATATAAAAGGTACTAACCTCTTGTTCTCTCAGGTATTCAAAGATCTCCTCACTGTACTCAGCAACCATGCTTGTGTCACAGTAATCATCTTCGATATCTTCCACTGTGCGAGTTGCCTCAACGACTTGTTTCGCAAGAGCTAACTCCCGTCTCACTTGCGGGTTGTACTTCGGGAAGAGTAGTGTAGTGGCGCCTCCAGTGGTATTTTCACCTCGAGAACGATAGGAGCGAGCTGTGATATAACCATCGTCCTCCTCGTTTTCTTCCTCTTCATCGTCCCAGTATTCTTCAGGCTCGGACTGAGAGGGCAGGTAATCATGTGCTGCACGAAAAGCAGTTGCAGACTTGCGGGGCTTGGATTCCAGGTCAGGCTCGTGAGATTCCACCGTGACAGGTTTGTGGATACACTCCTTAACGTTCTGCACTTTGCAGTCATCACCCTGAAGCTTCGAGACCTCCTTCTCCCCTTCTTCAGTTTCAGACTTGATGGAAGAGACTTCCTCCAATTTTCCTGAGAGACACTTGGAAACTTCCTCGGAGGGAAAGTCCTTCACGTCGTCACGAGGCAGATTCTCTGCGGAGCTGTGCTGCTGATATTTTGCGGTGTTGCCTTCCTTTAATTCAATAATAGACTCCTTGGATGTGTATTCGCTGGTTTCTTTCAACGGCTCGAGGTTATCTTTGAAAACTGTCGCACGCTTGTTGATGGTTTTGCTGGAGTTGGCACTCTGCTGTCCTGCGACTTGCTTTCCAGAAGTCTCCAGAGACCTAGTGTTTGTCACATTGTTGAGCAGACCCTTCAATCCGGACATCGATACAGGGCGCTGGGCTGGCTGTGACAGTACAGTGGGCTTTCTCTCCACAATTAAGGAAGGTTTCTCCACGGTCTTGAGCGACTTTTTGGCCGCGTGAGAGGCGTCTTCGCGGTTTCCATGATTCATGGTATTGCTAACATCCCCAAAGGCAGCTCTGCGAGGCCCATTCTTGGCAGCACCATTCTGATACATGGAGGAGAGCGCCGTGGTGGACTTGTTTCGCTGTTGAATCGTTTTGTTCGTTGTGGTGAGCGGGAAGGGCGCATTTTCGTCCCCACGGACACGAATGCGATGCGGCTATTTTTTGGCAGTGAACAGTCAGTACAATTTCTAAATCAGTTGGTGACTCCACAAGGTTCATATGTAGAATGAATCCAGTTTTGCGCGTCCAACGTTCTACCTAGCGACCATGTGGCCGTCGAGGCCGAGGTTGACAGGGAGCGCAAGAAAAGGGGATGAAAAACATACCTTTGCATCCATTGTGTATCAAGAAAACACTTTTGCAGTTTCCACAGACTGTAGGTGATGAGGTTTGGGTACAGCCAGGTGGTTGTTTACTTCTTGAGGCCCTGTCTGAGAGGAGTTAGTTGTAGAGAAACTTAGCTTATTAGCTGATACTAAAACTGACCCCAAACAAACAATAAAAACCGCGCCAAGTCCAAGCGCAGAGTACCAGACAACCAAAAGTTCCCAGGAAACGCTCACTCCACCAGACGCGAAATGAGGTGAATCTTACTGGAAAAGTGGAAATAACATGCCCATAAAGTCCAGGGGTGACAATGAGGTAGAAAGAACAAAAAAGAAAAAAAAAAGCCGCTGGGAAACAAAGGGAGAGAGCAACAGCAGCGCCGGGGGGAGTGCCTAGGGAACCGCATTGCTCAAAGCGGCTGCTTCCCTTTCCGGTTACTGTCAACAACTTCAACGCTAATCCATTTACGGTAATGTAAGAGGCTGCTTAGGTCATCAATATTGTCTGATTTGTTTGCATCCTGTATATGACATCATGCTACGCGTCTTCCCAGCAGTCTCGCAATTCGATGAACAACCAAAAAACCTCAACGAATCCAGACAGAAACTCAGAAATTCATGCGCAGGTTATTGCTATGAACTTTGCGACCATAAGTGCCTCATTTCCTTTAGCACTTGCTGCTGCAATTGTGCGGCAATATGAAAAGCTCCTCGCTCGACCTGGACGCGAGGGGGAACACGGGGCCACTCGCCATCCAACGCGAAGACACGTGATCTCGATTTCCCGCAATAATTCGAATTGTCCCGCTGTGGACTCGAATCATTCGACCGCCTGGGAGTAAGTCAAACGGCATCCAATTTGCAGACCTTAGTCGCTGTATGCAAAGACTTAATTTCGCGGCTATAGCCGATGATCAGCAGCGATTTTAGGCCCAGGGAAATAAAAAAAAAAAAAAAAAAAAACCAAGGACCATTCACAGAAGAACCCTTGCGCGCAAAACAAGAACTGACTGGTCCAGTTCCCAGACTCGAAAAGTGATGGCAATTATTCGGGTTGAGCATGGACGCAGTATCTTATATTCGTTCCTTGTCGACTCGCATCTTCGTTTTTCCATGGTATCTCAAATCCTAGGCTGTGGCCCCGTTCGTTCTCTTGCTCCCGTTTACACCCGTACCATTGCCAGTGTCGCCAAAAGAGCAGAGCCACAGCATCCCCCCTCCCCGAAAGAGTGTGGGACGCGGATCCGGCGGTACCTATCATGAAGCGGCGGGATCGGTAGCTTTTGTCTCAATTTCAGATGACGGGCCACCTGAGGAAAAGAACCTCCCTCTTGTTCGCCATCGGAGCATAAGTGTTGGGGCAGACCAGCCCGCACGGTTTGCAAGTCGGAGAGGAAGAGGGTTAATTCATTGTGTGGGCATACCTTTTTGCCCACTTTTGCTTCTTCCATCAGCCGGAGGTGTCGCATGCGACATTTGGGGCTGGACGAACTAGGAGCTAGAGGCAAAGTTTCGGTGTACACCCAGAATCATAAATAGTAAGTCATCCTGGAGATGCTCATGACTGTGTTAGGAAAAGCCCCGCCTCATTCCGAAAGGAACTGAAAGGAAAACCGGCGAAAGAAAAAGCCAGAGCGTGTTGTTCTCTTTTAGCTTCGCTTTTCTTTTTCGCTCTCTTGCCCTTTGTCCCAACAGCACAACCATCGCCTCGGTCCATTACATATGATACATACGGAGTACGGAGTAGATTCATATATACCCTGATCGGGATCACTGGGAAAATATATGCACTTCTCCAATTTCCCCCACCCGGTTAACGGCATCGTCTGCGCCGACTGTTTATCTTTCCCCCCCCCCCCCTTCTTCAAGTGGTTTTTGCGCGCGCGCACACACATAAAAGACACCGCAAGATTAGTTTGATCGATTCCACCTTTAGAAATAGAATTCCCCAAATAAATAGTGAACCGGTGTCGTAATTCTACGGAAGAGCCATGCCTCCTCATTTCCATTTCGCATTCCCTTCCCAGCGAGGACCTTTGAGGCCCAGGAACGAGGCAATGGGAGTGTCACCGTGAGTAATAAAGGAACCAGATTCTACAACGCCCGCGCATAGAATCGAGGAGAAGCTCCCTCACACTAGCCAGAGTCCCTACTACTCTTCTGCCCGACGATTGAAGGGGAATCCTTACTCACCATGACCCTAGGCGGAGAGAGACAGAGAGGGGTAAACAACGACGAGTCTGGACAGGCGCAGATCATGAAACGAGGCAGCAATTGGGTGTTGTCACCCGCTTAGCTGGTGGCTCGACAATTCATCTTGTCTTATAATTTAGGAAAAGAAAAATAACAATGTCCAATTTAATCATACAATATTATGACTATCATTCCCTGCCATTCCTGTTCCTTGTCCTGTACAATCTTTATAATGTGAGATATATAACTAACTAATGATGATGATGATGATGATGATGATTTCGCTAGAGAGAGACGGCTTGGGTTTAGGTGCAAATCATTGATACACCTTTGCGCCAGAGTAATCTTACCCATCCTTCTAACCCCAAGTACGGAGTATCAACCACTGGATCTCCAAATGATGGAATTTCTCGGCTGCGAAGGAAGAACCCTCCTTATTTCCGTTGCGTATCGGGTTTTGGAAGTGTAGTTTAGTCAAGGAAGTCTCCAAGGTGTAGAGAAATTCCCCTTCGCCAAAGTAGTCCATCGCCTTGTGTCCCCGTCTGGCGTGAGGGTGCGACTTTGGCTTTTTCGGGCATTTTTCAAACCTAGTACCAGTGGGAATGATCATGCTGGAAATGAACCTTGGAATTCTTCTCAATCGTTGGCCAAGATGTGATCTGGAGTGTCATTCGACGTGGCCAGGCTTGACACGCCCCTCCCCAGTTGTCCAGTCGTGGTTATCTGGTGGTGGTTCCTATGATTCGACCGGAGTGCGTGCAGAGAGGAATTGAACTTGGAAGCCCACAAGCAAAATGAAGGTTCTCACTCTTCAAATAATAATCAGGGGAAAAGAGAAGTTAAAAAAAAAATAAAAAAAAGCAGAGCGTGTACTAGAAGGGACAAAACTAACTACCTACCTAGTTGGTCAGGAAGCTGTCGTCGCTTTGCGCCTGAAGCATCTCGCACACCATGATAACTCAGCATCATCCTGCTAAAAATAATCCAAGTGTTGTTTGCCTGGAAGATTGATAATTTGCGATTTATATTCGAGGGACTTTTCTAGATTTTGTTTATGCTGAGTGTGTAGTTTTCTCTTTGGGGGAGGGGGGGTTCGGTATACAAGAGGTATCCTCAGCAAATGCGATTCTAATTTGCGACATCGAGGAACTCGGCGCAAAGGGTTTAAAATATCGTAGAGAATAAAATTGAAGAATCAATTCCGATAGAAGGAGAGTTGAAAAGGTGGTGGGTTGTTGCTGGCGCACGCAATGAGGGCCACCGAACCCCCAGTGACGCTCTCGCTTGAAGGTGAAACCCGTTCTTCATTCTTCTTCTGCTTCCCTCAATCTCTACCCAGCACCACCCGCCAGTCTTCTTCGCCAAACTCACCCCGTCCGTTCTATTTCTGTCGTCTCTTTACCTTCCTATCTCCATCGCTACCTGGTTCGTCTCTACTTTTCATCCTCTATTTCCTTCCTCCCCTTATCCCCGGCCGTTGGCGAACCCCTCTAGTCCCCTGACTCGCTTCGGATTGATGCCACCGCTGACATAGCCCAACAAGCGCTTCGTAGAATCGACTCACCTCCGTCTGTCCTCCACCACCACAATCTCCTCCACTATCATCACTCGCCTTCTTGTTCTCTTTCTTCATCTAGAAAGTGTGTGCGACTCGGGGGGAAGAATTTTGATCTGTGAAAGGTGTGTCCCTCATGCTCCCCATCTTCTTCCGAGTGATTCGGATCGTTTCCTCTTTTCCCCCCCTCAACTCTTTGCAACTTCTGCAACCCATCTGGATCCAACGAGTGAGGAGTCGACATCTCAAATCCTGTCCGATCTCCTTCCTTGATGAACCTTCTTTTGCATTGACCCTTGAGAAAATGAAATGTACTGACCCTTGTGGCATCTTTTTCCTTAGTTCTCTCGTCGGTTGCCCATTTTTCCCTCTTCCGGTCCAGTCGCTCTCGGCTCTTGCGACTTGGATTACCCTCATCCCATCCACCACCTTCGGTTATCAATCGTTTTATTAAAACAATCGCGGGTGATCCATCTATCAACCGAACCTCTCTGGTCTCTCTGTTGCGGTAGGTTTGGATGGAATTTGCCCATACCCTGCTGCTCCCGTTCTCCCTCTGCCTTCCACCCTCCCCACCCTCTCTTCGTCTCAGCCGTTTGTCCTTTCGCCCAGTCCGAACACTCCGTTGATCCTATAAATCCATGTAGCAACAGTGTGGTAGCACTGCCTCCTGGACCGTCATCACCATGCAGGCTGTCCAGTATGAACAGCTTGTCTCTCCTGGGGGGTCGCCCACCTACACCGACCACCATCCGCCCCAGGAGCCCTCCCCAACCAAAAATCCAACCCCCAAAAACGTCGCTTTCGAGCTGTTGCTCGATGAAAACTCCAAGGTCCGGGCTCGCATCCCCATGCGAGTCCAGATCTATCCTCACGATACCACCGATTCCATCGTGACGACGGTCAAGAATTTTTATGGGATCTACGATGGCGCTGCCAGCGGCGTCAGTTTTGAGGATGATAATGGTACCACCCTCATTGCCAGATATGAGAATCTAAGAAACAATATGACAGTCTATGTGCGGGTTATTCCCGTACAAGCATACGCGGAGGGTTATGGAGATCGATATTATGGTCCCATCCCAGTAGAAAATCGCAAGCGCCCAAGTCTTGGCGAGCCATTTCAGATGCCACCTACAATGCAAGCTCCCCAACCCTCAGAGCACGGTCAACCACCCTCTCGACCAGCGTCCCGGGTCGCTAGAAAGCGCAGTACTTCCCCGTCTGGCAGAAGTCGGCGCAGCGCTTCGCAGCACAAACCGCTGTCTCGCTCAGGCTTCAAGAGTAGGGCTTCAAGCACCCATGGCAGTCTCCACGACGATGCCACAGCTGTCTACAGCGACAGCGATGGTGGCTATGGCTCTGTCTCGGGGGCGAAAAAGTCTCGAAGTGAGCAATTCGCTAGCTCGGATATCAGCATGGATAATATTCTTCAAGACGGTCGCCGCAAGCGACCCAAGTTTGAAAGCTCGGTGAGTTGAGCTTTTTCTTAATCGCTAGAACAATCTGCTAACCCTCGCCTTTTCTTTTACCTCTACAGGAACTACCTTTGTTCGTCCCACCTCAGGTCCCTCTAACTACCTCGACTTCCTCTATCTCCCCGCAACGTCGCTCCATTGGTCAGGAAGGAGCCGGCTCACCTTTCGCTCGACCCATGCACCGCCCATATAATGCTTACCAACAACCCTTACCCTCCCCTCAAAGCTATGGGCATAGCGAACATACATATGGCGTTAATCCCACTAGAAATGGCATATATACTACACCAATGGTTCCAGAGCATGGGCATCGCCTTCGCGACCGGACCACAGTCCAATCATCTGGACCGTTTTCGAACTCAGTTGGTCGAAACGGTGCGCCAGGGATTCTTCCCACTCCAGACCCTACCATTGCAAGCTGTATTTCAGATGAAGATGTTGCGATGCAATTGATTCGTCTTGGCGATGCATCGAATTTCTCTCATGGCCGTACGTCAGCCTCTACTCTTGACGATGCTTTCAGTGGTGCTGCCGATGCGGCATCTTCAACTGGCGCAACTAGCGACGGGGAAGGCTTCAGTGAGGATGACGATGACCTCCCTGCTCGTCCTAGACATAGACTGGATTCGAGCCCTATGCTCCCTCCAGGCACCACCAAGCGCACTCACAAGCGGCTGGATGACATTCTCCCAAGTTTTGACAGCTCCGATGCAAGCTGCGACAGCCTTGATCATGAATACCATCAAGAAGACTTCGATGATGGTATGGTCAAGAACGAGGTTGATGACGATTCCATCCATGAATCTGCGCCAAAGCCCAAAAAGGCCAAGACTCGCGCTACGGGTGCAACCTCTACCAAGGTACGCAGTTCGAAGCCCGCGCCCTCACGCCAGAACAAAAGTACAAGTAAGAATCCATCCAATGCCGTTGCGCGGAAGGTCAAGCCGACAGCAACTGCTGTCGTTCCAAAGGCAGTGGTGCCACCTCAGATGGTGAGCCCCGCTCCTACCAGAAAGACCTCCACCTCTTCGGTCAATACCCAGCACCCACTCGCTGCGGACGAGGAGGACTTATCGACTAAACCGCGCTGCCAACGCTGTCGTAAGAGCAAGAAGGGCTGTGACCGACAGCGCCCCTGCGGACGATGCAAAGATGCCGGTATTGGCATTGAAGGCTGCATCAGCGAAGACGAAGGGAATGGCCGGAAAGGCCGCTATGGTCGCCATATGGGAGTTCCCGTTAAGAAGACCCTCGAGGCTGTTCCTGTTGGATCTGAATCACACTCGAGTCTGCCTTCCATTCCCATGACCGCCTCGACATTGGACAAGAACAAGAAGCGCAAGCGTTAAATGGTTTCGCCTCTCTCTGGTTTTTATTCAGCCGCCATACCATTTATAATATTTTCTCTTTCTTCCTGCTCGCCGGATCGAAGTACAAAAATAAGAGAATAAATAAGAAGAAAAAATGAAAAAAAGGACAAAAAAAAAAGATTTAGGTTTCTGCATTTTAATATGCTGATTACTCCTATCATAGACCATCAAAAATCTTCATCAAGCTTTTCTGGATGCCAGATGCTTGTTATACAGGGAAGGCATACATTTGGGCACCTTTTCTTGAAACCACCACACCCTTTACCATCGATATTCGCCACTATAACTTCCAATTCCCAAGGCAATTGCGCCCTTGGCTCGGGTACGAATAATGAAGAAGGCTCTGAAGATGCTTCAGCACTTTTTCTGCTGTTGTTGTTGTTGTTTTTTTACCTTCCTTTCCTCTCCCTGATCGTGAGTTCTTGATTACGGCTCTTCCTCTCTCTCTTTCTCAACCTATTCCGCTTTGCGAGCCCAGCGCTCTCCACACTCCTTCCTCCAATCGGCATCCCATCTTACTGCGCTCTGCATTCTACCTTGCTTGTTGTTGTTTGTCATGGATAGTCTAGCGATTGAACTGAGCGGGTTGATTGACTTATTGTATTGTGTTGATTTTTGGCGTTTGTGTTGTGATTTACCGGTGTCGACACGCGTTGGTGTCCCCTCCATTCATTTCTCATACCGTGTGGATTTGATTTATTTCCTTCTTCCTGATTTTGCTTTAATTGACGTTTCCTTATTTGTCGGGGATGGGTTTAGTTTAAGGGTAGTGGTTCAGTAGGAATATATATTTGTTTTGACTCTTACTACCAAACATCTTATGGCTGTTATCGTGGAATAAAATAAAGCCAACATACATAGACAACACATCCCGGTGTAGTTCTATTATATGATGAAACACCCAAACAGATTGTACTGCATACATACATCCGTGATACATACATACATTGCCTCAGCCTTGTCTACACTCTACAGAAGTACTTAGGTAAGAATACTCTAAGATAACGAACCAATGAGGAAACCCCATTTTATTCCCAACTAGGCCTAGCGTGTAATCCAACTGCCCCGCATTTCCGCCTTAGACGCGCGCTTCGACTTCAATTTTTTTTTACCCGCCAAGACATATGACCATCACCCAACAGTATCCAACCAACCTCTTTAGATGGAGTCTTTTATTTGATCTATTCATATTTTTTTGTTATTTTAAAAAAGAAATCACCGCCAGCAAACCTACCCTACACTACACTACAGTACACCGGACCCAACTACCCTGCATCAAAGTCGAAACCGAAATCGAAGTCGAAACCGAACATACCAAGAAGAAGAAGAAGAAGAAGAAGAAGAAGAAGAAGAAATTATGCCCCCCAAAGCCGGCCCCCGAAGAGGGGGTGGTGCATCCTCGACAACAAGAAACAATGCCAGCGGCGCCGAATCCTCTAGCGCGAACCCTCCTCCGGCCTCTACCTCGGCTAGTCCCGCACCTCCAGGCACAAGACGACCAGTGCAACGACTACAATCGCTGAAGAAGCGAGCGCCGTCGGGAAGTATTGGAGCGGGACCTGGAGCAGGCCCAGGCGAGCCGGCGAAGCCCACACTGAAATATAAGCCGCGGGCCGTGGGCCGCCGGAGCAAAGAAGAGCGCGAGGCGATCGAGAAGCTGGAGGCTGAGCGGTTGAAGGAGCGGTTGGCGGAGGCGGCGGCGATCCAGCGTGGGAAGGCGAGCCTTGTGGGGGGCCGCGGACGGGCGGGATTCAATGCGCGTGGCGGCGGGCGGGGAGGTGGGATGATGATGGGTGCGGCGGGGCCGTTGGGGAGTGGCATGGGCATGGCTGGGAAGAGAGGGGGTCGTGGGGGGGTTGGGCGGTTTGCGGGGGATTCCCGGGCGACGTCGATGTCGAGGAGGAGTCGGTCTGCTGTTGGGGGGGGAGGGGGTGGGTCTCTTTCGTCGGATGATAGTGATGGGGAGATTCGGGTTAGTATTGATCGGATCAATTTGGAGAGTGATGCGGATGATGATGACGACGACGACGATGATGATGATGATGATGATGATGAGGTGGCTGTGAAGATGAAGAAGAAGAAGAAGAAGGGGAAGATGGCGATCAAGGGGTCTTCCGGAGGGCAGAGGGAGAAAGGGCTCCGGCCGATTCGCGTGGAGAGACACGAGCATGAGGAGCGCGTGGTCAGTGTGAATATGGAGTCGAGTACGAGCAAGTCGGCTGAATTGCGGGAGCAAGCGAAAGCCCAGGCGAAGGCCAAGGGTGACGATGACGGGGCGTTATTTGTGCAGGACGATGATGAGGAGAATAATACGACGTCGACGCCTACGCAGACGGATTCCCGCGTTAAGCAGGAGCCTATGGATGAGAGCGACCAGGCCATGGCGGATGTTCCCCATGCGGATGAAGCCGTGACTACAGATGATGGCCTTCTGCCCGCGCAGAAGGTCAAGGTGCGACGGAAGCTGGGGTCTAGAGAGCCGTCTGTGCCTGCTGTGGTGAAGGACCCGAAGAGCCTGCTACGGACCAAGGAAGATATCGAAGAATACGATCGACATGCGGAGGACCTGGAACTGATCAAGGATCTGTTCACCAAGGAGCCTCCCACTACAAAGACCAGGGAAAAGAAGGAAACCGAGGAAGGACCCGAGACGACTACCGCTGATGGCCAGGAGACGCACAAAACGGAAGAGGGCGAGAAGAAGGAAGAGGAGGAGGAGGAGGAGGACTCCGATAAGGATAAATTATCAGGACAGCTATTCCTGATGCAATTCCCACCTATTACACCGAATCTAATCATCCCCACCGACGCTGAAGGACAAGCCGACGACGAGGTTACCGAAGTTCCTGCGCCAGTAGCCCCCTCAGACAACCCGCAAGAACCCCCCGCTCTCAAGCGCGAAGACGGGGTTGAAGTCCTGGACGGACCCGACGAGTCCGCAACAACAAACAAGACATCCCAGGTCGTCACCGCGGCAGACTGGCAGCTTCAGGCAGGACGGGTTGGCAAACTGAACGTGCACGCTTCGGGCCGAGTGACGATGAACTGGGGCGGCATTTGCTTCGAACTCGATCGCGCGACGGCCGTTGACTTCCTGCAGGAAGCGCTCATTGTGTCAACCCCGCCCAACGCCACAGAGACCGAGGTGTTGGATGACGAACATAAGGTGTGGGCGATGGGACAGCTGAGCGGCAAGTTTACTGTGACTCCCGACTGGGAGCAGATGCTATGATGTGTTATGAATATTCCAGGTTCGACCGGATAGGTAATACTAGTATATAGAGAGAGAGATCTTATGAAACTACACAGAGTAGGGTAGATAGAACCCTTTTGAGTGTCATTTCATTTCATCTCATCCAACTGAAGTGGTGTGATTTAAGTCCGTAGAGCACAATTTTAACTGCTGAAATAACATTACCTGCGTAATTACCACAGGTGGGGCTCTGTAAGAAATCATTCGCTGTGAGTGGTGGACATGACTAGTTCCAATTACCCAAAAGGCAAGGTCGAGTGGGTCCGAGTGGATCCATGACGAATCCCTGACAAGCTTCTGAAGGGTTGCACGAGACGGCGATCGGCTGCGCTAGACTGGACTAGTGCATGCCCGTGCTAGATACGGCAGCCCAGAGCCAATCAAGTCGCAGTTATTGTGCTGGGATTCCCTGGTCAGGCCTGTCAGCGTCTGGCCCGTCTCCTCCTGTTCTCCACTTTTTGGCTCTACCCCCCTTTGCTAAAGGTTGTTTTGCCCTGTTTTCAAAAACAAAAAAAAACATCCAATTTCCACTAGTTTTGCTTCTTTTCTGGCTGGATATCCGTGCTTCGCCTCAGGCGTTTCATTTCCCTTTTCCCTCTCCCTCTCCCTTTTCCTTTTCCTCCTTTTCCAACTTCGATCCTACCCTCGACGCTCCCCTTTCTACCTGCTTCGTTTAATGTGCTGTTCGGAATTATTTCTTGTTCGTCGCTGGAATTTCCGCTGCATCTCCTGACGAGTTCGCCGCGCGGCTCACTCACACCCTTACCCGCCCTGTATAGAATTTATTGCGCTTCTTATATAATCCTACGGTGTATGTCGTCTACAGCGAATAATAATTACGACATTGCGAAATTGCGAAAAAGTTGCGAAGCTCCCCCTGATCCAACCCTGAGTTTGCCGTGCCGCAACAACAGCATCGACAAAATGAAACCTTCAAAGCTCCTCCTTTGTCTTGCTCCTACGGTAGTTCTGGCCGTCGAGTCGGAAAAAGCGCCAGCGGTTGCTCCCAGTCCATCTCTACCGAATAATACTCCCCCTGTCCCTCTTCCCGCCGTCCCGATACGTCCACAAGATGAATCGCCTCGGATACCGTCAGAAGCGCAGATGATCCATTTGCCAGTAGTCGATGGGGTCACGTTGAAACCCGAGACGATACCTATCCCTCTTCTGAGCAGAACGAAGCTCTCCCTCCGATCACTCAGGTCGTCCACGGGGTTGACCAAATCACTCCGCGCTCGAAGTGAAGGCACACTGGGACAAACACCTTGGATTGGGATGGCAATCGGGTTGACCTGCACCACCCTGGCAGCAGTAATGCTGGGGTAACAACATCTTTCACCGACAATATTCTACGCCTGTATACGTTTTTTTTTTTTTTATAACCTTCTACATCTACACTCCTGAACGATTCGCCGGTCGTCGCTGCTTTGCCATCCCCGTTCTAATTGCATCTGGAGTTTTTTTTTTTTTTTTTTTTTTTGCTTTTGCTTTTGCTTCTTGCTGCTTGAGCAACTCTGGTTGGTTGCCTTGCTATTGTTTGTTGTTTTCTCTCGAGCGTATTGCATACAAACACGCATCTACCATTTACCATTTACCATTTATGGGTTACCATCTCTGGAGGACTACGCTAATACTGGGAAGATTTCGCGATGGTGTCTTTTTGCTTTTCTCTTCTTGCAGAGCTTCCCCTGCGCTGTTTATTATTGATGCTTGCATTCATACCCCAACCATGTATAGACTAGGTTGCTGACGCTTTTATACGTGTACATGATATATTCCAGCCATATTGGCAAAGGCCAAACAAAGGCATTACTTGATCATCATCATCTTTTTTTTTTTTTGCCTTTAGCCTGTCATAAAAACAGGGCATTTACTTACTATTTACGTGGGGCGAATCTTGCCCTGGCTGGGGAACGCTGCAATGAGTACCTGCCTACGGTAAGTTCTAAAGTGGGGAGAAAACAGGCACGTTCAAGCTTGAACGTGCATGTGCTGTATCTACGGCAGTTGCATTGTGGCTGACAATGGATATGGGGAATACTTCTATATACTCCGTACAGCAGCAAAGAATCACAAAAAAGCAACCCCAGGATAGGCACCAAGATCCAGCCAGTCCCTAACCTAGGTTTTAACAGTCCAGTCAGTCTTGGTACGGAACTCTCCAGACCGAATCTAATAATAACCATCCGTTCCGCTCTTTCAAGCACAGCGAACAAAGACTCGACCTCGACAACTTCAATAAAAAGCGTTCTCTCTCTCTCTCTCTCCCCCGCCCGCTCGCTCGCTCGCTCGCTCAGCCTTGCCAGCTTACGGATAACTTGATCTCCATTCTCCCTCCCCCTTAAAAATTATAGTCTCCCTGGATATAACACCTCTGAAAAGAACATGGCCAACTCCGACAACATCCCGCCGTTTGTGGAAAATGTGCCGGTCGCTCGTGAACTCGGGATTCTTTTTGCTTTTCTTGTGCCCTCGCTGGTGATTATCGCGGTTTATGCTCTTTTATGGCGGGGTAAGCTGGGCTACACTCTACAGCACATTCTATTGAATTGGTCGGAGAGAGAGAGAACTGTTTCGTATGCTGATCATGATCATGATATAGTTGTCCAACAACGGGGCGAAGAACGTGATAGGCTGCGTCGAGAGCAACTGGTCGCGCAGGGAGTGCATCATGGTCGTGGAGGTCTCCATGAGACAATCCTCGATCACGAGATATTATTCATGGCCGGCGCAGAAGCGTACCGGTTAAAGAGCACACATTCGCCCTCGTCTGCTTCGGCGGTGAACTCGCATTCATCCCACACAGGGACAAACGGTGCTGCTAGCCGGCTAAGAGATAGAGTGAGATCGTAGTCAAATCGATCTCTTCTCTCTCTCTCTCTCTCTCTCTCTCTCTCCTATTTAGGTTACTACTTAGGAGACATGCAGGTATCATACCCCCCCCCCCCCCCCCCCGGCAAATATCGTGAACTAATCAAGGAATATACTCATTCTCTATCGAATATAAGATGTATAGGCTTAGATGGATGATGCATGGAAATAAATATTGATTCACTTTCCAATCGCAACGAACAAGCGATCCCCGATATCGCCTAACCCAGGTACAATCATGCCATGCTCGTTGCACTGCGCATCAACTCCGCCGATCCATAGCTCTACGCCGTCTGCCCAGGAGGACGCCGCGCGCTGCACACCGGACTCGGAACCCAGGACACTGAGCATCACCACACGCTGCACGCCCCACTCTCGGAGTGTATGGATGGCGGCTTCGGCTGTGGCGCCTGTCGCGATGACAGGATCGAGGAGTACGGCGACAGAAGCAGCGGGGTTGTTGGCCGTTGGGGAGGGGAGGTTATTGTAGTATTCTACAGGTTGGAGGGAGAACCTTTCGCGGAAGATGCCTAGGTGGTAGATGGGGACAGGGGAAGGGAGGAGGTCATTCATAGCTGGGTCCGATAAAGATAGATCAGAGCTGTTTGAAACGAAAGAGAGGGGAGCACAGAACACACACCGTCAGTCATGCCCAGGCCCGATCGGAGAATAGGCACCAATGCAAGATTGGCTGGGTCAATGTTCTTGGTTTCGTACGATTCACCGAGAGGCGTGGTATCCTATAATTACGACCGTGAGGGTTGACTTGGACTTAATTTGATGAGCATACCTACTGTTTTCCCGGTACCTGCGGCTTTCCAGCCCGATGCGAAGGCTTCTACCCCCAGAATGGTTGCAATCTCATGCACGAGGTTGCGGGTTTCTCGGGTGGAGGTTGAGGAAGAGCGAAGCTGCGAGAGTTTTGCCTGCAGAAGGGGATGGGAAGAGATGTGGACATTTGAAGGGATTGCCATGCTGGGGAAGTTATATATGTGATAGCTAGGAAAAGAATATGATGGTCAAGGGTGCAGTGATTCAAGAAGAAGAAGAAGAAGAAGAAGAAGAAGAAGAAGAAGAAGAAGATAATAATGAGGGGTAAACAAGAATGTACACGACAGTCACCTGCTCTCTGCCCTACTGATGACAAGTATTTCTCCTGCATTTCTTCTCCTCTTTTCAGCTTCATCCTTTCCTAATCGGTCGAAGGAACCTCTCTTCTTCGCTGCTATATTCCCCTCATCTTATCTCCCTGATATGCTCTTCCACTTAGGGCCATAATAAATATGAAGTCATCGCCAATTTGTGACCCACCCGCAAATCGAACTACCGACGGCTAGCACTGAGACTAGTGCACGAAGCATTCTTCATTCTTCCTGGCTCGTCTCCATATCTCCATGGAGGAGAAAAAAAAAAAAAAACGTAACGCATCCTTGGGATGTGATTGAAGTTCCTTGATATCTGTCGCAATGTCTTCCGACGTTTCGCCTCGAAGCGAGAGTCACTTCGATCGTCCGTCCGACTCCCCCCCGGATAACTGCTTGTCCGAGACCAGAGCGCCGCCTCCTGCTACCGAGGAGGACCCTGCCCAGCGCGAGGAATGGTCGTCTTCAGGATACCCTCTCCCTCCAACGACTGAAAAGCCCGCGGATGGCCCAGTAGAGCCGAATCCAGAGCGCGATGAGCCGGTCGCCCAGCCGCTGTCGCCGCGCGTCACCTACCTCTACACCCTGTCCTACCTCGTCTTCTTCTCCTTTTTCGGCACCCTGGCGCGCATCGGTCTCCAAGCCCTCACCTTCTACCCCGGCGCGCCCATGGTTACGGGTGTTCTATGGGCCAATGTCGGCGGATCACTCCTGATGGGCTTCTTCCTCGAAGACAAGAACCTCTTCCGCGAAGAATGGGGTGAACCCAGCAAGAAACCCGACGACCGAGACAATAATAACTACTCTGGCACCTCTACTCCCGACGAAGCGTACGAAGAATCCAAACGCCACAAATCCGTCAAGAAGACCATCCCACTGTACATCGGCCTCACAACCGGTTTCTGCGGCTCCTTCACGTCCTTCTCCTCCTTCATCCGCGACATCTTCCTGGCCCTGGCCAACGACCTTCCCAACCCGTCGTCCTCCACAATTTCCCACCGTAATGGCGGCTACAGCTTTATGGCTCTGGTGGCCGTCATCCTTATCGAGGTATCCCTCAGCATGGGCGCCCTAATAGTCGGCGCTCACCTGGCTCTCGCCCTCGACCGCTTCACCCCTTCGTTCCCCTTTCGTTTCACCCGCCGCTTCCTCGACCCGCTCATCGTCCTCCTCAGCTGGGGCTGCTGGCTGGGCGCAGTCTTCCTCGCAATCTGGCCTCCAGATCGCCACGACCCAGGCCCAGAAACCTGGCGGGGTCGCGCAATCTTCGCCCTCGTTTTCGCACCCCTTGGCTGCCTCCTCCGCTTCTATCTCTCTCTTGCCTTGAACGCCCGGATCCCAGTGTTCCCGCTGGGGACCTTTACAGTGAATATCTTCGGCACAATGGTCCTCGCGATGTGTTATGATCTGCAGCATGTGCACGGGATCGGTGCGTCCTGGGGACCTGCTTCCCTTGCGGCGCCTTCCATCCTCACGAGCTGCCAGGTTCTCCAGGGCGTGATGGATGGGTTCTGCGGTACGGCCACAACGGTGAGTACATGGGTGGCGGAATTGAATGGGCTAAGTCATCGGAGACATGCGTATATCTATGGCGTTCTGAGCGTGGCTGTTGCATTGGGATTCTTTGTGATTATTGCGGGGTCTTTGAAATGGACGATTGGCTTTGTTACTCCTGTGTGTACTTGATTGTTTACTATGTCTTTTACTGTACAACTTTATATTATTGAGATGATAAAATATAAAATCGAATGCTTACATGACATGACATGACATGACTACTACTACACCTTTTACGATAGTTCAAAAGGATCCCCGCCAACCAACTTGCATTTTTTTTGTGCTCAAATTACTTATAGTACAGGGTACTACAACGCAAATCATGTAACTCAATAGAAAAAAAAAACATTTAAACACGAAAGATAAAAAAAAAAAAACATCAAATCGAAATCTTTAAACAGTGCAAGGCAGGTAACATGCAAACAAAACAAACATGCAAACAAACAAGCTGTGTGTGAGAGGAGAGAAGAGAAAACAGGAGAAAACAAAGCATAAACAGGCGGGGACGGCATAGACACATAACAAGATCAGAACGATTCTAACTCGCATACATTAAATCAATGATCCAAAAAAGACTAAAGTAGAAGAAGTAAAAAAAGTATGAGAAAAGTGTTTTGAACGAGTGGCTTGAAGAAGAGAAGGAAAATAGAAGACCAAAGGTATATAAACAAAGGTATCAAAGTAGTCGAAGTAAAAACTTGACTGGCAAATTGACCAAAACACGCTGGTGCGCACAAGTAAAAATGGTACTAGAAATATTAAGTATGTTGCAGGCGTATGAAAAAAGGGGGGCAAGGGGGGGGGGGAAAGCACAAAGAAACACGGGAAAAAAAAAAAAAAAAAAAAAACTCCAAGAAGTGCATGAGGGAAGAACACACAGGACCAGCCGGGTGTCGAGATGTTACCGGGAGGAACGGCCCATAAAAACATGCAAATAATCACACCGGACTCCTGTGAGCTCTTGCAATAAACCATGAGAGCAAAATGACAAACAGACATAAACAGTAATAAAAGTCGGGAATCACCAGCAAGAAGCGTTATGCGGCCCTTAAGATCGTATCAGTCCGTACTGGAAAACACATTTCGCCGCCAACCTCTTGCTTAACCATTCCCGACCCCCGAATTCCGAAATTGCAATGACCCCAAAAGCAGAAAGCCAGATACCCAAGTAATGAAAGAAAAGATTTAGGGGGCAAAAAAAGTTGGTCAAAGAAGGGCCTGGACAAGGATCTACTTTCGATCCTAAGGCGAAAGAAGGAAAAGACTCATCGAAAGAGCCCAACGTAGTTTGCGCACGAAACATGCTGACAAGTTAGTAAGCTGTGCCTACACTGGCCAGTGTTTTCGTGGGGACTGCATGGATAGGTTGGTCCTTGGCGACTCGCAGAGAGTCCTCATAGCCAACTAGGGCCTGGGAATGAAGTTTGAACGACTCGCCCATGAGCTTGGTAATTCTGCAAAAGTTAGCCACTATCCTGGAATTAAAAGACCGATCAGACTTACCCCCAAACCACCACACCGTCTAGGATATTACCCCATACACGAGCGACGGTGGAACTGAGTTTACCACACGAGTCGACGGCATCGTCGTCGAACAAATTCCGAACCTTATTGTAAATGGCCATCTCCGCCTCAGTGGCCGGCTCCTCGTCATGTTCCAGGCGGTAGAGCCAGAGGCTGAGAATCACCATCAAATCCAGACCACAGAGCGGGTGCTCGACGCTCCAGTTTGTGGCGGAGGTCTTGGCAACCCAATTAATTCCTCGAATGGCTGCGATCTCAATGCATTCGAAGCATGATTGAATAACCTTGTTCATCTCCTGGGAGCGCTTGACCTTTTCGCGAGCAACCGTCATAGCAGCAGCAACCTCATAGGACGAGTGGTAACGTAGGGCTTCTTGAATAGACTTCAGGTCAACCTCTAGGCGTGCACGAGTGTTGCGATACACAGCCATCGAGTTGAAGATCAGGGGATGGCCGTTCTGGGGGGTGCTGACGGGTACCACGATGGTCTCAGGTTCGCAAACTTCGAGCGAGTTCTCCCATGTCTCCAAGGCCAAGCGGAGCTTGTACTCAGTGACTACGTCTTGAAGAGCTTCGAAGCTCCGCTTGTGGTTCCAGACTTGCAAAAACAAGGCATTGATCAAGACACGCGTGGCGAACGCACTGTAGCGTGTTTGCTCACCCTGGAAGAGGCAGTCGTGGGCTTCGCGGACCGTCATGGAGTTGGAAGCAGCCAAACTCCTACGCCATGCCTCGTCATCACAAGTGTCAAGGTTCCACAACGATTCAGAGGAGGGGAGCTCCAAGTTGTCAAATTCATCAAAACTCATTGCTGGGGTGTGGTTGAAAGTCAAGGTGAGCATGCCAAAGAATATGTACACAGCATAATAGGTCCGACGACACGACTCATCCTCGATCCATTCCTCTCTGGTTGGAGCACCCTCGCGAGCTTCAGTGCGAAGTTTCAACTGATAACGATTTCCAGCGACCATCTATGGAATGTGAGTAAATGGGGATCGCGGGGAAAATCAAAAGGGGAGGAACCTACATTGGCAAGAAGACTCTTGATAGAGCAGGTCCATTCAAGACCTTTTGGATCGCCACTCCAGCTCTCGAAGATCATATTCAGGAGAGTGCTTTGCATGGCCCAAAGAGGGCACTTTCTTGAATCAAAGTTGTCCTTGTGCTGGAGGAACTGATTGACCAGCATCTTCGATCCAACGTGAAGCATGAATGCATGCTGACGTTCAAACGTGTACAGAGCACCGATGGAGAGAACTGCAAGCAAGAGTGGCGACGATGTAGAAGCGGGCTTGAAAGACTCCTGATGCAAGAAAGGAAGATGGTGATGGTACAAGTTGAAATAAGTCGACAGATACTTGTTGAGAGCAGCAGTCGACGGAAGTTGGAATGAGTCCAGAAGCGCACCCAGGCCGTCCGCATTCCGAATACGTTCGGCGATGATGTTGCGCTCCATCTCGCCAGCAACCTGAGGGGCCTTGGGTAGCGTCAGAGCTTGGCTGGGGCCGGGAGATCTGCGATAATTGACGGGACTAACAGGCCCCGTCATTGAGGGATACGGGGACAACGCATTGGGAGTGGAGTTGCCTGAGACTGGCAGCGAGTTGACCAAGGAGTGGAGCGAAGGCGCGAGCGAATCGTTCACATGTCGGTCCACCGAGCTAGCGTCCTGAGATGTAAAGGGAGACATTATGTGATGCTTTGAATCTGCAGGTGAAACTAGTGAATCCCAAGGCATCTGAGGCAACGTCGCATTACCCGAGAGATAAGACACAGAGGGTTCGAGGAGGGGACCACGACCAGGGGAAAATGAGCGATCCGACTCTGCGCAGTCAGTGATCTGACCAGTGGCGGCCGCGGCAGCCTTATGTTGGAAATCTGTCATCAGCATTGCTGCCGCTTGAATGTCGACCATACCGTCACTGCTTGCTTCTATTTGCTCCAGCGTAGCAGGATCGATGGTGATTGAAGGCTTAGCGGGAGCAGGAGAGGCGGCCTTGCGAACACCTGCACCCCCGCGACGACGACCTTCTGAAACTAGTGGTACCCCGCCATCTTTGGCGTGAACAGTTCGGTCATGTCGAAGGAGAAGGTCTCGGCGCACAAATGTACTTCTGCATTTTAGGCACTTGAAGGGGCGTTCTTTTGTGTCTGTAGACGGGTGGATTTAGTACACTGTATAAACTGTAGCTATCAACAAGGGGGTAGCGAATGGTGATGAGATGGAAGGAAATCCGCCAATTCCATCTACCCAACCGGAGGGAAACCGTGGGACAAGCACTTACGCGATCGCTCGTGTCTACTCCGGTGCTCACTTCTGCTGAAGGCGCGATTGCAAAACTGGCACTTGTATTTCTTTTCGGGGGCGGAGGTCTTTTTGGCGGGCGAGGCATTCGCCGTATTGGAAGCGGCAGGGGCCATTGCTCAAGAGGGGTGCAGCTCAAGTCGGGCCAACCGATTCTTCTCAGCACGACAGCGACGGCGCGGAGGAGTGTGGTATCGTCCGGTTTGTGGCTTCACACCAGTTCTGAAGACGGGTAGACGACAAGAAATCGAGTTGATGTCTGATCATTCCTTGGGCGTGGTACTATTGTGGAGGTGGGATTATTGTAAAAGTGAGGGTCCAGCCACAGGCGGACGAGGGGAAGCAAACAAAAGTGGTGGTGGCTCCAGGAGCGGCCGGGAGAAGAGAGCAGAGAAAAAGGCGATCAAGCAGGACAAACAACTCTAAAGGACTGTTGAAGGAGAGAGGAAAGAAAAGAGGAAAGTGTTGAAGAGAAGAGAGGATGAAGGAGGAAGGGGGAGGTGGGAGAGAGAGAAGAAAAAGAAAGAGAGGAGGAGAAGAGAAGAAAAAGAAGAGGGGGGAAAGATAGAAATGGATGAGGAGAAAGTTGGTTCGCGCGAATAGTGGGAGTGGGAGACCGGACAGTTTCTGGTCAAAAGGAAAGGGAGCGAGGGGGGGCCGAGAGTGAGTGAGAAATTGGTAGGACGTGGACACACAAGAGAGAAATCGGGGAGGGGGGATGATCGCTGGGTCGCGATAGTGAGGCGGTCGTGTCCAGTGTTGTGGCAGCTTTAACGTGGGAGGGAGGAAAAAAAAAAAAAAAAAAAAAAAAAAAAAAAGAGGGGCTGTAGACGGGAATCACGGAGGGGAAACAGGCGAACAGATGAAATCCCCATAGTATCCACGCACTTTTCCCTGTTATCATCACGTCTCCAATGAGCGCGTCCCCCGTCATTTCTGACTAACTACATGATTGACCTAAACTATATTAAGTTAGAGGGGTTGTCCTCCCAGGTTCATAAAATACCAAGTACTACACAACTGGACTACAAAAACAAACCAAGTTCGCAAAAAAGAAAAGAAAGAAAAGAAAAGAATTATAATAATAATTAAAAAGCCCACTTTAGCCCACATGGACTGGATAGAAACCTTTAACCCATCAACCCGGTTCAGCCGGGGAGAGATACATTAACATATCGATTCGGAGAGAATTGACTATTACCTCTTGGTAGGCTCTCGAATAATCATAATTTCTTTCTGTTACTTCCCTGTACTTCCTTCCTTCACAATGTGAGGGAGAATTCTCACTAGCTATCTACTATTATTCATTACATATCCCCACTGCAGCACACAACATGGAGTGCAACATCATTATTTGAACTATGCTAAAATTAGAGAAGAAATAAAAAAAAAGAAAAGAAAAGAAAAGAAAAATATCATGATAATTATATGAACAAATTCTTCATCCTTGAAAAATGTACCTGTTTAGGTTGGGTAATTCTTTGTCTCTACTCTGTATCTTGATTAAGATCGAATCTTTTCTTAAGGTGATGGATGCTAGGGTTTGATGAATCTGAACCCACTTTCCGGATTATGTCCATTATCCGACCTCTGCTATCTTATCCCTGTCTTGTAATCGAGCCCCTCGCTGGAGTTAGTCTTCTGTCGCATACTTCATTGTTCTGGGGATTGGGAACACAGTGGTTACTACTACAAGAACTAAATATCCAAGTACCCTTGTACAAATCAACAGTGAATCTGGATTTCCCATTCATTGATATTCACTGTGGGGTGCTGTATGATGAGTTGGTATGAGGCTGTCTCGGTCCGGTATGGTATGTGACTCCATTCAAGCACAGAGAAGAGTAGTATAACCTCAAGAAGAATCATAACATTGCATTCCAAAGTAACCTTCCCAAAGACCTATATTCTTGCCAACAGCTACATCGAACTTTGAACCTTTGATCTGTTTACTATCTGACAGCGCAGAACCATAAAATGGTCCATGGTCGGCTGCGGGGCTATCCAGAGAAGATTCAAACTTGCTTACAATCAGTCTATTGATATTGATCTATTGCAAGGCACATTCAAAGATTAGACTAGTAGTAGCCCCTAATAATATTCATATTAATATTAATAATTCCAAAGTACACACACACACACACACAGGACATGAAAGGGATAAGCCACGCACTCGCTAGAAAGATTAATGGTGATAATAATTATCGCCCCTCGTCAGCCCCCCCTTGCCCCTCCAACAAGGATTAAAATTTAAATGCCACGGAGATGACCATCCAACATGATTCGTGTAATCGCTCCTTTCATTTCCACCACGGATTCTTTTTCACACACACACTAAGAAGCTCCCGAATCCGATTATTTCGCCCACGAACTTTCTTGCCCTGTCTCATTCCGATTCTTTCGATTCCTCCCTATCATTTTTGTGTTCGCACATCCACATCCTTCATCGATCTTCATTTCCCCCTTTCCCCCCCTTGTTATGTATGTATCTAGTGGGCAGTTCATGAGGAAAGGGGGGGGGCAATAATATTATTGTCAAAACAACCCCTCCTCCCCCTCCAAACCCGCCACCTACTTTTTCATCATCAGCTGTTGCTGTTGTTCCTTGGTTCGATTTACCCCTCGAAAGCAGAACCCCTCTGTTTTTTCTGGGTCCCCTCGAATCTTACTTGTCAGCCCCTCTTCTTTCACTGTCATATGTAGACATAGCCTTTGGGTGTAGAGTAGCTTCGTAGGTCCCATCACTACTCTATCTAGGGAATACCCGAGCCCGCCCAGTCTTCCCTCATGATCACATCAAAAGCGACCATTGTTCCAGACCTTGATTAAAGGTTCATTACTCCGTACAGAGGATTCAATTCGTCATCACTCTACATAGTAACTAACTACTCCATTTATTTTCTTTTGGGATCTCCTGGGATACCAAAAGGACACAGTTCCCCTTCTACTCTTAGATATCAAGAATGCTGGCAGGCAAGCCACCCGCCACCACGAAGCAAATAGGAGAATAATCCCAACTGGCGATGTGATCCCTCAAATCATTGACAGATCCTTACCCACTCTCTCGGGTATCGTAGGTGACCGATTTTCTGTACCTAATCGATCATTGCAGATAGCCCCCTACTGTGAGTTACGGAGTGTGGTTTCTTCTGCTGTAGATGTATAAAAATAGGTCATGAAAAGGTGGTCAGAGTCGCCGTTTGCTTACTTTTCTTCGTCTTGGCCGCCCAACTCCAGTCAGCTGCACAGCGCAGTACTCCGTAATCACCGCAATAACCAGAACAAGAGGGTCTTCTCTCTAGCATGGATCTTTTTTGAGGCTGTCAAGTTGTGTTGGCCACCGATAAGGATTTCCCGTCAAACGGATATTCCGTTGATACAGTTACACATTAAAAAAAAAAAAAAAAAACCTCTCTCTCTCTCTGTCAGTATTCGGTCCGAGGTTTACTCGGGTACTCCGAGTCTGTTGGAAGCGCACATCCTAGGCAGTACACCGTACACCGTACAGACATGTTGAGCCTGGATGGACTGCAGTCCGTGTTTCCAGAAAAGGTTATCTCGTTAGGCCACTTGGGACACGATGCAGGTCTTCTCTTCTGTCCTTCACCGTCATCATCACCGGTAGACACTATTTCCTGTCCCTGTTGCTGTTTTTGGCAATTCTGCATTCAACTCGTGAAGTTGCTCAACCTACCATTTTAATTCCCTGTTCTCCTGCAAAGTACCCATTATCCCTGCCAGGCGACTAGCTACTAACGGGGGGGATGGTTATTTCAACATGAGGTCAGCAGTGTGACTGCCTGCCAGCAGGAGTAAGCACTCACGCCTAACAATTACCAGCCTCGTACGGAGACGCGCCCTTTGTTCCGCGTCCATTCATCCCGGCCCACTTAGGATGAAAGGCGACGAAGCACGTCTCAATTAGGTCAGATGATAGCGACCAATCCCTACCAACTAGTAGTAGTTAGTTTCTTTCTCTCCGTCTCTTTGCATCAGCCCACTTCTCCTCCAAAAGACCATCACCCTTCAGGTTTAGTATTTCACCAACGGTGATTTGGATAATGGGGTAGTCCTGGAATGGCAGGTGGGGTAGGAATCAGTCAGTCCACTGGGGTGGGGGGGGGATTTTAATCCTTTTTTGTGTGAATTTTTATAGGCCTTGACCAGGTAAAAGGGACCGGGAGTTACTGGGGGAACGTTCAAGACACATGACCTGAACACGTGAATGAGGATTAATACAGATCTTTACTCCGTACTTGTATGATGGAACTTCTCTACTCTTGCGTACGAAGCAAGTCTCTGTAGGGAATAAATATTGGTATACATATCATGCGGAATATATTGTTATCATGATCTACTGTGTAATATTGTCCTTTGTTGAAATGCACATCACAAGTCCATCTCGGTCCACTTAAATTAACAAAGGGTACTTTTACTAGTTCCATCGGATCCCAACCCTGCATCCACTCTTCAGATGCAGGACCCGAACTTACCTGTTTTAGCTCCAGCGATGTTCTTGACCGCTCTCATGAACTGCCCAACCCAGGAAAGCAAGAGAGAGAGCGGTGAGATTGGGTTCGGAGTATGTATGTCTATCAGCGGCGGACAAGTGGCCAGCCAGTCAACTGCTTGAGACCGCGGAAGAACCAAGGGTCATTTGTCCACACGCTACAGGTCCAACCTCTTCCATTCTTTTCTCGCCATACGGAGTAGAATTAACCCTATTGGGATCCTGTCTGTCGATCCACTCCCAAGCCATGCAGCGGTCCGACCCAGCAGCGCTTCAAGCTCCAAGTTGTGTACCAGAGTACGTACGTACTCCGGAGGAGTATGTCGAAGCTGAGACTGATGGAGGTCGAGACTGTTTCACATCTTCCTCTACGGGAGTACCTCGAATGAGAACGAACTCGTTCAAAGGGACCGCGGGAATAGACCACTATTGAAATCAATATGCAGCCCATGTATAACTTCGGTAGGTCGGCGCACGGGGTCAAATGAAGTGGACAATAGCGCCAAATACTCCGTGCCTTGCTAAAGGCCCTCTCTCTCTGTTCTCCGTACTCCGTCCTGCATACCGATCCGCCCATCCATAGGTGGTGATCGATCACTTCCGGTTCGGGATCTTTTTTTCCGCATGATATTACTTAAGCTCCTGTGATTGAAGAAGAATTTCCAAGAGAAACGATGACTTGCTTTAGTCATTAACTATTATAACAATACTCTAGTATCGTGAGTATAGGTACCTAGGTATGGAGTATACGGATAGTTTGGTCAACGGCCGGAAATCCCCTTCCTCCCCTCTGTCTCAAGTTAGAGAAAAGGTACCAACCAAGTTTCCTTTGCGAATTTGAGATCTACCAGAGTTTTACCCTGTAGCTTCCCGTTCCATCCCTTTTCCGTTCCACAGTCAAAAAATAAATAAATAAATGAATAAATGAATAAATAAATAAAAATTAATGGAATAAACCGAGGTAAGTCTAATCGATCTTCAAAAGTCGATCGCTGGGCGAGCTCGTCTCGTACGTTAGGTAGATAGACATGATTTAATGATTTAACAATTAACCAACTAACGAGTTATTGAATCCGTTATTTTCAATTCCAATTTCAATCCGCAACGCATAGGTCCAGGTACAGTATATAACGCCAAAGAATCTACCCAAGTCCCGCTAGGGAGCGAGTACTATGTACCATGTAGGTAGCAGGTACCGTTGCAGGATTTCAGGAACATCTTCCCCGAGCCCTGGTCTCAAACTAGTGACCATCGGTATTTTCTTCGCCCAAGCAAACCGTCTGTCTTGTCTTAGCTTTGATTCCATCGTCCCGACAACCTACTAGCCCACCTAGGCGAAAGCGCGCCCCCACTGGGAATTGGTGGGAAAAAAAAAAAAATTAAAAATTAAAAATTAAAAATTAAAAATTAAATAGACGAGTCGGGACTCGGGAGTCGAGACGGTCTGGAAGCTGGCCGGTGTAGGGGCCTAATTCTAAAAGCGGTGATACCTGGAGTCGGTGAGGATAGATAACCTGCCTGCCCTAGATAGCTGAGATAGGTAGGTAGTACTCGTTCGCTAGCTAGACATGAATTCAGTAAGGATCCCGTGTCCTTTAGGCTATCTTGACTCCAAATGTAAAACACATGGCCTTGGGTTTCTTCACCGCTTTTATCATGTATAGGTACCTACCTAGGTACTTCGTACGTGGCAGACAGTTAGATTGGAGGGGGAGGGGGGGGGGGGGGGCACTTTCTTCCTTACTATGTACTAGTATATTTGAGATTCTATAGTTCCACCGATATTTACGGAGTTATGGGGTGTTGTCCTGAGATGCTTTTTCAGGATATGGAGAAGCAGAGGACCTGATATTGGGTTGGTTTGGTCTTTAGAAGGGCTTCCGGCTTTTCCCGGGTACGAAGTCCTCCGCATTCACTCCATACTGAGCCGAGCTTGAAGGTAGTTTCAAGAAATATTGGCATATTGGGGTATCCGTCTCAATTGCGTTTGATTGAAAGAGTGGGTAGGATTATACTTCACCATCTGTCTCGGCTTGAGCCCAAGTACATCATGGATACATATATCTATCTACTCCGAAATACAATGGGTCCTTTTAAATTTGCGTTCCGGATTGCGTGGACAGAGAGACACAACTAAGTCTAGTCTGATAGGGCAACGGGTCCATCTATAGGGCTAGAACCAGCAAATCGTAGGTTCTGGAGCTGGCCGCTGGAGTAGATAATTTTAATCCAATTTGCAAAAAAAAAAAAAAAATGTGAAATCACCATGCAGATGCAGTACCAGAGTAGATTATATCATAGATGTATCATGGATAACTTCCGCCTGCCATATATTGTTCTGGATGATATATCTATTTATCCTCCGTACCGCACATCAATCAGATATGTAAAATGACACCGCCCTCGAAAAACCAGACATATCGTCCTTTTGTTTCTTCTGAGTTTTTGCTTTTCTGCACGTTGCTTTTTCAAGCTCGAGGTTGTGCGTGGGTCTCGCTAAATATGTTCTTGACCTAATGATGCCTTAGGGCTGGAATATTCATATGCTCTACTCCGTACATGCATTGACTATTGGGCATATAAGCAACCTTCTAGCAGAAGATGGTCGTCTCTGTAGCCTGTACAGTTCATAGTCATAGATAAAGAGTTGTGACCTCATTTCAGCCAGACCGAACCATGGAAATCCCCCGCCGCGATCAGAACCAGATCCGAGGCTGGACTACATAGGTATGTTCCATGGTTCATTTCCGGGGTCGACGGCGCATCTCAATGAACGATCAGTACTGATGATCTACTTTATGTCGGTTATACACATATATGCCTGGATTTGACCCGAACGGGGTTTCTCACTTGTCACTGCTTTTGAATTGAACATCAAGAGATCGGGATAGTAAATTGTGTGTCAGGCATACATACCAAGTAAAATTACACACAGACTCGGTACTCTGTATGTGGCGATGTCCATATAATCGAAACATCCACGTGAGCATTCCAGGATCTACCAATGAAAGTCACTATGAAAACACGTTTTCCCCTATATTTCCTACCTACTGTGTATATGATCTAGATATCATTTCATCACCATCAATTTTTCTTCCACGCATTCACAACCCCTGCCGAGATAACCATTTATTATTGACACCTGGACTCCAGGAATCAGAAACTCCGTACTCCGGACTCTTGCTTGTCGTCTGAAGTTTGAACTTGAAAGACCAACAGGGACGGCTAATTTCCGAAGAAGGTATAAGCATGCCAATTATTACCATGTCCTATTACTATCACTAGTACGGATAACTATTACTTGATGCTTGATAATGTTCCCTATTATTAACTAATCTCGTTCTCGTGAAGTCAAACGACGAACCCGAAGTTTCGGCGTCTGGGATTGGAGTCCCAGCGGAGCAGTCCGCGAGAGCCGAACGAAGTCTTAGGGGCTCCATAATAGCCGTGATTTCTTCTTGACCTTCCAATTCCAGAATAGTAAGTCAGACCTAGACGAGAAAGGAAATCCAGAAGATAAGCCGTGATAGTCTTAATCTCAGTCTCAATCTCATTCTCATTCTCATTCTCATTCCCGGTCTTGGACTCTCGCTCAACACGAAAAGTCAGAAACAAACGAAATTAAACCAAGACAGCCAACTGACACTGCCTCACTTGCTCTCTCTCTCTCTCTCTCTCACACACACACAATCCAGCTCTACGGTTCACTAAAAAGTTCAAGGCAACCGGGCCTGATACTCGACCCCATTTTTAATTACTGCACTTGCTCAATTTCAAGGCAAATGCAAGAAAATGGAGCAATGGAGTTCAGAAGGTTTCTCGAAGGCTGGCGGAACCTCATAGGTGGATATCTCTGGCACGCGGCAACGCTTCAGACCAACCGTTAGCAACCGGAAGCTGGGAAGGGAGAGCCGGGGGGATCCAAGACCAGAGAGCCAGGATGGGAAACATGGGAAGTAGTCTACTCCGTAATGGAGCCCGCCTTGTTGATGGATTCTAGACTTACTCCGTACAGAGTAAAGCCGGCGAGGATGAGAAAAGGGGGAGGGGGGCCCACGCAGTTTCTAGTTTTCTTGTTCTCATCCGCGGTTGGTCGAGGAATGATTGATGGAAGCTGGCTGGTTTTTGCCTACTCCGTACGTACTCCGTAGTGTTGGGTTTAGTGGCGGGACCGCCGGCTGTCTCGTACTCTGTCCGACGGAGTAAACGACGCGACGAGACAAGCAGCAATAGATGATCGGGGATCACAGGGCCCAAAAGGCTAGTCCGATTGCTACGGAGTACAGAATACAGAGTAGAAAGGAGGAAGCTACTATAATGGAAGACTCTTGAGTGAAGTGGGAAAATGTTATTTTTATTTTTATTTTTTTTTGAATAGCTAAAGTGGAACATGTTCTAGATTTGGAAAAGGATGGAGAATCTTGATCTCGCTCAAAAATTGTCATTCCGTCTGGTCCGTGAAAATGATCCCAAAGTTAGTTAACTCACGTCTGATTTCCGAGTCCCGTCCGTCCCTGGATAACGGCAACGGCGGCAGTCCGGACGCCCCCTTCAGACTCCATTCCTGGAAGCGAGCGAGTCGCTATCGCCCGGCCGAGTCTCCCAGTCCCAATGAACATAGTGATTTCGACAGTAGGCCGAGATAAGCGTGTTATCCGTGGGTGAGAAGCTAATCTGATCCTTAGCCGTTCCTGTTTTCTCCTCTGGTATCTATAATACTTGGGTCCTTGCAGTGTATGTACATGGTATATATCGCTATCAACCAAACGGGGGACTCGGATGTTGAATGATACTGGAGGCACAAAGAGCACTATCTACAATGTCTTGCAGGCGTAGCATTACAACTAATAGACTTTGTCGCTGATGGCGAGACTATACAACGACCTACTTTCCAAGCTGCACAACTCGCAACTCACAACCTCCTGCAGGGCTGGGACCACTCGGATGCGTTTCAACGTAGCTAGAATCAGAGCAATCTTCGCCATTACCTACCCAGGATCAAGGGTCATAGAAAACTCAGGATGTTTCGAGCTGTACCGCTCGAGGGGTTGTTTCACGTCCAGCCTCACCGGGGCGCAGGTATGTATATTCCGCCGGTAGACTTCTCTTTAACCAAGAAACGAAGCCAGCCAAGCCAAGGCCTACCTTTGTAATCCCAAGGGTACAAACAAGGGCTCGATCTTCAGTGAAATGAGTTGGTTATGTCCCGTGGTGTGTATGGATGATTCCATTGCGTCTTCTCTGATCTTACGACCATCTCGTGGAATCGAATCTGCATGGCATGGTTATCTTACCATGAAATACTGGGATTAGCTTCACCTTGCATCCCAATCAACTTGACAATCCCCGGGGGATTCTTAGCCAGGGATTCTCCCAGGCTAAGACTATAGCACCGGTTTATCAACCTCAGATCAAATCGATTTCTCACGCCATAAGCATGGGCTGGAGGGGATTCGACATGGCTGAATATTGCTAATAAGTGTCATATGACTATCCTCCCAGTCTAGGAGGACCTGGAACGAACTTCATAGCTCTTGATATATGAACTTTGCTGAAGAAATTTGATCGTGATATAGAAGGTTTCAGATCATGTCTCTTGCGTAGACAAATACACATCCAGGACCAATAAATCTGTGACATGGTCAAGAATGACTGGCTTGTTAATGTGTAAGTGACGGCTAGAATTATCAGTTGGCTTTGGGGACTATGTATGCCATATCAAACATTCTGGTTTAATGGAAAGCTAGGCTGAAAACATGGACGTGGTCCCTTCTCCTACCCTATTCCATAGGAGAATTATAGGTAGTTGACGATAGAAACCTTTTCAATTGAGGGGAGTGGTTTTTTGGAAACTTGAATATTGCACCAACTAAACAGAGGTCGAGCGGAAATTGACCTTCCATAATCAGGATCTGTTATTGATTTCCGTGTATAGTTCTGTACAAGTATTAGTTTGACATGCTTATTCTGAGATCATAAAATAGTCAATAGGACCTTACGGCCCCGAGTCAACAGATCGCAGGTTGGTTTCGAACGTAATCGTCTTCTTCACGTGGATTTCAATGTAACATGAATAGTGATTCAGTCTATGGGTCCTGTATTTGGCTGGACGTGAGTTAAGTGGGAGCCCAGATATGACAGACATTTTGTCGTAGTCTTTGTATGTACGCGTAAAAAGAGCCGTGTATATAAAATAGTTCAGGGTTCTGCTATCATACTTTCCAGAATAGCTATATAAATAAGATTAGATAAAAAAAAAAAAAAAACCTCCAGGTCCATCAAAGTACAGGATGTGATATATCTAACCGTCAACCACATGGCTTTGTGCCTGTGTCCTGGTCATATAAGCAGGATTTAGACCCCCAAGCAGGAGATCATATACGACTGACATCAGACGCCACCAAGGCATAAACGACATTTCGCGTGGTGATAGATCGTTTACAGTAAAATATTACTCTACTAGATAACCATGGATACGGTTCGCTCGTACTAGCAGGGGTTTCACTCCTGGGTGCGGAGTGCTTGGGTTCAAGGCCCCCGTTTACGGGACTTGAGTGCCGGCTGCTCTCCTTGGGCCATTGCATAAGCGGGGGAATGCAATGTTCGAAAAACCCTAGCAAGGTGTGTCCTGGCAGGGATCGAAGGGAGCCAATAGTGCCTTGAGTATCTCTGCCCGGACAAGGTTCCGAGTTGCATGTAGAAGAAGGTTGGTGGACAGAGCCCGGGGGTGAGAGAGAGAGAGAGTCTGAGTCCCTGATCTACCGAGGAACGGTCAACGAGGGCAAGAGGCTGGTATTGTATGTTGGAGTACTGTACGAGATTGGAATCTGGGGTTTTGAGATCACTCCAAACTCTGACAAGATATGCTTTTGTGCTTTTGTTGTGGAGCATGCAAATTCGGGGTGTACGTAGCGGGCCGTTGCTAGAAGAATAGATTCTATGCCCGATACACAGAGGTGTTGATTTTAATTAGTTTGGATGGTTATTGGGTAGTTTCACTGACGATTCGTACAGAATCAAATGCTGGAGGGTGAGAATTGAAACGGTTCTCCGGATGTGTGGGGACCTGGCTATTCCGGGGGTTTGCTAGGATTGAAGCCCTCCCCTCCCTACGTAGGATGATGATGTGTAAGAAATAGGAGGTGATCTATGTAGGTATTGCGAGACAGTGCTTGCTCCTCAATTGGAACCAAAATCTCCTCTGAATGACGAGTCCTCCATAAAGAAACAACAAGAGTGAGAGTGGATAAAATGAGTTCCCACCCTGACCCAGACACACGGACTCGCTCACCAGTCTGACACTTCCGCGGTGTGGTACTGGACTGGAATTGAGTCTAGGCGGATGGCTCCGTCCTCCGCATGTCAGGGGCCCAGACTCGATCAAAGATATAGGAAGGGGATGGAAGTTGTAAGGAATTCCGAACTGAACTGAAGACAAGGGGTAATGGTGAACGGCTTGATCCTCAAATTGCCGAGAATATAAATTAATACCGGGAACAGATACTTGTCAAGCATTTTAAAACCCGTAAATGAATGTCCACAACGGAGTGGGAATCAGATGTGGACACACTGGAAAATCCAGACCCGTTGACTCAGATACTGGACTTCTAACAGCCTTTTGACAGTGTACGGAGAACCTGACTGGTGATCGACCGCTGTAAACAATCATACTGAGGATCATTATTACCCTTTTTTTCGTTTATTATTATCATTCGCCTGGAAATAATATTAAATGCCGTAACAATACTTAGCACCTTAGTACAAGGTGGGGAATGCATTCTTATTCATGGATCCATCAAGCCTCTTCTGGAGAGCAGGTATGGAGTATATTATAGTACTATATATCCTAGGGTTGACCGTAATATGTAAAGTATCTCTCTATTATTGTCCTCCTCAGAGCAGCAAGGTTAGTCCTCTATTTCCAACCCTTCCCTAATTCCCTCAGAATAGCAACATCGGGCCAGATACCTATGTACTCCGTAGATATTAGTTAGAGATTGTTCTGAAGTTGAAAGAAAGGTCAACATCTGAAAAACCAGACCCGATGCCAGAATTACCATACCAGACCCATACGGTACGGTATTATACGGAACCAATCCAATACCCGCAAACCTGCCCACCTCCCATCATCTGCGCACACACACACACACACACACACACACACACGCAACTCTCACTCTCACTCTCGCAGTGCTTGCTGCATCTCCATTCTCTCACCACCTCTACTGGTTGGACCCATAAACCTCCTGATCCTCCTTACTATTCATCCTCTTTCTTTTCCCTCTTTCTTTCCCCCCTGATTCTTCTCTCTCTCTTACACCTGACGAGGCTCTTTTATCGCTGGTCGCCTGCCCGTATTCTTGCCACCACCTCTAATCGCCCTTAGTCCTCCTAGTGCTTTATCCGCCGCTCCTTCTGCAACCCACTTTTGACTCCTCTCCGTTTACCGCCCCTCTCGCTCGCTCGCTCGCTCGCATCCTCTCTGTCTTCCACATCTCTCTCCCCTGGATACCCCCGGTGACCTGCCTGTCTAGTCATGAACATCGCCTCTCGTTGAGCTCGTCCAGCCATCAGCCGCAAGGGACGCAGCAACCCGGCCGTCGTTCCCATTCACCCCTTGTCGACTCCCTCTTCCCCCCTTATATCGCCGCCAATTGTTGTGGTACCCCAATGTACGAAACCCGCATAGCAGAGCCATTGGCTGCCGACCCCGGATTCGCACCCATGAATAAGACCAAGGCCTTCGTGACTACCTACGAGTATACTGAAAAGCAAATGGCTGCCGCTATGACTGCTACTGCTCCCAGAAGCCGTAGTCGTGGAAATAGTTTGTCTATCCAGCAGCAAGAGATTATGGCTGACCAGTCGCCCATACGGCATAAATCGTCTATGAAAGCGCCCAGCCCAGAACCCGCTCCCGCTCTGTTTGTCCGGGCTATGTATGACTATGATGCGGACGATCACACGAGCTTGAGTTTCCGACGGGGGGATGTCATCCAGGTTCTTAACCAGCTGGAAACTGGGTGGTGGGATGGTGTCATCAACAATAATGTGCGGGGCTGGTTCCCTAGTAATTACTGTGATGTGATTACTGATTTGAGGGAATTGGAAGAGCAAGTGGCGCATGCACATGATGAAGGGGATTTCAGCGCAGACTCGGGCGCGGGAGAAGACCTCGAGGAGGAGCACGACGACGATGTTGACTCTGCGGGTAACCCCCGGGATTCACAACCGCTCCTCCCAATCGAGGGCGTGGAGGCTCCCAAGGAGCAGGAGGAAGCTGCCTTTTGGATCCCCCAAGCGACCCCGGATGGTCGTTTGTTCTACTTCAACACGCTCACTGGTTATAGCACTATGGAGCTGCCCTTCGAAAACCCATCTGTCAACGAGAACGGTCCCTACGACCGGAACCATGTCTTTGTTCCCGACCAGACTCGACCCCCGCCGGAGATGATGGCTCGCGGGTTTGAACGAGACGAGGATGACTACGATGGCTCGGCGTCTGAAGCTGAAGGCGAGTCTCTGATGCTTGCCTCTCATGACTCGATGTCCCGGAGGCGTCAGTCATTCATCGACGGAGTATCTCCCGCTACATCTATGGACTCTCTGCACCCACCGTCTGCGACCAAATCTTCTATCAATGAGGGGAAGAGTCCGATCATGCGAAATCCACAGAAGCAGCTTTACGGCTCCGTGGGTGCAGGGAGCAACCCTTCTATCGCAGAACCTCTCCACAGGCCTTCCACCTCCTCGGGATTTTCACAGCATTTTATTGATGAGGGCGCATCCCCCCCCATCACCTGGCCTTTGCTCGTGGATAACATGAGCCAGGCTGTGGAGGCTTATCGCCAGACCCTGTTGAGCGGTGATCGTTCGGAATACGTGAGGAAGGCTGAAGACATATCAGACCATCTGCGCATGCTCCTGGCTGCTGGTTCAGACACTACCGATAACCATTCTGGAAACCCTTCCATTATTTCGACCAACAAGGCATTATATCCTCATTTCCGCGATATGATGTCTAAATTCTCGAAGCTGGTTCTTTCATCACACATTGCTGCGGCGGATTGGCCGAGTGTCGATTCGGTGAATAAGTGTCTACAGGAAGCGGATGGTGTCATGCACGGTGTGTACGGATATGTTGAGGTCGCAAGACACCAGCGCGGTGAATATATTCGTCGAATTACTCCGGGCTTCTTGGCAGGTAGCGCTTCGGGTGGCTCTTGGCAGAATAATGGTGTCTCTCTCAACGAGTCTGGTCCAACGTCGTTTTTGGACCAGGATGGAGCTGATCTGCGGACTGAGCCGTCGGTCCCTCTTGAATCCAGTCTTTTGGAACATATCGATGTTCTACGAAGGTCCTTTGTTGGGAGCATTCGTCGATTGGAGGAACGCTTAACCCTCAACCAGAAGAAGATTGTGACCGTTACAGAGCATGAGGAGATTAGCGAGTCTGTAGCCGCCTCCGCTGTCAAGGTTATTGAACAATTCCGTCCATGGGGCTCGGCGATCGAATCCATCAACCTTGCGCCCCTGGGAACTAGCTTCCAAAATCCCCAACTCGTAGATTTTAGCTTGCAAAAGCAACGAGTCTACGATGCGATTGCTGATTTTGTTCTCAGCTGCCAAGCCATTTCCGCGCCCTTGGGTGATGAGTGGGCGGAACTGCGCGGCGACTCTCTCGATGACCGCTTGAACGCTGTTCGAGCGGTTGCTAGACAACTTGAAAATTATGTGTCTCAGATTGGATTCTCGCTCTCACTTCTCCTTGAACAGGTTCCAGAGGCAGCGACGCTCCGAAGCGAAAGTCGTGTTGGGGTTGAGACCGAGGCAATCAAGGGCTTGCATGGCCGCACTGAATCGCGTGTAGCGGATTCAATCGGTATCCCGTCTACGCACCCGCTGGAGAACTCGTCAGAGAAAGTGCGGCGTAACATGGACAAGGCCCAGAGATTCTTTGGACAAGCTCCGCCGGCAGCCATCACCCGAGAGCCTATTCGGGATTTGGCTCGTGAACCGGAAGAGACGCCATGGTTCTTGAAGATGGACCATGGAGATGAAGTGTTCTACGACACCAAAGGCGACGTCCCCACCTTGAAGTGCGGTACACTGGCAGGGTTGGTGGAGCACTTGACTCGTCACGACAAGCCCGATCCCTCTTTCAACAACACTTTCCTTCTTACATACCGCTCGTTTACAACTGCGTCAGAGCTCTTTGAAATGATCACACAGCGGTTCAATATTCAGCCTCCATTCAGCTTGAGTGCAGATGAGATGCAGATGTGGATTGACAGGAAGCAGAAACCTATTCGATTCCGCGTGGTGAATATCTTGAAGAGTTGGTTTGAGAACTTCTGGATGGAACCCAACGATGAGGCCCACATGCAGCTCCTCGGACGCGTCCATGATTTCACCAAGGATTCAATTGCTACCACGAAGACTCCAGGTTCGACTCAATTGTTGACTGTCATTGAACAGCGGCTTCGCGGCCAGGACACCACCGTCAAACGACTAGTCCCTACGCAAGCAACCCCTGCCCCGGCTCCTATCATTCCGAAGAATATGAAGAAAATCAAGTTCCTGGACATTGATCCTACGGAGTTTGCCCGTCAACTCACCATCATCGAATCTCGTCTTTACTCGAAAATTCGACCAACTGAGTGCTTGAACAAAACCTGGCAGAAAAAGGTCGGGCCTGACGAGCCTGAACCGGCCGTTAACGTGAAGGCCCTGATTCTTCACTCCAACCAGCTCACGAACTGGGTCGCTGAGATGATTCTCAACCACTCCGATGTGCGCAAGCGAGTGGTAGTCATCAAGCATTTTGTCAATGTCGCAGATGTATGTGTTCTCGTAAGCTCTCACTATATATATTGAATCTAACTAACCTGGGGATAGAAATGCCGCTCTTTGAACAATTACTCTACCCTGACTTCCATTATCTCGGCACTTGGAACTGCACCAATTCACCGACTTTCGCGTACATGGTCTCAAGTTAGTGGACGAACTTCTGCTATTCTGGAACAGATGCGCAAGCTCATGGCGAGCACCAAGAACTTTGGCGAGTATCGTGAAACACTTCATCTCGCTAATCCACCCTGCATCCCATTCTTCGGTATGGTTCCCATCGCCCTACGCGTTTGTTTTTTTGTTAAACTCTAGTGAGCTTCGAGAAGTTTATCATGCCGAAACTAACCTTTCCCCTTTGCAGGCGTGTATTTAACGGACTTGACATTCATTGAAGATGGTATCCCATCTCTCACACCGTCGGAGCTGATCAATTTTAACAAACGTGCAAAAACCGCGGAGGTCATTCGTGACATCCAACAATACCAGAACTCACCCTACCTTCTTACCCCGGTTCCCGAATTACAAGACTATATCCTCACTAATTTACAGGGCACTGGTGATGTGCACGATATGTATGAACGAAGCTTAGAAGTGGAGCCAAGAGAAAGGGAAGATGAAAAAATTGCGAGGTATGCCACCAGCAGGGATAAGAGTGCTTTGACTCTTGCAACCCTGGTAATATCATCACGATAATTTTAAATCCCCTTTTCCCCACGATTTCCCCCCCCAAAATTCATTCTCCCGCTCTTGTGGCCCATCCCTGTGTATACCCCTGAGCCGGTTTTCCTCTGATGGAAGCTGGCTGCAATTCTTGATTGATCTTGGCGATACCCACTTCTTATCTTCTTGAGAACCATTGACTTGTTTTTTTGTTGGAGTTCGGAATGACTTGAAGACTAACAAACCGTTTTCTGAACTGCGTAGACTGCTTTCTGAATCGGGATTCCTGTAAAGCACCAAAAGCCAGGTTGCATGTGACACACGGCATCCCGGCCGCGAACGACGGGATAGGACGTGTCGAGTTTCGATACAGATAGCCTATCAGATGCGCTAATGGCATCCCACGCCCAAAATTGGCGTTGGACTCACCACGCTGGGCGTTTACTCCCAGGGAATGCAACCTTGCGCATCCGGCGGCTTCGAAAGAACAATCGATGAATCGCACAACATCATTCGATTGGCCCCGTTGGATTACACTTCCAAGGCGTATCAAATCATGTGGACCTTGGGTTGACGCCAACAACACTACCTTTCTTTGTTCGCCCACCGAGTGGGCCAGACCAACCATATCCTTCCCCCTTCTTGCTCTTTGCATTATGCGATGTTGCACTCTGCAGAGTGCGCATTCTGATTTTCATTCCTGTCACGTTTCCCCGGCCCAGATCACGAGTCAATCTGTTGATCTGTGACAGACGTCGCCGGGGGACATTGCACCTGGCTACTTTTGTTGACCCAAAAACCTCCGTCCCTCCTTTGACCTGGTCAGCCGAACTATACATTATTTGTTTACTGTCCGCGGCCTTCCCTCCCGCGGTCATTTCGCTTCCCTTCCCCTCGCCTCCCAAGACAATCCTAGCGATTTCCTTTGTTTTTTTCCCCTCGACCTCGACGGCTTCACAATTTCCTTGTGAATTATTATTTTTTTTTTTTTTTCGTATCTTTCTTCCTGAAAATATTTTCATCTCATATTACGCAATGGGTACTGGCTTGGACCTTTTCATTTTCTTGTATAAAATTTCCCTTCGCCTCTTGATTCCTCACGGGGCGTTGATTGGGTTTCGATGAGAAGCACCTTCTCGGTTATGGCTGGATAATGATGTGTTACGACACAGGATACCTAGCGATTTATGTGTTTGCAGATTTCACTCTGATGATTTCAATTCTTCTATATATCCTTTTTCTTATGTCTTATACTTTTTCTATATACCTACCTAGCATTGGCTAGCCTATCATATAGGAATCAAAACCATTTCAAGCAACCCAGCTAGAAGACATTACGATATAGTTACTTAAGACCAGATTCTGTTCAGCTACGTAAGAGTGAAAAAGGAAGATACACCAAACCTATTTCTGTTATTTAGTGCTTGAATAGAGAAGAAATCTATGCTCCGGCGCTTGTTTGATCTCCAATTCCCTGGAAGAGTTGCATTTTTACCTCCGCCGCCAGCAATCCCTTGACTTCTTCCGAAACGATCCGTTGTCCATCTTTTACGACCCTCTCCAGTGGTTGATCTTTGACCTGAGTGGGACCGCCTCCACGGGAGCTACTGTTCTCGATATTCCGAGTCACTCGGCGGACCTTTTGGCTAAGATCCATCATTTGCTTGCTTCCATAATCACGAGTGGTAAACAGTGGGCTCTGACTGAGAGTAGCCACCCAATACTTGTTCCACAGCAGCGATAGAAGCTCGGTATCAAGTGCACTCTTGAAAGTTGATACTTCTAGGGAGTAGTAGTGCGATGCGTGGGCCCCGAAATCCTCTGCTTTGTTGAGAGGGACCGTCTGATACTCGTCCTCCTCCTGCGCCTCCTTGGGGGGGGTGTAGTCCTTGGGGAATGTTCTAAATGCGCCGATATCAACCTTTCCCGCAGAGATAGTTCGTTCAGGGTCAATAACCACAGCAACAAACGGCCCGCCGAGCTGCTGCATATCCTGTGTCGTGACATCAATTCCGGAGAGCCAGCATCCGTATCCCGGGTGACTGTGATACCATCCCACCGCATTTTCCATCCTTCCGGCATCGCGGCAGGCTTGGAGATATGAGACCATGTATTCGTTTGCTTCTTCCTGGGCATTGACTCGAGTTTCTGTGCCCTCGACGGGGAGACGGAAAGCATCTGTCACGACGAATGTTTCCGGGAGAATGTAGCCTTGCATCAGACCCATAATTTCGAGCGAGCCTCCGGAACGGGCATGCATGACCATCTTTAGCAGAGCGACTGCAGAGATTCGGATCGATTTGAAATAGTGCGGGTCTTTCGCCCAAGGCCGGGCATTACTGAGGGCTTTGTGTGTTTCGTCATCATATTGGTAGAGGGCATCTCGTTGAGGATCGATGAGAGTGACAACATTTTCAAGCTCTGGAATGGCAGGAAAGAATTTCGAGTTAGCATAGGACCAGCTATGAGGGTAATTTTGGTGTACGAACCCCAGGATCGCCGAGCAGTCTCCATGAATGACTGGGTTTGGCGGGGAAAGATTCCCCAGGCGGAAAGTAGGTGGAGGCGTGGGAGATATAAAGATCAATCACGTTCGGAGGCGGGATAGAAAAGGCGTGCGATGAAAGGTATATGGGCAAAGAATGGCTAAAACCGGATGAAAAGTGAGAGTACAGTGGAAGAAATTAAGTTGCTACTGCAATACTTCGTGATGAAGTTCGTCGTCGATAAAGCCGATGTGGAGAGAGGGCAGAGGGCGGTGAGGATAAGACGGGCAGAACCGGGCGGGGCATTGCTTAGTCAGCGGTTGCCTGAGGAACCGTCATCAATCAATAGGGAATCCCGATTTGGGAGGAAGGAAGGACCGACCGCTCTCAATTATTATGATGATGTGATGCTTTCCTTTCTTCTTCCTCTCCCCCCTCTCCAAAAGAAATAATCATCCTTTATTGATTCCTCCACTCCCCTTGTCCTCTCGCCCTTGCATCCACTCACTTGCATTGGTGGTGTTGTACATATAAACCCTGCGGGTCCTCTAGCCCTGAAGTTCTTTTTCCTTTGTTGATTTGTTGACTCGCGTGGAATCCGCCTGCCTGTTTGCTTTCTTCTCCGGCGCAGCGCCGCTGCACTTTCCATGACTGACAGCGGATCACATACTTTGACACTACCGATCCTGTGATTGTTTGTCTCGACAGCAGACAAAAATACGCTGAACCGGATTTTCCCTTCCCGAGCTTGGGGGTTGAAGTCGCAATGGCCGTCGACACAAGCTACCTGACCACCCAGGTCAACAACATCGTTAGCCAGCTCCATGGGATCTTCGATGAGATCGGAATCCCCAATCATGAACGCGATTCGCGAGAGGCAGAGGTTTGTTGTTTTCCTTCACTTTGCGATATATTGATTTTGTTGGGAACTGACTAAAGAGCGCAGCTTTTCAATGCGCTGTCGGAAACACTGAACAACCACTTGAAGACGGTCGACGAGTAAGTGATATGCGCCTGAGCCTCGTTGCCTCAGGGTATGCATGAGTCCGCACTACTAACCCGTCCTCAGCGAGAAAAATGAGATGACACAAGAGGCGCATAAGCTCATCAGCGCAATTCAACAAATGGAACAATCTCTGGTAGACGAAAAGGAGAACGGACAATACAATCTCGATCACAATGACCTGCGCGTCACGTACCCACTGAATCGCTGTCTCAGCTTTCTTCGAGAGCAACACAGCGCGGTCAGCAAATTGCACCGCCAACGATATGAGCAAGTTAAGAGTATGTTTTGTCAGGGGGGGGGGGGGGGGGACACCGTGCTAACAGTTTCTAGAACTTGTTGAGGCTCTGGAATCATATTCGTCGCACCTGGAACCAACATTTGTTCATATTGAACTCCCTCCCACAGCGCCTGGAGCGTCGATAGCGCCTAGTTTTGATCTCTCTCCGACATATGTAACTGCACTCGATAATGAATTCACTAGAGTTTACGAAGAATACCACCGCCGTCTTGAGGTGGTTCAAACTACCTGCGAGGAGATCATTAAGCTCTGGGCTGAACTTGGAACTCCTCAAGCCCAGACAGATTCGAGCATTGTTCAGCACTATCGCGAATCCCCAGAGCAGTTGGGACTTCACGAATCAGACTTGTCTAGCCTGTTGGCAAGACGGGAAAAACTGCTTGACGAGAAAAGAGGACGCGAGCGCAAATTAAAGGACCTCAAGAACTCCGTAGAAGGGCTCTGGGAACGATTCGGCGTTGAGGAGTGTGATAGGAAGGCATTCCTTGCAGCGAACCGTGGCTGTGGGTTGAGAACTATCAATGAATTTGAAGAAGAGCTCACTCGCCTCAACGAACTGAAGAGACAGAACTTGCATCTGTTCGTTGAGGACGCACGCTGCCGCCTGCAGGAGCTGTGGGATAACCTTTATTTTTCGGAAGAAGAGATGCTCGATTTCACACCCGCATTTTCTGATGTTTATAGTGATGCTCTCTTGGAAGCACACGAGGCAGAAATTGCGCGCCTCGATGCCCTAAAGGAACAACGTGCACCGACCCTGCAGCTTATTGACAGGCATAGGAGCCTCCTTGCCGAACGTGAGGCACTGGCCGCCTCAAGCCAAGATGCATCTCGTCTCATGGCCCGCGGAAACAAGGGGGAGAGACGTGACCCCGGAAAACTGCTAAGAGAAGAGAAGATGAGGAAGAGGATTGCCAAGGAGTTACCCAAAGTGGAAGCCGATTTGAGGAAATTGTTGGAAAATTGGGAGGATGAATACGGGCGACCATTCCTTGTTCATGGCGAACGATACCTTGACGAACTCACCAAGGTGGTTGCAAAGCCCCCGGCACGTTCGAAGACACCATCAGTACCCCCAAGCAGCATCAAGCGGAACATTGCGCCTCCATCTCGCCCTGCCAGTGTGATGCGCGGTCCCCTTCCTCCCAGATCTAGCACGAAAACTCCAACTGGAAATCCACCCAAATACAACACTATTGGACCCTCCAGACTTGGGGCAAGGTCACCAACAAAGATCCCTGGACGCGTTCCACTGGGAAATATGCCATATGGAAATAACTCCGCTGATCGTCGTGGTCCAGGGACATACTCATCCAGCACCGTGAATGGCAAATTGCCCTCATCTCGCGCTCCACCACCAAGGATGAGAGCCCTGACTGGGGGTGAAAACAGGGATGAGCGAGGAAGTTATCTGTTTGACCCTCCTCGTTGTGCTAGTGCTATGTCCAATTCTTTCGTCCGACCAGTTAGCCCTGAGGATGTTTATGATGATCGTAACCAGCGCTCGTTCCTGAGCTCTTCCATATTTTCTCAGCGGTCTGCTGGATTCTCTCAATCTTCCCAGTCATCTACTTCATCTGGGTCTCTCAATTCGTCACTGCAAGGAGCGTTTCCACGGCCAAACCCATACTTGCAACATGCTCCTCCGCCTCCAGCACCTAGGCAAGTGTCTAATTCCTCCACCGTCGACACAGCCATCACCGGTTCAGAAAATTGGGAGACTTTCGATGACGGCTCAGATTCAGAAGCTGATGCGAGTGACGCGTATTATGCCAAGCTTTGTGCTGCGCATGGAAAGCGTTTGGCCCCTGAGGAGCATCAACAGCCTGTCTCTCTAGCAGGGAAAAAGGCGAAAGGTATCCGAAGCGTTAGCCCGGAAGAGACAACTCCAATGCGGAACGAGCATCTGGTACGAGTAGCTGGAAGTGACGGCGACTGGACTGACGATATGGAGCCTTATTAAAGATTCCCCGATCATCTTATCGCCCTCGTTTAGTTGATATCTTTTGTTCTACTGCTTGCTTGGCGCTATTCGGATCCTTTTCAAGGACATGATTATGAGACCATCTGATATTGATGACTCCATGACCGATCTCCTTAACGTCCCTCAACTGCTACGCCCTGCACCGATATAATGGTTAATTGTTGCGGTTTACCCCAGCCATCAGCGACTCGACTTGCGCAAACCCCCCACCCCCAAAATAAATTAATTTCTATGTTCAAACTCTGGATGATACCATTTCGATACCTTGGTCTTGATCACTAGGACACCCTGCTATCAGAGCCGCGGGCCCACTGAAAGAGATGAAAGAGTTTTAAGGCTATACCCCCCGATACCACCCACAACTCTTTGGAAGTTTTATTGTCTTCTTGTACAATGCTTTTTCGCTTGTATGCTTGAATAATGTTTTCTATCTTCTTCCTATGATTTAATTTTGCTCTGCTAGTCTTTGAGATCCCGGTTCTTTTGTGCATTGCTTACTCTGTTTATTCCCTTGGGCATTTGCGCGAGCCGCAACCCCTACTTTGGCTTTCATTTGTTCTTCATATCAGCGCAGCGTACACCGGTCTTGTTGAATATTTCTGATATATTTAGGAATGGATTTGGCTTCTTCACTATAATTATATCAATCTCGTAAAAGTGAATTGTATAGTATAGGTAAAGAAGGTATACCTGATATCTGGGAGACTGGAAAATATAGTCCGTAGGGTGTTTTTTTTTTTTTTTTTTTTTTTTTTTTTTTCACTTCCACTCATCTCTCAGATCACTTCCTGGGCCGAGGCTGAGAAAGCATGCACAGTCAGTCCCCGGATAATGAGTACTAGCTTTTCAGCGACTGTCGCAGCGATGGAAATGAATGCATAGTTTGATTAGCATAGGCTATAGGAGTTGAGCATCATTGTGATCTTGATAGAAATACATGGACTGGTTCCGGAAAGTTTCTTATAATACATGTGGAAAGTAAACTAAAGCAAGGAAGGTCGCCTGAAGAGAGAGAGAGAGAGAGAGAGAGAGAGAGAGAGATAGATATATACGGAGCAAATGACTAGAAAGACACTGCATTATGATGACGGAGAAAGAGACCCCATCCAGGAGAGATCCGGGTTAGGATCTGACCGTCGCGGAGCCTTGGCCCTTCTAACAGCATTTGGAGAGCGAGCCCCCGCATCTGTGGTGGTTAGGTGCATTGCCTCCTGTAGTCGACGGACACTCTCTGCACGGCCGAGGATCTGCATCGTCTCGGGGATACCCGGCCCAGGTGCGCCTGCCGAGAGGGCCCAGCGGAGATAATGGTATAGCTCCTTTTTGAAAGCCTTTTCGGTGGCGATGCGAATCTTTTCTTCTTGGCCTTCGCCGGATCCGGGCGTTGTTGAGATTTCTCCTGCCCCGTCGTAGTACGAAATATTGGATTTGTGAGTAGCGACGGTCCAGTGGGACTCTGGAACTAGGCAAAGGGCTGCGGCGGCTGTGTGGAGAGTAGACATCGCGATAGTAGAGCCTGCTGTAGGGGTGTATACGGGGCGTTCGAGCTTGGTAGTGAAGAAAGTGAAGTTGCGCTGGACAAACTCTGACGCGTTGGTGAATGACTTGGCATCTGCCTGGAGTAGAGGCGTAACGTATTCGTTCAAGGAACGGGATTGTAGAATATTGGCCCTATACCTGGTTAGATAGAGATAAAAAAGTTGTTAGGGGAACAGTCTACATCACATACAGTTGTTCTGTGGGAGTTGTGGACTGCACAGCTTTGGAGACCATGGAGGTCAGTTTATCGAACTGAGGACCACCATTCGCGGCGAATCGCTGCGCATGGGCCTTTTGAAGGAACCAGAGTTTCTCAAATGCGACCACGGTGTTTCCGCGAGTAATCTTGAGGTTGAACTAGAATCGCAAAATGTCAATCTAGGTGGTAACATGAGGCGCATTACCGAGGGAGGACATACAATCTGCTCCAGTTCCTCCAAACCGAAAACGTCTGATTTCTGGGTATGGGACCATCCTAGTAAAGCGGCGAAGTTTACCAATGTCTCGGGGAATATGCCCTGCTTGTCTTTAAAAAATGTCAGGTCGATATCTGCATTGCGCTTGCTCAGCTTCTGTCCAGACTTGTCCACCAGCAAAGGTACATGGCCGAATCGCGGGGGTGTCCATTTGAACGCATTATACAGCGCAACATGCAGCGGGGTTGAGGACATCCATTCCTAAATAAAATCAAATAAGAAAATAATTTCGTTAGCAAGACATTTACAGAGCCCTGTTTGCTCCCTGAGGAACTCACCGTGCCTCGGATAACATGGGTGATCTTCATGCAGTGGTCATCCACAACGTTCGCCAGATGATAGGTAGGGTGTCCGTCGGATTTGAGCAGAATCGGATCATCATACACGCGCTCAATAAGATCCAACTTATTGGGCGAGCGGTTTTGTCCTGTCTTGCCATACACTAAATCCTCGAACATGGGGTATCCCTCCACCTTCAATCGAACCACGTGTGTCTCACCCTTAGCTGCCTTTTCTGCGGACTCTTCGGGGGAAATATCCGCGCATTTTCTGTCATATCCCGGAGGAAGCCCAGCTTGACTGCGATGTCTTGCAAAAGCGTCAAGTCGGTCCGCGGAGCAGAAACAACGATACGCGTGGCCGTTTTGGATCAGGTCGTCGGCATGGCTGCGATAAAGAGCTGTTCGTTCGGACTATTGGTCAAGATTCTTAGTGCTTGAACATATATATAAAAATGAAGCATTTGTAATCTTACCTGTCTGTACGGACCGTACGGCCCCCCAACAACCGGACCTATGATCGCCCAGCTTCCATTAGCGAGGAACAGTGTTCAACTGTAATCCACTTCTAACCTTCATCCCATTGCAACCCGGCCCATTGCAAATCTTCATATAACCTCTGCTCTGCGCCTGGAATCGTGCGTTTCTAAATATCCCTTTCATCAGTCCTGCGCTCATTTGTAAACGCAGCCGCCTCTATGTAATCATACCTGATCTGTATCCTCGGTTCGCAGGAGAAACTGCCCGCCAGTACGCTTAGCCAGCAGGTAATTGAACAATGCCGTCCGTAAAGATCCCAAGTGTAGATATCCGGTTGGCGACGGCGCAAATCGGGTTCTGGCTGGGAATTCGGGGAGATTGGTCTTCTTGTTACCGCCGGTGCGGAGGTTCGAGGCAACGGGGGATGATGAACTGGCATGTCGGCACTGGAGGCAAGTCCACGAACGGCGGGCCAGAAGACCTGGACGTGGACTCCTCATGGGTACAAGGCAAAGCTCAACTTTGAGCCAAGTTGCGCGGGAACGTGGATAAGTTGTCGTTTCGTCCCTGGGATGGGAGAGATGGCAAGCAGTTGTTGGTGCAGGTCGAAGGCGGCGTTGATTGTCGGAGCCAAAAAGAAAAAAAATAAAAATAAAAATAAAAGGCGGACTGAATTTTCGGGTCAGCGATTTGGCATCGATCGATTTCTATCTATGGTTTCTTTTCTTCGCCATCCAACAACAACACCTTCCAACATTCTCTATCATAAATTTCGATCTTTTGGTTTTTTTTGGGGGGTTTGGACCGCTAATTATATCTTTGTTACTCTGTTCCGCTGCATTCCATAGATCGCAGTTCTCCGCGACGACAGTATGTTCCTGCAATCTGACAAAAGCTGCCCACTTACTAACTTGATCAAACTAGTGTCTCAAGTTGAAGTTGACCTCTACGGTAAATAATATATTCATGGACTATTTTCACTTCCATCTAGAAGGCTAATAAAATTATTGGAACTTTATAGAGGTGCTAGAAATCACTCAAGGCGCAACCAAAGATGAAATCCGAAAGGCCTATCGCAAAGTACAACCCCGTCTCTAAACCTATGATCATCGGGCCGATCAGGACTGACAATCATGTGAAATTTATAGGCTGCTCTCGCGAGCCATCCCGATAAGGTCCCCGAGGGCGAGCGAGAAGCTGCAGAGATCCGATTCAAAGCCGTCCAGGAAGCCTACGACATTCTTTACGATGAAGAGAAACGGCAGATCTATGACACACATGGCATGGGGGCTTTCAACGGGTCGGGAGAGCCTGGAATGAGCGGAGGCCCGGATCTGGATGATATCCTTGCGCAGATGTTTGGGGGGATGGGCGGGATGGGCGGTATGCCCGGGATGGGTGGGATGCCAGGCGGACCGCATGCGCAGAGACCACGGAAGAGCCCAAACGAGGAACAGAAATACGAAGTCAAACTCGAGGATCTCTACAAGGGCAAGACTGTTAAGTTTGCCAGCACCAAGAACGTGATTTGCAGCCTTTGCCAAGGTAAAGGTGGCAAGGAACGGGCGACGGCGAAAAAATGCTCTACATGCGATGGACAAGGTACGCAGGCAAGCTGCCTCACAAATGGGGATTTGAGACTCACAGGAATCGTCTTTTAGGTTTCAAGCAGGTTCTTACTCGCATGGGACAGTTCCTGACTCCCTCGACGGTGGTGTGCTCTACCTGCAATGGTGATGGTCAATTCTTCAGCCCCAAGGATAAGTGCAAGAAGTGCAAGGGCAAGAAGACGACGGAGGAAAAGAAGATTTTGGAAATTTACATTCCCCGCGGAGCTAGGTAGGTCAATTTTCCGGGCAGAAGTGCTGGAAGGAACACACGCTAAACTCTTGTCTAGGGAAGGGGACAAGATCGTCCTGGAAGGCGAGGCGGATCAGGTGCCTGGTCAAGAGCCGGGCGATATCGTCTTCCATCTAGTCGAAGAGGACCACCCGACGTTCAAGCGGGCTGGCGCTGATCTTTTGGCGACCATCGATGTGACGCTGGCGGAGGCTCTGACAGGCTTGCATCGCGTGGTCATCAAGCATCTTGACGGTCGAGGAATTGAACTTCAATATCCGAAGACCCCAGGACAGGTCCTGTCACCGGGACAGGTTCTCAAGGTGTCTGGCGAAGGCATGCCAATCAAGCGTGCCGATGTCCGTGGCGACCTATACCTTACGGTCAACATCAGATTCCCAGACGAGAAATGGCAACCTAGCGCCGAGATTCTCGAAAACCTGAAGGCGATGTTGCCCAAGCCCGACCCCCCCATTCATGCGGACACCGTCGACGAAGTGGACTATGACCCCAAGGGCAACCTGGATGACTTTGGTTCGCAGGATGCCCAAGGGGGATCTGCGTGGGAAGATGAGGAGGAAGAGGGCGAGACGGCGCAGTGCACGACTCAGTGATGCGGGGGGGGGTTCTATGGCTTTTTTTTTTCTTTCTTTCTTCTGCTCTTACGATTCTCTGTACTTGATACCATTTCCCTTGAGTGTACTTTTCTCAGGGATTTCTTTACGAGATGATAGAACTTTTCGATGCATCTGGCACCACTCCTCTTCTCTGGCATCGTTGGCGTTACGATCGATTCTTACGAATAAACATGGAAAGTTGTTACTTGGGTTTTCAGCAGACTTGTCGCCTTGTTTTCTAGACACTTCAAGTAAAATTCCAAAATGAAGCCGCTCGGAGAAGTTAATGACTCACAGGGCCCAATTGGCCTCTGCTATGCGGCCCCCATGCTTTTCTCCAGAACCCGAGTCATAGCGTGGGGTAGGGAACCGCACATTGGGGGAAGAGAGGGGGTCATACCATGCATGTATCTTCAGGGCTCTCGTTTGGCTGGACCAATATGTGCCTGATCCGAAAGAGTGGAATTGGAGCTGCAGATAAATCCATATTAAGTTTCTCTCCCCCTCTCTCGCTGCTGGTATTTAAATTACCCGGTTATTTCGGCGATTGGAAGAATTTTCTTGGGACTTGTGGGCTGCCCTTCACAGCTTCGGACATTCCCCGGGTTTGGACGGCATTTATATTTGCCCGTTCCCCATATTCTTGCTACTATAAGAAGGTAAGGATTTTTCACCTCCTGGAATAACTAGAAATATATGCACAAAGGCAATAAAAAAGGGGAGAGAGCTAAAAGATTGATAAGCACAGCTGACAGCGATTTAGTTAGTTCCACGTGCTCTGCCCCCTAACCTTGTTCAGGTAATTATGCCTTGCCCACCACAGGCATGTGAAGGCTGCACTTGCAAGGCGAGTAGCAGCCGGGGAGGAGACATAGAAGACTTTGAAAAGGAGTTACTGGCGCTCCGGAAGCGCACTATTGAGCTCGAGAGAGCATTGGCATCGGCGAAGAATAGCCCAGTCGCTCCCCGGTCGGGCCGTAAACTACGGTCGGCCAACTGGTTCAATTGTGAAACCAATCCGGCAATGACAGCCCTATATATCGAGCGGTATCTCAACTATGGGGTCACTCGAGAGGAGCTCATGGCCGGAAAGCCCATCATCGGAATCGCCCAGACTGGGTCTGATATCGCACCGTGCAACCGCTACCATCTAGAGCTTATTAAGCGTGTACGTGAGGGTATTAGGACGGCGGGCGGAATTGCCTTTGAATTCCCTACGCACCCTATTCAGGAGAGCAGCCGAAGGCCAACAGCATGTATCGACCGGAATCTTTCGTATTTGGGCTTGGTTGAGATCCTTCATGGTTATCCTTTGGATGGAGTTGTACTTTTGACGGGATGCGATAAGACGACACCGGCGTGTCTGATGGCTGCTGCCACCGTGGTCAGTAAACCCTGTTTGTGGCCTTCAAAAAAAAAAAAAAAAATAAAAAATAGGCTAACTTCGAGTGAAGAACATCCCCGCCATCTGCCTCAATGTTGGACCGATGCTTAACGGCTATTTGAGAAATGAACTAGCAGGGTCTGGCATGGTAGTGTGGAAGGGAAGAGAGATGTACGCGGCTGGGGAAATAAATCAGGAGCAGCTTGTGGATTACATCTCCAGAGGGTATGTTGGCAGCAAAGAACTGGAAGTTGAGAAGCAAGTGCTGACGATTTTGCCGCAGCGCGCCATCCGTAGGACATTGTAATACAATGGGAACTGCTTCGACGATGAACGCACTGGCAGAAGCACTGGGAATGGCCTTGCCGGGGTCAGCGGCCATCCCGGCTCCTTATCGCGAACGGGCCCAGTGTGCTTATGAGACAGGATTACGCATTATCGAAATGGTGGAAACTGATCGTAAGCCAAGTGATATCATGACCCGCGAGGCCTTTGAAAACGTTATCATCGTCAACACAGCCATTGGCGGAAGTACAAACGCCCCCATCCACATCAATGCCATCGCGAAACACATGGGAGTTGATGTTTCGTTGGATGACTGGGATCGGCTTGGGTTCCACATCCCGCTTCTACTTAATATGCAGCCTGCGGGGGAATTTCTGGGCGAGGAATACTATCGGGCTGGTGGGCTCCCGGCCATCATGGCAGAGTTGCTCGATGCTGGAAAACTGCATCCTGACGTCTTGACTTGCAACGGGCGCACGGTCGCCGAGAACGTCAAAGGCCAGCATACGTGGGACCGGCAAATCATCAAACCGTATAACGATCCCCTCATGAAAAACGCAGGGTTCGTGCACCTCCAAGGAAGCCTATTCCAGTCAGCCATCATGAAAACCTGTGTAATATCCGAACCATTCAGACAGAAGTTCTTGGCGAATCCCGAGGATCCTAACGCCTTCGAAGGGGCCGTTGTAGTTTTCGATGGACCGGAGGATTACCATAACCAGCTGGAGGACCCCTCCACTCCCATCGATGACCGAAGTATTTTGGTGATGCGCGGGGTGGGTCCGCTAGGATATCCAGGTGCGGCCGAGGTGGTGAATATGCATCCACCGGGACATCTTCTTCGACAGGGGGTCAAGTCCCTGCCATGTATTGGAGATGGACGACAGTCGGGTACTTCCGGGTCGCCATCGATCCTGAACGCCAGCCCCGAGGCAGCAGCAGGAGGTAATCTGGCTCTTCTCCGGAACGGAGACAGACTCCGTGTCGACCTAAACAAGCGACGCGTTGATATCCTTCTATCTGAGGAGGAGCTGCGCCAGCGAAGAGCTGAGTTGGAAGATAAGGGAGGCTATGGTGTTCCGGACAGTCAGACGCCATGGCAAGAGTTATTCAGGAAGGAAACGAGCCAGTTGAACGAGGGCATGGTGTTGCGTGAAGCGGTCAAGTACCAGCGCCTCGCTCAGCGCTATGAGATCCCTCGACATAATCATTAGGTGAATTATAGACAGGAGTCACACGCAGAGAGTTGCTTTCCTTGATCAGAAAAATAAATAGCAATCATATTGCATCCCGTATAATTCCAGAGGTCCCCCCCCCCCCCCTTTCAAGAAAAAAAGCATGCATCATAGATCAATCGAGGGAAAGGGAAGTCAATCACATCACATGTGCAGGATTGGTGTTACGCAGCGTCTTATCAATTTGGAATCAGTTAGTTAGCTGAGGACCAAGAGCAGAAATTGATGACACAAAGAGAAAGCTCACCACTAGCCGCGTCCAGGGTACTGTGTTACTGGTTACCTCGACGACTGGGAGGTAAATTGCGATCGGAATCCTCCTTCGACCTCATTTTCTGTTTAGATTCGATAAAAAACCGGCCTGGGCAGGATTGGCGGTCACGCTAGAGTAAAGCTGGGAAGGAGGATGAATTTGAAATGGCTAGGTATAACTGTTCTGACCCGATCAGTGCAGGAAAGAGATTCCGGAAGACTGGGTTAGCCAATTCTGTACGGGATGATGAGCACATGGTTTAAAGCTCTGGACTAGAGAGATAGAATTCCGGTCGATCAATAGTAGTAGTAGTAGTAGTAGTACTTTATTTACGTTGTACACATCCGTAAGAGAAAGAATCAAATATCCGAGTGGATCAGTGGGTCAAATTACTACTGATTTTCAGCTTCCCGTGGAATTCAACGTTAATCTTTTTGTACTTGAAAGTTGAAGATGTATACTTGTGTGTGTGTTCGGATAGAGAAAAAAAAAAAATCAGACCGCCCCTCCAGGTTTCATCCTGCATCCACTTTTCTTTCCTCTTCTTGTTTTTAAGGTCATCCTCTTCTTCTTTTATGATCCTTGGAAAGATTTTTTCGTCATGTTCCTTGCTCTCCCTTTCCTCCAGTCAGCTGCTCGAGTATCACCATGCGCTCCTGACGAGCAATAAGCTCTTGCATTTTCTTTATTATTGGATCTGTGCTACATACCGAATTCTCAGGTCCGATTTTTCGAAACTTCTCCGTTTTTCTCGGCCCGGGTCTGGCCAGATTGGTCGCCTTTCTTTTTTTCTGTTGGCGTCCTTATACTCTTCGCCTCACCGCATCATTCCACAGTCGCAAGAGTCTCACGACACTCCATTCTTCCCCCTTTCTTCATAAATATACGAATACTACCACTGGGCCGTGAAGTTCTGGAGCCCTGTGTTGACATTTCTTGACTGCGATCAACCCTCACCCTTTTCTTCTTGCCCTGCTTTGTTCACAATGGATGTCGACTTGTAACCCACCGTCCGAGTTTCTTGCTCGTCTCTTTTCGTCTTTGCCTTCTCCTAAAAAAAAAAAAAAGTGAGCGTTCTTAGTTTTTATCTTGTTACGGATTTGAAATACCCTCCTGTTTTCTTCGCTCCAATCGATCCCTCCTTCAACTCTATTGATTCGTCATGGCCCCCAACCTCTTTCTCTGCATGCGAAATGCGTTTTGCCCGACGTATTGGTTCCAGCGCGGGGAGCGCATTCAGGGATCCATTCACAAGGAGGAGCGCTGGCAATCCCCTGTGCCAGGCATCTACAAGTACATCCCTGGACGTGGATGGCATCTCATTTATAAGGATGGCAGCGAACATGATGAGAAAGTCCCCATCCCTCTCGTTTACTGCCGTATCCTCCATCGATACATGTTCGAACATGAAATGGAAGAACGATGCCACCTGCATACGGTCACCCTCCAGGACGGAGGCAGCCCCGAGGAGCTCATGTTTTTCCTCCTTGACGACGGAGACACGTATGTTGCGGGATGGGATTCGAAAGGGAAGTTCATTCCGGGTCCGTATCAGAAGTGGTACCTCGATGCCGAGACCAACACGATGCGCCGGGTGATTTTCCCTCCCAGCTCGAATGTTTCTCGGTGCAGCATAGTCCCGGAGAAGATGAATTAACTATCTCTCTATATATCCTTCGACAAGCAACTGTTATCATGCCTGCGAATAGCTGTGTGCTGAGCGGATTGGTTAATTTGTATTCTTTTTTTTTTTTTCGATTGTTAATGTTGCGAGGTTTGTTGACCGTGACGATTTCGGTCTATTTTTTTTGTGGGAAAGGCGCCTGGGCTCGGTATAGAAAAGGATAGAAGTTTTTTTGTGATTGATATTACGTTAGTACTAGGAGTACTTTGAGGTCTTAAATGTGATTTCCACCATACCTACAATAATTCTAATATGATACCCACATACTATACAGAATAAGTCCGAGCAGGTACCTACTACCTACCAGGTCCTACCTAGTAATAATGACCTGTCTATTCTAGCCAGTACACGATACAGCAAGCCCTACATACGTACCTAGTACACGGAGTACTTCAACCCCCCCCCTTTACTTTACCGTGAGTAGGAAACCCCCAACTTGAATCGAAACCCATCTCAAAGCCTCGCACCATCCTGAACCATCAACCTCTCCAACGCCTCTCGAACCCGCCTCTCCATCCCCCCCTTGGCGGGCTTCATGTCCTCCCTCGTACACCATACATGCGTATACCCCCCCACAACCTTGACGTCGTCTTCGCCTTCCCGGAATACCCCGACTTCGTACGTGACGCTGGAGCCCCCGAGCTTGGTGACCCGGAGGCCGAGCTCCAGGGTATCCGGGTAGGAGACGGAAGCGAAGTAATCGCAGTAGGAGCTGGCAATGACAGCGATCTGGGAGGCGTGGGCTGGAGCTGGGGAGAAGGGGTCCATCCCGCAGTCGGTGATCAGGTAGGAGTTAATGATTGAGTCGAAGAGTTGCGCGTAGACGGTGTTGTTGAGATGCGCGTACATGTCGTTGTCGTGCCTTTTGTGATGGTTTAGTTATGGTTATTACTAGTTAGTTAGTTATTCTAGTGGAGTTACGCGGAGCTTACCATCGGGTTCGGTAGACTTGATGGAAGACGTAGTCTTTGCGGGTGCGGCGCTTCTTGAGCGCGATTTCTTTGAGAGGCATATATATATTACTCTTGGTATGTTTCTTTTCTTTCTTGGTAAGGGTTTGTTGTGTGTTTTCTGTGGGTTGAAAGAGTGAGAGGTGAAGTGATGAATAGCTAAGTAATGATGCGACCGATATCAGCAGTTGAGCCGAGGTTCATGTACAATCTAATAATATGTATATTTATAAAGTTAGATTATCACGGATTATCAGATCCAGATCATAGAAATACTATATTGGAAATTATTGTCAGTACCTTGAGATATCAATCTCACCTCTACCTGCAATCTACACTCCTTTCCTAGTAACAATCGGCTGTCTTATATTTTGGCTGGCTGTGATCTCGATTCCAAATAATCACCACTCTGCATTATTATATCTTTATTAAATCAATCTGTTCAGCACATTTCTAATCAATATGCAAACAACCAGAGCAATAGCCGCAGGCAATATGAATTTGGTGTCAGGATCCGAAACCAGGTTGTATGGAATGCAGTCATTCCAACTCGCAATCAGGCTTTTACTATTTCCGGAACACTATTCATTCTTTTATGCCATGTCTCAGAGACCAGTAAATATATGAGGGTGGAAAGGAACCTCCAATTCGACATTAATTTTATATATATTTTTTTCCCCCTGCTTTTTAACCTGTCAATACAATGGCGCCTCTTGACAGCTGGGCGCTGCGCTTGATCCCCGCGATCACCTTGCTCATTGCGAGGACTCAAGCCCGTATCGAGTCCCCAAGCGATATTCTCACAAACCTGGGGCCATACCTTTCTCCAGATGCAAATATCTACTTGCCGGATGCTCCTCAGTTCGCCGCGGCGACGCAGAGATGGTCGCCTTATGGTACACCCAACTTCACCGTTGTCGTGGAGGTAGCAGTAGAAGAAGATGTGGTCAACACGGTTCGTCTTGACTGCGAAACCGGGTCTTCGGAGGGAGCTAATCACTTCGCAGGTTCAATATGCTAATGAGAATGACATACCCTTCCTCGCAGTGAATGGTGGCCATGGGACCATCTCAACCTTGTCAACCCTACAGCATGGTCTTGAAATTTGGCTGCATAGGCTAGACTCAGTAACCATCTCGGAAGATGGACAATCAGCTACATTCGGGGGAGGGATTAAATCAGGGAATGTGACCCAAGCACTCTGGGAAATAGGCAAACAGACTGGTGAGTCCCGAAAAAAACAATCTTTTGTAGTAGCCAAGTTAACCATGAGCGATCTCAGTCCACGGAGTCTGCGACTGTACTGGATACCTTGGACCCGCTCTGGGTGGCGGCCACGGTTCCTTGCAAGGCAACTATGGGCTCATCTCCGACCAGTTTGTTTCAATGCGTCTAGTTACAGCAGATGGAAGCCTTCTGACGGTGTCGCCCGACGGTCCTACAAGTGACCTCTGGTGGGCCATGCAAGGCGCTGGTCACAATTTCGGAATCGTCACGTCAATCACGTCGAAGATCTATGATGTTCCATATGATGGTATGTGGGCGTGGGAATATCTGATCTTCACCCATGACCAGTTAGAGGATCTATTCGCTCTTTTTGATCAGCTCTCGGCAATTCAACCGCCAGGATTTATGATTTGGACAGTGATTAGCCGCAATCCTGAGGTGGATATGGAAAATGTACTTGTTCCCTTCCTTTAGCCATCTTAACCCGCAGCCTACTGATCATTCTCCGTAGCCTGTCATTCAAGTCAACTTTCTTCGCGAAGGCGTCCCGACTATTGAAGACGAATACCTACGCCCCTTCCGCGAGCTGTGCTATCAAGTTGCCGACAAAGCCACGGGCTTATTCACGGATATTCCGAAATGGATTGAAACAGGGTTTGACACCCAGAGCTGTCGATTCGGGGGCCCCTCAAAGGTGCGGTATCCGATCAGTTTCCCGAAATACAACATCGAAGCCCAGCGCGCGATGTTCGATGCATTCGCTGAAGGAACCGCGGGCTCGTCGCCATACAATCACTCTATGATTCTGGTCGAACAATACTCAGTCCAGGGCGTGCAAGCCATTCCCGAATATTCAACGGCCTTCCCTCATCGACAGGACAACCTTCTGCTCTCTCCTGTCCTCGTTTATACGCCATCTGCTGGTCTTGACGCCGGCGCAAAGGAGTTTGGAGATAACTTGCGACAGATTCTTCTCGAGGGGACAGATTCGGATGAATTACATGCATATGTCAACTATGCTTCCGGGGATGAAGGACCGGAGAGCTGGTATGGGTATGAGCCGTGGAGAATTAATCGGCTGCAGGCGTTGAAGGCGCAATATGATCCCGAAGAGAAGTTTGGATATTATGCGCCAATTCCAGCCTGAAGACCTTTAAGGGATTAAGGACTAAATGAATATAAAGAATTAGACTCACAATATGTTTTTTTTTTATGTTCTCCATTTTGCCGTGTTATAATAATAGCTTATAGTTCAAGCTTGAATGAATACCGACTAAATTTGAATTTTTTTTTTTTTTTCCTCCTTAATGTGGCGGCGATCAGGAACAAATTTGTAAAAATAATTTATCTTCCCCTCTTCCCCTCCCTCCCTCCTACCAACAAACACCACACACGCTCATTTCGTTTTCAACAGATCCCTTTAGACTTTCTTCCATTGAGTTCCTCTGGCGCCCTCTCTTCGAATCACCGAATACCTCCTGCGACGAGGCAGGATTCGGGCCCCCATAATGTCCCTCGTCCCTGTCGACACCGCGTTCAAGGTGCCTCCTCCCGACCCAGTCGAAGAACCGCCCAAGGTCGCCATCACACCTTGCGATCCGCCTGCGACATATTATTTTGAGGGAGGGCTGCGGCGCGTGCGCCCTTATCATTACACCTACAATACCTACTGCAAGGAGCGATGGAGGGATAGGGAGTTGGTAGATATCTTCACGTCGGAGTTTCGCGACCGACCACCGGAGTACTATGTACGTTGCGGCCCCTGTTTTGGGGGGGGGTTTTTTCTCTCGAGTTATAATTGTTCAAGGTTAGAAAAGAGGCTAACATGGACGTGTAAAGATAAAAGCCCTCGAGGACGGAAAAGTGTGTCTCAATGGTAAACCAGCCGGCCCCAACACCATCGTCAAGAACGGCCAGGTCATTTCGCATACCCTTCACCGGCACGAACCCCCTGTCACAGGCAACGAGATCGGGATTATCCATGAGGATGATGACTTGCTTGTGATTGACAAGCCGGCCGGAGTCCCCGTCCACTCTACTGGGCGATACCACTTTAACTCAATCATCGAGATCCTGCGCTCCAAGTACGGCCAGCAATTCACCCCACGGCCATGCAATCGTCTAGACCGCTTGACTTCCGGCGTCATGTTCATTGGCAAGACAATCCAGGGCGCGAGCATGATGACTGAGAAGCTTAAGGCCCGGGCTCTGCAGAAGGAATATGTCGCGCGTGTGAAGGGCAAGTTCCCGGACGGAGTCATTATCTGCGACCAGCCCATTATGTCCGTTAGCCCCAAGCTCGGTCTCAATCGAGTACGTGCCACAGGGAAGGAGGCCAAAACCAAATTCCGCAGGCTGGCCTATTACCCTCCGACACCCCCCGTCGCGGAGACCCGAGCAGAGGATGATGGCGCACGCCCTGCCACTCCTCCGCCGTCATACCTCAATGAATCAGAAGGCTACAGTATCGTGCACTGCCTGCCATTGACTGGCCGAACACATCAAATCCGAGTCCACCTCCAGTTCCTGGGCCACCCGATTAGCAACGACCCGATCTATTCGAACCGCCGCGTATTCGGGCCCGAGCTCGGCAGGAACGAAGCCACCGCCGAGCACGACGACGAGATTATCGACCGTCTAATGAAAATGGGCCGCACCGAGCTCCCAGAAACAGTCACCTACCGGACACATCTCACAACGGCACCCCTTGTTCCACCAGGTACTGACTCGTCCGTCGTCGAGGCCATCATGTCGCGTGAGCACGAAGCCGCAGTCGAAGCTTACCACAAGCGCAAGGGCGAGAAGCTCTCCGGCGAAATCTGCGATGTCTGCGGGACAGAGCTTTACACGGACCCTGGGGTGCACGAGCTAGGAATCTTCCTCCACGCCGTGGCTTACTCGGATCACGATGGTGCATGGAAGTATCGCAGTAAAATGCCTTCGTGGGGTCTTCCGCCAGCAGGTCTGGATGGACCGCGCGAAGCACCGGATTGGGAACCTGTCCCTGAAGATGAGGAGATTGTTATCGGTCACGGAACGATTCCTGATATCGACGGGGAGGATAGCGTACCTGCGCTGGTGCAGGGGGTGGGACTGGTTGATATTTCGTCTGCACGACAAGCGCAGGAGCAAGGCGCTTCTGCTGCTGCTGCTGCTGCTGCTGCTAACGGAGTATAGAGCACCTACAAATATGAAACCATCATACATGAAAAGTTGTCAATATTTCCCCTGCTTGGTTAAAAGATTTGGTGTTTGCATACATGCATGGGCATACTAGGTGTTTGTCTAAACATTTACGAGCTATGATAGATAGATCAGTATACATATACATACATTATTATATATATATATATATACCAATCCAATCCAATCCTTTCTACTACCTCTACCAAATCGGAAGAACTGGGGCAAGTAATCCTCGAAAGTTTCCCCACTCCCCGTGAAGTCTAGAATCATAAAAACCGGGGATAGTTCTCACATCTCACATCTAATACGAGCACCAGCACACAGCACACATTGGGTTATTCAGACCCGACAAAGCAGTACGCAGCAAAAACAACGACAATCATCAAGCATTATCGCATTGAAATTCCGTATGGTATTCCATGAGAGGTTTTAAGGTAAAGGTATGTATAATCAATTGCTTGATCAATCAATCCCGGTGGTTGTTTTTAAAGAGTTCCCGTCCTGGCTCCCTCCGACCCATCCATCCCAAGGTTTCTCGTGTTTGTGTGGGTATGTGTGTTTGTGTGTGTGGTGAGAGTGCTTTGATTATGAGAGAGAGAGAGAGGGCTTGTATCACTGCTTGGAGTGCTTTCCTAGGAATAACTGAAAAAAAAGTGGGTTTTCATTTTTCGTATTTAAAGGGTCTCTCTTTTTGCTTCTTTATTCATTCCATTTAAGCCTCAGTAGTAACACGGCCACGGGGGTTGGTAACCTTGACACCGAGAGCCTTGGCCTTGGCGATGATATCGACACGCTTGCGAGAGGAAACGGCGTGGGCGATCCTAAAGTAGTGGGTTATATTAGTTTTCCCTTGTTCACTTTTTTTTTTGGGTATATGGTGGTGTGCAGATTGCAATTTGCCAGGGGGAAACGTACTCAGCAGCATAGGTGCGGTTATGCATGAGCAGAAGCTCGACGTCCTTGGGGTTGTGGACGAGGAAAGCCTTGTGGCCGGAGGGCATCATGTGCTTGGTCTTCTTGTTGCTGCCGTAACCGATCTATCTGTCTATTAGTATTGTCTTTTTTTTTCTCTCTCTCATTTATTTCCTTCTTTGCTTGGTGTTCGGGTATATCGCGATTCGATTCGACTCGATCCGATAAGGGGAAAACGCACCGAAGGCATGGGAATGTTGCCCTTGAAGCGTCTGCGGACGCGACTATCGATACCCTTGGGCTTGCGCCATGACTCCGGCACGCACTTGAAGCGGTCGGACTGGTGGCGGAAGAAACGCTTGGTGCCTATATCGATTCAGTCAGCATCATCATCCTGTATGTTCCATCATGTCTGTCTGTGTTCATGTTTCATCTCTCTTCTTCGTGTCGGTAAAATTTTCTGCTCAAGAATTTTTCCCCCTTTCTATTGTCCACATGTCCTCCTCTTTCCGACTTCATGGTTCATAACATGGCAGGATATGATAGGTTAGGATAGGATAGGTAGTGGTTATGGTGACATACGCTTCTTAACGATAGGGACGTGCTTCTTGGCGAGGACCATCTGGATGAGTTAGTATTTCAGCAATTCGATTTAGATATCGGATAGAACATGTAGAAAGAGAACACACCTTGTCGTCGTCTCGCGGTTGGCGCTGGGAGTTGTCGGACGGGTCGAAAATCGATCTCGAAAATTCGCGCTGAGGTTGGCCGCCCGTCGGAAATCAGTGCTAGTGCCTTTGCTAAGCGAGGGGTACAAATCGCGTGACCTAGGGCTGTGATTTCAAGCCCTGCTTAGTCATGTTTATCGGGTCGAGTGAGTCTAGCTAAAAGGGGAAATTACCTTTCTCTCCCGTCCCGTCGTCAGCCAGCCTACCTGGTGTGAATCAATCACGATCGAAATGAAATGCCCATGAGATGGATTCGTCTTTTGATTTACGGAGTAACTCTAATTCTAGTTCTGCAATGACAGCACCTTTTTCTCTCCATCGCCCTCGCCGCTCTGGAAACTCATCTCCAATACTTCTAGATCCGCTAAGGCCTGCTCAGGATGTAACTCCTTGTCCAGTGCACCCTTGACAATCGACGCCCCGAATGCTGCTACCTCCTCCTTCACTCCCACACCCTCAAAGGGAATATCGAACGATTCCCCATTAACCGTCAGCCGGTCGTCAACGAGGGTCACCACCCCTTTTGCACAAGTAAATTCCACGCAGAGGTCTTTAAACTCCGAGCCATACGACAAAGACAGCACACCTGTTGCTCCTGACTCGGTCTTGAGCACGGCGTCGACTGTATCCAGCGGTGGCAGGTGCTCCTGCTGGAGACAAGTCTGCGCAGAAACCGTCTTCAATGCATTCCCGGCACCGAGAATCAGTCGTAGCCCGGCAGCCATGTGGACTCCGCCATCGAGGACGAATCCACCTTGGTGTTCTGGGGTTTTGCGCCATTCGGTTTCTAGTCTTCTTAGCCTGCACTTCTCCTCGGGGGTTGTTAAATAGATGCAAAAGGACGCAGGAGGCACGTACTGTAATACTTGGAGTCGGTAGGAACCTTGAAGCGTGCAGTCAGACGGAATGTCTTGATCCCGCCGAGCTTCTGCACCTCCGTGGCTGTCCGCAGCCACTTGTTCGTGTACCGGAAGTTCTCAGCCACGCCCCAGAAGATCTTGCTCCGGTCAACATTCGCGGCGTACCAGCTCATCAGGTCTTGCGCTGTCACGAGGTCCTTGGCGATGGGTTTCTCAGACAGGACGTGTTTTCCCGCTGCAAGAGCCTGCTTAATATATTCCGGTTGAGCGGGAATGGGCAGACTGTATGTAAGCTTCACATTAGCTTATCTTCTTTCTTTCTTCCTTTCTTCCTTAACGAGATCATCCATGTACGCATCACAGCAATTGAAGCAAAAGTAAGTAAGCAGTAGGGTACGCAGTAGGGTACGCACACCAAAATCACAGCTGCGATATCCTCCCGAGCAAGCAAATCCGCATAACTCTTTCCAGTACCAGAATCCCCCGAGTAAAGCTCTACGCCGGAAAGACCCCCCGCCAACCCCTGCGCGGACTTCAAGGAGCGCGAGTAGACGGCCTTCAGCTCAAGATCGCTCGCCTCTTGCACAGCGGGCTGGATGACATTGTTAGCTCCTAGTATGTATGCAGATATGCATTAGGGGTGATCAGGAGTGAAAACATACGAGATGCTGCTCCCGAGCGAAGATACCTATATAAATATAATATTAGTGTGCGTATCCAGGTAGTTCCTCGGGCTTTCCTCAGGCTTTGGGAGTGAGATGTATGGTACTAGTAGTAGTAGGAATAGTAGTATTCCAGGTTAGGAGTTAGGGGATCAACTTTACATACCACTTCCAATGATAGCGACTCCGATAGACATTTCGAAAATAGTCAGTTAATCCGTTTAATTTATCTTGATGTTGCGGTAGAGAAATGGTTGGTAAATGGTGTAATTTCAGAAATTGACCTAGTTATATATATATATTAGGTATGTCATTCCTTATACATATTTAGGCTGATCAAAGGGTCTGGAGGGGCCAAGTGGGGTTCTTCACTTAAATTAGCTCACAACCGTCTGCGTGGACCTTCCATTGTTAACTGCATCAAAGGAGTTATGGAGTACAATAAATATGAGTTAACATGGTTTCTATTTGAGATGCAAGTCTGGTCTTGTTTGGCTTGCTATTCATTGTGACTGTTAGTGAGAGAAAAAGAGGGTAGTTGGAGTGACCCCAGTAGAGTTCATCATTGTAGGTAGATATGTGCTTTTGTATGCGTGATTTATAAATAATTTAGACTTCTGCCGATCCCACAGACATACCCAGTAAAGAAATATCCATATTTGTATCCATATCCGTTCATATCCATATCCATATCCATGCAATCGTAACCCATGTAGTTGTTGAACAACTATCCAAAGCCGTCCAGCCATATCCATGGCAAAAGCGCCAATCCAAAGTCCGGGTATAAAACAAACCAAATCCCGAATGGCCGAGAAGGAAAAGCCAACCAAGTATAGGAGCCAAGAAAAAAAAAAGAAAAAGAAAAACTACCCCACGAGAGCTCGGATGCGCTCAACTCTCTCCATTGCCTTCTCCAATCGCTCAAGACGACTCCGCTTCTCGATGTCTCGTTGTTCCAGCACGGCGACACGTTCCTCAAGCCTTGCTCGTGCTTTGCGCTCCTGTGCGACCATCTCGTTCGCCTGGCTGAAGAGCTGCACCGTGAGCTCTTCTAGCTCCGTGCTAGCTTGCGATAACTGCGTCTCTGCGGCTTTGCGCAGAGTTTGTTCCCGGTTCAACGCATTTTGTAACTCGAGTGTATCTTCGCAGGAGGACCTAGTACCGATTGACTGCGTGTATGCGTGGACTTGGGGTGGGGAGGAAGTAATTGGACCTGTCTGAGTCTGAGTCCGCTGCTGCTGCTGCTGTTGTAATAGTAGCAGTTGTTGTGACTGTGTGGACTGATGAGATGCCGTACTTGGTCTCCGATATGGAAGAAAAGATGCCAGAGAGGACAATCGACCTTGTTGCTGAGCTGGCGGGGACGACGAGTGTGACTGTGAGCCCGGTCGTATCACGTCGTGATTGGTGCGGGCGGATAAGGTGGAGGAAATGGAGGAGCCGTTTCTCGGGGTGTAAGCGGTTTGGGCACGGAGACGTCGTACCTCCTCCTCGTATTCGGCCAATTTCTCCGCTGTTTTCCCCCCCCGATCATCTTTAGATTCACGTATGGGGTAGACCTGGAGGGGGGTTGGGTCTTACCCATTTGTACGGCCTGGGCGTTTAGGAAATGCACCTGGTCTTCTAGGTCTTTCACTCGTCGTCGGGACGGTTCTGTAGAATGGTCTTGCGAGAGGAATCCATCTTGGCCGCAGGTTGGGCAGGTCTTCCCTGGGATCAAGGCGGTCGCTGTTGACATGGACGGTATTAGACCGACTAGTGTAGTGGTTGTGGTGGACATTGTTCGGAAACCATAAATATGGTAGAATCGCACTCTTTTAAGAGTGTGTGGAGGATTGAAGCGAGAGGAGAGGAGGAGGAAAGCGAGAAGGACAGAGAGATAGAAAGAAACAAGAGAGGGAGTGGAAATGAAAGGATGTTAGACCGCGTCACAGAAACCAAAAAAAAGGGTCTTGAATGGAATGAATGAATTATTCTTGGGCGGTTACGGTTAAATAAATACTTAGTTACTAGTAAAGTAGGTACGACTAAGAATAGATTCTTTGGATTTATTCAGGAGATCTTGTGCTCCCGCAGATCAAAGGCTGGGATCTTCTTCCCTTGGCCAAGTTCGACTCCCTATTTCTTTCGGGCTTGAATTGTCCAGAAACTAATTAAAATTTACTGTCTAGAAGTATATCTACTAGAAGACTGACTATACTAACACCTAGGTTTCTCTAGATTATGTTTCTTCAGGTGGTTGACACTCCCATCCATCCCCTTTGGATACTTGCCCCTATTCAGCCTCACATGTTCTACCTGGTGATTCCTGCAAGAATAACAAGAATAAATTCGTCCCTGAATATGATACATGATCGGATCATCTTCTGTTCGTACTGGTAACTCCTCCATGCCACCGACACGTGTAGATCAGATCATCCCCCACATCGTCTCTCTCACTCGCTCGACCGCGATGACTGACTGGTCACTTATTACTTTCCTGAACGACCGCCAGTGCCTCTTTCCAATCACTTTCTTTGATGTTCAACAGCTATATGACCAGAACCTGAATACCCTATCTATCTATCTATCTATCTATGGAGGGACTACTCACAACTGGTTAGGTAAGTATAGGGTAGGTAGTAGACTCAACTGAACCACAAGGATAACAACAACCCATCTCCGAATTCCAGCCATCCCACCCCTTCAGCAAACCTTGCGCGCCAACCTCGTATGCGGAGTCTATACATTCGATTCGCACAGCCAGGACAACAGCCTACTAATCACCAGGGAAACTACCTAGATACCAACCAGACATACCCCAGCCGCAATCCACGAGACGATAAGATCTGATTCCTTGCATTGCTGATCGGGAGAACTATCCCTTGGTTACCTGGGGCTAGGGGTGTGTTTTACACACTCCGTATAACCTGGTACCTACGGAGTATATCGATGCGATACAGAATGAAATGTCTATCTGTCTATCTATGATCTATGAACTAGGTAGGTATCCTGGTAGATCTACCCAGTATATATCGACGAACAGTTCCCGTTTACTTCTCCGTCTCCACGCATGGATCCGAGAGGACGGGCATAACCAAGTGAGACAACTCAACTCAATTCATCCCCTGGCGGAAACCCACAAAACCACTGCCGTCACCCCACTCCCCGCCGCAAATACACTCACCATCGTCCCCCACCCGGCCCAGTCAACTAAAAACCCAGCGAGCAACGGCCCTAACACCTGCCCCCCCGACCAAGCAACATTGAACAACCCATAAGCTTGGGCTGTGCCGCCCTGTTTGCCAAAGATCCCAGGAATTTCTTTCTCCCTTTGTTCGACGATGCGACTGACTTCCACCATGAGCGAGACAACCTTCAGAGTTGAGGCTAGCCCTGCGAGGAAGAGGAGGATAAACAAGGTGAGTTGGTCGCGGGTGGTGTTCTGGGTTACGAGTTGTAATAGGAGGAAAGTGGGAATGTCGAGGAGGAAACCCAGAAAGGCGATTTGGCGGGCGCCGTAGTGGTCGACTGCTGCGCCTTTTGTTTTGATTAGAAGAAGAAGAAGGAGGTTATCGTGTTCCTGACGTACCTATATATGTGGATGTAAAGGACGGTGTGAACAGCGGTAGGAAGCAGAGCCCTATGCCCATGGGGCCCCAGTGGAAGATATCCATAACGTACAAAGGTAGGACCTGATCTGTTAATGTCTTTGCATGAAGGTGGACGTGGATTGGTACGCACTGTGTCAAAAGAGGAGTAGGCTATAGCCTCGACCACAGTGGCCTGCAGAACAACGAGTAACCTGCCGGAACAGAGGAGACGAATGATTCCCGGGATACGCGTGCTTCCCTTACTGAATAAGGGTTCAGCAGTGTCTTCATGTGGAGTAGGCTTGCTGGTATTGGTGCTTGCCGCCTCATACGCCCGCTCTTGATCCTCCATTCTGCCCAAAAGCCCCTCCTCTTCTACAGTTGGGGTCTGTACCCATTTGGACGCGGTCTTGTGCTCAACCATCACCAGGCGAAGAATGATATCTAGCACAATCAGAGCCATTGCCACGACGAATACCGAGTGATACCCTGTCTTGGATAACCTATACCACACAAATCTAATCAGAGCCTTCCTTAAATCAGGTTTCCAAAGAGAGAGGAGAGGGGGAAAAAGCCTACAGAACACCTCCCAGAAACGGACCGAACACAGTTCCTAGCGTCATCGCCATCGAGACATATCCCATTGCTTTCCCAGCCTGGTCCTGGCCCACTGTATCAACAATAAGCGCCATACCAACGGTCCAAACCACAGCTGCAGAAAGGCCCTGAAGAACCCGCGCCACAACAAGCGAGCTTAAGGTTCGAGCTACCCAGAACATCACGGTTGATCCACCTAGAGCGAGCAGACCAAAGAGGAAAGGAGCTTGCCGAGAGGAAGTTCTATCCGCGAAATATCCGAAGATCGCTAGTGCGGTTAATCTTGAGGTTCGCGTGGTTGTGGATGGGACTTACGAGATCCAATTAAGAGGGCACCGCCGTATGCGGCGAGAAGGATTGACATCCATTGCTGCACTGTCGACTGTTTAGCATGTACATAGCATGATGTGGGATACTGATAGTAGCTGTTATGGGGCATACATTGGTCGTTTGGGACCACTACTCTGGTCTTTAGCACTTGGGGCAGGATGGGGACAACCTAGTACAGTCAACTCTCTTCAATACCCGCGCGAGAAGCACGAAGCAAGCCCCACCATGCCATATATAAAGACGTCCTGTGATTCCACCTGGGTCAGCAAGAACCAAAATTGACTTGAATGACAGCGCGCACAGTAAAAACCGCAATGGCCACCACCCAGGTAACAAACTCCCGGGAGGAACGAACACCCAGCAACCATGGTGCGGGGCAATTCAGAGTCTTGTCAAAGTTTTGAGGCTGGTGACTAGGCCCATTTGGTTGTGATGTGCCTACCATAGCAATCGTAGTTAGGTGGTTGTAGGTGTGGTGGGGGAGGAGAGAGATAGAAAGCGAGTTAAATGGCAAATCTATTTGGTTGGCACTAACGGTAGAGAGGATGTTAATATGCTGACCCTCGGGGTAGTGCAAAAGAGAAATTCCCCTCCCATGATGGATCTGGGAAAAAAGAAATACATCTCTTCGCTAAAACATGTTCAGCTCATGCAGGGAGGTGGTAGTGCTGAGGTTCGTGAGTTCTTACTCGGTAGTTAGTAAGTAGTAGACCGCATGGTGGGGGGATCTGCGGGATGTGTGTGGGTGCAGGAAATCAGCAGTTACGAGGGCATTCTTTTTCTCAATGAGATTGTGAATCGGCGCGATCTGTATTGCGATTATGCTAAGTGTAGACATAGGGTCACACTGAGTTTGCATATTCTCTACAAGTGGGTGACTTGGTGTTCATGGGCACTACTTGGAACTGCATTTTTATCCTATCGCTTGGTCACTACACCAGAGAGAGAAGTGCAATCAACAGAAGCTGGCATTACAGCGAAATACACTAATAAGGTCATACAAGAGGCCCCGTAAATACCCACCACGCAGTAGCACATATCAGCCGTTGACATCGCATGGAACCAAAGATATAAAACAAATGGGTGACTTCCTTGGTGAGGTAGTACGAGTGGTGCTTCCTTGCTGAATTGACATATCATTTCTTTTCATTCTCTTTACGCATCGCGTTGAGTCGTAATCCTATTCGCATGGCTGTCTCGTCAACAATAACTTGAAGGGACATGGTTCCGATAGAAGAAGATGAAAAGAGACTCCACACGCCGCACCCTGACCCCCGAACAAGACAAATAATGCGAGGGCAATAATTGGACAGCAAAAAAGTAGCCGAAGTTGCCGACAATTAAGAAAGAAAGCTAATCATTCTGGGAGAATTGAGAACATGAACATGAAGCTTTCCCCTCCATACCGGCAAAGAAGGGTCATTGGTGCATAAAAAGTCATCCGCCTATTAGGGGAGAAAGTGCTCGGGAAACACAAAAAGAAAAGAAAAGGAAACAAACTTTTCAACGTTCCCGACAACGATACAAATAGCTAGACGTGAATCGTAGATCTAGCCTGCGAGAGAAAAGAAGACATGCATAAACCAAAGGGGAAATGGGAGGTGTAGAAATAAGAGGGGAGAGGGAGAGAGAGAGAGAGCCGTATGATAAAAAAAAGGGAAATGAGGAAAGAGGTAGCTATCGACATGACCAAAAGACATCCCAGCATTGTGCAAAGAGTGAAGGTGGAGGCGTGTTTAACATCAGTGTCCTGATTGCCTTGGAGGCACGATGCGCAAGGTATCTCGGACGCAGGTTCTCTTTGCAGATGGATGCGATGCCTCGGTCGAGTGACGGCTGAGTTCGAGAGGGGTATCGATGAATCTAGGCGAAGGAGCGGCCACCGCGGCGGTTGTTGCGCTGCCTTGATCCCACAGTGCTCCAGCCCTCTTCATCGGCAGCGTTCTCGGTGGATGTAGGCGCAGCCCTCCAAGAGCCGTTGGTCTTGCTGGCGGTGGCCTCCTGGGGTGCATCGGCAGTAGCGGCGGAGTCACCAGCCTCCTTACCCTGATCTGGATTGGCAGTGTTATCATTCTCTTCCTCACCGGCCCGCCGGAGGATCTCGAAGTTTTTACCACCCTGAGGAGTATCGGCAGTGTCTTGACTATTGGGATCAGCGGTGGATCCTGATTTCTCAGGCTTAGTCTGGTCCTTGGTGACTCGCTGCTTCTCTGTTTTCTCAGCCTTTGCCTTGTCATCGGCTTCCTTCTTTTGACGCAGGGTAATTTGACGTCGCTCCTCGACCTCTTTCTCCCTAGCAGCAGTGTCGATGGGCTTTGCACCACCGAAGATGCTGGACTTGGTTTCGGTACCAGCGGCGGGGCTCTCCGTCACGGTGCGTTTCTGGAGATTCAACCTGGGCCGTGTGGCAGGAGCGGCGACAGGAACAGCAGCAGGTGTGGCGGGAGATGAAGGGGCGCTAGGTTCATTAGCGGCAGGCTGAGCAGCGGCTTGATCTGGCTTCATCCTGGCCCTCCATTGATTATCAAGGTCGGCAGCAGTGGGAGTGCGCTCCTGGAATTCGCGACGAGGGGGCCGGGATCCATCTTGGGAACGTCCCTCACCCCAAGCAGGCGAGCTCCTTCTAAAGCCTGGACCTTCGTTGCTGCGAGGACGGCCGCCTTCCCTCATAGGTGGTGGAGAAAGAGGGCCTTTACGTTCCCAGTTGGAAAGATCGCGGAACTTGCCGTCACTTTCGAAATTGCTGCGACGTCCGCCGCCCATGCGTTCGCTGCCTGCGTCAGAGACATTATCGAGGTTGCGTCCGAAGGAAGAGCGCTCAGGCACACGGCGCTGAGGCGCTTCAGGGAGGGGGCCTTTGCGGGTCCAGTCAAACTCCTTCACATCACGTTCCTTGGCTGTAGTGGGGGTTAGATTTTGGGTAATATCTGGTGAGGACTTGGACACTTACGAGGCTCAGCGATGCTGACTCGGATAGCCCTTCCCTGAAGAGTTGCTCCCGAGAGATCCAGAGCCTTCTTCAGACCGTCAACAGTCTCAAATTCAACGTATCCAAAACCCTTGGGGCTCTTGGTCAACTTGTCCTCCACAATACGAACGTTCGTCACGCCGCAGTCAACAAAGAGGTCGGAGATATCGGCCGAAGCAGCATCAAAGGACAAGTTCCCGACATGGGCAGTATAGGGGGGCTGAGTGGGAAGGGGCAGAGGCTCCCTCATGGCAAAGCCGCGGTCTTCTCGCCATCGGAATCAGCATATATCCTCCAAGAACATTCGCACAAAAGGGGGGCCAAAAGTTGTACCATTAAAATTGCTTCCACCGAATCCAGACGTAGAGGGAGCAGCGGCACGACGTTCACCTCCGAAGCTGGAAGCAGCAGGGGCTGTGTGGTGTTAAAACGAGGTTACAAAAAAAACACACACACATCGATGAGTCTCTGTGGGAGGCGGTGCAGTCGACTTACCAGCTACAGAGCAGTCAGGTTAGCAACACAGACATCTAGACCGATCAGAAGGGATCTAACACTTACCAGGCAGGGGCATATCATCCATCTCATCAGCCCAGGAGCCGAAGTCTATATCATTTAGCCATAATTCGGGTGCGCGGGGAAGATCCAGGAACGTACTCTCATCGGCCAAGAAGGTCCCTATGGACATCTTCTGGGCTTTTTGCTTTGCGGGCGCTAGAGAAATCCATCGATCAGAATCAAGCAGACGACAAGAAGGGAAAGAAGATTCGATGCCCTCCGATAGAAAGTGGGCAGAGTCGGGAGGGGTTGAGACGAACCCATGATTGCGGTTGATCGAAATCCGGAAACGCGCCAAGGGAAGGACTTGTGCGCGTCTCAGACAAAAAGTCGATAGATAAAAGTAACTGAAGAGGCTTCCGACAAGGGAAGACGTTCGTGTGGATTGGGGAGGAGAAAAATGATGGAGTGCAGGAAAGCTCCGCGGTGAAGAACAGAGGGGAAAGTCACTTGGTTAATGCGTGAGGATAATTTTTAGTGATGACGCTAGAAAAGTCAGCCTCCAAAAAGTGTTGGTGCGGCCGTCGGTCTGCGCCTCGACCCAACCCCAGGGCTTTTTTTTTTTTTTTTTTTTTTTGGAGAACTCCCGGTTTTTCTTTCTTTCCGACCTTTTTCCCTTTGAGAGGAACAAATAGTAATCAAGAAGTAATTCTAAATTGAGATCAAATCTATCCCTTTTTTAGATCTATATATATTAATGAAGAACGAGTTATCGTCAACCTCCCTCCTTCCCCCGGGCGTTGATATCTAAGGTTTATTTGTTTGACCACAGTTTCTTTTGTATCCGCTTGCATGCCCTTAGCCGACAGAAGGTTCCCAGTTCCCATTCCATTCCAAATTCCCGGTATGATCGGTATTTTACTTCTCATGCGATTGTTTTGATCCTCAGTCCGGATACTTTGCTCCTGTACCCTATCTAAATCGGACAATATAATTCGGACTTATAATTATCTCATCGGAGTACGGAGTATGGCGCTGTCCACCCTCTGCCTCAGGAAGCGAATGAATCCCACGCCCTCTGATTGGTCTACCCCTTGGATTACTAACACAGATCACGTGATATAACACACATTCAGGCATCCAGGCATCCAGGAACCATCTCCACTCGGACCTTAGCTTCACAATGCTATTGTGATGCTTTTTTGTAAACATCTGATTTGCCTTTATTGCTGTTTCTCTTTGACCTGCTACTGCCTAGGTTATTGTTTTATTTCTATGGATTTTGGGTTTCGATCCTGTTGAGGGTGATCGGGTTTCATTTGTCTCCAAGCATGTGATTGAGGTTTGAGCGAATGTCGGCTAAATTGATATCAGGTTTAGACACCTGCTAGGGCATGGGTGAGGGGACGGACTTGAAAATACAGGGTTAGAAGGATGATATCCTATACTGGCATACTTTCAAACCTACCTAGGTACAAGGTCTTGCTTCGTTGGCGCAAGTGTTCCTAGCCTTGGACCAAATACTGACCGAATAAAGCAAATTTAGAGAAGATTAAGAACCGGACACTCTTTTTAACTTATAACTCTTCGCAAGATTTAGGAAGATATTGGAATAAATACGTTAACTGATCATCACGCTTCCTGATTGCCAATAATTCCAGACATAATTCTATGCGCCTCAGGCAAGGATTGCAAGGCTTTTGGCAGTGATTAGAGGCATCTAGTAAACAGACTAAGTGATATCATTAACCTGGCAGTCTTTTATTTCTGGGCTTGTGTGATGAAAATAAAATATACAAACTAAAGAACTGATAGAGTAATATATATAAGCTTTGGAATGTTTTATTGTAAAAGGTGATTTCACATAATAAATTCACACTTGCATTCACTACTAGAGAGGGGAACCAAGAAGCTTTGGCAAGGGTAAGTAGGGTAGTTAAAAAGCATGCAACATCATTCTCCCCATATATTCAACAATAACTAGTTAACCAACCAACTAACTAACTATACGACATTGCTGACCAATCCTTCGAAAGTCATGCTCTATAACCGAGCACCTTAGGAAGTCTGAATTGCTTGTGCTACAGCGGACCGAGTCGAAGCCCCAAGAGTCGGAGTAGGCAAACAAGTAGACACTTTCAGACCCTGCATAAACGCCTGCAGACCAGTTGACTGCAGCGCGTCAGGTGCCTGACTTGGCAAGCTTCCAACATACGCATTGAAATTGTATAGGCCACAAGGACAAACATCCGCAATATCCATGGGAGAGTCGCCGCTTAGTACCGTTTTGCTGGCCCGGGTAAGTGAAAAGGATTGCTTGCCAAGCCCCATGTCAACTGAGAAGACATTTGCCCCAGTCCCGGCGTCGAAAGTCTTCGAGTGATTTCCTGAAGTCACGGTAAGAGAGCCGGCCTTTGTTAGCATCGTCACCACGAAGACGGAGTCGGTCATTGTCTCCCACCCGTTAGGGCGGCCTTCGAAGTAGTTCCCAGACTGGTTGTTGGCTGGCTGCATGGTGGTGTCGGTGGCATCACAATTGAGGTTACGAGGGGTGCGTCGATACCAGTAGTAGATCTCGTTGTTGGTAATGTATTTGTCGACAGTCTCGGCGCCATCATGATAAGCAGAAATGAAGGGTTTGGCCATGTCCATCCAGCCTCCGTGAGGCCTAATCTATTAGTATTTCCTACGAGTAATTTAAATGATTTGGGAAAGGATATACTTACATATCATTGACCCACTTGGAAGAGCCGTCATCGGTATGGGGTGAGTGTAAAGGTCCGATGTAGTGAGACTCGCCGTAGTCATTCCAGCTAACAACCTCAATGAAGCGAGGTTTAAGCTGTAGGATCTCGTTCCATCGCTCGAACCAGAGGATATCGGATGGGAAAACCCAGTTCTTGCTATAGGATACCTCCGGGCCGAAGTGCGTCGAAAACCAGGGAGACACGGCTGCAGCCATCAGCATGGTCTACAACAATACACGGGTAGCTAGTAGGGGTATGGGTCCGTACGGGCAATGTAGTTGCTATCACCTAGGGCTTTCAGGTATGCCTGGTCTCCTTCCTGGACGGTCACATTTCCAGTTGCATCAGGGGCCTTGTTGTTTCCATTGTTCGGCCAAGCCATCCTAACGAATATAATATTTAGTAGTTCCTATAAATACACAACTCTAGAACGAGTTACTTACCAATTAAGCGCTCCGTCAATCTTACTAAAGTCCGTCTTCATCTCCGGATGAAAGTTTGGGGCAAAGAAAAGCTCCTCTCCTGCCGAAGACCGCATTGTGGCCACATCCAGCTGATCTCCAGCAAACGAGGAAACAAAGGTTTTCCCATCGACCTTAAGCTGGGCGGGCAGAGCGGCATACTGCTTAATTTTCTGTCCAATTTCAGCAGCCTGTGAGTCCGCATGCCACCAGTTGAAATCGAAGGAAATGAACACCTTCATCTCGTTATTGGCAGCTGATTGGTAGGCTAGTTGTAACTGTGCATCCGTATACGGATCCACACCGATGTTCAAAGCAAAGGCATCAATTCCAAGAGATTTTGCACGTTTCATGTCATCGTCATAGTCAGAGGCACTACCGCGATTGCTCACGACTCCGATCTAAGAGCGTCAGTGACAATAATAGGAACAAGACAGCCAATATACATACCATGAAATGGGCAAAGACAAGACGGCTGGAGTTATCCGTACGTGCTATATGGTTTGTATGCAAGCCAATGGAGCGTGCATGTACAGCCCCGGGAATGACAACAGCGAGTAGGGAAAGAAGGAGAGATAGCATATTGTTCTACAATGCTTTTTGCTGAAAGTGTGGTACCTCAGTATGGTTCTCCAAAGAATTGATTCGACTTGGACTGTGTCCCAATGGGGTATTCTAACTTCAGAAACTTGTGAAATAGATAGAGATCGTTAGTAGAAACAGTCAATTGTCGGGTCATCGTAAAGACTCTCGCTCAAGCGACTCTTATTGAGCAAATTTTTCTCTTTTTCTACTCCAGTGTACTCTGGTACAAGCTCTGTATAAAGTTCTACAGGCGGGAGTAGTATGATAGATTCGCGTGATGGATATAGCTGACCCGGATCCTGGAGATCGACAAGGCCAACTTGAATCTTTCACAGGCTAAAGTTAAGGATCATTACATCTTATTACCCCGGTCAGTTAATAGAGGCATATTTGCGTCTTCATCTGCAACCCCACGAGGTCTTGAGTCCGGGGAATGTGGGGGTCACACGATCGCTTCCGGAAGTATTGCATATTTCAGCGACTATTTCCGGCAGAGAGACAAGGGAAAACAAGATTTATGACGGAGATACTCCCGAACTGGATGGTGCATCTGAATTGTTCTGTTATTATATGCCCTCTAGGGTTAGTGACTAATGATGCCCGGTGTCGGGCGATGTATATACCTTATGGGAAAACAGGGGGTTTTTGACATAGTGGATCTATTATAGATGCACAATGGAAAATTAGAAATATGTCTTTAAACGTTATACAGGATCAGGATTCATCGTACCTAAAGTAGGTTATGTATTAATAAAGAAACATAGATTTTAAAAGGAATATGCCTAAGAAGACATATCATTAGTAGTGCACTTCAAGTTGATGTTCTTACTTCCATATTAGGAAATCCAGCGGAGTATAAACCCCCCCCTCTTCTTTTGCATCTTTCTCCTCTCTACCTCCCTCCGAACCCAACAATAGTGATTTGCGTTGTCCTCTGCTTGTTGAAAACCGAGAATCGGCCGTTTGCTGGCTTCAATGAGCACTGTAGCTTGATTTGTATAGCCTTGAATCGATCGAAGTCTAGTGCCTATCTTGATAGTCTCGTTTCTAAGGTGTTGGTATAAGAACAGTTCCGCAGCACCCACCCGAGCTTTCTTTGCCCCGCCAATTTCCGCTTCTTTTCATTGGGGGGAAACATGCTCGTATACCGTCTTTATTCTACCAAGATTGCATCAGCTGCGCTCATATCAATTGATGTCACCAGTTCAGTCTTCCCTGACCAAATACCGTCGAGTGTAGCTAAACCTGCGGGAATACCGCACCAGGAAGAGGAAATGATTCAAGTCCTTGGCCATGCATACAACAGTCCGACTCGCAGTCGGTGTCGCATCTGCGCGCGTGGCGCTGCAGACTCCGTAAGCCGCGGGCATCCAGATGGTCGAGCCAGCTACTGTACCAATCCAGAAACTCCGGAATCGAGTCGAACCGCAGCCGGCGGCCGTACAGCACTCGCGGGCCCCAGGTGTTCGGCTCGGGGTCCAGAAATACCACCCGCCACGCCCAGTCCTGGATCCGTGGGGCGTCCGGAATCTGTTCTGTGTTTAGCTTCGCATCCCCCCGCTGCTGGCAGTAGAGATAGGTACTATACCACCCCGGCCTTCACCTCCAGTTCCTCAGCGTGGAGACCCACACTCACCATCGACTTATTAACCAGATCCCCCATCACCCCGTCCCCCGCCAGGTCTTTCTCCAGATTCTGGTGCGCCCGGGCGCCTCCCGCCCGTCCTCAGCCACCCATGCCTCGGCCTGCCGCTGGAAGACGTGCTGGAGGGTATCTAGGAACAGCTCGCGGGCTGTGTCGGTCCGCAGGCGCGGCGGGATCACCCCGTCCATGGCAACCGGGAGGCAGGTGTCAGCCACCGCAGGGATGTCCACCAACCGGAGGATCTAATTCTCCCGGCGGGCTTCGTCTGCACCGTCGCCATGCTCGGACAGCGCCGCATTCTCATTGATCATGTCGTCGAAATGGCGGTAGTCCATCATCTTGCGGAATTTGGCGCGTTCGGTCGCCAGGCCCCGGGCTTCGATCTCATCGATGGGGTCCTGCATGAACTTGCGGTTTGCCACGGCCATCCGGGTCCGGAATCGCTCCAGAGCCTGGTGTATGACCTGTTCCGTGTCCACGAGAGACGCCATCCTTGGAGAAAAAGTGGTTTTTTTCTTTCTTTCCTTCTTTTTTTTTTTTCGTTTCGCGCCGGAAAAGTGAAGCAGGATTTGTTCGCTAGTTATTTTTCTTTTTACTGGCCGGCTTTTGCAGGTTTATACGGGAGGTTCTTTATTAGGCAAAAAAGGTCTTGGGGAGAAAGCTCAAGGAGAGATAGAGCGTGCTAAAAGCACCTCAGGTATTACTATAAATTAAAAAACAGGGCGGCAACGCGGAGGAGCTACTCCGTAATCAGATCAGGGAAGGTATAGTTAGTTATTTGATTTTATACTCCGTATACTAAAACTAATGCACTAACTAGGTATATATCAGACTGTGTAACCTGAATTTTATTACTTTATAATAGTTTTATATTTATCTTGTTTTTTGTTGGAGTGCTGCACTCAGTGAATGCAACCAGCACCACCATAAAGCAGATAGCGACACGTGACTACCCAGTGTATTTAAGCCACCGTTTCCTTCTAGATCTCCATGCTTCTTCCAAGCATCTCTCCTTCTCTCTATTTCCTAGTTAGACCCAATTGAATCCATTTCGGTCAACTTTCTACCGTCATAGTTTGACGACCTCTCATCATTTTTTAACTTTTATGTTTTCATTTCTTTATTTTTTAATTAGTGCCTGCTTTTCCTCTAATCTCCGAAATCTACTTTGATCCTTTGTCACAGCTCTCTGGAAGGGACGCCTTCATGAGGAATTCTGTGTATAATTTAATATTATAGCTGATTGACAATATATATCTTATCATCAACATCCAAGATCACTTTCCCACCTTCAACTTTTGTCTTGTTGATGGTGATATATTTACAGGTAACATACCTAATCTAGGTAGGTACCTACACCAACCCTCCCAGGTAAAGAATCAATCACAAACTTATTCAACGAACTCAGATAAATGGTGGTCCTTCCAAAAACAAAGAAATAATATCAACATGAAAACACAACAAACATAGGTTAGGTATACAATAAAATGAAAGGCTTTCCTAAGTGGATAAAGGGTTATGAAACCAGGAGCTACTTACTGAGATAGTATGTCACGCAACCATTCTGGCCTGAGTAGACAAATATCCCGCCATAGTAGGTAGCATTCATAATAGGATCATCACGACTCCAAGATCTCCTGGATCCAGGTTAGGATATCGGCGCGGGTGTGGCAACCGGTCTCTACTATGTATATTGTTCGCAAGTACTAGGTACATAAGTACATACTTGGACTTGAACTTCTTGTAACTATTAGATTATCTATCTAAGGTACATAAGTATATAGATAAATTACTTCATATTCTAGAGATTTGAGTTATAACTGAACCGTGGTTGAAAAAATTAGACATGCTATGCTTTCTTTGAAAGGATATGACCACAACTTCACAAATATTTAAATCTATAAGGTATTATCTACGATATTTTATTGAGTATACTATAGCTCCACCTTTGCCCCCGAAATATCAACATGATACCTACGAAACACGGTAGATCCACCAGGGCAAAAACCCCCGGTTTCCCCGTCAGGTAGTATACGCGCCGATAATTTAAGCCGAATAGATCTCGAAGCGCCTGCTCTCGCATATAATGATCTGGCAATCCCCACGACGTTTGGTTTCAAGTCCATGGTTAGGCTTTCAATTGATATATAATACCTTTTTGTTATATTCACAGCGATGGGTTTCTTCACTCGATGCTGTGCGGCGGCCCTTCTCCTGGCTGGCGCACTCCCAGCCTATACACTACCAACACTCGGTAACCACCAAAGCAGGGCCATTGCTCCTTACTCGAGCAAAAACTCGACTAGATATGTCGCAGCTCATTTTATGGTAGATGTTCCATCCTAGTTTGATTACACTAGACTAACGTGGCCGAAGCTGGGTGTTGTAGAGAGCTATACGGTTGAAGATTGGAAAGGCGATATGAATCTGGCCAAAGAGATTGGCATCGATGCATTTGCACTCAACTGTGCGAGTATTGACTCGTATACACCCAAGCAGTTAGCAAATGCATACGAAGCGGCCTCTCAGGTTGACTTCAAAGTGTTCATCTCCTTCGACTTTGCGTACTGGTCCGATGACAATACCGCGCAAGTTACCGCGTACATGCAGAACTATAGCTCCCATCCTGCGCAGTTACAGTACAACGGCGCCGCTCTGGTTAGTACTTTTATCGGAGACAGCTTCAAATGGCAACCTGTCAAAACTGCGACCCAACTTTCTGTCAAAAGTGCTAGACAGCGTTCGATTGTCGTGGTGCCAAATATCCGGAATCCCTCCTGGGCCGGCGCTGAAAACACTAATGACATTGACGGAGCCTTCTCGTGGTACGCCTGGCCCACCGACGGCGATAACAGTATTGTCCCTGGGCCCATGACAACTGTGTGGGATGAGAGGTTTCTGAAAAATCTTGGGGATAAGGTTTACATGGCGCGTAAGTTAAGCGCCTTTACTGCTTTCTTTGTTATAGTTGGTTGTTGGTTTCAGCCACCAAATCTCTTTCTTTATTGTTTAATGAACAGGATGCTAAGTTGAAACACTACAGCTGTTTCACCTTGGTTTTCAACACACTTTGACTCAAAAAACTGGGTTTTCATTTGCGAAGACCTTATCACCGTCCGATGGGAGCAAATGCTATCTATGCAACCAGATCTCATTGAGATTATAACATGGAATGGTGCGTTTACCCCCACTACCCCCACTTCAAAAAAAAAAAAAAAGGATTGTTAATAGTATTCGCAAATGCTTACCACCATCAACAGACTACGGCGAATCCCACTATATTGGTCCCTACTCTACCGCTCACTCTGATGACGGCTCATCGCAATGGGCAAAGGGATTCCCCCATGACGGCTGGCGTATTATCTCTAAGCCATACATCGCCGCATACAAGTCAGGCGCAAAGACTCCTGTTGTCGAATCAGATCAGATGGTGTACTGGCACAGACCTACTCCTAAGGGTGTGACCTGTTCCAAGGACCCGGTTGGTCCGCCGAATGGGGTCCACATGCTCTCGGACAGTATCTTCGTCACAACCCTGCTTACCGAACCGGCTGTGTTGACAGTGACTAGCGGCTCTCAGAGCGCGGTTTCGGTTGATGTGGCCGCTGGGATTGTGACGACTAATTTCACCATGGGAGTTGGTAAGCAGTCTTTCTCTGTTACTCGGAGTGGAAAGGAGATTATGGGAGGGGAGGGAGGGCTGGAGATCAAGGATAGTTGCGACTACTATAACTTTAACGCTTATGTTGGGTCGTTCAACGCTACGAAGACTGGGCGGCTAGGGGATGGCCGATGTAGGTGAGGGTGGGTTGAAAAAGATACAGAGTATTTGTTATGATTAGACACGATTATTTCACTGTACATATTAAGGGGTCATGTTCTTCTATTCTATATCAATTCTATGCACATTTTCTCCTTCACTATTGAAAAGTCCCTGTAGAGAATAGCATAGAGCTAAGATAAAATAATATCCTATGATAGTCACCGATCACAAGAGACATTTAGATGGAGGATAAGATAGATCTCTTTCCATCATTAAGCGGCATTCGGTTATAATATTACGGAGTACTGACGCACTGAATGCCCTGTGTATAGGAATACGGTTTGAGATGGATCATCACACTTGTGCTATTCCAAATTAAAGGCTCTACTTCAGATTACGCCACTCTTGGTCCTAGCAATTATGTAGAGTAAAGGAGGAGATTCCCTGCATGACTGGTGATCATATCTCTATCTGTATATCACGTCAATTGGAATGTCAAGGCACCGCATGCCTTGGACTGTTGGCCATGAAATATCGTACTCTATGGCATATGCAACAGAGACTCAAATTAGGTGGGTAAGATCGAGATATACCCAAATAACCACAAATAATCCTTTCCAAGCAATTCCAGATCCTGTCCAGAAGAGCGGCAATATCCCAATCAAGAGAGATTACCATACTCCGTAGTAGCGCCAGCTGGACTTGACGGGGAATGAATAGATTGGGTGCATTTAACTAATGAGCAAAGAACTTTATTTGTGGGAGTAACAATAACTCTTGTGTTTTGAAACAGCCCTACTTTTAATCAGAAACCAATAATATTTATTCTTGTACTCTATTATTTCAACGGGCGCTAAAAAAGATCCAGGTACCTGAGGTCCTATGGAAGGTACCTAACGGAGCCCGAGAGTGGTGGGCCCCTCCTGGTGATTGGAACGGCGCTTCGGGTAAATGGCTGCTCCGGTAAGAGGGCCATATCCTTCCTATCCTCCTCTTATTATTCTTAGTTAGGACAACCATCACAGTTAGCAGAGTTATTCAACACTAGCCGCATAAGAATATCGTTTTTCATTCGTTCTCATCTACTATCTTTACAGTAGTAGCTGGATCCTTCCATCTGGGGCTCTCATTACGCACGAAAGTAATCCTATTCGTCCTCATCATGGTGGTCAACCTGTGTTACCTACACAGTACTCCGTATAGTACGGAGTAGGCACGCAGCCAGAAAAGAACCCAACGATTCGGCGTGGAATTTCTTGTGGTTCAGCTCGCTGCAGTTATACGAGTGTGCTTAATGCCGTAAAGAAAGTGACTACCACTTGAATTTTTGCAAGCGCCATCTGGGAGGAGTATCAGACGGAATGATTGTGAACGGCCCCCATTAATTGGCGGGTGCCATTTCATGATGGAGTACCTCGCAGGGATTGTGTTTGCAGCCCTGTCAAGGCCCACGTCTGAGCGCGATCATGCCCGACGTCGCCAATGTTAAGAAGCTGGCAAAGAGGGGCTGTGTATGTACCCATTCAGCCCGGCGGCAAAGTGAAGCTCTCCATGAAATGACTGCCTGTTCCTGTGCTCAATAAATGTCTTGGAGCAGCCCTTATAGAGCCGACAACGACAATAGAAAATACATTTGCAGACCGGTTTTCAAAGGAGGCAATAAACAGTTGCCCCTGGCTCGGTAGTGAGCATGTCAGACCCTGCGAGATACACCATAGGCTGGATTTGTGCCATACTCACCGAATATGTTGCCGCAAAAGTAACCCTAGATGAAACACACGAAAAACCAGCTTCCCTGTCACCAAATGATACGAACAACTACACGTTAGGCAAAATTGGGAAACACAACGTCGTTATCGCCGTTTTGCCAGATGGAGAATATGGACCAGATTCTGCCGCCAGCGTGGCAACGAGCATGCTGCGCAGCTTCCCTAACATCAGAATTGGCCTTATGGTCGGGACCGGTGGCGGGGTACCTAGTGAACAGCATGACATTCGTCTGGGCGATATTGTTGTGAGTGCGCCTTGCGGTGGTACGAGTGGTGTGTTCCAATACGACTTTGGCAAGTCCATCCAGGGCCAGGGCTTTGTGCATACACGGTTCCTCAACCAGCCCCCTACTGTACTGCGCACTGCGATCACAGAGATCCAGGCACGGTATGAGATCGAGGGACATCGGCTTGTGGAGACTGTCAACGAACTGATAAACAAACACCCGACGCTACGACAAAAATACGAACGACCACAGTCAAGCACCGACAGGCTATTTAAATCTCAAGTGACTCATCACGCAGGAGGCTGTGGAATTTGCGCGAAAAACCCCTTGGATTTAGTATCGCGACGCGAGCGAACCGAGAATGACGATAACCCTACCATACACTACGGCCTGATTGCTTCTGCCAACCAGCTGATGGAAGATGCTTTGATTCGAGATCGGCTAGCAGCAGAGAAAAACGTTCTTTGTTTTGAAACGGTAGCCGCAGGGCTGGTGAACGATTTTCCCTGTCTGGTTATTCGAGGCATATATAACTACTCGGATTCTCACAAGAGTAATGAGTGGCAGGGGTATGCGGCTATGGTGGCGGCTGCCTACGCCAAAGACTTGTTGCGTGAAATCATACCGAACACGGTCGAGGCTGAGAAGAGGATCGGTGGCATTCTTTCTGGTTAGTTGGGCAGCCCAATACCCATTCACTATATTAATAATAACCGATGCAATAATGATAGGTCTCCAGGATGTAGCGGAAGAGCACAAAAACATTTCACAGAAACAGCTTGATTTACAGGAAAATGAAGTCAAGCAGAGGTTGTTCGACAGGCAATTAGAGTGCCTTCGTCTGTTCCGTCTCACCTCCAGCGCCGACGACACTACATATGAGTGGTACAAGGATCGTGTGCAAGCTCGAGTTCCAGGCACGTGTGAATGGTTCTTAAAGCATGAGACTTTCCACCAGTGGCTAGAACAAGATTCTGGGCTGTTGCTGGTGTCAGCGGACCCAGGCTGTGGAAAATCTGTCCTGACTAAATATCTGATTGATGAAAACCTGCTACGTTCAGAAACAATCTGCTACTTCTTTTTCAAGTCTCAAGACCAGGATACAGTCCGCCAAGCACTTTGTGCTCTGCTCCACCAACTCTTCATCCGAAAGCCGCTCTTGATCGAATATGCTATGCCAGAATTCGAGAATAACGGGCGTGATATGATCAATTCGACAATATCTCTCTGGACTATTCTGGAAAACGCAATACGAGATCCACAGGCCGGACCTATAACCATTGTTCTCGATGCCCTGGATGAATGTACTGAGTTTGAGATTTCAGGCCTGATACCAAGGATAAAGAGTCAATTCCGCAACAGCCACTCAGGTTATAGCAGGTTAAAGTACCTTTTCACAAGCCGGCCATATGAACAGATCATGGGAAAGTTCCAGAGCCTACTAGAATCATTCCCCTATGTTCGTATACCAGGAGAAGAGGAGTCGACACAGATTAGTCAAGAAGTCAAACTTGTTATCGAGGATCGGGTCGAGCGGCTAGCGCGAGAGAAGGATCTCTCAGACCAGGTGAAACATCACTTAAGAAAGAAATTGCTCGACATTTCGCACCGTACCTATCTCTGGGTATACCTTGTTTTCGACTACCTAGAGAGAGAACATTTTAAAAAAACACCAAAAGGGATCGATGACACTATCGCGACCCTACCCAGAAATATCTATGAGGCATATGAGCAGATTCTTAAGAAGTCAAAGCAAGACCACAGAGTTCGGAAGGCCTTGAGCATGATTTTGGCAGCAAACCGGCCATTGACCGTCTCTGAAATGAATGTGGCATTAAATGTTGACAGGGAATCAAAGTCTCTTCATGACCTTGATCTAGAGGAAGATAAAGACTTCAGGTCCCGCCTCCGAAATTGGTGTGGATTATTCGTGTCAATCCATCATGATAAGGTTTATTTTCTTCATGAAACTGCTCGAGAATTCCTGCTTGTACAGACGCCGGCCCCACCACCCACAATTCCTTCAGAGTCGCGTTGGTATCATTCCATCAGCAGCCAGGACGCACATAGAGTTCTTGCGGAAGTCTGCGTGTTGTATCTTGACATTCTTAACAATGAATCTTTTCTCGATGCAAAGAGAGAAGATCATCAATTACTCGACTTGTATACTTTCTTGGATTACTCGGCAAAAAATTGGGGTGCCCATTACCTTGAAGCTAGCTCTAGCATGTGTGCTGACTTAATTTCTTCTGCGTTAAGCATATGTGATCCAAAATCAAGGAGCTGGTCTGCGTGGTTCAAGACTTATCGAGAGAGTAAAGACCGGGGCCCCCCTAACACCTTCACCAGCCTCATGATATCATCCTATTTTGGACATGTAGATATTGTCAGGCTGCTGCTTGAGCAGTATACTAACATAGAATCCAAGGATACTTTTGGACAAACACCACTATCATGGGCAGCTAGGAATGGGCATGAGAGTGTTATCAGACTGCTGCTTGAGCAGAATGCTCATATGGAATCCAAGGATACTTATAGACGAACACCACTATCATGGGCAGTTAAGAAGGGGCATGAGGATATTATTAGGGTGCTACTTAGGCAGAATGCTGATATAGAATCTAAGGTTAATTACCATGAGTAAACAGCAAGTTAAAAAGATTATAGAGTATCTTGAAAGTAAAGTACTATACTATTTATTTTCTTTTTTCCCTTATAATAAAGGATTATTTAATAAACTCTTATATATTCTAGTCTCTTTTTAAAATAAGGGCCTGGGCTACTAAATTTATTTATTTATTATAGAGATACTTTATCAATTTCTAGCTCTAGCTTGCCAAAGACTGATATCATGATGATATTTATAGGCATGGTAATTTTTAAATTATTTCTATATAATTTCCTTATTTTTAGGTGATCAATTCATGCTAATACTCTATAATTTTAATCATTATCTACTGATCTAAGGGGTTTATAGCAGAATTCTTTATTCACAGGAAACATGCTACTACTTAATAGAGCCAGGATTAAACAACGCCCCATTCTTAGCTGGTACTACAAAGGGACACATCTACAGTTCACTAGCAGAATATTTACTCAGGCAAGTCGTCCTCCGAGGAGGCCATCAATCTTCTCCCATGGCCGCATCCCAGCCCTAGTTCTATGGTGTCAAACCGGCAGGAGGACAAACGTATGTCTTGATGCCGGGGTCGTCTGCAACATGTGAGTTTCGCTGTGTCAACTATTTGGATCCCTAATTACCGTCAATTCCAGGGCTTTCGCGGTAAGTATGCGAGCTACTAGAACAGCTTGGGCTAACAGGCTCGGTGAGGCTTTCCATCCAGCGGTTAACGGGGGTTTCTTTAGTCTGGGAAGACTGTTTTACTTCCTCCATCCTCTGATTTCTCGGCCTCAGAAGGTCTGATCTCGCTCGTACCATCATTCTGAGGGTTTCTTTGAGGAACATTTTGTCTCTGGCCATAGGAAGATGACAATCTCGCTTGAGATGTTGAATGTGTAAGACATGGTCGAAGATGGGACAGACTGGAGGAGAAATCGGCGATGGGGGTGTAAGAGAAGGGGGGGGGGGGGATGATATAGCTATGGCAGTCAAGCTTTATACCAGTGACAAGGCAGCCTCCTCCACAGTGCACCAGATGATGTTCCTGACGTCTATCTTTAGGCCATGGCAGTCATGAGTTCAAACTGTCCCCTTATTACTCACCTAGAATCCTCAGAACCAAACCATTTAATGCGTCTCGAGCTGAGATGGTCCTGCAAGCATGGAGATTCTGCCTTGAATATATGTTCTATAACAGTTTGGGACTTATAGAAGCTAGTCAAGTGTATATCACAGTCATGCATGCACTTACTCTTATATCACAGCTACTGATATATGTGCCAAATTAGAACTGTTTACTGTTCAATGCACTACTCCCCAGAACTGGTAGTCTCTCATCCAATTGCTCTTTTTGCGTGCCTGACGTTAGTGCCAGACGAAAGACCGAACCCGGCCTCGAGAGAAAATAAAAGGGCAGCTGGGTCTTTCCTAATGGCCTTCACTCCTCTTGTTGAAAGCCAGTCCTTTTACAGCAATGACAGAGACTCTTATTACCGAAGCGTTAAATCCAAGCCAGGGTATTATTACCTATGATTTCTTGACGGTAGTCAATCTTTACTAATATCTTACATAGCCATGGATCTCGGACGCTCAAAGAAGCATAACTATACCATCGTCACTCGTGTTCAGCCTCGCCGTGGGCTTTTATTCCTGTTTCTTCCTTTTATCTACCCCCCTGGTCCACCTTTGTCGTCTTATAGTGGGATCAGGCGAGTTAGCCAGAATCGAAAGATCGCCGTTTTCATTGTTTCCTCCCCCCCCTTTACTCGTACCTGAAATCGAACCCGTCAGTACGGAGAAGTTGGGTTGTTATACTCTCTACGATGCCATGATCTTATACCAAGTAGACTCCTTGTAAAGAGCTCTCTTAACCCAGCACCGACCAATTGCCGCGTAAATCCCAAGTAGTTGTACAGAGTGCATATACATATATATAAGAAACCAATTGTATTGTTTACACATATCCCAACACCATACTCCAATCAACGCCTACTATACATCCATCATCCATTCGCCAGTCCACATATCAAACCGCAATCCTATACTCATACAAAGGTTATACATAGGTACTCGTCCTTAGGTACCTAGGTATCAAGCACAACTGTCCTCGTATCTAATCGTCCTCTTCTTCTTCCTCCATCTTCCCCAATGTATAAGCAAGCCCACCACCCACCAAATTAGCCAAACAAAGACCCATAGTTGCCCCGCGTACAATTCCCCGCGCACCCCATTTCTTCATGAACGGCTGCTTCCGCCGTCCCGCTAGGAGAAGATACAGCCCGGACCACGCGGCACTAATACCGGCGCTATCGGTTTTGAAACCCTGCAGGCTTGCGTAGCTTGTGAAGAGGAGAACTGGAGGAAATATCATCGGGAGGGGCTGGAAGGGGCGCATGTGTTGAGCGGTGATGAGGGTGGCGAGGAGGGTGGGAGCGAAGGAGTTCTCTGGTAGGTAAGGTAGATGTTTTGTAAGATAAATAATATAATATGGAGGTATGGATGTTAAATTAAAAGGGAGATATATAGATAGATAGATAGATAGATAGAGAGGGATTGTGTTGTGTAGGATGTGTGCTCACCTCCCCATGCTCTGGCTTTTTGGGCCAGCGTCTGCTTGGTTTGTTCTATTGGCGACTCTGCACCCATGTTGAGATAGCTTAGAACTGGTTCAATAGATATGAATGTAGAAGTAAGAATAATCAATTAAAATAATTATAAGGAAGTAGAGCTTGGAAAGGGACAGTAGTTAGGTGAAGTAAGTACCTGTTATTTTTTTTTTAGTTAGTTGCATGTAACTACTTACTAAGGTCCCTCACTCATCCGAACCTTAGCGCAAAGAACGAACCTCCAGAATCTCACCACGTTTATTTATCAATCGCCATCCATTCTTCTCCAGATCTCGCTCAGCTCCTTGTCATCTCAACACTGTGGATCTCACTGGTCACTCCACCCGCCTTTCTTGAAGAGCAATCCTACCAGGTGGGAAAAAAAAAAACAGCTTTCGTCGTCCTCTGGCTTGATAGTGTCGAATTCTCCCCGGTTTTCGCCCCCTCCTCTTTCCCGACGGTAGTGTACACACCACCACCAGCATTTCTATTAGCTCTTGAAAGAACGGGGGAAACAAAGAGAGGAAAAGTTGGCAGAGGGAGGGATATCATCGCTCTTCTAGAGATAGACTTCTCCCGACAGGGTTACCTAGAAGGTCCTGCTCGGTAACTTAAAACAATCACCTTCGCCATGCCCTCTGCCGCGGCTTCTGGGGCGGACGTCGGAGGAGGCTCAGCGAAATCTCGCGAGCATAATCAAGGAAACCAGGAACGGAAATACACACCGGATCAGAAGGCGGCTGTGATTAGGATACGAAAATGCTCGACGACGGCGTTTTATGAGATTCTTTGTTTGGAGACGTCGGCGACCGATGGCGAGATCAAGAAGGCTTACCGCAAGCTGAGTTTGTTGACACATCCTGATAAGAACGGGTACGACGGTGCGGATGAGGCTTTTAAGAGTGAGTTGGACATTACCTGGCCCGGTTCCCTTGCCGGCGGATTTGGGTTTGATTGCTTGATTGGTCATGGGGGTGCTAACGAATTGTATTGTAGTGGTCTCGCGTGCGTTCCAGGTCCTTTCGGACCCGGATAAAAAATCCAAGTATGACAAGTTCGGAGGAGACCCCGATAGCAGGTTCCAACCGAGTGCTGGTCCCTCCGGCGCGTCGCCGTTCAGCGGGTTTTCAGCTGGTGGTGGTGGATTCCCCCGTGGAGGACCGATGTTTAATGAGGAGGTATCGCCGGAGGAATTGTTTAATCAATTCTTCAACGGTGGGTTTGGCGGGATGGGAGGTGGATTTGGACCTTTTGGTACGTTCTACAGTATGGTATGACTTGGGGAGATGGGTTACTAACAGTCAACTGTCTTTTAGGCGGTCCTCAGTTTGTTTTCAACATGAACGGCGGCCCTGGGTTCCGGGTTCACCAGTTTGGAGGTTCTCGACCCCGAAGACGACCGCACGATACAGATGCCCAATCTGAGCCGCAGCCCTCGATCCGGGCTACGATTCAACAATTATTGCCCCTTATTCTCCTATTCTTGCTCCCTCTGCTCTCATCCTTCTTCTCCGGCTCACCCGCCCCGGCTGGCCCGACCTACCGATTTGACGCCGCTGTACCTCCTCACACCATGCAGCGAACAACCCCCAAACTCCATATAGACTACTTTGTCAACCCGAGAGACGTGGACGACTACAATACACGGAGTTTCCGCAAGCTAGATCAGCGAGTAGAAGTGGACTATGTTACCAAACTGCAATACAAATGCGAGGCTGAAAAGGACGCCCGTGACCGAATGATTCAAGATGCTCAGGGCTGGTTTTTCCCAGATGTAGAGAAGATGAAGGCGGCCAGAGAGTTGGAGCTCAAGAGTTGTCGCCGATTAGACTCCTTGAAGGGAAAATTTTAAACTAACGCCCAGATGATGCACATTTTTATTATCTCTTCTTCTTCTTCTCCCCCCCCCCTTCCTTTGTCATTCGACTGCTTTCCTCCTATGTAATTTTCTTGCCTGTGTTACTTCTCCGGCCGCTGCTTGTTGTTTAGATATCAATGACTGTGATAGTATTTGACGGCGTTGCATGGACTGAACATGTCTCCCAAATCAATGATATTCTGATGTCCTCTTTTAAGAGCATCCAGCTTTGTCTACGAATGAAAGAGAAATAAAACCAAAGTAAAGAAATCTAGTATCAGCTATGTAAAAGCCAACGGATAAATTGAGCCCCGGGATTGATGAAACTGCGGGCGGCAGTTTAGTTAGTAAGAATCAATGCGGGCGAATCTCAGCGACCATGGCAGAATCTCGCCTGATGACTCGCGACCCTCTGCCTGCCTGCTTCCCCGGCCAGCTCTTCCCTTCGTTGAAAATTTTTGGGGGATCTCTGATATTCTTTGCTTTGGTATATCGTTTCTCTCTTGGGGCTCTCTCCATCCTCTTGTCTCCATTCACTTGCGAAATAAGAAGCTCCTCACTTGGTGCGGGCACCCGTACCTCCCACTTTTGATCAGAGATGTCAGATAACCTCTCCGAGGCGGATAAGGTTGGTTCTGGTCTTTGGCTCTAGGCCTCATATGACTGCGTGGAGGAGTGGGAGGGTAACTGTTTTGTCTACAGATCCGCAATAAGCGCCTAGCAAAGCTGGGGAATCCCTCGCCTTCGGTGCAATCCGCAAGTGGTGAACAGTCACCAACTCAGTCCGCAGCGTCTTCGCGACCTACTCCTCCGTCCCAAGCATCGGAAGCATCACAGCCACATTCTAATAAGAGCAGCGCCCCTGCCTCTCGCTCGTCCTCCCCGGGTGCAGCACAACGACCGGGATCAGAAGGGAAACGGATCAAGATCACCCCCACAAGTTCAGTGCCAGTCCGGCCACGGTCCAGCACACCCATCGCCAACACTCCACCACCCCCCAAAGCAGAAGACACTATCGAATCGTTCGAGGATCGCACATTAAGCGCCGTGTTTAAACTGACATTGAATGAAGACCGACAGACGGATGTCCATGGGCAGAGATTATCATTCCTTCCTGGGTTACGGGGGGAACTTGAAGATCAGAAGCGGAATCTCCGTATTGATACGTCGGTTTTGGATCAGGCTCTTCTGGAAGCGGCGTCGAATCAGCCGGAGCAGAAACCGCTGGACTACTTAATACCGTGTTGGAAGCGGATTACAAGACTGCACAAAGGGTTTCGTCGCGTTCGTGACGATGACCCCAAGTTCAAGGTGATATGTGAGGCTCGTCGGCTGTGCATGAGCTACTGTATTTTTGCCATGACGATGCCGGAGATGTTCGGGTGCGTATTTGCTCTTTATTATGAGAGAATAGGCGTGTGGTGGATTGGATTACTGATTCTGCTGCGCGTAGGCTGGAACCATCCGATCAATCCCCCATTAGGCCCTATCTTCTCTTAGACCCGGAAGATGAGAAGGGAGTGGACATTGAATTCATGGGCGAAGCAGTCAAGCGGTTTGAGGAAGACGAGACTATTAAGCCGGCTTTTATTGCGGCAGTAGAGGGGCTGAGTCAAGAGCTTGCCTCCATGAGCATCAGTGACGATTACAAGCCATATATGACAGTATGTTTTAAGCCAGCCTCTCCTCATCTATCTATGACCAGTTCCTCAAACCTCAACTGCAGGCTCTGCGAAATCTCGTTCATAATGCCGCCCTCGCGGCTGCCATTACGGAGTCATCCTTCTTTAACGAGTCTCGAAACCCGGTCTCGTTCGAGGTGGACACGCTTCTCGGACCGTGGTTCCGCCTATCGCCCTTACAACCCAGCGCTATGATGTCGTATTTCTCAAGTCCCAAGACAAGAGATCAGTCATACATTCTCAATGCGCAGCGGTCAATCCGCATGGTGCAACAGTTGCTGAGCTCCGATCTCCTTGATATTATCAACCACATGATTCGAGCTTCGAAAGACGCGAGAGACAGGGTCTTGGACTGGTTCGCGGCAGCTTTGAATATTAACCACAAGCGTCGGGCAATGCAGGTAGATCCCAGCACTGTGTCGTCTGACGGGTTTATGTTCAATCTGACCACTTGTTTGGACCAACTCTGTGAGCCCTTCATGGATGCCAATTTTACCAAGGTAAGTCTCTTGGGATGAAAAATAGTAAGGTTGCATAAGCTAACGCTTAAATAGATTGACAGGATTGACATTGACTACCTACACCGAAACCCTCGTGTGGATATCAAGGATGAAACCAAGATCAATGCCGACCAACACGCATCTGATGCCTTTTACTCGAAGAAAGCAGATGGTGCATCTAATTTTATCACTGAGATTTTCTTCCTGACAGTTGCTGCTCATCATTACGGAAGCGAGTCTCTCACATCCAACTTGGAGACCCTTGAAAAGGATCTGAAGCACATGGAAACTACCCTGGCTAAGTTTGAAGCAGAACGCCATAAGTGGGTGAACAATCCTGCGCAGTTAAGAATTTTTGAGACCCATCTCAAGAAATACAAAGACAAATTGGATATGGGCCTTGCCTTGAAGTACAGTCTTCAGGGTGTGTTATTTGATGACCAATGGCAGTACCGCTCTATGACATTTATGCGTTATGTGATTGTCTGGCTCCTCAGGGTAGTTTCGGGCAAAAATTTCCCGAAGGAGGAGATCAAACTGCCACTTCCTGCGCAACAGCCTGAAGTCTTCCAGTGTCTACCTGAGTACTTCGTGGATGACATTGTGAGCAATTTCAAATTCATCATGTGGTGCATGCCTCAGATCATCACTGCAACCCAAGGCGATGAGCTGGTCATGCTTTGCATCGCCTTTTTAGAGAGCTCAGAGTACATCAAAAACCCCTATCTCAAAGCCGGTCTTGTTTCCATCTTGTTCCGGGGGACATGGCCTCGCCCTGGTGGCGCGAATGGTGTCCTAGTGGATCTTCTGAACTCTATGCCTTTTGCTAATGAATACTTATTACACGCCCTTATGAACTTCTACATCGAAGCCGAACACACCGGAACACACACTCAATTTTTTGACAAGTTCAATATTCGATACGAGATATTCCAGATTATCAAATGTATCTGGCCTAATACCCTGTACCGAACGAAGCTCTACCACCAGTCCAAACAGAACCTAGATTTCTTTGTTCGCTTCGTGAACCTGCTCCTCAACGATGTGACTTTTGTGCTTGACGAGTCCTTTGGTAACTTCATGACCATTTACAAGACACAACTGGAACTACGCAACGAAGGGCCTACCATGGATCCTACTGTCCGCCAACAAAAGGAGGAGCACCTTGCTTCCGCGCAACGAAGTGCCAAATCCTACATGCAGTTGACGAACGAAACCGTTTCCATGCTGAAGCTCTTCACAGAGGCACTTGCGGACTCCTTTACCATGCCAGAAATCGTGCAGAGGCTGGCTGACATGCTTGATTACAACTTGGATGCTATGGTGGGGCCCAAGAGTTCCAATCTGCGGGTCGAGAATCTGCAGGAATACGGCTTCAACCCACGGGCGTTGTTGAGTGAGATCGTCGATGTTTATTTGAACCTGATGGCAAAGCAGAACTTTATTGTCGCTGTAGCGAGGGATGGTCGCTCATACAAGCCGGCGAACTTTGAAAAGGCTGCTGAAATTCTGCGAAAATGGTCTCTGAAATCGCCCGAGGAACTTAAGCGATGGGACCAGCTTCAATTCAAGGTGAAGGAGGCCAAGGAAGCCGATGAGCAGGAGGAGGAGGACCTGGGTGAGATTCCGGATGAGTTCCTAGGTATGGTTTGCCCCTTTTTTCTTTATTTACGATAAGAACATTTGCTGACAGAGGGTTTAGATCCTCTGATGTATACATTGATGCAAGACCCTGTTATTCTCCCTGCATCCAAGGTGTCTATTGACCGTTCCACTATCCGCTCTCATCTTCTGAGCGACCCGCACGATCCTTTCAACCGGGCTCCGCTCAAGATAGAGGACGTTCTACCTGGTAAAAAACACATTCTATCTTCGATATTAGAAACAAGAGCTAAAACTAACCCATTTTGTAGATACGGAGCTCAAGGCCAAGATCACGGAATTCAAGAGGCAGAAGATCGCAGAACGGCGAGGGGGACAGGGACAGGTGGCGGTCGATGATATGGATACATCCACTTAGGATACTGAATCTTCTCCCATGATAATTGTTGACGTAGCATTCCCTTTCTTTGCTTGGTTTTCCTCATTGTTAAAAACAGAGTACAAGGTATAGTTATAATATATCCTCCAGGCTTGGTCACGTGGCCCCGTGATATCATGGGACCGTATTTCCGCTTCTTCTCCAGCGCCTTCAATCGTGTTCTCTTCCTTCACCTCGTTAAATTTGTCTTGTCCGGTCCATTGCTCTCCTTTATCTGGTCGAATAGAAATGCACTGTGTCCCAATTTGGGGTTCTTCTCTAATAATTGGGACTGATATCTTGTGTCCTTTTGACTTGACGAGACACCGACAGGTACGGTATACATAAGAAGGTACGTCAGGACAAGGATTTAGTAGAGCGTTTTGTTTACGCTAGCCAACGATACTACGGAATCAATGAGCTACTAATCCAACGGCTTGACAGGTACACTAGTCGGAACATAATGGGCTCTGCTTTTTCTTCCGCGATGGCGGCTGTCCCTCCTCTAAAGGATCTTATGCTACCTACCCCCGAAACCTACGTGACTCTAATCAACATCTTCCAATACTTTCCCCTCGTAAGCGACAAGCACCTGATTCTCTACTATACACTCAAAAACTCACTGCAGTTCCAGTTCTCTATCATTCAATGGCTTACCTCATTCCACCCAGCAGGGAAAACTTCCCTGCAAAAGTCATCCCTGAACATCCCCGGCCGTATCGGGTGGTTTGCCATGGAAATCGTGGGCCCCATCAACCTCATCTACATTCTCTGGAAGCTGCCCCCCAAACTCCACATCGAGTCCCTACCGCTACAAAACAAGCTTGTCGCAGTCCTTTACATTCTCCATTACGTGAATCGCGCTATCATCTCGCCTTTCTCCGCGCCCAGCATGTCCCCAATCCACGTTCTTGTCGTCATCTTCGCCGTTCTATTTAATTGGCTCAATTCTTCTTGCATTGCCAGCTGGCTGGCTGGATATAATGTCGCCACTATCCCAACTTACCGGAGCACGCCCTCGCACTCGGGAACGTCAAAGGCCACCGAGGACCCGATCCCCGATCCCACCACCCCTTTGCTTCTTCCTGTCCTCGGCTTTGTTCTCTTCGTCACAGGGATGATAGGAAACATCTACTCCGAACGAACCCTCTTCCGTCTCCGCCGCGAAGAAGCAAAGAAACGTGCCGCAAAAAGGTCCGACTCTCCTCCCCCTTCTTCTTCTTCTTCTTCTTCTTCTTCTTCTTCTTCTTCGAACCTACCACAAACACAAGAGAAGAAATCCGCAACCAAGTACTCCAAAATCTACGTCATCCCCCCCGCCACCGGCCTCTTCACATCAATCCTTTACCCGCACTATGTCTTCGAGTGGCTTGAATGGACCGGCTTCACACTCGTCGGCACGGCCGTCTTGCCCGCTCTAAGCCTCCTGCCTCTCATTGGCACAAGTGCACCTTCAGCTCCAGGCCCAGGCCACGACCAGGGATCCCCCCTTCGTCTTGCGCCGTGGATTGGCCCCATCGTGGCTGTTCTGCAGCAAAGTCCGCAGGCCTCTTCTGGTCTTCCGCTCCCAGGGATTGTGTTTGTAGTGAATGCGGTGACGAATATGTTGCCTCATGCCCGCTGGGGGAGGAAGTGGTATGTTGAGAGGTTTGGGGAGGAAGCAGTTGGGGGAAGGGGCGCGGTGGTGCCGTTTTGTAAGTGGATGTAAATCAAGTCAACGGTTTGTACATTCTTCTTTAGTTCTCGTGTCGTTATATAATTACTTTGATTGTTTTTTTGGGGGGGAGGGGGGGGGGAGCTTGGGGTTATAAAATCATGTTCTATATGTAAATAAATACCCGGGGTGTTGTATAGTATATAGCTATATGTATCTATGTATGCCTTGCTTGATTGTATTACCTGCTTACTTTGGCTTGCATAGCATGATACGCTTGATAATCTCTACACTTGTTCCTTACGTTGGAACGAATACGAGGACTGAGGAGGAAAAATAAAGTGTTGAGGTATACAGTTTGATTCCTCGAATGTGCTTTACACCACGTTGTTGAAATATATCAGAACATCGGCAAAAATAGCCCACCACCGACCACCCGCGTCATGCTCTTTTCCCAAAAACATAAAAAAGAAATGCAAAAACCAGAACCCCACGCCCACGGAACTGTATGTCGATGCTTGGCTAAACGCCGATGTTGAAATCGTCAAATGTTGAACTCCGTTGACCCCCATTATGTCTCTAATGTGACCCCGAACCCATATGTTGAACTTTTGGTATCATCATCATAACTCATCACAAAAAAAACGAAATTTTCACAACTCGTTTCCGAATCGAGACGACAGGTTGACAATGTCGCCCCCACCTTGGGTTTGTATTAAGGTAATGTTATGTTTCAGTTGTTTATTTAGCAGACTCTCGCTGGCGGAAGAACTTGGCAGCGTTGACCATGTTGGTCAGAGCAGCCTTGGTCTCGGGCCACTGGCGGGTCTTCAGACCGCAATCAGGGTTGATCCAGAGCTGACCAACTTTCAGGTAGTTAAGCATCTCATCGATGCGGTCCTTGATCTCCTGCTCACTGGGAACACGAGGAGAGTGGATGTCATAGACACCGGGACCAATGTGGCGGGGGTATTCCTCTTCAAAGACCTTGAGCAGCTTGGCATCAGACTTGCTGTTCTCAATGCTCAGAACATCGGCATCCAGAGCGGCAATGGCGTGGAAGAAGTCCTGGAACTCAGAGTAACAGAAGTGCGAGTGGATCTGAGTGCCGTCGGCAACACCGCTGGTGGACAGACAGAAAGCTTTCACGGCCCAGTTGAGGTAGGCATCACGCGCAGCGCCCTTACGGAGAGGGAGGCCTTCACGGAGAGCGGGCTCATCGACCTGGATGACCTTGACACCGGCAGCCTCAAGGTCAACAACCTCGTCACGCAGGGCAAGAGCGAGCTGTTGAGCTTGGTCCTCCTGGGGGATATCATCACGGGGGAAGGACCAGCGCAGACAGGTGATGGGCCCAGTAAGCATACCCTTCATGGGCTTGGAAGAGATGGAGACGGCGTACTTGGACTCCTTGACGGTCATAGGAGCAGGACGAGAGATGTCACCGACAATGATGGGAGGACGCACGCAACGAGATCCGTAACTCTGGACCCAAGCGTGGGTGGTGAAGACGTAACCGGTGAGACGTTCACCGAAGTACTGGACCATGTCGTTACGCTCAGGCTCACCGTGAACCAGGACGTCGAGGCCAAGATCCTCCTGGGTCTTGACGACATAGGCGATTTCCTGTTCGATGAACTTCTCGTATTCCTCAGCAGTGATTTCACCCTTGGTGAACTTGTTACGCTGGATACGGATCTCCTTGGTCTGGGGGAAGGAACCGATGGTGGTGGTAGGGAAGAGAGGGAGGTTGAGAGACTTGGTCTGCTCCTTGATACGGACCTCGAAGACAGATTTGCGTACGTGCATGTCTTCGGTAACAGCAGCCTGGCGCTCCTTGACCTTAGGGTCGTTGGTACGCTTAGACGAGGTACGAGCATTGATGGAGTTTTCGTTGGCGACGAGCTGCTCGTTGACAGCAGCAGCACCCTCAGTGACAGCCTTGGCAATCAGAACAACTTCGCTAGTCTTCTCGACGGCAAAGCTGAACCAGTCGTGGACCTCAGGGTCGAGGTTCTTCTCGCTGGCGAGAGTGTGAGGAACGTGGAGGAGAGAGCTGGAGGTGGAGACAATCACACGCTCCTTGCCGAGCCTCTGGATGGCCAGTTCGACCTTCGCAATAGCGGTCTTGAAGTTGGTCTTCCAGATGTTACGGCCGTCAACAACACCAGCAGACAGAACCTGGTTAGGACCGAGAGCAGCGACAACAGTGTTGAGTTGCTCAGGGTTGCGCACCAGATCAACGTGAATACCATGGAGGTTGTGGAGAGCAGGGAGGACATCAATGTTGTGGACGATGTCACCGAAGTAGGTGGCGAGAACAATACGAGGAGCCTGAGCACCAAGGGAGCCGAGCTTCTCGTAGACGGGCTTGAAAGCAGCCTTGGACTTGGGGGGGAGGTCAAAGACGAGGACAGGTTCATCAATCTGAACGTCCTCAACACCAGCCTGCTTGAGCTTGGTCAGGAGCTCAACGTAGACGGGGAGGAGCTCGCCAATCTTGGTGATGGGGTCAACGGACTGACCACGGTCAGCCTTGGCGAGGGTCAAGAAGGAGACGGGACCCAGGATGACGGGGCGGGTGATGATGCCAGCCTCCTTAGCCTCGAGGTACTGAACAATGGGCTTAGGGTTGGCAGTAAGCTTGAAGGTCTGATTGTCCTGCAGAGTGGGCTTGACGTAGTGGTAGTTGGAGTCAAACCACTTGACCATTTCCTGTGGATTGTAAGTCAGAGGGTGTTGCGAGGCTCGAGCTGGAGATCAAGGGCAACTTACCAAGGCAGGAACGTCAATGGCAGCCTGGCCATCCTTGGCGGGCTTCTGGAGACCTCTTCCCATGGCGAAGTATTCATCAAGGGGGTCGAGACCGTACTTGGTGTAACGCTCGGGGACGACCTAAGTATGGCAAAACGGATTAGCCACGGCAAATGACTTATGGGGGGAAAAGGCGATGTACATACACCGAACATCTGAATGTGGTCGAGGACATGATCGTAGAAGGCAAAGTCATTGCTGGGGATGATATCGACACCAGCAGCCTTCTGGATCTTCCAGTGCTCCAAACGGAGTCTCTTTCCCTCGCTCAGAAGCTCCTCGCGGGAGATCTTGTCACTCCAGTAAGCTTCAGTGGCCTTCTTGAGATCACGGAGCTTTCCCATACGGGGGAAACCCAGAACGGCGCTGTAAAAAAAGGCCAAGTTAGTAGGGCAATAATGAGAGGAAGAGCAGAGGAATTGGACACGTACGATTGAACCATCCTTACGGTTATGTGTGTGAAGTTAAAGGGGGATGGGTATAGAGGAATAGAGAAGAGATGAGAGAGAGAGAGAAAAAGGATGAACAAGAGACAATTGAGATAGTCTCTTGCGTTGAGAAGAGGGAAAAGGAGGATGGAGAGAAGAAAGAAGAGAGAAAGAGAAGCAGAGAAAAGAAGAAGAGGACGAAATAATAAATGATGGAGGATGGAGGGGAGAACTACCTAGGGGTAGAGAGAGGGACTCGAGTGACTGACCCCTCGGTGTGGATCAACGAATCAGAAATCCCAGTGGACGAGTTGATGGAGGGGTAAATGTAGTGGTAATCGTATTGTTTGGTATAGTAATATTGTAACTTATACTGTACTTGGTACCGTACAGGTATTTCCCCTTCACTCGGTCTCAATTATGTGTGTGTGTGTGTGTGAGAGAGAGAGAGAGAGAGTTTTTAGATTAGGTAGAAATGTTCTTCTTCTTCCTTTTATTGACTAGAGGGTCCTATACTAAAGTAATTCCTAGAAATTGAATTAAAAAGAATCCGATGATTGTAGAGAAATTAATTGATATTGGACAGATATGTATGTACTGTACATACACCAGAAATGGCGTGATTGAGGAACTCCAAACTATTTCTGGTTTCCATGGCTCTTGGAGGAGTCTCTATTGGAATTATTACAGTGTATGGGGTATAACTTCATAGTCTGCGATACCAAATCTTGCTCCGGGATCGGCCATTTGGAAAACAAAACCCACCTGTTACTTCGGACTTCATTTAACCTACTCCGTACACTTTTCTTTCACGACTAGAACTAGTAAGTACTAGTAGTAAGTAGTACTACCAGGAGTAGATCAGTGTACAGTCCATAAAAGTCTAACCTTCTGGAGCTACTCCGTTCTCTTGTCCTGAGTAAGACTCCGAATTATTGGTACAAGTCCGACGGTCCGGAGTTTCTATATGGATGGGTCTGAGACTCTGAGGTGAGATTTGCTCGGGAACCTTCCCTAGACAGCGGAGTATTTCTACTTCGGTCCTTGATATAGTTTATCCAAGAATAGTGAATTCCTTTTTCTCATGTTCAAATCTTGAAATGGTGTAGGTGAGTGAAAGAGAGAAAGAGAGGGGTTCACATCTTGAGATAGGTCTATCTTGGCCCAAATAGGAAATCCATCCAAATTCAGATACAGAAATATATCTCTTCTTGTGAACATACATTGTTCCTACAACGAAGTTAGGCGTACCCAGTCCACCCACCCACTACTAACAAACTAGAAATATAATCATCATCCATAAGACATTGGCGCATTCATCTACTTCCATTGTCAGGGTCAAGTACCGCCTTCCCGCTGTACTGATCTCAGTCACTCCTTCCCTTGACAGATAAAATGATCTAGATCCAAAGTAAAACGATTTACAAACATGGCTTTCCTGATAACACCATCTTTCCACCACTCTCTTTTATTCTCAAATTCATGCCCTCCTTCCACTTCCACTGCCACCACCTCAATGGGTTTCTTCTTCTGTCCCCCCTTTAGAAGGTCCCGGAGATCGTCAGACTCACCGGAGTTGCAACTTGACCAAATCGAGTCTTCATCGCCTTCACATGAACTCCAAGAGGGTAAATACTCATCCTTCACCCATTACTAGTCTGCACTTGATGGGCCTAACTCCACCAGGTTTTTCCTCGTCTTTCGATGAGCGGACTGGATTCGAGTGCTACAGTAGCTCCTCTGGACTATCCGGGAGAATTCGCAGGCGCTTCTCGAGAGAGACCAGGGAATGGCAGAGAAGGTCGAAGAAATCCGAACGCGGGCCGAAGCTGTTCGCGCTCGTGTCCAAGTCCTCTGCTCTCAATTCCGGACCGGTGGCCTCCAATGACTTAGGGGGTAGCCTAATGAGTGAAAGGGGATATGACAGTGACGCCCAGTACATTGCTACCCCAAAGCATCCAGTCCACCCCATGGAGCATCCATCAGGCAGGTTTCGAAATGGGACACCCATGTCTCCTCGTCGCCAGTTTCATCGGGAGCCGGGCATGGAACCCCAAACAGAGCAGAACTTCGGCATGATGGTAGATAATAGAGGCATGGCGAATGAGCAGCCATTGAATCACGGAGATGGAAAAGAATCCCAATCATCCTGGCGTTCTCAAGACCACTTGTATCGACCCCCACAACCATACCAGGACCACCCCTCTCCTGTCCACACTGGAGACATCGGAAGTCCTAAAGGTAAATATGCTAGTCCTTGTCCTAGCGTCACCAGAGCATGGACTCAGGAAAGGCCGTTAAAAGGGCCGATGCAAAGAGCCCAGGAGATGTATCGCCCGCATATTCATACGCCTTTCGCAAGGCATCCAATACCTACAGGCGGATTTGAAGAAGCGACGGTTCAATTTACCAGCTCGGGCCACGAGAGTAGATTCTCTGGCACTTCTGGTTTTAACTGTACTCAATCACAGGCGTACAGTACATCGGCAGACTCGTTGATTGGCTGTCAGAAGCAGCTCTCTGTTCGGAAAAGACATCATCGGCCCCAAAGAGAGATATCTACAGATGAGCATTCGATTCACCTGAGTGAGATGAATACCCCAGGGGCACTAGTTTCGCCCTCATGTTCTACCCACATGCTACCCCCTCATCACTTGCCTGACGAGAACCAACCAAGAGGCCATGCGGGAACATGGAATGAGAATCGGCTTCATGGAATCGGCAACCCGATATCGAACGTTTCAAGCTGGGATGTATCGGAGCAGAGGCTAGGATCGCAGTCTATCCCTGATCCAAATTCAGCCTATTCGCCAAAAAATAGCCTTTCGCCCTGGCATGGCCATTATGGCCAAAGAAGCCATAATGATTGTCAAGATTCTGCTGGGAATCTAGCATCACGACGTCCCCGTATAACCCCTCCTGAACTAAATGGCTCACCCCAAGCAGAACAGCTACTAGCCACGGAGAGCTGCACTGATGATAGACCTGAGGCCCTGAGGAGCAAATTTAAGGAGCAATTCGAGTCCAACCGGTCAGTCGCCTCTCCTGGGCACGACTCCGCTCATAATGCGGGTCAAGTCCCTGTCTCTCCCCGCAGAATAAGTATTGGCTGGATGTCCGAAGGGCGCCGTATTGGGTATGGATATACGCTTATACCGGCAGATGGTACAGATGACGGACGGGAGCTACGTCAAGACAAACATGGCTCTCCTGATAGTGACCACTCAAACAGGGAACCCCCCATTGGCTTGGTCGAAGAAAAATCCCATGATTGCGCTAAGGACAAGCCAGAGTGGATGGGAAACGACAATAAAGCCCCATCTAAAGCGAGTGATCCAAGGTTTGATATAGCAGCTGCTCTCCAGAAGTTGAATCTTCCCCGATGGGCTGGACCAAGCTTCTCACTCAAAACCAACAATGTTAATGATACAGCTAGCTGTGGTTCTGCCTCCTCTCCTTTATTGGGAATTCTTGCAAAACCAAAGAAGAACCAGGAAGAAGTCAACAATGAAGCTAATGCAGATAACCCGTGGAGGTTTTGTTCCTGGGTTCGCCCAGATCAGGCCTTGAGCGGACAGCCGGTGCCCCCAGTAAGCAGCGTTTCGTCCAGCCAGAGCATGGAGACACAGCTCCTGGACAAGTTAGCAAGAAACAAACGCAAGATGGCCGAGATAGCCCGTGATCTGGAGCAGCGTGCGTTAGCAAAGCTCGCCACATCTACAGAACAGTTCCCCGTGATTCAGCGAACCGCAACCCGAGTGCTGAGACTTAAAGGTCCGGGTGGTAGGACACGTCTAGGTAGGATTTCTGGTCGACGGGGCTCCAAATGGATTCGAACCAGACGGATTTCTATCCAAAGCATGAATAGAACGGACAGGGCATGCGACCAACTCTCAAGGCGAGGGAGCTCAGGAAGTCTAGAAGAGTGGGACAGTTTGTACGAGGAGTGTCTGGAAGAACACCCAATCCCTGAATAGAGTGGCAGAAACCCCCTTGAGTCCGGCTGTAGCAAGTGACTCCCAATGTATTTCGATAACGCAAAAAGAATATGCCATATGCAATATGCAACACTTCCACAGCTAGGTTAGGTATACTTAGCAGGTTGATGGAGCCGTCACGGCAACCGGGGTTGAGTACGGAATATCACCTATTGATAGCACCAAACCCCAATTTCCATAAATGCGGCAATCTCATGTATTCGTACCAAAGGTAGCTATATTAGAAATATCGTAAGCGCTATAAAATACAAAGACCCAATCATTTCCTCTGCCGCTTAGTGCTCTTATCACTGACGTTGCTAAGTACACTAGCTGATCGCTTGTGAGAAGCACCCTCTTGATCTTTTACTGGTGTTCCCTGTGCCGAAGCACCACCCCCAGGTCCCGCCGGGGTAGATGCCTTTGTTGCTCCCACCTCGCCTTGTTGAGCATGAGCAGAAGAATTTCCTTGGCCAGCACCACCAGCAGAAGGAGGGAGAGGGGTGTCATCTTGCTCAGACTTGACCTCAGGCTTGTCCTTGTCCCGGAACTCTTTCACCTTTCGTTCTCTATCTTCCTTTGCAGCCTCCAGCACCCGAATTTCGCTTTCTACCTTTTCGGCGACCTTGCGGGCATCCAGAAGCAAATTCACAGAGTGAATCAGTTTTTCGAAATCCTTGCAGACTCGCTCCGTAGGCATGACCAGGCGGAGAGGAACTTCGAGCTCGGCGAGTGCGGCGGCCAGCTTCTGAGTTTGTACATGGGATTTGGCCTGTGTGAGTTTCTGGGCGCGATCGCTGCGGAATTGCACACCTGGGGCGAGACGGTCGTGGTGTTGTACACCGTATCGGGATTCTTCGGCGGCTGTGAGGGTTCGGATGGCTTGTTGGGCGGTTTCTTTGTTTGCTGCGGCGGCGGCTGCTGCTGCTGCTGCTGCTGCCTTCTTGGTTGGGGGCGCAGTCGCACTGCTCGGGGCGTTCGGGGTATCTGCTCTGCTGTCGCGGGCGCTGTTGGGGACATTGGGGGCGGGAGTTTGTCCCGCGGAGGTGGAGATGGTTCCTTCAGGGCCGAGGAGGGAACGGCGTTTCTTGCTCTTATCCGCCTGGAGGAGGGTCTGTAGGAGGTGAGATAAACCCTGGCTGGTTTGGTAGTTGGTTGTGTTGCCGACACTGACGGGGACTTCGAGACGCGAATAAAGTTCTCTGCGTTCGGCGACAAATTCTTGCTCGTTGGCAGTGATACGTTTGAGCTCCTCGAGGAGAATCGATTCTTCGCGCACTTCGTCGGCGGTACGGTTGAGCTGAAGAGCGGCAAGTTCCTTGCGTGCTCGCTCACGGTCGGGGTCAAACTTCATCATCTTCTCGTGGAGGTCGAACTCGGCTTCGGACATTTCAGACGGTGGGTGTTCAAGAGCAAGCATAGAAGCGGCGACGAAGTAGTATCGGGCTTTCATCTGCTCCATGGTTCTGTATCGCTTACTGGGTACCAGCGCAGTAGAGGGTGTGTCCGTGTTGTCGACGGGCTGTGGTTGGAAGTCGTAGCGGTCCGCAATCACCACCCATCGGAGGTCATACTCCTCAACCAAGTCCATCAAATAGTCTGTCTCCTCGCGCGACCAGTCGTCACTCCGCAAATGGCGGTTGTATTCTTCGGTAGAGTATCGGTTGGGAACCTTGGCTTTGATGTTGTACTTGACAAACGGGTACTCTTGCTCAGCAGGTTGCGGGGCGCTTTCCTCAACTTTGGTCTGATCACCTTCAGGCCCCGGGCCCTCCAGTGCTGGTGTAATCGTCGATTCGCGTTGTCGTTGCCAGTGGCGGAGAATGAGATCGTCGGACCGAGCGCTGTTTACAAACGGGGCCATTTGCCTAATATACACAATCAGTACTCCGTAGCCTCTGTTGCTTGCAAGCCGCATACCAAGGTCGAACGCGAACTTTGCTCATCCACTTAGGGCGTCCCTTGTATCGGTTCTCATGGATCGCGATCGGGGGGGCTCTCTCTCCTAATAAGGCGTAAAGTTCACGAGTTATACCCTCTAAGCGAAACAAGGAAAGTCAACGATTAGACTCTATAATTTACATTCAGAGATAGTGTAGCACACACACCTGGTCGCTTCTCGACCACTTTCTGCTTCTTGTGAGGTCGTGGTTGACCCTCCGCGGGCAAATCCAGCATGTCACGAACATCGGCGGCAGCCATGATGGGAAACCTAGAGGAGGCCCCTAGTTTTAATCTCACGGGTAATAACTTGGATTTAAAAGCGAGCGATGAAACAGTCTTTGGCTGAGCGACAGCCTTGAGGTTGATAGAAGATGCAGATGAAGATGAAGCCAAGATGAACCCAAAGTTGCAGCGACGGAGGAATGAGAATTCGCGCCAAGACTTTTTTCTCCTGGGCGGCCAGATCTGGACACCATAACAACTGGCTATTGTCTATCTCTCTCGGATTCATCTCCCTCTCTGCTCGCTTCACCTAGGCAGATTTAATCGCTTCCCCCCTCATAGATCTGCCATCATGGCTCCTTCGAAGTCGTCGTCCTCATGGATTTCCTCCGCCCTGGCTGTGTACGCCTTTCTGTGCCTAGCCATTCCCACCAACGCCCTCTACTTCTACACGGACGGACGCCAAACAAAATGCTTTTTTGAGGAGCTTCCCAAGGGCACCCTGGTTGTTGGTCCGTTTTAGTTCCCTCAGATTCAATTCGCTTTCTTTCTCATATCTCTAATCTTTCCCTCGCGGTAGGAACCTACTCTAGCGAGGTTATCGACCAGCAATCCGGCACATTCGCCGTCGACCCCAGCATGAAGATGCTCATTACCGTCGACGAGACCTTCGACGACAACCACCGAGTTGTCTCCAAGCGAGATAGCCATTCCGGCCGGTTTACCTTCTCTGCTGCCGATGCCGGTAGCCACAGAATCTGCCTTACTCCCGAAACCAACGCCGCCACTGGTGGATGGCTGTCTGATGCCTCCACCGGTGCTGTCAAGGTCACGCTGGACATGGCCATTGGCGAAACCAGCAAAATCGAGTCGGAAGATAAGGGTAAAATGCAGGATATCGTTCAACGGGTGAAGGACCTCAATGGCCGGTTACAGGATATACGACGAGAGCAGGTCTTCCAGCGAGTACGTGACATTGTCCAGCCTTCTTTTCCGCTTTACATTCGATTGAGAGGTTATTTACTAACACTTTACTTTTTTTTCCCCATTTGGTAGGAACGCGAAGCCGAATTCCGTGATCAGTCCGAAGCTACCAACTCGCGTGTTGTTCGTTGGACATTGATCCAGCTGGCTATTCTGTCGGTTACCTGCGCTTGGCAGCTATCCCATCTCCGGTCGTTCTTCATCAAGCAGAAGTTGACATAAAGAGCATTCATTATATACATGGGGTGATGGCTTAGAGTAAGAAATGAAGGAGATGAGAACCGGAATCGTTGTTGAACTGTACGGCGTATACTGTGTGATTCTTTACGATGGAGCGTGGTTACCCGATTTCGGTTACTAATATGTCTTACTGCCTAGCGATTTATTCATGAAACGAGATTTGTTATTTTTTTTTTCCTTTCGTCTTCATACTTTATGGCTGTATTGTACAATTTTTTACGATTTGGGACTTGCTGGCAAACTTCGGTAGTAGGACATTCTCTCGTGTATGATGACAATTCTTGTGAGGAGCGCAAGAATGCCTCGGGAGGATGGCTGAGATATAAAACCTAATGAATGTGTTATAAGATTAATTCCAAATAAAAGCACACGGAAGCTTCGTTCGATAGAAAGACCAGACCAGACACGTAATAACCGAAATCGCAACCATATTCATTAATGATGAATATCTATTCATCAGAGCATAAATTAAAGTCTAGTCTATATATCCTGTGGCCCATACGCCAAACAGGTATATATTCCAAAAAAAAAATGCAATTAAACAAAGATCATGAGGTATAGAACGAGAAACAAGAATGGTGCAGTAGGATGTTTCAATCATTTTCAGAAAAAACAACCCTTAGAAATTTTGATGTCATATATTCGTAGAATCATTGAAATGTCTCGCGGTGTCGCTGCAGAATCCCGTGATAAGCCGCTCCAGATCCATGAGTTTATATGGTTTGGTCATGTAACCCTTGATGCCAACTTTTGCGGCACGGCTCAGCGCCTCGTCTGTAACGTCCGCGCTGACGGCAAGGACAGTAGGTGGCTGGGGCCGAATTCCATTTGGTTCGACAGAATGGGATGGTAAAGATTGACCCTGACGGACGGGTAGGGAACTAGACGGCAATTGATCCCGGTATTCATCGACCAGTTGAAGAATTTTCGACGTAGCTTCGTACCCATCCATTTCTGGCATCCAGAGATCCATCAGGATAACATCCACAGGTTTTAACCTCTTCTGATGACTGGGTGGCGCAGGGATGAGGAAATCATCCGAGCCGTTATGGGGATCAATGGACTTCTGAGAGTTGCTTGTCGCATTTACCGAAGTCTGGGATTCGAGGATATCCTGCATTGTCTGTACGGCCTCTTTTCCATTACAGGCTTCATAAACCTCCTGATAGCCAAGCCTTTTGAGCATATGGACCAGTACCCGTCGATTAATCTTATTGTCTTCTGCTACCAGGAAAGTGAGAGGGTACTTTTCTCCAAGTTTGCTATCATAACCATCCCCGTTGATAGAGCCTCTAAAGGTCCTTGCATTAGGCATAGAGCGCACAGGGGTTGGGGCGCGTGATAGTGTGTCGTCTGTAAGGCCCGGAGATGGTTCTTGGACTGGTGGCTGCGCAGGTGGTAGAGATGGAGATAGAATGGAAGGGTCTGGAGTGGTAAGGCTTGCGCTACTCGCCCTTGATGAGTCCTTCATGTGGGGAGGAGTTAACAACTTTGCTGAGGAAGCGCTTTGACGAGCAGACTCGTTCTGATTTATGGGAACTCTAATCTCGAATTCAGAGCCACGGTTAGGACCTGAAGTTGAGGAACGGACGCAAGCGAGATCTCCACCCATTTTCCTCGACAAACCCTTTGCCACAAGGAGTCCTAGACCAAGTCCATCTTTACTCCGAGTGGTTGATGTGTCTTCTCGGGTGAAAGGCTTGAACAAATTGGGCAAGAAAGCTCGGGGAATACCTGGCCCGGTGTCCTGGATGGTAATCAAAATATCGTTGGCTTTTGTACTGAGTGTAGCCTTGACGGTGATCGTGCCACTATTAGTGAATTTGACAGCATTCAGAAAGACACAGGATATCAGTTTAGCCAAATCCCTGTCATCCACCAGAAGGGTATCTGGAACTCTAGGATCCACCGACCAGTCGATCGTTTTAGAGAAGACTTCTCCATTGGAAGAGCGCGAGCGGACCTCGATTGTCTCGCCCAACTCAGCCTCTTTGCTAACCACAAGGTCGGGTCTTCCACCGACATGTAACGATTCATTGATCACTAATCGAAGTAGATCACGAAGTTTCGTGAACCGCAGGGCAGGGCCTTTGATATTGATGTTGATGCCTTCTAGCAAAAGATGCGGTGCCGATCGCCGAACAGCCAGTGAAGGACGAGGGTTTACCATATTAGCCATTACCGCCTCGATTTGATGGGCAGGGGTGGAGTCGTTAAATATTTTGTCACTCTCATGAATCGCATTCTTGACTTCTTCGGTGCGAGGGGAAAGCTCCTTTGCCGAAGAAACTCGAGGGATTTTATGTTTGGGAGTCATCCAATCCGAAGGATTACTCCGCCGGCGTTTGTAAGGATTAACTGTTATATTGCTCCCCTCGATAAAAAGGTTCGGTCGACTGTCTGAAGCAGTTACTGGAGACTTGACAGCGCCGCTAAACAATTCATTCTCCTGTTCGCACTGCGGTGTCTTGGGAACTTGCATATTGAGGTCATAAGCATGGACGACGTTATCCGCCGCTTCCACGGCACGTCTTGCACTATCTATATCACAAGGGTCTGTTAGCATGGGGGAAAAAAATAATACCTAGATCGCGGCGGGGGAGTTATGTACCTTGAACCATTTCAATACTCTCCTTGAGTGACTGGAAGACAAACGCAGCTCTTGGCGAGGGCTTGCCTTGGATTGCTTCACGGACAGTGGCATGCATAACATCCAACATTCCGACAATGCCTTGCATTGGGGTTCTAAGCTCGTGAGATAAGCTGCGCGCGAAGGGTTTCAGATGTTGGGAAGAAAACTCGGTACCACCATGCGAGACGGTTGCCGTATCATGAATCACGTCCTGACTGGTAGCGAGGTCATTTGCAACCTCATTTGGTCGGTTTATACCAGTAACCATGTTGTCTTCGATGATTCGCTGGACTACTAAATCCTCCAAGGAAAATAGTATCATCTCGAGGAAAGACCATGAGAGGCTGCGTTTCTGCAATCCAGACTCCGACCACATCAGACCAAAATAAGCCAGGCATTCGGCGCCCGCAAAGAGTGGGATCGCCAGGTAACCCTCTGCAGCGAATGGGAGCTTGTCTCTGTCGAATGAAATGAAGTTACTCAATTTCTCCGGAATCAAGCACGGTTTCTCAAGATCCATGTGGGATAAAGGATTTCCTCCGGCAAAATATCGGTTTCTCTGCAATCCAACATTTTTGAATCCATCGTTGTAATACAATGCCGTACCAAAAAGTATTTGTTTCTGTCCACTAAATTCTTTGACCTGTTCATCATCCTGAGCCCTTCGCGCTACGAAGGCATACTGAGCATCACATAGCGAGGCAGTATGCTCCATAAGCTCGCTCCAGAATGACTCAGTGTCCAAGACTCGTAATTCTTTCTTCAGCTTCGCGATCCGCTCGATTGTGGTATATTTAGGGCTCTCAATACCCCGACGCTTGGGTTTTGAGTCCCCATCTCGGAAGGTAGGGTTTATTGGGTTGCAGTGAGGTTTGTATGACAGAAATGAAAGAGAGGCGCCGGAAGCCAAATTGGGCCAATCCGGCTCGATTGAGTCGGACATGGCTTCCAACGTTCGCGAGCCGTATTCGTGAGGGAGAATTCGTATAAACGGCAGAGTCTTCGAGAGAAGATTCGAGGTTTTTTTTAAGTTATAGGAGGACGCCAGGTCACTGACAGGGACTGGTAAGAGATCAACAAATTCCGGACCGCGTCTTTAATATGGGCAAAACGCATGGTTTTCGGTCTACATTGATATATCGAGGATAGTTAGCAAATAAGTTCACATCCTAATGAGCTTGAAAGAACAACATACACCACTATTGGTTGGTCGACGGGCTATCCTGCACCGCGGGGTCGGGACGCTCTGCTCTTTAGAGCAGACGTCCTCGGAAGGTTTCCGAGCGCAGATTAAGCTAGAGTTATCTTCGATTGAGCCAGAAATTGGTCCCAGGTTGAATTTCGGTAAGAATAGGGATATGGAATGAATATCCCAGTTTTGAAGTTTGGGATATGGATAGAATAGTCAAACTTGGGTCGTCCTCTTCAGTATCAAACGACCGATAATATTTCCATGGATAAGCAAAGTTCCAGCTGCCTCTTTTAATTTCTGAGTGAGAGGACAACCTTGTCAGGTCTATCCTTGGAAAGAGCTGAAAAGGATTTCCGCCAACAGCACCGAACCACCCGGGGAGAGGAGAGAGAGGTCTAGCTGGAGAAGACCGGAAAGTGATAGTGAAAATGAGTAAACCCCGTACCGCCCAGGGAACCCAAAATAGTAAACAAAACGAGGAAGAAATGAACAGCGGTGACAAAGCCGTTCGAAAGTAGAAGGGGAAGAACTTGAGGTTGATGGAAGAGGGGGAAATGAAGAGAAATCGACGGCTTATGTTGATGGGGCCAATGAGGGCCGATGGCCAGGTCTAGACGTGGGAGACTTGTAGGGGACGGAAGTTGGAGGCAGTTCCCACTGAAGTCTGTCCGTAATTATTCGGATAATAAATAGTTGTGGATATGTTTTTTTAGATGTTGTTATTGTTGTTGTTATTTTTTAATAGTTACCACCCTTTTGGTTGAGATGTAGTTATACTTTTGTTTCGCTGCTCTGGATCTCCTCTTCGCCAAGTTCAATCAATATACAGTTGTAGCAACCAACAATAATCCACCCACATACACAAACCTCTTCATTCCTCAAGATTAATATATTTATCAAGGCTTTACTTTGTGAAAATCCTCTTCAAGCTTATCTAGGCCCGGGAATTCCCTGATTGTGAAGTTTAGGACTTCCCAAAACTGACCCAAAATGGCTCCTCTTCCATCCTTCCCTCGCAGCGGGGAAGAAAGAGCGGTCTTGGGACTTGGAACAGCAGAGGAGCCCAGAAGAGCTCCAAAAACAGGAGAAATATGAGAACAATGAATATTCCATATTGAACATCAACAGTAAACCCCTCCCCTGGCTATTGGTGTACAAATTGTGTAGCCATACACTTGGCTTCTGCCTTCACGTGAAACTCACCAACCCCTCAGTTTGCTCATCCTCATAAATGCCCCTTTTTACTCTCTCTTATTCATGTTCGCAAAGACAAGAACTATCTTGCTGTCTATTAAAATGCCTCCCAAACCATTTCGAATTGCTGTTCCTGATGCTAAGTTGGAGAGCCTCCGCCAAAAGCTGGAGGCTGCAACTCTCCCGGATGAGCTCGACAATGCCGAATGGCAGATGGGTGTCCCCTTGGATAAAATCAAGCGACTGACAGCTCACTGGCGAGACAGATTCGACTGGCGCGAACAGGAGAGGAAGTTGAACGACAATTTTACTCAATTTACTCTCCCAGTTTCGGTATCTGGCTTTGACGATCTGGAAATACATTACCTGCATCATACCAGCTCTACCGTGGAAGCCATTCCCCTACTCTTCCTTCATGGATGTAGGAATTTCCTAACCCAATATTATTGCCCTCCCCCCCCCCCCCCCCCATGCAGAGACTTTCTAGACTAACCCTACCATTCGACTTTAGGGCCGGGGAGCTTCATCGAGGCTACCAAGGTAATCCCGTTGCTAACTGTGGGTGATAACAACAAACCGGCATTTCATGTTGTAGCACCATCCTTGCCCAATTTTGGCTTCTCTTCCGCTGTTAAGAAGGTCGAGCTTGCTGACCTCTATCCCTGATACTTAAGCTAATTTATGTAGAGAGGGTTCGGGCTGAATCAGTATGCCGAGGCAATGCATGGTGTCATGATGGCATTAGGTTACAAAGAATACGGTGCGTTCAGTGCCTCCGTCTTCGAAGAAAGAAAAGAAGCATGAACTAAACTCTCATGAGATGGGGATGGGAGTAGCCATCCAAGGCGGCGATTGGGGTGCTTTTATCGCCCGAACAATGGCCAGAAAGTACCCTGACCAGGTTAAAGCTATCCATATCAACTTCTTCCCGATGAGTCTCCCACGTCCCTGGCAGAGCCCGGTCCTGTTTTTCCAATCCCTCCTCACAGTCCCATTCTCCTCTGAGAAAAAGGCCTACCTCGCTACTATCCTCCAATACATCACTAAGGGAAGCGGTTACCTAATTCAACAGTCTACTCGCCCACAGACTATCGGCTACGCACTGCAGGATAGCCCTGTGGCACTGTTGGCGTGGATCTACGACAAGCTGCACCAGTGGGCGGACGACTACCCCTGGACTGATGATGAGATTCTTACCTGGGTGAGCATTTATCTCTTCTCCACTGCGGGTCCTGCGGCATCAACACGGATTTACTATGAGAGTTCCGAGGATGGCTCGACTTGGGAGACAACATCAAAACCCGCACCTGCAGGTGTGAAGGTTGGGGTTGCCCAGTTCAAGAAGGAATTGATGAAGTATCCTTTATCTTGGACCCAGATGTTAGGCTCTGTTGTGCAAGCCACTGAGTACCCACGAGGCGGTCATTTTGCGGCTTGGGAAGTGCCTGATCTACTGGTAGACGATGTGAAGTCGTTCTTTAGTAAGGGGGGTCCAGCCTACGAGGCGGTACTGGGGAAAGATGGATTCTAAAAGATGTAACTGCAAGGTAACGCGTGGATTACCGGAGAGTTATGTTTTTGTTCGTATCAATTTAAGGAAGGGGAATTTCCTAAATATGAAAGGCAAACCTGAACGTTTACGAGGGCAGTGATACCAACTACTACAATACGAATAAATTGCTTTCAGCTCGTAAATTCCAGTGGTTATGAGGTTCGCATTAGGACAGAAGAAAAACAACGTATAAACCCAAAAGATCCGAAGAGTGCCATGCCATCTAATCTTGTCGTCCCTTCAATAGCCGCTGGGTAACCTTGTCTTTCTCTATGATGTACACCTGGGCACCCCAACCGGAAAGGGCATCCCTATCGACAGCACTGAGGAGGGCCTGCGAGATGGTTTCGAAGAGGTCTTCGGGGGACTAGGAAACAGTTAGCGATTCTAACAACACAAATGGCATCCACAATAAAAGACGGGGAAAAGAAAAGAAAACATACTAGATCCGGCTCCCACAGACCCTCACAGGTACCAAACAACTGTTCGCTCGCAGTTCCGCTCACAATAAAGTCCTTAGCGAAATCAATACACCCGATACTGTCGAATCCACAAATGAAAGGTTTCCCTGTCGTGTTGTTCACGCCGGCAATAACGGGGCTGACGAAGAAAGGACCAAATCGTTTCTCGTAAAGTGAAGAGCTAACCAGGTTGGCGAGCGTCTGGGGTGCGATGTGTCGTTCTTCGCGGAGGCGGTACATGTTCACTTTATACCGGAAGAGATCTGAGACAGTTGAAACATCCGTAGCCAGACCAGTGAGGCCAAGGTATGTTCCGGGGGCGTAGTTGAAGATCTTGGGGAAGTTGTTTGAGACGGTCAGGGCCTGCATACCGAGTCGGAGATCACAGGCGATTGCGACGCAGTCCTTGCCCACCATGGCGACACAAGCACCGCCATCTGTGTACCGGAAGTTAATACATTGAACGCAGGGTCACGGAGGGATGGGGAAGATGGAGGGATTCCTACTGATGTCGAATGGGGAACCCTGAAGAGGTCAGTCAGCTAGATTCTTGGGATGAGAGATGGGCAGTAACAGGGGCACATACCATGATTAACAAACAAGAATTGAGAAAATGAAAATTAAAGAGAGATTCCGTCGAGGATATTTCTAACTATGAAGGAGGAAAAGAGAAAGAAGAGATGGTGTGGGAGGTGGAAATGAGGATGGAGAAGAGAAGGGAGATGCTGTGAGAGTAGGCGTGGATGGAGGATGAAGCTCTCTCTGGTTGCCAGCTCGTTCTGCCACCGAGCTTTCTGCCGATGACGCGACGCCCGCTGCCTGCTCGTCTGCTCTCCTCGCCTTCCTTCTCACCACCTGTTCTTCTTCGAGGATTTTCGATCATCTTCTTTCTTCGTCTTTATTTCTGATATTATAATTTTATGTTTTGGCTCTACTGTCCTTGCTAACCGATTTTCCCGCTTTTTGCAACCGCCTCATCACGATCTCTTCACCCGCCGCAATACCAACCCCGCAATACGGGGCATCTCTACCATGAGCTCTCACGTCGTAGTTCTAGACTCGACGGCTCGAAGGGCGACTATCAAAACAACCCCTGGCAAGTATCTGACAGATATCTTGCAGGAGGCATGTGCCAAGCTAGGAGTGGATGCCAGTCAACACGGATTGAAGTAAGGCTATCTCCAGATATTGACACGCCCAGTTGCTTACTCTACCCCCGTTCTCAAGGTACAAGAGCAAACAGCTTGATCTATCCCTAGCGTTTCGTCTCTCCGGACTCATACCTGGCGCAAAGTTGGAGCTAGTTCAACTTTCTCGATCACCCTCCGTTGTGAATGTAGCCCTACAGCTTCCGCCATCTGAAGCACGAGGGGCTGTGAATGGCCGCGTCACGGATAAATTCCCGAGTACAACGAGTATATGGATGATCCTGCGCAAGTTTGAAGCTGGAGTTGCTGGAAGTACATCGATTCGAAACCTTACAGGCCGAGGGGTACCTGTTGCTGTTTACGGCAACGCGAATTCAGGACGATTGTTTTACGAAACCCCTGTCGTTCAAATTCTAAATCGGGAATTGTCAACCTTGACAGATCTTGAGAAGTCACTGGCGCAGTTGGGCCTCAATAGTGGAAATGTATTGCTGAGGTTAAGCTTCCGCAAGACAGATCAGCCACTAGAGGAAGCAATGATGAAGATCCACGAGCACTTTAAATCGTCCGAGGATACTACACCAGCAGTAGAACCGTTGAATGCGTCCACTACACAAGCAGACCAAGATAGCGAGACCAGCGAGCAAAGCTCCCAGCCACCTGTACCTACACCTGACGCCAGCGTAGACACCCCAGTCACTACAGAACAGCCCCTTTCAGTCACACCTCCTGATTCTCGCGCCGAAACCCCTGAAACACGGGAAACTTCATCTCGACCGGTGACTGTGTACGCGCCTCCATCCAACGACACACCCCAATCTGCACAGATTGCCTACAACGAAAACGACTACATCCCCTCAGTCGAACACGCCCAGTTACACCAGCGGCGGCTCCAAACAGCCTCAAAAAATACACGCCTCCCCACAGATGCTGAGATTGCCGCCGCTGCCGCAGCGGAAGAAGAACGGCGCGCCTTGGTAAAAGAGGTGGAAGTAAAGGTTCGACTTCCTGACCAGAGCCAAATAGTCTCTAGATTCGGCCAGCAAGATACCGGGAAATCCCTCCATGATTTCGTACGGAGCTGTCTGGCAGCCCCATATGCCAAAGAGAGATTCATTTTGACCAATTTAACCTCTGGAGTTACAAGCGGACCCGGTCCAAGGGTTCAAAGAGCAGCTCCTGTTAATCACCTAATTTCCGACTCAGGCCAAAGCCTCCTAATCAAAGACCACAACATGACGGGCAGAGTTCTTGTAAATTTCTCGTGGGATGCGAGTGCCTCACCGGCCGCGCGACAAAGCCGCACTGGCATTCTGAAACCGGAGCTCCAGACCAAAGCCCAAGAACTAACGGTTGAGCAACCCCCAGAGGCGATGGACACATCTGAAGATGTATCTAGTTCAAAGGTAAGAGGGAGCTCGAGTCAGCAGGATGGAAATGGGGACAAGTCTGGCCCGCGCAAAACATTACCCAAATGGTTGAAACTCCCAGGAAAGAAATGATTTGCATTTTGGGCCGGGGGAGGAAAGGGAAAGGGAAAGGGACAATCTTCATAGCGAGCTTTTGTATAACCGATACGTCCAACATAATGAATTCAATCTGTTTTCTCACCTAACCCCATCTTCAGAGTGTAATCATTCTATTTGCTTCTCGTCATGCCGCTTGAAACTATGACAACACCTAGCAATTAGCAAGTCCCCCCTCTCTCTCTATATTATATATATATATTATATATAAGTACTCCGTAGACCAGCAGAAACACCATCCACAAAGTATATATATCTACGTAAAGAGAAAAAGAAAAAGGCCCAGACTAAGGATACGAATACGACTACGGCATCCATATTACAAGAACGACTTGAAGTAAGCAGCAGAGCAAGTAGCTTCGCGAGCAGAAAGAAAAAAAAAAAAAAAAAAAAAAAAACAAGTCGAATTTCCCAGTGGTATTAAAATCAGACTCCGTCATTCGCGTGTGATTGAACTCTTTTATATGCTCTTTGTTGCTGTCCATCCATGTCATACCATAATAGCCTAGTTACCTATCTACCCTTCTCTCTACCTGCCACTGCCCTTTCTGGAGACAGGAAAGAAAAGGATCGAGGGGAGAGTAGAATGCAGTGCAATGCTATGCTGCTTTAACGCCTTCCAGGCGTCAAATCAAACAAACAAAGCATTCATTCCATCATTCATGGCATGTATGTATGTATGTATGTATGTATGTATGTGTGCATGCATGCGAATCCCAAGCCCTAGAAGAAGAAGAAGAAAAAAAAAAAAGGGGGAAAAAAAGGTAGTACACCCTCACTTTTGTTTTAAAATTCGTTTTCGTTCATCTCGTTCTTGGCTAAGCTAATTTCGGACAAGGAACAAAATCTTCTTGTAGAGATAGAGAAACGGTAACATTTTTATTTTAAATTTAGTGAGCAGCAACACGACGAGCCTCGGCGATGACCCGCTGCATGTCCTCAACCTTCTTCTTGCCGCGAGAGAAGGTACCGAGCTATATGAAAGTTGTATTAGCTGGTGTTTTGTTTAATAGGGAAGAGGTGCAAGAGTCGGTTTGCGATGGCGGAAGCGGTGTCTGTCTGGGTTATGGATATAGCGTTGAGAAGAGAAAAGACTTCCCAGATCATCATGTCGCGTTTATCCAGACCAGAAATCACCAAACCAACCATGTGACAAACAGAGGCCACAACCGGTGTTCCTTCAATCCGCCCAGTATCAAGAGAGAGAAAAAAAAAAAAAAAAAAAAAAAAAACCAAACATACCCTCTTCTTGGCGAGCTTGCGAGCCCTCTTGTCCTGAGTATTTCTCAGGAGTTCGACAATGCGGCGCTCATAGGGAGCAAGACCGACGACCTCGCGGGCGATCTCGCGGACGAAAGCGGTGCGGCGAGAGGACTGGCCCTTGGTACGGCTGATCCGGGTCTTGGGGGTGTGGAGGGGGGTGGTTTTCTAGAATAAACGGAGCAGTTAGTTGGGTTGAGCGCAACCTTTATATACATGGTTTCTTTCTGATTTAGCATTGGTTGTTTGGAGATGAAGCTTGATCTTGAATTGAGAAAATAAAATTCCCCGGCCAGTTGGGTCGAATGGACTCTGGTTGATATTTTCTGTCGTCTGGTTATCGTTATTCTTGAGCGATTCGTATGACGTTGAACTTTCTTTCCTGCGGTGGTGTGTGCCCGAGTTGCAAAACTTTCTGTGTCTCCTCGTGTGCTTATCGAAAATATTGACTTCCAATTTTTTCTTCTTTCAATATCAATTTCTTCTTCTCCTGGTCGTATCGATCTCGTCTCTCGTCTCGCATTGTAAAACACCGTTCAAACCAATATTGACAATCCATTCAACGCAACCAGACCGGGGGAAAAATTCTCTTCAATTCATTGTTCGAGATCGCATCTCCAAAACGCAACACCAAACCAAAACCACAGTGAAGGGGGGAAGGTAGGATTAAAACGTACGTGGCCCTTGTTGAGACCAACCACGATTCCGGAGCGTTCTTGGGCCATCTCGACGGTTGTGAGGAGGGACAGGCGGTTGGCGACGACGATGGTTGTTGGCTGGGAGTTGTCGAAGTCGAGAAGGGCGTCAGTCGGTGCGGATAGATTCGCGCTGGCGGTCGGCCCGCTTTGGTTGGCTGCCGCTTTCGTGCGTAGCGAGGGTAGGGCTTAGGGCTGTTAGTCATCCCATTAAGGGCGCCTGAGGCATAACAGCGGTTTTGCCTCATACTCTCGAGCTCCCATCGAATGGGATAGGACTGAAAACAGTACCTAAGTACCTAGTCATTGAAATTCAGCACTTCCCACCCCGCGGATTGTGTTTAATCAATCGTAATTCGTTACTACTTTATTAATACTGTGTACAAGGTAGTTATAATAATAATATCAAGATCTCTGTCCTGGTCCAGATTCAACATCGACCTCGACAATCTTCAATATCCCTTGGTGGTTGCCATCCTCCATCCTCGGCCCTTCATGAAGGTCTCTTTCCATAGGGCTCCTGCTACCCTCTACCCTGGCTTCGGACTTTGTATAAGCTGGTCCCCGGAAGATCTGGGTTTGGTCGTCATCAGGGCCATGCCCAAAGTCATTGACCGGCTCCGTGAGGATAAGATCATCGGTTACTCCCACTTTTCGTTTTCGGCCTCCGCGTGAGAGACTGTACATTTCTCTTGGTTTTTCCCAGCTCCTAGGCTGGCTAGAGCCTCGCGTGCTCATATCGGAGAATAGCGTTTTGGCTTTATGAAAGAAGTGTCGGAAGAAGGTTGGTATTGCTGGCAGACAGCTGGCGAGAATTCCGCAGGTGACTTCGGCGGCTCTACAAGATGATGATTAATCAGACAAGAGTCAAAAGATAACGGTATGAGGTTAAACTTACGTCCATAGGAACTCGGGATACCAGTCATGTGTTTTATCTTGGGTAGAACTGTTCCTCACACTCACGACAAGACGCATTATGCTAGATAGACAGCCACTGCAATATCCTTATATTAGTATCCTCACCTACTTTCTCATCATTTGAAGGAGAAGCCTTACAAGATTCCAGCTGCAAAAATTGCCGAGATCCCCAACTTTTTCTTTTTTGTCATCTTTAATCGCCAGACGCAGAAAATCGGCAAGAAGAGCATCAGGAGGTCCGAAACGACATTGATGATAGATGTAACCAAAATAGGAATGTTGATGTTGATACAATGGCCTGGAATCTTCCTATCCCAGATTTTAGCCCGTGGGATGCATTCAAATATCTTCAAGAAAAAGTTCGCCAGGTAGAACAAAAGGTTAAACCAGATCAGCAGATGGATCGCCCAGTACGTTTTACCCTGGCGTGACGGTGCGAAGACGCGCAGGTAGAGAAGGAAAATGGATAGTTTGGTGATGAAAATCAAAGGCGCATAGGTAATTTGCGAGGCATTCGCCAACTGTCCAATTAGGGTTAGCATATGAAATCTTTCTGGCCTTGGGGAAGTATCTCACTTTTGCAAACACTTGGAGATCAGATGGCGCTACTGTAGCCTGATGGACTCCATTTCCGTGCCGGTCTGCTTCGAGAGTAATCACAGCATATCCTATCAATCCCAGCTACAATGGTTGTTAGTGTCATGTCCCATGCATTATATAAAGAAACTGGAACACCTTACCCAAGCTAGAAAACAGATAACTGGCAAATGAACCGATTTAGTACATTCAACCACTATCATAATGGTGGTATTTACAAAACGCAGAAAGATACATACAGTCTTCCCATGACGCAGTTCTCAAAACTAGAACCTTCGTATACAATCTCATGCTGATGCAGATAGTACTAACGGTGAGGCATACTGTCTGAGTAAGGATATCTGTGGGTCGGGCGGAATCACGATAATCATATGGATAATAAGATTCCAGAACATGGCCGCCAGTATCGTGGGAAAGCCCTAGGGCGCTCATCATGGCAACGATCATGATAACAATAAGGCTTGGTGTGGGGGGTGGCCCATCGAGAGATACGGGCCAAGTGAGCCAAGTGCGTAATGATATCTTACAACCACCAGAAATGAACTGGAGTCGAGAGCAGTGTAAAGGACATCTTTGGTAGAATGCCGGAAGCTGTGCATTCCCCGGCGCAATAGGAGGAGGCAAGTGTCAGCATATGTACGGTACAATCCACCCTCTGAAGGTGCATAATGATCACCCTCACGAACGATTATGAGCAGGGATAGATTGCCCGATGTTCAGGTATTTGACGAGAGATGGTTCGCTAGCACGGGTGGCTGCAGTGCAACCCTCCCTTTCGTATAGCTAATAAACCGTACTGCGCACCGCACGATGATCATTTCCGTCCGATAGAGACAGCATGGACGCCAGATGGCAAGCGAGAGGATCAGAGATGATGAAGACTTGGGGGCTGACAATGCGAGAGGCAGGCGAGGGAATCAAGGGGGAGGTGAAGAAAAAAGAGCCGACGGGGAGTTGAGACAAACCACTGTCTCGCTCTCGATATGTCCCGTTGAGAATTGATCACCCTTGCATAATCCGATCAACATTCTTCCTGCCTTCTGTCCTCTCTCTCTTCTCTCTCTCCCAGCCTCGTGAAAATGGGCAAGTGTGCAGTCGCTGCAGTGCGTAGTACGTGCGTACTCGGGGCCGGGAGAACCAGCACACAGTTCGTTGTGTTTGGCTGACCGCATGCTAGTGCTGTCTCTTGCATCCCAGTTCCCTGACATCGGTGCATCATCGCTCGTGTGTTTTTCCTATTCCTGCATGTTAGCAGTTGGGTTCAGTCTGCGTGTATAGTTTGATGAAGAGAATTGTGCAGGGGTCGCAAGTGGTGAGAATAAGAATCGATAGAAGGAGGAGAATCCGAAGATAGAAAAAAAAACCTTGGATGCTATGGAGTAGGGGTAGGTAACTGGGGAAAGCACACATTCTTTCCCCAGAAAAGCCTCCCTTGCTTCCCTCCTCTTTTTCCATGGCGGCCTTTCTAGAACTGGAGACCCCATGTCCCCCCGCTGCAGGTAAGAAACACGACTGTATGCATGCCTTTTTATTTTATTTTATTCTTTTTCGATCCTTACTTACTTGTGTCCATATGTGCTTTGGATTCTATTCTATTTTTTTTTTAAAACAATGTCTCCTCATAGGTACTTGGCAGATATATCGTTTATATCCAGGTACAGGAGGGTAAGATCAAAGCCTAATGGTTTGGATCCCACTCAGGCCCTCCTCCCAGCTTTCCATCAGCTCACCACAGAAGAGCTCTAGAGAAGCTGCATCAAGAGTCTTCTCCAACTCTCCTTGAAGCAGAGGACCATCTTCACCAGTTCCAGCACCGGTGATAACTAGGTCAATCAAGGAGCCAAGCTTACCTGGCTCAGAGACATGTGTCTTAAGGGTGCGGATGTTTTCCCGGATTTCCTCGTGTGCCTTGCGTCCGGTGCCCATCAAAGTTTCAAGTCGGTCCTTCGGTAATTTGGTATTCTTTGAACCTTTCTTTAGCGCAACAGAGCATACAGAAAGGAGTGCCTTGACGGGCTCAAGGATGCTAAGAATATTATGGAAGAATCTCCAGGTGGGTGCGTAAGGAGTTTCCGGTTGTAAAAAGATGGCCGTCCTCGACATGATCGGCGAGACAGCGGCTCCGCCCAGGGCGAGATCTTTCAAGGAAGAGTCCAGCCATTCTTCCACTTGACTGAGACTCTGATCAACTTGGTCAGAGGTGACAGATTTTGATCCACTCAGAAACACGGCTACCCTGAGAAGGTGAAAATTAATTCTAGCACCCTCGACCTCCGAAGGAGTCATGTCAGATTCAGGGCTCGTTCCCACAATGTCCTTAAGGCTGGGAATCTCCGGTTCTACGAGATTAGGCTTTTGAGCGGCCATGTCTTTTAGGAGTCCGAAGAGCTTATCGGTCATTTGAGCAGATTTCACCCATTTTTCCTGAGTGTATTAGTCACAGATATAATCTTGAGTTAAGTAAAGGTAACATACCCGAGGGAGAGGACCTAGACGCATCAGCTCCTCGAAAGTGGGTTGATTAGGAGCTTCACAATTCATGAACGCATCGAATGAGCGCTGATCAACCAACGCCGAGGGGTCTCTTGCTGTATATGGCAGTAATGTTAGCGCACGTTATGAGTATTTGAAGAGCAAACGAACCTAACTGATCATAGCGTCCCATAGGGTCACCCCCAGCTAGTCGCTGGACTCTCTTCACTTCCAAAGCCCACATTCGGCGACAAATACTTTGCTTCAGTCGCCGTTGAAGTTCGATAGTGCCTTCCGTGTTCACATAGCTTCCATACTCTAAGCCATTTGAGCGGTGTCTGGTGGAAGTCGCATCTGCATTTCGATAGAAATTCAAGGCCTGTACAAATGCGGACTGAGGGTTAAAGTCCTTGTATTCTGCGCCATCAATTGGCGGTGCTGAATGTGGATGGACAGTGGCCAGGCGGGTAAAAAGGTTGTGAGCAACGGTCTCAAACTGCAATTGTTTGACAGAAAGCTTGCTGAAGGTCTTTAATGCGATCGAACCTGCACCTAAACGGAGATAAAGTCGCACTAGGAGCAACAACGCTTGGTAGTTATGGGGAGAGTCGAGGAGGAGACGCTCGAGGATGGCTGCTGCGCGGATAAGCATAATATCCGGGATCACCTCGAGTTCACTCGACACCCATTTACGGCTGAACCGGATTAAACTCATAGCAGCGAGCACACACAAGTCGTCACTAGGCTGACTTTCGATAGTAGAGGGGGCAGAACTTCGCTCGGGGCGATCGACTGCACGGTATTCACTCAGACAGCGTGAAACAAATTCCTCTACCTTCTCTCTTGAAACACTTGCTTCGTCAAGGGTCATGAGAAAGCAATATTCCAGTTTAAGGGCATTAATCATCGCAACACCTCTGAATGGGCCCTTTTCCTGCAGCGGTGGGTTAGCTAGTAGTCCTGGCCTCTGGAGAGCTGGTCACATACATCAGGCTGTCCTTGAGTATCGAACGCATATTGTATAAACTTCGACAAGGAAGGCTTGTCTAAGCCAGGTAAATATTTTATGAGGTCGCTGAAACAGTAAAGCTTATTTTTGCTGTGGTTAAAGTACTCCTGGCATGTAGATAATAATGTGTTTAAGTCGACTGTTCCAGACTGGAAGTTTGAATGAGTAAGGTCGAGTTGAGCTAGTCGTGCATTACGCGATCTGGGTAGGGCATTAATGTAGTCGGCTATGAACTTTTGCGTTTCCGCAGTCGTCCTAGATGATTAATGTCAGATAAAATGTAGCGGTCTTGCTGGATTCAAGCATGTGACGTACTCCGGAGTGTTGATTTTCTGGGTGGCAGTAACAAGCGCGTTCCAAACAGCCCAGTCGTCACTCTCTGGGGTGGCGGCTTTTTCACCTGGATTGGAGGGAATAGCAAGCAGTTCCTTGGTATAGGACAAGGTTTCAGGCCACATCTGCGCCTTTTCTAAGCCATCGAGCTTGACGCCAACAAAGGACCAGTCATTTTGGACTATCTGGGATTTGAGCCCAAGGTTATCACTGTCAAGGATTTTGGCGACCTCAGCGTGTCGTCCTTGGGACTCGAAGATCTTAACCAAAAGCATAAGTTCCTCAGATGTTTGAATAGCCCTGGGGGGGCTCAGCAATTCTTTCTATAACCGCGAAATCACAGGTTATTATCTTCATCCAAGAAAAAAAAAAAAAAAACAAGAAGACAAGGAGAAGAAAGAAAGCATACTGGGTCAGATGGGACATTGTCTGCCGCTTTAGAAATCATACGATAAGCCAAGGTTCCAAATAGCTTACGGTCCATTTCAGAACTCGCTGGATCGATCGCAAGGAGATAGCTGAGGAAAATAGCCCAGATATAGTACTTGCGTGTCTTGGGGAAGTTGTTCTGGAGGGACATGGCAGCCTGTAAACCCATCCAAAAGCATCCGAATTAGCAACGAGACTGTATGCGACCACATAAGGGCTTGCTTATTCCTAATGCACGAACCTTTTGTGCTGACTTCCAGTCGTCACTCTCGAAGGCGTATGTAAACCACCTTGTCTGGATATCGCGGACTTGCGGCTTAGCCTTCGCAGCCCTTTCCCAGATACTCCTCCTTGTTTCTTCCTGTCCGGTTATCTGCTCCAGCGTCTCGTACAGGATATCCAAAGCATCGAGGTCGGTCACCGGCGGCTCAGCTTTACATAGCGCGAGGGTCTCCGTGATACCACGCTGGCGGTGGACGTCATCGGCATGTCGGTAAAGAACATGAGCCTTCCATGCCTATTTAAAACGGTGCAATCTTCGTCAGCAGCTAAACATAAGATCTAGTTATGAACACACATAAAAAGCCAAAAGGAACAACAGAGCCAAAGCTTTAGCCAGCAGAACCAAGCCTAGAAATTATGAACCAACGGCAATCGCATACTTTTAAAAACGGGGTATCCTCTCCTTTCTTAATCCTCTTCTCGATCAGCTGCAGCGCCTGCTTCAGATTTTGGGCGTCAATGGCATCCTCGATCTGCTTATTTCGGCGCTGGAAGACGGCGTCATTGGTCGACATGGCGAAGGAGAATCGAAGCTGCGGAGAGCTCGGGAGTCTAATGCTAAAAATATAGAACCCAGACTAAGCAAAAGTTCGGGACGAAGCTAGGCCCCTAAATTTTTAAAGGAGTAGACGTATGCTGCGCAGTCAAGCACAGCACACACTGGTGTGCGGGGTTGATTTGTTAATGTGGATGATGAGGGGGAAAGTTCCTGAAAACCCACGCGGATTATCTTCACTTTCGGGCGGGCGGATTGTATGTGGAAGGCGGTGATGTCCATAGTTGCTTGGGACTAAACACTAGGGACCGAACAACTTATGCCTAGAAGGGGAATCTACAGGTTTAAATATAAAGAAGCAGTGGAAATATGGTGTTTAAACTTCATCTGATACTATAGGTTATGGTACATGTACTCCATACGTAATGGAACTCACTAGTTACACTCTAACCAAGCATTTGCTCTTGTGTTTGTCACCCATATCAATTTATTCACTATCAATTATTGCATCGACGGAATGTATAAATATCAGGGGAACAGTGGACAGTCTCCAACTGAATATGAAGCTTTTCAGCGTCGTAAAGGAGTACATACTCCCGTTGACTGGATACTGTTGTACATGGATCAGCAAGACATAAACACGGCGTTCCAGAAAATATATCAACTACACATTGCCAGGCATTCGGAGAAAAAGGATCCAGGAAAATACATCCTAAAAGAGATTGGAAGTACTAAAGAAAAACAAGAAGCGCTTATCGTACACAGCAGCCAACCGAATCGCGAGGATAAAGGTAAAATGCCAAAAAAAAAAGGAATATGTTTGCTGACGCCAGCAGAAACTCAACGATGATAGTCACTTTCTTATCAATGATTCAAGTCTCGTGATTGTGTCATGACTTTCGTCAAATCGGCGGAGTCGATAACGAAAAGATTTGCCCAAATTTGCTCCCCATGGAGATACCTACTTTGGATGCAGACGAGCCAGAGACGAAGCATAGCAAATTGATCTGTCGTGTGGGGGGTTGATAAGGTAACATCAGCATTTTGAGAGAATTTCGAAGTCACACGAGCTAGTTTGCTGCTATCTATGACGAGGTTTTAGGCGCTGAGGAGCCAAGTTTCTTCTGCGCCAACTACGAGTTTGTTAGCTATATACAAACAAAGCTGCGGCTGCAGGCTCATCAGGGACAAGGGCCAACAAGACGGTTCCAAGCACGTAGAACGTCATCTGGAAGATGGTAGAGAAAGAGATCAGCTAAGGAGGAAGTTACTTACCCATTGCTTTTTGCAGTCACGGTAAGCCCTGGGGTTTTTCGTCAGCAAAGTGAGGCCGGAGGCAAGAAATTTCAAGACCCGTCTCCAAGGGAGCAATAGTCCCGGGGACGCATTGGGCCAGGCCAACTGTAGCTCTGGTCGTTGGAGAGAGGTAGTCCAGGAAAGGGTGGAACAGTCTATAGGCACATACTGGAAATAATCATGACACATCTCCCGGTCGAAACCATTGCGCTTCATGCACTTCAAGCTTCGGTCCGCATAGTCTTGGCAAGGGTCATAATACTCGCTTGCGGATTTACTAACAGATCACACATGGTCAGCCTGGAGGAAATACACTTCGAGTCAGAGATGACCAAAGCTGAAGGGGAAGGTAGTCTAAAACCCAGTGGCACAGTTTAGACACCGAGTTTAGACAATCAATAGTCGATCCCTAAGACCGACTCGTGACGCCACTAAATGAACAAGGTCCCCTTCCTCTGAGGGGAAGGAAGGCATTGAATGCAAATTATAGAACAGAAAAATAAACCCACTGGTTGAATTTCTTCTCCACCCGTTCCCAGGCATTGGAAGGGACAAGCTCCGAAGAAGAAGTGGAGGAAGATGGCTGGTCTGGCTGGGAGGCCATGGGGGAACAACACTGTAGAAGGATGTGACTGCAGGTAAAAATAGCTTCAAACAAAACCACGCGATTCAACTACAGCAGAAAACTGCTAAAGTTGAGGTCGAATCTGAATGGGTAAAAAGCGGTTTATTGTTGGATGAATGGATGGGATTTGTAAAAAGTTCGAGGAAAAGCCGGAAGCCATAGGTCTTGGCGCGGAGATCAATATATACATACATAACGGGGAAGCAGAAGAAGATGGAGATGGAGATGGAGATGTAGATGGAGGTCTAATAGATTCTCGACCATCCACCAGGTGACAAACACTGTTTTCTCCCCCGTTAACATGCCCGATCCTTTGATTGAAGTTTCTCAGAATTAAACTATTCTTGCGGTGTGCTGTCATTCTCACCAGCTGCCTCCCGGTAATTCAAGTGTTAATTTCACAGTTTCACCTATATACTAAATTTGCCTGGTAAAAGGCCACCTTGTAAACTTGAAGCAGCGTTGCCCTGCAGATTTAGGTAGTGCTGCAAAAGTCCGAGCAATAGAGAAATGAAATGGAAAGAACCCAGCCATCTACCACCTCCTCCAACAGTCCAGAGGCAACGGATACCTAAGGCAGGTGGGGTGAGCATGTCATATGAATGGGCATCGAATGAACCATTCCTTTAGTCATGGATAGGGGACATGACATCCAAAGTTCCATCGAGCTAGACACACTCCATGATACTATTATAGACACTACTACGACTTACTGAGAACCGGAGCAAATCCAATATATCTGGCTGGACGCGATGTTCGGGTGGCTTTCTAGACCGCTAAGCAACCTCCATCACATGGTCTTCTCCCCAAACTCTACGGCACAAATTTCCAGGCGGGGGAAATTACCGTTAACAATCGCGATGCTCATAGTATCTCCGTTGTGGAACTCTGTGGATATTGTAACAGTATTGGAATTGAGTTCTTTGCGCGGGTCAGGTAGCGTTGCGAGTCGATGGAGACCTGAAAGAAGCCTCAGACTCAAAGAGAACTAAGGACATACATAGCATATCAAAAGATGTGTCATTGAGATTGGCCAGCACTTGGATAAAACGTGCATAAAATTACACCTCAACGTTACTGTGTCGGCGGCACCAGATTTGACTATTTATGGGGTAAAGGCACGGGCTCCAATGGAGAGAGCACCACAAATATTCCCAGAGGTTAGCTATCGAGGGCTGGTAAACGGCAGGAGTCATAACATGAACAATCCGTGCGGTCGCGCCGTTCTGCGTTGGCCCGAGAGCAAATTTTCTGTTCAACACGGCGCCTGAAAATAGGAGGGGGCTTTCGACGCACCCAGGCTTTGATAGCATGCCGAGCAGAAGGAACAAGTCCCGCTTCCGACCCTCATCCCAAATCGAGTCAAAAAGTCCATCGACCAGCTTCTGAGGGGAAACCAGCAGCGAAATACCCATCATGGACTATTTTAGCCCTCCACACTTCTTCGGATGAGCTCGAGCGCTGCCCAATCCTCAATCAAAAGATGGAGACGCTTTGTCAAATCAGCTATCGTCCCATCTTAGTTGATGAATAGTGATGCACATCAGATCGAGTCTGAAAGAAGGAGTTGTCTCATCTGGTCCGAATTTCCTGACTAGTTTATGTCCATCGCTGGATTCCCTCGGCGTTTCGCGGATCCAAGGGAGATTCAAGAATGCATTGACGAGGAATCATCGTGAGAAAATGAGCCACTAGGCGGACCAGGGCTTTCAAATGCCAAACCAAACAGAGAAACAGTTTCCATAGATATCATCACGGGCCGCCCTGGCACAGGATGATGTGGCCTTGTTGTAGTGAAAGTCAGCAGAGCCAAAGTAGGATTGAAACTAGGCATATGGAGAATATGCATAGGCCCGCAGGAATTCGTCGTCCTGATCGAGGGACTGTAAGGGAAAAAATAGATGACTGCGATTCTTGTCAACTCAGATAGGATTTTGACGAACATAAATACCTCTGCCCGTATCCTCTTTCCTGTCTTATCATCCAAATAACTTATCCCTTGGTTATCCATCTCTCTACCAAATACCAACTCCCTCTAATACTTATCAGACCCATACTGGGACATCAAAAAGTGAGTTGGTTTGCCGAATTCCTGGGTTCATTATAAATATATTAGTTATTTGCCACATTGACACTTAAAGAAATTTTGGATTCACATACTGGACAAGAGAGATACCCATCTAACATCAGCATAGGGCAATGGCGACCGTAGAAACGCTTACTGTAACCCCCATTTCCGACACGATGGCACACCTTGATGCTGCTGGCAGTCTTGAGCAACTACCCAACTCCAGCACAGCATCAGAGAAGGTCTCTTTTGAGCCATCGAAGCACCTGGCTTACACCCCACCTTCAAAAGTGCACACCATGGAAGAGCTTGGCTATCCTGGAAGTCGTGGGGTATCACCGATAGGTGTCTCTGAGCCCTTCCCCCTCTTTTCAACTGAGGCAATCCAGCAGATGAGAAAGGAAGTCCTCAGTGATAAGGTCTTCGCCAAATATCAATACTCAAGTGAACTTGCTCAGTGCCAGCTCAGGGGATACGCAGAAGAGTGCGTTTAGCCTGTGTTCATCTTTTGGTATTGAGCTGACAGTTTGGAATAGGTACGCACCGTTTGTCTACGACGCCTGGAAAAACCCAGAGACTCTTGCCATAATCTCCAAGATAGCAGGTGTTGATTTGGTTCCTGCTATGGACCTTGAAATTGGTCATATCAATATCTCTATGCACACCGAAGAAGAAAAAAACAAGGCTCTGAAGGCAGTAATGGAAAAGGCGAATCGGGAAGCTGACGAGGGAGTATCAGGCTGCCCATGGGAAGATGATCACCCGATTGTTGACTGGCACACGGACAGCTACCCATTCGTGTGTGTAACGATGCTCTCGGACTGTAAGGGCATGATTGGAGGTGAGACGGCTTTGAGAAAAGGCAATGGCGAGGTGGTGAAAGTTCGGGGACCCCAAATGGTGAGTGTCGACTACTTTTATGATCCGACTCATGCTTACAGAGCATCCAGGGATCTGCTGTTATTCTCCAGGGGCGTTATATCGAGCACCAGGCACTTCGTGCGCTAGGAACAACCGAAAGAATTAGTATGGTGACTTCGTTCCGGCCACGTGCTTCACTCATCAAGGATGATACTGTGCTCACTACCGTCCGCCCGATTTCGGATTTGGGGGAATTGTACCTCCAATTCGCCGAGTACCGATTTGATATGCTTCAGGACCGATTCCGAGATGCTAACAAACTGATGCGGGACCAACAACGGGCGCGGAGGCCATTTGATACCCTTCGTCTCAAGCAATTTATTCGTGAGCAAATTGAGTTCCTGGAACACATGGAAAGGGAGATAGTCGAGGATGAGAAAGTGATCAAAGGAGTTATAGATGATAGCCACCTCATCTCCGAGGACCTCAAATTGCAGAGGTCCAAGAAACGACGGGTTGTCGTTGTTGCATAGCTCGGATCCGGGATGATGTTGTCTACTCCATGCATACGTCCGGGTTGCACTGGCTAGTGAAAATCTTGGGTAATTTCAGAATGGGTCAGATTTGGTGCTCATGGCATCGTGTTTGCGAAAGTTGCGGCTGGGCCATTAATTTGACTGGTTATGCGGCTGTGTGCTCAGGGAATAATTTTTTTTGATCTCTTGTTGCTTTGGGAGAGTGCCCATCGAAAGTTTACTGCATTTATTTTGATCTGTTGGTAGCGAACTTGCGTTAGATTGTTGGATTGGGAATCTATTTCCGCTGAATCAAAAACTAGTCTTCAAGAAGGTCTAAACACCATTCTCTGGCTCCGCGCAGCTAAGTAGAAAACCCCAGACGAGGGGCAATCCCGGTTCAGGCCTTATGCAGAGCCCTGCCTTCAAGGTGTTCGAAAATCAGGAGAAAGGCATCAATTTGGCGAAAGATAGGAAAATCAAATCAAAGTCTCCCAGTATCGGAAAGCCCTGAGCTTCCTTCTCGTAGAACTGAATGGAGAGAAGGGTGAACAGAAGAGAGGAGCGGGAATAATTGAAGTGCGGGTCACTCTTCGTCCAACCTAGTCGACCCTGAAAGAGATATTCTCCATAGAGCCTATGCACAGGACTGCACTTGGCGCCATCTGCTGTCTTGGCTCTTAAGCAGGGAGTAGTACCTTTTTCTAACGCCACGACCGAAGCGCCCAGGTCAGCGGTTATATCTGGGGCTGGAGGAGTTGGACAAGTCATATCCAGCCAACAGAATCCTGCAATTCAGAGTTCGTTCTGTTGGTGTTAGTCCGTTTCTCAAATTCTGGGATATCAAGGGAGCTTGAAATTGAGAGTTGAGAGCAGAAAGGGTTGGGAATTCACTTTCACTGTTGGTCTCGATTGGTGATAGGATTGACTATGTAGTACTCCATGGCTCTATGATTAGTCTGCTAGGCAAGTGTTGGATGAGAGGTTGCATCGTATTTCCAGCCAAAGGGAAGACCTGCAGAAGATTTGGATCCAGGTCTACAGAATGAGCCATTAATTGCTGTCAAGAAGAGGTGAATGAAGTAATATTTGAGGTCTGTGAGAGGGATGGAAATGAGAATAGGAGAGAGGCGTTTGGTCAGGATTGGCGCCGGGGGGGATTTTTAGGATTTTTAATCCCTGGATTCAACTCACTGTTTGATCAGTTTGGTTTCCGCGTGCTTTGATTCCGAAAAGAAAAAGTCATGCTCTCGGATGGCCATTCCTGCTTCTGTTTCTTTGATAGGATCGGATGGCCGCTTCTTGGGCTCTTTCTTGATTCTTAAACACCCTCGAACTACTCCGAGATCCCTGAGGGCCCCATTTACACCTTTCTCGATCACTCTTCATCCCGAGACAGTCGCATCACCATCATCATCCACTTCGTTTCCCATCCTAGACGGCTGTGAATCCCTCTCTCCCAGTTATGCTCGTTATTTCTTTGATCAATATTACACTTGAATAAGCGACTTATATTAATCATCTCCTTGCTGCCTCCGGGAGCGAGTTTTCTTCTCTCCTCTGCAACAACCCTTGTGGATAATCCTCACACTCTCATTTCACCTTCTAGTCGAACGCGGTGCGAGCAATCTTCGCGAAATGTCGAGACCTACCCCTCCGAGAGCTATGTCAGGCCAGGACTGTAGCAATCTGAGTGGAACAAAGCCGGCCACGCCAGGCGATGCGTCGGGGGTGAGTTGTTTTGAAGAGTACCTTGATAGAATTGCGCTGACGACAAACTTTCATGACCAGCTATTTCAAACCCTCCAAGGCCATGTTGACGAGATCCGCGGTCTCCTGCAATGCGGTATTTGCATCCGACCACTCTACGAGCCCTTTACCCTTGCTTGTGGGCATACATTCTGCTACGGTGTTAGTTGAACATCTCTTCGCGCTTTGGGATGAGCGTGTGCTGACTGTTGCGTTGCTAGTGTTTGACTTCATGGTTCGCTGAAGGAAGGCCCAATAAAACTTGTCCTGATTGCCGAGCTCCAGTGAAATCTCAGCCCGCACCGGCCTATCTGGTAAGTTTTCTAATCCCCAACGTTGTGCTTCGATGTTCTAACGAAATCTCGCGTCGTACCCCTTAGGTCCGAGCCGTAGTTCAATTATTTACGAGTCGCGCAGAACTTCTGGACAAGGGGGAAACGACAGACCAGCACAAAACCCATCAACTGGAAGAAGCGCAGAGGCTAGAAACTGACAAGAAGAATACCAACCCTCGAGAAGGTGGCTTATTCCGGGGCATATTCAACAAACACAGACCTCCACCTGCCCTGCCGATCATTGATCTCGAAGATAATGTTGTCCGCTGTCCACGCTGTTCATGGGAGTTGGAAGATGACTCGGGTTGCATGCGGTGTGGTTACCGCCACGATGACGAATCGCTAACGGGCACAGATTGGACCGAGTCAGAGGAGAACTCGGAAATGACTGATGACATTGATTTTGACGATGTGGAAGATGGGTTTGGCGAAGTAGATGACTTGGACTGGAACGAGTTTCACGATAGCGTACCATTCGAGGCTATCCCCCCGGAGCTTCGGCGTCACTTCCAGTTTTTTCATAATGGCTTCGGCAATCCGCATGGAAATGGCCATTATCATCATAACATCTCGGAGTGGGGCGACTCTATACGAGGCGGAGAATATTATGACGATGACGACGAAGAGGAGGATGAGGAGGATGAGGATATGGATTCTTTTATTGATGACGAGGATCCGTCAGAAGACTATGACTCGGACTCTGATCGATCTACAATCGTTGGGCATGCTGAATACAACGGAGAAGACTTGCACGGAATTTTCGACGACTCAGCAAGCGGCTACAGCACATCTCAATCTCATGCATATGGGTTTGGTTCAGTTCCCGACAGCGAGGACATGGAAGATGAGCTTGAGGATGAAGAGGGTGCAGAGGATGAGGACGAGGACGATGATGAGGATGAGGAGCCAATTCGACCACCTATAGCCGGAAACCGGCGACGAATTCCTACGTATCAGATCACATCAAGTTCCCCCGTTCAGGTGAACGGCACTGCCGCCAGGAATCCTCCATCCATCAACACGAATTCACGTTTATCAAGTCGTCGTGTGGGAGCTAACCCTCGCGATTCGCTTACTGCAGGGTCATCTGCGCTACGTGCCATCGCTGTAGAAGATGATTCAGACGGAAGTCCAGTTGGACCAGTGAGAAGGATAAGAGACCGAGGGAATTGCCGGTCATCAGCCCTCTAGACCGATTACACGCCCATAGTTTGTGATATTAATGACGATAACTGAGCTTTGGGCAGGCAAACGGCCTTTTTTTTTCGCGCTTCAGTCCACTTTATCCAAAAAAGCGCAGGACTTGAGTTCGCTAGTCTCCAACCTGGCATTCAACTTCTCTCAAAAACAACCCTCTATATCACGACCTAATGCTTGTCGGTGTTTCTGGTTTCTGGGAAATGATTTTTAGCGGATCTTCCTTTCTTAAAAGACCTGTGTTTCTTAGCATCGGTTCTGGGCCTCGACGCAATTTTGGGGGTTTTGGGGGTTTAAATTCTCGCTACAAACTGCTATCATAGACATAAAGGAAACGAATTACTCTCCATCAATTACCAGCTTTAAAATTTCCCTCATGTACCTAGTCTTAGTGACCCACTAACAAAAATCTCGCACCTCCCAGTAAATCCTATTTCCAATATACATGGTAAGTCTTACACATCTGTATACTTGCTGATTCACTCCAGCGCATATACTCTGCACGCAGATTGGCCTCAGAGATGGAAAATGAGGGATGGAAAATAGCGCTTATTTTGTAAATATATATCCTTTACAGGGCACGGGCAACCAAGGTAGATAGTAGAAAACGAGAAGTTAAATGGAGCGTCCTAATGCCAACTTTTCCGATAATATGCAAAGGAAAGGCCACACAGGCCCGGGAATAGAATACAGAAAACATCTATGGATAGTTTAGATACATCCGGTCATCAAAGGGCATCCTCCCCCCTTTGGCCATGTTTATCAGAAAGAAACGGGACCTCAAAGACCACTGCACCATTCCGGCCTTCCGATGTAGGTCCCTTATAGTAGTTGTTTCCAAAACATTTCCAGCGCCCAAATCGATGCTCCTTGCCCACAGCTGCAACAATACAGAGGCCTCGTGCTTCGGGTTCGGATGGTTTCGATGTGGCGTCTGAAGGAATTTGTCCAGGCTTGACGGTGTCAGGTCGCCGTTCAAATACTGCGATATCATTGATGACGCCCTTAACCAGAGGCTCCGTGTCTTCCTTGGAGTCAACAGCGCCGTCAACCGCCATTGAGTCGGGGTTTCCAGGGGTATCAAATGCGAGATTTTGCTCTAGCTGCTTGGAAGGTGTGTCGGGAGTGTGCGGCGAAAGGGAGCCCGCCCCAACGGCACCCAGGGGGTGAATCATCCTCTTGTCTTCTGAGATTCTCCATGCCCGGACCCAACCATCCCAGCTTCCGCTGAGGACAATATCAGTGCCCGGAACTGTCGATAAAGCAGTGATCCAGCGAGGCATGGGCCGGAGATGACGAGTATTGGAGGCTGCCGTGTTACGATCAACCTCGGGAGAGAGTTCCTCGAGGGGTGGAATGGGGTCGAAACCGTGGGCAGCGGGGATAGTGTACAAAGGCTTCTTCTTATGAATAGACCACAGAGAGATAGACCCAGAATCTGAACCCGTGACGAAATGAGTAGGAGGTAAAGGTGCAACACAGTCCATGTTGTTTTCTTGATAGGAGTTTTTGGACGAGCCGCCTCGGAAGATTAGCTGAGATTCCTCCACGACTTTCCACAGTCTGGCCGTGCGGTCACGGGCCCCAACACTGATACACTGGTCAATCGTCATAGCAGCTAGGGATGAGACGTTATCTTGGTGTCCAAACAATGTCTCAACATAGGCATGACCGGCCGCGCTGAGAGACCATGTCTTGATCGTGCGGTCAAAAGAGCCAGAGAACAGCTGCTCGCCCGAGCTCATAGTTGAGATATGGCGGGTAAATGCTAGCCCACTGACAGAGTCACGGTGTTGTGTGAAGGTTTGCATAGGGGTTAGGGTTGCCGCATCCCAGATAATGAGTTTATTATCCTCTCCTCCGGTAGCCACAAACTTGCCAGATGGGGAGACCGCCACTGACAAGATGTTCTTAGTATGTCCTTGTGCTTCTTTGCTTTCTGCAACTTTCTGGAAGCCTCGCACGAAGCGCACCTGCTTTGGCTTTTTTCGCTGTGGTCGGGGAGGACGTTTCGAGCCAGCGTTCGATCCGTTTGAAGTTGGTGCGGGAGCTGGGTTAGGTGTGGCTAATTCCCACTTGATCAAGGTCTTATCCTTAGATACTGTGTAAACATACGGCGCGTGAACAGCAATTGACGTTGTCGACTGCGTGTCTGCCCGGAAGAATGCATGGGAAGCAGCCGAAAAGCCCAGTTCGGAAGCGATTTGACGATATACTCGTCCCTTGAACTCATCCTGCAATCATGGTCAGCTCTGGGATACGGTCAGGCATCAGTTTCCCACACATACCACATCCTCTTTTAACCTCTCTGCAATCAAATCTCGATCGATCTCGGCTGCGTCGAAACCAAAGTCCTCCACCTCATCTCGAACATTGTCCAGGTACCGTTCCGCGAGCTTCAGCCTTCGTTCTGCGGCCGTCACTCCTTCGTCGGACTCCGAACCACTCTCTTCGCCTGACTCTGCTGATACCACACTTCCTTCGTCCTCATCTACGTCGCTCCCTGAGATAGACTCATCCCGTTCCCTTGTCCTCCCACCTTTCGCGCGTCCATCTGCCGCCGCATCAACGCCCCGTTTCTTCGAGGCGGGGGCTCCGGAGCGGTCTTCTCTCTTGCGCTTCCGTTGGGAAGCGGGTAATGTAAAGAATGACGACATCAGAAGGGTAGACTGTCAATTGAAGTACAAGCAGCAAGAGCTTTCTTCAATCGGATCGGTTGACAATGACGATTTTGCTTTATTCTTCCGCTCATTTTCATTTTTTTTCTGCCGGTGGTCCGTGCAGGCGGTATCTGGAACAACGTTATGCCTAAATGCTGACTCAGCAGGGCAGCTCTCCGCCTGAGGCCCTCCAAGCAACAGCTCCAGGCAGTCAAAGCTCCGCGCGGCCATCGATTGAGTAACCTACTGACATCCTCTCTTTACCATTTCTCCTCTTCTCACTTTATCTCACGTCCCTATTGCATTCTCCGACAATCATCCTGAAATTCTGATATTAATCCTTAAACATGTATGTTCCCGCCCCCTCAAATACTTGTAACTACCGTTCGCTGACCGACACGTTCCTAGGGAGGTTCTACTTGGTATCACGGGCAAGGACTTTGTCATTCTTGCTGCCTCGAAGGCTGCTATGAGGGGTCCAACTATTCTCAAAGCTGAAGATGACAAGACACGACAGTTGAACAAGCACACACTCATGGCTTTCTCGGGAGAGGCGGGCGACACTGGTACAACCCCGTTGCTATGGATGGGCTGAGTGTTAGTGCAGCATGGCTTACATCTCTCTTTCGTGAATAGTTCAATTCGCCGAATATATCCAAGCAAATATCCAGCTATACACAATGCGAAATGATACAGAGCTTGCACCGAATGCCGTGGCCAACTTTGTTCGAGGAGAGCTAGCACGCAGCTTACGTTCCCGGAATCCCTATACAGTCAATCTGCTGTTGGGTGGAGTGGATCCTATCACTCAAAAGCCTCACCTCTTTTGGATCGACTACCTTGCCTCTTTGGCCCCTGTCCCCTATGCCGCCCATGGCTATGCCCAGTAAGTGCATTGGAATTTGCGGATCCGTATCGGGAACCTGGCCTAAGAGAAAACAGATACTACTGCTTGTCAACGCTTGATAAGCACCATCATCCTGATATTACCCTCGAACAAGGCATGAAGCTGCTAGAAATGTGTACAGACGAGTTGAAGCGTCGACTACCCATCGACTATAAGGGGGTATGTTGCAGATCTGCTCTCACCGCTTGGATACTACAGAAAGACTGACGATTTACAGGTGCTCGTGAAGATAGTGACCAAAGACGGTGTGAGCGAAGTAGAATTCGATAATGACAAAATCGTCAAGAGTGCCTAATGTTGCTGTATCATACCAAGCTTTGATGTTTATGCGTGTTCGTTTCGGATTTTATGGGCCCTGGGATTTGGTTGCATTTGATCCCGGTTTAGTCTCAGCTAGGATGGCTGCTAGGTAGACATTAAAACGAGATGACTTTATCAATGACCCTTACTAGCATTTATCGTAGTAATTCTAGTGATAATTCTCATCCCCGAGTGCGGGTGGCTTGATGATGTCGGAGCTGTATGTTTGCCTTGTTTGCATATGTTCCTCTTCCGTCGCGTGAAATGATTTCGAAGAGCCCCCAGTTCTTCCCGTTTCGAGCTTCTCATCCACCTCATAAACCATGATGTCGAAAAGACAAGCAGAATTTTCGCTAGCGGAGGACGCCACCATCGGGTCGCCTGCCTCTAAAAAGGCCCGTGTCGAGGATGACGGCCTGCCGGAAGATGACCCACGCCATGGAGCTTTACCTTTGCGCCGAGCCAGTGGACAAGAGAGAGAAGTACATGAGCGCAAAGGACAGGATATTCTGGCAGCTGCAGACCAAGAGGAAGAAGAGTTGGAGGAAGCGGCAGAAGTGGTCAATAATGTGAATGAAGTGGACGATTTGGACGACGACCAGCCTGCAATCGTGGCCCCGAAACGCCAAAGTGCGCCAATGGAAGGATACGGCGACCTTTACCTCGATACTATCAATCGAAAAATTCTCGACTTTGACTTTGAAAAACTCTGTTCCATCAGCTTGTCAAACATCAACGTCTATGCTTGTCTGGTGTGTGGCAAGTACTTCCAGGGTAGAGGCCCCAAATCGCATGCCTACTTTCATGCTCTAGAGATAGGACATCATGTCTTCATCAATATGGGAACCAAGAAGGTATATGTCCTTCCTGAAGGATATGAGGTGAAGAATAAAAGCTTGGATGATATTAAATATGTGGTGGATCCATACTATACCAAGGATGAAGTGTCCAAGCTGGATAAAGAGGTTGGTGACGCCTTCGATCTCTCAGGCAGCCGCTACAGACCAGGTAAAGACCTACTCACCTGAATCTCTATCACTTTGAAAGGACATATACTAACTCATATATTTCCGCAGGATTTGTGGGAATGAACAACATCAAGGCCAACGACTATTTAAATGTGGTGGTCCAGTCCCTAGCCCATGTCCTTCCTATTCGCAACTACTTCCTTCTCCACGAGTTTCCACAGCCTGGTACACCCCAGCTGGTTCTCCGGTTTGGAACTCTCGTTCGCAAGCTTTGGAATCCCAAAGCCTTCCGGTCACACGTCTCACCACACGAACTCCTCCAAGAAATCGCTCTTCGATCATCGAAGCGCTTCACCCTTACCCAGCAGTCAGACCCAGTCGAGCTCTTATCCTGGTTCCTAAACAACCTTCATCTTGCACTTGGAGGCTCTCGAAAACCATCCAAGTCTCCAACAAGTGTGGTGCATGCCGCTTTTCAAGGACACTTGCGAATTGAAAGCCAGGCAATCACTGCCCATTCAGACACCCAAAATGCCCGTTTGGTCTTTACGGAATCAGGCACCATAAACAGTCAAACCAGCCCATTCCTTATTCTCACACTGGACCTGCCACCAACCCCTCTCTTCCAGTCTGCCAACAGAGAATCGATTATCCCCCAGGTTCCTCTAACCACCCTCCTCAACAAGTACAACGGAATTACTGCCTCCGAAAAACTCGCTCATCGAGTCCGCCATCGTCTTCTCCATCCTCTTCCTCCTTACCTTATGTTTCATATTAAACGATTCAGCAAAAACCGCTTTGTCTCCGAGCGCAATCCGACAATTGTAACCTTCCCCTCGCCCCGATCACTGGATATGTCGCCCTATGTAGAGCCCAACCCTGGTATTTGGGCTCCTGGGGAACCAATCCTTTATGATCTCGTGGCAAATATCATCCTCGACCCTGCCATCACGGTCCCCGGCGGAAATGAGGATGCCGCTGATAAAGGAGTCAACGCAGCTTCAGGAGCATCTTCCAGCGGCGCCGGAGCCGGTAGCGAAAAGGTCTCGTGGCTCGTTCAGCTTCACGACAAGGCTATGGTGGTTGAGAACAATCGTCTTCAAAACGAGCACGCTGGGGAACAGCGAGGTCCCGAGTGGTTGGAGATTCAGGATTTGTTTGTCAAACGCGCAGAGAGTGAAACTTTGTTCACACGAGAGGGGTATCTAATGGTATGGGAGCGTCGAAGGACTCCCGGTACGACGAGCCGGAAGGGGAAGGCTGCTTCCAAGTGAAGTGAGGCACTTGTCCTTGCTGATATGTCACTGGGTTCTTAAAGTTGGATATTTCTTTAGCCACCGGAGCCATCCAAACCTAGATGTGTGGAAGCACTATATGTATAATTAAAGATCACGATGATGATATCATTAAACAACAAGGTTCATTTCTAGCCCGCAAACGCAATTCCATAAAGTATCAGATGAGGATAGGGTATTTATAAACTAATGTACAAAAGATGATTTTGGTCCGTTGCCAACTTGACTGGTTAATACCAAGTTCACGAAGCATTCGACTTTCTTGTTTTGCAAATTGGATCACCAAGGAGGAAAAATATACTGTCCTTTTCTGTTCAGACTTTACAGTGATCCCCAGCCACACCATCTCCTTCCAATTCTGATGGCGGTGCCCGATATGATTCCCCAAACACTAACATTCATGGCGGCTTGCATTCCCATCATGAGGGTCATTTTCCCCATGTAGGCTAGGGCATCTGACCGCGAGCCGGCACCGCACCAGACTCCAAGGCCATAAACATCAGATCTGAGGGCGGGGGATGCTCCAGTGGATGAGAGATAGGATGCTGCAAGAGATCTCAGGTAGAAGGATTCAAGAGGCACAAAGAGAGCAGTTGTGATCATTGATGCGAGATGCGACGCAAGAGAGTCAACTGGGAGGGCAGAGAGGATTGTAACTCGGTGAGCTGGAGAAGAAGCAGCGGGAGCACCTGTCGCTGTACTGGGACGAACACTGGGGTCTGATATATGTGGGAAAATATCCGACTCAAGATCATTGTCCATATTGGGCTGCACGTCAGATATCTGGAGATTTGTATCATCATGAGATGGCTCTTCCACTACATCGGGCAAGATATTCACTGAACTTGACACAGGGGGCTCCACTGTGGATTCAAGAGCTAGTTGCTCTCCCGTTGTGTCATCTGGCCGACCAAAAGGTACAAGCGGAGTTGCGTTATCTCCAACCTCGGGAGAGGCACCAGTGGTCAGGTTGGAAAGAGCGTCGCTATCCATAGTTTCGGAGTTTAGTATAGTAGCGAGATTTTGACCCTGATTAGATAACAAAGAGTCAATAAAGTCAGATATAGATCGACGGTCAGCTGGCTCTCCATTCAAGGCTGGTCGATTGGAGTCATTTCCAGGCCTATGATTTCCTTGCGCTTGGCCCTGGGTATGGTGGCTCTCTAACTGTAATTCCATGGCAATGACATCTGAATTTTGAATAACTTGGGCTCGAACTTGAGGTGATGATTGAGATGAAGATGTGGAAGACGACTGGGAGAGTAGTGTATCTGAGCGTGAGTCTCGTGTGCTTTCATCAATTCCAGCATCGTCATGGCGACCCTCTTGCTCCCGTGGAGGAGATATGTCCTCAGTGGGAGTGTTGTGTCTGGCGCGTCTTAATGGAGTTAGGTCCACGATATCCCCATTCCCAGTTTCGGCCGGGGGTGAGGGAATTTGGTTCTCTTCATCCGATATAGCCCTTCTCCCGTCAGGATCGACATCTGAACTTGACATTGAATTAGACGCAATAATATCTCGATCGTGAGGCTGTTCTTGCAACGGCAAATGCGAATCTGTAGCGGATCTGATTGGCGGCTGAGATGATTGTGTAGTGTGTATGTGCTCAGTATTCCCGGGCAAAGATTCCGGGCATTCTTGTCCCCGAGAAATATCTGGTGCCTGTCTTGGGACGTGCGTAGCCCTTTTGCGTCTGAAGCTAAGTTTAGACGACATCCACTGTTGAAAAGTGCTCAACTCATATAGCAAGTCATCCATAAAAGACAAGTTGCTGCGTCGCATCTCCTCCTCCGATCGGCGCCCCAAAGTAGGAACCATCCAGTCAATGAGGTCATTGTCGAAAGCCACCTTGATGGAAAGATCATCCGAAAGGCTGGGCTTCGGCAGTCGTCTGCGAATAAATCGATATAGGCGGATTTCGATGAGAGGCCGTAGGTAGACATATATATAGAAAAGGGAGGGGGCTTTAAATAAATTCAGCACAAACGCGCTCAGAGAGTGAACCGAGAGATCCGCTGGAAAATGTGGGAGCTGCATCGCAGCAAACTCGCCAAATGGCACGAGGAACCCAATGCCTGGAAAGGAGGTATGATGGATTAAATGGAGGGATTGGAGTAGGGAGTATATATAAGTCTGCATAGCGAGGACTAACAGAACGCCTCTAGTACTAAAAGAATCGTCAGGATTAAACCGCATCCGGAGTTCAAACTACTTACGCAGAGTGTAAGATGGTGAATGATGCTCTCACGAGCTTCGATCCGGTGTCGTTGTTTGGAAAGTGGTTCTGTATAGTGGCGATTAAGCGCTCTAGAGGATGATATCGACAGATAAAGAGACATATTGACACCGCCCATGCCGGAACCCCAGCGAAATAAAAACCTAGACTTCCAAGGGAAGCACATTCCTGGTTTATTATACTCATTAAAGGGATATGTGTATAACTTTTGAAGGTCTAGAAGTCACCAGCACATTCAGCACCAACAATCTCTTCAAAGATTAAGTTGACATAGCTTACCTGTATACGACCTGTAAGAGATGAAGTCCACCACGAGCCTAGGAAAACAGATATTTGATCGAGAGTTACCATAACTAACCCGTAGTCATTTTCGGCGACTATCATATCGATCTTCTCTTGTTCGGAACGGCCGCGATTTCCATCTTCACTAACGACAATTCCCATCGTAGAGAGAATATCATTCTTCGCTCTTCTGAGTTCCCTTCCGAAATTCTTTGATTCCGTATTGACCGGGTGCCCCCTTTCATCATAGTGTTGGACATACCCATCGGCATGGAGAGCCGACGTCCTCCGTACTGTTGGAGGTGTTGCATCAGCCAGGGAGCTAGAAGTGTGCTCCGGGGCCTCGTACGGCGACCGGCCCTTCAAAATTGTCAATATATAATCCCTGTCATAGAATTGTGGACGGTATATAAATCGAGAGGATCATCGTGTAATCTATGGGTACCAGAGACAGATAGAACTATGTTGCGGGTAGGACTGATCCCACGCAACTCAGGAAAATTGGGGGATAAATTCCGGGATATTCAACTCAGAGCTATCAAAAGGAACTGAAAAAGAGATGTTCTGGAACAAAACAAGCGGAAAATAACCCAAAACTCCACCGATATACGGTCTGCGAACACCAGCTGAACGTATCCAAAGGGGAAGAAAAAAGATCAGAGAGCCTACCAAAGCTAGCCGGTTGAGATACGCACGTCGCCCCATTATTCAGGGTATAATCCCAGGCCCATCTTGTGGAAAGGACCAGAATTTCGATATGAGACCAAAAGGGATGCTGCTGGATGAAGCTTCGAGTTGCTTCAGCGTCATTTCACGTGGGGCGTGTGCTGCGTTTGTGGCGTCTAATGCACGTGCCACAATTCTGTATCCGATGTTTGGCGCATTAGCAAACAGAGCAAACAGGACAAACTCCGCTCAAAAAAAGATCGAAAAGTTTCGCAGGGACTATGGTCTGAACGAGATCGGACAACTACAATTATTGTTTTTAAGGCCTAGATATCTGGGAACAGATAATGGGGCGCTGAATTTCAGTACATCTCATTATCCAGACTCCCACCAGCCATGTCCAAAGCGGTTGTCAAAACGACCTTTGAGGCGTCTCGAACGCTTCGTCCCATTTACACCGGAGGAAGTACCGCATTAGATGCCAGTGGCCGTTTGCTGGTGACCTGTGTGGGCGAAGATGCCCTCATCGTCGACCTCGAAACCGGCGATCAGCTTGCGAGTCTTGAAGGAGTGAGTAGAGGTTCCGTCGCATTCTTATCTGTCGCACAATGCTAACCCCAGGCCTGTAGGATGGCGAAATCATTACGAGCTTAGCCAGTCTGTTGCACCCATGCTGTTTGTATTTACCTTTTTTGAACCATGTACTAACTTACTACTAGTCACCCCATTAGCGACGCACGTTATTCTTTGCTCGCGATCAATGTCGATGCGGATATACTCCTTGACGCCCTATGATGAAACTTCACGCACCCTTGAGACGAAGCTGGTCAGGAGCTTGAAACCGCACACAGCACCCGTTGTAACAACTACAACCGATCCAACGAGTACTCTCTTAGCTACCGGTGCTGCGGACGGCTCCATCAAGGTCTGGGATATCCGGGGCGGTTATATTACACATAGCTTCCATGGACATGGAGGCGTTATCTCAGCTCTCTGCTTCTTCCAAGCACCAGTGCAGGAGAGTGACAGCAAATCATCTTCAAAAAAGAAGAAGTCCAAGGGAAAGTCAGGAGATGCTGATGGGTTTGATGACGAGAATATGCCAGATGCAGATCTAGACGTAGTCAACTCTATCGGCTCTTTCCGACTAGCCTCTGGCAGCGAAGAGGGCAAAGTGAGAGTGTGGGATTTGAACAAGAGAAAGTCGATAGCGTCCCTTGATTCGCATGTTTCAGTTGTGCGCGACCTGTCATACTCACCAAAAGAAAACGCACTCATTTCCGCTGGCCGGGACAAAACTGTTATCGTTTGGGATATGCGAACATTTAAGACTCGAAGAGTTATCCCTGTTCTTGAGAGTGCTGAGGCGGCTACATTTGTTGCTGATAGTGGGTTATGTTTGGTTGGAGGAGAAAATGGAAAGTTGCGCGTATGGGATTGTAATAGAGGCGGGGAGGTCACAGCAGAGCAGGAGCCTGCCCCCGAATTTGAGGCGGTGGTTGCGATCCACTATTTTGCGGGCATGTCCTTTGCAATGACAGTGCATGCCGACCAAACTCTCAGGCTCCATTCACTTGAGCCTCTATGCGATTTCCAACCTGGGTCCACACTTGATCCATTGCCCGTTGTGAGGCGCATATCGGGGAACGACGATGATATTATTGATCTTGCGTATGTCGGCCCTGACCGATCTATGCTTGCTCTTGCTACCAATACCGAAAGTATCCGGGTGGTTTCTGTGGGAGCATCAGAGGCTCAGAAACAGGAGTATTTTGGTGCGGATATTGCTCATCTTGATGGTCATGACGATATTATCATCTGCATTGACGTCGATTGGTCTGGTCATTGGCTGGCTACAGGTGCAAAAGATAACACGGCGCGCCTCTGGCGTCTTGACCCGAAAACATCGTCGTACACATGCTTCGCAATCTTGACGGGTCACGCAGAGTCTCTGGGGGCCATCAGCTTCCCAAGGGATTCACCTCCTCAAAACACCCCTGCGTATAATGATCCGTTGAGCCACCCTCCACAATTCATAATCACTGGCTCCCAGGACCGTACCGTCAAACGGTGGAACATAGGCAAGCTTGGGCCAACGAACGCAGAAACCCCACATACCCCGAAGGCAATTTTCACTCGCAAAGCTCATGACAAGGACATTAACGCTCTGGATGTTAGCCCATCATCTGCATTATTTGCATCTGCTTCGCAGGATCGAACCGTGAAGATCTGGTCTACTGAGGACGGGTCAGTTGTTGGTGTCCTGCGAGGGCACAAGAGAGGCATTTGGTCGGCTCGCTTTTCCCCTCAAGGCACGCCCATCCTCAGCGCCGATGCTAAAAGCAGCACCAACAGGGGCATGATTGTAACAGGTTCAGGAGACAAGACCGTCAAGCTTTGGAGCTTATCCGATTACAGCTGTCTCCTGACTTTCGAGGGACACACTAACAGCGTGCTGAAAGTGCTTTGGCTTCCTCCTCCAGATATGTCGAATAAATCAGGCGAGGAGGACGAGGACGAGATGGCGGTAGACAAGCCCTTTGTACAGCTGCGACCCCTTGTGGCTTCTGCGGCTGCTGATGGACTGGTGAAAATTTGGTCACCCTATACAGGAGAACTAGAAACTACTCTCGATAACCACACCGATCGAGTTTGGGCATTAGCTAGCCCTACACCATCGGGCTCGCGTGATGACATCAAGGGCTCATCCCTCGCGTCCTCCTCCCCATATGCGCTGGCCTCTGGATCTGCTGACTCAACGGTTACATTCTGGACGGACACCACTTCTGCAACCTACACTGCAGCAGTCAACGCCAACTCAGTTCGTATTGAACAAGATCAGCAGTTGCAGAACTACATTGTAGCGGGAGCCTATCGTGAAGCCATCACACTTGCACTGCAGCTCAATCACCCAGGTCGACTTCTTTCGCTCTTCAATGCTGCAATTGATGCCGCAGATGACCCGAACTCGGATAGTTCCAATAAGGAAGACCACGCAAACTGCCTGACCGGAAATCCGTCAATCGATAAGGTCCTCCAAACTCTCGACCCTGAGAACTTGTGCACTCTTCTCCTCCGACTACGAGACTGGAACACAAACGCACGCAACTCCAAAGTTGCGCAGCGGATCTTGTTTGCCTTGTTCCGTTCATATCCGGCCTCGACATTCGTCGAGCTCGCGTCCGCAAGCATGGCCAAACGTAACGGTGATGGACGCACAGCAGCAGCCATGAAGGACATCCTGCAAGCTCTATCTGCATATACTGAGCGGCATTATCGCCGTATTGAAGAGCTCGAAGACGAGAGTTATCTGGTCGAATGGGTTTTAGGAGAGATGGACGGTGGTGTTGGTATCAGTGGACTGGCTGCACCCGGCACACAAAAGTCGCTTGACAGCTTTTCTAACGAATTGCCCGATCATGAAAAGGATGTACTCATGCTGGAAGCATGAAGCCGTTTCGATTAAACTGCCTCAGCGCGGAGACGGGGACATGTACGACTAGACACCATTTACGTTTTTCCGGAGTGACATGATATATACCTTTGGTTTTGTCTGGAGGAGTACATATTATTGCATTTACATTAGGGTGTAAAAAAAAGTTTTGTTTCTCTAGCTTATTAAATCATATCACCCATCTTGGCAGGTAAAGGCTATTTAACATCGATTTCCGCTTTTCCTAGCGAAGAACGCCAAAGTTGCTTGTACAGTACGGAGTACATTAAGATGGAATGATATGCGTCGAGTTCTCAACCACAAGTAGATCATCTAACGGCCATGACGTGAAACAGGATATCTTGAGCTAGTATACCTAAGTTGTGAATTACCCACGTAATGTAAGTTAGGTATATTGGGATTCAAAGCCAACCTCCCGATATTCGTCAATCATCATATTTGCGCCGTCGATGAGAGTCCCGGTCACCGTCATGGTCTCTATCCCGATCCCGATGTCTGCTAGAGCCATTGGATGAAGAATGTCGTGAGCTGTAACGGTCATCGTCGTAGTATTTATGCCTTTTAGGGTCACGATCGCGATCCCGCTCTCTTTCTCTTTCTCTATCGCGGTCACTGCGACGGTCACGGTCACGGTCTTGATCCCTGTCTCTATCACGATAGTACCGATCATCTCGTCCGTCACCATCTTCATCTTTGTATCTTCGTTGTCTGGAATCTCGATCACCAGACGACCGACTTCGATCCCTTCTGGAGGAGCGAACCCTACGACTCTCGCTGCGGGCATCATCTCGACCTTTTTCGTTCTCGAGACGTCGATAATTGCGATCTCGGTCACGATCTCTATCACGGCCATTCCTTTCAAGATTGCGATCCCGTCGTTCCTTCCAGTCGTCATCGTCGTGTTGTTGTTTAGAATCCTTCTTTAGCGTTGCGAGCTCCTCCTCCGTGATCATCTCGCCTGTCTTGGTATTTCGCATCAACACCGGCATATAAACTCCATCTGTGTTTCCTTCCTTTCCTTCCCCGGCTTTCCTGGCTCCTTTGCGCATGGCAGATTTACCCCATGCTCCTAGTTCCGCCTCGGCACCCTTACCACTGGAATCTTTAGCCCCGATTCCCAGGAATCCCGGGCGACGAGCGGGAATGCGCGGTGTAGTTGCGCGACTTGAATCCGAACTGCCATAGCTCCCTTTGCCAACAGCTTCACCTTCCTTCCATCCCATCCCGCGAAGCAGCGCAGCACCAAACTCCTCCACAGGGATCGCATTATACTGGTCCAGCGTCGCGGGTTCCGGTCGCGCAGCAATATCTGCCCTAAAGGACCTTGTCTCGTTGCCGTATGTCTCGAAAGGCCCGTCCTCGTTACCAGCCTGCCTAGACTCAATCACAAGGTCAGACCTGGCTTCCACTTCCCCCTGACTCTCTCGTACGAGCGCCCGCAATGCAATCTCATCTTCCGTAAGCGGTTTTCGTTCCTCAAGCGGTGTAGCCACGACGACATCTTCCATCCGTTCGTCTTCATCCGTTCGACCCGTTTGCGCTGCGGGACCTTGCGACTCCCGCGCAAAGCTCAGTCCATAGGACATACTAGCACCCGTAGTTTCGACATTATCATTCCCGGGTACTTGGCCCTTCCTCTGCGCTTCCTGGAGCGCCTGCACTTCCTGCGGTAATAAGTTCTTCCCCTTGGGTTTCCTAACACCAGGTCGATCCCTCCAGTTATTATTGCTCGCCACGGGAATCGTCAATGGTTTCTTCTCGGAGGAGGTGCCATCAGCGGAGATCGTTTTGCCCGTGAGTGTGTCGAATCCAGTCACGGATTCGAACGCGGGCTCGCCACCTTGGTCGGCGTCGTCATCGTCGGAGTCGTGGTGAAGACGGTGAGGTCGTTGCGCGAGCGTTTGGCTTACGCCCTCAGTTGCTCGAGCTGAGCTTTGAAAATTGAAAGAGGTTGGTTTCTTTGCTTGACCGTTTGGTGTTGAGGATCCTCCGCGCGATAATGTAACAGGTTTCATGGAGAGTCCTGCCGCAGTTTTGTTGCTGTCTCGCGATGGTGTGGAAGAGGACATGGTGATTTTCCCACAAGGCCCTTGTTTTGCCAGGTTGTTCTGCCGATAGAGAAAAAGAAAAACTAGACGGGAGGAGAAACGAGCCCCAGAAACGAGAGTAGTTTGGGGAAAGTTAGCATAGCGTGGGTATGGTAGCTTGCTGCTTTCGTGAGCACGACGATAGCTTTCAGCCGGTGCAATGAGAGTGGCGAAAATTAGGCGCGCGCTTATACCAAAGAAATCATCGTCTTCTCAACTCCGGTGCGTCGTATGGAGTACTTGGCCTTAGAACTAAAATAATGCTGTTATGGTGGTATAGAGGGGGAATAAGAGGAAAAAAAGGAAAGAAAAAAGAAGATCCGATATTGCGTTGTCGGGGAGTCGAACCCCGGTCCCTACCTTGGAAGGGTAGGATGATAACCGTTACACTAACAACGCCTGAAGACATGGTAGGAGAACAATCAGAATGCATTGTAAGAAAAACGGGCTAATCATATATAAAAGATACTAGTAGTCATTAACTGTTCCTAAAACTTGATTCACTCCAAGTAGCCTTCATGATACATCCCTAAGCTTCTGCGCCTACCCTATCGGTACACGTGTTACATAAAAAAAAAGAAGAGGAAAACAAGGCAAGTCCCGAAAATAAAACACTAGTTGATGCCTATACATCGTAGTATTTCGGGTCAAAACTGAGAGTGCGGTGACGGCACGACATTAATAAGGTTGTGATCGCAAATATGGAAAGGGTAACGGCGTTGAGAAGAGTGGCCGAGGGGCCGAGGGTATTCGAGGTATAAGACTTAGTGAAGGGTTGAAATACACACACCATAGTCATGTATGCCAAGGGGGGGATTTCGGGAATGAAAACGGGAGTAAAGGTGCTAAGGTCAATATGTACAAATGAAGAACAAGGGTATCCTCTGCAAAAACAGAAGAAAATACTAGAGAGTTATGCCAACCCAGAACACCTAGGTGCCTGCGGGTTGGGCTTGTGGGGGATTAGGACTCTTGTTGGGACCCGGCACTGGGCCATTTTGGACGCTGGCACTGCGCTGGGTCTGCGGGGTTGCGCTTCGACTTTGCTGAGGAACAGCGCCATTCATGGCAGGTGAGCTTGTGACAGGGACACGGTTCTGTGGAGTGGGTTGAGGAACACGCATCATCGGAGAATATCCTTGGGTCTGCGGGACCTGGATGCCTATACCACCATTCATGGCAGTTTGAGGTGCTTGGAAATTCCCGTCATGCGCGACCTGGTAATTAGCATGGGGATTACCTAGGTTACCCGCCGCAGCGTTCATGGCGACCTGGGACATGCGCTGTTGCTGATACTGATGAAGTCGGTCCGTCGCCAGCTTATTCACCTGTTCGATTGGCATATTGGGATTGCTACGCTGGATTTGGTTCTGAATGCTGCTAATCGTCGGAACCACTCCACCTGATAATAAGTTTGGTTGGGTCATGCGGGGTGAGGGAGTAGAAACGCCCTGCGGTGTAGCATTGTGGAAGGATGGACTCTGCATTCCGCCTCCCGCTTGCAGTGCGGCCATCATTGCGGCATTGTTCGGGGTACCATTGACAGCGGGCATATTAAGGTTGGGGGAATTGGACCCAGGCGCGACAAACTGAGGCTGCGCATGGAATTGTTGCTGGGCCGGTTGGGACTGAGCCTGCTGAGGGGGCAATTGCTGCTGCTGGGCCTGTGGTGCTTGCTGTTGCTGTTGTGCATGCTGCTGCTGCTGTCTGGATTGGAGAATCCGTTGTTGCTCTTGAAGGCGATTAGCCTCCCTGATCACTCGTGCATTATCTGGCGACGCCTGCACTGGTATTCCGGGTCGAGGACCACTGTTCTGTTGCATCCCAGACTGTGGCACCATCTTTATCGCCATAGGATTAGGCGGCATCTGACTATTGACAGGTCCACCACTAGCTTGCATACCCTGAACATGAGGTCGTCCTTGTTGAACTCCAACGTTTTGAGGCATCCCATTCGGTATTCCGTTTGGAATTCCATTGGGGAGTCCATTAGGCACGCCATTTGGGGGATTGCCACCCATTGGAGGAGCGGCAGGGTTGTGGGGCATGCCGTTAGGAGTTCTGCTGGGAGCATTCATCATTGCCTGTTGGTTAGGAAGCTGGCCAGCGCGAGCCGCCATATTTGCCTTGCCAGCTAGTTAGTTATAGCCATAGGGGTAAAGTACTGAGACAAGCTTACCCTTTGTTGGGCCATCATCTGTTGGCGGTACTGTTCTTGCCTCTCTTGAAGTTTCAGTTCGCGCTCATGCTTGAGACGACTAAATTCCGCGGGTGACGAAATAGGAGGTTTGGGTTGGTTGGCTTCGTTAACCTTCCTCAATGATGCTAGTTGAGAAGCTGAAACAGAAAGCAAGGTTAGCTTCTTCAGATGAGGCTGGGCTGTTTCAAACTCCTACCATGTTGCTGTTTTTGAATCATAGTTTCGCGCTTCTTCGCCAGCTTCCTCATGGCATCGAGTAGTGCTAAATGCTTGGAAGACCTTCTGCGATCAACCCGAATAGGCTGCGTTCCTCTTCGACGAATGATCGGTACAGCTTGTTGGCCATTGCTGCTGCTGCTGCTGCCATTGTTGTTGTTGCCCTGTTGCTGTTGCTGCTGCTGTTGCTGTTGAGCTGCGGCTTGTTGCGCCATCACATTACGTTGTGCAGTATCAATCCTTTGGTGATAAGCCCGGAAATACGGTGTTTTTGACATGTCGGAAGGTAACCCTTCAATACCTGCCCAACGCTCAAAACACTCCCAAGGCGTTCGTCTTTCCGCGCCAGAGGTGAATTGAGATGAGGGCGTAAGGCAGCTTGAGATCAGCGACCAGTTGTAGGAATACTCTTCGACGAGACTACGAAGCTCCTCGTCCTCTGCGTACGTCCACTGAGAAGATTGTCTTGATTCGAGGAAACCAAGCGAAGGCATAGGATATTCGGTTGGAGGTCTGAAAGGTTGGGCGGGATGGATGCGATCACGTATGTGCCTATTCTCGGGTTGGAAGAGCGCAACATTGGTCTGTTCTGGGGGCAGCTCTAAATAGTTATGCTCAGAGTAGGATTTGTATTGTGAATAATCGTAGCGGCTACGTTTTCTCGGAGGCTCATCGTCATGAAAAACTATCTTCCCTTGGGCATATTTTGAAACCGGAAGGATCTCAGTCTTCCATGATGCATCAGGGGATTCCTTAAAAGTAGGGAGATTTGTATTCGGCGAAATCTTGATGGGGGCGTAGATCGGTAATTCGTCTAGAAGCTTCTGAGCTGCCGGGGTCATATCCAAGGAAAAGGTAAATTCATCAGATCCGAGGGAGAAAATTGCGGCCGGTGCGATGGTGTCACGCATATCATGTCTTAGGTCATCGTTGAAACCCTCACTAACAGAGTCATCTTCTGTCGAGGGGACTAGATCTGGTGTGGGGTGAGAAATCCCCAGGGCCTCATCTGCTGTCTCATCTGGAGGAGAAGCCATCATGCTAGACTGCGATTGATCCTTCTCTTGAGACTTCCAACGAGGTATTTTTGTCTGCACACGAAGCAATGCTTGGTAATCGGGATCACTATGGACATATTCAGCACACCAATCCGCACAGGTTTTTGCCGCCGCAAGCTTCCACTTGCGTTCCTCTCGAAAATCAGTGCGCATCCACTTCATATGATCCAGAAGAATGTCCCAGTGCGCTCCTTGCCGGGGTGGCTCGGCAGATCGCTTAAGCTGACGCAAGGGCCATCTATTTGCATTTTGAAGGTCATAGATTCGCCGGAGAATACGGCAGTCCATTTGTTCTTGATAGTCGAGGAGGTGGTTCTTGGTAGTCAAAGTCTTGTGCGCGGAAGCAAGCAGGGTGCTCAGAGACGTGCCACGAGGAGGGGCGTATGCCTTATTCTGGAATAACGTAAAGAGATAGTCCTGTTCTTCGTTCAACCGAATAAGTTCACCAGAGTGTTGGCGAACAAGATCCATAGGGTTTTCTTTGTCTTGCTGGTGTTGCTGCTTCGGGAAAACCACGGTTGAAAGCTTGCTTCTTTCCTTCTCACGTGCCTTTCTATCCTTAATTCGCATCCTAGATGCAGAATCGGCCGAGGTATCTGTCGCAGTTCGTCCTATCTCTGTAGGTTTCGTACTCGTATGAGTCTTGTCAGACTGAGACAAAGCTGGCTTCGGAGCTTCACCTAGTATCTCGGACACAGATTTGTGTCGAATTGCACCGGAAGACACTCTAGTCGTCATCCTCTCCGTGAGGGGTGGGCCTTGAGTAGTCGGAGGACTTGGTTTCTTCACTGGTGGGACAAGTAGCGGGGCTTCCTCTACATTAATCTCTTGATCCGTTTGAGGCTCTCTTATGATGGTTCCAGGTACCAGGGTGAGTTTCTTTGACTCGGGTGACACTCCTTTCGGTGCTGATTCCAAAATATCCTTCTGTAGGTCTGTCGTAACTGAAGTTGAAGGAATGTCTTCCCGAATGATCTGGATTGTGGAAGAGGTAGTTGCAGCTCCATCTTTGATCTGGTTCGCCACGCGGGCATTCTGTTGCAGTGACTGGGCCTCTTCAAAGCGAAGTTGTTCATCTGGTGTAGATGGAACAAAGCTAGAGGGTCTAGAGACAGTAGCGTCATTCTCGGCAAGCTTCTCAGCAGGTTTGATCATGTCTTCTGCAGGGCTAGTAGCAGGGGACGCAGTCATGGGAAGGGGCGTGCTATTTGACTGAAGGCCAGCGGACGAGACAGGCGATAGAGGTTGCTCGCCTCGTTGGGCAGGGCGCCCTGAGATAATGGACGCGCGCGCATCTTGCTTAGTTTTCGGGGGGGGGACGTCAAGTCGCGGAGGCGGGACTGCGGAAGACAGTTTTGCCTGACTTGGGGAGATAGCAACATTCTCAGAATATTGGCTTCTTGCAGGTGTTTCTGGGGCCGAGGAAGTTGATACATGGAATCCTTTCGATCCTTCGGGAAAGGAGGTAGGTAAGACTTGAGGTGTAAGCTCGATGGGCGTTTGTTCAATTATGGGTCGAAACTGTTTCTTTTCGAGAATTTGGGGGACCGTGACATTTCTCGCTTCGACGCCCTCATCAGCTTGCGGCGTAGCATTTTCTCCTCCTGATGGCGGGCTGATTGGGATAGCATTGTGAGTAGCCGGAAGAGGCCCTACAGACCTCGCCGATGGCGCTTCTTTAACCTCTCGCGATGGAATGGCTGCATAGTTAGGTAGAGACGGAAGGGTGGCTTCGTTGAAGTAGCGACCTCTATAGAAATGGTGAGAAATGCGCAATCGCGGGATATATGGCTGAGGAGCAAGGGCAATGATAGAAGAGTATGAAGAGAGAAAGGAATACAAATCTAGAAATGCTGAAGTAGGTCATGTTCAATCAAAACTCACTTTGAAATGTCGTTGGCGTCCAGAAACGCCTGTTCTTTCTCCTGATAGAGAGAGTCAGCCAGCGGGCTCTCGGTCGCGCCCGCGTAGCCTACGGTCGCAAAGTAGAGCTCGCTCAATTTGCGCTTCCGCGACAACAAACAACGTCTAAAATTCCAAGTAAGTTATGAATCGATATTTCAAGACTCAAAGGAATGGAATAAATCGCAGGGAATAAATTAAAACTTACGCGATCTCATCTTTTTTAGACCGAAGAAGCTCTTCTCGGAGCATCGGGCCTATTTCAAGAACACAACATCCGATTAACGCGCTAAAATTAAGGGGAATCGACTGAGCGAAGTCATCCAGAAGGAAAAAATCGCTCGATAATGATGGAACTGATGTGGTGGTGGTGTTATGGGAAGCAAAAGATACGACACGATAATTGCTCTGTGAAGGGATTTTTGGGGGAGTGTTAGTGGTGATGAGGACCTTTGAACGGGTAGTCTAGAAGGGGGATTTTTGGTTGGCTCGAGAGTTTTTTTGGAAGGGTGCCGGGAGCAGCGAGAGAGAGGAGGTAGGTATGAAGGGAACTACATAGGTATGATTGTGATGACTACAAACAAGGAGGGTTTGCATTATTATTATTATTATTATTTTCGTTATCATTTTGTATACAGATCTCTCAATAAGGGCCATCTCTTTAATTTCTTCCAAGGATTTAGTGACCTTAAGAGTATCTTCCATAATACGGAGTACTAACTCCTCCCTCTCTTCCCCCTGGGCAGCACGTACCAAAGATACATCAATGGAAGCCTGAGGCCATAAGGCAGAGAGGGTATGGTTGTCATGGATCTGAAAAATTTTCAAAAATCTCGACACCCCAGGCAGTAAGAACCACACCGCCCTAGTCCGCTCGGAAATGGCTGGCAGAAAAAAAAAGTTGCCCGCTTTCTGATGCTCCTCAAGTCAACAGCGGAATATCAATAATCTTCATATCCTCGAATTATCAAGGTTCAACCATGGCAAAACGCAAGAGAGAAGAGACTCTGAAGGAGTCGCAACCTACAAAGCAGCCAGCAAAGGTTGCCAAACCTTCAACAAAGGAAGAATCGTCATCTTCTGACGGACCTGCGATCACCTTGCAAATCGTCACCGGATCTTATGAACGAGTGTTGCATGGCTTCACTGCGTCCATTTCTTCGTCCAGCTTGGCTGTGGATGACTCGAAGCAGTCTTCCAGTAGTCCATCTCTAGTGCAGTTTGTGGATACATTCTTGTTTGAGGCCCATTCATCCGCAATTAGATCTCTGGCTTTGTCACCAATGCCAAAAGCAGAGCTTACAGAACCTCCAAAAGTCATCCTAGCGAGCGGAGGTACGGATGAACGGGTCAATCTCTATACTTTGGCCGCTGCTCCTCCTACCGTGAATGAATACTATCCAGCAGTGCCTACCCTTGCTGGGAACAAGGTTTTAGAAAACCCTAGGAACAGAGAGCTTGGAGCTTTGCTACACCATTCTGCTCCCATCACCGCTATTCATTTTCCTTCCAGATCGAAACTTCTAGTTGCCGCGGAGGACAATACGATATCTGTTACGAAGACTCGAGACTGGACTGTTGTTTCCAACATAAAGGCTCCTCATCCGAAAGTTCAAGGCAGGCCGAGCGGTGATACTGCACCTCCTGGAGGCTCTCCATCCGGCGTCAATGACTTTGCTGTACACCCAAGTATGAAGCTGATGCTAAGTGTGGGTAAAGGAGAAAAGTGCATGCGACTCTGGAATTTAGTTACGGGAAGAAAAGCTGGCGTCTTGAACTTCACCAAGGACATTCTACAAAGCGTTAAGGAAGGGAAGTGGAATACAGGCGAGGGAAGAAGGATTGTGTGGAACTCTCAGGGAACTGAATTCGCCGTCGCGTTTGAATGGGGTGCCGTTGTTTTCGGGATCGTAAGTGCTCATCCTATGCGTCTACCTAAAGTCCCTTCTCTAACTTATAAGCAGGACTCGACCCCTACTTGCAGGGTATTCCCTAGTCCTCGAAGCAAACTTCACCAAATGAAATACGTCCCACTGGGATCCTCGGAGGATGCTAATGAACTGCTTGCTGTCTCAACTGAGGATGGCAGGGTTGTATTCTACTCGACTAAAAAACTACGACAACCGGAAGATGGTGATGAGTCCTCTATTCCTCATGCTGAAGCGGTCGCCCAATTCGGGGGCCGATCACATGGCTTTCCCGGGAGAGTAAAAGATTTCGAAATCATCAGTCTGAAGGAACAGTCAGCATCCCAGAGGGATGATTTTCTTGTGGTCACGGCAAACAGCGAAGGTGTCGTGCGTGTATGGCTGGTACATGGTACCGCCCTAGGACGGGAGACCGCAAAACAATCCAGCGACTCAAAGGATATTCAAGTTGGAAAGCTGCTTGGTTCTTACGACACGGGCAATCGCATTACCTGTCTCAAAGCATTTGCGATGCGTCCTGCAGAAGACCCTTCTACACTTGAAGATTTTGAATCGTTTGATGAGGAAAGTGAGGAAGAATCGAGCAGCGAGGAAAATGGTGACGAGTAGGGAAGGTGATCATGTTCTCGATGTTACTACTTGGTAAAATGCTAGTCTTATATACCCAACCCTTATTACTATCAAGGAGTGTAAAAAAATGACGGACATCAAGACGAGTATTCTTACAATGATGTTGATGATGATTCTTGGAAGCATCCGTTTTTGAGGATGACTCATAGTCAGGTATAAAGAGAGGAGGACAGGCTGAAAAAATAGGCCCAAGACATAGTTAAGGGCTGCAATTTAAAAAAAAAAAGAAAAAAAAAAAGAGGCAATATCCAACAACCATAAGTAGAAGAAGGAGTTTACTTTCAAATTACTTTTAAAAGTATCATCACGAATAATAATTAGAAACGAGAAGTGACCAGGCCCTAAGTACCTAAGGGACATTTGCACCGGGTCCCAATCCTGCCGCTGCCCACCGCCCGCTCGCTCTCCACTGCACAAAATCAGAACCCCACCGACCAAAGCCTGAGGGATTGTAGCGCCTCAGTCGTTTGAAAAACAGCAATTTTCATCGACCGACATCCCCTCCACCCTCCACCCCTTCCCCTCTCCCCAAATACCCCTCTTCTCTCCCCGAATCCGCTGTTAATAGCAATTATGGCTTCAAACGGCGATTTTTCCGACGAGGAGTCCCAGCCCGGCTCCCCCATCCTCGATGCCAACGGTCACGATGACATTGAAGACCAAGAGCCTCTTGACGACGAAAAGTCTCTCAAGTCGGCCATGAAGAAGACAGAGCCTCCAGTCCCCCAGCCGAAGAGGCCAGAGCTCCCTGAGCAGCCAGACCCAGAGACCCTCGACCTGTCGACACTGACCCCTCTGACCCCCGAAATCATTGCCCGCCAGGCCACCATTAACATCGGTACGATTGGACACGTCGCTCACGGAAAGTCAACGGTGGTGAAGGCTATCTCAGAGGTCCAGACTGTCAGGTTCAAGAACGAGTTGGAGCGCAACATTACTATCAAGCTTGGTTATGCCAATGCCAAAATCTATCAGTGCGACAACCCCGCTTGTCCTCGGCCAACATGCTTCAAGAGCTTCAAGAGTGAAAAAGAAATCGACCCTCCCTGTGAGCGAGAGGGATGTGCCGGCCGCTACCGACTTCTGAGACACGTTTCGTATGTTGAACACTAGCTTTTTTTTTGCAGACGAAAGTCCGTATCCTAATGTTCATTACCTCGATAGGTTTGTTGATTGCCCCGGTCACGATATTCTCATGAGTACCATGTTGTCAGGTGCCGCCGTCATGGATGCTGCCCTTCTCCTGATCGCCGGAAACGAAACTTGCCCCCAGCCCCAGACCTCCGAGCACTTGGCGGCTATTGAAATTATGAAGCTCAGCCATATTATCATTCTCCAAAATAAGGTTGACTTGATGAGGGAAGACGGAGCCTTGCAGCATTATCAGTCAATCCTGAAATTTATCCGTGGTACTGTTGCTGATGGATCCCCTATTATCCCCATCTCCGCGCAGCTTAAGTACAACATCGATGCTGTGAATGAATATCTCGTTTCGCACATCCCTGTTCCTGTTCGTGATTTCACCGCCTCGCCTCACATGATGGTCATTCGATCCTTTGATGTGAACAAGCCAGGTGCTGAGATTGAGGAACTGAAGGGTGGCGTTGCGGGTGGTTCTATCCTAACCGGTGTCCTGAAGCTGAACGATGAGATCGAAATCCGACCTGGTCTCGTCACCAAGGACGAGAACGGCAAGATCCAATGTCGCCCCATCTTCTCGCGAGTCATGTCGCTCTTCGCCGAACATAATGACTTGAAGTTCGCTGTTCCTGGTGGCTTGATTGGTGTTGGAACTCGTGTGGACCCTACTTTGTGCCGTGCTGATCGTCTGGTTGGTTTCGTCTTGGGTCATCGTGGACGTCTGCCCGCTATCTACACAGAGCTGGAGGTGAACTACTTCCTGCTGCGCCGACTTCTTGGTGTCAAGACCGCCGATGGCAAGCAGGAGAAGGTTGCCAAGCTGACCAAGAATGAAGTCCTCATGGTCAACATTGGTTCTACAGCTACCGGAGCAAAGGTCATGGGCGTCAAGGCAGATGTTGCCAAGCTCAGCTTGACCAGCCCTGCCTGTACCGAGATTGGCGAGAAGATTGCCATCAGTCGAAGAATCGAGAAGCACTGGCGTCTGATCGGTTGGGCCAACATTGTCGCGTAAGTTTTCCCCCTCTCCCTTTGTTCCTAGAACCCTTTCTAATTCCGCCGTCTCTAGTGGTAACACCCTTGAGCCCATTGTCAACTAAACCAAGAATACTTGGTGTCAAGTTCAGGTCAGCCAACTCAGGAGGGGGTTGTGGGAGATGAGAGCAGCGGTCTCTGACAGTGGATTCTGGTGGTTGGCACTCAAAAGAAGAAAGGGGTTACGGTAATAAAAGCGAACGCCAGGCATAATCCCTGAGTAGAGAATGCAGGAAGGTCCAACTGTCGCCCATTCCAACTGCTGAAAACTTCAAAGGACAAGAAAACGTGGGTTCTCCTGCACCGACTGTCCTGTTGAAGGCTCCGAGACATGAAGCCATGTCTCCAGCGGGTGGGATTGGGAGAATAGTGGACAGTTTTGGAAAGATAAAGTAGAGACGGCCAATTCTTTGACGTGTGTTATGACGCTGTTCTGTTTAGGGGAGGGGGGAAAAAAACTTTCTTGTGCCTATCTATCATATTCTTGTTTTCAACTTTTATGGACGGTTAGAAGAGATGATTCAGGGGAATTATGAAATGCAATGAACAAAATCTAAGACCCATATCATTTTTAATAAACTAATTCAAAGGATACAATCTAAGCAGATTACCAAGAAAAGGACTTTTAAACCTGTAATATTAAAAAAGGGCTGTACAGAGTACCTAGGTACTGGACACAATGCACTCACAGTAACCCTGTGATGATCAGGAAATGGTTGGGTGACTAAGGCTCCAGGCATCATCTGTCGCAGCTTCTTCTTGTCTTGTCTTGTCCTTTCCTTTGTCTATCAGCGAACAACGGACCACATCACAGCCACTTATATCCTGCACTGTCCGTTGTGCTGCAGGTTTTACAATGTACATTCTTGATGTAAGTATTTCTGAAATGAGGAATCCTTCTGCTCTGCACATATGTAGAGGAGTTTCGTGGTGCAACGGAGTAAATCGACGCTGACTTGACTACCGTGGCGCTTCTAGCAACTGGCGCGTCTCCTCGACCGCCCGCTCTTCCCTTGGAAGAACGTGCTTGTCGGTTTTTCCTTGGGTCAGTTTATCCTCGAAGGTCTTCTCTCTATTCGTCAATACAAGGTCTTGCAACGAACTAGCCCTCCCAAGGTACTGGAGGGTGAGGTGTCCCAAAAGGTCTATGATCAGAGTCAGGTATGCCCCTGGTGGTCCGTTATTAGTGTCAAGAAGGCGAATGGATTGGCTTACGACCTTTGTTTTTTTTTTCGTGTAATTCCAGGCATACGGTCGAGCAAAAGCCAAGTTTGGTTTCATTTCGGGTCTATATGGTCAGGTTCAGAATCTCGCGTTCATCTACGGCGATGTCCTGCCCAAGCTATGGGGACTCAGTGGTTTTCTGTTGGCACGGTATCTTCCGGCTAGTTTTCAGGGCGAAATTTCGCAGACACTCCTGTTCATCTTTGGTTTTAATCTGATCAGCACACTCCTGTCGCTACCGGTTTCATACTACAACACCTTCGTCCTGGAGGAAAAGTTTGGGTTCAACAAGCAGACTGTCAAATTATGGGTCAGCGATATGCTTAAGGGACAGATGCTTGGTATCGTTTTGGGCACTCCAATAATCAGTGCTGTACTGAAGATCGTTCAGAAGACTGGCAACTCGTTCTTTTACTACTTGTGGCTCTTTGGTATTTTCGTCCAGATCTTTGCTATCACTATCTATCCTATCGTCATCCTGCCCTTGTTTAACAAGCTGTCTCCTCTCGAGCCTGGAAAAATCAAGACGGGCGTTGAGAACCTGGCAAAGAAGCTGAACTTCCCACTCCAAGAATTGCACGTGATTGATGGTAGCAAGCGGAGTGCACACAGCAACGCATACTTTTACGGTCTTCCCTGGAAAAAGCACATTGTTATCTATGACACTTTGATCGAAAAGAGTGAGCCTGAGGAGGTTGTCGCTGTTCTCAGCCATGAATTGGGCCATTGGAGTCTTAGCCACACTACCAAGCTGTTTGGCATTGCTCAAGTAGGTTGCCGATTCCTTCACTTATCCAAAGCCAGTACGCTAATACCCCAAATCACAGTTCCACATGTTTTACATCTTTGCCCTTTTCTCTGCTTTCGTCAACAACAAGTCTCTGTATCAATCTTTTGGTTTCCACACGGAGCAGCCCATCATGATTGGATTCCTCTTGTTCTCGGACGCCCTCGCCCCCATGGATGCTGTTGTTAAGCTTCTCATGAACATTCTTAGCCGCAAATTTGAATTCGAAGCTGGTAGGTTCCCATTTTCTGGCATAGCTTTAAGCCTTGGTGAATACTAACGAAGAATAAGATGCATTTGCCGTGAACCTTGGATACTCTGAAGAGCTTTCGCAGTCTCTTCTTAAACTTCAGATTCAGAACCTGAGCACCATGGATGCGGACTGGATGTACGCCAGTTATCATTACTCTCACCCGATCCTTTCGGAGAGACTTAAGGCACTTGGTTGGAAAGGCGGAAAGGTCACCAACCTCAAGATGGAAGACAGTGACAAACCTGTCAAAGCTGCTGACCGTGAGCTGTGAGAGGTTTACTAGTGCCATGCACGAATACACCCCCTGAGTATTAGGAGTGTGATGGTCTAGGGATAGAAAATGGTTAGCCACCAAAAAGTCCACATTGGATACTGAATAGCTTGTACTTGTTCAAGAATAAAAGATAAAAAAGAGATATCATTAAGAGTAATGAAATAAACCCATCAACCATTTGCGCCTGTATGCTTTCTCGTTTCCTAGATCCCAGAAAGAAAAGACCCCTGAACGATAACATTAACACCTCAAGAGCCAAATCCCCGTTCATTCTTCCGAGACCTGTGCCTTCGCTCTCTTCTCAGCCTGTCTGCGCTCCTTTTTCTTCCTTTTCCTCTCCTCTTTATCCACACGCCCAGAAGCGTCCGCATCAACCTTGTCCACATCCATCAGCTCCTGAGACCCAGCAACGCCCTCCGTATCCACACCTTGTTCAAACTGCTTCGCATCCTCCCAGCCATCTTGCCCAGTCTCCCCCGCAGTTGCATCCTTCGATTGCTGCTGGGCATCAAGGCCTTCCTTGAGCTTTGCGAGTGCCAAATCCCGACCTAGGACCTCCCCTGCCAGACCAGCCTGCACACGCTTCAGATTGTGCAAGATGAGATTCGGCGCTGCAGCTGTAGTTCGTGAGACGGGGCCATGCTCGCTAATTCCGGCGTTAGGTTGGAGCGCGGGGTCTGTGGTGGCGCGGTCGAGGTAGGCTGCGAGGAAATCGTGTGCAATGGATTGTGAAATAGGTTTGGAGGAGATGATAGTTGTTGGCGGGAGAGGGCTAGGATCTTGAGCGGACATTATGGATGTGTGATTGCCTCTTTTTTCCCCCCCCCTTCTGGTGCTTTTAATGCAGTCTGATTTCTTGCGCTTGTTTGGACGGTGGGTGTTTTCAACGCGGCGATTGCGTATCCCAGAATACGGCAGTGTGGGTTGGAAGAGTAGGAATATAATTAGGGATTGAGTAAAGAATAGTTTGTCTTCTATCAGCAATCCCGAGGGGAATTTCAAATTGAATAATAATGAATTATGGAGTATACTTTGTTTGAGGTTTTCAATAATGATGGGACGTTCTCGTAAGTAGAAAAAAAAAAAAAAAAAGTTCGGATGTTGGTGGCACGTGCGCTGCTGCGGCGCCGGAGTTCGTGAATTTTGTTCCCATTACCAGCAACTTCAACGGCAACAACACCACGAGAGACGAGCCAAACCGCACCAGCACAATCGAAATCTACCCGGTCCACTCATTAGACCCTGTCCTCATTCATTGCGTTATATCTTTCCCCGTCGACACAATGCTCTGCGTGCGGTGCCGGGCCATCCCCTCCGCTCTCAGGACAGCTACGTCCTTGACGACCAGGTACAGGGACTCATCCCCCCCCCCCCCCCCCTCCTTTTTCTCTCTTGGTCATTTGATCGGATATTTAAGACCAGCATTGACGTCTCCTAGACAATTAATCGCCCCCGTATCGCCTCTCTCCTCACTCCCATCACAACTCCGATCCTTCTCCCTCGCGACCCGCCCATCAATCCACCCACAACCACACCTACAAAGCAGCCTCTCCTCCATCCGATCCCACATCCAGAGCACACTCTCCGCATCGCCCAGTCCAGCCCAGCAAACCAGATCTTTCTCTGCTAGCAGTTCCCTCGCGGGTAAACGCACAACTTATAATCCTTCGCGGAGGGTGCAGAAACGGCGCCACGGATTCCTGACCCGGCTAAGGTCGAAGGGAGGACGAAAGATTCTGCTCCGACGTAAAGCCAAGGGGCGGAAGTCTTTGAGTTGGTAAATATCTGTGGGGGGGGGGGTTTCTTTTCTCCCTTCAAGTTTCTCATCGTCTCTTTGTTGGGGTTGTATTATGTATTTGTCTTGCCTTGCTCTGGATCATTTGCTGGCATTGGTTACCGGGAGCTTCCCTGGTCTACACATGCGGGAGATGGGGAATTGAATCGGTTATGGTGATATTGAGAGTTGGATATTATTGCCTTTGCGGAAAGGGTCAGGGCCTGTTTTGTCCTGCTTGTATCATAGAAATATCCAAATATAAATATCTTCGACTGTCTGTGTTCCGCTAGATATATATATATATATATATCTTGGTGCTTTCATTTGCTCATCTGTTGTGGAATATGTTTGAACGCTATGAATAACGCCCAGGTCAACCGTCACGAAGAAGACATGTACAAGTCGTAAAGTAAAGTATTATAGGCACTACGGAAACTAGCTACTTGCGTTGTCGAAGCTATATCTCTAGTTGAGATGATGCCGTTATATCACGGGGAACTAACACTTTCCTTCCTTCTATAGCAAACCCACCAACACCCCTGGCAATCATTAGGTTTTTACAAAGCATCACTCATCATCTTCGTCGTCATCATCATCATCATCATCATCATCCTCATCATCATCCTCATCATCATCCTCATCCTCATCATCATCCTCATCTGATCCAGATTCTTCATCGTCATCTTCGTCATCGGATTCTTCCTCTTCACCATCACCAACCTTCAACCCGTAGTCATCCTCGAATTCCTTAAGAGGTTGCACCTTAGGAGAAAAGCCGGATTCCTCCATACCCTTTTTGATAGTCTAAATAAAATGTTAGTATCCGAAATTTTCCTGGTGGCTAGAGGAGGAATTGAACATACCTGTTCAAGAACAGTGGCGCAAGTAATGACAATATTTGCGGTATCAGGAGCAAACAGGGGCAAGATGATCTCCCGCAGTGCTTTCTTTATATCTTCAACGCTAATGTCGCGCACTTGCTTGAGGATTCTCTCCTTGTAGTTACTGGGTAAGGCGCGAACTACCTGTTGAATGAAGCTGCCCTGCGCTGCGCTAGCGACGGTTATCTGTTCATTTGCGAAACTGACAACAATGCTGCTGATAGCCCCCTCTAACATCATTGGGTCAAAGGCAGCCTCTCCGGAGAGGTGGGCTTGGACGATATCTCTGCTTGATTCAAAAGCCTTGTGGGCATTGGGCGAGCGGTACACATCAAAGTTGACAAAGCCCGTATCAATATTATAGGCAAAGTTGGTGCCATATGCCAGACCCTTTCCTCGAACGGCAACCCAGAGCGGCCCTTCAACAGCATTCATGTATGCGATCGCTACCAGTAACGCGGGGAGCTTCGGGTCGTCGTACGAGTCAAGACCACGAGCCGTCGCGTAGGCAAAGGATGAATCGATAGTCGGCATGGGGACCACATATGCCTCCCCACCCAGTTTCTGACCGGCCTCACTGAGCAATGCCCTTCTCACGGTGATTGGCGTGAGGGATTCAGCCGCGCCCAGTCGCTCAACGAATGGCTTCCAGTTCGAGACAGGAGAGGCCAGTTTCTCAAGATCAGCGACGACCAGAATCCGGATATTCTCAAACTTGAAAAGCGCCTTTCTAATCTCCTCCATGCGTGCAACAACTTGTTCTGGGTCTTCTGCAAGCTGTCGCTTGATGCGCTTGAGGTACCGTGCTTTGACTAGAGTGCTTCGGGCACGGACAATGGATTCAGCTGCATAATGAACCATGACATGAACTGCTGCAAGCATGTCATCACCGTTACGCTTAGCATCTGGAACGTCAGAGAGAAGTCTGCTGGTAATGGCTCGGAGCCTTTCAACATCAAAAACTGAGTTCCAAGAAAGTTCCTGCAGCCAGGCAATTGCGGTTTTGTACTTTTCTAATTCAACCTGGAACGAGATGCGTAACATTTCCGTGTTTCCTAGGCTTCTGGCAGTCTCCATGGAATACCCGACTGTGTCCCGTTCCAACTCAACAACGACTTGCTCAAAATTGATGGTCTGGCCGTTGCGCTGGACAGGTAGGTTGAAGAATGCCTCTGTGTAGATAGACAGAAGAGGGCGGAGTTGGACAGGGACAGATTGTGCCGATATGAGGAGGGAGATTTGGACGAAGCTGCTAGGAATGTGCCCAAAATGAATGAACAGGGGCATGTCGGGCCCGTCAGCATCCACGATTTGCTGGGCTTTGTTGTTTTGCCGTCCCAATCGCAAGGCAGCTCCAGATCTGGCAGTCATTGTTTCCACAAAATGGATGGATTCAATACCAGGAATCTTGAAATCCTCGAGCATCTCCTTGGGGATTTCCTTGTCATTATCAGCCTTCGCTTTTTCGAGCTTGTCAGCCAGCTTTTTTAAACCCTCCTCGCCAAGTCGCTTCTTCTGTGCTGCAACCCGAGCCTCTTCTTCCTTCTTCAGGCTCTCTGACAATTTTAATGAAGGGGTTCCAAGGATAGTGACATGAGGAGCATCGGAAATCCATTTTTTGATGAAAGAGCGCCATTCCTCCTGTGTCCACTTCTCCAAGGTATCGTACTCCGTCAAAGTTGCGACATCTAACAGAGTCGACCCATCTCTCTTTCCGAAAAGGAAATCCGAGATGACATACTCTGCAAAGGAAGAAGCAGAGCTCTCCGTGGAGAACTTCCAGGTCCGTCTTTGTCGATCAATGCACTCTCGCAAATACTTCATATCGAGATCCTTCTCCATCGCATCCTTCAATACCTCAAAAAATCGCTGCTCTACCTGTGCAAGATTTCCTGTCTCCACGCTAGTTAAGGTGAAACGGATTTCAAGGCTAGGACGATCATCCGTAGCGTAATAAACGGCACTGGCAAGTTGTTCCTTCTCCACGAGGATGTTATCCAGAAGAGATGCAGACGAGCCAGCAAGGTAAAGCAATACAACATTGACAGCCCCAGCTATTGCGAAGTAAGTATTAACTCATCCAAAGGGGAGGAACATGTGATAAACTGACTTTGAATGGGATCGGTGCCATCCGGGCCCAGGAAACGTATCTCTATTTCTCCAAAGGATTCGTCTTCCTCAGGGAATTCTACCGCTTGTACAATAGACTGTGGCAACTGCGGAGCCTGCTTTGAGTCAACCCAGGGCCGCTTAAACGGCGCAGTAGGGCTGGGAATGACATCAAGAATGGTGTCTTCGAACCGATCTAATGTCTCTAGCAAGTTGTCATGGTCTACCTCGCCTGTGATAATCAGACATAAGTTCTTAGGCTGGTACATTTCCCGGTGGAAATCCCTTATCCTCTTGGCAGTCAAAACGCGCAGCTGTTCCATCATACCCCCAGTTTCGTAGCGGAAACCTACGCCCTCGGGGTATGTTAGCCGGCGGGCTGTTAGGTCAATGAGTTCTGCTGCGTTGTTCTGAACCCCCTGCATCTCAGAATAAACAACTCCAGCATCATTTCCGCTGCCATCAATATGATGCACCTCAGTATAGCAACCTTCATCTGTCAGCGTTGGGGCAATTACATGCTCCAGATACACAGGCAGCATCCGTGAAAAGGCTTCCCAGCCCGCAGTGTCCAGTGTGTATGCGGTGTGATCTGTAGCTGTCCAGGCATTGGTATTCGAGTAAAATCGCGTGGCAAGCTTGTCCAGGAATCCCTTGTACCTGTAATTGCGCGACCCCATGAAACACAAGTGCTCTAATGTATGAGGAGCCCCAGAGTCATCGAGAATTTCAGTAGCGAGAACAAAATACCCAGTCACCTTAGGTCCCTTTTGGTCAATAACGACAACTCTCATTCCCGTTCTCTGCGATTCATATTGGACAAACTCGCTTGGCGAGTAGTCTGGTTTAAATTTCTGGAGCAGTGTAAAGTGATTGTTCGGGATGGATGGCATCTTCGCGAGTGACCCTGCGAGTCTTCGGGAATAACTCTTGATTTGGAAGGTTGAATTGGGTCTAGATAATAAAGATCTGGACGAAGATCGGTTAGTTACGTTTTGGGAATCGCATTGGAATGCATATGAACGCTGTTCAAACTAAGCTAGTATTATTGCCCAGAACACACAAGAAGGGACAAGTGGTAGACTGAGATGAAAAGAAAGAGAAAATTGAGACGACTTAAAATGAAGCAAACACAAAAAAGCCTCGAGTAGGTATATTCCATTTGACCTCAGCGAGCCCTCAACATAACTCTAGTACTAACAGGAATGCATTCAACAGAGGGGTGGAGATTTTGTTCGTTTCATCCCCTATAGAAAGCCGACAGCAACACAAACTCACATAGATTGAATATGCGTAGCCCAGGGCAGGCCTCGTATGACAAGACGAGCCAACGCGATGGTCACTGTTTGACACGAGTTATACGTCTCGACTTAAGAACCGTGTTGTGCGTTGAGGGGGATGTTGTCTTCGGGCTGAAGACGTGTAGAGCAGATTTGGGGTTCAGGTACAGACGAATATCACCATACCAACCGATCAACAGAATTAGACACTTGAGGAGAAACCTTCATAGGCTTTAGTTTCCGATTTCTCGTGTCGAATTGCAACCAGGCCTAAAGGTTGCTTTGTGAGGCACAAAATCCAAGCTTATTCGGGCCCAGCCCACCAAAGGCGGTGAACAGGATGCGGAGTCACATGGTAAGGACAGCATAGCTTCCCCCCAAGTTGGTGCTGGTCAACAATACAATCTCCTTTGCTAGTACCAGTAGCTGCGAAGTGACCTCTGAGGAGTGCAGCTTGTAGCTTGCATTCGTTTCCCTGACCACACACTGTGGACGATTCCTGGTCTACTTTCAGAAGATTACCAATCCTTGGTGGAAGACACAAGGCAGCATGTCGACTCAAACATCGGACCAGGAGATATGCCAGGCCGTTCTAGACTTCGCGGCTGAAGGCACATATCCGGACTCAGAGCAGATTGTAGCTGCCGAGTTTCCGCAGTCAGCGCTTGCAAAAGAATTGGAGCTCATTACGAAAGCCAGGGACCAAGTGGAAGTAAGAACATCTCCGACTTTCCTTGCACAGCCGGTGGACTTTTGTGCTAATTTCGTGCACTGAATAGGCGGAGATCAGCTCGCTGAGCCGGGAAAATGATTTTGATGCCGATGGGTGGATATCCCAAGCAAAGCAGCTTCATGCAGACCTCGAAAAATCGAGACTTACGGCGCGGGAGATTGTTAAGCAGCATGAGAATACCGGACCTTTACAATCGAAAATCGAAGATGCTACTGCAAAAGCGGGGTTGATCGAGAAGGAGATTGTTTTCAACCAGGCTGTAACAAGCACACTTGAGGAGGTGCAAAGGCTCTGTCAACAGCTCGATACCTGTCGAACCCTATATAAAGAGGGAAATATCATAGCTGCCATCGATACTCTAGAAGCGGTTGATCATGCTGTAAACCGAGACAGCTCCTTCCGGAACACCAATGTAATGGGGATACTTCTGGAGAACATAGCAGGTTTGCGCCGAGAAATTATCGACTTCCTTCACGTTCGCTGGGATGAAGTATTACTGGTTGACCAGAGCGAGGGTAAACTGGTGGTCTCTGGTAAGAATCCTTTCAATTTGGTTTATTGTGAGAAAACACGGCTAAGATTTAAGCAGAGAATACGTTGGAAGAAACTATTTCAGCTTTGACCCTCCTCGATGAATTTACTCCAGCGAACAATAGATTTCAAAAGGGCTTGTTCCTGGCGATTGTAGATCCGCTATTGCTACCTGATGTGGATGGCTACAGCCACGAAATTAATATAGACAAATGTTCTGTCCATGTTGGCCCTGAGCCATCGCGAGTTACAGTTTCGGAGCTTTTGGGCCGCGTAGCCAAAGTCCTTGGCTTCCTCCACCAGCACCTTCCAACGGCCGTTCTCAGTTCATTTTCAGACTCGTTCATCCCTACCCTCTCATCGAGAATCATATCTCATTGGCTGTCGTCCGCCATACCTACAGAGCTTGATGGCCTACAGGAATTTGAAAGTATCTTGAACGAGGTTCTTGAATTCTCGAAGACCATCGAGGCGTTCAATTGGCATGGGCAAGAAGAACTTGTCTCATGGGTCAATCAAGCCCCTCGCCTGTGGCTCACAAGGCGACGAGTCGACTCCTTGGACCAGGTTCGCAAAGCGCTTGCTGCCAGCAAGGGGAACACACGCCAGGTAGAGAGAGTTGAAAAGAAGCAAGTGTCTGAAACAGACGAGGTTCTGCTAGAGAACTCAACGTCGGATGATTGGGATGCCGGCTGGGATGATGACAAAGAAGGCGAAACTGGCCATACAGTTGATGAGGATGTTAGTGCATGGGGCTTTGATGATGACACCAGCGACGCAGTGGATTCGAAACCCGAGACGAGTACGAGTACTGAGGATGACGATGTAGGGGATGCCTGGGGTTGGGGAGAGGATGAGGATGATCAACCTTCAGTAGAAATCACCCAGCCAAAGGCATCAACCAAATCTGCTAATGGCGACAACACCGCTAAAACTCTCCCCAAAGAAGTTACCTTGAAGGAAACTTACACTGTCACTGATGTCCCCGATTGTATCATCGAAATTATTCGGCGACAGATCTTGGACTCCGAGGTTATATCTCAACCTACGTACGTTCCCCTTCAACCGTGGTATGCAACCCTCTAATGTATCTTTTAGGCAATCCCATCCCCTTGTTGGTTCCTCTGGGGCTGGCCTGCTCGCTCTTCCAACGCTTATTCTGGCCATGTTCAAAGCAACTGCTCCATCGTTCTATAGTCTCAAACCGAAGGCGGGTCAGATGCACTTGTACAATGACAGCTTATATCTCGCAGGCCAGGTACATCAAGTGGCAGAGGAACACCAACTGCCCAGACTTCACACGGATATTGAAGCTCTGGAGAAGTTTGGCAAATTCGCTTATAGTAAAGAGATGCAAACTCAACGAACAATTGTCACCGACCTGCTTGATGGAGCTCAGGGCTTTAGCCAATGCTCGGAACAACCTTTTCTTGGGGAATGCGAAAACGCAGTTAGTGCAACTGTTGAAAGGGTTCGGTATGTTTTTAAGGAGTGGCAGCCGATATTATCCCATTCTGCACTTCTCCAGTCAATTGGGTCACTAGTCTCGACGGTGATTAATAAGCTTATTATCGACATTGAGGACTTGGGCGACATCTCCGAATCGCAGTCTCAAAGACTTGTTTCGTTCTGCAATTCCATCTCGAACCTAGAGAATCTGTTTCTGCCCGAGAACTCGGATAATGCCGAGTCTATTCCTCTGACCGCAGTTTATGTGCGAGGTTGGCTCAAATTCCAATATCTGGTCAACATCCTTGAAAGTTCGCTCGCTGATATCAAGTTTTTGTGGGTGGATGGGGAGCTATCTCTGGAGTTCTCAGCGGATGAAGTTGTCGATCTGATTGAAGCCCTATTCGCTGAATCCGACTATCGGCGAAAAGCCATTGCTGACATTCGGAGAGTCTCCAGAGGCTGAAAGCGAAGTGCTCAGTAGTCACTTGTATATAAATTAAAGCGCAATAAATCCATTTAATCTTGTTATGCAAAAGTTGTTGTCCATTTTGGAAACCTATGCGGGGAATCTTCCGCGCTTGGCGCGAGTGGCCGCATCGCCCGCCGTAATTTTTTTTCCTCCCCGTCAAGCGGAGATTTTTTTTTGTAAACTGTCGATGAGCATAATACGGGCTTCGACACCGCTATTCATACGAGTCTTTCGTTAATTTCACGGCTCAAGATGAATAATGACCAGAATCCCGCTGCGGACTCCTCATCACAGTCCGCACAGCGACAAGTTCGTGTGCAACTCATAAGTCAACAGGAAGATGTTGCGCTGCCTGAGAATACGGGCCCTATTCTGGTTCCTACTGGTGAGTTTGTATCCCAGCAATTATATGCAGTAGCTGCTTAGCTTGGCCATCATTCTGATTCCTGAATACCATAGGCTTGAGGCGATATGCTCTCTCGACGCTGGTGAACAATCTCCTGGGCAATGACAAACCGGTTCCGTTTGAATTCCTGGTCAATGGAGCATTCCTCCGAACTTCGATCGATGAGTATCTAACGGCCAACGGTATATCTGCGGAGACTACACTGGAAATTGAATACGTCCGAGCCTTGATCCCCCCTCTGCACATCGCCTCATTTGAACATGATGACTGGGTCAGCTCTGTTGATGTGCTTTCCGCAACGTCGCCGGCATCGAACTGGAGTTCCAAGACTGTTTCTCAAGGCCAAGAACGAATTCTCTCTGGAAGCTACGATGGCCTGCTTCGGGTATGGAATATGTCGTCGCAGATAATCGCAACTTCACCATCTCCAGCCGACGGAGGACATACCTCTTCCATCAAGGCGACAAAGTTTGTTTCCCCAACCTCAATCGTATCGGCCGGCCTAGATCGGACAGTGCGTCTATGGAAATATTCTGAGAGCGATGATGGATTCTCCGCGAAGATCTCCCCACAACTCGAACTTTACGGGCACAAATCTGGTGTCAACTCGTTAGCCGTGCATGCACCTTCGAACCGCATCTTGTCGGCCTCTGCAGATCATAGTGTAGGATTCTGGTCCACGAAGAAATCAGATGCGCCAGCTGCCCCAGAAAGCCTCCTCCCGTCCGCTGTCTCGAGGACATCCAAGAGGAGGAAGCTGAATACCTCTGTGAGTGTCTCGCAGCGCGGGCCGCTAGCCCTTCTGTCCGCCCATACTGCTCCTGTTTCGGCCGCAATTTTCGATGCCAAGGATTCGACTGTGGGTTATTCCGCCTCATGGGATCATTCGCTCCGGACATGGGATCTTGTGACCGCTGCCCTCGTCGATACCCGCACAACGTCGCATTCGCTTCTCTCGCTCGAGCACCTTCCTGATCACCATCTCCTTGCCACCGGAACTTCTGCCCGTCATATCACCTTGATAGACCCCCGCGCATCAGCAGCAACCATCTCCGCCATGACTCTCCGGGGCCACACAAACGCTGTGGTTACACTTGCGCGTGACCCTCACAGCACCTATGGGCTCATCAGCGGCAGTCATGACGGCACCTGCCGAATTTGGGATATCCGTGCCACCAAAACCGACAAAGACGGAGTTGTTGGCGAAAGCGTGTATTCCATTACAAGGAAGAGTCTTGAGGAAGAAGGCAAGGCGAATAGCAAGCGTGTTGGTGGAGAAGGGGTCAAGGTCTTCAGCGTATGCTGGGATCAATCGGTTGGCATTGTGAGCGCTGGTGAAGATAAGCGGATTCAAATCAATCGTGGAGAAGGAGTACTGTCTTCTGCCTAGATTAATTGCATATATGTATGGGTTTGGCGTCTTAATTGTACGGTGAAAAGTTTTAAATCCTAGCTTTTACAACGAATGTTTTTTTTTTTTTTATATGAGTCGTTATGATATAGTCATTTGAAATCACTTGTTTCTTTTTTGTTTTGCCTGAGCAATCGTTACGAGCAATTATCAAGTAGATCCTCCTACTTGGAGTAGCTAAGGAGAAGCTACCGAACATCTAATGGTTTCTTGTCCACATATAGTACATTCCATCGAATTTCTAGGGGAATCAAACTTTCCAATAAAATTACATTGAAATACAACGCCATACCATGCCCGCACAGAATAAACCAGTCGTCAAACCCCGCCAAAGGTGATGCAGCACCGCACTCGGAGTTCACACTCAAAGTCGTCTCTCCATACGGTTAAGCTTGACTGCAGTTTGGATCTAGAGTGTAAAAAAGGATCAGAATAACCCCCGCCGTGAATATAGGTGAAGGATGCAGTGAATTGCCATCCAAAATATCGATGGAGGAAACCTACCTGGCTTCTCGTCCGCTGTCCCCGAACAGGCAATCCTAGAGCATGGCGCCTCCCACGGTATGTTCCCGTCTCCTTTAGTCGCTTGATATCGTCGAGGTACTGTCTCCGAAGATCATTCTCAATCTTCATATCAGACAAGGCGGCCGTCAGATCGAGAACCTGTTTGTTTGCGAGCTCGCCAACTTTGCATGTCGGGTGAATGTAGAAACGCGCGAGGAGGCGCGATGACGCTTGAGAACCGACACCGAAGAAGGATTCGAGGGATTTCTGAATTTTAGGGGAATATGTTAGTCTAGACTAGAGCGTGCAGTGCACGGGAGAGACGTTGCGGGTTGCTACTTGCCTTGACGAGATTCCGCTCGGGGAAGTTCACACCTAGGATGAAAACCTGAAGGTACCTTTATTTTAGCGGGGGTTTGAGAGACTTTTTAAAAGGAATTGAAGTGGTACAAACCATTTTGGCGGTTAACGGTGCCTGGGGATATTGGGGATTCTTTTGCTTTGCTTGTCGGATGTCGGGACGAGTTGAGGTCAGAAGAAATTATCCCGTAATAATGTTTTCCCGGTAATATGCGAGTAATTTTCACTATCTTTGGATGATTTTTTGATTTCCCCCGTTGCATTTTCATGGGAGTCTCAGGTAATTCTTTGAGCATAGTCTTGAAAATTACAGAGCACCTTTCCCAACTTAGCATAGCTCCATCATGATGCAAGCTGGCCTCCCTCATCGTCTTCCCCGATAACGTCGAGAGCGACGGAATGTTATCTCCTCCAATTCGACCTCTCGGTTCCCATATCTTCATCACCAAAGTCCCGGAGGTACCATTGTGAAATAATGGCGAACTTCAAAAGCATTTTCTTGTCCTTTTTCGTGGTCCTAGCCATTGGCCTGGCTCTCGTCCAGGCCTCTGAGACCCGCGGCCCAAAGATTACCAACAAGGTAGCCAATGCCTGTTTTCAATGCTTTTAACAGGGCAATCCATCTCCTTTTTTGAATGTCAACTACTAATTGTACCCTCTCTCTTGGGTAGGTCTACTTCGATATCGAGCATGGTGATGAACCCCTAGGCAGAATTGTCCTGGGATTGTACGGCAAGACCGTTCCCAAGGTGATTTCCCCCATGGATTGTGATAGTTTACCGTCGACGTCGACTAATCATCTTCTCCCTAGACTGCTGAGAACTTCCGGTATGGTTTCGGTTGGATTGGATTAAGTCCATGTTTACTGACGTTTCGTCCCTAAGTGCCCTTGCTACAGGTGAGAAGGGCTTCGGTTATGAGGGATCTACCTTCCACCGCGTTATCAAGAACTTCATGATCCAGGGTGGTGACTTCACCCGCGGCGATGGTAAGTATATATTCTGCATGGGGAAGAACCGTAGCGTTCCCGGGCCTAACTACGTTCGAATAAGGTACCGGCGGAAAGTCGATCTACGGCGCCAAGTTCGAAGACGAGAACTTCAAGCTTAGGCACACTCGCAAGGGTCTTCTGAGCATGGCCAACGCCGGCAAGGATACCAACGGCTCCCAGTTCTTCATCACCACCGTTGTCACCTCGTAAGTCATCTCCAGCGTTTATCTTCATGATTCTATTTAGATAGCTGACTAAATGGGGGAACACAGCTGGTTGGATGGCCGTCACGTCGTCTTTGGTGAGGTCCTCGAGGGCTACGAGATTGTCGAGAAGATTGAGAACGTCGCCAAGGGTCCAGGCGATAAGCCCGCGAAGACGGTCAAGATCGTAAAGAGCGGCGAGCTCGAGATGGAAGCCGAACCCAAGGAGGAGGCTGAAAACAAAGGTAGCCACGAGGAGCTCTGAGCGGGCTCCCCGCTCCGTGTTTGCTGCATAAGAAAGCCCTAATGTGCTGATGGTTGGTGATCCCCCCAAGATCTTGTCGAAGAGCCCTCTAAGCCGTCTCAGCCGGCTGAACCGTCAGTAGCAGCAGCACCCTTTCCCATCAGCTCCTACGGATCTTCATCATCTTTCTTGCCCCGGCTTGCAATTCTTGTGGTGGTGGTTGGCGTGATTGTGTTCGTGGCCAAGAGCTACAAAAAGAACAAGCTCCGCAAAGAGGAGGAAGAAAAGAGCATTGTCTGAACTATGAATCGAGAAAGAGCGAGAAATTAACAGAATTCATCTTGACATCCTGAACACACGTCATAAGCAAAATCAAATAATCTGGTTCGTTGAAGGTGAGACTTGCAGGAAGCAGTCAATGAATTGACAACCAGACGAGATTTAATTCCACACTGAAGTAAGTACTACTACTAGTAGTACAGCGTGCGTATAGTATTGGTATTTGGCAATTTAGAGCACTGGTGGGTAAGTCCCTCCATACCATGATACCCAGTGGCAAAGTAAGTCGCATTTACCGTGTCCCGCCTGGTGAGTTTAGAGGTAGGTGGCAAGATGGCAGATCAATGTCAGGAATGATGATTCATTGAGGAAAAGTGTCGTTCGTTCTTTCCAAGGCGGTGATTTGACGGGTGCTCCAGGGCTACCGGTGGTGGTCTCCAGATCTTGTCTGCCTGGTTACACTTCAAGGTTGGCTTTGGCTTTGCCCTCTGGTTGTAGTGTGCATACAGTATAGTGATATATAATTAGCACTTGTTGTACTCTATAGTTCTACTGCAGTGACAGCGAATTACTAGATACAGCTGCTTGACATCGCGGTGCGTGGGGCTATCTATATAGCTTCCTTGCTTGCTGCTCTCTCAGTCTCCATGTTGCCCTTCCAGTCGCCCAGTTCCTTTCCTTTGCATAACACGCCAAATCCACCAATTGTAACCATATAAAACGCCCGCTAGGTTATCCAAAACAAACCAAACTTGAAATAGGACGGTACACTAGCACCAATCATGCATCTTCGAGTAACTCATACCACTCTGGAATCTCTTTAATAAGACTCCACATGTACTTCTCCAGCTTGACTGCACACTTGGCATACACAGTCGTTGCGTCATTATACTGCCGACAATTACTAAAAATCAACCTAACGTCGTGGACAAGTTCTTTTGGTGCAGCATAATCATCACGCTCCAACTTTTCTTCTATAGTCGACAGGTCCATTGGTGATGTAATGACATTGTAATAATCGGGAACCTCGTCTTTGTCGACTGGATGCAGGAAGGGCCATGCTTGTTTGTGGTTTTGGATTTGGTTGAGAAATCGTCGAAGTGCGTTGAAATGAGGTCCGTGGCGTGGTTCTCGCGATAATGCATCCATGCCTGGGGACCAGCCGGCTGCCCGAATAGCAGGGATAGAGAGTGGATCGATAGGAGTAACTACGCCGTTGGCCCATTGCGGAGGTGGTGGATGGATAATGTGGTTGTTGCTCAAGACACGCATTTTAGCTAGAACACTTGCCTTTTGCTTAAGGAGCATACGGCCAACTTCAAGATACCGTATTCGAGGGACCATGGAGCACTGCATAAGTGTACCCCCTTCGTAATCCTTGATATACCCCATCCAGATAGACTTGTCAAGACTAATATCTTTGGTAAAACCTTGTTTTTGGAAATATCCCGTGGCGTAATTATCGGCGTAAGTTAGGAAATGCATGACAGGCGAAGTAGCTTTGACATAATCCTTTAGATGGGCCATCAGATGTGCTCCATAGCCCTTCACCTGCTGGTCAGATGAGACCGCGCAAAAAACAATTTCGGCAAACTTGCGGTCCCGAAATCCCCGAAACGTTATTCCTCCAATAACCTCCAGAGGCATTTTCACTATGGCGATAGACAAATGGGTACGATCGTAGACGAGACGTGCTATGTAATCTTTGGGCATCTTTGGCAGTTGTTTTTGAAACAGGCATTTGAGACCTGTAAGGATAACTGTACTGTCGCGAGAACCATCATTGTTGACAACCCGAAATTCGATCTCCCCATTTCGTTCTTCTAAAACTGCAGGCTGCGGAGCAATTAGAACACTCCACAGCGTTTCCAGGGCCCTAGTATACCTTCTCTGGGAAAGCAAACCTCCATGTTGTAGCTGAGGTCTTGATTCGTTTGGCATCAGGGACGGGATTTGGTTTCTCGAAAGCTATTCTTTTCTCGAGGGGAACGCTTTGAGTGCTGTCGGGAGGAGGGGGTTGAGTGTCTGCCTCCGCTTCGTCCATTTTGTGATCCATCCGGTCATCCATTTCAGCGTCAGGTTCTTTGGGGTTGTCGCGGTCGCAGCCCTTGGACGATGGAGATTTTGAGTAACACTGAAGTGCGCTGTTGGGCCTGGGAACTGACTCCCACTGTCAGGTGATCCCCGCGCGGCCTTTGTCGTTCCTGAAGGGGAAATGCTTTGATTTGATTTGATTACGTCAGCACCGCCGTCCCAGTCGCACCAAAGGCAGCTATGCGGCTTGGGTCCTCAAAAAATGACCGCCAGCTTTCGTCTTATGAAGATATGAAAGAAATGCTAAAGGGGCACTGAGACAATCGTGGCTGACGTATCTAAAATCCCACCGTGGCCCAGGCCTGGCGGCAAGAGAATAGGCTAGAGGCCCATGTCCCTACCTAATCGTGGCCTCAGGAAGGCCCCACTGACTTAATGGCGAACCTCATCTTTCACGTTTTCCATACTCGCATAATCGCCACGCCAACACTTCCTAATTATTTCTCCACAGATAACATCGTCAACATTTGGAAATGAGTCTGGTTCAGGCCAACAGAGGTCAGGGTTCTCGGGGCTAAAAGGATGCAATAGAGTAGAGAGCCCAACCAAGATAGAGTATCTTAATCTGAACATCCAAGTTGTTTTCGTTTGCGGAAGTAATATCGATATCGAGTGGTAATAAAATGGATTGCCTGAAATCTGCAAGTTTAAGCTGCTCATCTAGGATTAAAATATTGCGAGAGCAATATCATCCATAAATACCTTGCCAGAGTGGACATGTGCAAAAGTATTAATCAGACTTGATATCCAGCTAATTTTCGGGGAGTTATCGCGCTCTAGATAAGTTTCCAGATAGGACTCAAGATTTCCTTGTGCAAGGGCTAGTCCAATCCCATACTGAGATATTTAAAAGTAAGGAATAATCCCTTCATGGCTGCCCAGGCGTTCAAACACTTGGATCTTATCCTCCAGGGTTTGCCGATTAATTTTGTTCATATATTCCATATAGAGAATGCTGAGTACTGTGAGCTTGTCCAGGCATATTCGCGGGTTCTATTTTGTCCATCGGGGTTGAGCATTGTGATTCTATCCGTCTGTTCGCGGAGGTCGAGGATTGAGAGATGATCTAGCTCCCGTTTCATTTGTCTGAAGGGGTTGCGGATTACCGAGCTGTGATTCTGCAATATTCTAAAGGAATCATTTAGCAAGAGAAAACAGAGAGAACTCCTTCAAGCTTACCACTCTTAGTTGCGGAAGGCCAAATGATATCACAGAGCCAGGTGCGGATTGTTGAGAGCACCATAATCGTGACTAGTAAGTGTAGAAGAATGATGTGCAATTAAGGAGGAAAACATGTAGAGGGATGGTAAAAGAAATGGCGGGAAGCAGCTTGGAAAGAACCAGCAATGAATGGACGATACCACAGTGAGCCTAATCTGAATCAAATGATGATTTTCCTATTGGTTGGTCGCCATGCTGGGTGGGTTCGAGTCCATGAGTCGAGGCTCAGTTTCCTCAAAAAAAAAAAAGGATGTTGTATGGAACTTGACTCTTGACCTGCCAGAGGACTACATGGTGCTCTGGGGCGGAAAGGCCACAGTTTCTGAACCAAAGGCCACGCACAATCATGGTCTTTCCGTCGTCACCCACAATTCCTCCGTATAGTGGTGGTGTAGACGGAGTGGGGGCAAAAGACCCCTCAATCCACATACATAAGGTATTTAATAGGTATTATCCAAACTGGTGGTCTGAGTCCATGTCGATGACAGACATAGTCGCCTACATCAGTGGAAATATTTTAGATTCATGAGATCAGAGTATGCAATTTACATCAGTGGTAGGTTTCCTACTACGACGGAATGAGGTACATTTAAAGACAGTGCGGCTGAACTACACAAGTCCCGTACATCCTGAAAACACATGGAAATTCTCAAGGAAAAAAAACAAAAAAGAAGAAGAAGAAAACCTGCCCAGGAAAAACTTTGAAAACCTTGACAGCAAAAGAACACACAGAGAATAGGTAGACAGACTGAACGCCACTGGCGAGCCCTTTTTCTTTGGCTTTGGTTCATTTTCATTGGCAGCCCGCTCTTTTTTAGGCGGTGGACTCTAGGTTTTTTTTTTTTTTTCCTTCCCTTCTTCTTCTCCTTCTTTTCTTACCAGTACTTTCGTTACCAAGAAGATGGTGTTTCGCCAACTGACCAGACAAGATGAAAAGAAGAAACCCTCAATCCCCAATAGATAAATCTCAATAATAATTGTAGAATAGTACTTCAGACAATATATATCATGGATATATATAATAATAATAATATAACACCACCACTATCTATGTTCCAAGAGAATAATCATAAAACCCCCCTCAGAATAGGCAATAATACAGGCTGTAACCGTCCAGTATCAGGTATTTATTATTAACTAAGCCTTTCTTTGCCTCTCCTCTCCGCCCACAAACCTTCCTCTCCTCGCTCACTCTTCTTTTCTTCCTCTTCCTTCATCATCTTCTCTTAAAACCTTCCTTCTTCTTCTTCTTCTCCCTCCTCAATCTCATAATTGAAATTGTGTCATTCCCCTCCCCCTTCTATACTTCATCTCCATATTCCCTGTCTTTCTCTGTCATTTCTTCTTCTCCTCTTTTTTTTTTTTGCAACTTAATAGAGGGTTAGATCGGGAGATCGCCTTGTCTCTTTCATTAACCTCAAGTTTTCCTTCTCTTGCTGTGCTACTCTTCAACTGTAACTCCTTGTGTTCTACTTCTGAATAGAGGTACACGGGGATTTTCCATCGCTCATATTTCTCTGATCTCTTCTCTCTGTACAAAAAGGTTGAGAGATTCCTGAGCATTCTTTACTTGTTGAACGCAACAGCGGTTTAAAAAAAAGCCTGTTATTTTCTCGACTCTCTTACATCGTACGTTTAATCCGTTTTGTCTGCGCTCTGATCCCTCTTCTCTCCATTGCTCACTGGTGGCGACTTGTCTAGTTCGTAAAATACCGCAAACATGGCCGACGGATTGAAGATGGGAAGCCTTTCCCTCAACGACTCTCAACATGCGCCTGCCGCCCCTTCCAACGCCCCGGTGACTGGCCGTTCTGCCTATATCCCTCCACACCTCCGCCAGCGGGGTGGTGCTCCCGCCGCTGCGCCTGTTGAGGCCGCAGCTCCCCCTCCCCCTCCCCAAGCCCAAGGCTCATGGGGTGGTCCCAGGTATGTTGATTCCCCTTCGATTCTACGGCGTCACTGCCTACGGAATCGCTGTCTTGTACATCAAGTGCAGTGACTCACAAACTTCCTGGATCCTGCAGAGGAGGCCCCCATGATAGTAACTGGGCTAACGCCAACGCTCCTGACTTCAGTCCCCGCGGTCCCAATGGTAACAATACTTGGAGCCCCCATGAAGGCAGTCGCCACTCCTTTAACCCAAATGCTTACGGAAACCCAGGTCACGGAGCCTCCTACAGTGGTGGTGGCGGCAGCGGCAGCGGTGGTTCTGCGCGAGGCTCTGGAGATGGACAGTGGCGTGATGGCAAGCATATCCCTGGCCCCGCCAACGCCCGCCTGGAGCGTGAACTCTTCGGTCTTCCCAACGATCCTACCAAGCAGAGCACTGGTATCAACTTCGCCAACTACGATGACATCCCCGTCGAGGCTTCTGGCCACAACGTTCCCGAGCCTGTCAACGCATTCACCAACCCCCCCCTGGACGACCACCTTTTGTCGAACATCAAGCTTGCCCGCTACCAAACCCCGACTCCTGTCCAGAAATATTCGATCCCCATTGTTATGAACGGTCGTGATTTGATGGCCTGCGCCCAGACCGGTTCCGGAAAGACTGGTGGTTTCCTCTTCCCTATCCTCTCCCAGGCCTACAAGAACGGACCTGCTGCTCCTCCTGCCCAAGCAGCTGGCCAATTCGGTTACGGTCGCCAGCGCAAAGCCTACCCAACCTCCCTCATTTTGGCTCCTACCCGCGAACTTGTTTCCCAGATCTTTGATGAAGCCCGAAAGTTTGCGTACCGCTCTTGGGTCCGGCCCTGTGTCGTTTATGGTGGTGCTGATATTGGCTCTCAGTTGCGCCAGATCGAGCGTGGCTGTGACCTGCTTGTTGCTACCCCCGGTCGTCTCGTTGATCTTATCGAGCGTGGACGTATCTCCCTAGTCAACATCAAGTACCTCATTCTTGACGAGGCTGATCGCATGTTGGACATGGGTTTCGAACCCCAGATTCGTCGAATTGTCGAGGGTGAAGACATGCCTTCTGTCACTGACCGTCAGACTCTCATGTTCTCCGCCACCTTCCCTCGGGACATCCAGATGCTGGCCCGCGACTTCTTGAAGGACTACGTCTTTCTGTCCGTTGGTCGTGTTGGTTCTACTTCTGAGAACATCACACAGAAGGTTGAGTACGTCGAGGACCACGACAAGCGCTCTGTCCTGTTGGATATCCTTCACACCCACGGCACCAGCGGTCTCACCCTGATCTTCGTTGAGACTAAGCGTATGGCCGATGCTCTGTCTGACTTCCTTATCAACCAACGTTTCCCCGCTACTGCCATTCACGGTGACCGCACCCAGCGTGAGCGTGAGCGTGCACTAGAGATGTTCCGCTCCGCTCGCTGCCCAATCCTTGTTGCTACTGCCGTTGCTGCTCGTGGTCTCGATATCCCCAACGTCACCCACGTCATCAACTACGATCTGCCAACTGATATTGATGACTATGTTCACCGTATTGGTCGTACTGGTCGTGCTGGTAACACCGGTATTGCTACCGCCTTCTTCAACCGTGGCAACCGTGGTGTAGTCCGTGACCTGATTGATCTCCTGAAGGAGGCTCACCAGGAAGTTCCCTCTTTCCTGGAGAGCATTGCTCGTGAAGGTAGCGGATACGGCGGCCGTGGAGGCCGTGGAGGCCGTGGCCGTGGTACCAACGCTACTCGTGATATGCGCCGCATGGGCGGTGGTGGATCCATGGGTGGCGCTCCTTCCTACGGTGGCAGCGGCTACGGTGGTGCTCCTTCCAGCAACTATGGTAGCTATGGCGGAGCTCCTTCTTACGGTGGCAGTGGCTATGGTGGTGGTAGCTATGGTGGTAGCGGCGGCGGCAGCGGCGGCGGCAGCGCTGCTGCTGGTGCTGGTGGTGGCAGCTATGGCAACCCATCGGGCCCTACCGGACCTTCTTCCTGGTGGTAAATTAGAGGTTGTGGTCCCTGACGCAGCAGCCGGGTCTGATTGGCTCCTTTTTTTTTTCTCTTGCCACATGCTTAATGGTTATGGGATACGATCAGAACAAGCCCTGAGTTGTTTCTCTCTCTCCCTCATTTTTTTTAGGTCTTCTCAGCACCGGCTTTGTCATGACTGCCACGACTTGATTAGAGTTTTTTTGTTTTCTCTCTTGTTTTCCCCCCCTTTCCTCCCGCTTTTCCCGTTTTGAGAAGCAAATACGCGGGTGTTTCTCATTTTCTTTTGCTGCGCATTTTGCAATTTTCGTCGATTTTTCCCTTGTTTTAGACATGGCTTTCGATGCGGTCCAGGCTCACCATTTTCCTTGTCTCAATCATACCCTTGCTTATGGTTACGAGGATTTGAGCCGGCATTGCATGAACATCATAGACTGCGTTGATTTTCTCCTACGACCGCTTCCATCAGATACCCTTTTTGTTCTCAGGCGGCCATGTGGAGATAATGAATGACGCATACCGAGTGGGATTTCCAGCTTTTTCGTGTGAAGCGAAGTGCTTTTTATGATTTTCCTCTGCTTGGTGCTACAGCAGCTGCATCGACCGTGTCTCACAACATAGATTTCATTTGGTTTTCGGTATCCTCGGGGGGAAGGCGTGTTCCGTTTCTCATAGTTTTTTTCGTCTCTTCCTGCATGTTCCCCTTCTTTCCTCCGAAATCATACCTCCTTCTTCGACCCGTGCTCTTTGCCTCTTTTCAGGTTTCAAATGGGGTTACTTTTTTTTTTTTCTTTTTGCTATGGCAAAAGGCGGGCGGAAGAAAAATTCAACCCCTATGGAACCCAGGTCTTTTCTGTTCCTTTTTCCTTGTTATTATTTTCCTTTTGAGAAGACTTCAGGCCTTCTTCGGCGAGCACTGGTTTCTCTGCACTCTGTTTAGAAATCGATGGTGCACAAAATCATGACACGGATGATAGAGATGGGGTTCTTTGCATTGTATCTGGCGTTGGCTTGAGCTGCTGGTTCCACAAAATTCTGCGCAAGGGTCCGTGGAGGCTGACACTTGAACGGAATGTCTTTTGTTATGTTCATTACTCAGATCCGCGGAGGATGGGAAGCTGCTTTGCTGGCGGCTTTTTGTGGTTGTGCTGGTGCGCAGGCATCATTCGTCTCATGTCAGCAGTGGTTTAGGTTAGAAGGATATGCCGAAGACGGTTCTGCTTACGGAGACCCGGGGTCTCGAGAGAAGGAGCTAGTCGCAATTTAACCAAAAAAGTTTGATGCTCATTCGAAGTGTATATGATGATATATAGTAAGGTGGTTGAAGATGTATTTCGTGGTCTGTAGTTTTAGTAGGAGTTCTCTCGTACAGGTAAGGAGGAACCTGGGCAAATCTTGGGAGAGTGATAACATGTTAATTGACTACTCTTAAGTCTTTTTATAAGTGGATCTTACTCCTGAGTGAAATAAGATACCGCAGATAATAATAATAATATATCTGGGTCCAGGAGATTGCCAAAGAGCACCGCCGGGAAGAGCAACCAAAAGAATCGCGTCGGTTGCCTCGATAATCAGCAACCCCCAACAACCTCTCTCTCGTCCATTCTTTTCCCTTCTCCTTCCGCTTCATCCCGCCCACCTCTGTCCCTTTCTCCTTTCTTTTTCAGCCTTTTTTTCCCATCATCCTAAGTCGCTGTGGTGATTCTCTTCCTCATTCATTTATCGTCCGCGCCACTTCTTTCACCACGAGAGCTTCCTTCCCGCCTCCTCCCCTCCCCCCGATTTCCTCACGCCTTCGAACCAAAGGACCTAGGTGTGCTTCGCCCTTTCGGGGCACATCGCTGAAGAACCTCTTGCTCGTTGGAAATCTAGTATCGGATTTGAATCAATTCTTGATTCGTCTTGATTCGAATACGAATTGACCGGTTCTCGACTCATATTTTATCAAGATGGCTGACGTCGAAAGCGCCGCCGCCGTGGATGATTCGTTTGCGCAATCTGAAACGCAGGATGAGCAGCAAACTCATAATATGACCGTCGGCACGAGACGTCAGGCGAATGGCACAATCGGATCCGTCTATTCGGGCAACAAAATCAGGCATCTCAAGAAGGAGGACGGTATTCCTCTGTGGCGCAAAGACATCCAGTACCAGTTTCTGAAACTGGTCTTCGAGGACAAGACCCCCGTCTTCACCCGCTGGCCAGATGGTGAGAAGAATTTGGATTTTGCGGATATCTATATCGATGCGATGGCTAGGAGTAGCAAGACGAGTAAGATCCTCAAGGACAAGCTGCAGAGCGATAAGCAAGCTGCTATCAGCATGGCCATGGTTTGTCTCTTGGTTAACTTTGGTCGGATGAATACAACCCTGAACTGTACGTTCTCTGCCCTTTTCTCACTGCTCCTCCTGCTCTTCACATTTCCTAGGAGCTGTTCTAATTCACACCTATCATAGTTTTCCCCGAAATGCGTGCCCAACTCCGAACCTACCATTCCATCCCTTCCCTTCAGGCGCGTCAAGACCCAAACGCCTACAAGCAGCTACAGGACGCTCCTCGTCTCAAGTCTATCCTGAAGGGCGCATCGGAGGATGTCGATCAGCCAAATACCCTGGAGAAGATTAAAAGGGAAAATATCCCTCGTACCAACCCGGTGAACCTCATCTTTGTCCTCGCACAATACGCTCCCAAAGTATCCGAGGTCCACTTCTTCCCTCCTCGGGATTTCTTTGACCTGGTAATGAAATCCACCTTGAGCAGCCAGAGCCGAGCGAAGGCCTTCCTCTGGCTTATGTGGTGGTATTTGGAGAGCGATTTCTCTGCAGAGGCCGCCCGCAACAACCCATTTGGCCCCGGCCTGGATGGCGAGGGAACAGGGGGGCTACCGCTCAAAGTTCCAGTGTTTGAAACGCTTACTGACGAGCAAGCCAACGAGGAAAACGTTGATACTCAATCTGAAATCGAATATGGAGAAGAGAAACGCTTGGAGCGCAAACGTAAGTCTGGCTTAATGTAATCCTATGCCGCAATCTCACTAACCCGAAAATAGGAATTCTGGAAGAGGAGGAGCCTATACCACGAGCACCAAAGCGCCCCAAGAAGAGTATGCCTCTTTTCTCCCTCTCACAGAAGTCTTACTCTAACTTCTATTCACTTTACAGTGCCCACTTGGGAAGTAGAGTTCTTGAAGCAACTCGAGCCTGGTAAGTATCTCCTTTCCTACTTCAAGGGCGTTCTTTAGTTAATAAGACGTACCCCAGGCACCCAACTTCTTTATCGTCAATTTCCCGGTAAGGGAACGGCGTTCAGAGCAGCTGCGGACTCTGAAAACCTCATCGAGTTCCGAAATCCTGACGGCTCCGTCCGTTCTACCATTAAGAAACCTAAGCTACAGGACCCTTCTTCTTCTTCTCTCTCTCGTTCTGCGAGTCAGCAACGTCTTATTCTAAAGACAAAATCGGAGCATACTCCCGATGCAGCCTCTCCAGCCCCCCCCGGTTCGGGTCATCCAATTTTGAACCGCTTCATCAGCGAAGCCTCCCCAAGTCAGCCAAGCTCGGCTCGTCGCCCCCGGCCACTCACCCAACATCAGCTTGCTGTTGAGCGAAACCGGCGACAACGTATTGAATACATCTTGGCCAAGCGGAAGACCGACGCTTACAGGATTCTTCATGCGAAGAGAGAAAACGAAATTCCGTTCGCCCGCTATGGACGCTTATTGCAAAACCTTCCTGATGGGTACGACACAGACGATGAGGACAAGGCGTGGGGAAAGGGGGGATTGGTTCCAAACCCTGAGGAGGAAGAAGATTTTGGCGAGTGTGCCAACTACTTCTTATCAGTGATCCGTAAAGCATCGCGGCGTCTGGACCGATGGGACTACGACAACGCAAACGGCCCCAAGAGAGATCGCAAAAAGGAGCGTGAAGAACGACAGAAAGCTAAGCAGGAGGGATTAGCGCTTGACGGTTCTCTCGAAGGGCAGCCCGTGCCCTCCGCTCGCAGCAGAGCTCGGGCCGCGCGCAATGCCAAACGCAAGCTTGCACGAGCTGCTGCTGCTGCTGCTGCTGCCGCAGCAGCAGCAGCAGGAGGCGCTATCCCGTCAGGCGCAGCTTCTAAATCTTCTGGTTCACGCTCTAAAAGCAGTCGGAGCCGGAGTCAGCGGGATGCCAAAGGCGCAACGTCCGTCGCCAACGCTAGCAAGGATGGCTTTGAAACCCCAACCCGAGACGGTGGATTATCCCCGGCACCTCCAACCAGTCACCTGGGTGACGAGGACGATGGAGAAGAGGGTCTTGATGACATTGATCGTGAGCTGCTCGGCGAAGGTAGTGGCGATGATGATGATGATGATGATGATGAGGGACCCTCAATCCTTCAGGTTTCTCGCTCCGCGCCAAGCTACGAAGACAGTTTCTTGGGGGGTGATGCCGACGATGACGCCCTGACCTCTGATGACAACGATGATGATGATGACGATGCAGAGGACGAAGATCTCGACGAAGGAGACGGTGACATCGATGTGGACGTTGAAGGCGATGGTGACGATAACTCCTCCGTCCTCGACGGTGGGAACGGCTATGCTGCAAGTGAGACCTCGTCGATTGCTGGCGAGGGGGTAGAAGCAGAGCCATGAGCGACACCTCTACCATGAGTGGGGGTTGCTGGCTCAAGGGCCTAGAGAATTTCAAACGGTGTCTAATACTTGACTGTGATCGGATGTAATAATGTGAAGCTTTTGGCGGCTTTTATTTCTTCATTTTGTCTTATTATCAACCCCCCAAGTGTGTTTTCCTGTGTAATTGATTCCAGACTTCTATGCCTGTATGTGACTAGCCCTGGGTCTAGCACCTGCTAGCTTCCAAGAACTGTTCTACTACTACGGTACTCTGTACTTTACTTTTGTTCTTATCGGTTTGTTTACCATTGGAACCACTTTTATGTAGCACAACGACAGTATTAGCATTCTGCTTCTCGTTATTGCTCTCCCACTCCTTGGAAAGGATGCCCCAGATGAGATCATGGACCAGCAAACAAGCAGGGGAGCCCATACCCAGAGACAAGGACTTGCCACCACATAGATATGCCCGGAGCCATGGCTAAAGCTGGCCAGAAGCAGAATGACGTCCTGGTAGGGGGGAATCACATGCGGGAAAGACAAAAGTCGAGTAGAAGGAACCTTTTTGAAATGTTGATCCACTGCTGATGAGGGCGAAATAATAAGCGTGTCTTCACATGACCAAGAATCAATTTTATCAACAAGTCAACAATATCAACTTCGACCTCTCTCTCTCTCTCTCTCTCTCTCTCTGGGGGTTTCTGTTTCACTCTCTCCTTGAATCTACTGGTGATCTTCTTCTTCATTTGATATCGACTGAACCAAGAATATACCTCCCCTGTAAGTATACATACTTCTTCTCCTGCTAGCTCGTGCAAAACCTCAAGCCAACTACCTAGGTATACTGATAGCATTGCAATTCTTTTCAATCCTCCTCCGTTGACTACCCACTGCTTGTTATCCTGCTGGATTCACCATAACTCAATACTTTGTCGCGTCATCTTTACACCCATTCCATCCAACGGGAGGATCCACTTTGCAAATCTTGCACCTCCCCAGCTCCTCCTGCAGCCAGTGCTCCACTAACTAATAATTCTCCTCCTCCTCCTCCTCCTCCTCCTCCTCCTGCCTGTGAGAATCACGGAGGCCTCGCAATCCACATATCTATCCTTGTCGCTCCAGCCTCCTTTTATTTTTATTATTTATTAATTTTGGTACTATTCTCTGCTTCTTTGCCAGGTAGTCGATAGCGGCCTTCTATCTCTCAATAATCTCTTTACTTCCCCCTCCTCCTCGTCTTACCCAGCGGACTCCCTATTTCTTGCTGCACTTTTCTCCTCGCAGTGATTCCGCGTAGTATCTTTTGTTTTTGTGTTTTTTTTTTTTTTTCGATTCTTTTTGCTTCCTGAAACGGTAACGAAAGTGACGAATATCAACTTGGTTCCCCGAGCGCAGCATCCGAGGCCTAGCGTGATAATTGCGTGACCATTGCCCTTTTCTCACCTCTCTCACCTCTCTCACCTACTACATCCCTGCAGCACTCGGTTAGAATCCGCGTTCCTTGTCGCATCTTACGCCCATAATGTCTGACGAACTTCCAATTCTTCGTCCCCGCCCTCAAAGGGTGTTCAACCTCACCGACTCGTCCGAATCGTCCACCCCCCCGGAGCCAGCGAATTCCGATACGCTGAATCCCAAAGAATCTGGCTCAGCCAGCATTAGTCGGAATGTGTCCATTATGAACTTGACATCGCCAACATTGTTTGGGATTTACTCTCCGACAGCCTTCGAGAGCACTCGTGATGAATACAGTCCATGGGGAACGGAGGCCCATACCCCCAACCCAGAGAGTCGAAAGGTGCAACCCACATCCACTAGATCAGAGTCCGCTGCAGTTCGTCGAACTCGAACCCGACTCAGCCATGGATTATTCCGCGGCGTGATTCTGCCTCAGGCGCTCAAGAGCGCCCTGCTACTCGGCTTCGGTGTTATCTACGGTATTATCACGATTCATTTGCACGAAAACCACTGGATCACGCCAGTGAAGCTCGAATACACCCATTTTTACGGATCATGGCAATACCTGGGATTTTGGGGCATTATAGGAGTCACCCTAGGGAATTTGCTCCCGTGGCTGGACTCCTTCCTGGAAAAGGCGGCAGCCAAAAGTGCGAAGGAAGACAAGCGACCGAGTTCCGAGCAGGACGCTACGGAACTTAACCTTTCGTGGGCCTCGGTGGTTCGCAGTGTTGGAGCCTTTGTTGGAATCGCATTTGCCATGGTAAGTAATTTTTTTTTTTCACCCTGGATCAAGTTTCTCAGCGCCGCCAAAAAAATAAATAAACTAACCGATTCCGCGCCTCCAGCGTCGAACTCCCTGGGAATCCACTACTCAAGCCTCTGCTACGCTGGCTCTCGTCAATCCCGTGCTTTGGTATCTGATTGATCGCACCAAGACGGGCTTTCTCCTGTCCACCATTCTCGGTGTTGGAGGAATGGGTCTCTTGCTAGGCCTTAAGCCCGACTTGATCCCTCCCTCGACAGAGCCTGTGGCTTCCACCATGCCTTTCCTCAACGGCACCGGACTGGAATCTACATTCGGAGCAGGGGTCACACAAGAGAGCCTGGCGGTACGGATATGGGTTGCCAGTGTCCTCTTTTGTGCATGTGTATGCTTTGGAAACATTGGCAGGCAGCTTGCCATTGGAGGTCGAGAACCCCTGAAGTCGTGATTTTAGCGAAGAAGCAGACTTGGCAATTTTTTTTTTTTAACTTGAGACCTAAATCTAATTTTCGAGGATAACTCCTCTCTTTTTTTTTCGGTTGTTAATCTTCTTCGCCCAGGTTCCCTGGGGAAAATATTTTCTTCGCAGTAGAACTCAAAATGAGTAGGACATCGACGTAGAAAAGGCTAGAGACTACAATCCACTACGTACAATCCCACAACTTCCTATAACCTAGGAGCAAGTTTGTAGAATCAATCATTGCAGTCCCTCCCACCGAGCCCGAAAGCCAGGTAGACACTGCACCCAAGATCGATACTCTGCAGAGCAGTCCTTCTCCATTCTGTTAGACGATTTCCGTACTTCATAGGCATCTTGACTCTCCCGTAGGAAAGAGACCCCTCGTAGGAACGCTTTTTGAAGAATGTTGATTTTGCGTTGTTCATGAAGAAGAAAAAAAGAAGAAAAGAAGAAGAGAAAGAAAAAACCACACAGAACGGGTTTTTGAGGAAGAAACCTGGTGGTCTGTGCGGTGTCATGTGCGTCCTGTCACGTGGTTAAAAGTCACGGGTTCTGTATGCTTAGTCAGGTATGTGATGCCTGGTGGCCCAAGGCTCCGAAAGCGGCGGCCCCCGCGATGGGAAATCTGAAGGACGATGGAAGTTGGTGTTAAGGGGAAAAAAAAAAAAAGTAGGTCATTCTATGGTAACTACGCCGGCAGAGCTTCTTTTTGAAGGTTGGGAAGCTGCTGCTGGTCATTGGCCTTCTTCTTTATCACTTCTTTCCCCCAGGTATGTCTAGATTCCGTCTACAATTTCCTTGTAAATCGTGTGATTGAGGGGTAAGTTGTATGGTGGGGAGCTCCTGAGTTTCCCGATCGCGGGTTTTTTTTTTTTTTTTTTTTTTTTCCGTCTTTTCTTCAATCATCGTCATCGCTGGTCCTGACCTCTCTCTCTCTTTCTCTTCTTTTCCTCCTCGGATTTAGAACAACCATCAGTGTCTCAGGATGTCCCAACAAAAATCAGGTAAGGCCTTTCCATTCTCTTCTCCTCGTCCCCAGATTTCATCTTGTATATATGCAATTTGAATCCTTTTTCCGACTTGTCTGCCAAGTATGAATTTGGTTCAACCCCACAGTTAACTATGAATCATACTCTTCCTCCCTCGTCCCTTGGATAAATTGAAAGTAGTCTATGGCTAACTTGCTTCTCTTTTCTTGCTTTCTATAGCAATCCTCTCCGTCTACGATAAGACTGGACTGCTTGACTTGGCCAAGGGCCTTGTCAAGCAGAATGTCCGTCTGCTTGCGTCTGGTGGTACCGCCAGGATGATCCGGGAGGCGGGGTTCCCAGTTGAGTGCGTTTCCATCTCTTTCTCGTCATGAACTGTGGAGGAACCTTTCAGCATTCTTGTTTTGTGCTCATTGATACAAATGCTGGCGGACGGTTAATTGGCCATGTATGGTCCGATAAAACTGACGGACGACCAGAGATGTTTCAGCCATTACTCACGCTCCCGAGATGCTTGGTGGTCGCGTCAAGACACTCCACCCCGCTGTCCACGGTGGTATTCTCGCCCGTGATATCGAGTCCGACGAGAAGGATCTGGCCGATCAGAACATCGCCAAGGTCGACTACGTCGTCTGTAACCTGTACCCCTTCAAGGAGACCGTCAACAAAGTCAACGTCACTATCGAAGAGGCTGTCGAGGAGATCGATATCGGTGGTGTGACTCTGCTCCGTGCCGCTGCGAAGAACCACTCCCGTGTTACCATCCTGTCCGACCCCCGGGATTACCCAGAGTTCTTGAAGGAGCTTGAGGCCGGTGAGATTACCGATGCCAGCCGGAAATCCTATGCTCTGAAGGCCTTTGAACACACTGCAGACTATGACACTGCCATCTCTGGTTTCTTCCGCAAGCAGTATGCTGGTAACGGAGATCAATACCTGTCTCTGCGCTACGGTACCAACCCTCACCAGAAGCCCGCTTCCGCCTACATGCTCCAAGGCAAGCTTCCATTCAAGGCCCTGAATGGAGCTCCTGGCTATGTTAACCTTCTCGATGCCCTCAACTCTTGGGCTCTGGTTAAGGAACTCAAGCAAGCTCTTGGATACCCTGCCGCTGCCAGTTTCAAGCACGTCTCTCCCGCCGGTGCTGCCGTCGGTGTCCCTCTGAACGACAAGGAGCGCAAGGTATACATGGTCGATGACATTGCTGACATCGAATCCTCTGCCCTGGCCCAGGCTTACGCTCGTGCCCGTGGTGCCGACCGCATGTCTAGCTTTGGCGATATCCTCGCTCTTAGCGACATTGTTGACGTCCCCACCGCCAAGATTATTTCTCGCGAGGTGTCCGATGGTGTCATCGCCCCCGGATATTCTCCCGAGGCTCTGGAGATCCTGTCCAAGAAGAAGGGTGGCAAATACCTTGTTCTTCAGATGGACGAGTCCTACGTCCCCCCGGCCGAAGAGACCCGCACCCTCTACGGTGTTCAGCTTAGCCAGCACCGCAACGATGTTGTCATTTCCCCTCAAAAGACCTTCAGCACTATTGTCACCCCTAAGGACCTGAAGACACTCCCCGACTCCGCTCTCAGGGATCTCACTGTGGCTACCATTGCTCTGAAGTACACCCAGTCGAACTCCGTCTGCTATGCCCTTAACGGCCAGGTTGTTGGCCTTGGTGCCGGACAGCAGAGCCGTATCCACTGTACCCGTCTGGCCGGTGACAAGACCGACAACTGGTGGATGCGCTTCCACGACCGTGTGCTGAGCATCAAGTGGAAGGCTGGAACCAAGCGTGCTGATAAGAGCAACGCTATTGACCTCCTGTGCTCTGGTCAGACCCCTCGTAACGATATTGAGAAGGCCGAATACGAGCGTGTCTTTGAGGAAGTTCCCGCTCCTTTCACCCAGGAAGAACGCGAATCCTGGCTCCAGAAGCTGAGCGAGGTTGCCGTCTCTTCTGATGCTTTCGTAAGCTCCCTTATCCCTATCTCTGTCGTCTTATCTCCCCTTCATTACTAACAGTAGCGTGACAGTTCCCCTTCATCGACAACGTGTTCCGCGCAGCCCGTTCCGGTGTCAAGTACATTGCTGCTCCCAGTGGCAGCCAGAACGACGGTCCTGTCTTTGAGACTGCAGAGAAGCTCGGCATGGTGTTTGTCGAACAAGGCACCCGCCTCTTCCACCACTAAGCATGTCTGTTTTAGAATGACGGAGTTGATTAAAAAGAGAGAAAAAAAGGTACTAGTAAGCTTTCCAGTAGCTTTGATGACACTGGTAGTGTGTTTGTGACGACTTTTTATTTATACTCAAGACCTTGATGAGGACAAAAATGGATTTTGTTGATATTCCATGATGTGATATGATATGTATTTTGTTAATGTCCGCTGCTAATACGTATGTGGTGGCTTGTGGATCACTTCTTCTGATTTCTAGGGTCCTGCCCGTGCGGGCCAGAATGTAGGAGTAGGTTGCCGGTTATGTTAAGCTGCTTGATTGAGACAGCAGGATATGATGGTTCTGTAGATTTGTATATTATCACGTATTTTGGTTGATCTGGCATCTTGTCCGGTACTATTGTCGGGTGGTTGTTGTCAACAACTAGTAGTATCCTGTAGTCGCAGATGGTTAATTCCATGTATATTTTGCTGAGATCTGTATATTTAGACTTTTATAACTACTTATTGGCAAATCTATAGGTCAGTTTACGGTTAATATGGCCATATATATCTTTGGGTTGAATTGGGTATGTCTGTATGTATGTACATGCAAGGAGTGGCTATCACTAAATCTACAGTATAGTTATACATATACTCACTCACTCACTCACACACACACTCTCTCTCTCTTTCTAACCCAGGGAAACCCCCACATCTAATTAAAATACAGCCCTACTCCTACCTAACCTACTCGGTAGAATACCACTTCGTCAACCTCAAATAGAAAAGGAAAGAGTGAAAAATGAACAACATGAGTGACATGCTCTATCAAAAGGCAATGAAAACGCGGTGGGGGGGGGGGGGGGGTGCCCTCATATTTCCACCTAATAGAGCAACCAAAACGATACCCATGATATATTTTTACTCTCAGTCACTCCGTCAGTTAGTCAGTTTGGGAGAGAATGATCCATTCACAGCTTGAATCTGTGTGGGATGTTTTTTTTATCTTATATTATTATGTATATTATTTCTGGCCCTTTTCATACCTACTTTTTCCTAGGTACGGAGTGCTTGTACTCCGTATGTATAGGTACTAGTAGGTAGCTAAGCTTGAGTAGGAGAAAAATGATGATTCAATTCAATGTGTATTGGATTGGGTTCAATTGAATCGCAGCGGGTACCAAGTTACGAGGAACTTATTAGGTAGTACTACTAGTAGTAGTAGTATTAGTACTGTTAGTTACTGTACTGTACTGTCTGTAACCAAGCCCCTTTATTAAACCCTGGTATTTAATTGAGTTTTACGGGTATATCTGTATGTATCGTTGATTATTACGTATTAAGTAGGGTTCTAGACCGTCTTGGTATTTACTTTACTTTACTTTACTTTACTTGTCATCAACATAAGGGTTGACGTCATGTCATGATTGAAAATAAAAGACTCTGTAACTCCTAGGTGGTTGTCCCCAGTCCAACAGCCTGTTTACTACTTATATATGAAACTGGAGTAAGCTGTGTTTTGATTATGGGATATTCCGTGAAATCTAATAGGGGGGTTATTGATGTGTAAGTGCATTTAGTACATGGACGTGTATTTAGGTATATATGTTCGACTGACAATAAGACTTGCCGTTTTGCTTCCTGCAACGGCCTTTTTTTAAAAAAAAAAAAAAATTGTTGTAATGAACCGTGATGTTACTCGGTCATTGGTTTGGCGCGTTTGACGCTCGAGACGAGCAAGTGAGGGATTTTCATACTGTGTTGTCACATACTCTAAATCCCCAGAACTCCTGCGATGACGTGCATGGGTCGTTTCCGTGACCTTCCGAAGAGACGGGACGGTAGACATGCAAGGCTATGCCACGGCTTGAGGTAAATAGGCTACCACGCAGATGTAATACTGCCCATTAGGGCATTGAAGTCGTATTAATGCCTGTAATGGGTAGTCATGTAGAAAGATACCTGAATTACCTTGTCTGAAGAATTGGGCCGTGTAGGAGTTCTTCGCGGAGGGAAAGATGCGTTACCTGCCGGGTGCATTTGGGACTCGAAGATGAGCTTAGAGTAATGATAAAAACATGAAGACATGCTCTGTCATCACTTCTTGGGCGTTCGTGGTTCCATCCTTTGGGAAAAAGAAGCGGTTCAGGAGATGGTCAAGTTGGTATTACTAGTACAGCATCAGATGATTGAATGTGATCGAACAGCCTACTGAAAGATATCTCATCCCACCTTTGGGAATTCAGACTGCACTTACCATTTTACCCATACCTGAAATTCTCGCTTTGTCTTGGCTGCCATAGCTCTTGGGCTCACCTCACCTCTCGCCTCTCATCCCCCCTCGCGTTTCTGTTGGACTGATCAATGCAGTAAGGTTGACAGAAATCTCTTGACCACCATCAGTGATCATCTCTATAACTTGAAATTCATCGTAAAATCCCTTCTCTCTCGCCAAGGTGACTGAGACTCTTTGGCCTTGGCCAGTCTAGCCCAGGCACAGGCCACGTGCACGTGACGGGACCATAAGCGACACATCAGCAACGACTCCCGCGCCTGCCTCCTGAGGTCACCTTCCGCTTCCCCAGTGATATTACCTACTACCTAGCAACTCTCCCTCCTGTCTCCCATTCCTAATTCTTTACTCCCTCTCTTCCTTTTCTTCTATCTCCTTTCCTTTCTTCTTCGTTCAGCTTCGATTCCCTGTTTTCCTGAACCCCCTTCCTTCTTAATCAGTCGATTGATTTGCTTGGCGTTTTCGGGGTGGATGAGGTCGTCTTGCGGCCCTTGTAAATATGGCTCCCCTTCCTATCAAGTTTACGGAGCTCATTAATGTATGTACCATTCCCCCCTAATCGCTCAGTATCTAGGCATGACCAAGAAACTAACCTCTGGTCTCTTTCCTGCAGCTCACGAATGCCGAGATTGCGGTATGTCCTTGCGCCCTCCTACTCCGTACCCTTCCACGTTTGCGTTGTGGATGCGGTGCCTCCTGAACTTTTCGTGCATTGGTTAGACACTTACTTACGTTCCATATTATATAGCCTGCATCTATTGGGTTTAACTCATGTGTAAGTAATCCCTAAGGGGGGGGGGTTCCCCCCTTTTCAAATCGACCCTTCCCCCTGTTTGCTAACTACTGTACGTCATCCAGACTCTAGAATCGGATCACTTCGTTTGCGTTCGGCAAAAACTCAATGAGGAGGACAAGCCTCAAGTCATAATCATCAACCTCAAGAATAACAATGAAGTCATCAAGCGACCCATCAACGCGGATAGTGCGATTATGCACTGGACCCGCAACATCATCGCTCTCAAGGCCCAGGGCCGCACAATTCAGATCTTTGACCTGTCTGCGAAGCAGAAGCTGAAGTCTGCTGTGATGAATGAGGATGTCGTTTACTGGAAGTGGTTCAGTGACAAGTGTTTGGGTATGGTTACAGAGACATCTGTTTACCACTGGGATGTTTTCGACCCAACTCAGTCTCAGCCGCTCAAGATCTTCGACCGACTTCCAAATCTTAGCGTACGTACCTCGAGAACATTTCGATACGATAGCGCGAATGCAGTCAGCTAATAATCGGGGGATTTTCTTTTAGGGTTGCCAAATAATCAACTACCGCGTCAACGATGAGGAGAAATGGATGGTCGTTGTCGGTATCAGTCAACAACAAGGGCGAGTAGTAGGTTCCATGCAGTTATACTCAAAGGAACGTGGGATATCGCAGTTCATTGAAGGTCATGCGGCCGCTTTTGCTTCCATTAGAGTCGAGGGCTCGCCCTTGGAGCATAAGCTCTTCACATTTGCTGTGCGGACGCAGACTGGTGCTAAGCTGCAGATTGCTGAAATTGACCACCAAGAACCAAATCCCAGGTTCCAGAAGAAGGCCGTGGAGGTTTATTTCCCTCAAGAAGCAGTGAACGACTTCCCTGTCGCAATGCAGGTATCCCAAAAGTACGACATTGTTTACCTGGTCACAAAGTATGGTTTCATTCACCTTTATGACCTTGAAACCGGCACCTGCATCTTCATGAACCGGATTTCGAGCGAGACAATCTTCACCACTGCTCCGGATACCGAATCCGCCGGCCTCGTCGGTGTCAACCGTAAAGGTCAAGTTCTGAGCGTCAGTGTCGATGAGAATACTATTATTCAGTACTTGATGGAAAACCCCGCCATGTCTGGCCTTGCCGTGAAGCTGGCCTCGAAGGCTGGACTCCCTGGTGCTGATCACCTGTACCAGCAGCAGTTCGACAATTTACTCGCGCAAGGCAACTACTCGGAAGCCGCCAAGATTGCTGCAAATTCGCCACGTGGATTCCTTCGGACACCGGAGACCATCAACCGCTTCAAGAATGCCCCCCAGACAGGTCAGATGTCTGTTATCCTACAGTACTTTGGCATGCTTTTGGATAAGGGAAGCTTGAACAAATATGAGAGTGTTGAGCTTGTTCGCCCTGTCTTGCAACAGAACAGGAAGCACCTGCTGGAGAAGTGGATGCGTGAGAATAAACTGGAGGGTTCTGAAGAGCTTGGAGATATTGTTCGACCCTACGATATGAATCTGGCTCTGAGCATCTATCTCCAAGCTAATGTCCCCCACAAAGTCATTGCTGGATTCGCGGAGACGGGCCAATTCGACAAGATTCTCGCATACTCTAAGCAGGTTGGATACCAGCCAGATTACACCCAGCTTCTTCAGCACGTCGTGCGTGTGAACCCCGAGAAAGGTGCCGAATTTGCCACCCAGCTTGCCAATGAGGAATCCGGAGCTCTCATTGACCTGGATCGTGTTGTGGATGTGTTCTTGTCCCAGAACATGGTTCAGCAGGCAACATCTTTCTTGTTGGATGCTCTGAAGGATAATAAGCCCGAGCATGGTCATCTCCAGACCCGTCTGCTCGAGATGAACTTGGTCAACGCCCCCCAAGTTGCCGATGCTATCCTTGGTAACGAGATCTTCACACACTATGATCGCCCTCGCGTTTCTCAGCTTTGCGAGAATGCGGGTCTCATTCAACGTGCTCTCGAGAATACTGACGATCCCGCTGTTATCAAGCGAAACATCGTGCAGACTGACAAGCTAAGCGCAGAATGGTTGATGGAATACTTCGGCCGCCTCTCCGTCGAGCAGACCTTGGATTGCATGGACACGATGCTCGAGGCGAACATTCGCCAGAACCTGCAGGCTGTTGTCCAGACTTGCACCAAGTTTTCTGATCTCTTGGGACCCAGCCGCCTCATTAGCCTTCTAGAGAAGTACCGTACTGCCGAAGGCCTTTACTATTACCTTGGAAGCATTGTTAACCTGAGTGAGGACCCCGAGGTTCACTTCAAGTACATTGAAGCTGCTACTACCATGGGCCAAATTACGGAGGTTGAGAGGATCTGTCGCGAGAGCAATTATTACAACCCCGAGAAGGTCAAGAACTTCCTGAAAGAGGCTCGCTTGACTGAACAATTGCCCCTTATCATCGTCTGTGACCGCTTCAACTTCATCCATGACCTCGTTCTATACCTTTACCAGAACCAGCAATACAAATCTATTGAGGTCTACGTGCAACGAGTCAACCCCTCGCGCACCCCGGCTGTTGTTGGAGGATTACTCGACGTTGACTGTGACGAGAGCATTATCAAGAATCTTCTCTCTACCGTTGATCCGTCTGTGATTCCCATCGATGAATTGGTATCGGAAGTAGAGAGCCGCAACAGGCTGAAGCTGCTCCTCCCTTTCCTCGAGGCAACACTTGCCGCTGGCAACCAGCAGCAGGCTGTTTACAATGCTCTTGCAAAGATCTATATTGATAGCAACAACAACCCTGAGAAGTTCTTGAAGGAGAACGATCTGTATGATACCCTGGTTGTCGGAAAGTACTGCGAGAAACGTGATCCCAACCTCGCTTATATCGCCTACCGGAAGGGGCAGAATGATCTGGAGCTCATCAATATCACCAATGAAAACGCAATGTATCGGGCACAGGGTCGCTACCTTGTTGAAAGGGCAGATTCCGAAATCTGGTCGTTTGTTTTGAGCGAAAATAACATGCACCGACGCTCTCTCGTGGATCAGGTCATCGCAACCGCCGTTCCGGAATCGACCGAACCTGATAAGGTGTCTGTTGCTGTCAAGGCTTTCCTCGAAGCCGATCTCCCTGGTGACTTGATTGAGCTCCTGGAAAAGATCATCCTCGAGCCCTCACCTTTCAGTGACAACGGTAGCCTGCAGAATCTCTTGATGCTTACCGCTGCAAAGGCTGACAAGGGACGCCTTATGGATTATATCCATAAACTTAATGAGTTCAGCCCAGATGAGATTGCCGAGATGTGTATCTCAGTCGGTCTCTACGAGGAGGCCTTTGAAATCTACAAGAAAGTGAACAACTACATTGCCGCCGTCAATGTCCTGGTTGAGAACATTGTTAGCATTGACCGTGCTCAGGAATTTGCTGAGCGTATTGAGTTGCCTGATGTGTGGAGCAAGGTTGCTAAGGCTCAATTGGATGGTCTTCGTGTATCTGATTCGATTGATTCATATATCCGTGCTGGGGATCCATCCAATTACAACGAGGTCATTGAAACCGCAACACATGCTGGAAAGGATGAGGATCTCGTCAAGTATTTGATGATGGCGCGTAAGACCTTGAGGGAACCAGCTATCGATACTGGCCTTGCCTTCTGCTACGCTCGTCTGGACCAGCTTGCGGAATTGGAGGACTTCCTGCGGTCGACCAACGTTGCCGATATTGAAGCTTCTGGTGATAAGGCTTACGAAGAGGGTTACCACCAAGCGGCAAAGATCTTTTACACCAGCATCTCCAACTGGGCTAAACTGGCAACTACTCTGGTGCACCTGGAAGACTATCAGGCGGCGGTCGAATGTGCTCGCAAAGCAAACAGCGTTAAGGTTTGGAAGCAGGTCAACCAGGCCTGCGTTGACAAGAAAGAATTCCGTCTTGCTCAGATCTGTGGTCTCAACCTCATTGTCCACGCCGAAGAACTCCAGGACCTTGTCCGCCAGTACGAGCGTAACGGGTACTTTGACGAGCTTATTGCAGTTCTAGAGGCTGGTCTCGGTTTGGAGCGGGCTCACATGGGCATGTTTACCGAATTGGGAATTGCTCTTTCGAAGTACCACCCTGACCGGGTCATGGAACACCTCAAGCTCTTCTGGTCTCGTATTAACATCCCTAAAATGATCCGAGCTTGCGAGGAGGCCACTCTGTGGCCTGAACTTGTTTTCTTGTACTGCCACTACGATGAGTGGGACAATGCTGCTCTCGCGATGATGGAACGTGCCGCCGATGCTTGGGAGCACCATTCGTTCAAGGATATCGTTGTTAAGGTTGCCAACTTGGAGATTTACTACCGTGCGCTGAATTTCTATCTGCAAGAACAGCCTCTGCTCCTCACCGATTTGCTCCAGGTTTTGACCTCCCGCATCGATGTTAACCGTGTTGTTCGTATTTTCCAAACGTCGGATAACATCCCCTTGATCAAGCCTTTCCTCTTGAATGTCCAGTCACAAAACAAGAGGGCGGTCAACGATGCGATCAATGACCTTTTGATCGAGGAGGAAGACTACAAGACTCTACGTGATTCTGTAGATAACTACGACAACTTCGACGCTGTGGAACTTGCACAGCGCCTGGAGAAGCACGACCTTATCTTTTTCCGTCAGATCGCTGCAAACATCTACCGCAACAACAAGCGCTGGGCTAAGTCGATTGCGCTCTCTAAGCAAGACAAGTTGTACAAGGATGCTATCGAAACAGCTGCTATATCTAGCAAACCAGAAGTTGTGGAGGAGCTCCTTCGCTATGTAAGTTTGGTGCAAACCTATTGCCAACCCCGCCCTTTCTTAAACTGTCCAACGTGGAATGCTTATTAACTGTAATACAGTTTGTCGATATCGGCAGCCGAGAGTGCTATGTTGGCATGCTGTACGCTTGCTACGACCTGATTCGCCCTGATGTCATCCTGGAGATCTCTTGGCGACATGGTTTGCAAGATTTCACCATGCCTTTCATGATCAACTTCCTGTGTGAACAGACCCGGGCCATTGAGATGTTAAAGAAGGACAACGAGGAGCGCAAGGCCCGCGAAGTCACACAGAAGAAGGAGGAGGATAATACGCCAATCCTGGGTGGCACCCGGCTGATGCTGACACAGGGCCCGGCAGCGCCGGCGCCTAGCCCGATGTATGGCCAGGCTAATGGCATCGCACCTCAAGCGACTGGGTTCCGTCCTTTCTAGACTCACGTTTTGTTATGCCCATCTTTTGTTTTAAAGCAATGTCACCTGTGTATGTATAGCATGAGCAATGGATGGTCCGTCGCAGTAGTGGGTTGGGAGAGAGGTCACCTGGCTTTTGACATTTATCCATCTATTATGTTTCTTTTTTTATTACTTTTCTTTTCTCCTTTCTTTACCCTAGTCTTTTCTTTTTTTCTTCCCCCCCCCCCTTCACTTCCATCCGATGTATTTCATAGGTTTCTAAAATCCGCTGATCGTGTCCCGTGATCTGCCGCCCCGCGGATTTGCGGTTTATTTAATGGCATTATTTGATTGAGATTGAAAAGGTTGCGGCATGCCAAGCAAACTCGGGGTGTAAGTCTGCAGAATGCTGGTAGATTGGCGAAGAGAACCGGACCAGTGGGAGATAGGGAAGATTCTGTCTGGGCTCAAGGAGGATCCACGGAATGGAAGCATGTGAGAGTAGATCATGAGATGCAGTGCAACCTTTGTATACGAAAGCAAGGCAGGCTTGAGCTGTACAAAAGAGGGTGATATATCATATTGAACAGTTACTACCGGCAGGTACTTGTTTAACTACGTACTTGAGCTAAATTTGAATTTGAATTGAATTTGGGATGTATCCCTCTTACTACTCTAGTAGGTAAGTAGGTATTAAGGTACGTATAAGGCAGTTAGTCCAGCCGAGCCCGGTGAGAAAGAACGAAAGAATAAATAAATGATGCAACCTAGACAGGGTTGAAGATTTCTTGTCCCGTCTTGGAGCCAGAGGATTTTTTTTTCTTTTCTTTGTTTGTGAATTTTAATCTCTTACTGTGGAGATATTTCCCCTGGCAATTTACCTCTGTGTGCTAATGTTGATGACTTGTTTGCTTGATGAGGGGTTGTATATATGTAAGTTACAGTCGGTGATCACCTGACGCCTGGTCCCACCTGATGCCTGATTTCCCCTCACTAACTGTTTTTTTGATAATTTTCAATAACTTATATCTTAACTAATATGGGTTTAATTGAAGCCGCGATAGAAGTAATTAACTTATTAAAGATTAGTGATTTAATTAATTATACTAAGATTGTGAAAGAGTTTGGTATTAATTAGATAATATTATTAAGATACTACCACAGGGTATAGTACCCTAAAGACTACTAATATAAGTAATAGCAAGTTCTTACTAATTAATATAAAAAAGAATTAATAAGCTATATTAATAAGCTTACTAAGCAAGGCCTCTTTATATTCTATAAGATACTTTAGAATTTTGTAAAGAAAATTACTAGTAAGAAGCCTGGAAAATACTAGCCTAGGTACTTTATAAAGTATTACTAAGATAATCTTATCTTAATCTATATAATAGTTATTAATACTATATAAAAATAAGCTAATTCTGTATATAAATATACTTTATATTTTAAGTTATTAAGCTAGAAGATATAGTAATATAAGTTATAGTTAGAGAATATCTATAATATAGATAAGAAAGGATTTCTTATTAAAATATTAATTAAAAATCTTAGGATCTTCTTAAAGTAGAAATATATAGCTAGAGAAGGACTTAAATAATACTTATAAAATAAAAATTATAAGTAGATAATTTTAATTACTTATATTTATATTAATAGAACCTCTTTTTTATTAGGTCTTATTTACTAGGCTTCTACTAATAATATATAAGATTCCTAGCTTTAAGACTTTAATCCTAAGCTTTATTCTTACTTCTTTACCTCTTTTATAAGTAATTAGATTAATAATAAGCTAGAATATACCTAGTTAACTAATATATTTAACTATAAGATTAAGAATAAGGCACGCAGGTAATAAAGACTTTTTATTCTTAATAGTTATAAATCTTACCTTATTATAAAGTTTATTAATTACTATAATACTAATAAGATCCTATTAATAATATATCTACCTTATTTAACTTATTTACTATAATTACTTAATATTAAGATCTTTAGCCCTCTCTCTATTACTTATAGCAAGAATCTTAAGGACTTTCTATATAAATTAATAGGTCTTAATTATATTATTAAATAGGATTTTTTTTATCTTTTCTAGCTAGTCTAAGAATAGGCCTTATTAATAAAAAATATTCTTTCTTTATAGCAAATTATAGGAATATAGCTACTAAATCTAGAAATAATTCTAATTTAATTTAATAAGTAGAATAATTCTAGGTTCTTCTTAAGTAATTTCTTATACTCTATTCTATAGGTAGAAGACTAGTAGAAGATTAAGAAGCTTTTAAATTAAGTTATTACTAATATATATAATAAAAATACTAAAAAGTTAAGCTTAATAATATATTATTTCTTTATAGAGAATATTATTTTAAAACTATATTATTAAGGCCTTAAATTAGCCTTCTAGAATAAGAAAAAGAAATATTAATATAGAAAATCCTTATAATTTAAGCTTGCAGCTCTTAAAAATAATAGTATAGTTTTTTACTTTCCTTAAAAGGTTTAGCAGGCTTGTAATCTTTAAATATAGAAAAATAAAGTTATATAACTTACTAAGATATTAAAGGAGTAAGAGAAAGTTTATTAATAATTTATTAAAAAGAAAAAATAATACTTGCTTAAAAAGTAAAAGAGAAATCAAGTATTTTAGTAAGAATTATAGCTACTAGAGGTAGAGTAAAAGAAATAATAAAAAGAGGATACTTATCTAGTAAAGGAGGTAGATTACTAACTTTAAAATAATTTCTAGCAGGTAAAGAAGTCTCTAAAGAAGGTCTCTAAAGCTTTATACTAGTAAAAATCTATAGAAACTAGGCTAATAATACCTATAGAAGTCCTAGAGGCCTCTCTAATAGTAAATTATCAAGGCCGCGAGATCTAGCTCCCATAGTACTTTTAGACCAATTAAAAACTATATATAGAGTCCTAATAATAACTATATTTATCCACCAAAAGATCATGCGATAATAATAATTATATGTAGTTGAATTGCTTCATATTTAATATTACTAGTGGTGGTGAAATCAGGCGTCAGGTGGGACCAGGCGTCAGGTGATCACCGACTGTAAGTTGTACAGAAAAAAAAGAAACAAAAAGTAGTGGTGAGAGTCACGGGACTGGTTTGTCTGGGGGAGATCAACTATCTGTATACTTACAGCATATATTATTATACTTACTCCATACTATAGGCTGACCCTGCAGCTATGGTTGTACGGGGATTCCTTGGCTCATTGTTTGATGAGTCTGGGGGATTCTCAGGATAAAATCTACAGAGTACAGGTCACACCATCACAGGTAGATAGATCGTTAGTCCCGTCGCATATCGACGGAGATTCGGTAGATCTGGGTTGTAGATTAGGTGGATAATAAGAACAACACCGCTCAAAGTAACTAAAACCTAGACCAGTTCGTGCAAAGACGGCAGGTTGGCAAGAATTAACCCGAGGTACCAGTAATACCTGAAGTACCCGATGGATTAATGGAGAGATCGGTTATTGTACGGCTTCCCATAGTTATAACAGAATACCTAATTCAGTTTACTACGGCCTAGGGGAGATTTTCCCGCGGAGAAATTGTCTTGTGATTGTGTATGTACATACTCCGGTGTCCTAATATCCAAAGAGATGGGGAAGGAGGGGCAGAAAAAAAAAAAAATAGAACCCTAGCAGAAGTTAGAAGTTAGAAGTATCTAATAACCGGCTTAACGGATGAGGAGGAATTTCAAAGAAACAAGACTAAGGGAAAAGCTCCCTAATGGATGGATGGGGAACTGACGGGCCCATCCCACCACCTCCTCGGGCTCAGCTCTGTTGCCCGGTGTACCGGTGAAGCTTTATAGAGAGGAGACGATTATGGGATTATCAGAAGGAATTAGGAATATCATCAAGAACTTAGAAGAACTTGGAACAACCTGATTATTACCATTTTTATCATGTTATATACTCTGTACGCCATAGATAACGCCTGATTCTTCAGGTGTCTAGACCCTCTATATCGTCATCGTCACCCCTCTTCCTCTTCTTTACATCTTTATCTTCTCATCCTCTCTCCTCTCTCTCTCTCTCTCTCTTCCTTCTTCATCTTCCATCATTTATCATCATCTTTCATCCATATCTTTAACCTCAACATCTCTCCCCTCCCCCCTTTTACGTTATCCCCCACCATTGGCCAATTGATCACCCCAGCCTTTCCTTTCTCCCCCGCGCTTGATTCCTCCCTCTCCCATTCCGAAACCGGGAAGCTCCTGTCCTCAAGGTGCGTGACTCACTCCTGCTGCGTTTCTGGCTTGCGTTTGCCCCGAATCCTATTAGCTGTGGGAGCTAACTCTTAAATACTGCCCCCTGCGTAGTTCCCCGATCCCTTCCAGACCCTTTCGATCTCTCTCCTCTCTTCCCTACCCCCCCCTTCCTCTTCTAACCTTATTGTCTTCTCTTCCCTTTCTCCACCCCTCTCTTCTCCTTCTCTCCTGCTCTCTTCCATTCTTCGTCCGCTTTTATTAGCGACGAGACACACAATCGCTGTCCCTTTCCTCCCTCTCCTCTCTTTCTAGTTCTTCTCCACTCTGCCCATCATGGCCGCTCCCTATACCCAGCCCGAGAACGCCATCGATGAAACTGAGTTCATCGATGACCATCATGCCCACCACAGGGACTCAGTCCACCATCGCCTGCGCGCCAATTCGGCCATTATTCAGTTCCAGAAGATCCTCGTCGCCAACCGTGGCGAGATTCCCATCCGTATTTTCCGTACCGCGCACGAGCTGTCACTCCAGACCGTTGCTATCTTCTCCTATGAGGATCGACTTTCTATGCACCGCCAAAAGGCTGACGAGGCCTACATGATCGGTAAACGTGGTCAATATACCCCCGTTGGCGCCTATCTGGCCAGCGACGAGATCGTTAAGATTGCCCAGGAGCACGGTGTGCACCTGATTCACCCCGGTTATGGTTTCTTGTCCGAGAACGCCGAATTTGCCCGCAAGGTTGAGGCGGCTGGAATGGTCTTTGTCGGACCCACTCCTGACACCATTGACAGCCTCGGTGACAAGGTCTCCGCCCGCCGCCTGGCTATCCGCTGCGGTGTGCCCGTTGTCCCCGGTACTGAGGGTCCCGTTGAACGCTATGAGGAGGTCAAGGAATTCACAGACACTTATGGATTCCCCATTATCATCAAGGCTGCCTTTGGTGGTGGTGGCCGTGGTATGCGTGTCGTCCGCAACCAGGCTGACCTGCGTGACTCCTTTGAGCGTGCTACCTCGGAGGCTCGTTCGGCCTTTGGTAACGGTACCGTCTTCGTCGAGCGTTTCCTCGACAAACCCAAACACATTGAAGTCCAGCTTCTTGGTGATAATCATGGCAACGTGGTCCACCTGTTCGAGCGTGACTGCTCCGTCCAGCGTCGTCACCAGAAGGTCGTCGAGATCGCCCCCGCCAAGGACCTCCCCTCCGACGTCCGTGACCGCATCCTGGCTGATGCTGTCAAGCTCGCCAAGTCGGTCAACTACCGTAACGCTGGTACCGCTGAGTTTTTGGTCGACCAGCAGAACCGCTACTACTTCATCGAGATCAACCCTCGTATCCAGGTCGAACATACCATCACGGAAGAAATTACTGGCATCGATATCGTTGCTGCTCAGATTCAGATCGCTGCTGGTGCTACCCTCGAGCAGCTGGGGTTGACCCAGGACCGCATTACCACCCGCGGATTTGCTATTCAATGTCGTATCACCACTGAAGACCCTTCCAAGGGGTTCTCCCCCGACACCGGTAAGATCGAGGTGTACCGTTCCGCTGGTGGCAATGGTGTCCGTTTGGACGGTGGTAACGGGTTTGCCGGTGCCATCATTACTCCTCACTATGATTCCATGCTTGTCAAGTGTACTTGCCGTGGTTCTACCTACGAGATTGCTCGCCGCAAGGTTGTGCGTGCTCTCGTCGAATTCCGTATTCGCGGTGTGAAGACCAATATTCCTTTCTTGACTTCCCTGCTCAGTCACCCCACCTTTGTTGATGGTACCTGCTGGACCACTTTTATTGATGATACCCCCGAACTTTTCACCCTGGTTGGCAGCCAGAACCGTGCCCAGAAGCTACTTGCTTACCTCGGTGACGTTGCCGTCAACGGTAGCAGCATCAAGGGCCAGATTGGTGAGCCCAAGCTGAAGGGCGCCGTAATCAGGCCCACTCTGCTTGATGCTGCAGGAAAGCCCCTGGATGTTTCTGTTCCTTGCACCAAGGGCTGGAAGCAGATTCTAGACCAGCAGGGCCCTGAGGCCTTTGCCAAGGCCGTGCGGGCTAACAAAGGTTGCTTGATCATGGACACCACCTGGCGTGATGCTCACCAGTCGTTGCTCGCAACTCGTGTTCGTACCATCGATCTGCTCAACATTGCGCACGAGACCAGCCATGCCTACGCCAACGCTTACAGTCTAGAGTGTTGGGGCGGTGCCACATTCGACGTCGCCATGCGCTTCCTCTTCGAAGATCCCTGGGATCGTCTGCGCAAGATGCGCAAGGCCGTTCCTAATATTCCCTTCCAAATGCTGCTTCGGGGCGCTAACGGAGTTGCTTACTCCTCTCTGCCCGACAATGCCATCTACCACTTCTGTAGGCAGGCTAAGAAGTGCGGTGTCGATATTTTCCGTGTCTTCGACGCTCTCAACGATATTGACCAGCTCGAAGTTGGCATCAAGGCAGTCCAAGCCGCTGGAGGTGTTGTCGAAGCTACCGTCTGCTACAGTGGTGATATGCTGAACCCCCATAAGAAGTACAACCTAGAATACTACCTGGCTCTCGTGGACAAGATAGTCCAATTAAAGCCCCACGTCCTTGGTATCAAGGATATGGCCGGTGTGCTGAAGCCCCAGGCTGCTCGCCTACTTATTGGTGGTATCCGTCAGCGTTATCCTGACCTCCCCATCCACGTTCACACCCACGACTCTGCTGGAACTGGTGTGGCATCTATGATTGCCTGCGCCCAGGCGGGTGCAGATGCTGTCGATGCCGCCACTGACAGCATGTCGGGTATGACCTCGCAGCCCAGTATTGGTGCTATCCTTGCTTCCCTCGAGGGAACTGAGCAGGACGCTGGTCTTGACCGTGCCCAGGTGCGCGCAATTGATAGCTACTGGGCTCAGCTGCGTCTTCTGTATTCTCCATTCGAGGCGGGTCTTACTGGCCCCGACCCTGAGGTCTATGAGCACGAAATCCCCGGTGGCCAATTGACCAACCTTATCTTCCAGGCCAGCCAGCTTGGTCTGGGCCAGCAGTGGGCTGAGACTAAGAAGGCCTACGAAGCTGCGAACGATCTCCTGGGCGATATTGTCAAGGTTACCCCGACTTCCAAGGTCGTTGGTGACCTGGCCCAATTCATGGTGTCTAACAAGCTGACTTCTGAGGATGTCGTTGCCCGCGCGGCAGAGTTGGACTTCCCTGCTTCTGTCTTGGAGTTCCTTGAAGGTCTTATGGGCCAGCCATACGGTGGATTCCCAGAGCCGCTCCGCTCTCGGGCTCTCCGGGACCGCCGCAAGCTCGATAAGCGTCCCGGCCTCTTCCTGGAGGCTTTGGATTTGGCCAAGATTAAGAACCAGATTCGCGAGAAGTTTGGAGCTGCCACTGAGTACGATGTGGCCAGCTATGCTATGTATCCCAAGGTGTTCGAGGACTACAAGAAGTTCGTTCAGAAGTACGGTGACCTGTCCGTTCTCCCTACCCGTTACTTCCTGGCTAGGCCTGAAATTGGCGAGGAATTCCATGTCGAGCTGGAGAAGGGTAAAGTGCTTATCCTGAAGCTTCTCGCCATTGGTCCTCTCTCTGAGCAGACTGGTCAGCGTGAGGTCTTTTACGAAGTGAACGGAGAAGTCCGTCAGGTCAGCGTCGATGACAAGAAGGCATCCGTGGACAATGTGGCTCGCCCTAAGGCTGAGCTGGGCGATAGCAGCCAGGTTGGCGCACCCATGAGCGGCGTCGTTGTTGAGATCCGTGTTCACGAAGGCTCTGAAGTCAAGAAGGGCGATCCTGTTGCGGTTCTGAGCGCTATGAAGATGGTAAGTCGATGTTGTCTTCCACATGCGTTGTCATGTGCTAATGATTTAATAGGAAATGGTGATTTCCGCTCCACACAGTGGCAAGGTATCCGGCTTGCTAGTTAAGGAGGGTGACTCCGTCGATGGACAGGATCTCATTTGCAGGATCGCCAAGGCTTAAAGGAGCCACAGAAGTAAAGAATAAATACCCCCCAAAAAACTAAACCAAAAGCAACAAAAACATGAAAGGGAAGCCACATACTACTAGTGAATTCGTTGCCCCCTATTTTGGAAGATGAACGAGAACCTGTACATGGCGGCATGAATATCTAGATGACTTGGTGTTAATTCGAGATTTATACTCTACTGTGTCTTTTATGATTGACTGGTTGATTTATGCAACCTTTTGTTTACATTTTTTTTTTCTTTTCTCACTGGTACTTCAAGCACAGTCTTATGAAAAATTTTTGTTTTCGGGTGGGTTATATCACAATGAAATGAATAACCTAAATATTATTATATTCCTCATCTACTTTTTGATTAGCGTTGACGCAAACTCTCTCTCTCTCTTTGGTTATGATTGATGAATTTAAGAACTACGCTGCAACGATCGAAGAACTATGTACCGAAGTCTAGTATACTGATGAGGAGTACGACATGGTGGAGCAGTTTTGATGACACGCATCAAAGCCTGGATGCACCCGCATCATCAAACTCAGCTGCTTCGCGCAATGTCTTCCAGACGTGCATTGCATCATCCCAGAGGCCGTCGTGCCAGATCTCAACGGAGCCGTCGGGTTTCAAGGTCCTGATCTCCCGATGGTTGGTCGTCCCCCAGTTAAGATCTTCCTCGCCGTGAACAAACCGAATGAACGGGTCGATCAAGGCGCGCTTGATAATCGGCTTCTCATGCGGCTCAACCACCTCCCCATTTCCCCAGAACCAGATATACTGGTCCGTGGCATGGGTCACGCCCCAGCTAGGCGGGGTAGACTTATCCGCACACTTGAGCCGGTACTCGATCCGGTAGCGGTACAGAAGATCCGCCGCGCCATGACTAGCGAGCGACTGGACCAGGCCGCGCTGCATCTTATGTACCTGCATATCCGCATAGATGCGACCCCAGGCATCCGGGGACCAGTTCTCGCAGTTCCCCGGAAGCCTACCGTCCGAGTAGTAGCATTTGACGAGCGGGTCTACGACATGTCGCGGGTAATCAGCCAGTAACCGATGACGGAGCGAGGCGAGATCATTCTGAGGCGGGTACCAGGTAGCGTAGAGGAAGTGTTCGTCGCGACATTCGCCTAGGATGAGGCGGACTTTGCGGGCGATGAGCCTTCGGGCGAATTCGCCGTTGTCGAAGGACTGGAAGAGCGTCGGGGAAACGAAGACGGAATCCGAGGTTGGGCGGAACTGGTTGATTTCGATGCTTGTAGCCGCGGAAAGGAGGGTTGAGGCTGGAATGGCGCGGAGACGGGCGAGTTTCTCAGCGTCCGGGAGGGAGATGGGGATTTTGAGCGCGGAGAGCAGCTCGTTGAATTGTGCTTGGGTGGCTGCGGGTGATTTGGGTTGGGCGGCGGGGGAGTTGGACCAGATGCAGGCTCGTTTTACGAGAGCTTGGGTATCGGGGAGTTGGAGGTCATAGGCTAGTTGGTAGCAGACAGAGTATGCGCCTGGAGTAAGGGGGGGATAGGAGTTAGTAGTGTTTTAATATATATATATATGTGATGGATGGTTCACTCTCTTATTCAAAGCAAATGAATGAATGAATGAGACCTACCTGCAGAATAACCAGAAAGGGTGATTTGAGACCCATTACCACCAAAAAGGCCAATATTTTCCTTGGTCCATTCCAAAGCCATGCGTTGGTCCCAGAAACCATGGTTTCCAACTGTTTCGCCAACCAAGGCCGCGTCCGTTTCGATCTCAGAGGAATAAAGGAACCCAAAGACGCCAACACGGTAGGCGGGCATGACCACAATAGCATTGAAATCGGTTTCGCCTAGCAGTGCTGCAGCAGAGAAGAAATTCGGTGTGCCAAACTGCAAGAAACCACCATCTACATGGGAAATAATGATTTTAGTGTTCGTTTCTTTCTTTTCTTTTTTTTTGTTCGGCTGCTGTTCGACGGCAGCATCTCATCGTCATGTCAAGGAGAAAGAGAGGGATGGGATAGATAGATATATATCTCTCTCAATATCTGTATACGTACGAATGAAAAAAAGTACAGGCCACCCTATCGAAGAAGAAAGATTCCACGTTAGAACATTTCACTTTATACTATTCAGACACTTATCTGCTTTGCGTAGATATCCGTGTATATATATATATATATAGGGATATATATATAGGGATACCGGAGAAACTACAACTCAAGGAAGATTCAACTGAATCTACCCTTTCTGGGTATACAGACACGTACATACCATCATCTGGCGGCTCCCCCACAGGAACCCAAACATTACACTGGAAGCAATCCTCATCCCAGCCCTCGGAGACAGAGAGGTCCATGAAATTAGGCTGGGGGCAGACACCCGCAGCGCCGGGACAGTAGCCCGGATGGTCTTTCGTGCCGTAACTATACGATGGAGGCAGGGGACGGGCTTTGCGCCAGCGTTGCGGCGGTGGAAGGGCATAGCGGAGCCCGCCGAAAAAGTGGCATAGTAAGGTATTGGTGGATTTGGAGGAAAGGGAGACGCCTTGGATGTAGCCTCTGTGCGAGAGGGATTTTAGGTATGGTGTTTGGATGATTTCCATGTTGAGAAGGCGTTGGGGGGGGGGGGGGGGGTATATAAATATGATTGATTGATTTCAATTGAGATGCTAGTAGTAGAGTGAGAGAACACACTTTCTAGAAGAACCAAAAACCAAAACCAACCGTGACTGTGACTTGTAGTATTGTATTATATATGTAATTGGGTCAGAGAGTTCTTTCTCGAAAACCTCCGAGGGAGTACCGGAGTAGATCGGTATGAGTGTCAGATAGCGAGAGACGATAAGAGGAAGGAAGCGGCAAATCTGATAGAGCTGGCTCTGTTGGGATGGAAGAGGTACAGCTTGCAAGGGCTGGCAAGTTGGACGAATGAACAGGCGTAAAAAGGAAGAGAGGGATGGGACATTGGGAAGTGAGCGAAATGAAGGGATTCAACAAGCCATGTGTGGGGGGAACTCCGCTCCCGTGTCGGGCTCAGATCTGGGATCCGATGCATCCATGCGAGGATTATCATGTATCTGCTCAGAGTCATTTAATGAGTGCGTCAATGCAAATGAAAATGCAAATACCTAGGGACTGCTCTACATGAGAAGCTTTATACGCTGAATTCAACGGTTTTGGATCAGTCAGTCTCAGTTATGTACGGCCGTTATGATTCGCTTTCCGAGTGAGGGAGCCTTTACCTATGACAACCCCCAATAGCTGACTATTAATATTCTGGTATTCTGAAGCTGAGAATCACTTTTGAAGGGAAATTTCGAGGGTTATTACCAATGAGTTTGACTTCTCGGGTAAGGGGGGTTTGGTCAGGTTTTTCATCCATCGTTGGGAACATAGGGTTATTATCCCCATCCTGAGGTCCATCTACTATTCAATGTCGGGCTGACCTTGATCTCTATAACAGCAATTGAATTTGACCACTCAATGAGTGCTCTGACTGTCCCGCCCGGAAAGCTTTCCATCCGCCCATGGCTTCTCCAAAGTTTCTTTATGGGCAGTTCCCCCCGCACCCTGGCAAGACGCTTGACGTCAGCCGCTATTTGATTGGAAATATCGACATCATGAACCGACAGAAGCAGAACTGGAGGCCCATTCACTTTCCTGCTGCTGCTGATTAATCTAGCAAGCTTGTGACTTGGATTGGATCTGGACTGGTGATCGATCCGGGGCCCATGGGATCTGTTTCCCATTCGGGGCTTGACGACTGGGGGTTCCAAACCACCCATGGGTAATTATTGGATCATCCCAGAGTTGCGCTCGTTTGAAACTGCCTATGAGGCAGCTGGAAGAACTCGGGTAGTGATGCGTTCTCACATCCAGGGTTAGAGTCACGGTGGAAGTGCTACCTGCTTACCCCTCTCTCACCTATAAAATATGCCCGGGGGGAGGATTGTTTCTTTTCATCATCGTCTAATTTGAATCGAACCCAAGTTATCGACAGATCAACTCTACAAACAAAGGTGAGTTTTGTGATTGAACCCTCCAGGGCCCCAAATTCCATCTCCCCGTCGGTTTTGCATGCCCCGAGTTCGATTGCATTGGATTCTATATTGCTTTTCTGGAGCGGATGTCATGGGATTCTTCCCTTCTTCGGTGTCCAGAATTCTATGCACTGGGAGATCTTCTCATACCTCCCTCCCTCCCTGTGATCGGGTGTCATGACCGACGATGTTATGCTTTCCCTTTCAAGCAGTCGAATGACAGACTCTGACCAGCCACACAAAAAGGAATAATGGACAAAGACAAATCTCCGCCTCGTCACTGGCATGGTGTTTTTGGCGATCGTTATGAGCATCACAATGTCTGGGTGACGGGTGGCCCTCCACAGCCATACATGGCCAGACGACCGTCCGCCGCATCCTCTGATGTAAACGCGACGAGTGAGAGACGTGTATGTCCCGAAGAGATTCTATCTAGTTCCTAAAACCAGAATTTTCTGCTCCGCCGTTTCGTTGGATACTCGTTCGTTCGTTAGTTGGTTAGTTAGTCTTCAGTGCTGACTGTTCTTCTCTCTGCACAGGCTTCTGCAGCATCCGACATGTCTTCCACCTCCACTGGTAACAATAATACTCCTATAGCCCCGGAAAGAAGAAAATCTAGCAGCCAAGGCACTTCCTCTTTGTTCGCAAGCCTTAATAGCCAGAAAAGGAACACCGACGATGGCAACCTTGCTGCACGCCGCCAGAGCTGGAGTGAGCAGTCCCAGCAGGGTGGCTTCCTTGCCAAGTGGTGGACTGATTATACTCGTGGTAAATAACTCTTGCTTTTGTATCAAGGGCTGTAATTATGGTTGCTTGTAATCTTTTTTTTTTTTTGTTGAACTTTTTGATATCTTTTATACGCATAGTTATTACGCATATGCCAATGTTGATGGCAAAGGAGGCAGAGAATGGCTCTCGAATGTGAAAAAGAACCATGATGATTTGAGGGTTGGAATCGGAGGAAAATGGGCTGAAATGTTATATCGCGTACTCATAATCGAAGAAACGAAACCAGTGCATTTTTAAAGAGCACAATGCTCCTCCGGTTGCTGCGTCGTTAGCTAGGCAGTAGCCAGGGTAAGACCGGGTTTAGCTACGAGTGCCTGTACGCCGTTCTATGCAGCACGCTTACGAAAAGATCGATCCTGAAGTGTGTGTTACAATCGGATCGGACTACTTGAACAAGATGCGTACCCATGCTTCTAGCCGCGTAGGAGACGGGACTTCCTTGTCCTCGACAAGGAATAGAAACCAACTCAGGCTTCCAGTTAAGGAACCGAGTTTCACGGCCACGAGAGCAAAGAACTATGGACACCCGCTAGGGTGCATAGGTAGGCATCATGCAGTACGTTTTCATCAATGGTTATGCGGAAATCATCACTCCTTGTGAAGCCTTCATTGTGAAAAGTGGATGCGTTTTGAAATTTGTTGTTTGATATCTATCACGCCCATCCTCATGCCGTGGTAGAAAAAAAAATTGGAAAACATTCCAAGAGCAGAGCGAAAATCATTTAGAAACGCCTGCCTTTTTTAATCATTCATAACACAAACCCCCCGTTGTTCACCTCCAAGAAGACCCCCCAAAGTGAAATAATTTACCGGACGATGCCGTCGAAGCGGTTCTTGAACCACTTGACGGTCTCGGTCTGGTTGATGCGGTGGGGAGCACCAACGCGGGCCTTGCAGCGGCGACGCTTAGCAACGCGCTCACCGGGGCGGGTCCTATGAAAATCCTGCGTCAGTCCTGACACCTCCCCAAAAAAAAAAACACATATCCCATGGTGGGATCACCCGGAGCAACTCACATGCAGCAGTAGAAGTCCATGCCGTAGATACCAATACCGGGGTCGTACTTGATACCCAGATCGATGTGCTCGCTGATACCGAAGCCGAAGTTGCCGGTCTCGGAGAAGTTCCTCTTCCTCAACTCGTATTCCTTGACCTTGAGGCCACGCTCGAGAATCTCCTCAGCCTTGGGGCCACGGACGGTAACGTGGACGGAGATCTTCTCGTTACGACGGATACCGAAGGTACGGACGGTGTAGCGGGCCTTGCCTGTTGTGCAAAAAATTTTCCACCTCGTCAGCCACACAATTCTCTCTAGAATCCATAATTGCCTCATGCTTCTCCGTGTCTGATCGAGAATCGGGTGTCCTTACTGTAGACAGGAGTCTGACCGCTCAGCTGCTCGAGCACCTTAGCAGCGCGAGTAAGTCTGTCACCAGACTCACCAACACTGATGTTGAGCACGAGCTTCTGGATGCGCAGCTCGCGCATGGGGTTTGCGCTCTTGTCCTTTCCTTCCGACTGCATGGCGAGAAAAATGTTAGATCAAAGATATCCTGGGTGAATCCTGCAACGATTCAATGGAAGACTCGATACATACCATGGCGACTACTTTGGCGTGGATTGGTCGACTCGTTGGGTGGGAGAATCTCAAGAATCGAGAAAAGTTGTGTGCAGGTTGATTGACTGTGTGGGTGAAATGTGGGAAGCGAGAGCCCTTAGCGTCTTGGCATAGTCGGTTGGCGCTTAATCGAAGAGCCGCGCGGTTATCCTAATGGTCACGTGCACCAAGTCACGACTCCCGCAGATCTGAACCCGCCGCTTCGAAAGCTCGAGACTCCCAAGCTCTTTATCTAGCAAGAACTCTCCGCTCGGAGCGTGCAGGTACAAACGTGAAGATACGGAAGAGGATTGCCCTTCTCCTGACTCTCTCACGCACATACACATTCTTTGGTTCCACAGTCAAGTCGCATTCGTGCGCACTTAAGCTAAAATGGCCGCCAACAAGCAGGGCAAGATGGTGAGTCGGCCCAATATCTTTCCCCTTTTTCTGAAGCTTGCATGGCTTTTATGCAGAACATAGTTTCAAACATTCTGTAATTGAATGCATAGCTAACTACCATTGTCTGTATAGCAAAACCTCGTAAGTTGTGGATGATATGGCTCCTGGCTATCCTCGCGAAAATCTAACATCAACAGATCAACTACCGGATGAGAGTTACCCTGAACGACGGCCGACAGATGACGGGTCAGATGCTTGCATTTGATAAGGTATGGTTAATTGCAATTCAGACGGATGTTGCCCTTCCTAGCACATTACTGATACCACAATGTCTATTAGCATATGAACCTCGTCCTCGCCGATACAGAAGAATTCCGCCGCGTCAAGCGCAAAGCTAAATCCGCCGCTGGTTCCTCCAATGCGCCCCTCGTCGAATCGGAAGAAAAGCGAACCCTGGGTCTTACAATTGTGCGCGGTACTCAAGTCGTTTCCTGCTCCGTCGATGGACCTCCTCCTGCCGATCCCTCTGCGCGACTTGGAACGGGCGGCCCTGGTGTCGCAGCCGCCGCAGCAACCCTCGCCGCTGGCCCTGGAATTAGCAAACCCGCTGGACGTGGTCTGCCGGTCGGCCTAGGAGGACCTGCGGCTGGTGTTGGAGGACCACCACCTCCTCCAGGTGGCTTCCCCGGTTTCCCACCAGGCGGTTTCCCTGGTGCTCCTCCACCAGGTTTTGCTGGTCGCGGTGGTGGACCTCCAGGAGGACCTCGTAAGTAACTCCTGTCTTTATATACGAGAGACATAACCTAATGAGTGATTTAGCTGGCTTTGCCCCTCCCCCCGGATTTGCTCCTCAGGGCGCTCCTCGTAAGTTTTTTTTTTTTTTTTTTTTTTTTTTTCCCATGTCCCGTTCCTTGTCGCGATAGCATTAACTAACTGATATTCACCATAGCTGGCGGGTTCCAACCTCCTCCAGGTTTCCAGCCTCCATCCCATGGTCGAGGTTATCCTCCACCCGGATTTGGGGGACGGTGAGTTGATATGATACGGAGCAACATGAAAGGCTTGCAAATACGACTATGACTGTAGCGTGGTGGATTCCTAATTCGAAGGACAAATAAGGCTTAAAAGGAATAAAACAACTCGTCCCGGTCCATTCGTCTGTTGATGGATTCTGGTACACAATTTTTACCAGGCAAAGGCGTTGCGGCGTGAGTGGATGCAAGGAATGCCCAGAGAGATAAAACGGTCCACCCAAAACCCGAGGATCGACAGAAGTAATGCTAGATATCTGTCCAGCATTTTATCCTACTAGTGAATCCTAATACATTTCGATGTCTCCGCGCTTTTTTTTTTGAAATCTTACCTATGTAATGGTCATTGTTGGACATAAAGTTTCGACCGCCAGAGCCCGGATTAAAGAAAATCCACTGCCGATGAGGAGTTATTTACTAAAAATTTATTGAGGTAGACGATTAAAATAAGCTATTTATTCCTGTTATTTCCCGTCACTAAATTTGTATTCCCCCCTTTTGCTATTTCTCTCTTAATGATAGTAGCGTGCCATGATGGAGTGTATGGAGTATATGGGGGACATCATAGCGAATACCGGTACCGGAGGGCACCTCAAGCTTGGCATATGCCTGGTTTATGATTGGTTCCTTACTTTCTTCGTGTTTGCCAGAAATTGCCAAGAGTTCCGACCCCCAAAACTGTAGATCCGCGCGCACGGTGTACTCCATCTGGCCCCGTGCCAAGAGTTTCCCGCTCGAGTTACCTGCACAATCCTAGGTTCGATTAAACAGTGGTTGAAGTCCTGTCTGTCAAAAAGGTCATTATCGAACATCAATCCTGTCCAGCCCCATCTTAGCCTACACTCCAAACAATAGACAAATCGTTATCCAATCCCAAGACCCTATCTATATTGTGGTTAACAATGCTTCAAGTATGACTAGCACTGCATCAATTTACTGTAGCTCAGCGTTCACTGTCGTTTGCTGGGACGATGCTGGATGTGGCAAGAAACTGCGCAAGTACTTGCCAGGTTATGTGCATGGACATGTAATAACGATGTTGGGTTCTCTAACATGGCATATGCATTAGCGCTGTGGAAACCCGATTTGTTGCCCCAAGAATAGTGTGCCCAAGAACTGCGTGTGGTGTGGCTAAGATACGGGAAATCTAGGGGTGGGTTTAGATTGTACTGGTTAATATATGCGAAAGTATACAGCATGGTCAGTATTCTTCCAAAGCCCTCCCTTCCTCCTTTGAACGTTGCACCGAGAAAACTGACAGGACTTGAGAACTCACAGAGGGGATTGTCCCTCAGGAACCAGGTCTACTCTCACTAAATATAATAATAGCTAGTTTATATAGCTCTCTCTAGATAGTACATAGTCACTACCTACTCACTTAGCCATGATGAATATATAGAATAAATAATTAGGCAGTTCCTGTGGTCCCCTCACACAAGCATCATCAATCTAAAGGCTGTGGTAAACAACATTTTTATTAAGTAGGCCTCTGCTAGCAACATCTCTGAAAGTTGAAAATGTCATAAAGATCTAGAGTCAGTCGTTTGATATAGGTCTTTGCAGTAAGTATTGCTGGAGCTTGCGTGAGCTCTATCCCAGAAGCTAGCCATGTTGGGAATATTTCATCAGCAGAGACACACTTGAGAGCGCGAGTAACTAGGTCAAAAGTAACCTTAGCTTTGGGGATCTCTAGCTGGTTGTAGTATAAAGTCTCAGTCTTGTCAATAGCGATGATGAAAGTGTGGACTGGAATTGTCCTGTTTTTGGGTCGCATTTCTCGGACACAATGTCATCCCAACAGGTGATTCGTGGTGCCATGATAGAGGTATGATGGAGATTTTATATTTCTGTAGGCGACGTTGCTTGGGGATTCTGAATGTCGTACTTAAAAAAGTTGAAAAGTACGTTGACCCCCAAGATTCGGTGTCTATACCCAGTTAGGAAATATGTAGATGCTAGTTTAGCAGTAATCAACAAATCTTGTCGATTCGCCCTCTGAGTTGAAGGGTTGAAGGGAAGCAAGAGATCTTCTCCGAATTAATTAGATCTGATCCATTGCTTCCTGCCCTGAAACACACAACGCATACGGAGTACCTTGTGCACACATTGTGTGGATATACCAGCAGTAAATACAATTCCCACTGACAATATCGGATAAACTGTAAATCCGACCCTTACCGATGTCACATGACCCAGGGGTTATAGATAATCCGTGCCGAGGGATTTAAGTGCATCACGTCAGCACAGATGACTGTGCCAGGCGGTGATGATGTCGCAGCCGGTGTGTGCTTCTCCGTCCTGTTATTGTCGTTGACCATCTTTGCAATCCGTTTTTTCCCCCTCCAGACTTCTGCAAGATGGCCGCTGTAATCAAGGCAGTTAATGCAAAGATCCGTTCCAACAAGGTTCTGGACTATGTCTGCTCAACACGTAAGTGCGCCCCGGCCTTTTCGATTTTGCCTTTCCCCCATGCACGACCGAAATCGGCGAACCCCAGTAAGATGTCTGGACATGGGTGGACGGAATGTCGCGTGGAGGGAATACTCTGATACATAGGGGACGACTTGGAGTGTTTTGAATGCTGCCGTGATACTGTGATGATATCTGGAACCAAAAAAAAAAATACGAGTAGCGAAGAAATGTCAACTAACAGCAAACCTTGCCTCCAGATTTCTGGGGCCCCGTCTCCAACTTCGGTATTCCCGTTGCAGCTGTGATGGACACGCAGAAAGACCCGGAAATGTACGTTTGATTCACTCCTATTCTACACTTCCATTTATTGCTTGATAAGCTGTTGCGTCCGTTGCAATGGTAGCTTTTCGTCGTTCCCCCCCGAAATACATGGAACAATCGAGCTGACCCCGCTGACGCAACGCAATATAGTATCTCTGGCCAGATGACCGGTGCTCTTGTGATCTACTCTGCTACTTTCATGCGTTACTCTCTCGCCGTCACCCCAAAGAACTATCTCCTCTTCGCCTGCCACGCCATTAACTTTTCCGCTCAGTGTGTCCAAGGATACCGTTATCTGAACTACTGGAAGTATGTGGACATTTTGCTTTTATATCAGTTTTTTTTTTTTTTCCTTTCGTGAAAGGGAGTCTCTTACTAACATGGTTTAATTCTCTTCAGCTGGGGAGGCCGGGAAGCTCAACTTGGCGAACAGGCTGCGCAGGAGGGGAAAAAAGCTACTGAGGCAGGCGCCTAGTGTGGTTCACTTTGTGGCCCGGGGAGGCCTTGATGTGGATCATCGTGTTTTTATATATTCCCACTAGACACTACCTAGAGAATGTAAAGTGATTGTGATCAGTTGCAGAGGCATTTAACATGCCTCTCATTGCGTATGCACTGGGTACTTGGATAGCATTTGCATCGGGAGGGGGGAATGCTGGTTGTAATTGTGGTGCAATGTTATAAATGACATATTTCTCACTCTGGAAGTAAATTCATTCATTAGATTGTTATTAAACATAGCCATGACCTTGTGTCCTACAGTGACTGGCCTAGAGGGTTTCCGCGTATTACGCCAGAGTAGTCCTGAGATAGAGTATAAATCACCCACCTGAGGGATCAGGTTAAGCGTGTTTGTATATATATATATATATAGATAGATAGATACATATATATGTATTCATTCTCGGGGCTATCTAGTAGCATGTCCATTGTAAACAAGTCGTGGTATATTAAACAGGTCAGCGGGGAAAAAGGGTTTCATCTAAGTTCTTGTATCCCAGGCTATTGTATTGAGGAGCTGGAGCCACGTTCTTTACGCCGGGGCTCTAAAAAAAAGGCAAACAACGGCAAAGAAGAGTCTAATGTAACAAGTTGCCGTACACACATCATGAGTCACAGTATCCTGGAGCCTTGACATTGTCGCCATTGATCCAGTTATCGAGTGTCAACGAGGTAGTATATATGCAGCAGACAAGACCAAAGCAGGCAAGTCCTATGTCTGCAATTTTCTGTCGTCTGGATCGCGCGCAGGCTTTAAAATGCAGCAGAGGCTATAAGACAGGGGTTAGTTAGGCTGAGTGACGGGGGAGATATCCTGGAGTGAAGTCATACCGGGTACACGTAGATTAGAGGAACGCAGGCAAAGCTGCCAATAAGCGAGACAAACTTGTCGAGGTCTTCTGCCCCACCCCATGCAACGAATGCACAGATCATGACAAGGAAGAACCGGAAGCAATTCTTTTGCCATTTGATGCGAGGGTTATACTTCCCACTGCGGGTAAATAGTTCGTTTTCCATGATACGGATAGCGGGGAAAAGCTGAAGAGGCGTACTCAAAAGAATTGCCAAAGAGTAAAGGAATTGGACAGCGTTGACAAATTTGCTGTCTTGCGGGAGGTTGAGAATAACAACAGTCTTTGTTGCGGATCCATACGCTGCGTAACTGAGAGCACCGGCCGAGAGGAAGACGATTGTGATTATAACCATTACACCAGCCAGGACACCGGCGAATTGTTGGGGGTGTTTCATAGATTCCTGAATAGGAATGATGAGACCAATTCCCTCATAGGTGAAAATCGCAGTTCCTATAAACAGAGTCCACGTAGACGGGTTGAATGAGACAATATCCGCAATGCCACCTTGTGCGGATATCGTAAAAATGTCATAGTAGAAGAGATATATAAGACCAAGCAAGATGAATAAATCTGCAATGAGCGCAGTGAAACCGAGTTTGCTAATGTCTCGGATCAACGAGAGCGGGAGGAAAATGACGAGTTGCATCAAGACCATGAACTTGATGTCAATGAAAGACTTGCACTTGCTAACAGCAAGGACAAAAGCTTGCAGATTTTCGGCGGTAAATACGATATAAGCGGACACAAAACCCAGTTGGCTTAGTACAATCGATCCAAGAATAATCCGACGCATATGCTTTCCGAAGAGCGCACCACCAATGTCACCGAATGAACCGTCGATTTTGAGTCGCGTATTCACTAGGAGAATGAAGCAGTAATAGCTGAGTAATGAAACTGCAAGGAGTACCAAACTGCTGAACAGCATGCCTCCATTTAAAAACGCCCTTGGTAGGAATAAAACTCCAGTCCCCACAAATGATTTGAGAAGAAGTAAGGCAGCGCCAGTCCTGGTGTTGGTTCCAGTTCCTCCGCGAGGCTTGCGTTTTCTTCTGCCCGGCGTCCCTGGGCGAAGGAGGGCAGATTCTTCGCCTGGTTCTGCGCCTTCCGCCTCATCCCAAGTGTCGGAAGAGAAGTATTCGTCGGGCCCAAGAACTTCATCATCCTCCTCGAGCTCTTCGCCAGCGAAGTGGCCATAAAGGGTTAAGAACTCTAAGAAGCTGGTTGTGGGAAGTTGAGGTTGAGCGAACGGTATACGTGCTCCTGTGCCGTCCCCTGGGTGAGGGCTTCCGGCGGCTCGGCGCAAGTAGTCTCTCCGAAAGCCCCCAGGCACACGAATGGTATTGATGTTCATAGTATCATCCTCTGGAACCGGCCGGTTGAGGCTAAAGCTCCTGCTTCGCAGAGGTTTTCGCACGGAACCTCCTGCGTCAGCATCCTCGGCCCATCGGTAAACTTGTCTAGTAATATCGCCCCCTTGAAGCTGTAAGCTCGAAAATTCGTCATCTGCAACGCTCGCAACATCCCCCGAGGATTGCGTGTCGCGACCCTCAAAAGGCTGCACCAAATGTCTTTTTACAACCTCAGGGTCTTCGTACGGACCCGCAGAGTATTCCGACCCTTCTCTCCAAGGCTTGTTATCAAACGAACCGTAATTTGACTTGGGCTGAATATTCTGGGGAAGAGCAGGAGACGCAGTACGTCTGGGTGAAGTTCCTAGCCGTGGGGGAGATCGACCAAGGGTATCTTGAAGAGCAGAAGCAATCATTGACTGCCCAGGACCAGGTAGAGACGAAGGGTTGTCGACTCGACGAAGATCTTGTACAGTGTCTGTAACTTGCACGGCTGGGATTGGTATCTGTCTAGATGGGAATGAGCTCGATAGCGAAGGTACTGGGGACGCCAGCCGGGCGATCGAAGCTTGTCTGACGGAGGCGTCTGGAGCTGGAGACCCTGAACGCTGGATGCAGGTGGTTATCGGAGATGGCCGACAATTCTGGGATGCGGACCCCTCTCCATTATCATACTCTCTGGGAGACGACATATCGCTGAGAAGTAGATTATATCTCCAGAGAGGCTAAGAATAAATTCATCCAACTCAATAACTCGTTGCCCAGTTGGAGATTTGTTATCGAATTGTGGCAGGACACTTAGGAGAACACTGCCAGTCGTCTTAGGAGGGCCAAAGAAAATCGAATTGCTCGCAACTGACACTATAATACTTTTTAAAGACAATCCCCTGTCAGCGGTAATGCCAGAACTAGTGAGGGGACGTCGTGATAATCACAGGAGTGAGGTTATATCGTCTGGAGTCGTGGGACGAAGGCGGTGGGGTTTGCACTGTTTGCACCGCCCTGGTCTTAGCACATGAGGTCATTGCTCGCCCTGCACCAAGTCGGACTCAGACTTCAATTTCCTCTCGCGCGAGATTTTGGCGTCGTCGCTGGCAGTCAACAGTTATGTATTGACTTCTGCTGCTAAAGAATTATTGATTCAACCCTCCAATTGCGGTTCTGAGACTCTGCTGGGGCATTGTCCTTGGTTCATGCCATTGAGTTCCCCCTGCATATCTCATCTTGTTTGGGTGAAAGCGTGGGGTATAGGCCATCTGATAAAAGGCATAGGAGGTGTATTCGATGAATAGTCTGCGAGGCAAAGGTGCCTCAGAGTCGTTGTCTCGGAGGAGGCCTAACTTCTCCACTCGTACGCCACAAGAAGATGAGTCTAGATTGGCACCAAATGATTCTTTGAGCGCGTCCCCTGTGGAAACGACTAGGCTACTTAATTGGCGGTCTGGTCTATCAGCTCAGTCCTACGGACCGTTAGACTCTGCTCATTCTGCAACAGAACCTAGCCGTCATTCATCTCGTTCGAGTATTCTGGGCTCTCTTTCGCATTGGTGGCATAGATCGGAATACAATGGAGGGCAAGATCATCCGGGGGGAGGAATCTCGCGGCACCTCTCCCTTCCAGCAGGTCCTCTCTGGGATACCAGTGTCGACCGTAAAGAGGGCAATGGCCAGAAATACCGCGCGCCTGATAGTTCGAATAAGCTTGGAACCTTTTCTGGGGTCTTTGTCCCGACGAGTCTGAATGTGTTGAGTATTCTCATGTTCCTTCGGTTCGGTTTCATCCTTGGGCAGGCTGGCCTTCTAGGAATGATAGGTAATTTAGTCTATCTTTACCATTATATCTGTGAAGATTGCTAACCATCTTCTCAAGGGTTACTCGCGGCTTCATACACCATCAATTTGGTAACTACTATGTCTCTGTCTGCCATTGCAACCAACGGGACAGTTAAAGGCGGAGGGGCCTACTACCTGATATCTCGTTCACTAGGCCCCGAATTCGGTGGCTCTATCGGTATAGTATTCTATCTCGGTTATGTGCTTAATACGGGCATGAATGCGGTGGGTTTGGTTGACTGCTTCAAACAAAATTTTGGGACAGAGACTGGCACCTGGGCCAACTTCCTTCAGGAAGGCTTTTGGTGGCAGTACCTTTGGGGAACCATTATCCTGGTTCTTTGTACCGGAATCTGCTTGGCAGGCAGCTCCATTTTTTCTCGAGCAAGTAACGGGCTCCTTGTGATTGTCCTTGTGGCAACTTTAAGTATACCGTTGTCCGCTGTCGTCATGAAACCATTTAGCATCCCTAATCTAGGCGTCCACTTCACGGGTGTTCGCCTTAAAACTTTCCTGGAGAATTTGAAACCTAGGCTTACAAAAGGAGCTGATGGAAGCCAAATGCCCGGACGGGAGAACTTTCAGGACCTTTTTGGTATTCTGTTCCCCGCAACTGGGGGCATCTTCGCGTACGTATTCCCTCTGCAACTGAATGATTGGTACGCTTATACGAAATCAGTGGGGCAAGTATGTCCGGCGACTTAAGGAACCCGAGCAAGTCGATCCCAAAGGGAACTCTTTACGGCCTGGCCCTAACATTCGTGACCTACACTCTCGTGATATTTGCAATGGCGGCGTCTATAACAAGAGAATCATTGTACAACAGCGCAAATATCGTCCAAATTGTAAGTTATAGATCGCCCCTTGCTGATATGTTCAAAGTTGTCTCATTGATTTGCAGGCGAATCTCTCAGGCGTCGTTATTCTTCTGGGTGAATTTGCAACAACCTTTTTCTCGGTGTTAATGGGAGTAATTGGTTCTGCCAAACTTCTTCAGGCGATTGCAAAGGACAGCCTGCTTCCTGGTCTGAGTGTATTTGGCCAAGGCACAAAGAAAAACGATGAGCCAATCCACGCGATTATTGTGACATTTGTTGTCGCTCAGCTCACAATGCTCTTCGATATCAACCAAATCGCGTCATTTGTAACCATGACGTATTTGATGACCTTTTTGGTGATGAATCTGGCTTGCTTTCTTTTAAAAATAGGATCTGCTCCTAATTTCCGACCATCGTTTCACTATTTCAACTGGCAAACAGCTGCAGCGGGGGCTGTGGTCTGTGGAGCTAGTATGTTCTTTGTCGACGGAGTCTATGCCACAGGTTGCTTCGGAATTTTAATCATGCTTTTTCTGTTGATCCACTACACGTCGCCCCCAAAGCCGTGGGGTGATGTGAGTCAAAGCTTGATTTACCATCAAGTGCGTAAGTATCTACTCCGTCTGAAGCAAGAACACGTCAAGTTCTGGAGACCCCAGATTCTCCTTTTTGTAAACAACCTGGATGGTCAGTTTAAGATGGTTTCCTTTTGCAATTCCCTGAAAAAGGGTGCCTTGTTTGTACTTGGCCACGTTTTAGTCACTGATGACTTTTCAACTGCTGTTCCTGAAGCGCGACGTGAACAGATCGCGTGGACCAAGCTCGTTGAGAACTCAAAGGTTAAAGCTTTCGTCAACATCGCAGTCTCCCCCACGGTTGAATGGGGAGTTCGCAATGTCGTCTTGAATTCTGGATTGGGAGGAATGAGACCCAACATAGTGATCATTGATCAGTTTCGCAAAGGACAGTCACTGGCCGAGACGTTGCATGGCCATCATAGACGTCATTCGCAGCCGTCTCTTCCTGACCCGCACCAGCCCGATGTGAGCTGTAAAACATATGTGACGGTATTGGAAGATCTCTTGTTCAAGCTGCGTATAAATGTCGCCGTTGCAAAGGGATTCGAGTATTTGGAGCTCCCTGGTGAACAAGGGGACAAAACCAAGAAGTACATCGATCTTTGGCCTATCCAGATGTCTGCGGAGCTTGGGGCGAACACCGAAACTAAAAAGAACGTCTTGACAACGAATTTCGACACCTACACTCTGATTCTCCAGCTTGGCTGCATTCTAAATACGGTACCGTCTTGGAAGAAAGCGTACAAGTTGAGGGTAGCAGTGTTTGTTGAGTACGAAACAGATGTTGAAGACGAGAGAAAACGAGTAGAGGCTCTTCTTGAAAAGCTGCGAATTGAAGCCGAGGTCTTGGTGTTCTGGCTTGCCTGTGGTGACTTGAAAGCCTACCGTGTCCTTGTGAACGGTGATTTCTCTGTGGAAACTCAAGATACCCGGGAAAACATCCATGCAATCATGAAACATGAAGATTGGTGGCGGGATATCCAACAAGTTCGGAAGGATTCAGACGAGAGTTCGAACCTTAGCATCCCCAGCTGGACTGGAAAATGGCAGGAGGGGGCCCCTGCGCTCGATGTATCTGGCGAAGAACAGAGACCAGGGCGACAGAAATCGTTGACTGGCGGGTTGAAAAGGTTGATGCAGTCTTCCAAACGACGGCGGTCAATTTCTAGCTTCAGAAGCCTGGGGGGCGTTAATTTGGGCATGCAAACGCACCGCTTACTGGATGCTTTTGTTGAAGACGATAGCACTGCAAGTGAAAGTAGCGATGACAGCGACTTTGAGAATTATCTGAGCGACGAAGAGGAAGGAAATACAAGCGCGCATAAAGCTCCTCGCAAGGAAGGCAATCAAAGAGATGATGCAGCATCAGATGCGGTACCAGGAGCCTTCCCACGGGGTACCCCGGAGCATAATGTTCCGACCATCTTTGCCGCTGATGAAACGGAATCTCCCAGATCTCAACCCAGTACAAGGCGTCCAGATTTGACCCGCTCGGCGTCATGTAATCGATTCAGTTCTTCCCCCATACCCGAGCCTCGGGTCAATACTGACGAGGGTGCTGGGCCGTCTATTATGTTCGCTCCAACTTCGTCACCTCCACGGTCATCAAGAAAGATAGATTCAATCTATAAGCGGCGTTCCTCGTCAGGAACATTCGAACGAGGAAGCGCGTCCGGATACCCCCAACAGGCCTCTGTCCCGCTATCTTTTAATGACCTGCCTAGTCGCGCGCAACATCTCATATTGAACGAGTTGATGGCTAGACATAGCAAGGATACCGCAGTGATTTTTACAACCCTCCCATCACCACTCGAGGGTACTGCTGACAGTGAATCTGACAGTCAGTCTTACTTGAGCGACTTGGATGTTTTATGGCAGGGACTACCACCTTGTCTGTTAGTTCATAGCAACAGCATGACGGTGACGTTGAACCTATAATGACTTATGATTGGTATATACATACAATATGAGAAGCAGATAGATGTGAATATAATTTGATGTGCAGCTTCCTTCCGTTCTTGATAGTTTCCTGCCGCTTTAGCAGTACAGTATATAAGAGATATATAGGAGAGAGATCCAACTAGGCAAGAAGGAAATATCGAAACGTAACTGTCTGAACCTGAAATACAACCTTTGACCCTCCAATTCTGATATCCAAGAGTAAGTTCTTGATATTCAGATCTGCTGAGTCTAGTTAGCGAACAAGTAAACTTGAAATAAGGCTGTGGCGTCGAAAGCTTGTTCTATTGTTGGTCAGTTGTTTCTACAGTTAAAACACGAGAGAAAAGTCCATTAGACTAAAGAGAAGGAATATATGCTCAGAAAACATTCCGCGAGTTAGGACTCTCCCCGGAAACGAGGTCTTCGCTGGAGATATTGCTGTCATTCGACGACGGCCCGCGATGACTCTCGATATCCTCGAACTTGGTCACAATATCCGTGGTAACCACCACATCCTTGGATCCGCCGACGATCTGCTTGTTGCTCCCAGTTGGATCCTTGAAACTGTCCAGCTCCTGCCAGCCCAGCTCGTCCTCGAGTCCAAACGTCTTGCTTCCACAGTACGCATTGGACTGGAATTGCGGGTGGTTCAGGGGCATCGATCGGTTCGTGCCATAGGCTACTCGGGCGATTGAATCGTGGTGATAGATGGGGGTTGAGGTTTTCTTGGAGGAAAGCCCGAGACGTTGCAGGACTCTTTCCATGAGAGGTCGGATGGGTGGCACGCAGCCTACGACGATGACGATCCAGGCTTCCGTTGAAGCCCAGATCAGGAGATCCGGCTGTGCCCCTTGAGGAGGTGAGGGAAGAAGATTAGCTCGCAAAGCACGGGGAAACGGGAAATCCTTTCGATCTCGCTATATCAACATACAGGTAATATCTGATGTCAATGTTAACGCCTTGAGCTCGTGTGTTTTGATGGCGGAGCAAACTGCGGCTCTGTGACGGGACCCAAGGTCTTATCAGCACAAGCTACATAAGAAGAAGAAGAAGAAGAAGAAGAAGAAGGACGCGGTATAGGTACGCACTCACATCCAGCCTAAGCCCATGAGCACAGACAAGGCGATTTTGATTCGGGGTTTCATCTGGAGTTTCCAAAACAGATGGATTGGATAGGCCGCTAAGAGGGCATCCAGGAAGGTGTTGAAGCCTGCATCGTTAGCAGGCCCGCCGCCGCCGGCCTTGGAGAGATGGCATGAAGGAAAGAAGAGCCGCACTCACTGGCTTGGAAGAAAGAATAGTTCTGGTTAATCTTGCGTCCAGGATCACAGGTTCCCTCGAGAGAGTCATCCCATAGTTTCTGCATCGGGGTGCACTGGCCTAGAATGGTCCCGAGCACTGCAATGTTAATTGCGGCGCCGAGAACCCCAAGAATGATTAAAAGCCAGGGCTTTGTCTCATGCCGACCGCGGATTTGGATCAGAAAGGCTAGGATTGCAAGTTTGCCCAGCATGCTTGCCATGATGGCGAGCAGTTGGAAAACCCACGACCATTTCAGGGCCTTGACTTGTTGCGCGTGCGAGAGCTCAGCCATATGATGGCCCATGCCCGAATCCACGGAGAATTGAAGAAAAATCTGGCCGACAACCTCGGTGATCTGCTCGGTGAAAATCAGCACACACCAGAACGAAAAAGATCCTCCAACCTGCGACATAAGATACTTACCACAGTCAGGGTGGCCACTGCAAAATCCCATCGAAACCGAGCCACGACTTTCCAGTTGCTCACAAACCGGAGCGTAAAGAATACTAACCCAAGGCATGTCTCCGTCCAGGAAACCGCCAGGATCATGGCAGATCTGTTGCTGGACATCTCGAAAAGGGGGCATCCACAGCGGGCAGCCTACCGCGTGGACTCTTTACGATATGGGAACACAGATACGGGGCAAGATGCAACAACCATCGCACAGGAAAAGAGAAGAAGGAGAAAACGAGCTGATGGGATGGCCCTCATATGCTTAGCAGCACTAGAGATGCGATCCTTCTTTGGACCCCAGAAGGATCTTGCAGCGTGTAGGGGTTGTTGATTTCTTCATTCTCTTTTGCCACGGGCAGCAGCACGCATTCTAATCCCAGAAACCTATAGAGTCCATCAAACACTGAAGGAATCACATCCAAAAAAAGGGGGGGGGGGGGGGGGTTCTCCTGTAATATCATCCAACTCTGCCAATATTGGAACGCAATTATACACTTTGGTGGTTGTTCCTGACGTAGACTTGGAACCAACGGCTCTCCACCTTGGGAACAAGAAGCTCCAAGTTGATCAAGAGCCAATCCTGTAGATCCAACCCGTTAACTACCAAGTACAGCAGCAGTGGTGTGGTTTCCAACAGGGTTGCCAGGGCGGGGGGAAATGAGAACTAAACGTAGGCCCCTGGAAGCAAAAAAAAAAAGACAAAAGGCGCCTGTCCTTGAAACAGGCTGCAAGATAACGCAAAGCCTTTCTCCGTGTCTACAGGAGAGCCGAAGGAAGAAAGAAATTTATTCTATACATAGTGATTCCGTTGACCCGAAAAGTCACCAAAGAATGAAACCGCTGATGGTGCGTCGTCGGGCGTCATCCAGCACTCATCCAGCTCTGGATTCCCCAAATCTCTACAGAATTCTCCGAGTCGATCCGATACGAGTAACCAATTGGCCAGCCCTTTCTGCGTATAATGAATGGGCCGAGTAACAACTGGAGGAGGCACGGAGTACTGGTGCACGGCGACCCCAGACTACCACACCACAGTCCCCGCGTGGAACCCCGAAATCTAACGAATATACTCTGTAGGTAAATTCCGTTGTGCAGATGGCATTCAATGATACGTGCGTGGCAATTAACATAACGTGTCGATCTTTGCAAGAATATACTGGTGTACGTGGATTCTCAGGTCTACGGAATACTGGTTGGTGTAGTTGAGCAGGGATATCTGCGACTTAGCTTGCTTTCGATCATCTTGACCGCAACTTTTTATAGCCGATAGCCGATAATAGGACCTCAAGAAGGGACATGCATTACGATAGCCCGTCGAGCTTTGTTTTTGGGGGAAGGGGGAAGGGAACGTCCCTTGGGTTGTTCCCTCCAGGGACAGAAAGTAGGGCTCTGGACCTCTACTTGAAACTAGCTAAGAGCAGGTATAAGCCGCCGCTATTAAGGCTTACTTGAAATCGGCCGATATAGTTAGTAGTAGTAGTAGTAGTAGTAGTAGTAGTAGTAGTAGTGGCTTCGGAGTATTATTCTAAATTCTTTCAAGTATGTAAGAACATGCTTCCTCTATTAGCGCAGGTAGAAGGTAGGCTTTGGTGGGCTGTACTCTGGTTTGAAAGGATCACTAGGGACCCTGGTATTTACTCTCCTTTTATGAGGTATCTACGGCTGGAGAAAGATAGAGCAAAGATAATTATAATAAGATGAGGGTGAAATAGTACCACGCGTCGTCAAGTCCACCTCACCGGCAACTCTTGATGTGAAATTATAAATTAGTTAAAGCGCTGAATTACGTTGACTAACTACTGGACTCAAGAGTTTTCCCACTTAATTTAGGAGAGACCTGCAGCCTGGAGGAAATTCCTATTGTGCAGCCAGATTCTGATCTCCTTGCCCTTCAGATAAAAGGGAATGCAGAGCAGATAAACGGCCACATTGATGGTGGCCACCGTCATGAACACCTTCAACACACCACTGGCGGTGATGAAGTCGTTGATCACCCATGTCCAAATCCACGCAATGCAGCTTTTCATGACTGCAATGGTAATCATAATCTCAATGGAGAGCTATAACATGGTTCATACGATTAAACTGGAGACCGTCACACGAGCCAAGATTGGGGGAGGCGGGGGTTTCATACCTCTTTGTGGCAATCTAGGGCATAGTTCATTCCCAACGTAGTGCCCATTTGACTCCCCACCGACAAGATACCAGCACCCACAATAGGCATCACCCAGTGCATTTGGTGTTGGTATGCGAGCGCGAACCAAAGCGCTCCAAAGAACGTGAAAAACGCCGCCAGGAGACAGGTGGGCAGACGCATCTCGGGCTCTCGGATGCCATGGTTTCGCTTGGTGAAAAACGTTGCAATCCAGTCCCCACCGGGCCCGGAGAAAAACACTCCAAAGAGCGAGCCGACGAAAGGGGAGAGGAAGAAAAGACCCTGGTTTCGGGAATTGAAACCATATGGAGGAGGGGCAAAGAGCTGGGCAACCGTGGCACCCAGGATCACATTCCAGCTGAGCGCCAACCCGTAAACGAAGCAAGACCAAACCACTGTAGGATAGGCTAAGAGTACAAACGGCCGCAAAAAGACATGAAGCAGGTTCACATCTGGGTCTCCATGGCTCCAGAACTTGAGCTCTTCCACGAAGCTCCGCTTAGGGACAGTGCTGGTCTCTTCGATCAAGGCCTGCTCCTTCTGGCAGTTGGAGAACTCACTGGCTGAAGGGGCAAGGAAAGATTGTGGGCGAGGTCCGGTGTATCGGGTTTCGGGCATGAAGAAAAACATGCAGATCAAATTCGTGAAAATAAAGATGGCTACGATCCAGAAGGCCCAGTCCATCCCCAGGGCCTGCACAATCAACCCCGAAAACATCGGGCCCAGCTCGTTGCCCCCGAGGACGGCCAGTCCATAGATCGCGACCAACTCGCCGCGGTTATGTAAGAAGAACATATCAGTCACGGTCGAAGGCACGAGGGACTCAATTGGTGCTTGGAAAGCTCCCAGGAAAGCGCGTCCAACAATAAAAACGAGATAAGTCTTGTTCGAGGCAATAGCTAGCCAGATACAGGCAATGCCCATGAGCAAGTTCGAGAAGATATAGATCGGACGACGACCATACTTCACAGCAAAAGGCATCCAGACACAGTTCCACACGCCTTGGTTTATCAAAGTAGCACCATTCGCGTATGTCAATGTCTGGAGGGATTTGCCAAAGGTCACAGACAACTGTTCCATGCCTAATGTGATCATTAAAAAACAGATTGGTTGAGTGATAGAAGGACAAAAGTACGTACCGGCTGCCATGATGGGACCCGTAATCGCACCCATAAAAGCATACCAACAGCCATTGAAGAAAACCAAGTTCTTCTTCAAGGCTGGCCAGCGCAGAGGATCATTGGGGTCATTAACTGAAGGCTGCGGTACTAGCAGCATGTGCGAACCACGCTTGGTACGATGTCTTAACTGATGAAGTCGATCAGAAGCCGCTCCGTGCTGGGGAGCGTCGTCAAATAGAACCTCGGTTCCAGGTGCGCCATTGAAGTATTCTCCGACTCCATCACCGGACTCGTGACGCTGCATTTCTGCCATCAGGAAGATGGTCGTGGGATACCTCCAATTGATAACAAAAGGAAGCCTGACGCGGGGTTCAGTAGGAAGAAAAAAACAGAATCAAGCGACTTTGAACGGCATTGTATCATGGAACTAGGTGGACGACTCCTTTTTAAAAGGTTCGGAGCCGTTATGCACCAAATCCTTGCAATGGCTACTGTCAATCATTTGCAAATGCCGAATCACCAGCATGATTGTCTCTGGGAGAAGGAGGGGGGATAGCTGGTTGTCGTAATAACAGCCATGGTGCGTATAGAAACTACACTGACCAGCTTCACCCCTCCACCACCCGATAACTAACTGTCCGGAATCCAATAACTATAGTATGCACTGTGGATTCTCCGGTAGTCTGAAGTTTTCTAGTTCCGTTTTGATTACGTCTGCTATAGCCTCCAAGACTGTCGGAATTTGAAAGATGAGTTTATTAACCCTAATTGGTTGCAGTAGTAACCCTGTTGAATCCTTTAGAGCCCGATACCTACACAATGATGGTAAGTCGGCTCTTTCTATCCTTTGCACCGGGGGTTTCTCTTACTGATATTGGACGTCGTAACTATCCACGGGGCTGCTGACTTCTGGGCTTGGTTGATGAGGAGAGAGAGAGAGGAGAGAGATTTAATACCTCTCCCATGCACTCAACGGTTCGCATTAGTTCTATTACCGGATTGCGTAGTCTCAGAGACGCCCAAGTCCTACTCTGCTATAAGCCTACTATAATTGGGATACGCGTCTACGACACACGCGTGGTATAAAGGAACATAACGACTAGAGACTGAAGATATTTGAGCAATGGGTTTCTTATTGAGCTTCTAGCGACTTAATCAAAAGCCGCCGGGTAGAAAACTATAATCCTGCAAGAGGAGGTAACTTGGCATGTATCCAAGACCCTAAGTCGGCGTAGAATTCACCATTCCCGGACGGACCAAAAACCTGTATTTATGAAAGCAAGTCCTTAGATGGCATCTCTCTCCACCTTCTCCTTGAGTCGTCTAATCTGGGGAGCCAGGTCGCTCGCCTCGTTGGAGTTGATGCTGGCCGCGATAATAGGACGGCCCACACCGCATGCTCGACCGATCGAAATCTTGCTGGGCAGGAAAACGTACGGCACGTTCTTATCCTCGCAGAGGAGGGGGAGGTGCATGACGATTGCAAGGGGAGTAGTATCTCCGGCGAGGACGACGAGCTCGGAAACGCCGCGGTTCACAGACTTCGTGGCTGGAAAAAGAGTTAGTTGGGAAAGGTAGTAAGAGGGGACGATCAAGGCAACTAACCTTCGTTTGCTCCTTTCTTCACCTGCCGGTAATGGGTACCCTGCTGCAAGAGATCCAAGATCTCCTGGGCAAGGGCCTCGTCGGCCATTGGCCAAGCTGTGTGTTGTAAATTATGTCAGGTAACAGAGAATCTGAAGCCAGAGGGGATATTATTGCCTTACCTGCGTTTTCAGAAGCGTTCTCCATTGTTCCTTTGCAAATAGGCTCGCCTAGAAAGGTTCACGGCCTCTGTATGGCCTTAAGTGGATGGGCTGGGGGTTGTCAAGTGGACAAGAATATGATTGACAAGTGCGTAGTTGAAGGAGGATTTTTTTTTTTTTTTTTGCCCATGAGGGATCGGAATAAGAGTAAATCCGACCGGCCGGCTGATTTGAAACGTGACTCAACCGATTGTCGGAATTACTATGTTCCGTTCACTATTTCCTAACTGGGACTAGGTCCATTTGACACCTTGCCCTAGATACCTCACAGCTCTGGAGTATTCCCAATCGTTACAAGCTGAACCAAAATACTGCATGCCAGAGCATTCCAAGGCTTCATGCCGTGTTCGAGTCCATAGTATGTATTAGGAGTTACGAGTGGCCTAGCCTTCCTACCTCGAAAGTACAGATAGGGATCTGGTAGATAACAGGTGGAGGGTTCCAATAAATTACCAGCTATTTGGCCAGTGGCTAGCAAAAGTTGAGTTCGGGATACTCAAGCTGCTATGGTAAAGATGGTACCTATTAGTGATATATATACTGAAATGTTCTACCTGGTCATGCAGAACCAATGAAGATATTGACGATATCTGATAATGTAATTAAGATCCCTGCATTTACCGATGCAACAAGGGCAGGAAAGCTTGTATCCCACCGACGGGGAAAAAAAAGTCTTAAGAGTCGCTTTTGAAGGGGGACAAAGTATAGTGGCGCCCCGATAATTGGAAATCAATTTTGTTCCGTGGGAGTATTCACCTTGGCCATATGGATAATACGCTCTTGGCTGTCATTGAAAGTGTCTTGTAGTATCGAAGTCCCCATTCCTAAACTCGGCTTTTTCCTGCCTTTGGCGCCGTTCGCCTTCACTTTCTGAAGCTCGTGTGTATCTTCAGTCGAAGCCTTGTATCCCGAGTGTGCACTGGATCCGAACCGGCGGAAAAGGGGCAACGGCCGAAGAGACGAGAGGGAACCAGCTACCAGAGCGAGATTGAACTCAATAGTCATCCAGTATAAGGATGAAGACGACTCATCTGTGGACGGCAGTTAGCCTGGGATACCTAACGCATGGGGGAATAAAGCTTGTAGTGTAGGTAAAGGGACTCGTACAGGTCAGGTCCGTAGTGCCTTTACGCAAATAATCCAGCGTACTGAATCGCACGATGGGAGCAATACAGGCAATTATACCGGATCCGAAAATTATCATCAAAGCAACGATTTTCCTCATGGGCATGTTTAGCCGGCATAGAATCGGCATTGGTGCAACCAATATGATTAAATCGCCCACGAAGATAAGTACTGCTTGGTATAGTACAATCTGGAACAGTTTGAATTGACTGTAGCATTTACCATTCGTTATGGTCAAGTCATAGGCAGCCCTGTCATGTCACCAGTTAACTAGATGCATGTACGAATAGTTCTTGGGGGTCAAGGGGTTACTACCTTGGAGGGTCACATTGAAAAGCCAGAACGAAAGAGCCAGATACAGAAAATAAAACATGGAAGATCATTAAACATAGAGTGAGAGTATGAAGCCAGGCTGATGTCGAGCAATTTTTATTAGCCTGTGAACTAATAAGGATGTGAGATGAGGGCAGAACCAACTTTTAATAAATATCCGTCGTAGGAATAAAAGCAAGCTGATTTTCACCGACAATGAGGCATAGAGATACAGACACATTGCCACATAGTAAAGCTATATAGGGCACATGGTGGTAAAATATTTTAGAAAAGAAGACGGACACAAGGAGGCATTGTTGAGCTTACCCTGAGCCAAGTTGCGCGGTCCTCTGGAGACACGTTTACGAAGTGTTGTCCCTCTCCATAGTAGACAACAGCAATGCCCAACCCGTTGAAAGCCTGCGTAACGACCTTTATAATGCCTACCTGTTAGTGTTTCTGATCAAAATTGAAGACGCGACGTGGGACATACCAATGCAATGCAGACCGCGGCGTCATCCAATCCAAAGACCTTGACTACAATGCCTCTTGTGTAAAGCTGCGAAAGACGTTAGCCGATGCGAAGTACTTGACAAGGGCTTTTGATATCGAGCAACTGCTATAGCGGTGGACCCTTACCCTCAAGCCACAAACGATCAAAGACAGCAGTCCTGTGCCAATGATCAGACCATATGTCAGCGACTGCTGATACTGCTCGTCTGCTGCCAGGTGATGCGTTCGCTTTTGAATATGCATGATGGTTATTAGAAAGATTACAACTTCCGCTCCATAACAGTATCTTCAACCTAGCGTGAAGTGCTAGGAATTTCATCGGGCTGGATGAAGTTCTTTAATAGTCGAAGATTCTATAGATTTGAACCTCTTGCCCTGTCATATTTGTCCAGCACCGCTTACTCGGCTGTCAAACAGCGATCTCAATTCGATTTACTAGGATTAGTAAATGCACGGACACAACGGTCGACTTGTCATAGCCCTGGTGGTCATGACAGAAAATTACTGTCATGGTCAGTCATGGTCATGACCAGGTGTTTTCAGACGGTCATGACCTGACCGCACGTGATTAGGGTGGGTCTATTAGTAGCCAATAGGGAGTTTCTAAAGTCTTAGGAATAAGATTAGGTAATCAATAACTAACACATAACTACTATATATACTACTATTCCTAATTAGGACTAGCCTTATAGCGCTAACCCGATCAGGCAGGCAAAACGACGATCTGACAACCTGGAAACCGTCATGACGGTCATGACCAAAATTTTGACGGTCATGGTCATGACCGTCATGACCAACCCCAGGCCTAACTTGTCATGTTTAAAACAAAGTTGACTAGGGGCTGCAGGAGAGGAAACCACCACCGTTTACTCCGTACTTCCGGATCGAATCTATGATTGCGGGATATTCATGATTTGCCTGGAACAAAGGAGTGTGTTAGCCCCCTTAGCTGCATGTCAATGCGTTTCTCCTCTTTGTTACTAGTCTACTCTTGCTCTTAAGGTTAATGCTCGAGCCCTCAGCGGATACGTATCATTTTTGCGAGTCAAGAGAACAGTCTTAATGCTGGTTGCCAGTCTCAGGCCAGAAGTTTAAGCTGATCTGTGTTAAACACAAGCAGATCTACCCGAAACTTGTTAAAGTTGTATTACTGGAATGGAAAGGGACTCAGCAGGCTCTTCTAGGTATGTTATAGATCAAGACGGCGTTTATGATAGATTTGTACGGAGTACTTTGCAGATTGATTTTAAAAAAAGGTCGACCTTTAGATACGGGTTACAGTGTTGGTCCAAAACCCCTTTATCTACGGAGTATTAGGAATAATAAAGTACCAGAGTAGTGAACTAATTATTGATGGGATTTAGGATATACACACATACTAGAAAATATCACACTATAGGGAATAAGCCCTAGTGAAATCCTGCTGACGGAATTACCGTTAAGTATCCACTCAACTGTAACCCACTATTTTGTATCGTCTTTTTTTCCTGTTTTAGCTACTCAGCCAGCCTATCATTCGCGTATTTAGTGTGAGATATCGTAACCAGAGTCGATGAATCAGACCTGCATATATTCGTGGGGCTGCGTACTAGTCTACTAGTCAATACCGGGCATCGTTAAGTTCGACAGAAAGACTCGTACTTCTGCCATCCTACCGGCGCATCTAACTGGAAGAAGTAATTTCCTATCTTCTGTGGACCAGTCTGCGCGAACTTATTCCTTAGTGAGGGGAGGACTAAAATAATAATTCCGACGTTCGGGCATGTCAGGAAGAAAGGGGGTGGCTTACTAGGGTATATATGCAATTCCCCCCCCCCCCCCCCCCACCTGTGCATTGCTTTTTGCGGCTTGTCACCTCTGGCTCTGCAGTCAGTCATCTGGGGACGACGACATGGATCAGTTTAAGATCCTCATCGCCGGTGGGAGTCTTGTCGGCCTTGGCCTAGCCATAGCCCTGGAGCGCGCGGGAATCGATTACGAGCTTTTTGAAAAGGGAGACTTCGCACCGCAGCTAGGTGCGTCGATCGGACTCCATCCGCATACAATAAAGATTCTAGAGCAGTTGGGGGTATGGGAAGATATTCAAAAGGTGGTTGCGCCCCTGGTGGATAGACACCATTATGATGAAAACGGTCGTTGTTTTGAGAAGTCTCGTGTGCTGGTGGTGATCAACAAAATGTAGGTACGTGCTATATGTATATATAACAAGGAAGTTTCTTCCATTCCCTGTATATTCCATATGCAAAGCGGAATACGACTAGATGCTAATATGCGGGTAACTTGGCCCCGAGGATGTGAGTTAGTCTCCAGCGTCCCATTATTTTCATGGAGCGATCCAAGGCCTTGGAGATTTTACATAGCCATATTCAAGACAAATCAAAACTGCATGCGCGCACTGCTATCGTCGAATACGAAGACATTCCAAATGGGGTCCTCATCACTACTCAAGATGGAAAAAAGCACCAGGGCCACATGCTGATCGGTGCAGACGGAATCCATAGCAAAGTGAGGAAGCTGATGGCGGACAAGATCAGTGTGACTGACCCGTCTCTCGGTAGAGAGATTAATGAAGGTTTGTTGAATTATCCCGTTGACGTTGTTTCCCCCTCCCCTAAGGCTGTAGATTATTGATATCGCACCGAACAAAGCTTTTACGAGCGAGTATAACTGCATCTTTGCCATCTCCGAGAACAACCCCAGTAACCAATTCCTACCGGATGCGATGGTTCACAACGTATATTACGACGACTACTCTGCTGTTGCCGCTACCGGCGAGCACGGGCTTGTGTTTTGGTTCCTCTTCGTCAAGAATACGGAGCTGACTAGAACTCCCAATTGCCCGCGGTTCACGGATGAAGATGCAGAGGCCCAAATTCGCAAATATGGCAGCGCGGGCGTAGGCCCCGGTTACACCGTGAAAGATCTTTGGGATGCCCGAGTCAAAGCTGCAATGGTACCGCTGGAAGAAGGTGTCGTTAAACAATGGAGTCATAACCGGGTTCTTTTGATGGGAGATGCGGTCCATAAGGTGAGCATTACCCGAACCCGCCAAAACAGACAGACTGATCTCATCATTGGCAGGCCACGATAAACCCAGGACTAGGCGGAAATCTGGGCTATGAGGGTATCGCTCGTTTCACCAACGGCCTCGTACCCTTGCTGAAAGAACACCCCATGCCATCACTCGAACAATTGACCGCGGTTTTCGACCAGTACTATACCAGTCAGAAGCCCCGAGCAGAGACCGTCGTTAGCCTTTCCGGTCAAATCACACGCTATGAAGCCCAAGATACCTGGATTCTGCGATTTGCATCCCGCTATGTTGTTCCATGGGTTAGTGATCGGATCAAGGCCAATCTGTATGCAAGTTTCTCGAGAGGTGGGCCTTGGTTGGAATACCTTCCATTGCCTGCCACAGATGCCAGCCAAATCGAGGAGAGGGCGGAAATCCCTCATCATTCCAACGGGGGCTTGTCTATTTTGCCCAACCTGACTGCCTGTGCTTTGCTAGTAGGCGCTGCGGCTATCTTGTGGCAGAGATACAACCAGACCCTTTAGCTGCAGCCCCAGTATACAAGATACAAGACACCATTGGCGCTGATAATCGACGTGGTCTATTTCACAAATAGAGAGGCCAGAATAATGAAATGTTGTAGTGTTAAGGCCCACTTGATATATATATATATTGTCCCTTGGTCCCTGTACGCAGTTTAATCATGGGTAGCGTAGTAGCCACATCTGAATCTGAGATAAAGAGAAGCGAGGGATCAGATTTAGGTTGATATATTATGCATGCATGCACCGGATAGGGTTCTCCACTGCTAGAAGCTAGAGTACAGCTAATGCGGTATCAAAAACCTGTGCGATATACTCCGTATACTCCGTATGTACAGTATTATGCAGCCTTGAAGAAGCTTGGTATCTCCACAATAGTACATCCCTACTCTGTAGACAGATTTAGGTACAAAACATCAGTCGTGCGACCTAAAATAGTCACCTAATCCTGGAAACTAGAAAAATACTCGGTAGGTCTAAGAATTTTGGATTAACCTATCTCTTCTACTCCGTACCTCCTAAGCCATGCGAGTAGATCTTTCGGGGTAGATTTCCAAGCCGATTTTGGCGGCCAGACCACAGCCTTTGTCCTATCCTCGATTTCCTCGATTTAGTGACCCAAACTGGTCAACTCTTCAAGCTTCAAGGATTTAGATGGAGGAATGATAACTTCTTCCAGGATGAACTGGCGCCGGCGAAGCTCACGGTGGTATTTCATTATGCCTATCAATTGAGTCAAGCCCTAATGCATGCCAGGAGAGCTGAATGTCGGAATAAGAGGCTTTAGGTTAATGTTGATATCATTATGGAATCAGAATTTATTTGTTTCACCCAGATTATCCTTTCATGTATGGTCTTTATATTACTAGTAGGTGAAGCGAAGCTAGACTTGCATTACTATGGTGTAGCTTCGAATTACTCTATTCTTGATACGGTGATAATGGCAAGTCATACAATGCATTCGCGCGTGAGGGAAACGGAAATCTTAATTGCCCATTTTAATGTAATGTATTAATGGTCTGTGTCCCTTAGGGTTTCATCCTAGGTATTTTAGATATTCATCATGAATTCTCTGCGGAAGATTTCCAAAATGTTGGACCTTCGCTCGGGAGGTGGCTGATTTTTCAAGGCGTCAAGAACAGAAAAATATTGAACAAAGAAGCGTGCAGCCACGTAGATACAGTACCTACTATTAGTGCGAGTTGCAGAAATTTGTCTAAATCATGAAACTTACAGTGGCCATATCCATGCAGCTAACCATCTTCATAATGCTCGAAATTTGATCAGCAGCAACATAAGTAGAATCAAGCCTGTTTACCAAGGCCTAACTAGTCTAACTTGTTATTTATACACTGTACACGAATGTCTTAGCCTGGCCCGGCCTGGAGCATTGTAGAATACTATCATGTCAGATATTTCTCAATGTATGCTATAATAGTATCTACCTCAATGGACCTGGTGAGGCTGGGGACAGGCCGGACAATATGATAGTTAGACCTTAGCGCTCCGAGTGACACTCTGGAATGGTACAACGTCTGGCTGACAGACTGTATTGTGAGGCGGCAGCTGCCCGTGTGAGAAGTATGCCTGGGCCCTCTGAATCAAACACTTAGATACACTGGCAATAGCAGTGTGCTTTGAAGATAGGTAAGATAGTTAGTTAGCTTTAAACTGTTAGTACCATGGTTTTACGATGAGTACTCACTCCGACTGATGCCTGGATCAGTACCTCAGAGCCCCGGAACACAGAGGACATTTTATAAGCACTAATACCGTCAGCGGATGATTCAAGGATGGGAGATCCTTCATTCTTACCCTCTTCTGGGAGTGACAGGATCAATCTCATTGCTGACGAATAGAATTGGGGTTGCAGTGTCTCTGCGGTCAAGGATTGAGCCTGTTTAATAGTTAGAGACATGTCGGAAGTGAAAAAAAAAAAAAAAAAAAAAGAAAAATAGAAAAACCTAGCACTTGCCGGAAAGAATTCCAGATTGAGGAGGTTGAACATGGAAAGACCTGCAAGTGACGCCGTTGGCATTGTTAGGCCAGACTTCACCGAAGAATCTACTCTCAGCAGTCAAAGAGTCGACATAGCTCCGGTATTGGTCTAGAGTCTGGAGACTGTGACTGTTATACCCATCCACACACTTGATCAAAGTGTTAATATCCTTGGTAGTCCCTTGTGTTCCATTGTTGCAAGGATTAGAAGGGAGGAATCCGCTTGTCACAGCCGCCATATATACGCTTGCGTCGCCCTTCTCTAGGCTTGCGAAAACGTTGGCGAGGACCGGAAATCCTTGCAGGGGGATGAAAACTGCTTGGAGAGCAAGCTCTTTCAGGCCCGAGTAAGTTGCGAGCAGAGGTATGGAGCAAGTTGGCGAGCTAGGAACGGGAATAGGGTTGTACTTCAGGGTTTCCAGCAGTTTCTCAAGACGATGCTGGATACTGGCTGGCGTTGGGCCCCAAAACGCGCAGCTCTGGGGCCCGCCTTCGTTGCAGTACTTGTAAAAGGCGTCGATCGCCTTGTCAGAGTCGTACAAGTTCTGTCTCCAACCAAGTTCATAAATATCTTCCACATCAAGTACTCCATCCAGGATCATGGGGCCCACGTTTTCTGGGAAAAGGTGCGCAAATGTAGTACCTATCACAGTGCCGTAACTAATGCCATAGTAAGAAAGCTTTGCTTCATTTTCTGGCTTCCCAGCGGCTCGTTGCTCGGCCTTGGTATAGGCAAGCAAGTCTCGAGCGACTGCCGGGGAGCTGACAAAGGCAGCAGAGCCGTTGGACCCGCCTACAGCAGCGGTGCATGCTTCACCAAAAAAGTCCGCAGCAGAGAACTGATGACTTAAAGCCGTGGACGAGGCGTAGGATGTGTCAGAATAGAACAGCTTCTCGAACTGAGCCCGAGCTTCAGGATGGCTAGGCCAGCAGTCTACATTTGGCCCGCTGAACCCCACGCCACGGGGATCAAAGCCAACAACATTATGCTCGGCTTGGATGACCTCTGCAAAAGGTATGCTATTTGCCAGAAGAATCTCGACACCGGAGCCTCCCGGGCCACCTAGTCGTGGACTATTAGATGTTTTGCATAGTATTTGTGGAGCGACAATGCCCTCGTACCTGGGTTAATGACGATGTTTCGTGTATTTTCTGTAACATTCTGCGCGGCAAGCTTCATAAAGGCAATGGCAGTGGATCCTCGAGTGGGATTTCCGTAGTCAAGAGGGACCTCTAGCCGCGCACATGTAAAGTTTTGGAAGCAGGGGATCCATTGTAAGTCGGGGGACGGGGTTATCTAAATTAACGTCAACTAGAGAATAAAACCGGAACTGTTTAAAGGGATGACAGCATACTGATTCCCAATCATTAACCATAACACTCCTTGCATCTCGGGGTACAACCGCAGCTGACACTCCATGTGGAGAGTAGAGAGCAGCGGTTAAGAACAGACATGACTGCCCCAAGCTGAATAGACGCATCATGAGTGATGAGGGCACAAAGCACTTGTGAGTTGACCGATTGCAGATCCCATGCTGAGTAGTAAGACCCTGAACAAGTATTTATATGAATCTCAATTTCCATGAGATATCTCAAGTCTAGAGATGCCAAGGTCGTGGCGGAGTGTTGGAGGATCTTGCGTTGAGAACCATTCTAACCCTAAGTACGTACATTGTAGAAAAATCCACACCAACCGACTCCATGGATTTAGCATGCTCGATGATGTATGTATCTCAGATGGGAGCTTTTGGCCGAAGGAGAGAATGAAACAAGGTTTCCCATATTGAGAATTGACCATTGAGATCTACCCTCAAGCGAAAGAAGACGTTGGGATCTAGGAAGATCTACTGGGCACCGCGGGCTAGCGGAAACTAGCGGTAGCAGGGACACGCTCACCTCATCTCGTATTAAGCAGGCATCGTTATTGCTAACTATAATGAGATGATGTACAATTCTGAGACCCGCTTCAGTTGTGAAGACAGAAATACAGTCAGACCGAGTTAGTAAAGCATGTATAATCTGTTTCTAGAGTCTCGGTAGGAGTCAGGCACCAGGACAGTTGAATCTGGAAACACCCTGAGGTTCCCAAACTTCCAAATACCATGATTCTTTTTGGATAGATTACACCATATTCTGGACAAACATTGAAATATGTCGAAAGGGTGGCCTAGTCTGAACTGAATGAAACCTTGGAGTAACCTTGTCTTAGGGATGGGAAGCTTAGGTGTGTTTTGCACTAACTTGTCACAATTAAAGACGATTCTTGATCCATATTTGGGATATTATCAAAGATATTGAATTTCAACAGTAATATGAACATCTTCAAAGGGACAACAGTATCGCTCCCTTCGTATCTATAGAAAGTTTTGTTCAACTTTGCATCCCTTCCAGAAAAGTGTCACTTGCTCACATCACGTAGCTTGCCGAGGATAAGAATGAGGTTGGCAGCCAGAGGGGGAGGCTGGGTCTGGGATTCAGGATTGTGATTCTGTTCCAATAAACGAACCATCAGATCTAATACTGCCCGCGAATTTCTGAGAGAAACCGGAGGTTCTTCGGGGAGAATCCCATGGAGAACTGGGATGCCGCGATCAAAGGAAATATATCGTTGCACGTCGATGGCTTCATCGCCATCAAGCCATACTTTCCGCGGAACTTGTAGTATTGGTGAAGGCTGCATACTCTCTAGGTCGGTTTGAGGGGTCTCATTTGTCTTAGTCTGACTCGACACAATGCCGTAAGCCCACAACGTTAAGCTGGCATGATAAAGGGCAATGGCCACGAAGTCCCTTAGACTCTGCAGGGGAAGTAGTTCAAGCTCGCGAACAACTTGACCTGCGTGCCATACGGCTAGTCGGGCTTCCTTGCTTCTGCACCAATCCCTAAGGGCTGGTTGGTCTTCACATGCGCAGTTAGGGTCTTCCGAGGTGGCAAGCGTTTGTATTTCTTCGAGAGACATGTGCATGTGCATCAGGATGAAATTCAAACTGACATTGCTTTCGTCCTTGTATTCCATACGAAGATAGTCCAGCATCTTCGTCAGCTGCTGGGAGCGGGTCATCATCAGAAGACCAGGGTCCCAATATCGAGACTGGGTTCCGAGAAGGCTGCTTAGCTGACGGTATTCCCACACCAGTCCCCATAACGCGTGGGCAACAGCAGAGCAAGAGAGGCTAATATCGGCCACCCGCCTGCTGCTCTCCAGCAGGTCTAGATTAGCAACGCACTCCGTCAGGGCCGGAATGCGTGTAGCGCCAGGGGCGTAAAGCTCGCAGTACAGCTCCTTCCACTTGGGAGCGGAGTCTGCAGCCCAAAGCTGGGATGGGGCGGGGAGGGGAATGCAAAACTCGGCGTATGAAATTATGGGACATGTAAGAAGCGCCATGGATAACTCTGCATCTAGGCGGAAAAGATGATATGCAAGTCGCTTGTAGGACTCTTGTCTTATCCAGGCCCGCCATTTCTCGTAGAGTTTGTCACCAGTATCGTCCGGTTGGACTAAGATCGCACAATAGGCAGAGTGGTGGAACATCCCTCTCCGGCGCACCATCGTGATCAATGGTTGTCGAAAACCTTCTGACAGTTCAATTTTCCTGTTATTCCCGCTCCATAGGCCAACCTCCAGGTACATGAGATAAGCCTGCAGCAGCTCAAGGTTGTATATCTTGGTGTTATTTGCCTCAAATACATCCGGTAATTGAAGACGGACAACCTCCTGCATAGCAAACCCAAGCTTGCGGAGCGAGGCGTCTGGCGTTAGCACGGCACCAGCGGCCGCCATGGATAGAAGGAGCTCTGGGCATGTTTTCTTGGGCCTAAACCCTGCTCGATGAATCCATGTGCCAGCCGTAGAAAACGGAACAGTCAAGTAGTAGCGTATGAGACTATCGAGGAATTCTGCAGAAGGAAACGAGTGGACTGCCGCAGAGATAGGGTGCTTAATTTGACTGAGAACAATGCTGAGGATCCTGTCGCGAGATGATAGATCAAGACATTCTGTCGTTGACTTGCTGGTGACCTCGACTAGACTTTGTGGCGTTGAGGATAGATTCGTCTGGGCAGGTAGCAAAAGATTGTCATGCTCCTGATAGCCATGATCCTGGGGAGCGGGCACAAACCGCCATTTCACGCGCTGTATTGAGCGAACTTCCTTCGTATCCCGTGTATCACGGCTTGGTTCTGCATCCTGATCCCCTTGTGCAGAGTCGGGTAACGAGAGTGGTGCGGTTTGATCATCAAATTCAAAAGGTATCCGGCTGTTGTAAGACTCTAGGAAGTGAAGGTCGACAATGCTTAAGTCGAGGTTTGTTTCCAACCCGAATGTGATCAGTCCCCTAGGTGTCCTTGTGCCACTCGCGATATCGGGGAGCGGAGCGGCGAAAAGGTCTCTTCTGCTGTTCTGGGTAGTGAAGTTCGAAAAGTCCTGTGAGAGAACGGAAGACATATCGCCATTCACATCTTCCAAGACCGAATTTGCTGATTCCTGGGGCCAGGGTTGAGCTGCTAGTTGGGGGTCGATGAAGGCCTGATGTGTCTCAAGTGGCACAAGACCCTGGCTCAGATCTAGACATACACTCGCATCAGCTTCGGGGAGAAGATTGCTGGCCGCTGAACCGGGCTCCTGGGGCGAGTTCGTGGACATATTATCGGAAGTGTCTCCAGGTTTGATAGGAAGCATGCAAGGAATCTTCCTGCGTCGACATCGTCCACATGGTTTTTGTTCGTCGCATCGAAGGTGATGCTCAGCGCATGCACTGCATGCCTGAGAAGCGCGTACAACTGGATTCGGATTATTGCCGTTTCGACGACGCCTCTTCGATGCCTGGTCACCGTCTGTACTATGGAGGGCAGAGTGCCGGCTAAGAAGGTCACTACACGCAATATGTGAGCATACTATCTAGCTGAGGACAAGAGATTGGGTTCTGCATAATCCACATTCTCTTCCAGGGTTGATTACATTCTACCGAATCGTTTCTCACAGACAGTACATTGGTAAGGTTTCTCTTGAGTGTCTTAAGGTGGCAGTCAGTGCGATGTTCTTTGCAATATTTTCTGGTCAGCGTCGTGAAAAGGCCAAGGTGACCTACGGGATCGGACGTGACGAGCAAGATGATCAAGACGAGTATAGGATTGCGAGCATTTCCCGCACTGATACAGGTTGCGGTTGGATGGCCGGCTTCCGGATGATGAACTTGGAGTGCGGGGATGGCGAGTGACCATAACGCAGGAATCATGTAATCTGCCCGGTCCTGGGAATAGCATCCGAGCGTGGAGTGAAGTTATCCACCTCTTTTCAAGAGTGATGCATGGGCATTTCACGCGGGGAAATAAGCCTCGGGAGATGAGGGCACAACCCCGGAAAAGCCCTCTCTTCTTCTCCACCTGGGCCGAGATTTATACTCACCAAGGGGAGTAACATTCGCTGGCTGGTCTTCTCTGATGCGTAGGAATCATGAACTGCTGTTGGAATGGTTAGTAGTAAAGTCAGACATGTAGAATACGTCCATCGAAAATGACTATGTTGAGTCCACCCAAAAGATCCCCTATTTCCTAGGTGCAAAAATTGGCCTAATCTGTTCGAAGCAGCCGTAAATCATCATACACAGCTATCCCATAGCTCTATGGGGACATTAGCCTAAATATCGACGAAATCCTTCATGCAATTGCCCCGGATAATCAGAATTTAAGTTCACTCACGGACCAGACCAGTAATTGTGCATGAATTGAAGAAAATACAGTGCAGAATAGCTCTCATAAGTAGAAGCCTCTATCCTGTTGGAATGATGTTGGAATTCTCTTGTGCATCTACGCTGTCTAAACTAGCATCGAATAGACCAAAAAGATCTCCATCCAACTAGATTGCTTTCTAGTACATTTACCGAACACCATTCCCCAGAATGCGACTCTTTGTTGCCCCCATCGGGCTGCTGGTGGGATCTAGTTTGGCGGTGCCCTTCCACCATGGTCTAGAGCATAATCTTAACGCTCTCGCGCAACGTCAGGGTAAACACTGGTTTGGTACTGCAGCTGATATTCCCGGGACGGAGGAGACAACGAATGATGCATATTTGAATATTTTGCAAACCCAGTTCGGGGAAATAACTCCCGCAAATGCCATGAAGGTGTGTCTCATGCATGGAGGATGATTTATGCCTGACCATCGACACTCATTCTTTTTACGTTTAGTTCATGTATACAGAGCCGGGGCTGGATTACTTCAATTTTACTGAAGGCGACTACTTCATGAATCTAGCTAAAAGTACGGGGAAGGCCGTTCGCTGTCACAACCTCGTCTGGGCCAGCCAAGTGTCTTCCTTCGTCACGTCCACGAACTGGACCGCGGAGACGCTGATCCCCGTTATGAAGAATCATATCTTCAAGACTGTCCAGCACTTCGGCAAGCGCTGTTATTCCTGGGACGTGGTCAACGAAGCCCTGAATAGCGATGGGACATTTTCTTCCAGCATCTGGTACGACACAATTGGCGAGGATTATTTTTACCTTGCATTCAAGTACGCCCAGGAGGCGCTTGAAGAGATTCACGCAAGCGACGTCAAGCTCTACTACAATGATTACGGCATCGAAAACCCCGGGACCAAAGCTAATGCCGTCCGGAATCTTGTCAAGGAGCTGCGCAAACGTCACATCCGGATTGACGGCATCGGTCTCGAGTCCCACTTTATCGTTGGGAAAACTCCTTCGTTAGCCGATCAAACTGCTACCCAGAAAGCCTACATTGCAGCCAACCTGGACGTCGTGATAACGGAGCTGGATATTCGGTTTTCAAAGGCTCCGTTTTATAGTGCCGCGGGCCAAAAGCAGCAAGCTCTGGACTACAGTTGTCGGATATATGATGATCCTAGGGGTAGCTCAATGGAAGCAGGTGATCGTATATATTGATGTGTGTGTCTGTTGGGGGGTTGTGTGCTTGCCTAAGGCCTTAATATAGGGTAATAACTCCCCCTTTACTTACTAAGTATATTACAAGATATCCCTTTAATTTAATATACTCCCTCAGGTTTAAAGGATTTTATCTAGTTTGAATCTATAACTATATAATTTAAGATGCTATCCTTATCCTGGATAGGTTTAAACTATATCTAGTAGTAGGTTATCTATTAACTTTAGTCTCTTTACTATCCCCAAATCCTTCATAAATGCCTTAAAGCTTTGGTGGGGTAGCACCTTGGTCAACCTATCTGTAATTATCTTAGTGGTAGGATAATATAATACTTTTATCCTTCCTTTCTAGGCTTCCTACCTAATCCAGTAGTTGTGGATATCCACATAGCATAGCCTTGTATTTAAGTAGTTAATTTCTTTATTTACTAGTTAGATAGTTTATATATTATTATATTAAATATTAATAATTAGATTCTCTAACTCTACCTAGATTTTATCTAGTAGATATTTAGTAAAGATTCCTTTCTTTACTATATATAATAATACTAATAATTCTACTTTAGTTATAGAAGTTATTATAGTTACCTACTTGCTAGCTTTCTACCCTATTATATCTCTAAATAACTTCATAATATACCCTTGCAAGCTTCTCTAGTCTTAATTATCTATAAATAAGGTATTACTATATAATAAGTAGTTGTCTGAACCTCTAAGTTATAGGATAAGTTTATTTATTCTTTTTAGATATTATAGGTATTAATCTGCTTTGGTATAATATTCTTTATTAGGGTTTATAAGGTACTAGGATAGCTAGGATACTATAAATATAATATCTAGTTAAGTCATGATTATTATATATATTATAGATTCTACTTTCTATTAATATTATTAGGTATATAGGTAAGATACTCTATCTTAATCTTTCTAGGGTACTATTTTTATTAATATAGGAGTAGTATCTAGATCTTTTTTTCTATCTACTAGGTTAGTAATCTTATTAATATATACTAACTAACCTAGCTAGATAAGCCTATTCTCTCTATCCTAGGTAATCTCTATTTCTAGGAACTATTACAGGTTATTTCCTCCCATTATCTTAAACTAGTCCTGAAGCTCTTATATAGTAGCCTGTATTTATACTAATAATTTTTAGTAATAAGTAAATATAATATTATTTATATAAAAGAATATTAAGATTCTATCTTTAGTAATATAATATAGTTTATATAAGATAGGTTTGTATCCTAGTAATTTTAGGACCTTTTAGAGAGTTATCTACTATAGGTAAGAGGACTATTTAAGTCTATATAGTACTTTCTTTAACTTTAATATTTTGCCTAATTTTTAATATTTTAGAGGCATTTTTATATATATTTTCTTATTATTATCTATATTAATAAATATATTTATAATATTATATTACTTTAATTCTAGATTAAATTAGGCCACTATTACCAGGAAGGTTTAGAGGGATCTTATTACTAGAATTATAATATATAGGTTCTTTATTAAATCCTTTTATTAATCTTCTCTTACTACTAGGCATGCTTTATATTTAGTTAGGTTACTATCTTAATTACTTTTATATATATATATTTATTTATATTCTAGTACTTTTATATACTTAGGTTTATCTACCTTTACCTATATTTTTATTATTTTATAGCTAGCTAGGTAGTCTTACTCTACTTTTATAAATTCTTTAGATAGTAAGTAATTTTTAACTTAGTAGTATATCTTTAGAAGGGTTAATAACTAATCTAGGTAGGTTCTAATTAGATTCTCTAGTTACCTATTCTATCTTTGTATTTCTGCCTTAGAGGCTAGTATTCTATCTTATTAGGTTGGTTATATTAATCTCCCTGCTATAAATACTAATTTCTATGTAATTTAGTGGCTTTTATTTAGCTTAATTTCTTCTTTAATTTTAGCTATCTTATATTAGTAAGTACCTGCCAATATTGCTGCTAACTATTCTGGGCTACTGCCTGGTGGTATTGGATAAGCTATTTACTTATTTATATTAGTATTCTTATCCTTATCCGTGGCTTTAAGTACTAATCTTGATATTTAAACTAGATAATCAAGCAAGTTAAAATTGCCTTCTAAAATATTCCCTATTATAGAGTAATTTATATTTAATACTCCCTAGATTAGAATATAGGTTTTAACTTTAATATCCTTAATTATTTATTTAAATTTATTAATTTTAATTATCAGGAAGTTATCCTTTATTATTTAAATAAATATATCTTTATTTCTTAAGAAGAATTCTTCCTTATTAAATATAATATTTCTTATATAGATAATCTTCCTTTCCTTCCTTAGGTTCTATATTTAATAGATATTAATAGATTTATATCCTACTATATATTTTATAAATACTCTTAGGTTAAACTACTTTCTATACTTTACTATTATAGTTGCTTATAATTTAATTATTGTAAATACCTTATAATTATATACTTTTAAATAAGTTTCTTAAGGTTTCTTATATTTTACTACTACTCTATCTTAGTGGGTAATATAAGTATAGAATTAATTAATTAATATTTTCTATTCTACCTGATATTTAGGTATTTAGTTATATAGGTATACTACTATATAGATATATTTAAGTTATAGAAATATAAGTAGTTTTGCTCCCTGTCTTATTATATATATCTTCTCTTTTATTATACCCCCTAAGTACTCTGCGCCTCTATTTTAGGCTGGTATATATAGAGTAGAGTAGTCAAGTCTTGCTCCTTTAGATTATATAAAGTCTTTTAATTATCTCTTTATCTTGCTATCTAATTTAATTACTTAGGGTTTGATATTATATTACCTCTCTAGAAAGGTAAATAAGTTAAGTAAGGTATTTTTAATTATCTCTATATATTAGTCTAAGAGGTAGTAATCCTATATAAAACCTAACTACCTATCTATAATTAATAGTAAGGCTTAATAGTTATCTATCCCTATTTTAAAGTTATAAAAATTAATTACTAACTATAGATCTAGTTCTTCTATAATAATATAATCTTTTTAGTTAATTCTTTACTTTATTTTTACTATACTATAAATATTATATTCTACTATAATAGGTCTTTTAATCCTTACCTCCTTAGTATTCTTGACTAGGTAATCTAATACCTATAGTCCTGGATATCCAAGATATAAATACTATTATTTTACATCTCTAATACTAGTAATAGTTTAGAATATTGCCTGGCCTGTTATATTATATAGTTTGCTATTATATTCTATTATAAATTGGCTATATTTCTTATCAAGATAGGCTGCTACTGCACCTTTAGATATATAGAGTAGGTTAGAGTTAGGATTATTCTTAAAATAGATACTTATTTAGTTTAGTAATATAAATAATACTAGATTATATACTATTTCTTTATAGTAAGCCATATTCTTAAGAATTATATAGCTATATTTTATATTTTTATCTCTTTAAGTTATAATCTATATACTAATATCTTTATATCCTATAATAGGTATTTTTAAGTCTCCTACCTATATATAGTTATTTTATATTAATTTTATATATTACTTAAATTAATATAAATTATTAAATATATAAATTAATAATCCTAAGTTAAGAATAATAGAGTACTATAATAAATATAGTATAGTTTTAAATTAGGTATTAAATAAAGCTTTAACTTTATCTTTATTCCTGCCTTTTATTTAATCTACTCCTTAGTTACTTCTTCCTTCTAATTATTCTAGATCTTGTTTATTTTATTCTTGCTCCTTTACTACCTTTTTAGTTAGGGCCTTATTTATCTTAAGTTATATATTAACCAGCTTTTTTATTATATTCCTTTCCTTGAAGTTCTTGGGCGCTTTTTCTAGGAATAGATAAAAGTATCATGTTTATTTATACTTTTAAGAATATATATTATATAACTAATATAAGTTTTTAGAAATACTCCTTTTAGAATCTATTCTTCCTATATTATTATATTTATACTTATATTTTATTCCCTTATCTTGTAGTAGGGATATTTCTTTATTACTAGTTATATTTATTATATCTTTAATAATGAATGTTAGTCTAAAAGCCCCTCTACTAGTCTTACTATGCTATTATAGGAATGCATTAATAGTATTATAAAAGTTATTTACTATAGTATAGAATAATAGTATTCCTGCTAGTATCTTCTTTTTATAATCTAATTAATAGGATGTAGTCTAGGATAGAGCTAGGTAATATATTATATTTAGGAAGTCTTCTACCTAATCTAGTAGTAATATTATAACTCTAAGGTTTATTTTAATTACTTATTAAATAGCAAATTCCTAGTTATTTAACTAACTAACTAGATTACCTTTTAGGGGTTGGATTACCTTTATATAGGTATTATAGGCTATATTTTAAATTTATCTTTAATTAACTGCTATGTATTCTTTTAATTTAAGGTACCACTCTTCTAGGGTTTCTATTGGCTTGTAGTAGAAGTAATAGACCTTTAGGGAAATAATATATTAGATCTAATTTTTTAGTTTTCTAAATTTTATAATCTAATAATTATACTTATCTATTTCTATTTTATAGAGTACTACTTTAGAGTTAAAATTTTATAATAATATTATAGAACTCCTAGTACTATTTACTAGTAGAGTTTTTTTATTATCCTTAATTAATTTAGTAAGTTATTATAGATAACTCTTATTACCTTTTATTATTTTCTATAGATTATTGTCTCTCGCCTGTACTTTAAATAAGGATTACTATATTAGCTAGTCTTCTTGCTTAGTAAGCCTTACTATATTATCTTTATTATTAGTAGTTAGAGGCATTGCGCTTAGTATTTTACTAATTAATAGATTTAGTAGGGGTTGTTAGTATTTTAATAATTAGTAGGTTTTAATAGGGGTTGTTAGTATAGATTTACATGCTTTAAGCAAAAATGAGACTCTTAATTATTGGATATATAATGATCTTAGGGGTAGCTTAATGGAAGTAGGTGATTGTATATATTGATGTGTGTGTCTGT